CAGCGCCTCCCTGTTTGTTTAATCCAGAGACAATGATAGGCCCGGGGTCAGTGACACCATACGCGGTTCGTATGAAACAGCGAGTTTAAAACTGGGCAGCAAAATCAAGGTCGATAATGGACTCGGGCAGACCATAAGCCCGGACTGCATCATAAAAGCCTTCAGGCGACAGATAATCGAAGCCTTTCATCTGATCACGTTTCAACGCATAAACTGGCTGCTTGTTACGATTCGCCCAACACTTGACACCAGAGAGATAGCTCATGAGGTCACGAGTTTGGACCCCAGGCTGTGCAGCCACCTGAGTGTCGGGAAGTATCATCTTCTCCGCAGAGTATCGTATCAGTGAGGCATTGAGCCAAGTCATAGGGGAATTCGCAAGAAAGTTAGAAAGTAAGAGACCCCTCCAATTCTGTAAGTCCGTGCGTAAGCCACGTTTGTGAAACATTGTTAACCACATGTCTTTCATGTTTCCGGGGAAACGGGAATTCATGACTTCGTAATTGTGCATTTCAAGCACGAGACTAAGCGTCTCATCAGAAAGTGACTTGATGGTCCACTTCTCCCATCCATCCAGACCCGGAGAAGGTTTGCTATTGCCCCGTCTAAGCATCGCGCGAAAGTCAGAAAGAGAGGCTTTAAGTGGCCAGACAAACGGATCATCAGTCACTCGACTTTTGACCCCTCTAACCGAAGGCGTATCAAGCCAAGGTTTCGGAAGATCTGGAACTCGACTGTGATCATACAGTCTTGTAAAATAATTCCTAGTCGTTGATTTGACCCCTTCAGGATCACAAACGAGCTTCTCAGGATCATCAAGGTCATTCAAAGCAAGGGGAAACGGAATGAAGTCAGAAGACTGGACGAGTTTCCGAGTAGAGCCGCTTTTGAGGGCGGCGGCAATTCGTTGCTTATCCACAAGACGAGCTCGAAGAAGAATCTCCTTCGACTTTTCAGCAAAAAGAGCCTTGTAAAGACACCTTCGTTTCCTCGCGAGATATTGCGCGAGCGTGCCGCCAGACGCTTCACGTAAAAAGTCCCTCAGCGCGCGTGCATGTAGATCCCTCGCCTTCAGCGAGACTCTTGCCACACGGTCCGATTTTTCGAAACGAATGGCGCCGCCATATCGGCCACTATACCTTTAATCTTACCATTTGTAATCACTTCAGCACGTTTGAAGTAATGTTTTGTATGTCCGAAGACATTGGCGGCCACTGAGGTAATGATTTCTGTAAGGTCTGTGTATCATCGAACAAACGAGTCATCGTCAATGACTGGCCGTTCGTGAATACACTTAGCTTTAACTCTATCATCAACTTGATCCCGGAAGACTTGATACTTGTGCTTCTCAGTCTTGGGAGGGATCTTGATTCTTGGGGGATTCGCCGTCCGTCCCATTAAAAGATGGACCGGATTTCCAACATTAGGTTGAATGGGACCAGGCATTGCATGAGTAACTCGTGCAACGATAGCCCTATGGTCAGTGAAAGGTATTCAGTCAGAATGCCGGACAGCCACCGCTATCTCTGAGTCAACCCTAGTTGCCCTTGAGGTCACAACTCGATCTATAATGTTTCCCTCAGCTGCACTTCGGCTACTCCTGCACGTCCAATTATTGATACGAGAACGCTCTTCAACATCCATCCACAAGTCATGTCCATCCGTGTCAGCTAGGAACTTCAGATACTGGTCCCTAGCATCTGAACCACCACTCAAGCGCTCGAAGGAAGCAACAGTCGCGTTAAAGTCGCCTGCTATAGTCCACGATGACGTGGTAGACTGACAAAGACTTATTCCACAGAGCATATGCGCCGATGAAACGATGTCTGAAACACCTGCCATCAGCAGTCGGCAGTACAATATCTAAAGCAACCACTCACCCCTTCAGGGCTTTCTGTGTAACCTCAAGCCGCTGAGCAACCTGGAGATCCTTCCGAACACCAACAACGACTCCCCACTTGAAGATGTGATGGCCTTCAGCGCATTCACCCGGCTCTTCATAGATGTCGTAGTCAGAATAGGGTAAGGAACTACCTAACTTGGTCTTGGTCTTCGTTTCGTTGACAACAAACACATGGGGCCTACGCGTGCCAATAACGGAGTTGAAGTGGTTGATCTTAACAGGATGCACCATTCCGTTACCGTTTAGGCCGTATATCGTGAATGTCGACGTGGCTGAGGGTGGGACAAATGCTGATACTGTTTGAACCATGCTAGCCGCAAAGACGAACAAGCCAAGAAGAAAGATTACGTTGAAGTCAGAGGAACACTTCCAAGTTCGGTCAGATCTACAATGGGGGCGGCTATCACGAAGACAGCTACTCAAATCTCTTAGACAGTCAAACACCCCTCGAAAAATGCCTGTGGATCTAGGCAGGGATTTCTTTGACAAGTTCGAAGAGGGGGTTGAGGTGCCGTCGTGAATCACCATCAGCGTGTCCTGCAACAACAGTGGTAAGGGGCGTACCTCGCCAACTTCCTTTGCTTGAGGATCGGGCGAGTCAACCTTCATCAAGCTACCTGTAGCCAATAACGCTATTTCCTTTCTTGGTTATCATCATTTGAAACGCAGCGCCTTTTGGAAAAGAAAACGCCTCGGTCATCAGATTTTTGGGAAAGGGAACGTGCATCAACCGGAGCAACCAGACCATCCGTGCGACCAACATTGAAGAGTCCGGGAGGCACTGTAGGCGTACTCGGATGTACAGGGCTAAGCGAGGAGACAGGATGAAACTGATCAACGTGGCCCCCGATGATTGTGAGGAAGTTCCGATTGGCTTGGCTGATCTTGTTCAAGAGAGCAGCTTCCTCCTTCTGAAACTCTGCCAGCATAGCTCGTGCCTCGACTGCCTTTTCCAGTTCCATTCCAACCAACAAATGCGTCTTGAGCGTGATCTTGTTAGCGCGGATATCGGACAGGTTACGAAGAAGCCCAATTTCCGTGGACTGAGCAAGAATCGCGCGTTGAGAAATAACAAGACGATTGCTGAGCTGGGAAACGGCATGTGTGGCGGTCTGTAGCAAGCTACAGATTGTCGTGAGCTGGAGATCTGTGGCTTCACGTTGTTTCTGATTCCGCGCCTCCATCGTGTCCAAGCGTCTGGTGAGAGCCTTGATGGTATCGAGGGCATGAGGGGAAGGAAGCGCAGTGCGTGAAGAGAAAGGAGGGAGGGAGGCCGCAGGGTTTCTTCTAGAGGGAGCAGAGGGAAGAGGAGGCGAAGAGGGAAGAGTGTGAGGCGGCGTCATTTGGGAGGTGGGAAAGAAGGACCGAGTTGGAAAGTAGGGTTTAAGGGACGGATGGATGGAGGAAGGGTCAAGGGTTTTGGTAGGGACAAGATAACGACAAGATAAAGCAAAATAGACGGGGTACAGAGATGGGAGGAGACGACTAGGTAAAGTTGCGAGGAGTGAAGTAAAATGTATCGGGTTATGGGGTGAAAGGGAGGTAGAGTCTACATAAGAGCGAGAACTGGCACACACCAAGTGCGGCCAAGCGCATCATACTTGGTGTGTGTCACAACTTGGCCATTAGTATGTCCTTGGTTTAGCCTGAGGACCCATTGGCTTTCTACTTTGATATCACTTGCGCCGCAGTCTCCCACCTTCGCACTCTGTCTCTCTCATCTACAAAAATATTACTTAAGCCCAAGATGCCACCGCGCGAGGTGGTATCCTGCATGTTGACCGGAACAGTGCTATTGTGGTTTACCTGCACCCACGAAGGCCGATAACCAAGGGTAACATTCCTCCACATCGATGAAGGATACGCCCGAGTAGAACGGCTTTACGTCTGTAAGACATGGGCGCACCTTCGACCACCCGGGCCCATCCGCACCGACGACGAGGTCGAACCCCTTCCCTAAAGTGTAGGTCATATTCGTCATCACTTTGCCTTTGCTCAACGTGGAGCAGCTTCCTTCCCGAAAGCACAACGTCTCGCTTGAGTGAACTCAGGCTTTTATTTCGATTTTTACGATTATTCTAGAGTACAAAAACTGGGCGGTAAACACATGATGCAACATCGCTTGAACATCGCGTCGACGAATATGCGCGTACATGCTTCTTATATTGTGCAGTACGTACTACGATATACGCTAATCTCTGTAAAACTGTGATGTAGAGTTACCATACAACTCGGATGGCGAAGCGAGCCCCCCGCAGAATGCGGATACGTAATAGATACTTTCTTGTGGGGATGATCTAACACATAACACCTTCAAATTGATCGATGTCAATCTACAACAAGAAGCTACGGGCTTTAAGCCTCCGACATATCCTTGTTAACCTGATTGATGAAATAATTTAATTTGAACCTCCGTTAAAGTGTTGACTTACATGTGGATTGAAGAACAAAGAGTTGGGTCCCCAGGGGAAAGGCTTGCTTCTTCTGCTCATGTAGTCATAGGCGGGAGCCTCGGGGAGGACACCACCATTTTCGTGCTTAATGTGCTCTACGTGTGCGGCGTGTTCAGCTTCAGCATTGTAAACCCATGCTAGGCAAACAGCAACTAAGGGAAGGGGTTGTCACAAGGTCGCAGGAACAAAGTCTGGCTGATACCCACTGCCAGGGATGCAAACGTAATAGCTAGGTGACGGTTAGCGCACGAGTCTCAGAGATACGCGTAGTGACAAACCTGATTTTCCTCCAGAGATCAGAAGCCTCTATGGAGACAAGGAGAGACAAGGTTAGAAGGGTAGTAACGTGGAACAGTGGGTCTGACCTGCAGCGTGGTGCATGAGAGCCTTATCGTCTGCATTGTACTTGGTGAGAGCAGGATGTTCTGCAGCGGCGGTGAAGGTACGCGAACGAGGAGCGACGCGAAGGGCGCGAAACGAGTTGCGGGCAAGAGAAGCCATGAAGTATTGTGAATTCGGGAAACAAGGGTTATCTCGGGTGGGTGACTATGTTTATCTATGTTTAGAATACAAGGCGTTGCGACTTGAAGGACGCGTCACCTCAGCCACAGACGAGTTTGCAACTTTCTTTCTCATTAACGGCCATGGTTCGCCATCAGTCTTCAGCAGCTGGCGTATTGGCTCTTCTTCAGGAGCCGGATTCTATATTCAAGCAACATGCTCTCAAAGCTCTGATCCCTCTGGTTCCTCAGTTCTGGGCCGAGATTTCTGAACATATCGCTGTCATGTTCGTTTCCACTCCATTTGTTTTCCCAGCTAACCCCTCAAATCAGTGAAGCACTATATGAAACTGACGAATTTCCTAAACCTGCTCGCGATGCGGCCGCTTTGCTTGCGAGCAAGGTCTATTACTTCTTGGGCGAGTATGATGAGGCACTCTCCTTTGCCCTTGGTGCGGGAAGCGCGTTCCAGGCCGAGACTCGCAAATTAGGATCGGAGGAATATGTGGAGACTATTATATGTGTGTCATTCTTCCCGATAAAGCGCGTGACGATATTTTGACCTGATAATTTCATGCTCCAGCGAAAGCTATCGACAAATACATCGAAGTCCGGACGGAAGAACAATCTGGCAGTAAGGCGAAGGTTGACTCTCGCCTGCAAGCTATCATTGAGAGCATTTTTAACCGCTGTATTGCGGAGGGCGAATACAAGCAGGTGCGGAATGGTGCGAGTACTTCAATTACGTGCAAATCCCCTGACCGCTCTTTTGCAGGCGATTGGAATTGCACTTGAATCTCGCCGCTTAGACGTCATCTCAGGTGTCTATAAACAGACTCAGGACACATCGCTACTTTCGTACGCCATGGAAGGCGTTCTGAACACAGGTTTCTCGTTATCTTACAGAGATCATGTTCTTCGATTTCTATTCCCTCTCTTTCCTCAACCGACGGCCGGGGATGGCTCACCGCATGTCCATGCACTCACCCGCTTACTTGTCACGCTTGGCGACCCATCACTGACGATTTCTTTCCTGACCTCCCTGGTCACGAGGGAGCAGCTTCTGGCCTATCAGTTTGCCTTCGATTTGGTGGAATGTGGCAGCCAAGATTTTTTGGAGACGTTGCGCGAAGACCTTCCTGAAGGAGATGAAGTGAGACATGTTATCGATCCGTACCGTCTTTGGCTGACCAGCTCGTCATCATAGAAAACCAAGAGTGTCTACGATAAGCTCCGTACTATCTTGACCGGCAAGGAATCAGTCAAGCTCTACCTTGAATTTCTCAAACGTAACAACCAGACCGACCTTCTTATTCTCAAAAACACAAAGGTGACAATGATTCCTTGAACAGTAACATTGCGTAGTGACTTTTGCACCTTCAGGACGCCCTTGAGCCGCGGTCCTCTATCTTCCACACCGCATTAACTCTTCAGAATGCTTTCATGCATGCAGGAACAACATCAGATGTCTTTTTGAGGGAAAATTTGGAGTGGCTAGGGCTAGCATCCAATTGGTCTAAATTTTCTGCCACCGCAGGTCTTGGCGTCATTCATAAGGGCTACTTTGAACAAGGACAAACTATACTTGGTCCATATCTTCCTCAAAGTGGCGGCGAAAGCAACATACAAGGAGCTGCATACTCGGAAGGTGGTGCACTCTATGCATTGGGTTTGATCAATGCTAGCTGTGGGAGTTCCGTGACCACGTATCTCCGTGACACTCTCAAATCGGCCCAGGGTGAAGTTGTGCAGCATGGAGCAGCACTCGGGCTGGGCGTTGCTGGTATGGGATCGAAGAGTATGGAAACCTTTGAAGACTTGAAGAACATCCTGTTCATGGACTCGGCCGTTGCTGGTGAAGCTTCAGGTTATGCAATGGGTTTGATCATGCTCGGAACGGCCGCGGCTGAACCCGTGCGTGAAATGCTTCAGTATGCCAAGGAAACGCAGCACGAAAAGATTATTCGGGGACTTGGTTTGGGCATCGCCTTCATTTTCTACAGCCGTCAGGAAGAGGCAGACGAAACTATAAAATCGTTGCTCGCTGAAAAGGTATGTCTGCGACCTTCCCTTTCAGATCAGTATTGTTGACTCAATTTAGGACCCCATTTTACGGTATGGAGGAGTGTATACCCTGGCTCTGGCCTACGCTGGTACTGCTAATAACGATGCGGTTCGACAACTGCTACATATCGCTGTATCGGACACATCGGATGACGTTCGACGAGCTGCTGTAACTTCGCTTGCCTTCCTTCTGTTCAAAAACCCAAGCCAAGTACCTCGGGTCGTTCAGCTACTAAGCGAGAGCTACAACCCTCACGTCCGTTGTGGTGCTACGCTTGCACTCGGCATTGCATGTGCGGGAACGGGACTTCAGGTACGCTTTCAGGATATTCCAAACTTTGCTTCGATAATCTTCTTTCTTAGGACGCAGTTGAAATCTTGGAACCCATGACCAAGGACAGTGTCGACTTCGTGCGTCAGGGCGCTTTTATCGCTTTGGGCATGATTCTAGTGGAGCAATCAGAAGCCTCGTCACCCTCGCTTTCTGACACGCGTGCCAAGTATACCAAAGTTATTTCAGATAAGCACGAAGATCCGATGGCGCGCTTCGGCGCCGCCATTGGACAGGGTTTCATTGACGCGGGAGGGCGGAATGTCACAATCAGCCTTCAAAGTCGAGCAGGCAGCACAAATACCAGCGCGATTGTCGGCATGGTTATGTTTTGTCAGTTTTGGTATTGGTATCCACTCGCCCACTGCGCTTGTCTAGCATTTTCACCAACAGGAATCATTGGCCTCAATGGTGATCTTAAGGTTCGCCCCTTACGACCTTTCCAATTCTCTCTTTTGATTCTCCCGGCTATAGGCTCCCAAGTTTGATTATATATCCAACGCCAGACCGAGTCTATTTGCTTATCCGCTATCTACAAAGCCTCCCAAGAAGGAAGCTGTGACCAAGGTGGCAACCGCCGTTCTATCAACAACAGCAAAGGTCAAGGCCAGAGAAAAGAAGAAAGCAGCAGCTGAAGGCGACACAATGGAGATGGTGAGTTTTCTGTCCGGTATTAGAAAGTGTGAGAAGCGCTTTGGGCTGAAATTATCTTAGGATGAGAAAGACACAAAGGTTGAAGCTGATAGCGATGTAGAGATGAAGGCGGAAGAGGCTGCCTCGCCAAAAGATGGAGATGTTTCCCCCATTAATCGATCACTTTCGAACCTAGCCGACGAAACCAGGGCGTCAACATCAATAGCGAGGCCTAAAAGGGTTGAACCATCATTTGAGACGCGCCCTAACTTCTCTCGTGTCACTCCCGCACAGTTGGGTTATATTTCCTTCCCAAATGATGGTCGTTATCAGCCCGTGCGAGCCGTTTCAACGAAGACGCCGCTATCTAGAGCTGGAAGAGCTGTCATGGCGCCATCTACTTTTGCTCTTGGTTTGGGATCAGAAAAATATGCAGGAGGCGGTGGCATTTTGATCCTCGTTGACTCAAGACCAGAAGCCGAAGCCGATTTTATTGATCTTCAGGCCGCTGTAATACAAGCCCCTGCCCCAACAGCTGTCCCTGCAGAAAATGGTCATGCGCCAGGTGCTCAGCCTTCCGGCCGTCACATCGCATTGAACGAAAGTGAACCAGAAGCAGACCCTCCAGAATCATTCGAGGTTCGTTTAGGATCTACCTTTATTTTTCCCTTTCTAACCTCATCCTGCAGTACCCCTTCGACAATGACACATAGGCAATGCTTGAGACAGCACTGGGCTTTCTATGCTTAATGGTTTTAGAGTCCCTCTTAATTATCTGTTTTCTACAATTCATTCTTTTCCTCCTTCGCTTCGTCAGAATCTACAATCATCGGTCTTAACTTCTCAGGGTCTGATACCTTTTCTCATCGTCGAGGAAAGTTAATTCTGGTCCTCTTCTCCACGTCGCGATTCTCGATGAACATAAATGAGTCGCTGACTAGTCTGTTGCTGTAGATGTTTTACCATTGGTGACAAGGGCACCGTTGTGCTCTTTTTAGACGGTCTGAGGGAAACGATACCTTCAGTATAAATCTAGCTTTTTTGAAGGCTCTGGCTCACGGGGAAACCTACTATTATATTTCCGAATCAGATTTCAATTGATTTCTCCCTGCCACTTTGCTCTACGATCTATTATCTAATCAGACCACACGTGATATGTCACGCGATTGTCACAGGAAAGGGCTTGAAAGACAAGAGCCTGTTCTTCCTTTCCTTCTTCCATCAGCTATTCACGACTAGTGCCACTCGATAGAATCTTGCTCAACGATGGACTCAGCTGCAGAATCTCGCACCATGAAGGCGCGTAGGGAGGGTAAGCGCCATCTACTGTGCTATCAAGATTGTCGCTTAAGCGCGACCCATTCCACAGCCTACAAAAGCAAGGGTGCCCTGAAGCAAGATGACCTCAGGCGTCGTCGCGAGGAGCAACAGGTCGAAATTAGGCGCCAGAAGAGAGAGGAAAACATTTCCAAGAGGCGAAACTTCCTCCCATCCGCGGGACCAGACTCAGATGAGGAGGTCGGTGGTGGCACTTGGGATCCTCCTGTATCTGGCATCACCTCTACGTTCTCTTTCGTTTGCTGATATCTTTTGTTTCAGTTGGCTGAAGAGATGGTTTCGGGCGTGTTCTCTGAAGATCCTGAGCGCCAATTGGACGCGACTACCAAATTTCGCAAGCTGCTTTCAAAAGAGAAAAATCCTCCGATCGAGCGCGTCATCGAGTGTGGTGTCGTACCCCGCTTCGTCGAATTCCTTCAACATGGCCATTCCATGCTTCAAGTTAGTACCGATCACCCCTTTTTGCATCATCGATTGTGTTGACACACGCTTCACGCATTAGTTCGAAGCCGCTTGGGCACTCACTAACATCGCTTCTGGAACGGCTGAACATACGCAAGTCGTCATCAGCGCGCAAGCTGTTCCGGAATTTATCAATTTGCTCTCTTCTCCTACTCTCGATGTTCGCGAGCAAGCCGTTTGGGCCCTGGGAAACATTGCCGGAGATAGTCCCCAGTGCAGAGACTACGTTCTCCAACAAGGGGCTCTAAGGCCTTTGTTGACCCTTTTAAGCGAACATCACAAGCTTAGCATGTTGCGGAACGCTACTTGGACCTTAAGTAACTTCTGTAGGGGAAAGTCTCCTCAACCTGATTGGGAATTGGTAAATCAAATGCTTGTCCTTTGATGCTTCTAACGAATTTTATGCTCGCCAGATTTCCCCTGCGTTGACCGTTTTGACGAAGTTAATCTACTCCCTCGACGACGAGATCTTGATTGACGCCTGTTGGGCAATTTCCTATTTATCTGATGGTTCAAACGATAAAATACAGGCGGTTATCGAGTCTGGCGTTTGCAGGCGCTTGGTCGATCTACTCATGCACCAGTCAACATCTGTTCAAACGCCAGCCCTGCGCTCTGTTGGAAACATCGTCACTGGTGATGATCTTCAAACTCAGGTCGTCATCGCGTCTGGTGCCCTCCCTGCCCTCCTTTCTCTACTCTCCTCCCCGAAGGATGGTATTCGAAAGGAGGCTTGCTGGACAATTTCCAACATCACCGCTGGCTCTCCTCCTCAGATTCAATCCGTCATAGACGCCAACATTATCCCCCCTCTCATCAACATCCTTCAGAATGCAGATTTCAAGACAAGGAAGGAGGCTTGCTGGGCCATCTCAAACGCTACTTCAGGCGGTCTTCAAGAGCCCTCCCAGATTCGTTATCTGGTTTCTCAAGGATGTATCAAACCACTCTGTGATCTGTTGACAATGATGGACAACAAGATCATTCAAGTAGCGCTAGATGGTCTTGACAACATCTTGAAGATTGGAGAGGCTGATAAGGTTGCTGCTGGGCCTGGAGCCGCCAATCAGTATGCGTTGTTCGTGGAAGAAGCTGGTGGTATGATTACTATCCACAACCTTCAATCGCACGACAACCTGGAAATATACAAGAAGGCTTTCAACATCATGGACAAGTACTTCCCTGATGAAGACGATGTCGATGCGGCTATCACCGCCCCTAGTGTGGATGCTTCTGGCGCGTTTGCTGTAAGTGTTGTCTGTTGAGATCAACATCAAGTTGAGGCTGACGGTTACACAGTTCCATTCGGATATGAACGCTCCTCAAGGAGGGTTCAGTTTTGGGCAGTAGTCATGCTAAATTTACAAAGTCCGCACGACATTCCTCTTCACAACTTTCCTGTCTCGAAGTATATTTTCATGCCATCTCGCATCCTTCACGCTCTCGTTTCTATATACTTTTCTGCCACCCCCACTTTGCAATCCGAACCACTTGATTTACACACACTTCTACAATTTTGCCAGAATAATAACTCATCTGTAGCTCAGTATTCTTCAATTTAAAACTTTCCACCCTAAGATTTGCTGTGAGGTATTTTCAAGGATTATTTATAGAGAGAATGCATTGCAGAAAATTTCATCGTTGTAGCAAGTACTGGGGATCTCACTGGTGGACGAATCATGTTCCCTGGGGCGCTTAGTTTCTTTGGGAAACACCCCGAATCTTGTCATTATTGCAAGAAATGTAACGCTACAAGTAAGACCAGTTTAGCCTTCCTCGTCAGGTCCTACGCTACCAGGTATGAGCTGAATAGGACGGAAATCAGCGACACCCGAGGCGAAAGGTAAAATGGCTCACCATGCATATGTTATTTCCGTTGAGAAGCGTCTGCGCTAGTTGCGTTGTCTTCTTCCCCTGAGGGGTTGTTTCGCTGGGATTGATATAAGTGCGCAAACACATTTCACGATCGCGGCACGAACTATTCTGTGACGTCTTCGAGAACCATATCTGGATTAAGAGATGAATATGTGGTTCCCCATGTTCCTGGTCAAAAGATACTGACTGACGAAGTCATCGAAACCCAAGAGTTTGCCAGTGAATTCGCGATCGCTCTTCATGATGACCCATATACGTGAGCCAATACATCTATCAATTAGTTCTGTAGCACCATTAGTTTCCGTTTGTTAAGGATTCAAGCCGTACCTAAGGGCAAAATTTGAGAGGCCATGGCAATATTGTGAGTGGTCTTGGATTGGTTTGGCACGTGGTCTAGAAATTTAGCACACCTGCTTATACTCTTTGACTTGTTCCAAACTTGTTCACCATGGCGATCCGACTACGCATGTCGGTGCACGGATGTACCAACCACCGTATATTTCATCTCGTCGCCATAGATAGACGACATCGGCGCGACGGAAAACCGACAGAATTGTTAGGTATCTACGACCCACACTTGGCAAAGGGAGAGGACACCAAAGTTGTAAAATGGAGCGTTGACAGAATACGCTACTGGCTAGACGTCGGAGCTACTCCTAGCAAGTCGGTCGTCAAACTCCTGGAGTTGGTGCGTTTTACTCAATAATTTGTTTGCTTTTGTTCTCACTTTTTATCATAGGGGGGGATTCTGAAGCCTGGTTCCCCATACCATCCCAAAGCAATAGGGCCCCGTGCTTCAATCTCAGCGCCCCAAACAGTCACTCAAGCTGTGAAGCAGGCGAAATCCACCCACTCACAATCGAAGTCCATTCCTTCATAAGTCCGGGCGAATCCTACTCTATGCAAGTCGTGCGAGCGGATTGTGAGCATATAAATCTCACCCAGAATTCGATCTATTGCAGACTCAAACTTATGCGGCATATAGGATGATGTTTAATTAGACGACGCTAGGATTGCTTCAATTTCATTGTGACCAGCCACATTGGCAAGCTCTCGCGGCGAAAGCCCATCAGGATCCTAAATTCAAGAGTAGTTGGTATGAAGTATGGCTCTTTTCAGCGCTATGGATTACCTTTATGGTTGCATCAGCACCTTTGTCTAGCAAGAGTCTGACAATCTCTCGACTCCCTCTATCGCAGGCGAGATGGAGGGGCGAATATCCCTGCTCCTTGATAGTCAGTCCAGTGTTGAGCGTGGTTCTGCTGCGAACTCACAAATTCATCGAGCTCGTTCAAGTCTGTCTCTGGATGTTGTGCCAGAAGCGCAGTGAGTCCAGCAAAGTCATTTGAGACGGCAAGACCATGAATAGTTCTGTCATCCACTTTTGGTGGGACGGGCATTGTGCTAACTGATAAACCCATCCCACCACTACCACCACTACGGCTTCCAGACGCACCCTCGTCAACGTCGTCGTCCCATATGTCTTCAGCAGCAGTATCTACAACTGGTCGTGCTTCAGGCGCGCCCTCGGTCCAGCCCAAAGTTCGCGCGATCTCAATGTATCTGCTTTCCGCATCCTTTCCTTTCTCATACTTTTCTCCCGCTGCACTCCATGCGTCCCACTTGGCGCGGCCTGTCAGGTCAAATATGGAGGGACGAGATGTTGTTGGTGATTTTGAGGAGGTCAAGTACTTGAACAATCCATACAACTGTTGAGATCGAGTGAGGAACGTGCAGCAAAGACTGTGAATAGTTTGTGGACCTCGAGCTTTACCGTTGAAGAGGTTTTAGACAATGATGGTGCGGAAGAGAGATAAGCTGCAGCGTTGTTGAAGCTGGGAGAAGACATTTGCCCAAACAACTGTCAACAGCGTTCTCTTCCTTGAACCATGCACTTGTACAATTTGACACTTCAGCCTCCTACCGCAATAACACAGGCAATTGTTGGCAATTTCTCGGGCGCCCGGCAGCAGGAAATCATTGTTTCTCATGGAACGCGTCTCGAACTCCTACGTCCCGACGTACAGACTGGAAAAATATCGACTGTCATTGCAACCGACGTCTTTGGGTCCATTCGTTCCCTCGCTGCGTTTCGTTTGACTGGCGGGACCAAGGGTGAGCCCTTGTACGTATCTCCTCAATTTATGTCTATTTACGGAGCTTTCTCTCAGATTACGCCATAGTAGGCTCTGATTCGGGACGTATCATTATCCTGGATTATGACCCCAAAACCAGCAGCTTCGTCAAACTTCACCAGGAAACATACGGGAAATCGGGTGCTCGTCGTATTGTTCCTGGCCAATATCTTGCCACAGATCCAAAGGGACGCAGTGTCATGATATCTGCTATGGAAAAGGCAAAGCTGGTTTACATCCTCAACCGCGACGCCGCGGCCAACTTAACAATCTCATCACCACTTGAGGCGCATAAAAACTCCGCCATCATTCACCACATCGTCGGTTTAGATGTTGGATTCGAAAATCCAATGTTCGCAGCGTTAGAGGTTGATTATGCAGAATCGGATCAAGACCCAACAGGTGATGCATTTAAGAATGCCGAAAAGGTGCTTCTTTGTCTTTCTCTCTCTGTTTTCAATGTTTCTCATGTCGCGTAGATGTTGACCTACTATGAACTGGATCTTGGTCTTAACCACGTTGTACGCAAATGGAGCGAACCAACCGACCCTCGCGCTAACCTGCTCGTGCAAGTTCCTGGCGGTCAACTCGCTTCATCCGAGCGCTTCGATGGCCCCTCTGGTGTTCTTGTTTGCTGTGAAAATCATATTATTTATCGACATGCTGATGTTCCTCAACATCGTGTTCCCATACCTCGCCGAAGACATCCTCTAGAGGACCTTAACCGTGGGCTAATCATTACGGCTGCCGTCATGCACAAAATGAAGGTCCGTTCTCTCCCTAGAATTGTAAAATTCCTTTAAAATATGGCCGTTCTTTAGGGAGCCTTTTTTTTTCTGCTACAAAGCGAAGATGGTGACCTGTACAAGGTCACCATTGAGCATGAAGACGAAGAAGTGAAATCACTCAAAATCAAATATTTTGATACTGTACCTGTCGCCTCTAATCTTTGTATTCTCAAATCTGGTTTCCTTTTTGTCGCGAGCGAATTTGGAAATCAGTCAGTCCATCCATATCTTTGCACAAAAACAATATTGATAGCGAGAACAACAGTTACCTTTACCAATTTCAGAAACTTGGTGACGACGATGACGAGCCAGAATTTAGTTCAACATCATATCCATCCTTTGGCATGGCTGACCCATCGGTTCCGCTACCGCACGCATTTTTTCGACTACACCCTTTGGACAACCTTGTGGTTGCTGATGAATTGGAATCCTTGGATCCGATTTTAGACTCCAAGGTCATGAACCTTCTCCCAAACTCAGACACTCCCCAGATCTTCGCAGCTTGCGGACGCGGCGCACGCAGTACTTTCAGGACACTACGTCATGGCCTTGAAGTCGAGGAATCGGTTAGTTCTGATCTTCCAGGCATTCCGAATGCTGTTTGGACGACGAAACGGACTGAAGATGGTGAGTTTTTCCACTGGCTGATTAACGGCCTGATAGCTAAAGCTCCCAGACCCCTTCGATTCTTATATCATCTTATCATTCGTCAACGGCACCCTGGTGCTCTCTATCGGAGAAACGATTGAAGAAGTGCAGGATACGGGATTTTTGTCATCCGCCCCGACACTTGCAGTTCAGCAAATCGGTGCAGACGCGCTCTTGCAGGTTCACCCCCACGGTATTCGTCACGTCCTCGCCGATCGCCGTGTAAATGAATGGAGGGTGCCACAGGGAAAAACAATTGTTAGTGCAACAACGAACAAAAGGCAAGTTGTGGTTGCTTTGAGCTCTGCGGAGCTGGTTTATTTTGAGTTGGATCTGGATGGTCAGCTAAATGAATATCAAGATCGAAAGGCGATGGGCAGTACAGTTCTTGCGCTGAGCATCGGTGACGTTCCTGAAGGCAGACAGAGAACTCCCTATCTCGTTCGTGTTGATCCTCGACTTCCTTTATCGTTTCTCATCGAGTCCCTTTTCTCAGGCGGTAGGCTGCGAGGATCAGACTGTTCGAATCATCTCGCTGGACCCAGAAACTACTCTGGAGACCATCAGTTTACAAGCTTTGACTGCTCCTCCTTCCGCTATATGCATCGCAGATATGCTAGATGCGAGCATCAACAAATCGCAGCCCACGATGTTTGTCAACATTGGTCTCCAGAATGGCGTTCTACTACGTACGGTTCTTGATCCTATCAATGGCCAGTTGACGGATACACGGACTCGGTAAGTCCAGTTATTCTGTCCTTATATTTTTTACGACCCTTCCTCATCTATTACTATTCTGTTTAGCTTCTTGGGGACCAGGCCTATCAAATTAGTCCGAGTGCAGATTCAGCGCAATCCTGGGATACTTGCTTTGTCCTCGAGGTCCTGGCTAAACTACACACATCAAAATCTTATGCACTTCACGCCTCTAATTTATGATAACCTCGACTATGCGTGGAGCTTCTCCGCAGAGCTAAGCCCGGAAGGTCTGATCGGTATCGCAGGCAGTGTTCTTCGGTTCGTTTCACTTACCTCTATAGCCCTATTGTACTTATGACAGCTTGAAGGATATTCCAGGTCCCTAAATTGGGAACGAAGTTGAAACAAGATTCGATCCCCCTCTCATACACACCCCGCAAATTCATCACACATCCAGGAAATAATTATTTTTATCTCATCGAGGGTGATCACAGGACGTTGGGAGAGGAAGCTGCGAGCACAAAACTTGATGAATTTGTGCGCTTTCTCTTTTTTTTTTTCTGTTAAGGCTTAGCTGATCAGGTAACCAGCGTCGGCAAGGTAAAAGTTTCGATGATGGGGAAATTAACATCCCCCCAGAAGTATTCGGCCGACCAAAAGCCCCCGCCGGAACTTGGGCTTCCTGCATCCGTATCATAGATCCTGTTGAAGCGAAGACGGTTGCTGTGATTCCAATGGATAGCAACGAAGCTGCCTTCTCCCTCGCAATCGTACCATTCTCTGCTCGAAACGGAGAACTTCACCTCGTCGTTGGCACTGCTGCAGATACCATTGTTTCTCCCCGCTCATGTACAAGCGGCTATCTGCGAACGTACAAGTTCACGAACGAGGGTGCAGGTCTTGAGTTCCAACACAAGGTGTGCTTCCAACAGCTCGCGACGTAATCCAGTCTTAATGTTCAATGTTCGATAGACCGAGGTTGACGATGTCCCACTGGCCTTGTTAGCATTCCAGGGGCGACTTGTTGCCGGTGTTGGCAAGGCACTAAGAATTTATGATATTGGCAAGAAAAAACTGCTTCGAAAAGTTGAGAACAAGGTTCGTGACTCTCGTGGATAATATTAGGCATTACCGACGACGGCTTTCCCAGACGTTTTCTTCCGCGATTGTTACCCTGTCTACCCAAGGTTCAAGAATTATAGTTGGCGATATGCAAGAATCGATACAATTTGCCGTGTACAAACCTCCTGAAAACCGGTTGCTAGTATTCGCAGATGACAGTCAACCCCGATGGATAACAGCATCATCAATGGTGGATTACAATACAATCGTTGCGGGTGACCGATTCGGAAATATCTTTGTCAATCGACTCGATCCAAAAGTTTCTGAACAAGTCGACGATGATCCCACTGGTGCTGGCATCCTCCACGAAAAGGGCATTTTAATGGGTGCACCACACAAGACAAAAATGCTTGCCCACTTTCACCTTGGAGACCTGGTCACATCGATTCACAAAGTGTCGCTTGTCGCAGGAGGTCGGGAGGTCTTGATGTACACTGGGCTTCATGGAACGATCGGCATTCTCGTGCCATTTGTTTCTAAAGAAGACGTGGATTTTATCTCAACGCTCGAGCAACATATGCGCACTGAACAAAGCAGCTTAGTTGGCAGAGATCAGCTCAGCTGGAGGGGATACTATGCCCCTGTGAAGGCAGTTGTTGATGGTGATTTGTGTGAGACTTATGCAAGGCTCCCAGCAGCTAAGCAGAGCTCCATTGCTGGCGAACTCGATAGGACCGTCGGTGAGGTGCTCAAAAAGCTTGAACAACTGAGGGTGACAACAAGTGGATTCTAGTTAGCATTGATGTAGTTAGTAACCCCATTTGCTTTCCATCTTTTCAGTCCATATCATGTGTGTTCGTGTCCGTTCGGCTTCTGCAACTACCATTTGCCCTGCAAAGTCTTCAAATTCTTGAAACATATTAAATATCTATGGATGCATCATATTCCGACATGTCCACGAACAAGATCAAGGAAATGGCCTCTATTCTAATGTCCTTGTTTCCGCAGCTGGGAGTTGTTTTTGCTATTCTGTGACTCATGTTTCGCGAACGTTTCTGGAATCTGGGCAAATAAATCACTGGAAACCGCCGAAAGAAGATCGCCCCTTATACCAAGCCCGCAGCTTTCATGGCCTGAAGAGAGAAAACTGATTAAGACGTATCTAACGCTGGACATTACGGTTTTGAACTTACCTTCAATATTTCGACACCAATCTTAGCTGGGCTATCTGTTACGATCACACCGGCTTTCTCTAGTGCTTTCACCTTATCAGAGGCAGCACCTTCAACACAAGAGTGAGCTTTGCGGTATCATGAAAATGTTACACATTACCCTTTCCTCCCGAAATAATGGCACCGGCGTGTCCCATACGGCGGCCGGGAGGCGCAGTCCGACCAGCAATAAACCCGACCACTGGTTTGGGATGGCTCCTAGTTTTGTTATGCCTCTCGAGGTACTCTGCCGCTTCCTCCTCCATTGAGCCTCCGATTTCTCCAATAATAACGATACCTGTGCAACAAGCTGAATAACCGATGAACAGTGGCGACGCATTGAAATAATTCACCTTTTGTGTTGGGGTCCTCAAGGAAGACCTTGATTACGTCGACGTGTTGGGTACCAGGGAACGGGTCTCCACCGATGCCGACGCATAGCGATTGACCCAGCCCGACGTCGGTCGTTTGAGCAACAGCTTCGTAGGTTAATGTTCCTGATCGAGAAACAATTCCTGAAATGCTGCGAGTTAACAAATGTCAATTCGGTGGCGACCACGTACTGACCAATGTTTCCAGGCGTGTGTATGTGTCCTGGCTGAATGCCCATTTTGCATCCAAGAGGGTTGATAACTGCGAATATCATCAGCACGAATATGGAAAAGGCATACGATAATCACCTCCAGGGCAATTAGGACCAACAAGCCGAGAACGAGACTGGCTTTTCAAAGCGTTCATGACCTATCACACATGCTATTAGAAGTCTCCGGTGCAATATGTAAAAACACCGACTCGAATCTCGTCTGCTTGGGGAATACCCTCTGTCACGCAGACAATGAGCCCAATCTCATTCTCGATTGCCTCTATAATTGCGTCGGCAGCAGTAGGGGGTGGAACATACAGAATAGTCGCATCAGGTTTCGTCTCTCTAACCGCCTATACGTAAAAATAATAATAAGCAAATTAGGTATGAGACTGGTTGTGAAGTGTTCTAACCTCGCGAACGCTACCAAAAACGGGTAGCCCGAGATGAGTTTGGCCAGCCTTCTTGGGTGACACGCCGCCAACCATGTTCGTACCGTACGCCAGAGCTTCCGTGATATGAAAAGTGGCCTGAGCAATTCTGCGTGTCAAGAGCTGTTTACAAGGCAACAAATAGGACTGACGGTCTTTCCTGTCAAGCCCTGGCATAGAACCTTGGTGTCTTTGTGTATCATAAGGTTCTGTATGGTATCGGCGTAGCTCTTCCGCGACGTGGACTGAGAGAACGCCCTGCGTCCGTCTTTTGGCAGTCAGGAAAAGGTCATGGGCAATGATGATGGAGCTTACTGGTGGACCAGGAGCGTCCAACCTGGCGAAACATAGTTGAAATTAGTTGAAGGAAACCGGTTACCGCCGTGACAACCAAATTGTAATATTCTTTACATATGTTTACTTCTAAAGCTATTGCAATTACAATCCTGTTCTTCGTCTTTCGCGTATTTTTCGTGATGCTCTGGTCAATGAGAGAATCGCATATTTCACTTTGTCAAACTGTCTTGCATTTACAGAACTGATCGTGTATGAGAAAAAGCACCGCATGTCAAATCATTCAACTCACCTCGTTACATCTTGGAGAAACTGTGCTTTCGCTTGGGCAGGAGCATCCGAGGTTGGAAGCTGCTCCAATGCACGGGGTAGCCACGTGAGGAGTTGGCTTGGCCATGTATGTGCGAGCACCCGGAAGATAGACACCACCTTCGCTGTCGAGTCTGCTGGAAACTCTCCCACAATTCCTGCGACAACCAAACTCAACAATGTAAACCCTTCCTTTTCCATGGCCGCCCTAATGGATGCGGCATATATTGGAAATTTCGGTGGGTGCGGCAAAGGAAGGGAAGAATTTAAAGAGTCATGCAGCAAGATACCTTGGAAGAGGTCCAAAGCGGCGAAGATAATGTCGCTGTGGACCACTGTAAGACCAGCCAATGATGCTCTGAATGCGATGGGGAATGCCGGGGATGGGTAGAATATGTCAGGCGCGAGTGACCCTAGCTGCAAGAGCATTTGAATATAATCCTCCAAGACTAAGAGGTATATATTAGCATAGAAGATCCAAGACTGAACAAAACGAACAATATACCATCTGGGATGTCTCCAGGATTCTTCACCTGCAGAAGAGAGGCAACCTTGTTTGTGGATTGCTCAAAAAGCACACGGAAAGCGGCCCTCAGTCTCGAATCCTCTTCGTCTCCAAATAGACCAATGACCTTGCCTGCAATCCACAAGAAACTGGGGAAACCGGTAGTTTCAAAGGCCGCCGACATTCTTGAGATTACTGAGGATGCAACCGTAAGCACAGAACCATTGAACAGATCGATGCCGCGGCGAAGGACTCGGGTGGTGCGTTCGGCGAGATCTGCATTCGCAGCATACTTCGCCAAAAACGAATCAAATACGACCCAGGCTTCTTCACAGCTGTTCCGACAAGCAGAGGGAAGCTCTTCGCCAAAACTATGAACAATCTGCAGCATGACTTCAAGATTTTCGAGCCCATCTATTGCAGCGATGAGATCAAAGTCAATGAGAATGGATCATTACATACCGCCAACCTCTTCCATCTCAGCTTTGGTGGGAGTTCCTTGGTGGTTGGTGAGCTTATGAACCTTGGCGAGAATATCCAGGGAGAAGGTGCGTAATGACCCTGCTGCTGCGTCCATTGGCATGGCAGAAATAACGAACGCGATGGCCTCATACACCTGCCGTCTATCATCCTGCACAAGTTTGGTGCCAGTTGTACTCAGGAAGGTGTGAAGGGTAGGGAGGAAGTCCAGGAGATGCTAAATAATAATTAAAATCAAAGGAAAATACTTGCATATCAGAAAATGGCATACCTGCTTGCAATCTTGACATAGATATTTTAGTGCCTGTCCAGCAGCTGCACAAACTTCAGAATCAGAGTCTTCGAAGCCAGCCGAGATGTACTGAAGCTGGAAAGTAATGTACTGGGGATGGGCGTTGATCCACTCTGTATAACGCGAGATGATGAGGAGGGCTGCGTAACGAACTCGAGGGTGATTTGGAAGAGATGGTATAAGATCCATAATTTTAGGAACGGCATTGTTGTCGTTCGGATCAACTTCAGCGCCCATGGAGCGCATAGCGAACAAAGGTGCTTCAATTTCTTGCCAAGAAATGTGTTCAGGACTGTGTGCAAGGGCAGTTGTAATCATTTGGTATGTCGCAAGCAGGCAAAATTCCGTTCTTAAGACAAAGCAACAGTCTTTCAGCGTGTCGCCCATGACGTGCCTGAAAGAGCGGAAAGAGTCTAGCTCTTGTCCGGTAAGACTCGACGGATCTGTTGGGAAGTGTAGATGACGAATGATCACGCCCATGAGAGTCTGATACGCCTTCAAGAACAACGGCGACAATGAAGATTTCTTCCCAATCGTTTGACTAAGTCGCATCCAAAATGGGAAGGTAATGGGCACGATATCGAGGTCAGGATAGGCCGAACACTCTCCAATCGCCTCGACGATAGGGAAGAAGGTTTCAGTGTGTTGCAAAAGAAGGATACGATATGTTTCACCCGCTTCCGCAAAAATGCGGGCATAGCCTCTTATCTTGTCAGGGTCGTCTCTCTGCTCGGTCAACCGGGGTTTGAGAGCTATGACCCTGGGCACAATCAACTCGATGACATGCATGTTATCGTCAATCTCTTGAGTTTCGTGAATCAACTCGCAAATGACGTCAACAGCAGCGTCGAACAGCTCCTCCGATGCCAGGGCATCGAAGGCGTACGTGAAGAGAGGAGTCTCCGATAATTCGAAAGCGTTTACCTCGCCGGCGACCAGCCAGCTGCGCAAACACCCAAAGACTTGAGATTGAACAGTGGAGGTTACACCTGCATATAGTGTTTTAGTTTAAGACATATTAACAAGACAGGAGGAAGCCTACCCTGTGCCTGGATGTACATCGATAGCAGCTCTAGAATCTGTTTCGAATTTGCAGTCAGCAATTGGGCGGACCTCTCGCGGTATTCTTCATCCTGGACGCAAACTATCAGAATCGCAGATATAAAAGGCCGAAAGGCTAACCGTAATCGGTATCTTTGTGTTTCCAAACAACTCTTCGGGGAGGAGAGTCAAGAACTGAAGAAGAGTAGGAACGGTAGCTGGATTTCTTCCAAATGAGTCAATCATTGTCTGGACAGCATTGTCCCAAGCGGGCAACTGCAGAGCAAGGCCTGCGATCGCGAGGCACAGTTGGACGTTGATCGTACGGGGACCACCATGATATCTCTCCAGCGCCGTCAATAATGTATCTCGAAGGGCAAGTAAGTTAGTTGGATCCACTTGGTGTAGATCGTATGTTACCTGAGTAATCAATGCCATCAGCGAATGGCGTAAGGAGAAAGAGACATTGAAACGACTGACTTTAGCCCTGAAGGTTTGCGCGGCAAAAAGCTTGGCTGCAAGAGGTGCATCCGGAGAGAGGAGGAGGACATTGCAGGTCGTCCACGCCTCAGGCTAGGACAAGGAGCGATTGGACACAGTCAGAGGTGCTGGGTGGGAGACTGGCCACAGGCGAAAGACAATTTACAGAGTGTTGGAAATCCTGAAGCCAGGAATTTGCGCTATCTAGCGATGCCTTGTCCGGAGTGCGACTGAATATATCAAGTGCGGATAATAAAGCTTGAAGATCAGCCATGGCGTGGTGAAGTAATAAGGACAAGAGGGGCTACAAAGAGTCACCAGGAATTACCGCCACTCAAAACTCATTTGTACTTGTTGTCCTTCAGCGTCAAAGTGCCAAAATCGTGGTATAAATGTAGCGCAGAACATCAAGTACTTAAAGTGCTAGGCAGTAGGGGTTATCCATCGAAAGAGTGTGGGGAATATTCGTGAGAGCCAAGAAGATAAAGAGTGAGTAAAAACAACCTAATTTAATCAACGGACATGATACAGAGAAGAGAGAAGAGGTCGGAGGGGGGGCAATCGTCAATATGAAACATCCAAAGAGAGAGGGTGGCGAGCCTGAAGTCTTCAGATTTTCACGTACGGAGAGTATCTTACGTGCGAAGGAACCCCTTCTTCCTACCAGTCTGCAAAGGAGGTCAGAGGGAGTAAAAATCATTCAGAAATACGACGAACAGAGGCTTTCTCCGGCGTCAAAGGTCGGCCGCTCTCAATCTTCCTCTTCTTATCATCAAGGTCCGCACGTTGTTTCTCAAGGGCGTCCTTCATCTCCTTGTGACGAGCATACAACTCTTCTTCAGACTGCTTGAGCTTGGCTTCTTTTTCCTGCACTTTTTGCTGGAACACCATCTTCATCTCGGCCTCCATCTTAGCAAGTTTGGCTTCATGCAGGACACGCTCTTCCTGCAACCTTGCCGCGGGGCTACAATGATTTATTGGTAAGAAATTTGTTTGAAAAAGACTGTCACCTACTTGATCTCCTTGAAGACGGTCGAATCTTGAGCAACTCCCATGCTGAGCAGCTTCTCCGTCCGCCAGTTCTCGTAGAGAACATCGTTGGTGTACTCCCTAAGTTCCTCCATGTACGTACGAACAAGCATTTGTCGGAGCTTGACGAAATCACAATGTTCTTCGTTATCGACTTCAACCACACCCCAAGGGTATGCGCGGCCGCGGACTTGGCGTCCATCAGGAGTGGTCACAATCTTATCTGAGCCGACGACAGCAAAGGGGATCTTGCTGGCAATCTCCTCGGCCTCTGCAATGGTCTCCTCATCCTCATTATCATAAGTGGGGGCTTGGAAGATATGAATGTTGTGGTGGGCGATATCCGACAAAATCTTACGGGTCCGATGAGAAAGAGGGGATAAAAAGTAGGAAGATAAACTCACTCGCTCCTTGAACTCGGCAATCTCTTCATCCGTCATAGTATCTGCCTTGGCGATGACAGGAATCAGATTGACCTTGGTGTGAAGTCTGCGCATAAACTCAATATCAAGTTGCTTCAAACTGGAATTGACAGCGTCAAAGAAGAGCAAATATAGTTAAAATATGATACTGACGCGTGCCCGGTAGGCTGGATGAAATAAAGGCAGGCATGCACACGGTTATCAACAATTTTGATGCGGTTGACACGATTTTCTTGTTCTAAGTACGAGTCGAAACGAGACTCGATGTTCTCCACAATGGGCTTCCAGCTATTTACTCAACTACGTGAGTGAACGTCGGGGACGAGAACTTAACCTTACCTGTCATCGTTGTTGACAAAGTCACCAAATCCAGGAGTATCAACGACGGTTAAATGAAGTCGAACACCGTTCTCCTCGATATCTGTACGTAAACGAATCAAAAAAAATGCTACGTTTCAGCGAGGTTATATTAGATAGAGATACCTGCGCCAATGCTCTCAATGGCAACGGTTTTGGGCCTCTCTGCCGCGGGTGGTAGGGGCTCCTTGGGCGGGTAGAGGGTGGTGTTGAAAAGGGTGTTAATCAATGTTGATTTTCCAAGACCTGACTCTCCTGAGCGCGTCAAGCTTTGATATTGAGGACTGGATCAAATAGCGAAAAAGCGGACACGCCACGTACCAACAACCATAGCGGTGAATTGAAACCCTTTCCTCACGCTCTTCCTGTGGACCTGGTTGGGAAGATTGGCAAAACCGACGTAGCCCATGAGCTTCTTGCGAATGACGTTGGAAATGGCAGTGGTGTGGCCAGTTGGGACGAGCGACGGGCTCGAACCATTGGCAATGCCATGACTAGAGGCATCGCCATTGCGAGACGAAGCGTATGAGTCGGTCATCTAAGCGAATACGAGAGTGAAGAAGGAAAGGAAAGAACGGTGCAAGTAAAAAAAATACTTTAAGGTTGGGGGGAGTTGAGAAAGAAGTCGGGCGATGTTGGCTTTGTTTGTCCCCAGTGGCAACTACATCCAATTTCGGTTTGGGCAGAAGTAGGGACTAGCGATTGGCAATCAACAACCGACCAGATAATTTACTGCACCGAATCTTACCCAGAAGAATATCTTCCTCTTCATGCTGGTGTGTGTGAGGACCCATTCAATTCCACCGTGTTCCCCTTTTTAACAAACATGCGTTGGGCATGAGTTCAAAATAGAATTATAGCATTAATGATTTAATGAATGTCCAAATAATAACTTAGGTGCAGTTGCTGGTGTCGATATACATCTTGAACAGTTCGTCCACCCGACATGAATGACATCTCCCTGATGTGCAATCGTCGCTACACTCTTCGTCACTGCTGTCGTCGGTTGACCCTGAGTGCGATAGCACAGGTGTCGACAACGGTGTGCTGTCGTTAGACGCGTTGGGAGGTGTCGTAAACCGTACCCTCTTCCTCAGACTCTCAAAGAATGCCTCGTCAATGAGCTCTATTTTGTGCCTCTTCGTCTGCTGGGGACAGTCCGAGTCGAAATTTCCATAGATGGTCCTTCCTTTGAGATCAAACAGAGTTCTTTGTCCTTTTCTGACAAGTTTCCTATCGCCTGCCTGCTTTATCCACTCATCAGGCAAGAAAACGCCCTCCCCTGTTTGCTTCCTGCTTAGAGCCAATAGATCATCATTATTGACCTCTTTGCAGGAACTGCTTGATGTTGTATAACATTTGAATGCTTCGACCTGCGGATATGGGATTGCATGTGACAAACGAGTAGCAGTCGGACTGTCTTGCGAGAAGGTGAGCATTCGTGAGAATGAGGCGGGTCAGAGTGTGGGTGCGCTGCACGACAAAATTCAAGAGCGGAGTATGCCCGTCAAGGGTATACCCCTGGCAGACACCTCCCATGCCTGCTTTATAGTACAGTAGGCCACCCCATCTTTGCTGGGGTGGCTCAAAAACCATCAATGAGTACCTGTTTGCCGTATCTGTGGACAGTGGCCTGCATGAAATACGAACAAAGGGTCTTTTGTCTCTTTGTCCTCTTCCATAAGACTTGAATTGTACGGTCGCCCTTGCATATGTTGCGATATCGGGTCCCGTGGCTGTTTTTGAAGCCAAAGTTGCCACTCACCACATTTGGATGCACCAGGCCACAAGAGCAGCTAAGACGGTTCGTTTTTGATTCAAGCAAAGAAAGATATTCCATTTCGAATCATACTAATTTCGACCTGGTAGCCACTCCGTAGGAAAGTCTTTGATCGTTGGACGGTTAAGAACACGGCCACGTAGGTGATCTCCCTTTTTCGCTTTACGTGCCTTTGCATATACATGTCGCAAGTCAAGTGGGACAGTTTCAAAAGTAGCTTTAGTATTCTAGAACGGCCGTCAGATTCAAGTGACATTATAACACTGATATTCACGTTTGCCTCGGCGACGAGTTTGTCAAGAGTGTCACTCGCCCATTTGAGATTCATTTCAGGTCGTGGCAGGTCTTCGCATGAGATTTTGATATATCCATTACCCCATGGCTCCTCTTTGGCCACCCCTGCATCGGTGGGAGGGTTCGGCGTCCAGCGTGGCCCAGCCAGAAGTTTAAATTTATGAATGGCCTGTGGCGTCCGCAAAGGTAGGTGATCCACGGCAACGACAACAACGCGTTTGATGGATGCAAGATGAGGTTCTCCTTGGTAATCCAGAGACCGAACGATTAAAGGAGTGGCAGAAGTTGGTGGGGTAAATGGTTTGCGATATGCTGGCAAAAAAAAAAAAAAAAAAGGTCAATGGAAAGGTTGGTGGCCAGAAGATACGTGTGACGTACCAACGAGTTTTGGCATCTCATGCTCTATTAGTCGGAGATAATGTAACATTTGGCGCTGCTCGCGGAGCATAAGATGACCAGACGAAGGCGAGTCCGCCACCTCTGACTTCTCCGAGAGTAGGTCGAAGAAGTCATCATCAGTGATATCTTCTTCTATCATAGGTTTTGTACGGCGCGCAAGGACAGGAGAAGAGAAACTGAGGTTCCTCAGAGATGACCCAGACGGGCAGGGACTCCCGGGGCCGACAAGAAGGCGCAAAGTTCGTGTAAATGAAAGCATTTGCTAACCTTCAGAAATTGAACAAGATCAAATAACACGTCTGGCATACACGGCCAAACAGAGCTTATCAGCTCTTACTATTCTCAAGGAATGGTTGTAAGTGCTCGTCTCTCAACACCGCCATCAATTCACCCAATCTCAAAAGCGCCTACAACTTTCTATCAAAGCAGAACTCGAAAATGTTACAGATCTTGAGCCTGCAGGCGACGACTTTGAATACTTCTTTCAAGTCGGCATCTTCTTTTCAAATATTCATTTCAGCTGACTTTAAACCGCCATAGGTGAAATGTAACAGCTGTAACGAAGTTCACCCCAAGTTTGTCTCTCTCAACCGCAAAGTACGCTCAATAATCCGATCATCAACGTAGATTCGATGTCCATTGACAAAACCAGGAAGAATATGAGGTTTCTGGAGGCAAAGGCAGTAAAGCCCACTTTGTGTGGCGTTGTGGGTTGTGTACGCTAAGCTATCCGTGCTTGTTTCAACTTTTAATGGTGTCTATTCCCAGGCAAACGCGAAAGTTCAGCGAAATTCGAAACAGCTTCGCCTGTCAAAGCCTACGACTCAGAAAATGGGCAACTTAAGCAACTGCTTGTTATCGAATGCCGCGGGCTTGAATTTATAGGATTCGATCCCAGAGTCAGGATATTCTTTCCACAATGTAACGGATCTTCCCTGATGTCATTTTAGGGTATTTGGAAATGCAAGGGGATGAAAGGGTCGGTATTCTCAGAGGTCGATTTGACTGAAGGCGAATGGAACGACTACGACGAGAAGGTATCTGGTTTAACTGCTAGTTACTGAAACAACTACTGATCTTCGATAGGCGGCTCTTCCTGTCGGCATTTCTGACATCGGCAGTACGTGGAGCAGAGCTTAAATCAATATTTCTTAATAGCGCATTGTACAATACGGGGCATTTCAGTTTGAAAATTGTTGTCTGTGTCGCCAGGCGAGCTTTCTCGACCATGATAGTCTCCCTCCAGATGCTTAGTCCTTTGGATTCCGCGATTTTTTCATGTCGGACGATGCTCATTCTTGGATTCCTAACACCAGGGACCACACCCAACCTGATGGTTATTAGCCCATTGCTCTCGCATCAGGGATGATCAGGCGTGCTAACATCAAAACATCAGCAGGGCGGAGATTGCAATCTTACCTCGTCTGGTCTGATCTTGCCTGATCTGACGTGACTCCACCGTGACAAAATTTGCAAGACTTGGTGACTTTCTCTTTTGCCTCGGCACCTACCTCATCAACTTCAGATAAATGCGAAAAAAACATATTCTGAAAGCCTAGAACCAAGGCTTTCCAATGGTCAAAGAATTATGAGGATTGGTTTAGTCCTCGAAGCACTATGGTGTTTTGATCGAAATATTTGCAACACTCCACCAATGATAGTACAGCCTCTCAGATTCAACACCGTGCGAGAATTATGGCATTAAATGCTGATTAAATCGCTGTTTACACTTGTTATCGTATGGCGGAGCCCTATGGATATGCGGGGATGTCATGAAAAGCAAGAACCGATGGAAGTTGAAGTTAGATGGAAGAAGAGTGAAAATGAAAATGTACGTGTGGTCATCGAGAGTTAGTAAATTTTATGTAAATCCTGTGAACACCCATTCCGCCGGGAGTATGAGATAAGGATGCTTCCTGAGTTCAGCAGCACTTGGGCGCTCCTCAGGATTTCTAAGAAGAGTTGCATCAGCAATTCTCCCCATAAGAATTCGACGAGATACAGTGCGTACATTGCGAAACATTTTCGTCTAAAGTCATCTGCAAGCTCCGATAAGGTGACATCTTCGGGTACTGGCGGCGGGAGTTTGGATTGGTAGAGCTGCAAAGTATTAGTCACGAGATAGCATGGCAGGCGGAACATACTTTAAACATCACAGCTACCATTTCTTCTCCTATCCAGGGCCTCATACCAGCCCACATCTCTAACACAACACAACCAACACTCCAGATATCAATCTTGAAATTGTACCCCTTCTTCTGGGTGTTAATGACCTCTGGAGCCATCCAAAATACCGTTCCTTGCATAGCCGTAAAGGCGCCCCCGTGAAGATCGTCTGTTCGTTTCGATATCCCAAAATCAGATATCTTGCATACTCCTGACATTTCGACAAGGATATTGTCTGCTTTCAAATCCTAAAATCAACGATGAACAAGATGTTTTGACGATTAGAGCAAGATGTTTACTCGGTGAAGGATCCCCTTCGAATGTAAATATTCCAGGCCACTCAAGATTTGCGCCGTGAATGACTTGGTGACAGATTCGGCAAACTTGCCATGTTTGTGCAAACAGCTTCCAACAGAACCCCCAGGAACGTATTCGAGGAAGCTGTAGAATTTTTGAGTGACAACCCGTGTATCGCGTCGCGATGGCTCACATGCTCAAGTTTGCGGGTGTTTCCTCGAAGCCAAGGTATTGTACGATATTCGGATGGTCAAGGTCCTTCAGAGTCTCGCTTTCAAGCTTCAATGCTTGCACCACCGTCACCTGGCGGGAATCGTTTTTGTCGCTTGGAGTTTGCGGAAGTTCCACTTGCTTCACCGCAATCATTTCCCCCGTCGTTGCATTCAGCGCAAGGTAGACGCGACCATATGTGCCCTTTCCAATCAGCTCTCCTCTCATCCACTTGAAGGTAGCTACAACAGATGTCAGACATGATACCAAACGAGCATAACATCAAGTTACTCACTAGGCCCACCAGGAGATGACTCAGACAGAGACGAATTGGACGTACTCTTCGCTTCTGATGTCACTTCTTCCATTCTAAGACCCCAAAGCTTCGTATTCCTCTTGCGAAGCATATTGTTTGTATATGACGTTGCGTCCGCCTTGGAAGTACGATCGATGCGTTTCTTGTGCTCTTCGGCGACAATGCGAATGGACTTCTTGGCTCTGACTCTTCCCTTGTCGGGTATTGGTGTAGGAGGGGGGGCCGTAGGCTCCGCGGTCGTAGGAGAGGTCCCACCAGAGCTTGCCTCAATAACTGGTTTATCAAGATCGTGTTCAGGGAAAAACTCTTCAAGACGTTCATAAACGTCTTCCGGTGGTGGACGAGGAGCCCATGAATCGTCCCCTTGGTCGGCAAATGTGCTGCCTCGCATTTTCCTATCAACAAGTTTTTTCGGTCGAGGAACCGCGGACGGACGATAAGAAGTGGGGGGCGGTGCCTGGGGCAGGAGCTGCAGGTTCATACCTGAAGACACCGTCGAGCTTTCTATTTGCACCTTCAACGGTGGGCGCGATACAGATTTTGGCCTGTCAGTTGGCGGTACTATCCAAGTGCCCCCGCCTGGGTCAGAATCATCGTCATCTTGACTGTATGCTGGAGTTTCGCTTGAGGAGGATGACGGAGGTGGTGGTGTGAGTGACCTTGTAAGTTTTTCGGACAGCGGCGGGCGAGAAGGCATGGCGGTCCCTGTTGACTCTTCAATCCCATTTATCAACTGTGCAAATTTAACATGTTCCCCTTGTTTTAAAGTCAATTCCGAGCTACGATTCGTATCTGTCCGAATGTGTATGGGGGTTCCAGTTGTTGGTGACGATGGTTCAACAACGAATGCTGTGGTCTCCGATGGGCCATATCTCGGACTTTGGGGGCTGACTGGCGTACGAGGAGGCGTGGTATTGGATGTCTCTGGCCCACTCTGAATGTCAGAGGAACGGTCAGATCGATCGCTATAGTTCAGCTGGGGTCTTGGTCCGGGTACGCCTGCGGAAAAATAAGACCGACTGGGAGACATTGTTCGAGGAGACCGTGCTGGATCACCAGAGTCCAAAGTCGGTCCGTAGGTCGGCGACTGAAGTTGTCGCGGATGCCGCTGGGTGGGGGATGTCATGGAGTCGCCAGCAGCAGATTGGGGTCGAGGATAAGGATCGTGGCTTGGAGACATGAGGTTGGACCCATTGGGAGACATCAGGTTTGAGCCATGCGGGCGTGAGCCGTACTGGGAGGAAAAGTCCAAAGAACTTCCGTGTGGAGAACCTTGGACGGGTAGGGGCCTCGAGGGTCGCGGGGGTTCGTATGACTTGGGCATACCAGGAAGGTTGCTCGGGGAGTATGTTAGATCTCGAAGATTTGTGGCCTGCCGACTCATTGGAAGTTGAGGTGGATTACGACGACCGGGCTGTAATGATGCCGGAAGGCTTGAGGAAGCCCGGAGATTGTCCATGCTCTTTGTATGACCTTTTCCAAGACGGTTCCAGTTGGAAGTGGGAGGTGAAGCAGTCTTATTGGTTTTAGAATCTTCAGGTTTCCAGGTTACAACAAAACTGGACGGAACAGGGTTTCTTGCATTAACACGCTGTACTGAAGGTCGGATATCGCTATTAGATATGGGGACGACCGGAGGCTGTTGTCGAGGAGGGTTTGGTATAGTTGGAACGCGAGGGGCGTATGGAGAGCTGGGTCTTCCATATCGTGGAGAGTGTTGTTGTCGAGAGGTCTTTGAAATGGGAGGTGACGTTCTTGGGAGCTCTTGACTCTGCTCTTGATCGCGCCCCCCGCCTTGAGGGACTACGACCCAAGAATCCGATCGACCCAACACATCGTCAGAGTCAGTGGGGTAACGTTTGCGAAGTCTAGATTCCTTAGTTTGGTTCAGGGTCTCTTTGGACGCCTCCGCTCTCAGCCTCCCGAACGCAGCAGGCTGCCGAATACGCTGCCATTGCTTATCCACCCTCTCCTCTGACGCCCTCAAAGCTTGCTCTCGCTCGGCACCCGCATCCGATCCAGAGCGAACATGCAGTCGTGAAGCTGGTGGTGAAAGAGTGGAATCATCGTTGTTTGAATAAGATGGACGGTGAGGGGATAACGGTGGAGGTGGTGGAGGCGTAGGTATTACATGTCCATATTTATCGACGAACGTCGCATCACTCTTTTGATAGCGGAGCCGCTCAGCGGCTTGAGGGAGAGGAGGGGTTGATGGTTTTGCTGGGGACTGAAGAAGGGGAGATGATGGTCGCGGGGCAGGAGGTCCACTCGGTCGTCTATGCGGAGATGGAGGTGCATTGGTGGTCGTGGGCAATGGCGGTGCTGGCTGAGAGGAGCGTGTGGTTGGATTGTCGAGGTCTGCATCGTAACCAGCGTGTTCGCTAGCGGAAGAAACACTGCCGTGCCTGGAACTTGAACCATGCCTAGGACGCAAAGGAGTCACCGAATGTTGGGGGAGAACGGGTGGGGGAACGGTAAAATCAATGGCTGGAGGCGCTTGTTCGTGCACAGGAGCGGAAGAGTGGGAAACGAAAAACTTGAGGGAACCCCTTGAGTCGCCGTGATCGCGACACAAAGAAAACAAAAGGTCATCAGTGAGGGCAGCACCAATGGCAAAGGCACCAATTTCAGTTTGATAGATAGAAAAAGGAGACTGATCATCTTCACTGTAGATATTCAACTGTAAATAAACCATGAGAGGGAGGGCTGTGATCAATTGGAATGGTAGATACCTTTGTAAAGATGCACTCTCTGATAAAAACTGCACTTTTCGCACCGCTCACATCAACGGTTACGTATCGTTCTGAATCGGCGGTAACGACAATAATGATTTTGTCGGATGTGGTCGAGGTCGAGGTCGACGTATAGCTTGAAACTGAGCTGTATGAATCAGGCGTGGATACAGTAGGAGACTGAAAAATATCATGAGATGAAATGAATGATGCTTTGGGCGTACGAAATACCGTCTTGGGACGCCGTGGAGAACTGTCTACGGTTGTCTTTGGTACTCTTCCGAAAGGTGCTTTGATTGTCTGGAGAAGCTTCCCTGCACGAGAAGTAGAGGGCTGGTGCAGATCTCGGCCGTCATAGATGGACGGATCCTGGTACGAGGACGGGGCTATTTCGGGAGGTGATACGGGCAGCGTAACAGCTGGGAGTGGGGCTGGATCTTCGACAGCTGGAGAACTGGCAGTAGAAGGAGAGGATTGAGGCGGATGAGGAGTCTGATGGTGAGAGTAATTTGGAATAAGATCGATTGTAGTTAGAGGCGGGGGATGATTATTGGATGGAGTGGTGAGTTTGTAAGGAGGATATGGATTTGGATTTGAATAGGCGTTGGAATGCTGCGGTCTCCTGAAAGAATTGGGGTAGCCGCCGCTGCCACTTGGGCGCCTGGGACGATCGTCGTCGCTGGCTTCATCGGAGTCGCCTGAGCCTGGGTTTGCAACATAGAGAACCTTGCCCTTCCTGGTCTTGATTCTCGTGTCCTCTGACATTATGAATGAGATGAAGAAGAGCGGTTACTGGATAGACGTCAAGGTAAGTAATAAAGAATGTTGCAGCACCGTTGCAGCCAAGCTGCGAGGACAGCGGGGGTGTCGTCGACACTACCAAGGAATGTTCTGTGCTGACAAATCACGGCTACTGTTGTGTATTTTGACGTCTGTCTACACATGGACACTATCTACCAAAGATCCTTCAACTACGTTCAATTTGCGAAACTCTGCCCGTTCTTCTAGCAACATTTCTCCCCAACACAAAAGCTTCAGCAACCCAACTAACTTCACCTCATTCCCCTGACTCAAACTCTCCAAGATTGCAGCGTTCACCTCTCCAGCCGTCTTCATTCGCTGCGCTGGCGATAGCAATTCAGAGATGCCAGCTGGCGCAGCTGCAGAGGCCTCAAACGCCAACAGCGACATCGTTCGTTCCAGCTCAGAAAGAAACTCGGGTGATTCCTCTCCTCGTGGTGCAAGTTCCTCCTGTGCGAACTCAAGTGCTTCCGATATTCTTCCCAGCCGTATAAGTTCAATCAGCTTCTGCTGTTGCAGCCGAAAGTATAGCGCAGGATTTGTATCCAGAATCTGCAGAACGCAAGAACAACGTTAGCTCCCGTTTCTGATACGAAAACACCACATGAAAAGATAGATCATATTGAAGACTGAAGTTTTGGTGTTTACGAATATCATCACCAACCCCGAAGGGGTTTATGAGTGGTGCATGAAACAATTTAATCATTTCGGTTCTGAATTTTTCTGGATTCTCACCTCTGGATTCAAGTCATTCACCCGGATAATGGCGTCTTCAACATCGCCTCGCTGAAGTGCCTCACGGATGTCCATACGGCTTTCGATACTCTCAAAGTCAACAGGGGGCGCAAGATTGGCTTCTTGGCTAAATTCTTCTGCCGCCGACTTGTAGCCTTCGATCACGAGATAGTCCATGATGAGTCTGTTAAGGTCGCTACAGAGTGTTGGTCAGTCTGAGTTAAGACAGAAGACGTAGCGATGCAAATTCAGATAATACATGCAATTATTGACTCGTCATGATTCGTGAAGAATGTCAGCGAGATTCCCAATAATGTTTTTCATCCTTGCATGGATGGGACCAGAGAAAGAAAAAGAAAAAAGACGCTCACTTTTTCGTAATCTGAACATCATGGAGGCGGCGGTCCCATTCTTCCGCCCGTATCGAGGACTTTGGCGGCTATACGTGACAATGAGTCTTCTTCATCCAGACTCTAGCCATGAAAAGACAGATGGACTGACCATGGTGTTGGAATTTGGAGTTCTGGTTTTATGGTGTTTGGACGCTCAGTTTAGGGCAGGTACTTAGTAAATTGAAAGACGGTCGTGATCATGTTACAATCTCTGTAATCCGCACACCCATGGCGAGCCAGATGCTACAATTAATTTCTAACTCCCAGATCAGCTACAAACCGTATCCCGTTCTCTCTTTCCCAGTTTTTTTGCCATGCATCGACCCGTTTCATTAAATCAGCCCATTCCTCCTCCGTCCCAACGTCTCGTACCCATTCCTCAACCTGACCAGACTCTTCAATGCAGCTCCACCCTCGCTTTAGATAGTCGTAGTTGAATACATCTCGACGCCAACCTTCAACATAGTTTTTACCGTCGTCGGGGATGGCATTCTGAAAATGTTGAGGAAAACCCATCTAATACATCACAACCACGAACCTGTTTCTTCAGAAAATCAATGAGTTCGTCTTGATAATCGCTTGACGTGCCGTTGAGTAGTTGATGTCCAATAATGTAAGGATCATATCCCCGCTGTCGAATGCCGTGTTCATATGCCGCAAGTTCATCAAGGAGCTCTTCGCGGGAAGATAAAATAGTGCGATTCCTTATAATATGCGTAGCGAATATACTTTGTGCGAGATCAGAAGGGCAGTTCGCAATGGCAGTTGGTAACCCAATAAATGCTAGGGCGTTGACGGGGTGTGCAGGGGAAAGTGAGAAAATATGTTGGTGCAAGGGAAATATATAATGCAAGTTGGTGGTGAGATTTCGGTTGCTCGATGAGTTGGACGTAACAGAAGGGTCGGTGAGTAGAGCGTGCCCTGCATCGAGAAAGGGTTTCCGCATCTCGTAACCTGTCGCAAGGAGAACAGCGTCCACGTTACAGGTTGTGCCGTCTTGAAAAATAATACCGTTCTCCGTGAAATGAGATATCTCTGGCTTGAACTCGACTTGATCTATGGGTGGCCTATCATGTCTTGAAGAAACGTAAGTCTATGAGTCTAATTAATTCCTGGGATATCCACAACCGAGAACATTCCCCCTCACCTTGGTGGCAATCTTTGATACTTGAATAGCAACATCCTGCCCACTAGCACCGGTCCCTACAATGAGAATACTTTTGTTAAAGTATCGCTCAGGCCCACGGTAATAGATCGAGTGCAAAATCTCTCGCTTTGGCCCATGATCAGGGCCGTTTTTCAACCACTCGTCTTGTCCGGGCCAGACAGGAATCCTTGGAACGTGGTTATTACCCGAAGCAACCACAAGGTGATCGAAGTTCTCCAGGTGTATTTCGTTCGTGCCGTTGCGAACGGAAATATTCCAATGTCCATATTCAGAGTTGCCAACCCAGCGGGTCTCCAGCACTTCATGATTGAACTTGATGTATTGCGTAAGATTGTGAGCCATGGCATATCGCTGGTGATACTCCCTGACGTGCTCGTGACTAGGATAAAGTGGAGTGCCGGGAGGGAAAGGAAAGCCTGGGTAAGACATGGAAGGAACGGGGGTATTCGTGTGTAGAAGTGGGTAGAGCGGGGTCTCTGGTATGTCAGGTGGTGAATGTAAATGGGGATCTGGAAGCCTGGTAAAAATTAGATTTGGGTAGAGAAAAGAGAGCAGTTTCTTGCCATACGCCTGCGACATCCCCTCGTTGCTCATATAAAACTATTCTCCATCCATCCCTCGTTGTCTCCGGAAGGTCAAAGAGAGCCTTTAGCATAGCCAAACCTGCACTGCCTGCCCCTATGACGGCGACCGACTTTGGATCGAGGGAGGGGACGAATTGATCAGGGAGTTGTGAATATAAAAGAGAAATTACGATCTGCAGAATGTTGACCATTGCGACGAGGACTGTAGCTGGTAATCAGACTCTAAGGTTGACGCTGACGACTCCATGAGAGCTTCATCAAAGTAAATTATTTGCGCGATGAGTTGTGCAGATGGCGTGCTTGTCTCTTGGTCTACATCATGAGCTTATAGTGTAAGTACTAAGGATTTGTAAGATAGTTCCACTGTGATTTGTGATTCAGTTCAATAGTTATTAATAAAAACTGATACAACTTACGCTGCCCTTACGCCTTTGACACAATCCCACCAGACCTGATCATATTGAAAAAATCGTCCTTGTCCACAGCGCCTGGCGCACAGGTCAGTAATGGCAGTATACGTGCATTGAAAGGCATTGTCTCACTTTCTTTTGCCCTTCCAACAATATTATCTTTGTTTTTGCCCTTGCGCTTGCCTTTACTGTCTATGATGGGAGCTGGAAGTGTGGGCTTGCCAGTCCCTCTCCCAGCTCTTGTTTCTTCCGCAGCAGCTGCAACGCTTGCTTGGGACTGTTGTATGACATTAAACAACTTGACAACTAAGACAACCTTGTCAGCTAAAAAGAGTTGGAAATTTTATATGAAGCATACCTCCCCTCTGAGCAACTTTCCGAAGTGCCCGCTCGCCCTCTCCTCCCCATCCCCCTATCACATCAGTTATACGACCTCTGTCTTCTTTCTCCTTCTTTTCTACTTGTAAAACTTTCTTCGCCCTAAGTTCCAGTTTTTCATCGTTGTGTTTTCGACTGATCGAAGGATTTAGTGATAGTGGAAGTGTCGAGGGAACATCTGTCTTCAATAAGGATTGTAGCGTCGCTCCAAAATTTGAACTTCCTGTCGCCCTGATCTTTCTCTTTAAGGTCTGCCGGGATTTCAGTTTCTTTGGACTTTCGAGTTCATCATCCTCGTCGAGGCTTGTCCCTTCACCCTCGAAATCATCTGAGTGTCCATCATCATCCGTAGAACTATCCGTAGCTTCCTCCGGTTCCTTTGAAGCACGATGCTCTTCCTTTCCGGAAAGTTTTTGCCGTTTGGAGGGGGGCATTGGTGTGGGGAAACGACAGAAACTTAAAGCGTGCTAATTATTGGTTACCAAATCTGGTGTTGATTGGTTTTTAGTGACATTGACCACAATATACCTCCCTCCCTCCATATCCCTGCCGTTCCTCGATCCCCACCTCTGCAAAGGGGCAAACTTTTTAGAATCTGGCTTCCAACGCGTTTAGAACGCGACCACACTGGCTCAGGATAAGTTCGTGTTAGAGACCACCCATGTCCAGCCAAAAACCTGGAACACTGCCATCAAGGACCCAACCATTCGATCTCTCTCCAGAACCAGATCTACACCCGTTGTATCCAACAGTATCGCAGATATCTCATCAACTCGCCTCAAACTCTGGCCTTGATCCCTCGCAGAAAGCGGAACTGGTGGCTCATTGCATCAGTCGTGCCTGTGTCTTTGGAGACATTTCCATTCTCCAGTATCTACTCTCCGATCCCCAGGCTCAAGTTCATGTGGACTTGGGTGTCCGTGATGAGGATGGAATTGGGCTTATTAGTCTCGCTATTCACGGCTTCGGGAGCGACTCAGATCGGGACGTGGAGCGAGAAGAATGCGTACGATTACTTGTTGCGCAAGGGGCGGATATGGGCGCAGACAAAGGTGAACTCGAGTTCAATTAAGCGATCACCTTTGCATCTAACGTGAGTATTTTACGAAGCTGGGTGGACACCTTTGCATCATGCTGTTATTCTCTCGCCTCCCACACTAGTATCTTACCTGATGACCCATGGGTACTCTCCTTTTGATGTAACGCGACGCAATCTGACACCCTTGGATATTGTTACGGCACATTCGATCTTGCCTGGGAGAGATGATGTCGCGCTTTTGCTCGAGGAGGCTATGCGAGGTAACGGCTGGACTGGGGGACGAATGGAACAGAAACGACGCCTCCACGAACAACGACTGAAGAAGACAGGGAAACAGAAGGAGATACGCGAAGAAGCATGCAAGATTCTTGGGGTGAATTTGAACCTCTGGGCCTCAGATACAGAATCTGCTTCTGATTCAGACCTGGACGACAACGATTTGGACGAAGATGTTTATGTTAGTATCCTCCTATACCATGCTCTTATCTCACACTCCATCATCTTCAGACACCCATTCCAGATTACACCTCCATGCTGGTGTTTTCACCTCCTCTCCTTCCTCAAATCTTTGACTCCCTCATCACAAACTTTCCAACGTCATTACGAAACGCCACTCCTGCAAACACATTGTATATGCTGACGAGATTTGCATGTCTCGCTTGTGATCATACGTGGCTGGAAGACTTCATCATCGGCGCTAGTGATGCCATTGAAGAGACTTTTTTTGTGCGTCATCGGTAATCTCACCTAGCTACGATCTCCATAGGCTGACGATATTTTAGAACCGGGCAGAAGATGTCACCTGCTTAATATTCTGGCTGTACAACACGAGTCTCTGGCTTCACCTGTTACAATGTGACAACTCAATAAACGAAGCCTGCGAGATGTTGGGCTCTTTCGAGTTGATCGAGGAAGTTATAAACTCTGTGTTCGGTAAGTCTTAGTCTTGGAAACTCAAATTGGTCCAATCATCGTCTGTTGTAGTGTTTATCATTCGCTTTGCGGAACAGCGAATAGATCAACTACTCGATGCTACCCTTTTGGACTATGTTCCCTTGACCTCTGAGTTTGAAGCTGTCCAATTTGAATCAGAGTGGTCGTTTCTACGCTCCTTCACTGGAAAACGCAAAGCTCCGAATCCCACAATCCCGACCACCAACCGTGGTGGTACTCCCTCATCACCTCCTGCGAGCCCGCATCGACCAATCTCCCCAAGTCACAGCCAAAACACAATATCATCCTCCAACTCTCGTAAATTCTCATCGTTGAAAGAGACCTTTACTCGTGGCCGTGCGGATTCCACGCGAGCTCCATTGTCTGCGCTCTTCGCTGATACTTCGCCGCCGCCGTCTCCCGTTGATCTCACATCTTTCCTCACAGCTTTGCACACCCTTCTCGTTCTCTCCGACATAAATCCGGCCCTCACTACCCAATTATGGTCACAAGTGATGTATTGGACTGCTTGTAAGGTTTCCGCCTGTCTCCACTATATCCCACATCATGTCATCGTGACTTGTTTGATAGGTGAGGTATTCAACCGCTTAATTACGCGAAAGAAGTACCTCTGTCGGTAAGAAATTTGGCTAGTACCAACTTGCCGGTGAATTACTGAAGTTGTCCCCTAGATCAAGAGCCGTTCAGATCAGCGCGAACGTCACCGTATTGGAAGAATGGATCGAGGGAATGGGGATCCCCCCAGGTGTCCAAGTACATTTTGCTCCTGTTCGAGATCTGCTAAATTGGTTGCAGGTGGGGTCTTGCTAACGTCAAATGGCCCATATTGATTGTTCCACAGGGCCTTTCGTCAATAGTGGAATTCCAGGACCTCGTTTTCACAATACAGACGATGAAGAACGTGAATCCGTTACAGGTGTGTCCGTTGCGTTACAGGAATCAATAGCTCGTTGACAAATTACTAGATGCGTCGTGCCGTCCGTGACTATAAGTATGAGGTCAATGAAGGTCGAATGACGGATGAATGTGTCCAATATCTTACACAGCTTCAAAAGGATTGGGAGAGACATCGAGTGAAGCTGGGGGTGGAGGCTCTTCGAAAAGAGGTATTGGAATTCATCACTCACTCCTTCAGAGCAAACTTAACCTATTTATTTCAGATTGTTGACCGGGACCGGGATAGAGACGATGCTTCCTCATACTTAAACGGCTCTTCCAGTGGCTCCGTGAAAGAGTCCTCTGCGTCTGTGAACTCATCAGACACTTCTGCAACCCAACAAAGTATCGATATGCTTTTTGACAAGTCCCGTGACAAGTCTGCCTGGGAGCCTGCAAAACCGCCTCAGGTGCTTGGAGAACTCCTCGATTCAAGATATATGCTACCACTTTTATTTCCATCGGACCCTCGTTTGTTGGCTGCTCTCCCAGGAAGGAAGTCATTTTTTGCAGACGCGCAGCGAGAGCCAATGTTGAGCGCGAACCCTCGTTCTCGAAGTTCAAGTCGAGCGAGGATAAAATCTGGGGGTCCTCTTGTTTGGAGGTCAAGGAACCGAAAGTTAAGAGAGGTTGAAGTTGGTATCTTGCAGTGGGTCGATGGAATTAGGTCCGTTGCGCGCTGGGACAAACCCATTGACACTGGGGGCGAAGAAGAGGACAAGGAAGACTGGCAAGCGTTCGATGATCGGGTCGGCGACGTCGACAACATTGCGATCAAAATTAATACCCACGTAACACCTCTCACTCGGAAACCATCCGGACGCAGCAAGGGACGACCAAGCATCGGAGAAACAACACCAATTGATCTGGCATTGACATGAATAAACCTGATTGTTATTTGTGGGCATCGCATAGTAATGTTATGTAGATTTGTATCGTTAAAGACGTGCATGCGTTTTGTGATCATGAGGAGTGCGTAGTTCTGTACCCGTGCCGCAGTACTGTGATCAAGCGATGCGACGGAGCGCGGCCAAATTGCACCTTCGTGTACAAGCGCCGCAAGCACAGCCGCGTGCTTGGCAGGTGCCTGGACTCGACTGCAGCGAGGTACTACTTATCACCGGCTGCCACAAGAAGTGCTCATCCCCTGGCTTTGAAAATGTCCGCTCTACCTTATCATCATGTTGACGATCATGGCACGAAAACGCCACAAGTTCTGGAACCTGAACAAACCAACTCCTACGATCCCACCGACGTCGAGAAAACAGCTGGGCCCAGCTTGCTCCGGGATCATAGTCGTAGGAGCCTCGCTCCATCTGCTTTGACTACCGGACACAAGTACGCGGAGATTGGCGACGAGTCGGGATACGAATCTCAAAGGGCCAGCCAAGCTTTGGACGACTCACAAGATGCCCCTCTTGTTCAAAACGCCCAAGGCGGAAGTCGGTATCAAGATTTAGGTCTGCTACAACCTTGCATACACAAGGTTTCAGAAACTAGAGTCTAACGAATTCTTTCAGAGTACGCTGAACCTTACGAGGATTCCCAACCAAAACTTGTAGATGAAAAGGCCTCGCCCATGAATTCAATTTTGGCTGGAGGAAAATATCCTCTGCAGCAACGGATTGAAGACAAGAAACGCGGAATTGGCCGGCAGAAATATCCTTTTGTTGGTATGTTCTCTCGTCCTTTTCCAGTATTTTGACTAAATTGCCCCCCTCAGTATGGGCTTTGACTGCTTCTATGCTCGCAGTGTTCATCTACGAGCTGACCCTAAATGCACGACAACAGGGAAGCCCTATCTCACTCAAGGTAGGTGCCCTCAGAAATTCTGTGCTATAACCAACACTCATCTCGAGTTACCCAGCCAGTCATCAATCCTATGCTGGGTCCATCTGGGAGCGCTCTAATCAATCTTGGGGCACGTTTCCCGCCATGTATGAAGCTTGTGACGGACGTCCCTCCGTCTACAAAAATCGCCTGTACGATGCCTTTCGCCCGACTTCGTCGCCGTTGTAACTTAGTCGCCCATTTGCGCCATAGGCATGAACGACACAGCCAATCCTATCACTAGCATATGCACAGTGGAGGACCTTTGCGGATTCGGAGGTTTTCATGGTCATTCTCCCAATCAATGGTTCCGGTTTGTTCTGCTCTTGCCCCCTGTTGTGCCTGTTTGACATGATACTTGTTGCAGATTTGTCACTCCAATATTCTTACACGCTGGGATCATTCATATTCTCCTAAATATGTTGGCTCAAATTACTCTGTCGGCACAGGTATGAGTTTCAGTGGTCAGTCTACTCAATACTTTCATACTAAGACTCGTTTGATAGATTGAGAAGGAGATGGGATCTGGGGGGTTCTTGCTTACATACTTCGCGGCTGGAATTTTTGGGTACGGCATTGCAAACTCAGGGCTTCTTACCTACTCATATCTGATCTAGCAATGTTCTCGGTGGAAACTTCTCCCTGGTAGGTGTACCATCGCTTGGAGCGAGCGGTGCAATATTTGGCACTATAGCTGTAAGTTCCTCGCGCTCAATTTCATTCTCAATTTCCGGACTCATTATGGAAAAGGTAACCTGGGTTGATCTCTTCGCTCATTGGAAATACCATTACCGACCTGTCCGAAAGGTATTTTTGATGCACTTCAGCGACACGATCCACATTCACATTCTTTCTTGCTCAGCTAATCTTCATGACGATAGAATTGCTGATTGGAATCGCGGTGGGTTACATTCCGTGTGAGTCTTTCATTGATAAACTTTGTTTACGGATGATTGATGTCTGGGTCTAACAGATGTCGACAACTTTGGTATATTCATATTCATTTTAACACCGAGTGTTTTTGCTAATTCATCAACTATCGTTTTGTGCAATAGCCCACATTGGGGGATTCGTAATGGGGCTTCTTGTGGGCACGACGCTGTATCCCGTAATCAGTGCGTCAAAGCGGCACAAACTCATTATGTGGATTTTTCGCCTGGCTGCTATCCCTCTCGCTATTCTACTATTCGTAGTCCTTGTGAGGAACTTCTACACGTCTGACCCATACGCTGGTGAGTTTGTCAAGTTACCTTCCCTTCTCCGCTTTTGAACGACAGCGAACAGCATGCTCGGGGTGTCGTTACCTCTCTTGCTTCCCTACGTCCGCCAACAATCATTGTAAAGGGTGAGCCGGTCCATCCCCGGAATATTAGAAGTTGCTTAATTTGAACACTTGGTAACAGGACGGGACTAACAACGACCACGACAACGACGTAGATGAACGGAGAAATAGATTGTTTATTTTCCTTGGCTTCAGGGCCAGCAACTAGCAGGTGGACTTTCATAGTTTTCTGGCATCTTTTCGCCAAATGGACTTTCATTATTGTATATACCTGGAATCATATATCCATAGCACTTGTATCCAGCACCAATTTTGACGGAGTCAGGGCAGCGTGCACGTGTATTTATTTAATAAATCGAGCCTTGAGCGGTGAGCCAACTTCGAGGCCTCCATCATACCTTCGCGACAAATGCCTCCCTCCAAGGCTTCTGTCAGCCTTAATCCTTCATGGCCACACTTTGGTTGTATCGTCGCCGTAGGTTTGGGTCTTTTTGCTGGGCTTGCGCGTTACATTCTTTCAGGTGAGCCACAAAAGCACTCGCGTTGTAACCTCAGAACCAAATGGAATATCTAGACTGGACAGATCCGATACAGTGCAGTTCTTTGCTCAATAGAGGGAGCTGGCTAGATTCGGCGCAGCGAACTTGGCAACCCGACGGCGCGTTTATTGACTGGCTGATATCTTCAAATCGACTAATATCCTTCCTTAGGTTGCATGCTCCACTCCTACACCGTTGGAGAAGGGTCGAACTGTCTCGCCGGTCGGGAAGCAGTATTTGTTGGCGATTCTGTTACGAGGAAGCTTTTCTTTCAACTGGCTCACGTCTTGGACCCCTCATTGCCTACCGTACCAGCGGATGCCGACAGCAAACACGCAGATCACAAGCTTCATACCAAAAGTGGCGTCCAGGTATCCTTTTATTGGGATCCTTATCTCAATGGATCGTATATTCAAAATGCACTTACTTTCCGAAAACGCTTGGATGGTCCTTTTCCCCCTTCACTACTGATCCTGGGCTCTGGGTTATGGTATTTACGTTACCCAGCCTCAGGAGGGATCCCTGCATGGGAAGCCAAGATGGAGCGCATTTTCACAGCTCTCTCCCGTCAGCTGAAGATCGCAGACCATGTTGTTGTCCTCCCGGTTGAACAAGTTATCTCATCAAAGCTATCACCCGCCCGAGCAGCCACGATTCACCCCTCGGACATAGAAGCTATGAATTCAGACCTCTATCATCGCATCAATCCCCCTACACACTCAAGGAGGCCGACCAGGCCAAACAATCAGGTCTCGCTGCCTCTTGTCTTTAATCAGATGCTCTTACCGTCTTTAACGGAAGATGGCCTTCACTACTCCGATACCCTTGTCAAAACGCAAGCTAATATCCTTCTCAATCTTCGTTGCAATGACCAACTTGCCAAACGGTTCCCGTTCGACAAGACGTGTTGCAATCGATACCCTATACCGTCCTTTCTACAGCTTTTTATCCTTGGGTGTATCATTTTATGGGGTCCCTACACGCTTTATGTCTCCTACTTTTCAGGAAAGTGCTGCTACATTCAATATCAGAAGAGATCGTTGACATATGTTATCTTATAGGTTCTCGCACCGTTTCTCTTGAGCGTGAACTACCGTCATTTATCATCAGTTCTTCCGTCGCACTCCTTTACGCAGCAGACAGAACTGGTTTCTGGCTTAAAGAGCAGAAACAATTTAATCCGTTCACATTTGCTTTCCTATCCTTGGGCTCTCTTCTATTTGGGCTGTTAACAGTCAAACGAGTAGATAAAGACCCAGGGTTTTTGAGTCGTGATCAGACAGACGAATGGAAAGGCTGGATGCAAGGTATGGTTCTCACACCTGCCGTATGGAAAGTTAGTCATCGTTAGCATTCAATAGTGGCAATTTTGATATATCACTACCTCGGAGCATCAAAAATATCTGGAATTTACAACCCAATACGGGTTTTGGTGGCCTCTTACCTCTTTATGACAGGCTACGGACATACCATGTTCTATCTTCGCAAGGCGGACTTTGGCTTCTTGCGCATTGCACAGGTACGTTGTGCGCCAAATTTCGTTGTTCCAAATAAAGCGTTCTCTACAGGTCATGGTCCGACTTAATCTCCTGACGATCATACTCGCGTACACTATGAACACGGACTATATTTCCTATTACTTCTCTCCACTCGTCTCTATGTGGTACCTGATCATCTATGGCACTATGGCAATCGGTCGGCAACTCAATGACCACACCCCTCTCCTTCTCTGCAAGATATCACTCTCGGCAGCGATAGTTACATGGGTTATGCATGCAAAATGGCCATTAGAGGCCCTATTCGACTTACTCGCACGAGTTTGCAAGATTCACTGGTCATCTGGAGAATGGGCATTCAGAGTTAACCTCGATCTCTGGGTCGTCTACGTTGGAATGCTCACTGCAATCGCTGTGGCCAAGACGCGGGATTATCGCCTTGCGGACCACAAATACTGGCCTGTCGCAGTGAAGTGCGCTATCGCCTTATCCGGATTGATTCTTGTATGGTTTTTCGCCTTTGAACTCCTCCAGGAGTCCAAATTTACCTATAACCTTTGGCATCCATACATCTCCCCCCTCCCCGTTGTGGCTTTCGCTCTCTTAAGAAATGCAAACCCAATCATGCGCTCCGCATCGTCTAGGGCCTTTTCTTTCATTGGCAAGTGCTCTTTGGAAACATTCATTGTCCAGTTTCACTTTTGGCTGGCTGGTGATAGTAAAGGCATCCTTCTTGTCCTTCCGGGCACACGGTGGAGGTCCATCAACTTTGTCCTCGCCACCATCATGTTTATCTACATTTCCGATCGACTGGCATATGCCACTGCGGAAATGACAAGTTGGATATGCGCCAAGGCTTCCGATGCTCTACCACTTCCTGTTACCGTTCCAATGGGTGGTAATTCTTCCGCCGTTCACTCTGAAAGCGATGCCGACGGCGCACAAGAGGTCTCGATACCTCTCATATCGCCTAATCTTGATCACCACCTAAAAGACGCTAACGGCAATCCATTGCCTCCAGAACCTGACACACCTTTTCGACCTAGGAGGTGGGTCGACCGCTTGGCTGAGCAAGCGCCAGCACCTTCGAACCTCCAGAAAATGTGGTACAGAGAGGGTCAATGGAGATTTGGAGTGAAGGCCAGATTGACACTAGCGATCTGCGTCCTGTGGTTGCTCAATTGGCTATGGGCAGACTCTTAAAATGAACTTTGATTCTGTATATTACATTTTCATAATGATGGATGGAGAGTCGGAATATACACAATAAACTGAACAGCGAGAATATGTAGTTGGATCTAGAAAAGAAAAAAAGTCTTTTAGTTTCACTGAGTCGAAGGATAAATAAATTGAAGGAGGATCAGTATTAGCATGGAAAATCATCAACACTTGTCCTTGAGACAAAGTCAGGGCTTGACTTCTATTTGTTGCATCACGTCAAGAAAGTGAATAAGAGACTCACGTTGCAATGGAAGAGCACTGCGAGCGCGAGGGCGACCTGGAAAGGATTGAAGTCAGTTTGGTTGTAATGGATCCACAAAGCTGATAGATCTCAGAAATTTGGGTATATGTATAGTTTAAACTCATCAGCCCGTAGGCTTCCAAGTAGCGATTCTTATTCTCGTCACCGGAGGGGGAATGGAAGGGAACATACCTTTGTGAGAAGATAGGGAAAAAAATTCAATCACGATGTCGCTTTTAATTGTCAGGTTTAGGGCAGGGCGAATAGTGTCACGTGAAGTCACTGCGTGACTTCGCCTGCTGCTTTACTCTTTATACTCACATTGACCTGCTTCCTGGTTTTACCCTTGTCCATCATGGCAAACGTTCTGCACCATCCTATTGACTTTCACCCACGACCTCTCTCACATGCCCCTTCGCCATTTGGCTTTGGATTTGGTTTGGGCAGCCCTTTGTCGTCCACTGTATCTTCGTCACCCTGGGGCACTTCTACACCCGGCCACACAAATCCTACTGCATTTCAACAATTGGCTTCCTCCATCAACCAACCTTCTTCCTCTAGAGTGCAGAAAAGAAGGCACGATCTTGAGGAAGATTTGGATAATGGTCGGTATTCTGGGGCTAGGGATGAATCAATGGACAGGAGTCCAACACCTGAAAGGCCTAAACGAGCGGCACCGAAACGTGCACGGGTTGCACCTTCCCAAGAAGCAGCTGGCAAAGATGCGAAGGAAAACAGGGCACCTGGTACCTCTGAAGAGGATGATGTCGATGTCGGCGTCTTGCTAGGTATGATTCAGCGAACAGTTTCTTGGGCGGGTCCTGACTCTTTAATACAGCGAGTCTCCCTACACAATCGTTGCTACCATTACTTTCTTCGCTAATCAAAGCTCAACCCTCTCTCAAGTCCACAATTCTGTCGCTCATCCCTCGGCCAACACTCGATACTGCGATACAAAGCCTCGCACAATCCGCCAAGAAGTTACGTGATGCATATCCCTATTCCAATTCCCCTACGTTCGTCCACCCTTCTACTGGCTACGGGCTTGGTGGTTCGACAGCCTTCAGTCAAACACCATTGCAACACAATCAACAAGGCGGCATGCGGGATTCCTACATACTCTCGCGTTTACGACCGAACATCACAGACTTTGTGGCATGCTGCATGTCGTACCTCCCTTATTTTACATGTGTTCCTCTTCCCTCGCAGCCATCATGCGGTCCCTCTGCATCGCCACCGCACTTGGCATCAACGATCAAGTGTTTGCATAAAGACAAGTTCCACCCCTCGGAGACTTTCCTTTTCCTATCGGCGGTTACAAATCATCTTTTATCGCAGCCACCGCTTTGCATATCCTCTCTTGGACCTCTTCTTATTCCCCGACTTTCGGAAGAGTGGATGGCTTGGACAGACAAGGTGGATGAAGTCGTCAACCAGCAAGCAGGAATGTTTGGGAGTGAAAGTGTAAGGAGTTGGGAACGTGGGCTTGATAACTTTGCGGATTCGAAAGTGTCCGAGGTGTCGAGCTTTATGCGTGTTGTCAGGGATAGATGGGTGTCGAAAGTAGGTTGGCTGGTTGGGCGAATGATTCAACAGGCAATGGAAGAGCTTTGAGGAGATGTTATTTGTATGTATGTATATACATGTTTGAAACAGAAGTATATGATAAACAATCTTCATTTGGTTCGCAAAAAATTGTTGTGAGTTGGTCAACCGTTTGCAACAAGTTTGCAACGGTCATCCATATTCTTTAGACCGATTTCTCATTCCCATGCATGCTCCATCGCGCCTTTTGTCTCTTGCCCACCAGCCCCGTCGCCGCTGTGGCCACTACTCCCGCCTACGCTGCTGGTCGAGCTTGGGCACGTCATACCCGGACTACCGTCTCAGTCGTGGTTGGCACCCGTTATCGAAAACTGACGAGAACGGCATCTAAGTCTACATATAAGCGGAATATCGCGGTCGCCACAGCGCCTGCCAAGTCTAGGTGCGTTATTGTGTCCGTTTGAAGCTACCTTTGGTAATATCTTCTTCATTCAGCTCTAATTTAGCTTTGACATCTAACGATGTTGAAGACCTCAATCGGTTATCTGACTGGAAAGTGGCCGGTTTTCGACGAACCCCGCATTTAGCTGGTAATCCCAGCTGTCCTACAGATGACCAGTTGTACAAGGACTGCACTCTCAATGTCACATATTTTGATCCCGACTCATTCGCAGACTGGGACTTTGATTCAATTCCGGGGGTATCTTCCCAGCCAAGGGAGATAACTCCTGCCCATATTCCAAGGACAAGGCCACCGCGGCCAGGACAACCATCGTCGATTATCACGAATGCTGTTTCAGTCTCGCCTGCTGGACCGTCCTTCCGCCTATCGCGGCCCACAACGCGGTATGCTTTGCGGAAGAACCTCATCTATCTCGTTTCAATTTGCAGACCTACCCCCAGCCTTCCTGTGCTCGTGGACTATCACGCACTATATCCTGACTTGCAAACCACTTGGTCTTACAATCTACTCATCGCCCTTGCTCTCCGCCACGTATCTTTTGGCGTCACACAGATGTTGTTTACTGAAATGCGCAGGAGCAAGATAAAGGGAAATTTCGAAACTTGGAAATTGCAAGTCCGGTCGCTGATACAAGCTGGCTTTTGGGACAGGGCTTGGCGCCAGGTCATGGAGACCACTAACAGTCCCATTCCAGGCAACTCACGACCACGCCATGAAATGCCTTTGCCCATCTGGCTGGAGTTCTGTAGGTCTCTGAGAAAGGGCATTCTCAGGAAGCCACCGAAAGCTCGCTGGATCGTTAATGAGCAACGGGAGGTCGTGCGAAATGCAGCAGCGGAAACGGTTACTGAAGGACCCGATACTTTGCTCCTATATCGTGCCCGTCAACGATTGCTTTTTCGACATCGCCCTACCCACATGCCAGATTTAGCCACTACACATCCGAACACTATCTATCACATTGTTTACCTTCTGTTGCAGTCCCAACAGGGAGATAGAGCGTTATTGCTCACGACCTCTTACCTCCGCGCTCTGCCTCGAAAGCTGAGGAAGAAAACCGCCATGAGGTGTCTAGACATTATTCACCTCCATATAACGTTTAACCGGACCACAAAGGGGTTACGCAAGCTTTACGAGACGCAGCAGACTTTGAATACTCTCCTGAAGCTACACCGCTCTCTGCGCCCCACGTCCTCTACACTCTTTTTACTTCTTTCCACTTTACGTCACGCTAAACGCTGCGGAACCGTGGCTAATAATGTTGTAAGGGCTTTCAAGCTGGAATGGGGCCCTCAAGTAGAGGATGGACGCGTCCGACGTCGTTTGGTGACACTCGCGCTTAAAGAAGGTCGCCGCGACCTTGTAAAGCACATTGGGAAATTAGAGACAGAGGCTTGTCGGGCAACCAGGTCGTGGACGTTTGAGAGGGAAGTTCTGGGTGGAACGCAGCGTTGGCCATTCAAACGGGTTTTCCGATATCCTGGGAGAAAACTGTTTGTCAAGAATGGAAAGGAAAGGCGTTTGTGGCACCGGGTTCAGAAACGAGCATGGCTGAAAATGGGGGTGAAAATCAAATAATCTCCAAAGAAGTGCGTGCGATGATGTGGTGACAATACTAGCCATGATGAACGCCCTCTCGCTTCCTCGTCAAATGGTACGGATCGTGAGTTTACACGCTTTCAGGAGACGAGTCAACGCCAAAGAGACGGCGGCTGCCATCCTGAATATTGGCGCCTATTTCGAACCCATGAGCATTGTGTTGCGCGAACTACGGAGGCCGTCAAATAAGATGTTCGGCAACTACACATCGATCAGCTATGCTGCAAAGTAGAATCTGGCGTTTGCAATGTTCTCGAGAAATGTAGGATGCAATCTCAACGATCCAATTCTATTCCAGCCGGGAGGTTGGCGATTGGCAATATGATATTCACCGGAACTTGTAAGTACCAGCGAAATTCCAATAGAAACTACTGGTGTCGAAATGTAGTTTGCTTGATCGAACTTCTTCTGACCCTGAAACTCTGTGGCGCCTGGCGTAGACGTTGTGCTTGCGTTGTCCCTCCCTGCCTTTCAGGATTTCTCCAAGATCTCCCAGGAAAGTAAATTTGAGCTTTCAAAGCAAGTCCCCGAATGGCGATCAGGTTCCCTGTCAAAACGATCTGCGATTTTTCACAAGTAGCTGTTTTCACTAATTCTCCTTTTACTCATACCCGTGCATGGAAGCACTACGGCACACCACTGATTGACCACAGCACCTCCCTCGCTTTACGATATCTCTCCAAGCGATATCTATCATGTTTGCTTCTTGCCCTACTTTGTCCTCGAGCAACCAACGTTTGCTCATTCGCCATCCACGTCCCCCGCTTCGTTCGTGATCTTGTTCTGCCATCGAAATTCTCTTTCCTAGCCGAATTAGATCTGCAATAAGCAGCTCTTCTCCAGATCCAATATGCAATCTGAGGATCTTCGTAGGTGTCCAATATCCGAAGTCCCCTTGACGTACCTTTTCTGAACTGTTTTTGCAGCTGAGGGCCTGAGGTTTCCTTTAACCTGGGAACATCGCCGAACAGGCGATTGCACCGGCATTCGATCGCATTCCTGATCGAAAATCTTCAGCTTGCCCCACTTATGAGAACACAGAGTCATTCTATCGCAAATAACTTTGTCGTTCAGCATGTCGTTCGCGCTGTGTCAAACTCCTCCCCGTGCCATGCCCCCGACTAGAACTAAATGGAAAAAGAGTTTCCGAATTTGTAACCCTGCCCGAAAATACCCTAGCAGCGACCTAATTGATCATCTGGCGAGGGAACTTCATAAGGGACCCCGCCATATTGCTGGTACGTATCTTCAATATTCTACAGGTGTCTATTCATCACTTTTGATGTCCCCACCCACTGACCAGTTTCTCGCTATATCGTGCGCTAATGTTGGGGTTGGTCCGGGAGGTACTACCTCGATGCTGGCGTGCGTTTTTTTCTTCCTTCCTCGACATTTCACGGCTCAGGTTCTTGAGCTCACAGACGGGTGTCCATCGTTAATTACCGAGGCTCAACAGTGTTCGATCATTACGTTGCACCTACGATGCAGGTAGTTATTCAAAAAACTTTTTTCCTCGATCACCTCACTGGTGGTATTGGACTCTTAGGTGACGGACTATAGGTCAGTTACCACAGGAATTAGCGAGTCCGATTTATATTCTGGTTCGTGTGTCACACACCTCAATGTCCCAAGTTTCACGACAGTCGATGTTTTCTGCTTTCTAGCAGACGCCTGGGCCTTCAATGTTGTTCAGCAGTACGTCGCAAATCTCATTAAAGGCAAGGTTCTTGTTGGGCACGGTATATGGAACGACCTTTCAGGTGAGACCTTTTTTGACAGTTCTACGTCGACATTTTGTAACGTTTTCTTGTCAGTACTTGGGATACCACATCCCGCTGTGTCTACTAGAGACGTAGCCTTATACCAGGTCTGATTCTTCTTTTCAATTTTATCGTTGGTTTAGCACTGAGTGGTATTCCAAAGCCGTTTCGAAATGCGCTACGTTCTCCCCACCAAATTATTGGTCTTCAAACTTTGGCATGGCAGTTACTGTGTCGGCGATGTCAGGAAGGTCAACTACACCCAGTGAGTTTCTTCGTCTCAAGGCCTCATCGAGAGTTTCACACCACAAATTAGCTCGAAAATGCTCGTGTGGCCTTGGACTTGTATCGGTCACATGCTGACGAATGGGAAAGTGCTATTTCAAAGAATAATTGGCCATGTGCTCTCCCGCCAAGTACTTTTTCTCGTTGCTACCTGTAGGAAACGAAAAGTCTAGATAGTCTCTCCTTCTTGATTTACACTGTGTGAGACCTCGGAAGGGGTGCGCACTCCTTAATTTACTTGTAAGATATCATACCGAACTATTATCTTGTCCTCTTGATGGTCTGGTGCATCTCCATTAGGTATCAAATGCTCCAAAAAAGGAAATTGCTGATTAATGGGCTAATTAGCAATCTATCTGAATTTTAATGACGTGTCTGTCCCGAGCCATTGTAAGCCAGTTTTCATAGCTTGAGGTAATAAATACCTTCTCGGCTCCTAAGAGTCTCATCGTACCTTCATACACAAAAAAGGCGGAAGCGTTCACTGGAAATGCACGTAAAAGACTGGGCCCCAACCCGCGGAAGAAGCCGGAGTAACCATCCCTGTAGTAGATGTGGCGAGCGACGGAGATGAAGGATGGCCTTGTGATGGAGGTCGAGGAGGGGTAGGGCAAGGGATAGGGATGTGACATCATCCGGCTATTTAGTCTAATTGAATTTCATGGTCACAGGAGAGTTTAAGGAGCAGCCTACTACTTTTTAATGTTATCAGCAGGTATGGCCATACCCCAAAAGGCGAATGATGCGAGGCCACCGGAGAGAAAGTTTGCAGTGCCTGTGCTTATCTGGTAACATCCAACTGTCAGTAGATCTGGAAAGGATTGCAATCAACTATGAGCACCTCATATGGCGATCCTGTCAATCGCGAAAATCCTCGCATCAAAGCCTTATTACATCTTTGGTTAGCCAAGGAATACCAAAAACTCAGTCGTGCAGACCTCGAATGTCAGAAACATCCAGAAAAAATTACTTCTGAATGCGAGGCTTCCCGTTAGTCCGGACCACAAGCCCTGGAAACCTTGAACGCGTATGACTTGTCTCGCACAGTCCACAGGGCCTTTAAATTGGCGGTCAAGAACCGACCTCTCGGATTGAAGCTGGAGTTTGACTTGTTAGGGTCGTGAGCAGCTTGGAAAAGTTCATTTCACTGTGCCAGACCTTTCAAAAGCTCAACCGGAGTGGCTATTAAAGCGCTGAAAAGAATATCATAAGCCTTTTACTTGGCATTGCCCTATGGGAGGTTTGGAGGGCCCACCTCGTTAAGCCAGCAAAGAGCCCAGCCACCCCATGTGCAAATAGAGATAACCGGGGTATACCTAACCCAGGGGTAGGTTCAGTCATTCCATGTCGAAGCAGGAATAAGCGGTAGTTGTGCAAAGATCCGAGCAGGACTGAGTCAATTGCAGCCCAGCCAACTGCGGGAGGTGTTGCTCCTTTGTACAACGCAAAAACACCCTGACGAGATAACGGATCCAACGGTCAAATTCACGGCCAGAAGGGACGAATCGCACCTCTGTCCGTACAATTTTGGTTAGAACGTCAAAAGCTCCGCGATATGTTCCTGGCGGGGAGCATTGGAGGCGTGTCTTAATGGTATCGAATCTATTCTTTGAGTGAATACTATTCGGGAGAAGCTAGCTCGCGTTGTAAGCCGTGTGCATAGCTGCGGCCCGACATATAAGTTACCTTCAAAAATGTTGGTCACCCATGTCCCACAGCTACCTAAAAGACAATCAGAATTGGAAATTGGATCATGGCAAAAAATTGATATGACTTTGGTCAAACCTTAAGCAGAGTCAAAAAATGTTAAAGAGAATACGATAAAAACATACCACTACCTATGCCGGCGAAAGCACCGACTAGCCTCAGATGAGCGCTGTGGTGGGCATCCTCACTCATCCGTGTTCAGTGTGGATCGTGACAATGTTCAGTACTCAGTTCGGCAATGTAGATGAATGCCGGAGTCAACAACGGTGGCGGCTTCAGCGCTCAGCGCCTCCTCACTGTGCTTATCTCCTTCCAACCAGGCCCCTTCACCACGATGCCCGACGCTGACGAAAGACAGTGCAGGATCTGTTTCGATGGCGCAAATGTCGAGCTTGAAATGGGCCGCCTCATACGTCCTTGCTTGTGCAAAGGTTCCATTAGTGTGAGCAACGGCGCCTTTCAGCCCTCCCAATAACTAAAGTTGAACACTTGAACAGTACGTCCACGTCAAGTGCCTGCAAACATGGCGAAATTCATCAGCCTCAAAGAGTGCCTTTTTTGCTTGCCCTCAATGTCGCTACCAATACCGCTTTTCACGCACCCGCATCGTGGGGCTTGCCACAAACCCTGGTCAGTTCATTCAATGTGACCAAATATGGCTTCCTCATTTTGCTGCAGTCATCGTTGGAGGTTTGTCCGGCTTGGTATTCACAACGATCGTGATGTTAGCTTCTTACATCACAACCTACTTCATGGCTGCGTTCGAGGAGCCTTCCAACTATTATTCCTATTCATTCTTCTACATCTCTCCTATTCAGGTCTTCCAAGATCTTGTAACGGCAGCTTTTCGCGTCCTTCGAGATGGCGACGTAGTGGGAATCTTCGATGATACCGCCTTTACTTCGCCGACGCGTGCAAGCGACAGCACCCTTCCTAGATCGAAACAGACGCCTGGATTGATAATGTGGTTCATCCGACGTTTTGTTCTGGGTCTTCCTCTTGTTGGCGCTGGTTCGCTTGTCCATCTGCTGCTTTCAGTTCAGATGCTCGCTCCTGTGCAATGGCTGGCTCGATACAGAGGCCAACGCAACAGACGCAACGACAGTTCACGCGACATCGCAGCGCTGATCGTTATAGGCCTACTTGTTGTTGGTGCTGCAAGGTATCTTATTGAGACCGCTCAACCGGCTGCGCATCTTACCATTATCTTTCGCAGAGCCTTAATCAAAGTGTATCAACTTACACAAAAGTGGACGCAGTATTTACTAATTCGAGCCGAGGATGCTATCTTAGAGGTTAACTAGTTCTTTTAGTTTGGTTGTCTATCTGAATTTGGAGGTGTATTTATTCTACAAGCAACATGGACAGTTGGGCTACCAGTACCGTCTGAGCTGCCGCTTGACGTTTTCATATGTCGTTCTTGTTTCGGTACGACTTGGTTCCAACTCGGCCATATACTGGTCAACGGCAAGATCAACACGTCCAACAGGAAATTCAGCTCGGAGAGTCGATGATTGAGGCCGCATCGCTTCACCGAGCCAATCTGAAAATAAAACAGCAATTTCTGACGAAATTGCCTGGACATTCGCTTGATCGTTGAAAGGTGGAACCTGGGAAAGAAAACTCTCCATCGGGTGACTTGATAAGATAAGTGCTGATCTTTCTTACTTGAGATTCATACATCTCGTGGAATACGTCCCACACTTCGACAAATGGAACCCCACATTGGACCAATATTCTGGGCGACCAACCTAAGGGTACTGTACCTTTGTTTGACAGCATGAAGCGGACGAGCAGAGTGGCCACGAGACCTGTAGTACGAAGAAAGTGTAAAAAAGGATGCAGGGTTCTGGCGATCACAACACTTACGAAGCGGGAATGCACTCTCCGATGGATAAAAGCGTTGACCTAGTTGCACAACTTTTGCCAGGATGAGATCTGACTGTGCCACAACATCTGGAGATTCATTTAAAACTGCAGGAATTTAAGTGAATAACTGTTACGAAAAGAGATTCAACCTACTCTCGTCAAATATTTGGTTCCAAATGGGTTTGACGACGCTTTCGTCTTGATGCTCAGAGACGTGCAAACAGAGAAGTTTTATGGCAGGAAGATCAAATGTCACAGCATAACCTTGATAGAGCTTGAAAACCATCAAGCACTGTTGTACCATGATTATTGGGAGAATGATCTACCTCGGTCATCGTGAACAGCCTTTTCGACAGTAAACTTATTCGTTCCCCAACCTCTCGTGCGTCGTCAACGTGGGGAAGAAGTTGATTATAGATCTCCAGCTGAACTTGAGCTACATCAAGCTTTTCTTCGAGATCTGTAAGGAAGGCAATTGCAGTTTCGTGTCGTCCACCAGCCGAAATTGGGTGCGACTTCGCGTTCGCCACCGCAAGAGTGAGGTATTCCAGCCTCGCATCAAGGTGGAGGTCGAACCTGGCACACAGAAGGTCAAGGACATGCCGAAGAACTAAACATAGACAACCTACTGTGTTGACTCAGCCAAAGCTCCCAAAACTTCAGCGGCCCTCAGTGGCTGTCCGTTTTTCACATAGAATTGCCAAAGAAGCTGGTATTTCTGCACAGTGATTGGCTCTCGTCTGAGATGTGCTTCAAGGAAGGCCGGTCTCATCTAGAATTCAAACTCAAGCTGAGCGTAGAAACCAAGGAGTAGACTCCGCACCTCAAGAAGATCATCAGCCAAATTGCGTTCAATCAACCAATCATAAAGTGTCGAATGGAACATCTCATCCTCGCTTCCAAAAGCAAGCTCATAGGCATGACTTCGAACGGTCTCTGGATCATCGGAGACCAAAGCATTGTCCGAAATTGTCGGTTTCACGGCTGTGCATTTGCCCTCAAAGGTTGTGAGGGAGTCCATGACCAGGTCGTAACATCGCAATCGTTGTTCAGCAAGTTCGCGGCGTGGGTCGGTTGAAGGGAGTGCAGCATGCCAATATTCAAGACCGGCATTGTCTGGGTCATGCAACTGAGCGCAAACCAGCGGCAGGCAAATCGCACCTGTAATTTTGCCGTTGAATGCTGATAGTATGGCAGTCGTACGAAAGGCTTACCTTTGGCGTAGTTCAATTGTTGGAAATCCCCGCAAATCTCTCGTAATTTCTCAAACTCAAGAATCCTAGCACCTTTGATGAATAGTCTGGTGAGGATCATGAGAGTGTATCTAGCAATGGAGGCGGGGAAGAAATTACCTCAATGCTTCAGCCAACCATTTCTGCCGTTCAGCTGTGCTACGGGTTTCGGAAGCCTTTCTTACATTCTCTTTCGCCTGAGAAACAGTTGGTCATTGTCGGAGGGCGAGGAGTGACAACGTACCTTGTAAAGCATGACATCGTCGGTGCTGCAGAATGACCCACACCGCTGCTGAAGAACCTCGCTGATGGTGTCGATCTGTAGGGCCTCAGTGCCGACTGGGAGCCTATTGTGCAACCAACTCACACTGATCTGTTGCCCGATTTGCTGATCGATAACAACGTTGACTAGAGCTCTAGATATTGTCATTCCATTTTGAGTTGTTATAAGATCCTCAAAGGTTTGGGAGGCGATGAGCTTTTGAATCTCAGCTTCACAGCTAGTTGAAATGGTCGATTTCTCTCGTTACACAGGAAGAGATGAATAGCATACTGCGAGATCAGGTCTCCAAGTCGATAGTCATTCAACAGCAGGACGAATGATAAAGCCTCAATCGTTCTTGTGAGAAGAGCTTGTATTTCAGAAACGGATACCTGTTCAGCCTTTGGACATCTAATGAGCAGGAGCTATACTGGAGGTGAGACAAGCATACTTTCCAAGCTTCTTGATCGGCAACGGTCGTCCTGTTTGATGTGGGTTCACTAGGGGACGAATGGAAGAGGTGGGGATTTTTATCCAGAAAGTCCTTCAAGGCGTATAGATTTTTCTGAACATTGATCAGGAGGGTTTCCGATACAGCCAGCTGTTGCTGACCGGCAACACTGTTGATTCCAGTTCAGTTCAACTGAAACACATCCGAGGACGGGTTTAACCTTGGTTGCGCAATCTTTGATTTCCACAATGGGCGGATAAGTCGTGAAAAGTAGATAGCTAAGCCTTCACGACGCCCACTAAATATTGCCGTACCTGTGTTCTCCGCTAATGTTGCAGTCAGTCTAATGAAAGGGGGTGATGTACAGGGTGAGTGACACTCACCCGTTCCATAGGTGACTCTTTCTGTCCAGATAGGGCGTTCTCCGAAGTCATAGAACGCTTGCTTAGCTACGCCGGCTATCTCTGGACTGACCATACTGATGGTGCCTGTGGACTGGCCATCTACGGAATCAAAATATGTGTTACCACTTGCGAGCCCTAGCAGCATGGAGCACGTTTGGTCTCTTCCGAAGCTGCATTGAAGGGAAATTAAATAACAGCGCCGCTGTGTTCAATTGGCTTACCTATCGCGGAATTCAATGATTGGTTGCACATTCCCTTCAGCTTGCAATTCTTCAAGCACCGCTTTCAAATAATCGACGTCCCGTCGTTTTATAAGGAACGTTAAACCCACATTTGTCAATATCATGAATTGTTGGGCGGGCTCTCCAAATTGCCTTGCTAGTTCGTTTATCACTGAAGGAGATGGGGCCGCAGAAGATGTCGCCAGTGATGAATTTATGACAGATGCCATTGCCCAGGTTCTTCCAGGGATAGCCAAAAGAGTAGCATATTCTGTCAAAGGAGCTCGACTTGTGCTAGGTGCACCACCATATGACCCATAACCTGTCGCGTACTGCTGTTGGGGCTGCTGCGGCAGATTCAATTGACCAAGAGTGCCAATTCGAGTAAGATCAGGAGCTAAACAAAGAATATAGTCGGTCCCGTCGCTGTCACCTTGTTGAGCCGCGATTGTTAAACCGTCAATATAGCATGAACTGTCGATCGATGACACGACGTATGGCCTACTCGTAGGCTGTGTAGCCACTGGCGGAGCGCCATACATTGCAACAGGTGGGCGATACGGATTGGCTTGTTCATCAGGGTGAATTAGGTTGGATGGAGGTAGTCTGACGTGGATGAGCTGGAGTGTTCGCGACCCCGAGGCATTTGAGATGGACCCATGGGAGTAGTTATATGACATAGATGGGGAGAAATAAAGCCGCACTCCGTTAGTGGTAGTGGCAAAAAGTTGGACTCCGCTGCGTGACTCCGCTTGTGAGATAACATGTAAGGAGACGATCTGGAAATTTTTGGGAGTGAGGGCAGCCGAGCCAGGTGCTTTATCTTGCGCAGATTTGTAAAGGTTCGACAGAGTTTGAATATGTTGGAGTGACTTGTCGCCACCAGGTTTGTAAATTGAGATGGTATTTCGAGACGTCAAGGTATAGAAGCAGTTTCTGGGGGTGTCGGCGACGATTGCGACGATGCGATCTAAGGAGACGATATCATGAAGTTGTCAATGGGGTGGTGTGTGCCCTTACCCTCTGTTGTCGATGCTGCGAATCGAGGCAGAAGACTCTGCATCCCTCCGACGGAGTGGTTGATGAGTTGGACGCGCTTGCCAAACCATCCTTCACTTTCTTGATAATGAAGTTCGTACAAATTTCCATCTTGTGATCCACACATAAATATTCGGCCGTCAGACATGCCAACGACAGATGTCATCTCAACGTCAGAAGGTATGCTAAGGTCGGTGGCGTAGAGTTTGATGTCGTTGTGAGATCGGTTGTCCTGTCCAGTGCGAGAAGATACAGAAAGCCCAATGAGGAGTACAGATATTGGTGTACAAATAACAAGAAGAGAGGTGATGTCGTCAATGAAGAGTCCTCGTTTCGGTTTGACGAGGGCGACGTGGGTGATGACATCAGGTTGGTCAACGAAGGAAGCTATTTCTTGACTGCGTTTTTTCAGCCCAGAAAAAAACAATAGCATCTTTCATCACGTACCCGTCATTATAGTCCCATAGAAAGAGTTTGTGATCAATCGAAATCCAAACACGTTCAATTTCTGGCATTAACCCCATGTGAGAAGTGACGCTTGCACCTGACTATGTGTGAGCACTAGAATTAATAAATTCTTGAAGGTGCGCACTGTCATAGTATTGGAAGAGGCCCTCGGGGATTCCTACGAATCTTCTTTTCTGGTAAGGAACTCGAATATCATCGGGGAACACGCTATACGAGGCAGACGCCGCTGGAAAGTGTTAAAAAGAGGGGACGTGTACATGGTAGTGAGTACGTACGAGTGTTGAGGGTGTCACCGATGTCGGGGATAATTTGGGCATCCTTGGTGATTTGATCGAATAAGACTCTGCTCGCGTTCTGAAGAGACGCAAGATCGACTGGAGTAGATTTCGCAGGTAGCGGCTGGCGACCAGAGGAGGGTGTATTTGTACTATGAGAGGAGGCGAAAAGAGAGGCCATATGACAAAGTTAAAAGGAAGTACAGGCTTTGGTACAAGCTCAACTTCTCTAGCGCGTTCAAATCTTTCAACACGTGACCTCAAAGTTCACACGGGTGCAATTCTTCATACAGCTTTAGATTGGTTCGAGTCGGACTAGTGTGGTGGGAATTAGGCTCTCGTAATTTGCAGCTGCAAATTTGCCCTGCAAATTTGCGCTAATTTGCCGACCAAAGTTGCAAACCCGAAACTGGCCTGCAAATTAGGGCAAATTAGCAAGGTCTTGAGCAAGCAAATGACAGCAGGTTTCGCCGCAATTTTTTGGTAGATGGGCATAGTTATGGCCTTGTCGAGGACGATTTTGAGCGAGGTTTGTGAATTCTAGGAGTAACTTGTGATTTTTCTCCATTTGACCCACAAGCTCACTGCTCAGTCATGTAAATCCAAATTTGAAAGTTTTTCCACTGTGCGCCCACAGTCAAATGCACACCTGAAAAAAATCTTCAGACTCAAACAGCATGCAAGTACACCAGCAAATAAGTTCCCTTCTCGCCATTGTCAATCCCCTCGTGCATTTACTTGTGCACATAGCAAAAAGGCGGTCAAGCAGACCCTAATTTGCGCGAATTAGCTAATTTGCCCTATTTTGCAGAGCTAATTTGCGCAAATTAGCGAGGGCTCCCGGGGGCTGCGCCCCCGGACCCCTGCCTGCAAATTTGCCGAAAATTAGGGTGCAAATTAGGGCCTCTTTGAGGCCCAAGCAAATTTGCTTGGGAGAATTAGGGTCCAGGGCTATTTCCCGCCACACTAGGTTCGACTCGCCGCCACTGGCCTCACCGCCTCATGCATGGCTGCCTTTCCTTTTAATAAAGGCACCGTCTCTGATTCTATTCAGAGGCATGTTGTTGACAAGATTTATTCTTCGCACTTCGTCTTTGAACTCCCTCCATTGAGCGACGCGGCTTGGTCTTCCATCTGCAACAATTCCGCGGAACGAGATCGTCTCGAATTTGTTGGAGACGCTTTGATGAGTGGTACAGTGTCTGAAGAGCTATACAGGATCAGAATCCAAGGTTCACCCGGTTTCTACACGGTCGGATTTTTTTCGACATACTCTCTCCCATTCATTTAAATAAAACAAATAACCTTAGAACGCGCGAAGTGCTCTAACTGCCAATTCCACTTTTGCTCATCTTATGCACAGGCTCGGCCACCATGATATGCGCGATAAAGTCAAGCCTGCTGGTGATGCCTTCGAGACCATCATTGCCGCCTACCGAAACGAAACCAGCGCAGAGGCTTTTCAGCAATGGTTTCGAGACAACTTCACGCAATTGATTCACGTCGCTTGCGCCGCATATGATTCATGGTAAGGGTGACGCCCCCCACACGTCTCACTTTTAGAATGGTATCCACAGGATGAACTTGTCAATGCCAAGATCAAAAGGTAGTGGTGGGAGCGTCAAGCAACGCCGACTCTTGGACAAAGCAAAGCACCGTCAGAAGGCTGAGAAACGTGCGCGAGGACTACTGTAATCTTGGCCCTTGAGTTTGCCCATATAACATATTCTTAGACCCTATCAGAAAGCCACAGGATCGCCGCCACGGCAGAGCTTCAGTCCGGCCATCCGCATTACGGAGAGACTCCCGAGCTTGTGCTTCCCAAGTTACCGTTATCGACCTCACGATTGATAGTGACTGGGAAGATGAAGACGAATTACTGGAAGTGGAGGCAATACTCTCGGATTCAACTGCAGTTGTTAGTTCTCAATGGAGTACGACATTGACTATGTTTATTCTCAACTTTTATTTTTAGAATACTGCTCTGAGAGTGCCAAGGAGCCCCGCGTCCTCTCCAAAGCGAGCCTTGAAATCGATCACTCGCTCGTCAATGGCTGCTTCCTGTTCTCGGACACGACGGAGAAAATCTGATTTTGCAAATCCCATACCACTATGCACGTTGAATCCAACCATTTCTGGACAGCCCCTCATGTTGGGAAGCGCCAAACATCCAATCGTCATAGATTGAACATTGTCGAATGGGTCTTGACAGGACGAGGATCTACCTCGGGAATACCCATTACTTACAATACAACGAAAACTAGGTGTACTTGTGGCCGTCTCAAACGCCCTAATCAATTCCATCGACCACGCTTGTACTTACTATCCCCTCTCCCCCTATTATTAAACCTGTTGGTGTTGCTATTGTTCGAGGAAATTTGTGATTGTGATCTTTTCTTGCTGGAGGAAGGTGTCGCAGTGGTAACCTCCAGAGATTGATAACCAACTTTCTTGCATTCCGCGTCAAAAGCTTGAACGAGGTGACCAAAATCAACATTGACCATGCTGCCGAAAAGAGTGTGACTCGTTGACCATTTATTTGCTGTCAGGCGAGGAGATGTAACACCGAAGGCCATCCTGGCCAACAACCGCGGGTCGTCGCGAATAGGACATGCGTCGAGGACGGCTTGTATTTGTTTGGGATGGACAACTGTTGGCGACTTGAGAGTAAATTCAACTGATTGGCCAGTTGTGCAGAACGTGCAAGATCCACACATGTCGTTAGGAACTGCATCCTCGTTTCCGAAATGCTTAGCCAAGTTGTGGGCAAGACCTAGAGTGTCATTGTGAGGCTACAAGATCTCAAGAGATCAGGCAACTTACAGTCGTCATCGATAGCAAACGCAATGACTTGTCGTAGCTTTTTAACAGAGTCCTCCTCTTGCTTCAACATACGTGTATGCATTTCATCTGCCAGTGCTCTGATGCTTGCAGCCGTCTTTTCGAATGGCTTCAATAACGTATAACGCTATAACGAAGGTCCTGTGAGCGAATCACAAAGATTGCTATTACACACTCTCTTACTGCTCTGACTTGAGAAGCCTTGACTTCAGCGCTACCATCAAGTTCCCAGTTACTGATATGTCTTGCCATGTCAGCCCTGTCAACGCCGGCTCTTGATGCAGCATCTACAATATCAATCTAGGGTGACCATCAATAACTGAACATGTCGAAAACGCAAAGTCACTGACTTCATGTTTGCCAGTTGCACTCTTTCGCCGCCAGTATGTTCTGATCACTTTTCCGATTTGACTATTGTCAGAGAAGATCCTACTGCTGTTCAGGGGAGTTATTTCGTAAAAAGAGTAGAAAGGAGTTATCGCCCGTATGTAGCCATGGTCAAGCTCAAGATGCGCATAACATAGCCCCAAAACATTGGCCTACACGTACCCTAAATATCAGGAGGCCGAGAGCAAGTGTGCCTTAAGACCTACTCGAATATCATAGCTAGACGGAGGAATATGAGCCGTGCATAATGAGGGGTGACAGAGACACTAACTCTTTTCCTTGCTTATAGTGGTTAAAGTCAAGAGTTCCATCTGGTGCAGGCACTTTCGTAGCAACTTCCTGAAGCCAAAGTTCAAGGTCTTGCTTAGAGCATGTGTCCCCACGACAAAATCCTTCCAAAGTTGGAATGTCTAGAGAGGAAAGGAACATAACACAGGTGGATGTCACTCCATCACGCCCGGCCCTTCCTACCTCTTGGCTATAGTTTTCGAGGGATTTTGGCATATATAGATGAATTACCTGCTTGAGGTAAGAGTATCTGTCATACGGCAGATGGACAATACACATACTTGTCGGATGTCAGCTGAGAAAAGGGGTTTCATTACGTCGAAATCATATAGATGAGCTGATGGCATTACCTTTGTCAATACCCATGCCAAAGGCAATGGTACATACCACAACCCCATCCTTAGATTCCATAAATGCTGTCTGGATCTTTTCTCGCCGGTCACTGGGCAATCCAGCATGATAAACCATAGCATCAATCCCATGGGGCATCAAATAATTCGCAACCTCTTCTGTCTGCTTTTGAAGAGTAACATAGATAATTGATGGACCTGTCCTCGTTTTGAGGAGTGGAACGACACGATCGATTTTTTCGTCCAGTGTTTCAGCCACCTCAATTCTGAGGGAAAGACTGGCAATGAATTAGACGGAGATCCACATGGGGGGTAGGGTTGAACCTACTTTGGGCGAAAAACGGGCGTCGAGAAAACACCCTCCTTAGCAATAAGGAAAGAACTGCAAATATCAGCTGACACAGACGGTGTAGCTGTGGCAGTTAGGCAGAGTACGCGCTCTACATCCAACTCCACAGCGAAGCGAGCTATTTTGAGGTAGTCCGGACGAAAACTGGCGCCCCACTAGCGCATAGATGTCATGCGAAGTTGAAGCCCACTAGGTGGAAACGACAAACCTGAGAGATACAGTGCGCCTCGTCGACTGCAAGAAGCGATATTTTCACCTGAGTCATCATGTTGACAAAACCCTCGTTGTTTAGCCTGTCTCCTGTGGGTTAAAATGGCGACAGTCGGTTGTTCAGAAGAAGGGCCACCTTTCAGGGGCGACGTATAAAATTTTCATTTTACCCGCTAGTACCTCCGCCTTAATCCACTTGGACCGTTCAGGAGGCTGCGTACTATCGAGACTAGCTGCGTTGACTCCGCGGGAGACAAGGGAATCGACTTGGTCTTTCATCAAGGCAATCAACGGCGATATTACCAACGTGAGGCCCTGGTAAATGGGGCTGTAAATAAACGAACAGACATGAAATGTGATTTGCAGACTCACATCAAGACACAGTCCTGGAACTTGGTAGACAAGACTCTTCCCACCTGAAAGAGATGGGATTGGGATTAAGTAGAAGGTCTGTGCCAAGGCAAAGATAAACACACCTCCAGTCGGGAAAACAACCAAAGCATTTTCATTGTCGACGATCAACCGAGAGATGGCCTCAAAGACGCAGTGTCAGCGTCACCAAGATAAGTAGTAGAGTAATCGTGGAGATGCATTACTCCGACACTTTCAATTCTCACCTTTTCTTGAGAGAGGCGAAAAGACTGAAAGCCAAACACGTCCTTAAGGACTTCCCGTGCTTTTTCCATGTGAAGACGTGAACGCGTGAACTTTGAAGGTGTCAGACTCACTTTTAAGGGGGGGGCGAAAAGTAAAGACGCGTATGTGACACGGTCACGTGATGGCTCAATGAGTTGCAAAACAATCCAATATAATATATCAGAGGTAAGTATGAAATGGTATGAACAGAGTAGATATCCTGGTACAAATTCGGTTCAGCGAGACAGAGGGATACAACGCAGCCGTGATCAAAGAATGGTCAGAAATGTTCCTAGAGAAAAGGTCAAGTCAATAAGCAAATATTGGGGGACACAACTTACCTTTGCAAAAGTGAACTCAACATTGGAGTTGGTGTGGGAGACAGTAGCATCCTTGATCGCCTTAGCAAGCGCACCAGGTCCGCAGAAATATGTCTATATAGGGTAGGGGGTTGAGTGTCAGCGATCAACTTCGGATGATGGCCTCGTACAGCAACTTTGGTTTTTAACTGGGACGTGCTTCCAGGAAGATATTGTCCTCCCTCAATTGCTTGCTTCATTTGTCCAAAGATAGTCATCCAATCGGGGCGTCCAAACATCGTGCGCGAGCGTAAGAGGGTGAGGGGATCATATTCAGCACCAGCGTCATTGACAGCGATGTTCCAAAGCATGTCTTCGCTGATCTTCTGCGTCAGGTACACGTTGATACGCAAAAAATTGGCTGACGAGAACAAAAAAAACATAAAATTTGGAGACCAGCCAAAACGTGCAACTCACGATCAGCTTGGGCAGCCTCGACTTCCTGAAGCAAGGACTGGAACCAACCAAACGAAGGTGCATCTCGACAAACCCAGAAGAATTCAACCCGACGCAGGGAACCCAGTTTGCCCTTCTTCTGCCTGTACCAAATATGCTTAAGGATGGAGGCGAAGGGGGTGACACCTTCATCGACATAAATCAGAATCCATTGAACTCGCTTCAAACACTCACCGATACCGGCACCAATTAAAATAGCTACTTCAGCCCCAAACACGTCCTCCGCTGGAGCACCATAGGGACCATCAATGCGAACGGATGGAAGAGCAATTGAAGAGCCAGCTGGATCCAATTCCACGTAGTCACCTCGAGACATGCCTGACATTTTATCCTTTTCAGCTCCTTTCATGGCAGCCTGAGTCATTGAAGCAACAACGGACGGTCCAACACCCAGGCGGTCTCCCAGACCTCGAGTGAAATCACCAACTTGGCGGATATGGATAGAAACGTAGGGATCTTCAGGCGCTGATGTGATAGTAAACTGCGGCATTTTGTCAAACGCCAATTCAACGGAAATTATGTGCAAATCGCTACGTACCGGATGCCACTGGAAACGGGACAGTTCTGGGATCTGAATGAAAAGCCATTGACCAGCTGTATATTTGAAGCTGGGTTTGATGATACGCAATTCCATGGCGCCTGATACAAAAGACGCTAAGACTTCATCCCTAGCATCAAATGAAAAACGCACCGCTAGGATGAACAAGAACTTTAGATAAGCGTGTCGCTCGCCGTGCACGTATCTCTCTCCAGACCCTCTCTCCAAAATAGATAATACCAGGCCATATGATGAACCGCCAACTAAGGTATCCAAGACAATGTTCTGTGCTATAGAATGGGAAAGTTGGGATGTAATCTGGGTCGACGGTGTCGCGAACGAAGCATCCTGTCGCGTGCGTGTATAGGCCAAGCATAAAGAAAAATGCAAGGTGATGGGTATACCAGAAAGCTTCAAAGCATTGCTGACGGATCTTTTGATGTGCAGTCGAATACATGAGAACCATGATCAGAAGCATAAAGTGCCCAGTAATACCACCCGGCTGGGTGTAATGGATCTGGAGTGCGGTTTGCTTGCGAATCTCTGCATAGGGGTTAAGCTGTAAGTAAATAAGAAACGGGGAAGACCCTACGAGTACGTTCAACGTTGATGAAATTGACATAATGAGCGGTAGTATGAACCATAGCCCAGAAAGCCAGGGAATACGCGACTTGACGATGGAACCAGATGTTTTCGTCGGCGGGAAATGCCCACGTTAACTTGGGACGAATAATTCGAATAATGTTGCGAAGCATTGGAAGAAGAATGAGGCCGCCATCGAATGCAAGAACAAGGCCAGCGCCGCGAGATGTCCAAACAGAGTATTTCAGTGAGTTAAGACCAGCCAATCTCTGGTTTGTTGCCTGTAAAGAAGATGAGTGCCACTTGTATAGCATGCAGGAGCACGACGACACACCTGACTATACCATCCATATATGAAGAGCGACAGATGAGCGCCATAAAAGAGGACGTTGAACGCAAGTCGGCGTGGGACCATAAATTCCCTACGGAACCAGCTTTCACCCATAATTGTATGATAAATGGACCAGCCAAGGAAAAGAAAAAATGAGATATTACTGAAGGAACGTAGGGAGAGAAGAAAGAAACAAAGGAGGACGAAAGAGAGCAACGAGAGTTGATGGAACCGGCAATCGTGGGCTGAGTTTCAACGCTCATCACTAAGTACAATGACGCTGTGACCATGACGATCCCCTGAACATCCTTGATGCACCACCACTTTATTCTTCATATCTATACGCAACCATCGCCTCAATACGATGCACGTCCGTGCTGAAGCTTCGCATTTTCACCTGCTGGCTTTTGCTCGCCTCGATTGCCAACGGGTCCGTATCCACCCATTCTCCGGCAGGCACATCTGCAGAATCCGATGTGTACGCTAGGATGTTGAAGACTGTTGGTTCGTGAATGACAGGAAGATATGTCACCATCGAAATAATTTGTTTGAGAATTGCGCGTATTTCAGATTGAATTTCAGCCTCAGGCTTGGGCACTTGTCTAACTTGTCATCAAAACTATGTTGCACCAACATCAACATAACATGCTTACGGTTCTGAGGAATCTGCTGGTGGCTCTACCAACTTGATATCAAACACCCATCGTTCAAGCGGTATCCGCCCATCCTTTGAGATGATGGCAAGCACGAGTTGTGTGACAGAGCCTGTGAGGAGCCACTCTATCACATACGTTCAGCCTATGTGCCCATCTGAATAATCGACTCATTCACTCTGGACTTGTTTCAAAATCCTGAGAACAATTTTGAGCCTCGCCTCCATTGACAGCACTCGAGGTCGCTCACCTATCTAAATAGTTTTCCAGCGCGAGATCTTGGGTGACCAAGACAGTCTGTCCATATTTCTTGACCATATGGAAGTCGTCCGACGGGTATACCTCGCGTTGAAAGAGGATGCTTTTGACCAATGTCAGTGGTGCTGATGAGGGGAGGAGTGGGGAAAATTAAGGACGTATTGACTGCGTATTTGAAGAACTCTGTGACTAGAGTGGTAGAGCCTTTGAGAGTGATTGCTTGTCGGTTTGCTTGTTTCGAAGCCATTGCTGAAGTGTAATTCTTGGCGTAATTCAAGTGTAAGTAGGTAATTACAGAGTCGCGCTCAACACGCGACTTGAACGCATCACGTGTCACGTATCACCTAGTCTTCGTCTTCTCCTCAGATATGTCGGTCGCGACGCCGCCAACATCGTCACAATCCCCCGTAGCACCTTCTCCAGCTAATGTTCAAGACTCGAGCTCAAGTGCCTCTGCTGCGGAGAAACTTGTTCTTGAGTATCTTCGTGCGCGTGGCCACACTGCCGCCGAAAAGGCATTCTTGGAAGATCTCGATGGTGCTACTCCAGACGATAAAGGAAAGCAACCAGAAACCATTGGCGTAGATGACTTGGTCAAGGCTCTCGCAGTCTTTGTTCAAAAGCCATCTCGTCCGGGAGAGAATATATTGAAAGACTCTTCGAACGTCTTGCAAGAGCTCACAGCCATGGGCAATCCGGTGAACATACAAAATCTCATCGCCAGTATTGGTTCAGTTGGTGCAGAGGAGCTTCTTTCGCTGGATCCTACGGACAAACAGGAGGGCTTTCGAGAGCTTGAAGCATGGGTAGATGGATCGCTCGACATGTATCGAGTGAGTCGTTGCATGGCTGTTCAATATGCATCAGAAATAAACCTGTCTTAAGCCGGAATTCAGGCCTATATTGTTTCCCATTTTTTGCCATTTTTATCTCGACTTGATTCAACATGGTTTTAAGGATGCGGGTGAGTTCCCAATCGTGATATTTTTCCCCACAGCTTATGTAGATTCTGGTCTAGCACTGCGCTTTTACAAAACATTTTCCTCATCGTTGTCGCCATCTCATCATGCAATTCTTCACCATTTATCTACCCTTCTTCTTCCCGCACATGTTCAAAACGATGAACTGGCTCAACGCTTTCGAAACGAGAAGTACGCAGTCCGGATGAGCCGTTCAGGATTTGGCCTGCTTGTAGGGTGGCTCACAGAAGGCATTGGTGGTGAAGCGTCTGGTTCTGGTGACGGATTTTCAGGTGAAAGAGGAAAACGGGGCCGAGCATCAGTCATGCGGGTCGTGAACAATCATCTCCGTTTCGATGGTAAATGGCATATTTTGGTGTACTCTAGCCGGTGTTTACTTGAAATCCAGTCACTTCATCCAACCCAACCTCTGTCTCGCCGCACGCATGGGAGGAGTCGACGGGGCTTCTTTCCTCTTTGATTCCCCAGCCAAGTGGCAATAGAACAAATCTGACGAACCCGCAAGCATTCAACTTTAGTAAAGGCGATCTCAGGCTTGGACCTGCGCCGATCTCGGAGGAGCTGAGAGCTGAAGCTGAGCGCGTTTTGAGAGAACAGGCCATGCTTGATCGGGACGCTACGCAATTTGATGTCCAATTTCCTAGACCTGCGATCGTTCAAGGCCTGACTGCCCCAAACGAGACGGACCTTCCACCGCGGCCTCCAAATTTCAAGACAATTGATGTTGAGCGCGAAGTAAACGCAGTGAGGGATGCGAGGAAGCGGATTCGGCTGGAGCCTTCTGTCCTGCATAACCTAGACATTAACTCGCCTCAAGCTAACGCATTGAAAGCTCGCGCGTTACCCAGCATATGTGCCTACACTTTGCACGACGTCGCGGAAGGGTAAGCGTTCTTGACTGATGTCAAAGTTTGACAAATTCAACCACCGTCAGGGCGCCTTGCTGTACATTTTCTCCAGATACATCATTGCTTGCTGCAGGGTTTGCAGAGAGTTATATTCGTCTTTGGAGCCTCAAGGGCGAGAAACTCGAAGGTCTGAGAAGCGATTTTTCCTCCAGTTCGATCAAAGATAGTACGTGGCTTCACCTCGTCAATCTTTTGCGGTTTAACCTTTTCACACTCAGGCTCGTCGCTGCAGAAGATCAGAGAGAAGAAAGGAAGTACGACCCGTAAACTGATAGGTCACAGTGGACCCGTATATTCCGTTTCATTTGATCCTCTCAGTGGGTCAGCAGCACCTCCAAAGTATATTTTGTCCGCATCTAGCGATGCGACTGCACGATTATGGTCATTGGACACCATGACCAACATCGTTGCATACCGTGGCCACGAAAATCCGGTCTGGGATGTCAAATGGAGTCCAATAGGCACATACTTTGCGACTGCCAGCCGAGATCGAACTGCTAGACTTTGGTCGACAGATCGAACATCGTGTTTGAGAATATATTCTGGCCATTTGAGCGATGTTGATGTATGTAATATTCCTTTGCATCTCAAATGGTCAACTTAACATGCATTTCAGTGCATTCAATTTCATCCTAACTCTTTATACCTTGCGACAGGTTCGAGTGACTGGACAGCGCGCCTGTGGGACGTACAGCGAGGATCCTGTGTCCGCGTTTTCATTGGGCATCAGGGCGCTGTTTCGTCTTTGGCCTTGAGTCCAGATGGACGTTATCTAGCAACTGCAGGTCTTATGGTCCCCTCCCTTGCACTCCAAAGGCCGTTTTCTGACTTGCATCACAGGCGAGGACCTTGCCATCAACCTCTGGGATGTCGGATCCGGGAAGCGAATTAAAAAAATGACCGGGCATTCGTCATCGATTTACTCACTCGTTTTCAGTGCCGAGTCTTCTTTGTTGGTCAGTGGTGGTGCAGACTGGACAGTCCGGTGCTGGGATGTGAAAGGTTCTGGTGGCTTGCGGGTGAAACCGCGCGAGAATGGGATCGCAGAGAACGGCAATCGGTCCTATAAGGAAGAAGAAAGCCTTGAAACGTATGTCGGCGAGTCTTGTGCTGTAATCTATCACTGACATCTGGCTTTCTAGGACGGACCTTTTGTCCACATTCCCGACGAAAAGAACACCCATAACAAATGTACAATTTACTCCACGGAATCTGTGTCTAGTTGGTGGAACATATTTGTCACCTGAGTCTAGATAATATATGTATAAATCGTGCGGAAAGTGCTATCCTACGTTCTTCTTGGCCTTCTCAGATAGGCGAAACCTTGCCCTTCTTACTTATGATTCCTGAATATGACCAGGTTAATCCTCATACGGCTGTTCTTGCGTGGTTAGCCAAAGAACCTCTCACGAAGCTGAACACTCACATTCCTGAGATGAAGATGGCAAGAAGAGAGGTTCCATCACCTGTGAGGCGGATACTGAATCGTCGGTCGAGTCAAGGGATCGCGATTCCTGTGAAGATTCGAATTCAAAAGCTTCTGCTTCGTCCAAACGACCGTTCACGTCCTCCGGCAAGCCGATTTCAGTGCCGTCTTCACTGCCGTCCTCATCTTCCGATGAAATACCGTCTTCGGTCGAATCATCGTATCCTGCCGATCCAGACGAGCTCTGGGAACTTTGAGACTCTTGATGTCCTTGTGAAAAGCTGCCATCCTCTTCTTCGATCTAGCAACAACATAAATGAAAGTAATAACACGAATTCGCAAGACTGACATCGTTCTGTAAATCCATCACCACCTTGTCATCCTGTTCGACCTCGGCATCGTGGAAGGCAGCTTCGTCCGGATGAGCGAGTTGTGAGGCGTCACCAGCCAAGTTCTCCAAGTTATAATTGAAGCGTGGAGTGGCTCGAGTAAGCATTGTAGAAATGTCTTTGAAGACATTTTGCACTCCATCGCGTTCTTTTTATATGGAGGCAATAGCCACCGCCAAGATAAAGGGATAAAGACCAAAAAGTCAAAAGGAAGACAAGAGAAAGAGCACACGAGCTCCCAAAAATAGACTGAAGCACGTGATGTCTAATTGGAATCGCGAGTGTTGCACACTGAAAAGTCAACACACACAACATCATTATCCAACAGCTTCACTCACCGCTACAAGGTATATAAATCCATTGCTTCATCAAATGTTGTGAGCTTTATACTGAAGCTCTAAACTTGCTCCACACAACGCTGACAGCTCTCCACAAATGGACGAATCTATGGACGTCGACCTCGCCACCAATAACCCTCATCCTGACACTCAGGATACTAGCAACAATCATCCAGAGCTTGTTGTTACTCAGGGTAATAAACGCTGCATTGCTTCTCTCACTTCACGCTTACCGTCGCACGCTCCCAAGCTTCATCTTCTCGCGACAATTTTCGCGACATTCAAGTCAAGGTGCACATACGAAGACCAGACAGGGACTCTTGGGTCTACATGGGTCGAGGGCTCGTCACGCAGGAGGTCACTGGTCACTCTTCTCGCGTTGGTGAGTTTCAACGCCTCTCAACACGACTTGAACGCCCGCTGACATGTGGCCACTATGCGTTCAGTGGTTCGGACTGTTTCCACTGGGAAAATCATGGCCACATTTGGAGAAGTAAGTTTCACTTGATGTATCATTGAAGAGCTAGCTAAGGTGAATAGTCCTCGGACATCCAGGCGGAGAAGCGGGGAAACTTTGTTGTAATTGGTTGTGTTGAGGGATCACGCGTCGTGTCTTGGTCCTTGAACGTATGTTTCTTTCATTTTATTCCCGATATTGATTGACATCACATTTCTTAGGCTCTAAACAACTCTGAAACACTACGTCTCTTAGCAAGCATTGAGCTTGCCTGCTATCGTTGCAAGCAAGCCCTGGTGGACCCCCGTCTGCATAGCAAAGCAAGGCGAAAGATAGAACGGGTTATCAAAGACGACAGGCGAAGGAGGCACCGCCGACGCAAAGACCAGGAAGCCATGATCGATGCTTTCGCAAAACAGAATTTGAGCACTGAACAAGTGCCTCTAGAAGCTGGGCCCCCCATCGAATCATGAAGCTATCACAAGAATGTGGACATTATCGGAAAGATTTGTAGGGTTGCTGTTTGTAATGCTAGACCTAGTTTGAATCATGCTGGATGCCTCTGTATTACCCTCGCGATTTGGGACCATCTAGGAGGCGTTGAGTAAAAAAATCTCAACAACGCAGGTACCTAGGTGATATCGTCCAATCATTACAATAGACTATAAGTAAGCCAAGAATACTGAGCGGGTATATATAGAAACATTGTAAAAAATAATGGTCCCAGAACAGGTAAGCACAAATAAGCCGTCAAACGTTCCTGCCCTTTCCAGTGACCACGATCCGCGAGGTTGCTGGAGCGGCAGACAAGCCAGCATCATTTGACGCCGATAGACCTGGTATTGGTGCCCGACTCTCCGAATATTGTGGAGGAAGTTCCTCCGGTTCCATGGTTTCCTCAATATCTGTGTGCAAAATGACGCGAGGCTGATGGGTCTTCCCAGTCTTTCCAGTGCTCGATGAAGTAGCCTGAGATTCAGAGCGTACCGTGGTGTCTTCGGTATGATCTGCCATTCCCCCATAGACTGAGCTATACGTGCTGAAACTACTAGTTGGTCGGCCATCTTGGGGTGCTTGTGGTGGGTAAGTGGACGCAGTGGAAGGCGCTCCGTATTGTGCAGGGTCCTGAAATCCTGCAAATTGTGGATTGGTATTCGTTCCACCGAACTGTTGGGGGTTATGACTTCCCAAACGTTGGTGAGTATTCGGGTTAAGACCCAGAGTATTACTGGCGTTGTGATGGGAGGGCATGCTTATCGCTGCCCCATACTGCTGAGGGGTATTAAAAGCGCCGTACTGCTGGGGAACGTTCGGAGCACCATATTGCTGATGGGTATTAGGCGTACCAAATTGCTGAGGAGCATTCGGAGAAAACTGCTGCTGAGACGCGTTAGGCGTACCGAATCGTTGGGGAGCGTTTGGATCATGAAACTGCAGGGGCGCATTAGAGCTATCGAATTGTGGGGGACTGTTCGCCCTCCCGAACTGCGGCGCTAGTGGTATGGCCGTGCTTGCGTGCTGTGAGGTGGTTGTTGACAAGAAGGGAGAGACTGGTGCGCTGTTATGGTGTTGTGATACCTGAGGAGCGAGGGCAGCCGATGTGTACCCTGCTGGAAGAATGAAGGGGTCGGGGCTGGGGGGCCTCACAGGATCGTAAGTGAAGTCAACCTTTTGGTTGGGACGGTATCCCGGTTTGGCGCGTCGGTTTCTGCTGAAACAGAAAAAGAGGAAAGCGGCGATCCCAACAAGTGCAAACCCTCCAACAGCTGCTCCAATGATGATTCCGATTTTCGACCCACCCTGCGATGTTCCGTTATTGTCCTGACCTGAATTAGATTTGCTTGTTTGCGAGGTGGAGGTCGTTCTACTTGACGTAACACCACTTCTACTTGATGTAACAACAGTGGTGGCCAGGCAGGAGTTATTATTCGTCAAACCAACCACCTCGATTGGCGAGGTACCCCCATTTCGACCTTGTGAATCGATCATAGAGAACGCGACTGAAGTTCCTGCAGGCAAATTGGCTATCCATGAGAAACTGCTCCCCGTAGGAGGATTGAGGACAAATGAATTCCCCAGAGGAACATAGGCCTAGAGCACTATGTGATTAGGAAAATAACAGGCGGCGATGGAGAATGGGACGTACGGTGATGGTGATCGGTTGTATGGCTCCCCCATACTGCGTGAAAGGATACGGCCTATTGAGATGGTTTTCAGGTAAACTCCCATATATATTTCTAATGAAGGACGGACGCACTGGCACTGCTGGAGGACGCCGTCGAGCGAAAAAAAAAAATCAACTCCTGGAAAGCAAAGTGTGTCCAGTACCTTTTGAGATCGGATAAGACCAGGACATACCTGGATCAGTAGTATTGCATTGACTCGCTCCCTGAGGTGGGCCAACCGTCAAAAGATCAGAGATTCCACCAGAAGCGGCCCCGGTCGCGTCAGACATGCTGAGCATCAAACGTTGGTTCTGGCCGAAAAGAAGAGGGGTCGAGAAGGATCCAGAATTTCCTTGGTAGGCGCTCGATGGGATACTAAAGGTGCGAATGGTACCACTTGGCTACAGAAAGATCAGTATATTTAGGATTTAGGGGCACTGAAAGGGAGCAAAGCACCGGTATAATCAACAACTGGAAAGGTGGTTGACCACCTATGATATTGGTGATAGCTGGGTTATTCTTTCGCATGCGAGAGTGAGTGGGTTGACGCACCAGTCCATGTGACAGCTATGTTCTGACATTGGGAGGGAGTGCTGAAGGTGAATGTGAATGCCTCTGCTCGTGTCGATGCACTCAAGGCGAGCGCAACGCACGAAAAATAGGACCACGTCGAAGGCATGCTGGGCCACCCCAGGGAACGAAGAAAACAAGCAATTCAAGAACGATAAGCGCTTGATTCAAATGGTCCCTGTCAATGCACTGCCCAGGCGACGGCGTGCCTGTCCACTTCTTATGTATCAAAATATATGTGATTTCTACATCACCATGGTCTCCGAGGATAATAATTCATGTTGTCAGTGAAGCGGAGGGTTGAACCCAAGAGAATGCGGAAGTTCTGGTTTTAAAGCTGAGATCTGTACCCACCTGGAATATCAAGCTTCGAAGTGCACAGACACAGATCTAGACCAACACGCACAGCTTCGTGGACATACACAACAAATATATGATAAGTTTAGTAAACCTGAGAATTTCGCAATGGTAGTACAAATAGATGTCTGCTATGATTTGCGTGATTCAGCCGCAGAATCTGGTGAAGTGTTGTAATGCGAAGTTAGATGAGTGGCGTTCCCAGGGCGTTCGGAATATTGTGGAGGAAGTTCCACCACACCCTCGTCATTAGGAGGTGGAAGAATATCATCAGCATCAGTGTGAACGATGAAGCGCTGTGGCTTGTATGCGTTCAGACCAGCCACGGAGGCTTTCCGTTGTGCGGTAGACATAGAATCAGTTGACGGCGCTTGCTCGGATCTCTGGAGCGAAAATTCTGCGCTGGACAGAACGGGGGGGCCAGAGGAATTGAATGGATCAGCCACAAGAGGGTCTGATGGCGAATAAAACTGCGAAAAAGCAGGATGGGATTGCGACGGTGTTCGATACTGTGATGACGGTGGGAGATGAGAATCGGCAAAGGGGTCGGCATCGTGAGGGATAGTACTGCTGGGCGAATACAAATCATGGGCGGTGGATGACGCACTGGTATATGAGGAATATGGATGTGTAGTAGGCGTTGCATCAGACTGATAGGGACGAAAGGGGGCGTTGGTTTGAGGAGAAAATCCGTACGGGGTTGCGTCGAGAGGATGACTATCCCGACCGGGATCGTGACTGAGGTCCACATCAGATTGCAGTCGACGCGAAGGCTTCCGGAAATCGCCACCTCCTGTATCGAAACTACCTGACCGTTTCCTCAAAAAGAAGAGGCCCAAGGTGACGACGACAGCCAGGAAGAGGAGGGCACCGATAACGGTGCCTGCGATCGCACTTATTGGAACGCCTTGCGTGGGGGTGGCAGAAGGTGAGGAGGATGACGTCGTGTGGCCTGCCGTTGAGTGAACTCCTATAGCCGTTGATGTTGGAGCTCTTGAGGTAGAAGACGGGGATAAATTGTTCAGGCAAGTGTTGTCATCTGTAGCCCCGACGATCTTAATGTCAGAGCTGCCTCCTTGATTCCCCAAAGCATCCGTCATCATGAATATCATTGACGTTCCCTGCATTACATTCGCAGTCCAGCTGAATGAATTTGATCCAACTGGCGGGTTCAGCACAATGGAAGTCCCCGATGGAATCACGGCCTAAGAAATAGTAAGATTTAAGACTGATGACTGAGGCACGGACTACCATGATGGCGACTGGTTGAGCCGCAGTGCGATAACTGCTGAAGACAAAAGGGCTGATCGACCTGCGTAAGTAACTTGAAATACAGTAAACAAGACAAGAAGTTTACCGGCACTGCTGCAACGCTACATTGAGTTGGAAAGCAAACGCGATACCTGACGACTCGGTGAGATTTACTTTTGAAAACCAGCACTACATGCTTACCTGGATCAGTTGTGTTGCAGCTCCCTCCTTGGGACGCTCCTACAGACATAACATCTGTCGTTCCACCTGCTCCAAATCCTGTTGCATCGGACATAGTGAGGACGAATTTTTGACCGGCGGGTAACGCGAGGGGAAGAGCATAGGTTCCCTGTCCGCCGCTGAACGAGGTAGTAGGGATTGATATATTGCGAGGTGTGCCAAAAACCTGGATCATAAGTGGGCAAATATTGTGTGGCTTGTGTGAAAGCTCCTACGGGAATAATTAACAACTGAAATGGGCCGGTTCCACCTGCGATGATATCAGAATAATTGTCGGTGTTCATCTGTACAATGTAGGATGAATAATAATATATCATACCGGACCACGATATGCTGAGGTTGTCGCATTCCGAGGGTGTCCCAGCAGTAAAGCTAAACGCGCTGGCGAAGGTGGAGAGAGAGATCAGGAACACGACCAGAGTGAAAGGAGTGAACATTGTGAGAGAATAATGACAGACAAGGAGAGGAGAAAAAGAGAGGAAGGGGCTACGACGACGACGAGGGGCAAAGGGACTTGGGCAAAGGGACTCGGCGACGACGAAGTCAATTTCAAATTCCCACTCAACAAATTATTTTACATCGGAATCAGTACTCGTCCAACTTGTCGCGATACTTGTTCGTATGATTTCTGGAGCGGCGTAGGATATCTGTTCGACGATTGTCGCATTTTCTCCATGACCTTGTGATCTGATGCCTGGCTTTGCTCGACGTCGCTCATCCTCCCTCTCGCCTCTCTGGAAACAAGGATCCTAAAGGATTCAAGAGTCGCTACTTCGAATGCCGGAACGAAGGTCAATCGTTTTCTATCTGAAAGAAACTCCACAACGTTGCTGGTTGTTAGATCATAGGGGCAAGAGATACTGGACTGAAAATCTTCTTGCAACTTGGCCTGTCGAGGGCGTTGGAAGAAAGCGCCCAACTCGCCCAACTTTTCTAGTTCCTGGGAAACCAAGAGGTACTTACGAGGGATTGCATTCAAATCCCGGAAACGTATGCGCAGACGTTTCCTTAGAGTTCATTAAGGGGTCCGGTAAATTGAAGTTCATTGTGCAAAAAAGTCAAAAAAGTCTATCTACAGCTGTAAAAACGGGCATTTGAGGGTGAAGAAAAACATGGAAGTTTCCTGGATCTATGCCCTTCTAGTGAGACGGGGATTTCAAAGTGGAGCAGCGTCCGTAAACAGCTAGACTTGATATCAAAGATTCACTGTCAGATTTTCAGACATGTGTCGTATGCACAGATAAGAGGATTCGGAGCATCGGATTTATAGTGTGCGAGCGTAGCCTGTGTTATATCCAAAAATGATAGCGGTGAAAATAATAGTCCACCTCAAACATCGGTCCAGATTTGTTTGGCCGTCTCAACCAAGAGGGCGAGCTTTTTCTTCTCATCCTACGTCTTAAGGTCAAAACCAGATTGCTTTGAAAATGATGTAAAACGTTGACCAACCTCTTCCGTGACGGGATTGCCCTGCCACACAGATGCGAAGCCGCACTGAGTGCTGATGCATAATCTTTAGGTGGTCCAGTCAGCCGTTAGCGCTTTTAGAAGAAAAAAATATTCGCACTGATCCAGCGCAACTGCTTTGGAGCGTTTGGGACTACCTTCGCACAAAGCTTGAACTGCCTCATTGACTCGCGCTTTCAGGTCGGCCACGGACTCGAGCTAACTCGGGGTGAGGATTGGGGCGAGTAAGCAGGTTGTGCTCTTACCTTTGGGTTTTTAGTCGTCACCAAACCCAAAACTGCGACCTTGTTGAGAGGTAGCTGCTTCAAAGGTGTAAAGTTTCCGGCCCGTTCTGTATCATATTCGAGCTAGCAGGATGTCAGAGTCATCCTTTCCAGGGATAACTACTCACGTAATAGGTATCTACATCGAGGGTGTTGAAGAGCTTGACGGCAATGCGGTCGTAACCACCTTCTGAGAAATGCACACCGCCCTAAGCATCGCATGATAAGTAAATAGAAATGTAGTTAGGGGTATGCCAACCTTGAAATTACCCCGACACATGTGAACTCCGATAGTTAAATCATCAGGGCGTCCTTGAGTGCAGACGTTGATAGCACGTATATATGTATCCAAAAGTGCTTCATGATCGACGCCAGCCTTCTCCATTCCGGCGATCATGTTTTCGTTGCAGAAATAGCAAAAGGTAGGATCATCGATTTGGATATGACCTTTGCGAGACACGGATGAGAACTTATGAAATTTCTAGTCCTATAAGGCTTACGGCAGCCAATGTCGTACAACTCTTTAATTTCCTCACGATAGGCGAGCCCGAGGTCGTCGAAATATTCGTCTGGAGTTATATATATATAAGTCAAAAGAAATTGAAGCGAGCTAAGGTAGAATATATGGGTCTTACCATCATTGTTATAGACCGAAAGGTCATATGTCAGGTCCGACCCATGGCGCTGATGAAACCACGAGGGTGAGCACATGGTGATCTTGATAAACTTTACATCCTGCGGAAGGAGAAATCAATGGGCTTGCCTGCTAGTGCATCAAGAGCGGGTGCTAAATTAATAATAAGTACCTCCGGCGAGACCAGGGTCTTGAGATACTTGAAATCATCAATATAGAAACCCTTTGTTCGTTTGATTTTTCCCTGAAGAGGCGTGAGTGAGAGAAAATTCTACATTGGAACGGTAGGCAATGACGCACGATACAAAACACGCTTTCAGACTCTTGGAGTCCCGCTGCATACATAAATGCAATGTGAGGTATATAAGGCTATGGTGGGAATCCATCAAGATGGTGAGTTTGCAAGTAGAGGTTTCGTCACCTTGAACGTGGATATGGGTCCTGATAGAAGATAAGCAAGGATCGATGAGGCGAAAAGATGACATTGCGTACGGTTGGGAATGGAAGTCATCCCCTCTAGGGTATCAAAAACTCCTTCGAAAAATACACCCCTGCAAGGAAATCATTTTCGGTGATGCGAAGCCGGAATTAAAATTTCATAAACATCCACCTTCTGAGCTCACCATCGGTAATAGTTTTGATACCTAGCTCTTGTTGAAGCCTAACTACATGCTTTATGGCATCATCTTCGACGGCCTTGAGGTCCTGCAGAGTGCACTGCTTCTCTTCCAGTAGCTCGCGCTTTTGAAAGAGGGCTGCGGGGCGTAAGAGAGAACCAATGTGTTCAGCACGGAAGGGAGGTCTCAAATGAACAGGCGAGGAGGACATGGCTTTCTGATAGAGGGGATGACGGGTCTGCCATGGTGCGATTCAAGATGAGCATCTTATATCGGAAAACAATTCTGGGGACGTAATGCTATTCCCAGAATATCGGGAACGAGGCAACGGCGAATAAATGTTCAAGAGAACCCCATTCTTGACACTTGCAGGGAAATGGTTTTCTAGATCAACCTCCATGGACACACAAACGTTCCGTTTGACGCCGGGGACCCCACATGATCGAGATGTCGCGGGATTAGAAATGATGTTATTATTTTCAAAAGCTGACTACATCGAAGTGGCGGGGAGAAGACGTGAACTTCTGAGATGCAGTCGCTTTGGAGGAAAAGGGACAACCAAATGGGGTTTGGACGGTAGAGGTTCGCTTGATCGCTGGTAGACGACCTTAGACGACTGGTCGTAAAGAATGAATCGTAAGCAGGAAGCGCCGGCGTAGCGTCTTGCGGAGCAACACCTGAGATGGTAAGATGCAACCCTTGCAAGGCGGCGCGGAACGACCTGGAACGAAGAACTTAAGTTCATATAGTTAGGGTTAGGGTTACGGGATTAACCGGCTGGTACTATGTAGTTGAGGCAAGCCACCCAAGTCCTATTAGGCTTCAAAGAATTATCGGCCTCGACGACGACCTCAAGACACAAGGTATGTTCGCTCGTTCCACAGATATGTCACTCTCTAATCATCCAAAGAATAAGCCATGGGTTTCCGGCACAACAACGGTGAGTCAATCAATTGAATATCTAACAGTCGCCCATATTTTGTTCAGTCCTCCACGCCAACCATTTCCGCAAGGACTGGCAACGTCGCGTACGCACCTGGTTCGATCAGCCAGGTCGCAAGCTCCGTAGACGCACTGCTCGCAAAACTAAAGCCGCAACTCTTGGCATCCGACCTCTGACACTCCTCCGCCCTGCAGTTCGCGCTCAAACTGTCCGATACAACCGTAAAGTTCGCGAGGGCCGTGGATTTACTTTGGCCGAGCTGAAGGAAGCTGGTATTGGCAGGAAGGAGGCCCGTGGTGTCGGCATCGTTGTGGACCACAGGAGACGTAATTTGAGTGAGGAGGGAAAGAAGGTCAACGTAGAGCGATTGACTGCCTACAAGACTCGTCTCATCGTGTTCCCCCGCAAGGCTGGCAAGCCGAAAAAGGGTGATTCGTCGGTATGTATTCTTTTCAGTTTTTAAGCTTTAGTTGAGCATAGTGAGGACGGCAGGCTGAAGACCTCAAGGCCGAGACAACTCGCGCTGCCATTGCACTCCCTGAAGTGTATCCTGCTGAAGCCCCACGAAAAATTACTGACGAGGAACGCGAGTTCAAGGCATTCAGGACTCTCCGTGTTGCTCGTGCAAACCAGAGACATGAAGGTGCTCGCAAAGCTCGGGCTGCCAAGGTTTGTGTTACATTGCGTTCAGCAGTAAACGATCTGCTCACCATCTCGCTCTATTACAGAAGGAGGAGGAGGAAGCTGCAAAGAAAAAGTAAACCGCTTTCCACCACCCACTCCTCATTTTGCATCTTGAGTCGCAAAATATTAGCACGTCGTATGAATCATTATTGTTTGCATTCCATGTCCTATGCGGTGAATATGACCCTTTTATTTGAATCCTGCGATCCCTGTTGCAACTTTTTATCTAAATTCCATGGGTATGTACGTAAGTATAAGGGTAAATTAAAGTCCAAACGCTAAAACGGTGCGAGGCCAACATTCTATATACTCTTCTGTTGGCCTGTATAAACTTCATCAGCAACGGCCAATTTTTTGTCCATTGCCTCTTGCGCCTCGACCCGGGCAACCTGGCCAATTAACTTGACCTGCTCTGCCACGCCTCTCAACACGCCAATGACTTCCTTGTTGCCATTTACGAATCCGAATTCGGCATAAGTTAAGCCTTCTTCCTTGGCAAATTTCTTGACAAGTGCGCTGGCACGTTTAAGATTGTGGCGCGGTAGCCGCGGAAACAGGTGATGCGTCACTTGAAGATGAAGACCTCCATGAATGAATCCCATCGATTCCGGGCAGATGACATCCGTCGTCGTCCTCATCTGACGATGTGGGAACGACTCAAACGGACCTAGATCACCTGTCGGCATGCTGAAGTGTGAAAGGACAATCTGGGGGGGTTCGCATCGGCAATGAACAAAGGATGAGCAGGAAATCACGTACCTGCACATGAAGGGGGCTTGTCACCACATGGCTTACAAGCAGATAAGCAAGTGCTCTTTGCCAGGTCCCACAACCATAAAGTACACGTCCAAACCAGCTCCAGAAGAAGATAAGGCCGATAATCTCAAGCCTCCAAGCCCAATATCCACCTCTTGCTCGTTTGGTATCCCACACTTTCTGGTAAAGAAAAGTGTACGAATTTGCGTATAAGTTGAATCTCGCAAAGGCCATGACAACATAGAACAGCTTGTGCTGCACTGCGATGAAGAACTTGGCGAACCTATCAAAGTGCATAGTTCGTTTGTAGTATGAAGACCAAAGGGAGGAAAGGAAGTGCGGTGAGATAGCAAAGAATGGAATATGCTCGATATCGGGGTCACTTCATACAAGTCAGCCGTGGGTTTGAGTCCAGGGGGGGAAAAATGGCATTTACTGTGAGGGATGGTTTGTAACCACTAGAAAAGAAATGCTAAGTTTTTGTGAAACCACTGGATAAATTGAACTCACAATGATGAACGTTGTGATTCTAACGCTACATGTCAGGTGGATGCGATGAGAACTAGACCTCGGGAGAACGTACCTGGACCCACCAACCGATACTAAGTCCACCAATGAAGTCGGCGATCAAGGTGGCTAACAAGCGATCAACAGCCCAATTATGAGTGACACCCATATGTCCGAGATCATGGGCAGTAAAAACCAGTTGGTGCCAGAAGAGGCCAAGGAAGACTGCACTCGTCATAAGCCAATTGTGGTGATAGGCATATGCGGATACGGAAGCCAAAAGCGTGTACCGTAGAACTTCCGGGCCATACCCAGTCAGGTAAGGAGTTTTATAGAGTCCAGCATCTACAATGCGTTTGTGAAGGGCTCTGTAGGCCTTGGAATGACGAGCTTGAACCTCGGGAGAAAGACTTGATGGAGGGGGCTGGAGAGACGACAGGGAGGGGGCAGAACTATGTGAAGACGCGTCGGACTTCTGAACGAGAAGGATTTGGGATGAAGGGGACACTTCCGAGTCACCCAAAGAGCGTGCGTCTGCTGCTTCTTGGAACCATTCCTGCTTGCCACCTGGACCTAACCTTCGAACCCAACCAGTCATGACTGGAGGAACGAGAGGAACCCAACCATGCTCTGTGAGCTGGACGCGTCCAATAGAATAGCGGGGTATGAGAGTGAGGGTATGATCGAGATGGTAAGCCTCAATTTCGTCAGTAGCATCTCTGCCAACAAAGTGGAGAAGGGCGAGAGAACCTCCTGGGTGTGCATTGAGCCAAGATTGAGGAATGCGAAGGAGATGATCGCGGTAGATAATGAGTGTCTCGCCTGCGAGAATGCGACTGGCGACGGCATCCCTCGTCCACAGAGTTGTTGCACCCATGGAGGTAAAAAGGAAAAGGAGTCTGTCGAAATAATTTTATATTCGCGTCTCATTATTCTCTCCTCTCATTTTACTTGTCATTGCTCGTCGTTGCTCGCCATTCTCGTCGTCGTCGTTCATCGTTATCATCATCGTTTGTCGTTCTCATCGTCCGACACTGCGAGCAGCCTATAAGAATTGATTTGTAGGAACACTTGGCGTGAGAAAACGTTGGTTATTAACCAACCATCGACATGGCCGCAATCCAGCTTCAACTTTCAAGGTCATTGCCTCCCTCGCGCCTCAGATCTTCATCCGACCCTTTCGTCGACCCCGCCAAGCAGAAGCAGCGTCCTCCTCCTCCCCCTCCAAAGTCGAAACCCTCAGCTAGAATGCCAGCTTCTGTTCCCAAGTCTGCCCCACCGCATCGCGATAATCACGACATCACCGAAGCTGTTCGCGACACAGTTACCTACCGTACTCAAACAGATAGCAGTCCTCGTACGAGAATGGGGCGGAGCCAAACGGCTATGTGAGTCCCTTCGTTCATTTCTTTTTTCGCCACCATTCATCGTCGCTTTACAAAGCTCGCCTGCCCAAAATGCCACTTCTCGCCCAACAGACAGGAGGTCACAATCTCAGGATTCAGGAGGTATAGTAGAGAAACCTCGCTCGAACGGCAAATCTCGCAGCAAGAAAGGCTCACAGTACGCCGACGTTATCGACCGGCTAGATATTACGGGTGTGGGTCCCAGTATGTCTTCTCTTTTGGTCAAACTCCATTATCTTAATCTTTTGAATTGCTTAGTGTTCCATCATGATGGTCCATTCGATGCATGTGCTCCATCTCGTAACAAACATCGGAATAAGGCACCTATGCATGCCTGGACCGGTGGAAAACCCGACCATGCTCCGATTGGTGACAGCGCCTATCCTTCCGCCCTCGCATACCAAGCATTTTCAAATGATTACCCCGACCCACCAAAGAAGAAAGTCGACGCCATCGCAGAAGCCTGGGGTATTCATGAGCCCGAGCCATTCGAAGAGTTTTTCGCCGGAGGAGGCTCCACGAGACTGGACGGGGATACCCCGGCCAGCTCCATCTACAACGGCAAAGATTCCCATGGCTCACTCTCTACGTCTCACAGCAGCCCCGCAACAAGGCGCCCAAAGGAGGACAAAGATGCACGTTCACGTGTTGCCGCACGGCGCTCACTTGTTCCTCCTCCTCAACCCATCTTCGTTCCCGATCAATCCACCACTGCCGACGTACCACCGGGCTCTCCGCCCCTTGGTTCTCCCGGATTTCCTAATCGCTCGAAATCGCTGATGCATCGCATCCGCAAAATGCGGGATGCACCCAACGTACCTGTGTCTGCAGATTATCAGCAACCACCCTCTCCATCCACTCAAGCCGTCAATTACCAATCTGATTCGGGTACTCGTCCCACCCATCGTTCGCAAAACTCTTTCCTTGGTCGATTTGGAGGCGGAACACGGAACAATCCTGCTTCTATACCAGAGAAGCCCGAGCCTTTCATTTTTATTGATGCCCAGAACCAGAATCAAACGAACAAAGAGTTACCGGCTACGCCAATGAATCGCGGAACGACTCCTCCAGGAGAGGAGAGTCCCCCCGGTGCATATTTCGATGGTAATCAGGGTGGACCCCTAGGGAGGAAGACCAGTCTCATGAAGAAGGTGGGCAGAGTGGTTCGCGGAGCAAAGTAAATGAAATTGGAAACTTGCCTTTTCCCTCTGTTCTCGCATCAAACTTCACCGCCTCACATTCCCTATGTATGCTGTACACCTTTCTTTTTTTGTACAACCTCCCTGTTGTACTTTGACCTCCTCAACAACCTTCTTCTTTCTTTCTCTTTTTCTTTTTGTATTTATCTGGTCCCTTGAACAGTCACGGCTCTTCCTTTTCTTTTCGTCGACTGACCCGTTGTCTATTCCACTCTCTTAATTTTTTGCCATCATCTACGCCTTTCCCTTGGCGATACCATATCGGTTTACAATAACCCGGGATATCATACACCTGTACCTCCCCTCTCGTGCGTTTGTGCCAACCTTGTACAACATGAATATATTTTTTGTTTCTTCTACTCAATCTCTAACGTTTAGACTCGCACCCTTCATCGCCTCCTTGACCTCCTTGATTCCAACCTCTCCCCTATGAAAGATGCCAGCAGCCAAAGCAGCCTCCACATCGGTTTGCTCAAAAACTTCGACAAAGTGCGATGCAGAACCAGCGCCGCTACTGGCAATCAATGGAATCTTCACGCTCCGCTTCACCACCCTTAACAAATCCAGATCGAATCCCAGCCCCGTGCCATCACGATCTATGCTGTTGATGAGGATCTCGCCGGCCCCCAGCTTCTCCACACCTTGGGCGAGTTGCACAACAGAAAGCGGACGTAGCTCGCGACCCCCAGAAACGGTGCATTGGTACCACCAAGCCTTCCCTTCATAACCTTGAGAACCCACAATGACTTCAGACTTGTGTGGCCCGTCATATGTGGTAGAATCTACATATGTGCGTCGAGGGTCAATGGAGACAACCACGGCCTGTCGACCATATGCATGAGCGATTGTCTCAATCGCGCTGGTGCCGTCGAGTTTCCCAGCTGCGAGGAGCCGTTCTACAGCATAGACCGCTTCTGATCCAATACTTACTTTGTCTGCACCTGCGCGGAAATATGCTCCTGCTACTTCCAGTGCGCTTCGTTTTGTTCCATCAGGATCGACAGTGTCTTTGATACCACCGCCAATGGTTAACGGCACAAAGACGCACTCTGCGGCAGCTCGGACAACGGCGAGCATTGGTTGATCTTGCAGTGGAGAATGGCGGAAAGAGGTGATATTGAGCAGACAAAGTTCATCTGCCCCAGACTCGTAGTAACGTGCCGCGAGAGCAACCGGTTTCCCTAGATTGCGTACTTCCCCCGCCGTTTGGGCAGTCGTGGAGCCCGGGGTAAGATTTGTCTTGTCTCGAACATCGTATTGGTCACCCTTCGTAACGACAAGGTCCCCCTGGTCATTAGCGCGAACATCCATGCAAGCAACGATACGCTTGGTGAGCCGATGAACTGGCTTAGGGAGACGTGTGATGAGTGCGGTGGAAGGTGCGGATGTGTGAGCTGACTCTGGTTTACGAAGCCATTCCTCAAGAAGTTGAAGCCCAGCTGCGCCTGACTTTTCCGGGTGGAACTGTGTGCCGAAAACATTGCCTTTTCGAACGGAAGATATAAAAATTTCCATTCCATATTGCGTGGTGGTATGAGCCCAATGCATAGCTTCCGGGTATTCTGTAGGGTTGTACCTTGCACGGTACGAATGGACGAAATAATAGTATGAAGAACCATTGACGCCTTCCGCGTCTTGTTGGACATTCACAAGATCTGCGGCATTCCACCCGATGTGGGGAACCGTCTTGTCTTCATCGTCGAAGCGCTCGATTGGGCAAGGGATAACGCCTAATCCTTCAGAGGACGATTCGGCCGATGAGCGAAAGAGTATTTGCATCCCGATGCAAATTCCAAAGTAGGGTTTTCCAGAACGGATATATTCACGTAGAGGTTCAAGAAGTCCACGAGCATTCAAAAAGCCGAGGGCGGTCTCAAACGCGCCAACGCCAGGGAAGATGAGGCTCTAGATAGGAATGTGTAAATGAGGGGTTGTTGGATGAAGTTATGGGTACAAACGGTAGCCTTGTTGAAGTCGGTGGGATCGGATATCCATGTGAACTTATAGCCAAGTTTTGTGAGCGAATTGGCGAGACTTTGGACGTTTCCTGCGCCGTAGTCCAAAAGATATAGACCCATGACAGTCAAGAGAAAAAAAGCAATCAATGTTGAGTCAATGATAGTCACCGGAGACGGCGGTCCGGTCAGCAAAATTGTTTTCATTGTGTGCTTTTTGCAACAAAATATCTCCGTCCTCATCTGATTTGTCTTTCTTTCTCTCAATCCTTGCTTCTTCCCACCATGTCCACCCCAATCAACATAAAATCCGTCGCTGCCTCTACCTCTCCTGTCACTTCCTCCATCCATGACCACTTTCGCAACCGTGCAAGAGATTCAACCACTGACATTCGACAGCCCAAGGTTTTGCATCCGCTGGAAAACGAGGATCTTAGGCTGTTGATCCTCGAAAACATCAGTCAGGATGCTGTTGCTACTTTTAGAGGGCAGGGATATCACGTCGATCATTATTCAAAAGCAATGCCAGAGGACGAGCTTGTCGAGAAGATCGGCTCATATCATGGCATTGGAATCCGAAGCAAGACAAAAATCACACAACGGGTACTTAAGGCTGCGTCCAAGGTACTTTCTTTATCTCGATCTTTCTGCCGTCAGGCTAACTCTACGTCAGTTGCTCGTCATTGGATGCTTCTGTATCGGCACCAATCAAGTCGACCTCTCAGCTGCTGCTAGAGCAGGAATCCCTGTGTTCAACTCCCCCTTCTCCAATTCTCGCTCTGTCGCAGAGCTCGTAATGTCCGAACTTGTCGCGCTTTCCCGCCAGCTCTTTGAGAGAGCGTACGAATTGCGAACAGGTATCTGGAACAAGCAGTCGAAAGGCTGCTGGGAGATTCGCGGGAAGACGTTAGGGATTGTAGGCTATGGCCACATTGGGTCTCAGCTTTCGGTACTCGCGGAAGCGTTTGGCCTCCGTGTCCTCTTCCATGATGTTGTCAACATCATGCCGTTGGGTTCAGCGCGTCAGGTTGATTCCCTGTCGACGCTACTATCCGAGTCAGATTTTGTAACACTTCACGTCCCCGAACTCCCCGAAACTATCAACATGATATCTGAACAACAATTGGCTCAAATGAAAAAGGGATCATATCTCATCAACAATGCACGAGGCAAAGTCGTCGATATACCCGCCCTCGTTCGATTCCTGCAGTCTGGTCATCTGGCTGGCGCAGCTATAGACGTCTTTCCAGCCGAGCCTGGGGCAAATGGTGCACCATTTGATGACCAGCTAAATTCATGGGCTTCCACTCTGCGCGCCCTCAACAACGTAATCCTCACACCCCATATCGGTGGTTCGACAGAGGAAGCACAGAAAATGATTGGGGAGGAGGTCTCTCAAGCCCTCTCTCGTTACCTGGGTTATGGTTCAACCGTCGGGGCTGTTAATTTCCCCGAAGTCGATCTGCGCGCGATCACTGCAGACCATTTGACTCAAATTCGTGTCTGTCATGTGCACAAGAACCAGCCTGGTGTGCTGAAGCAGGTCAACGATGCATTGTCACCATACAACGTCGAGAAGCAGTATTCTGACTCCAAGGGCGAGGTGGCGTACCTCATGGCTGACATAGCGGATGTCAGCCCAGCAGACATGCTAAGATTGAAGGAAAGGATCAGTGGGACGGACGCCAATATTATTACCAGATTTTTGACTTAGATTTCCCATAAAAGCCGAAATGGACGGTTCCTCCCGTTGTACTGACCACATGTATTCTACACCGGATGCTCACTCAACTGTCCATCCATTGCCCATTCAACTGGATATCCTAAACATTTGTATTACAGAATGTACCATGTTGTATCATTGTAAAGTCCCATGCCAGTTTTTGGCTAGAAAATAGGACAATTACGTTTCTTCCTCGGGATCACCAATGCCACTCGGCAAAATGGCGAAGTGGGTTTCAGATTCTGGTAAGCAAGGGGAATCATATATCTTGCACGAACGCGTATTGCCCCGTGCCTTCTTCAACTGAAGCCTGTCGAAGCCATCAGAAAGCAAGCCTTGACAGGAGATAGGCTCAGTACCGTGTGGTAGATGCATGTGCCATAATATTTCCCCCAATCGGCTTCTTCTCGTTGCCTGCGTAGGGACCTGCAGCGGCATCTGGAGTTGACATGACTTGATTTGTAACGACAACGGCAATGCCAAACTTTTGAATAGAATGGCATGAAGTAAGTGTCACAGGAATAGAGGGAAACACCTGCCTCATCTGCTAGTCGTTGCAATGTGCGCAGGAACTTCCCCAGGTGATTCTGACGCGAAGATAATTCTCCACGACCGCTGAAGTCGGTACGGTAAAGGGCAGTACAAGAATCAACGATCAAGAGACAAAATCTGCCGCCGACAAGATCAGACTCTGTAAGGAGGGCGAAATTTCTTTGCATGCCTTGATTCGGACATAAGCGCACTTGCATTCGTAAGTAGGGAGTTCTGATGGTCTGCGTTGTACGCTCTTGCATACGCGACGTTGTCCAGAACCTCTTCGCCGTTCAACCCATATCGCTCTGCGACTGCCAAAAGTCGAACAGGACGGAAGGTTCCTTCAGTATCGATATATAGACACTTGCCCTCGCCTCCTCCCATGCTCACAGGCAACTGGCAAGTCACTGCCAGCGTATGACACAGCTGAGATTTTCCTGTCCTGAATTCACCGAAGAGCTCCGTGATTGCACCAGTTTCAATGCCACCTAGAATACATATGAAATGTAATCTTTCCAAGCATGGACTACAGCCACTTACCTCCAAGGAGGGCATCGAGCTGCTTTGATCCCGTCGTAATATGAACCAACTCAGAACGACGAGCATGGACTTCTGTGGCACTCTGGAATCCAAGAGGTACGATTTTCTGTGCTGGAATGTATGCGTGAGATTAAATGGGATGTTGGAATCTAAAGAACAAACCCTCGGCAAGAATTTTATCAGCCTTCTGGTCTGAAATACCCTTTATCGTCACCAAAACTTTCTTGGGGGTGAATGCGACGGCCTCGACAGTGTTGAGCCCCGCCTCAGCAAGCTTTTTGACGTCGTTTGCATGAATACCTGCTTCTTGTAGTTTATTCACAAGCAAGGGTCCTGTGAATTGGTACTCGGTTAGATCCTCCCCTTCTGGATTTTGGGATTGAGAAGGCTGGGACATGGATGACGAAGACAGTGTTGTGTTGGTTTTCCCACAACAATAAACGCGACGCGTTCGCGTCACATGCTCGCGACAAGCTTGCTTATTCCAGACTTGCCTCTCTACGGCCACAAAGCGTACTTAACACTTTACATCTCCTCCAAGTAACTGAGAGATCGATATTGGTTTGTCAAATCGAATTCCTGCGTAAAGGAAAGTGGAACGATGATGGAGCATTCCAACGAAACGAAGATAACAAAACAGGTAAGTCACGGTGGTTTGCAATTTCATAATTGTGTTAAAGACATTCCGAGGATAGATCGAATCCTCTACTGCTCTGCAGCTTGATAGCCCTTCACCTCCCGCCGTCCACTCTCTTCCGAGCGAGCTCTTGCTTGAGATCTTCGTTGCAGGAAGTTCTCAGCCACCTTCAGAAGTTGGCATTAATGCGGTGCCCTTTCCCATCCTCGTTTCAATGGTTTGCAAATTTTGGAGAAATGTCGCCATCAATTCACCTTGTCTTTGGAGTACTATTTTCCTTCCTAGCACCACAAAATTCGACGTCCTGACATTCTTCGAGAGGTCCAAGCCAGCCCCCTTCGATGTCACACTGGATACCATGGTTGCTAGTAGTTTCGGGGACGGAAGCTCTTTTGACTGTATATCTCGAACCATTTTGGATAACATTTGCCGTTTACGCTCATTGAAGATTAATGTATGGAGCGCTGAAGATCTTCGTTCCTTGGTTGCGTCTTTCCGTGATGCTGAAGCTCCAATGCTGAACAACCTCGAGGTTTTTGTGTATACACAAGAGGAGTCCCATGATTCCCGCAATGGTCTGCCCATCATGACACATACAGTCGCATTGAAGTCGTTGAAGGTCAAAGGAGTTTGCGGCTACTGTTCACCCCCATTGATCAATCTAACCTTTCTTGATATTGACCGATTTAAACCGAGCGAATCGCAGTTTCGCGATCTCTTCGACGCGTGCCCTTCATTGTCGTCTCTCATTCTCCGCCGTTTCGCCGCGCGAGAGGATGCCGTTTTTGATCAGGCCTCCCTTCCAATCCACGCCTCAAGCCTGCGTTCATTCGCAGTGAGTTTCACCTCTGGACACAGCAGTCCATGCGCTTGCCCTTTGCACCTGCTTGTTTTGGAGAACGTTGAATGTATCGAAATTTTTCTCCTTTCACTCGATTTATCTGGCCACTTCTCCTCCAGCCTGCGTAGCTGGAGGCAAAATTCTCGCGTTCGAAAGCTCCGAATGTCGGGCATCTCTATTGAAGCAGAAGAACTTCTTTTCATTCAATCCCTTCCCAACACCATAGATCTGGAGTTGATCAATATTTATACCAACTCAGATTTCTATCTACCATCCGTCATCTCTTTGCCCAATTTGCACTCAATCACGCTAGAAGTAATGAACAAGGAAGCAGGGGTAACAGGCGTAGCCGACTTATCTTGGTTTTCTCGAGTTGTCGGCCAACGTTTGGTCAAGCCCACATCGCCCTTGACTGCGTGTTTTTCCAAACTGGACGAAGGTGATGACCAGATCCAAAAGATAGCTGAGATTCTTGGAGGCCATCTGACAGTCCAATACTCGGCCCGCAAGAATGCGCTCATTGAGTCCAACGCCTTTGAATTTTTGGAGGAGGGTGAAGAAGATGACTGGGACTATTACGACGACGAATCGGACTTTGACGCGTCTTACGAACTTGATGTTGAGAATGAATATGGGTACGATGACGAAGATGAAGACTTTTGGTAAGGGCATTATAAAGTATCATGAACAGCTAGTTATATCAACAAATGAATCAAGTGGAGTTCTCCGCTTGGGGGCTATGCAGCAATGGTATCGCGGCTATCGGAACGTCTTTCTTGAGCGTCCTCTCGAAAAATTCTACCGCTTTAACATCGAGAACCAATCTTTGCCACTTCATGATTTCGTAGACATTGACTTCGTCCGCTGTGATAACCTGAACGAGCGGAATATTGGCCATAGCTTGCTTCAAACCAGCTGGGACAACTCCTTCTCCTGTAACGAACAGTGTCTTGCGTAATCCGAGAAGGTCAATCTTTTGTACCAGATTTCTCGTTTTTGCGTTTGGCCAATCAAGAGATGCCATAATACCGACCTGCCGCTCCTTCATTTTGACGCTCAAGGCAACCCGCATGCCCATCTCGATGACTTTGCGAGGAAGTTTTGTGCTAAAGTCCCGTGGTTTGGGTCCGAACGCAACACCTCCTCCGACACGTATAGGACTTTGGCCGTCGCCAACTCGGGCCCTGCCAGTGCCTTTCTGACGGTGGAGTTTAGCACCGGAGCCTCGCACCTCCCCACGTGTCTTTGTGTTTGCTGAGCCTTGGCGAAGAGAATCAAGGTAATGAGTGACACAGAGATGGAGGACGTCTCGACGAATAGGATGATTGAAAACTGTTGGATCCAGGACAACGAGGCTGTCTTCCGTTGAAGGGTCTGTTGGACGGCGTTTGAGAGAAGGTGAAAGAGTGAGGTACAGAGGTGATGCCAGCGGTTGGACTATTGGCAAGGAGGTCAGCGTAGACCTCTTCAGCATAACCCCAATTTACAATAACCTTCTTTCGCGGGAGGTGGATGAGGTATGCTGGAGCGTAGCGTCTCTGTTACCGTCGACAGCCTGGCAGCTGAAGGGCGACCAAACCTCAGCTGGAGCGGTGTCTGCGTGTACACGTCAAGAGCTGGCATAACATAGAATATATTGGAATACCTTGGACAACGTCCGGGTAAACATGGCGCGGTAGTTGGGTGTGGTGAGGGCGAAGAGGTGAAATGCTTAGTCATCATTGGTTGCGGCATTTTCCGGTTGCAACTGGATAGCTTATCCAAGCCACCACAGACTTGGTCTCCAATATTATCGGCACCGGCGTCAACGACCTCAAGAGCAAGGTACGCCCATGCATCGGAAACACCACCTTTTTACTCATCTTTTGGCTGACTAGCACTCAACCGCACCATCCGGTTCACCCTAAAAAATGGCTTCATCAGTAAAGGCCGTTCAGACGTTCGGTAAAAAGAAGGTCTGTATTGCCTTAGCCAGCCTACATACGCATACTCACATTCCAATGGTAGACTGCAACAGCCGTCGCCCATGCGAAAGAGGGCCGTGGTCTTATCCGCATTAATGGCTCACCTATCAACCTCGTTCAACCTGAAATTTTGCGTCTCAAGGTGTACGAGCCCGTCCTTGTTGCTGGCGAGGACTCCTTTGCACCTCTCGACATCCGCGTGCGGGTGAAAGGTGGAGGTCACACTTCTCAGGTCTACGCCATTCGCCAAGCTATCGCCAAAGCCCTCATTGCGTACTATGCCAAGTACATCGATGCATCCAGTGCAATGGAGTTGAAGAAGAAGTTGGTGGCATATGATAGAACTCTCCTTATTGCCGATCCCAGACGGATGGAACCCAAGAAGTTTGGTGGTCATGGTGCTCGTGCTCGCAGGCAAAAGAGGTGCGAACCTCTTATTTCCTACTCTCTGCTTTCATCTGACCTCCAAATAATCCCCCAGTTACCGTTGAATATTCTATTTTTCTGTCTTCTCTTCCTGGTTATGTTTCATGTCACGTACTCTTCTATGAAACCATGCCAATCTTATGGAAAACAACCGCTTTTGAGTCTTGCGCGCGATCTCTTACCCTCTGACAATACTAGGCTCGTGACCAGCCTGTATGTGAGAACAATGAGCCCTAAGCGATATACCACTTTCTTCATATACAGACAGTCAACAGTCTTTTGACAATCCTTGGGGTTACTCTTTGATAGTGATCATCACCATGATCATGTGTTATAAACATTTACAATTGCTACTTTATGTGCGTGACTGTGACTAAACGCGTCCTCAGCTTGAACGCAATGGACGAACCACCCAGCACACAAGTTTCCAACGATACTCTCGTTTTCCAGGCTGCGGACGGTTCACAGATTCGTATCTTTGTCGAAGCTGGCGGTATCTCTTCTCGTCCAAAACTTGTGAGGGCGTTGAAGGCAGGTTTTCGACATGCTACAGGTCGACTTTTACTAATTAGGATGCATCTTCAGAAAGCAGGAGCCATTATATGCAACGACCCGAAGAACGCGCAAATTATCCTTGTCGACCCAGAAACTTATCAAGGAAAACGATTCATTCGCGATTGGGGGAAAGACGCGGACAAAGTCGTTCTTAACTTTGTCTGGGCTTATAAATCAATCGAGGCAGGCCAGGTGTATAATGACGAGAGATGGGGGGGATTCCTCACAGAAGACGATGGGCTTCCCTTGGAAGAAGCTATGGATGACGAAAATGGAAAGTTAGTGTTTCTCGCTTTTTCTGCACCTCGTCTACTCAGTATCATCTTCAAGAAGCCCAGTTCCCACACCTCGCGAAACTCCTGTAGTTTCTATTAGCGATCGTCGTATGTCAGGCGACAATTCTGTGTCTCGCATCAATTCCACTCAGCGACGAAGACAGTCTATCGAGCAAAATATGACTGAAATCCCTCAGGCTTCCTTACCTCATCCTTTCTCCAACGATCAATCTCAAACGCAGACTTTGATCCCTCAATCTCAAAACAATGGAATGAATCTCTTCCCAAATTTTCAACATATGATGCCTCAATATCACATGCAGATGCCAATCATGCAAAACAATATGGCATCTGCTTTTACCCAGCCCATGATTTCCCCTGCATTTCTTGCAAACTTCTTGAACTCACAGAACCCTCAGTTTAATCCTCAGCAATTGCCCCCCCATTTTGAGCAAGGGTTTTCTATGGCACTTGTTGATGCTATGAAGGCCCATGGCTACTCATATTCCACAGCACAGGGGCACGCTGCTATGCAAATGGCCATGAACAACCAGATGGCACCAAACACTATGGCACAGACTTCTCAAGACCCTCACCCCATGTTTAAGATAAGCAATAACGTATCCATCGACATGTCCACGGCAACAGGAAGTTTGCAACCCTCCCCTTCTTTGTTGCATTCCTCGATTGGTCGTAGGTCGACGAACACGTTATCGACTTCGCCACCTCCGTCATCAAAAGCACAGGGGAAACGAAGAGCAATGTCGCCGAACAACTCACTTTATCCGAATGCCACTCGGGCTTGCACTGAGGAATTGGGAGCCTCTTCGCGTTCTCCAGTCAAGCAAGGAATTTTCTCAACCAAAGAAGGAGGACTTTCATTTTTTGTACAAATTGATTTAGGCAACCGCCTCAGGATTGTTACTGCCATCAAGGTAAACTGTTTTCACATCCAGCAATCTAGTTACTGAACATTTCCCAGAAAAATGGCGGCAAGATTACCAACAACCACACAACTGCTGATTACTCTGTCTTATATTCTGGATCCCAAAAACAGAAAACATTTCTCGACCTGCTTCGCTCGACGATCGACGCAGGGAGACCTGCAGTCAGTGCGAACTTTATCCGAGATTGTGTGGCTAGGGAGACTTTGATAGACGACCCGACTCCGTATTTATTCAAGCTTACACCCAAAAAACGTAAAAGACAGGGTTCGACCCCTCTGTCTGACGAAGAACCTCCTGATGTTGTTGCGGAGGAGAGGCGTTTGGAAAGGAATCGACGACAGTCAGAACGAAGGAAACTTGCACGCGAGGAATCAACAGCCACTCCTGCCAGCCCATCCGCAAAGCAAGGAAAAAGGAAAAAGTCGCCGACACCTATACTCTCAGCTCCGACTTATGACGGGCCAAGGACACCAACGCCGCCACCCTTGCACACGCATATTGGCTTCGGTACCAGTGGTCACAGGTATACAGAACACGAACGGGAATACGTCTTGCGCTATACCAAAATTCTTCTCGACCGTGATCATATGGTAGCTAACAGCGCGATTGGGAAGGCCATGCATGACAAGGTATGATTGAGGAAGTGGAAGCAAGAGAGACCTACTCAATAAGTTGTGCATCAGATGCCTCACCACACTTTGAAATCTTGGAAAACCTACATAGGGACTACAATCCGGGATGATATCGATGCTTTGCGCAAGAGAGCCAGTATCGCCTTTCGGAAGGCTGAGAGTCAGAAGGAGTCGCATTCACAAACACCAGCGCCGTTGAAAAGTCCGAAATTCAATAATTTCGATTCAGAGGAACTTTCAAATGAAGTTGTGCCGAGCCCTCCGACGCCGACGGCACCACCTCAGTATGTGGACCAATCAAAAGAGCAAGACCTCCGTGTTGTATCAAATTATTTCGCTTTTGGCGGTGGTGATGAGGAGGGACAAGAGCCCTCGGCCATCTGGGCTCGTCTCACCAGCCAGGTAAGCCAATAGCTTGAAAAATCCAACTTCTATACTGATGGTAGCAGGTTTCATGCCAAACTGAAGCGAATTGGGAGGACTTTTACGATAAACATCACGTAGAAGTCATGGCGCGATACAACCAGTTGAGCGCGGAGGCTGCTCAGGAAAATTCCGTAGGGCAGGGGCCTGATTTCGAAGCTCCTTACGCCTAGTGAGGCTCCCGTGACTCACAGTAGCTCTTGTTCAACAGTTCCGTCAAGACCTAGAAGGGTGGGGAATGCAACAGGCTTGTCTATTTTCTACGAATGTCAACGCTGACGTGGCCTTCAATCCGTTCCGACGTCAACAATAGGTTTAGGTGGCGTTTTGAAAAAGTTTCTTCGTCTTTCCTCCTTTGTGACGCTGGTCTCGCCAGCTAACTGGCCAGAGTAGTCGTATGTTCCCATGGCCGCACCGAGTATCACACAACCACCCACTGCCATAGGTAGTGAACGAGCTTAATGAAAAAGTCAGATACATTCAGAGGACTTAAATGAGACCAAGTGCGCACATCTGACGCCTGCTAAAAACCCAGCGGAGCAGGCACCAGCAGCTCCGTTCCAAGCATCATTAGTCTGCCGCTGGTTGGCAACGGCTGTCTCCGTAAAGGCGAACGTCGCGCCCATGGCAGCTAATCGGACAATTTACGCAGTGTTGGCATTTAACATGAAGGTTAGGGAGAGAGAACGCACCAAACAAGCCAATGGTCCCTCCTGTCCTTGTCACCACACCCATCGCGCCATAAGAATGGTTTCCGAGTGCATTCTGAAGAGTACTGACGACCAAACCGACGGCACTTGCCTGAATTCCGACGGCGGTGGCATATTTGAATGGTGATTTGTAGGTGAACGCTGAGGTATCGTTGGACTCTGACATGAGTGCGTTGAAATTGAATGTGGTAAACAAATAAATAAGCGTTGCCTGCCTTGCAATCTCGTTACCATGTCGGAAGAACAATCATATCAACAGCAAGATAACGAACCCCAGCCGTGGTATAGATGTGTCCAAAAGCCTCCTCCCTTTCACATTATCAAGAAGATATCTGTCGGTCGCCACCTCTCACAGTCATTCTGGGAAATTCATTCATGTAAACTAGTCAAAGCAACCTAATGCCTCTGCTTTCCGTTCACTTGCCTCTTTTCCCTGGCACGTCGATTCCTTGACCACCCTCTGGAAGGGTAGCCTTTACGATCAGGAAACATTGAAAAAATGGGAGACAATGATTTCTGCGTACTCAGATGCGGTCGCGGTCACCTCTGATCATGAGCTTTATATCTTTTTCATCCATAGCCAAAAAGATCCCGTTTGCGCCAGACTTCCCGCGGTTTGTTTCCATATTTCCCCACTAGTCAGATACTGAACGACTGATGTAGGACCCTCCAGAATTAAAGTTACTCCCTGCCGATGTAATGTACATCTCTTGGGCTTTGAGCCTCAATGCGCTCTTTGAGCCTCTAGTCGTTTTCTCAAGAGCAAGTCTTTTATACGTATACAGCGTACCCCGCAACTCTATCTTGGGGTATCTTCGTGGGCATGGAGGGGCAAGTTTTTTCTTTTTTTGTGCTCGCAATTTCACTCTGCTAATGACTGCGACAGGCAATTACATCCATCAATGTCCACCCTGTAAACCCGCACCTTTTTTGCACGACATCGCGAGACCATTCTACGCGAATTTATGATCTTACACTTTCTCCCCAACAGTTGCCTAACAACACGCATTGGCCTCCAAGTACAAAACCCAGTCTGGCAGGCGCGGCACATGGCTTGCATATGACTGAGGCAGAAGGCAATGGGATCGGTCGCTGCGTGGTTGTTTTAATGGGTGGCCGATCGGGGGGACATCAGGCTGCGGTTCTAGGGGCTGTAAGCCTTTATGTTTTCATTTCCTGGACATCTGCCGAGACTCTCAAGGCTTTTCATCCAGAGCTTCCCCTCATCGCCACTTGCGGGGTAGGGCGTCTTTTTTTACCGTCAATCAAATTCACCTTGAATGATTCCCGTCAAGCTTGATAGGGCAGTCAAAATCTGGGTTGTGCGCCCCACTTTTGAGGATCGTCTGAAACGAGAAGACAAACCTCTTTTTAGCAGTAGTAGGATTCATAGAGGACGGGTTCTTTCGGTAACTTGGTATGCACAATTACATTCCTTCAGGTATATTACTCAATGATTGTGAACAGGCTACAGCACGATCTTCTGTTGACCCACAGTGGCCCTGCTTTGATGCGCACATACCAGGATCCGATGAACAAGACGGTGCACACAGAGCCTGGAGAGTTGGTCATTTGGCGGTGGCTGGGCATCGACAGGTTTTTCCCTCCGGACAAAGAGGACGTATCTCAAGATTTACTGCGTGGTTGCGCCTCGGTAAAACTTTCACTGCAAGGATTAAATTTTTGTTTTCTTCGCTGATGCTGCCTTTCACAGGATTACCAAGAGAGCTGTACCCAACATTTACTTCAGATTCTTTCATTCTCGATTGATTGACCATTTACAGCATCCTTCAAATTCGTTTCCGTAAACGCATTCCCGAACGGGACAACGCCACATATTGCCCCAAATCTATCTGTGTATCACTCATCGATCCACGACCCCGTTTTACTGTGTGTCTATCCGGAATCATCCTCCTTCCTTATGTTGAATGCCGGCTTTTTACCTGCTCGCCGTCCATTCCCGTTCCCCGTTGAGAAACAGGGGCTTGTGTCTGTAGAAGAAGATGGAGAGGAAGTGATACCCACAGCACGTGATGACAAAGACGGAGGTGGAGATATGTCAAATGTTGTGCAACTCCCCCCTGAAATTGTGGGGTGGCGTGTTGGTTTAAACGATCACATCACTGGTCTACACAACTGCGTAATGGGGATGGGCGGTCAGGTCATTATAGGTGTAGGAGCCAAAAAACATCTGTGGATCTGGCAGTTGAGGGAAAAGAAAATATACTCTAAGTCTATGTTACTATAAGTCATCCTCGATGTGTACATTACTCCTTGCAACCCAGAATATGATAGTGTTCATAAGTGAAAAACACTCTAAAAACCCGGATATTACCAACTCTATTCCCTTGAATAAAAATGAACTGATTCTAGCCAACGCTTCGGCGAAAATAATGCTTTCCATGTGTACCATACATCCGTTGATGTATGGGTAGATGTGTTTTCAAAGGAAGGTTCGGTGGGAGGACATGAAGAGCGGCCGAGCTTTGTTGAGCTCCAGCTGAATATGGAATACGAGGTGGCATCACGACAGCTGCTGCACCACCAGGTGTAATAAACAGAGGGTGTGAGGGAGGCGCAGCGGTGTACGCAGGCCACTGCGATGAGACAACACCAGCTGAGCCTTGTCCCTGAGGCAAGTTTGAGGGAGGCACCAGTTGATGGTGTGGTAAATAGACGTCGGCTTGCGGAGCAACATGAGCAGAGGGTGTTTCAGCAGACTAGGGGATTTCCAAGGTAAGAGGTGATTTAAAGATACTGCGACAAAGAGACAACGACGAGTAAGAATGATTGAAGACCGAAGTGGGTAGTAAGCGAAGAAAAGAAGCTAAACTCACCATAACAGACATCTTCCTTCCTCTGGGTATTGGTGGCGGTGGCATCATGATGAAACCTTGAGGAGGATACCCGACCATAGGTGGAGGTGGGTAGCCATGTGAATAAATGGGAGAGGTCGGGGGAGGGGTAAAGCGGAAAGCTGAGGGGTGACGGGGAGATTGGGAATGTGAGCGTCTATGTGAGCGGGACGATCGACGGTGATTGTCGTAGTAGTGCGGAGAGGTTGGCGGGTATGGGTATCCTGGTGAAAGAAGCGGAGGTACCATAGGCTGGTGGTATATTGGCTGCTGAGGATACATGGGAGGAGGAGGTGGACTATGCAGAGGCATTGGGCCGAACATTGGACCTGGCATTGGACCTGGGTAGCCGGGCCCAGCTGCATAGGAATCATCTGAACCAGAATCAGAGGAAGGGGGACGATAATAATGACGGTGGTGCCTCGTTCGGTAATTTGAGGAGTCAGCGACGGACTGGGTGGTTGGACCGAATTGAGGTCTGTGATGCTCAGTCTGGTCGACCCAGTTGGCAATGCGCCGTTGGGTAGCGAGGTAGCGATCATAAGCCTCGGGTGAATAGTCGTATTCCGTCATCGCGAAGACGTTAGAAAAGAGCTCTAGGGAAGAGAAAACAAGAAAGGGCTTTATATATACTCGTTGGTCGTCGTCAGGACACTGGTATTGTGCACAGGTGGGGTTGTGCTAACAACTGTAACAACAACAACATGCACACACAGCCTCTGAATGGCAACTTCAAGCCTGGAATCCATCTCACAGTACATACTTACATCACATATCCATTGTCCACCTTTATCAAATCCATTCAACCATCAATGATCCCATCCAGTGACTTCACCGCTAAGTACCTCTGCAGGTATCTAGCGACGGTTGAGATCATCTCCATCTTCAGTCTGTCTTTTGTACGCAGGCTCAGCTGGGATCTGACGGTGGGGGTACGGAACGATATCCTTGCCGTCAGGCGCTGTGGCTAACGATCCTTCCAGGGTCTGTCGTTTGTATGGCACAATCGGTGACTTGACCGCGTGCTCTGCCGGAATCTGACGACGGGAGTACGGAACGATCTTGCCGTCAGGCGCTTTGACTGACGCTTCTTCGGGGATCTGTCGTTTGTATGGAATAATCTGTCCATTCGGTGACTGTACGGCTTGCTCTGCCGGAATCTGACGACGAGAGTAAGGGACAATTCTTCCGTCAGGGCGACTTGGTTGCTTCTTCGGCGGGTATCTGTCGTCTGTATGGAACGATCCGTCCGGTAGGTGACTTGACCGTCTGCTCCTCTGGAATTTGGCGACGAGAATAAGGGACAATATTACCGTCGGGCGATTTGGTCGCTTCTTCCGCGGGGATCTGTCGCTTGTATGGAACGATCTGCCCTGCAGGTGATTTTACTGCCTGTTCTGCTGGGATTTGGCGACGAGAGACAATATCCCACTCAGGTGAGAGAACTTGGCGCATCCGGTATATTTGGATGGTCTCCAACGGCTCCAAAGCGCGCTCGTCTTCTTCACCAATCACGCCCTAAAAAGGGGTTACAACTGCCCATTTTCGAGGTGAGCAGACTTACCTTGACAGGCCTTGGCGTGGGGACGCTGATAACCTGACCAGTCAGGAGGAGAGCAAACACTGCAAAAGTAGTAGGTCGGAAAAGCATGGTGAAAGGATTGTGGACAAGAAATATAAAAGGTTGTGCGTTTTCTGCGTGGAGATGAGAACGACAACGAAAGAGAACGAAACTGAAAGTAATGCTAGGGCGCGCCTGCGGCCTAGTAAATGAACGAAAAACTGCGGTATGAAAGTCAGACGCGAGTAAGGGGGTTACGAATAGGAAACTTACAGAAGAAATACAAGAAGAGGGATGGAAAGGGGAGGATGGCTAGCTACTTCAAATATATAGGAAAATCGTTGATGGTCGCCATCACAGAAGCCCAAAATAGACTCGTTATCACACGTGACAAAAAAGTGCTCACCTCCACACAAAATGTCAGATCCTAGGTTCGCCAGAATCAAATCTGATCCTCGCTTTCGTAGACCCAAAAAACATCAGGCAAAAGTCATAGTTGATGAACGTTTCAAAGGCGTCTTCGAGAAGGGGAAGGAGAAAAAGGGCAAATCAGGTGCGTACTATTATTTTACGTCGCTGCCCTACCCTTATCACTTTGTCAAGTCCGCGTTGACAAGTACGGACGGCCGATTTCCGCCACGAATGACCAAGACAATTTGAGGAAATTCTACCGTATAGAGGAGGACGCTACCGAGGTCACCACTAAGCCAGATCTGGCTCGAGGAGAGGTCCTACTTGAATCTTCGGACGAGGACGATGATGCAGAGGATGAAAGCGACAATGATAGTGATCCTGGAGGGATTATTACTATTGGGGGCGACCGCGCGCGGCCTATCACAATCCCTCGCGACGATGAAGAGGCTGAAATTGACTTGGATGAAGATACCTTCGCTGAACTCGAAGCCCAGGCTGCTGCTTACAATAAAGACCGTCTAGACGACGATGAGGAAAAAGAGCAAGCGACACGCACCAGGCGACTTGCCGTAGTCAATCTTGACTGGGACCATGTTCGCGCTGGGCACTTGTACAAAATCTGCTCTTCGCTTGTTTCTTCCAGTGCTCCGCTCCTGCGCGCGTCCGAAAATCAATCGGATCAGAAACGCCGTAAAAATGAGAGCGGCCAGGTTAACGTCGTGCGGGGAAAGGTGCAAAACGTTCGCGTTTATCCAAGTCAGTTTGGGAAAGAACGAATGGCCAAGGAAGAAAAGGAGGGCCCCCCTCCGGAGATATTCAAGAAGAAATACAACGACGATGAGGAAGTGGACGAAAAGAACATCTACGATGTTGGTGGGGAGAATGATTACAATGAGGACGCACTGAGGAAATACCAACTCGAACGAATGAGGTACTGTTTTTTTGGTATAACAAAAGTATATTCAAGCTGAATGAGCCTCTTTCCAGGTATTATTATGCCATTATAACCTGCGATACGGTCAACGCAGCGTCACATATTTACAATGAGCTGGAAGGGACGGAATTGGAGCGTTCCGCGAACGTCTTTGATTTGAGTTTCGTCCCTGATGATATGACTTTCGAAAGCGAGCCAAGGTTTGCTATTTATCGCTGCCTTTACATCAGTCTCACTCGGTAAATACAGAGATGAAGCAACAGAGAATTTGAACGCAAACAACAAAGGCATAGACTTTGTTACCGAAGTTAGCCGTTTTGACATACCGTATGTTTGGCGTTTTGACAAGAACCGTATTTCAGGCTTTGCGACACTCGAAAGTCAAGTTGACTTGGGATGAAGACGACGCCGAGAGAAACCAAATCACTCGACGTACTCTGACTCGTAAAGAGATCGATGAAGCGGACTTCAAGGCATACCTCGCGAACACATCGTCCGAGTCTGAGGACGATAAGCCAGCACAAGCAAGTAACAGCCGCCAGAAGGATAAGAAAACCTCACGCGACAAGTTACGCGCACTGCTGCTTCGAGGTAATGACGAGGCTATGCCAGAGGGTTGGGGGGAAGATGGTGGCGCTGACGGAGACGTGGACATGGAAGTCACGTTCACCCCTGGGTTGACTGATAAGAAGGGCCAAGACGACGAGAATACATTGGAGAAATACCAGCGAAAGATCAGGGAAAAGAAGAAGAGGAGGAAGGATGAGGAGAAAGATGCCAGCAGCAAGAACGACGAGAACGTCGGAGATGACTTCTTCGACGTTGAGAGCGAGGATGTTGTGGAGGTCAAGTCGGACGCACAGTCAAGGACAGATCGCCGGCAGAGGAAGGGAGTTGCAGTCCATCACGAAAAAGGCGACGTTGAGATCTCAAATCGAGAGGTCACTGCGGAAGAGCTTGCACTCCTCGTTGCATCTGATAATCCCAATACTGAGCCTCGACATTTCAACCTCAAGTCGGTCATAAAAGCCGAGAAAAAGAAGGGAAGGAAAGGTAGGAAAGGGAAGAAGGAAGATCAAGAAGATCAAGAAATCCAAGAGGACTTTGTGATCAACGTCAAGGACGATCGCTTCAAAGCACTCCACGAGGACCATCAGTTTGCCATTGACCCTAGTAATCCACAGTATGTTATCGTATTCCTTTCGTCAGATTTGTTGTTGACGTTCTTTGTTGCACCAGATTCAAAAAGACTAAAGGCATGTCCGCTCTACTAGAAGAACGCCAGAAACGCCAGCGCGAACAACGTTCAAAACAAGAACCAGAAGAAGGGCCTGCGTCTAAAAGAGCAGAGGCCGCAGTAGTCGGGGACAAGAGCCTACAGAACCTCGTAGAGAGTGTAAAGCGGAAGAGTGCAATTACAGAGGCGAGAAAGGGAAAGCGGAGGAAGCTTGAAGGGAACTCGTAGAAACGTGATGTTCTTGCCTCTTAATGCAGACTATGGGTCACTTTTATGTAGGTTGATCGATGATCCTTGAGAAATAAAGCTGTGTTGGGTGGGTAGATATAGCACAAGTACATCGCGCAGCTCTATGATATCTTCGCATTCGAAAAATCCAGTTCCGGGTGAGCCTCTTGGAACTTCTTGAGGGTCTGGACAGTGAAAATTGTCAGATGCTTCGGTCGGCAGAAACAGGTTGTCGATTATACCTCCATCTTTTTCATTTCGTCCGACGTAGGCTTACCCAGTTGCTGGAGGCATGCATCAGTTGGCGGCACAGAACGAATAGAATGTTGTCTCACTTTCTGTTGGTTGTCAAACTGAGAGAAATGATGAATATTGTGGGTTGCGTTCAAGGAGAGGGGAATCATACCATCATCTTCTCGACCATCCCCCTGCAAAGAATTTGAGTCATTGAATGAAAGGTTACGGAAAAACTGTACCTCGTTTCTCCGTCGAGGTCACTCAGTTTGCTATTGGCAGGCTCGATCTTCCTTGTATCGATCTTTGGGTCATGGGTCAGAACATTCTCCCACCAAGTTTGGTTATTCAATTTCTCCAAATGAACAAGTGCTTGGTCATCTTCTGTAGATCACTGAGTCGGACACACACAATGAAGATCATAAATATTTCTTACGCAAAGTCCAAGTGCTATCCTCGACTTTAATTTCTTTGCAGAGTTCCCCACTTAAAATGGGCTCTTCTCCTTTAAGACCAACAACCAATTTCTTTTTTTGAATAACGACATTGAGCTGTTTTCCACGGGTCCCTTTTGGAACTGGAACGGTGACATCTACCTCCCCCAGTTCTTGGGTCCATGAGTAGGGCAACGCTGTGAAAGTCGCGTTTACGTTGAGACAAAGAGTTCTCCATCAAATGGATGCATACCGGCCTGCTCTGCTATCTCGCGTGCTCGATCTCCTTTGTCGCGAGCGTCGCGCTCTTCCTTGGATAATTTGTCGTACTCTTCGTCTGGGATTGCCATCGATGTAAAGATTAGATTTTAGGCGCTTGAAGAAGTAAAGAGTTAATTGAATTACGTCATCTGCCACTGATTGCTCTTGTTTGTTGCAAGTCAGTTTGTTGCTGGTCGTGACCTGTGTCGCTGCTCTTCGTTTCTCAATCCCTAAACCTTCACGACGCGGGTAGAATGGCGGGCGTTGATTCTTGGGTTGACTTTGAGGTTTGATTCTTTGGCGTATCGCTTTCAAACTTCTGAAGGTGTCCTTTTGCGCTAGCAAATCCGACACAATATCAAGAACAATACGGTTGATAGATTGAAACAGATTCTGACAGGTCTGAACGATGAATGTGGCACCCATTTTTCAAAGTCGGGCAAGAAGCAAGAGATTATTGATAGGATTGTCGCTGTTCTTGATTCCTGGAGAGCCGCAAATTATGAAGACAGGTGGGCGAAAGCAAAGGCGGTCGTACACCAAGTCCGGAATCTGGGAGCGTGAGTGCCACTTACCCCGTACATGCGCGACTTTACAGCATCCATTTTCTTGATTCGCTCTTCAAAGTTCAGTCTGACTTATATTTTGCATCAGTTACACCCCCAATCGCCTACCCACAATCCCATCCACCCATCCTCCCGTTATTAACTCGCATACGTTTGTACCCGGGGGAATGAAACCGGCACCATATCTTCTCAATGGCACAGCTGCCACAAGTGGCATCGCACGTTATGATCCGTATGCTCCCCCTCGCAAACCTTCAGGATCCTCAATTGCGCCCTCCACTTCGTCCGGGATAAGACCCCCTAGTATGCTTGCGGGATATTTCTAATGATATTTTAGCTGAAAATGCAATATAGGTGTTCGCTTCAAAGAATCGCCCTTCTTCAAAGTCGAACAGGGTATCTCGTCTGTTGTTGAGTGTCCAGGTCGGTCTTGCATAATATTCCATGTTTTATTATTATTAATGACCGTCCCAACTCATCTGGCTTAGAATCTAGTGGCCAAACGGACCGTCGTCAGCAAACTGTCACCTTCACACTCAACAACGACCAGATCACGAAGCTAAAACAACCAGGGTATTTGCGCCATCCATCTGCCAGTTGGTTTTTCTAAGCCCCTTTCCAGTTCGAAATATCAACTTCGACTATTCTGCACCTCTTCTGCCTTCTACCAGAGCAATCCCGCGTTTCGAACAAACAATCCTTGTCTTATAGAGTTCCCTCCGACATGCGAAGTTCGTGTTAACGGCACCCAACTCACAGCCAATCTCAAAGGCCTCAAGAAAAAGCCAGGAACAGCTCCACCTCCCGATCTGGGCAAATTTACGCGGCTGACTGGTGTTCAGAACCGCGTTGAGATGGTATATGTGAACAGCATACAGCCTGTCGTACAAAAGGTGGGGAGTCCATACTATTACTTAACAAAGTTTTTAATACCATTCCAGAAATACTATCTAATCGTCATGCTGGTTGAAACGACCTCTGTTGAAACCCTGGTTAACAATCTCAGGCAAATAGGTCGCAGAAGTAGTCATGACATTAAACAACAATGTTCGTCTTTTCATGTTCACCCTCGTCCATGTTTTTTTTCTCATACTTTAATTGCACCAGTAATCGCAGTAAATACGGGGGACGATGACATTGTTGCGGGGCCGCAAAAAATGTCTTTGAAATGTCCAGTGCGTCAGACATATCTACAAGGTGTACTACATCGCGTATTGATCTGTTTGGCAGCTGAGCTTTATGCGCGTGTCTACCCCCTGTCGCTCTTCAAAATGTGTTCATGCGCAGTGCTTTGATGCCACCTCCTGGTTTTCTATGATGGAACAAACTACGACCTGGCTTTGCCCAGTTTGCGAAAAAACATTGGATTACAAAGACCTCATAATTGACGGGTGAGATTTCCAACCCAACAGTATTGAGTGAGTTTGCTAATCAACCGTGTTTAACAGCTACTTCGACGAAATCCTCAAGGAAACTCCAGAAAGTGTTGAGGATGTCATCGTGGAATCTGATAGCGAATGGCATACATCAGACAACAAATTTGGGTCAGCAAAGTGGAAAGCTGTTCACCCTCCTGCTGTTGAAGTATCATCCATTCAAAAGCCACCATCGCCTCCTCGACCATCAAGTGCCGAAGAGGGAAAGGCAAAGGCAAATGATGTAGAGATCTTTGTGCTTGATTCTGATGACGAAGACGAGGACCAAGTCAACCGACAGCTTTCTCCGTCGTATAGGGATTCCTCCAGTAGTCAAACTTTCAACAGTACTTTGCCATCCGTCCCATCGACGCAGCGGGCTGAAGATGTTATCGATTTAACGGTCGATTCCGAGGATGACGGACCTCCAGTGCTCCCTCGACCTCAGAAACGCAAGGCTTCGAATGCTGAACTTGCTGAAAGCAGCCCTACGGAGCCTTGGAAAAGGGGAAGGCTTGACACCCTACCAGGGGTGTCTGGCGGCGACTTGAGTCATCTTGAACTTCCTCGACCCATCTCCCTCCTCAATGATGGACCTACACCTCCCAGTCGCTACCCCCCATACCCAACGCCCTCGCAACCCACGTACAACAACTATTCTAACAGAGGAAGCGGGTCTATACAGTTACCGCCGTTGCAGCCGTTGCCGTATCTTAGTCGGCCCTCAAACAGCAATCATGGATGGCCATGAGGTTTTGGCTGGATGATTACTAGTATCTTACGTTTCAGATAATGAATTATGTACATTATGTATGAATTGGTGAACATGGGCATTCGATCGTCAGGAAATATTATTGTTGCAAGGATGGCCCTTGGATGTGCCAAGGGATGTGCCCAAGTCGACCCGCTCAACCGGATCGGGATTTGCGGAGTTTCAAATGTTCCGGTGCTTCCCGAAAGCCTTTTACACGCGAAGTTTTCTGGCAACTTTCTCTTCACCTACGCTCACACCTTCTCTCCGTTCTTCCACCTCCACTCACTCCTCTCCTCTCTCAAAAAAAAATGGCCGAAACTAAGAAGGTCAAGAGCCCTCAAGACTTCGCTGGTCTGCACATCCTTACCATTATCCTTTTCGCTGGCTAACCATTCTTAATTCAGTCGATTTCTTGATGGGTGGTGTCTCCGCTGTATGCTCTTTCATCCCATTCTCATTTTCATGCTTCTCACCTCATTATATATTAGGCTGTTGCCAAAACCAGCGCTGCGCCCATTGAGCGTATCAAGCTCCTTGTCCAGAACCAGGATGAAATGGTTCGTTGAATAGTTGTTGCTCGTTTTGTGCTTGTGCTGATACACACCATTCTTAGATCAAGCAAGGTCGGCTAGCTACCCCCTACAAGGGTGTCGGCGATGCTTTCGCCCGCACATACCGTGAAGAGGGCCTTGTTTCGCTCTGGAGAGGAAACACCGCCAACGTCATTAGATACTTCCCCACCCAGGCTCTCAACTTTGCCTTCAGTACGTCCACGTTTTTTAATTTCTCCGATGTTTTCCTGAACGCCCATCGCAGAGGACTACTTCAAGTCCTTGTTTGGTTTCAAGAAGAATGATGGGTACTGGAAGTGGTTTGCTGGCAATGTCGCCTCTGGTGGTGCCGCTGGTGCCTCCTCCCTTCTCTTCGTCTACTCTTTGGATTACGCCCGTACTCGCCTCGCCAACGATGCGAAGTCAGCGAAGGGTGGAGGTGCTCGTCAATTCAACGGCTTGGTTGACGTTTACAAGAAGACCCTTGCCTCCGATGGTCTTGCCGGTCTTTACCGTGGTTTCGTCCCATCGGTTGTTGGTATCATCGTCTACCGTGGTCTCTACTTTGGTGTCTACGATTCTCTCAGTGCGTCCATACTTTTTGTGCGGTCAATATGCTCATCAACTAACATTATGTCACAGAGCCCGTTGTTCTCGTCGGTGCTCTTGAAGGTTCATTCCTGGCTTCATTCGGTCTTGGTTGGGGTGTTACCATTGGTGCTGGTCTTGCGTCATATCCTTTGGACACTATCCGGTCCGTTCAGTTGCATTTTTTCACCTTGACAATGTTCTTATTGGCCTCATAGTCGTCGCATGATGATGACCTCTGGCTCCGGTGTTAACTACAAATCCATGTTTGATGCTGGCTCACAGGTAAGCCTTTTTCGTCAATGTTGATCAGAAATTGTACGCTTACCATCCTGTAGATCGTCGCCAAGGAGGGTATGAAGTCCCTCTTCAAGGGTGCTGGTGCTAACATTCTCCGTGGTGTTGCTGGTGCTGGTGTGCTGTCCCTGTACGACAAACTGCAACAAATTATGTTCGGCAAGGTTTACTCTGGAGGTAACTGATTTGCTGGCTCCCCTGTGACATTGTCTTATTTTATTTTTTCAAATAGGATCTGGTTAAATACTTGATTAGACATGTATGCATCATACCTATAGAGTCTCGTCTTTTTATTTCCCTCTGTCGTTATTTCCCGGGGTGTATTCATACCCTTGCATCCGAAAGACATGGTGGCACCTCTACAATACACAATTAGTAAATTTAATGCGTTCATCGTTCGCTCGTCACGTGAGTGGTATGAGTGAGGCGCGTCGCGTGGATTTTGGTTTCAAGTTTGGTCCTACTCCTGCATGCGGTGGTTCTCGTCCCCCTTCCACGATTTACGGTCACGTCTTATTCGCCGTGTACATGCGTCCACCGTGGCGACCGTCCTAAGACCATATCAAGAACAGTGTCTTGACGCCTGTCTTGAAGCGCTCGCCTCTGGGGTATCGAGAATTGGAGTATCACTGCCTACAGGCTCTGGAAAGACAACCGTTTTTGTTTCCCTTCTTTCCCGTTTGGTTCCATCGGCTTGGAATCCTGTGGCAACACGAAGCCTTATCATCGTGAACAGCGTCGAGCTTGCCCGCCAGTCAGCCTCTCAGGTTGCTAGTTTGTTTCCCCAATGGTCTGTAGAGATTGAGCAAGGAGCGAAATATAAAGCGTCGGGATTTGCTGATGTGTGAGTTCGTTCGCTGATTCGTTTCCAATTTTACCCATGACAACAGCACCATTGCCACCTACCAAACCCTCAAGTCGGCAGAACGTTTGGCCAAGTTCGATCCACACAAGTTGAAAGCGGTTATCGTTGACGAAGCCCATCACGCAGCGGCACCCTCGTACGTTATCACTCAAAATGTTCATGTTCCTCTTTCTCTCATGTTTTTGTGCTTAGTTATCGCAAAGTACTAGCACATTTCCATCCAGACATTAAACATCCTGATCCTTTATTCGCCGCTCCTTCTCCACCTCACAGAATTCCAATCGTTGGCTTCTCTGCGACGTTCAGTCGTCACGACGGTTTGGCCCTCGGATCGATCTTCGAACGTATTGTTTACCATCGTGACTTTCTGGAAATGATCAAGGAACAATGGTATTTACGAAAATCCGTCTTGCGCCTCTCTCCGTTTGCTTAATGTGACCATGAAGGCTTTGCCCTGTACGAGTGACATCTGTTCGCGCCAGCATCGACCTAAAGAGCGTGACCATTAACACTCGCACTGGTGACTTTAACCCAACCAGCTTAGCGCACGTTATCAATACGGAGACAATCAATGAGTTGGTAGTGAAAACCTGGATTGATCGCGCTTGTAGGTTCCAGTATTCTCTCCTGTTCAGCAGCATTTATTTCGTCCCCTCGCAGCAACTCGCAAATCCACGCTCGTGTTCTGCGTGAACGTAGCTCACGTTCATACACTGACACAGTCCTTTCGGCAATTCGGGGTCGATGCAAGATATCTGCACGCCGGTACACCTATTGCGGAGCGAAAGGCACTGGTTGCAATGTTCAAGGCCGGGCACTTTCCAGTCCTCGTCAACTGCGGTTAGAATTAATTCCTCTTGAATTCGACATGTCGCCATCTCCTCATGTCGCATCTGCAGCTATACTGACCGAAGGCGCGGACATACCGAACATCGATTGTGTTCTCATAGCCCGGCCAACTCGTTCCCGTAATGTCTTCGCTCAAATGGTCAGACACCTTGTCCTCATGTAATTCTCCACCTCACTTTAACCACCAGATCGGAAGGGGAATGAGACTCTCCCCAAACACCGATAAAGGAGACTGTCATATTATCGACTTGGTGGGCAGTCTTTCGAGGATGTCTGGCGTTGTCTCCATCCCTTCACTTTTGGGGCTTAATCCAGCGGAGATGGACATTGAAGGTTTTTCTTTCTTTTTTGTTCACGCGACACCATTTCTTAACTTCAAACTAGACAAAAGCCTGGAGTCCCTCGAGGCACGCGCCTCAGATTCTACATTCCCAGATACCGATGTGCCAACGCCCACATCGATCACCTACATGGAGGAAGAGGACCCCTTTTCTGTTTCCTCTCATGGTAGCTCGCACATTTCCGCACTGAGCAGGAATTCGTGGGTGGGCTGTGGTGACGACATATATGTGTTAGAATGTATTGGAAAGGGCTTTATTCGCATTGAACGATCTGGAGGAGGTAAGAAGTTCTGATGCCACTCTTCGCCAAATTAAATGTCCATGTAAAAAGAGCAGGGCCCCTTTACAGCACATTACGCCCCGCCAATGATAGATCGTCGGACAGCTAATTCACTCCACGTATCGCCTTACATGCGCAGCCGCCAGGTTTTGACGGCAGAGACTCTAAATGACGCGATTTCCGGCTGCGACACCTGGGTGAAAACGAAAATCTTACCTGGACAATTGTCTCTCGCGTGATTGCTCACTTTCACAATTTTTCAGAAAAAAAACCCGCTCACAAATTCTTATCTTAGGTTGCTCCGTTCTGCTCGTTGGAGGAAAAGCCCTGCATCACCGGGTCAGATCAACTTTCTGGCAAGCCGTTGGCGGAATCGTCGCCCAGAACAAATTGACAAGACAAAAGAATTAACCAAAGGCGAGGCTGCAAACATCATCACTCGTCTCAAACACGGTGCTCAGGTGCTATTCTACTTCTCCAATTCTCTACCCCCGCCCCTATTAATACATCCTCCATTATTGTAGTCTCGTTTTGAGAAGAAAGCCAGGGCAGCTGCAAAGACCGCAAAAGTTTTAGCGAAAGAGTTACTTCTTCGGCAGCGCGAGGTGGTCCAAGTGGGTGATCTACCGAAGGACCACAATGGGGCATAGCAAAAGCGATCCCCTACAACTTTACCAGCTCGGAAAGCCGCGGTGAGACGGCAAAATGACTTTGTAATGTCGTTATCGCCGCTGTCTGAGCTAGGGATACAATCTCCTCAAGACCGTTGGGGTGTTGCATTGATCCAGGTTCGCCCGCCACACTAGCTAAGAGGGCACCAACGAAAGAGTCTCCGGCGCCGGTCACGTTCGCCACCGTTTCGATGGGCAAAGCGGGGAAATGTTGCAGAACCATGATTTCTTTTGCTTTTCCATGTGCAACTATATACCTTTTATGAGGATTGCTTCGTTCACGTGCCCACGCTGAGGCCAGCGAATCCTTCTCAGGTATGCACATCGCCACGAGAACACCACGATCTCCACACTTGACGAAAATATGCTGGAAGAAGGGCAGTAGATGAACTACCATCTGTGCGATCCCCTGATCAACGAGGAACGATAGATTTCCCTTCGAGGAATCATCGACGTCGACAGGTTTTCTGGCTAGTTGTTCCAAATCAGTTCTGAAGGCCGAGCCAAGGTTGAGGCTATCAACGACGTTCCACCAGGCCGGATGAGACATCAGGTCGAACTCTTCAGATCGTGTTGCTTGGTAGAGATGAGTCAATTCCAACAAGTTGGGAGTGAAGAAGGTGATTGGGGGTCCATCAGAGTTGTCTCTTCGCAGGAAAGATGAAATGGCTGGTAAGATTGAAGCAGATTTGATTGCAGAAGTAGGTTCGCTGATTGCAACATGCAGCAAGCAATATCACGTTTGAGCAAAGGACTTACAAGAGCACTATATATGGACGTTAGGGCGCCAGCAAACATAACAGTCAAATTTGTAGTATCACTCACCTGCAATACCATTTTGATTGCAATAGTCGACAGCAGCCGTGATACTTTCGGGGGATAAGTTTCCATCAAGAGCGACAACGCTGGGCGTATGCTTTTGAATACAAGACAACATCTGCCAAGTTAAATATGTTAATAACTGAGGGACTAGGAAAGTGATGATGTGCGACCGTATCCCCATTAAACGTTCGAGTGATATCCATATCAGCAACGCCGCCAACGAGAGCACCACCACTGTTGAGAACCATGTTGCAAACCGCGGTTCGTTTGTCAGTTTTTACGAGTCCGTCAGTTCTCATCCTCAAATTGGAAATCTCCTGGACAAGGGCATCACCAAAGTGATCATTGCCAACGGGAGCAATGAGCAAAGAAGAAAGGTCGGGATAGCGGGCCTCCATGATGCGGTGCGACGCCTCGGCAATATTTCGTGCGACGCCGCCCAACGACATAGACACTGTACCTGGGGCGGTTGAGTGCATCGCTTGAGAAGGATTCGTATTTGTATCAGCTTGAGCGGTTATGTCAAGGGCGGCGGAGCCAATGACGACAACGTTGGCAGTTGGCTTGATTGCATCAGGTAACTGTGAAGTAGATGAAAGAAATACTGACAAAGAGTACAGCTTCCTCCTCTTTTTTGAATAAGCCAGCTGATGGCCTAAGTCGTGGAGCCAATTCGGCCTCGTGATACTGCTTAGCAGCGTTGAGTTGATTTATAGACGAGAGGAAGGCGAGAAATTTCATACAATTTCAGGCAGCAACTTCTGATACTGGACAGCAATCTGTCCCCCTGGATGGAAGTCAGAATAACATTAATATTCTAAAAGCCACGAGGACGAACCAATTAAAGCAGTATTTTTTAGAAGGGCGATGTTTGACACGAGTGAATCCCCTGCACTTAGCTCGGCAACTCTGTTGAGAAGCCAAGGCGTAGCATCTTTGCCGCGTCTGGATATCCCATTCTCTTCAGATTCCAGGACCGCCTGGTTAACGCACGCCTGGATCTTTTCACCGCTCGCCTCGCATTCTGCTGGGATGGGAACTGCGATCAACGCTCCGTTTACCATACCCAGTTGCCATTGAGTATCTGTCAGACGGTCAAAGCGGATAGAGGAGGGGGGTGGACGTTGAACACACGGAGTACTTTGGCAGCCGTAACAGGATCATTCACATTCCAGGGGACCTGTACAAGGTCAATTTGAAAAGCGACAGAACTGCAATGAATCTCACCTTGAAGCCGCTGTGGCGTGAAAAGAAGGCAGGGAACTCTCGAGATTCTCCATAGGTCAAGGTTGGGACACCGAGAGTTTCCTGGAGTTGACATCAATGAAACCCGAAGTTCTGTTATGGTAAATAATTGCCAGATATTCTAAGGTCCTGAGGGTACAATTAAGCAGAGGAAGAGGTATATTCATAGAAAACCACAAACTTTCCGATATCCAGAATGGATTTGACGCCCGCTGATACCAGCCCCACGGGACAGCGAGTCAGTTCGTGCAGATCCGCTGAGACGTCCATTGCTAAAAGACGTCAAACACTGAAGGTTTGGCTATGGTTTCCCACAGATACTTACTGTTCTCGCCACCACGATGCACTCCCCCAAGCCTAAAATGAATCGCTGGTAAACCAAAAAGTTTGGTTGGCCTCAAATAAATGTCTCTTACCCTCCCGTTGCAAAAATCTGGAGCAAAAATCAGATGATCAATCGGTGGGAAGAGAATTTGTGCACCTTGATCCCAGCCATGGCCGCAAATACCAGTGTAGCACTGCACGTTGTCCCTAGAGGCCGCGAAACTGTTTTTAGTCGAAGAGTCAAATATATTAGAAGAAGAACGTACCGCCATCGGATTTCGTGGCCACCGCAGCGGCGATATCTCGCCTTGAGACCTTGCAAGGGTCCCCGCTACGATCCGCCAATCTTTCCAACTCGTTTCGAGTAAGGCCAATTTTGATGCGGCCACCAATAATGCCAATGGTAGCAGGAACGCAACCTGTCAGCCTAACAACATCTTCGAGGGCTATAGGAACGTTTAAACTGTGGGGAAAGGGGAGTCCATGCGATACGAGGGCAGTTTCGAGTGCGACAATGGGTTTGTTGGTGGCAAGAGCTTCCTCAACCTCTGGGTGGATGTCAAGAGGCGCGTTGCGTGACCGCACAGAAGCGAGTTGGGCCCGCGTAGAGTTGAAGCGTACGCTCCGTGAAAGATTCAAGCGAGAAGATGAACGAAGCATTGACGTCCCAATGCATTGAACAAAACATACTACATCATGATCTTGTTCCGCCGGCCCGGTCCTCCGTCAATGATTCCCTCTGCATCCGTTGAGGCTCTCCTCAAGACACCACACGGCGTATGCGCAATCTCGCATTCCTTAGACGTCCAAAAAATCATAGCCTCTGTTCAGGATGAATCCGCAGGCGCCACCGCTGTTTTCATCGGTGCGTTATGACCTTTCCTCTGGTCTTGCCAATATTTAGCAAGCCAAACCTCTTCAGGTACCACACGCAACTCTTTTCAAGGTTTTGCCTTTATATTCTCGATTACCCGATGCACTGCTCAAATTACTGATCCAAAAGGAAAAACCGTAACACGCTTGGAATACCAGGCGTATTCAAAGTTGGCGATCAAAACGATGGCAAGGATTATATGTGATGTTAGCCAGCCAGCAGCACAATCCGATCACGAACTACGTGCACAAGAAGGCTATGTGTCGTCCATCATTCGATGTGTTGTCTACCATCGCATAGGAGTGGTACCTGTTGGGGAACCTTCCATAGGCACTTGCATCTCTATGAGGTGACAATACCGACTGACTATCAAGCAGTGATCGCGGTTTCGTCACCCCATCGGAAAGAAGCTTTCGCCGCTTGCGAGCGGATCCTAGAAGAGATCAAGTCACGCGCGCAGATTTGGAAGAGGGAGTGTTATGAAGGAGAGGATGAAAATCAAGCAGAATGGAAATCAAACAAGTAAAATACTATAATAGAAAAAATATCATTCCATACTTTTAAAGGCATATGACGGTGAGGACATCGTCCCAATCAGAGTCGTGAATCTAAGTTTAATCGACCTTCCATTCTTTCGTAACCCCGTCATCTTCAGAGCTCACTAGCAGCTCGACAGACCAAATCACGAGGGTGAAGAATATATTCATCCACCGCCACCAGATTTGTGAAGAATGATCGAGAACTTGAAATAGTCAGAGACAAACGGGTTACATAAAAGCGGAAAGACGCACGAAGGAGATGGGAATATACGGTGATGAATATCGACTGACGATAGGTCAGCAAGATCCGAGTAAGAGTTGACGTCTGGGTGTGCTGATCAGCAAAGCTCAGACACTCTCGGCTGAGAGAGATTACCGGTCTATCGTCCCAGCCATTGTCCACCCCTTCTTCGGATTCCCAGCTGTCGGCACCGATGGTAGGAAGTATACGAGAAGCAAGCTGCAATATCGTCAAGCGGTAAAGTAGTGCGATGAGAACCGGCTTCGGAAGTGTGTTTATGACAAAGTTCAGGAGGGTCTGGAAATGAGGAAGGATGTTAGGGAGAAGGGGGGCACTGATAAGATGTGAGCGGTATTCGTTCTTCAAAATGCAAAACGAAAGACTTACTACGAGGATGCTGGGTCCGTAAAAGACTTTTGGTCAAAACCACAAAGCCAGACATTATAGGCAATGAAGACAGCGAGCCCAGATGACTCGATGATGTTTGTCCGCCGCAAAACGAAGCCAATGAAAGTAAGGAAAAGGAAAGCGGTGATAGCCACTCCTAGCAGGGTTGACGACAAGGGTGATGCAGCGGCAGTTGGGTATGACTAGGTATAGTGCGGTTAAGCGAAAGTGTTGTAGGATTGACGAGAGACTCACGACGACAATCCACCATGCAGAAGCCACGTAAGCGACGGCTGTCGCAATCAGAAACCCAAACTGATACACCTCCCCTCTACCGACTAGCCGCTTCCCTTCTTGCCCAAGCTTCTGAACAACGAGCAAACTTGACAGGCCTTCCATGGTGATGAAAAGTGGGCCAGAAAACGTGAGGGCGGTGCCCCACCAGTCTGCGGCAGATAGGAGCCAGGGGTTGACAGACGAAGAAAAGACATTGAAGCAAACAAGGAGTAGAAATGGGTGCATTGGTACTTGGAGGACTGACAATGCTTGCGACCCCCAAAGAAGAATCATGGTCCCGTGGATGAGAGAGTGGATGCATAGGAGGAGAGACAAGAGAAGAAAAGCCTGTCTGGAGAGGGTCGCTAGCGTTAAAGGAAGAAATATCAGAATCTGTAAAGCAGTTGACAGTCTTGAAAGAGAGAATGAATTGAAGCGAAATGTTGATGCGAAGAAAATACCTTGCTGTGTTGGAGACAACACTCCAAAGAAACCAAGGATTCATCATGCCTGCCAGAGATAAAATAGGAACCGTATGGTGGTTGAAGCGTTGCCTGGCGGTGGGGAGGCCGGTTGCTGCTCAAAACAATGAGGGGGTCATGGAAGCGTCAATTTGGCCATTCATGACATACTACAACAAAGCCGAAATATTATATTGTACACATTTACACTACTTGTTCTTACAGGATACAAATCATACAAGCATTTTAACAGCAACGACTTTCGGTAGTGGCTCGTCTACCGATAACGGGAGGAGGAGGCTGCTCGACAGAGAGGCTTTTACGTGGATTAAGCAAGCCTTTTTCTTGAGCAAACTCTGTGGCTCGGGTCAGAGCAGCCGGATCGGATGGGGGCACGTAGAATTTATCTATGATCGGGATCTGGAGGAGGTTCATTTTTGACGTGATAACCACCATATGATTTGTCTTGATCTCCATCCAGTCAGCTGGCGAGTGGGTGAATAAAGTGGACGGAGTGCTATTGAGAGCTTTACCTCTTTCAAACGTCAGTGGCTCACTAGCGATCTGTAAAGCAATGCGTCAACATTCAGCCAAGTGGTCAAGATTAGACACACCATAATGATACTTTCACGCTTATCGGCCTTGGACATCCGGTAGTGACCTCCCTCTGCATATTCACTGAATTCTGTGCCGGACGAGAACCACTGTCAACGTGATAGGTGATTAGCAGTAGCCAAAACGAACAAGAAGCTTACCAGAGAAGCCGCTTCGTCCTTTCTCGACGAGATATACCTCGTCACCACCACACTTTCTCCGTCTGTGACGCAGAAATTCATCAGGCTCGGCTATAAGGAAGTATGTCATAAGACATTATTTTGACGTAAGATAAGAATATACCTCGGTGATACCACATTCTTCAGCATAAGTATTCAACGTCGCGATTGTTTCAAGCATTGCTTTTCGCAAAATGTCTGAAGTGAAAGACTTTGCATCAGGGTCAGGCAACTGTCAAAGACATGAGTGGCATTGAATCGGAGGATGTCAGGTACATACCTTGGAAAGTAATAGGGCGAAAGCCCATTCCGAATCTATATTATCAGTAGTGAGTTTTAGGCGATAGTTTGCGCGAAATATGAACAACCTGTATTGCCCTGAACCATGTTAAAAGCAACATCTGGAAGATCGGACAACAAGCGCCGTTTGAACAAGGGGAAGTCAGCGAGTGCACCGTTGTGCATGAACTAGAACATATTTAGATTCATTCAGTTCTGCGCCAGAGGTAAGATTCTGACCATCAATTTCCCATGAACAAACGGATGGCAGTTGTCAAGAGACAATGAACCAGCTGTAGTGGCTCGAACGTGACCACTTGACGGATTGTAAGCAATGCGCAAGGACGGGGGAGACAACGTACAAAACCAAAGGAGATTTAATTTTCTCCGCGAGACGCGTAAGGTTGATATTATTCCAAGCCTTGTTGATGTGTTTAGTGCGAATGAAAGGAAAGGAATGTTTTCCCAAAACAAACCGGCGTCACGGAAGTGAATATGCAGGGTTGACTGCCAAGTTCTTCGTCGTAAACCGAGTCATACCAGCCTATGCGCGTCTCATGAGCTTATGATTTGAATTCCTTTAGAGGATAATCACCCACCAACCCCAAAGCCATCGCCATTCATGGGCCTCCGTCGATCGAGGCGCAGTCGCGAGTCGAATGCTTGGTTGATGATAGAGTGGCATGGTCGAGTCAACAGCTGAGTGGGGATGTGAGCAAGAGTCAGAATGATGCAGGACAACCTACATGGGAGAGTTGAACTGGCGAAGTCCCTTTGTAAATCACGAAGCGACACATGGGGGCGACAATCTGCAGGAGCAATTGAAGGAGTCAACGCAGAGAAGGCAGCCCAGGCTTTTTATCCGGCCTTCATGTTGGCGCCCGCTCCGCATAACTATGATGTGCGATCGCGTGAGTCGAACTTCCACCGATAAGTAGTACACGTGAAGTCTACAATTTCTTTCCTTCCAAAACATATTGTAATACATCCTATACATCCTACTGTTACAAAAACTCTTTCGGTCGTCTCGAGGGGTCTCCGCCAGCCTCATCATAAACCAATCCAGCAACACGGAAAGCGAGTTCTTGTAAAATTGAGTCAAGTTAGCTTGATATCACCCAAGACTTCATGACCCTCACTCACCATCTGCCTGAGTCTTTAATATCGCTTCTGCATATACCCGCACAACATCTTCCGTCCCACTTGGCCTCACAAAGGAGCGGCCCCCGTCGTACCTCCGAACAAGTTCATCAATCTTCGCCTGCAAACCGGAAGGGCTGATCAGACGGCGTTCCGCATCCTCGGTCCTAAACGCGTTTCTGTCACTGACGACAACTTTGACCAATCGGTTAGGCAGATCGGCATATAAGGAGTTCCATTCGACACCCGTATAAGACTTGTGGGCAAGAACGACTTCTACGAGAAGCATATCCGAAAGTGCATCGCCTACTGTCTGGTTGATCAGGTGGGTCAAATTAACAAGATGGTTGAGGGCTGTGGACTGTGCAGGCGTAGAGGGCTCATGGTTCGCGAGCGTTTCCTGAGCTTGTGGGGAGAATAACACGGTGCCGTGGCCATTAGCTTCGAAATATACTCCGATGTTATAGTGCTCAGCGGCGTGGTGAAGATGCTTGACGCCAGTTGGGACACATTTTACTGGTAAACGCTATAAAGGATTTCATTCAAAGCATTATCGACGATTTCAAAACATACTTTGGCAAGGTATCTAGTAGAAGCACCGTTGGCGTAGGCAGTCTGGACAACTCCCACTTTGATTGTAGATTCCAGGCCAGCTAATTTGACAAGGTCGACGATGAATGCCGCAACAAGAGCTGCAATTTTGTCGCCGTCGAGCATCGAAAAATAACCACGATCGTCCAGATAATAATACATGAGACGATCAGCGTCGCCATCTAGACTGCACGCGCGCTGTCCCGGTTTGAGTACCTCAACCAACGAAGGAGGCAACTTTTGCATAGTTTTCACAAAGTCTGCTCCGCATGCGTTGTTAAGGGCTCCCAGGGTCGTGATTGATGTATTTTCCAATATAAGGGGTATACTTTCTCCAAGGTATTCAACAAGCTTGGCCGCAATCGGTGCCCCTACGCCATTTGCACAGTCAATTACCAGTGGCGTTATTTTGGGCCTCCCAGCCTTATGGAGAAAAGACAAGGATGAATTGGACACCATAATGCCCAACGAATGGCCTGACATACCACCAGTTTTTTGAAAGAATCACTAAGCTTTTTGAAGTAACCGTCCTCTGAATCATCTCCGTAGCTTTCCTTCGTTCCTTTGGTATTGATTGCCTTGACAAGGTAGTGAAGAATAGGGGTCGTAGTGACGCCTGCGTCGCGCGCTTCAGCGCCGATGGCTTTCAACCCGTCTTCCAACGATGAGATGAGGGCCACCCCAGAAGGTCGTGTATCACGTGCATAAACAACGCGTGAAGGTTTCGAAAGATCAATCTTCACGTTGCGAACAAAGAGATCCAGAGCATGCAAAAAGTCGTCCGTTGTAGACGCGTTAGCAAGGACAGTTGCATGTGTCTCCCAAGCTGCTTCAAGCATTTCACCGCGGGGGTCTACCAGCTTCACTCCGTTATCCTTTAGACCAACCAGGAAACATTAGTTTTCAAGTCATGATGGATAGTGGACACTCACGGCTTCCGGGTTGTGGGATGCTGTGACCATTACGCCTATGGTCTTGCCATCCAATCTCTTGCTTCGAAGTCCAGCAAGGATGCCCACCCGGAAGAGCACTGAGTCAAGAGTGTTGCCTCTGAAGAAGGAGTGAGGAAGATAAATCTGAGGATCAATGGATTATACACACAAGGTCCTGAAGCCTGCAGTCCCGTATTGAAAATGCAATTCTAGTGGTTTCGAATGAGCATCGCAGAGTACCCTAATATCGTCAATGGAAAGTTGGGACATGAGTGGTATTTATCGAGGATGGCTGGTCGTCGTCGTTGCTCGGTCGTGGCAATGGGCACAGTCTGACTTTATCCAAGGTCGTTATATAGATCAGATGACGATGTGACTTTACAACAGTTGTGGCTGCGCTTTGACTCCCTTTCTTTTGCCCACAATGCCATCTAAATCGCCAGCCCAAACTCTCCTTGACAAAGCAGACAAGAAAGCCAACTCGTCAACAGGCTGGTTTTCCTCATCGTCGACCAAATTTGAAGAGGCCGGCGATCTCTTCCAACAGGCTGCGAACTCCTTCAAGCTTGAGAAGCTATTTAAGGAGGCCGGAGACGCCTTTGCACGGGAAGCAGAATGTAGAGAGCAATGCAAGGAGGCGAACGAAGCAGCGAACGCGTGGTGGAACGCCGCCAAGTCATACAAGAGGGGGTTCCCTGATCGTGAGCCTACTCGTTTGTTGTGGAGCAGCAGATAACCAGGGCTGTGTAGTCGCTATCCAAGCCTTGACGCAGACTGTCGTCCATCTCACGCAAGGTGGACGGTTTAGACAGGCTGCGGATAGGGAGAAGGAAATTGGACAGATATATCTACAGGAATCAAACGACCTACGAAAGGCTTGTGAAAGCTTCGAGAGGGCAGGTGACTGGTATGCACAAGAGGATGCTACAGCGTAAGTTTTGGATAAAAACGAGTATAATGACCCTCTGACGAAAACCAGCACCGCCAATGCCTGCTACAAGGATGCTGCTGACCTCCACGCCGACCTTGAGGAATATCCTCAGGCGATTGCTCGTTACGAGCAAGTTGCTAACCATTCTCTTACATCTGCTTTGACAAAGTACAGTGTGAAGGAGTATTGGCTCAGAGCAGGACTTTCGGCGCTTGCGATGAACGTAGGCTGTCCCGTCATAAGCCTCTTTCAGACATTGAGCAATTCTTCAGGACACGGTGTCTGCGAAACGAAACCTCATGAAATATTCAAACCAAGATGCGACATTTAGCTCGACACGCGAGGCCAAATTTTTGAATGCATTGCTGGAGGCCGCAGAGGCGGGAGATGCTGAAATGTTCACGGGTGCCGTGGTGGAGTTTGATCAAGTGACGAAACTCGATAATTGGAAGACCAATATTCTACTGAAGATCAAGAGGGGAATTCAAGAAGAGCCCGGCCTTACGTAGAAGACCTGGCGTACATGTAGCTATAGGACAAGCTGTAGGCGCGGGTCTATTCGACGTTTAAATCTCTAAAGCTTGTAGGATCTATGTATTTGGACATATAAATAAAGATGTTTTTACTCGAACACGTTACCCAAACGTTACCGAACATTATACTCCATTCACTTAAATTATTCAGTCCCTACTTCCCCTTCAATGCACTTGTTGTTCGCTCTGTCTTTGCGGGTTCTTCACTTTATATACGCTCTGGTGATCCATGTTCGCTCATATTGGAAAAGATACACCTGGAGTCCCCCACAGCCTCTTTCAGCGGCGCGCAAGCGGTTGCCAAAACACCTCGCCATCATTCTCGTTGCAGATACACAACTCACCGAAGAAGCCACCGAAAGACTTTTGTCGGACAGCGTTGTCAACGCGGTTGACTGGTGTCGGGCGAGTGGCATTCAGAAACTTACCGTTTATGAAGAGAACGGTATGTGTCAAGGATTCTGTCAGGTTTTACCAATGTCAACCTCTGACGCAGGCCTTCTTTCTACGTCTGCCCAAACCATTGGCGATCGTGTTCCCCACAATAGCTCAGAAAGTGAATCGAGCGAATCTGAGCTCGAATATCCGTTAACTCCACCACCGTCTGATTATTCCGAGTCCCGGCCACTTTCTCCATCGCAAGATATACACACTACCATTCCCGCAATCCGTATCCAGGTCTCGAAGTTGCCTCTTGAGTCCTACGATCGGAAATATTCGGTGAAAAGACGAAAACGTAAATTCAACTCGAATCACAACCAACGAGGACATTAACACCGTCTTTAGACTCGACGACCCCTTCTACCCAAAGACCTCCTTTGTCTTTATGTTTGATCTCGCGTGAATCCTCCAAGGCTGCCATTGCGTCAACTGCCTCTTCCCTCGCCCGATTTCATCAGCAACAATTGTTCAACGGAGCTAAAAGGCCGAAAGACCTCTTCCAGCTGCGTGTTGATGCGTTCGAACATTTATTAGAAGGTATATGATAAAAGTTCTTCCCCAGCGTCGTATTAAATTTTTCCAGGCGAGGATGGCATATCCCCCCCGGATTTCATGATCGTCCACTGCTTAAACCCATTTCAACGCCACCGATCCCCCTTAGAACTTCACGGGTTTCCACCGTGGCATATTCGGCTTACTGAAATACAGTAAGAGTTTCAAATAATACCACCACTGCCGACAACCTAACATTCACCATTTGTTGTCTAGTCAAACCAACATGAGAGGCCGTAGACTTACCCTCTCCGCCGTTGCTCACGGGCAGGTAACCGGAGTACTAGACGAGTTAAGCTTCAGAGAGGCGCTCGACGAATTTGCCAGAGCGGAGATGCGGTTCGGAAAATAGGATTTGTCATTTTCATAGTAAAGTATCATGCCTTTGAACTAATGCGTACTTCTTGACTATCGTAGCGCGACTTGTACACTAAGGGTTGAACGTTGAGGGTCGAGCGCCAGCGTCGACAAAAAAAGTAGGTGCCAAATGTGGTTACTATCAGCGCCAAGAACTTGGACCACAACGTGGAAAGACCCTGTGATATAATTGGTTGTTGCAATGTGCCCAGAGATATAAAGAGGGTAAGGCACTGGCAGTGATGATTTTATAACACACCCCCGCGCGACATGGCCACGTTGTCACATCCCACCTCTTCTCTCCTCCTTCAAAATTCAGACAACATTCGAAATAGTCCTAACAAATCTCCTCGCCGATTGCACACGGACCCAAACTACATAGCTAGCAACGATGACCTCATTTTGAGGGTTTACAAACGAATCATAGTTTGTTGCGATGGGCAAGCATAGGGTAAACTCTAAGGGCTGCTTATTAACCCAATCTTATTTGTTAGAACTTGGCAAGATGGCGTTTCTGAACAGCGGTCTGCGTACACTAACATCCTTGTACGTGCTTTATGCAAGGAACTGCGAATGCTGATTGATGTCCATGATGGAAGCGTCTCGCGAGAACCATCAACCATGCCGACGAGAGATTGTCTCCGGCTATTCCCCAGATTGTGTTTTATCAGTCTGGAATTGGCTCTGAGAAGAATTTCTATTCTGAATATATAGAAGGTGTGCATGCTAGGGCTTGCGAGACGAACAAGATTTAAATTCGACGACTTCCGCTGCCGCAGGGACAACTGGGTCATCTTTAGGTGGATGATTACCAACTTGCTTCCCGTTTGCATCCACTCAGGTACCTTTTTCAAGCCGACAAAGTAGAAGATGCTTACGCATTCATAGCGCAGTAAGTTTGACCTTACATTCTCCATCTTGTTAATATCACTAAGATTGCTCTGGTAGCAATTATAACCCCGGAGATGAGGTACGTGCATTTTGCGCTTCTGCCGTGCCTAATTTCGTGCCACTTCAAGTTTTTTTAATCACCGGCACCCTACCTAGATTTTCCTCTTTGGGTTCTCCAGGGTCAGCCTGATTCTTACTTTTCTTCTCCAAGTATTTTAGTTTTGATCTCTTTCGGCCCCTCGACAGGGTGCATACACTGCTAGGATGGTTGCCATGTTTATCGTGAGCCACGCCATAGAAGATCCTCCACTATTATTGTAACCTCCCTTCATTCATGAATCAGGGAGAAATTGGTGTTCTCGATCGCAAAGATATGGATCATTTCGCTGGCATTTTCATCGCTTACCAGAAGCTCGGAAAAAGCAAAAAACCGGAGGGTCAGTCCCCCAATGGTGTGGTTTCAGGCTAACCTAGCTCAACACAGAGAAGGAGAGATTGAAAGAACAGCTCGCTCCGTGGTCCAGCACTCAGTCGCCTGGAAAGATGAGAGTAGGTTGCAATCAAGGCTCTTTCACTGTCAGGTATGATATTTTTGCATCCTACACATTATTTATCATGTTAACTAACATTTTCATATGTGCAGATGTGTTGGCGTTTTTGACACAGTTGGATCGCTCGGGCTACCAGAAGAGTTAACTTTACGGGCACCAAAGTTGACGAATCTCTTCGGGTTCCCCGATAGAATACTGGGTGAGCATGTTGAGCGTGCATACCATGCGATGGCTCTCAATGAGACAAGATCCGACTTTGTCCGTTCAATGTTTCACCGTCGCATCGTCACTAACAAGTGCTTAGAACGTCAACAAGTTTCAACAGACAGAAGCTGGCCGGCAAAAAAATCAAATATTGAAGCAGGCACGTAGGTTAACAACTGAATATACGAACTTCGTAACTTAAAGTACTTGTCGTCTAGTGCTGGTTTACCGGTGAGTGTCACAGCCTTCAAAGCTCGCGAGCTAAATGCTGCTCAAGGTTGTCATTCTGATGTATGTGACACTTTGAAAGGGCTTCTTCTTGCTGGTAATACGAGTTATAGATCGGCGGTGGCTACAAAGAACATGATCTGGCCGATATTTCCCTCACATGGATGCTGGTTTGTTCCCCCTGTTCAGCCTTTTACAGATTTGATTCGAAAGGAACGCGACAGGCTCATATCGGAGATATATTATCTCTCGATGTAAAATATCTATCGCAGCTGCCCCAGCCGGTAGCCTCATGGGGAACACAGAAACCTCACGAGTATGTTCTCGACGCTTTCCTCCAGCAGCATTCATTACCTTGATTAACCTCTGATCAGCCCAGCTACTGGAATATTTTCCTTAGCGCACACTATCCAGCGTTCTCTTCCAACTTTCACAGACAACATTACCGAGGAAACAATACATCTGTCTGTCTTGAAGCAGGCGTCTGTATACCCAGCGCTTTCAGAGCTCCTCAAGAGTAATCCGAGTCTCATTTCCCCCCTCCTACCTCTTGAAGAAGAGATGAAGGAGACCTGGCCGTTCCGCCCAGAATCGTCGGTTGTTCAGTCATACGCGTTGGGATTAGGGAATCAAATTGAAATCAAGAAGGAGCGAACAAGTGTCAGGAAGGAACTCTTTAGGACTGGATCTCGGATGGGCAAATCCGTTTTTCGCACTCTCAGTTTCAGCGTGTCGAAAAAAACGACGAGTAGGATTATAACGGAGGCAGGAGCGGTGACTTATGAGGAGAGAAACTGGAAGGGGGGCGTCGAGCTAACTGACGATGCTAAAGCGAACGGTCTGGGCAGTACCAATTAGATAATGTCATGTGATGAATTTGTCTCCAGAGTCAACCTTGCCTCACTCTTTGTTCTACCCGCTCATGTTACTAGGGTGATGGTCTATGGCTGTTCAAGATCTTGTCGAGTTATATGAGTCACACCGTACTCAATCATCTACCAATCATCAAACCAACTCGAAGGAGGGAACTAACAAGTCAACCTTGAAGCCAAGCCCAGCTCGATTCATCAAAAGAGCGCAACGACATGACGAAGTCAGCGTAGACGTATCAAGAAAAGCGGGCATATCCTCAACGAACACCTTACATGGCGATGTTCTCAATGCCGACATCACAGAAGCTGCTGAAAGCAATGGGGAAACAATGCCTCTGGTTGGAGGGAATGTGGATGTGGGATCCCCCCCTGTAATATACGATCGCGCACTCCCAGCGTACGGGCCTGCCATTGGATCAAATTTCGAAACATTGAAAAACCCAAACCAAACTTTCTATCCACCAAACTCAGACACGACTAAAGTCGCGTTCTCTCACACTCCTGTTGCAGCTACTGTCGTATTTGCTCGAACTGCGCCGCCATTGCATCTTCCTCGGCTTGACGGCTATCTCTCAACTCTCCCCACGCCATCGTTCTCGAGGGGGAGCGAGAACAAAGAAACGATGTTTCCGCCCATGGATCAACTTGCCAGAACTGGTTTGTCACTTGAGAATCTGGAGGCCAACGGTTCATCAGCGCCTCTTTGGCGGAATCGCACAACAATATTGAGTTCTTCTGTCAACTGGTTACTTGGACTCATGGTACACGTCTTTCGCACCACTTCTCTTGTACATGTTGCCCACAACAATCCCAGGGATCAAGTGTTTTGGCTTCATTCTACAGTCTTCAGGGCGTCTCCAACACTGTACAAATTTTTGCTTTGATCCTGAGTACCATCGGTCTGCACCTCCATCCTTTGCCTTGACTACCTACACCGCTAAAGATAATAACAGTGCCTCATGCTGGAGGAAATGTTGGAGACAAGTGGCGGAGGCTATTCCTCGGAACTATGTGAGTTATGTGCAGTACATTGCTGTTCTAATTATATCGTCTTACTCTAGACCAAACGTCCTCGCCCTTAATTTTGCCTCCACCTTGCTTCAGTCCTTATTCTTCCTGCTCATATTTATGGTAATTGCTTTTGGATTGTTGTATTATTTCTATGTCTCGGCCTGTCACTGCGATCGGTACAATACCATCGAGGGACTCCAACATGCCGCAACCAAAGGCAAACGATGGGGCCTCCTCATTGTTACCTTCCTCCTGACAGTCATATACCTTCCGCTAAGCACTATGGCTGTCCACGTTCTAGTCTGGTCTGAAGACCTTTGGGTCGTTCCCAACCCTTATGTCAACGCAACTACTTCCCCGCCTGTCCTTCCACCTCTGGGTCCGGCAAATAAATTTCGTGATCCGCTAGATTTTTGCTGGACGACGACCATGAAACGAAACGAGGTGAATTATGCGCCAGTTGCAATCGTTCTTTCTGCAACTATTCTTTCCTTCGTAAGGCTCGCCATAACATTTTCGAATTGGAAATTGCTTATTTTTCGACAGTTGACCATATGGTTTCCAATAGCCCTGCGCCGTGTCATCCGACAATCTGTGCCGAAGGTTGACAAGTTTACCGAACTTGGCCGCCCTAGGAGCAAGGTGGACATGGATAGTGAATATCACAGACTTCTTCAACGTGATAACAATCCCTTTGCATTTCTGTATAGCGGTGCGTTCCATCCATCCATTAAGTCTGTATATTTGATGTACCACAGGTTTTCGAAGGAGGTGGGGCACTTATGAATCAACATACTTATTTGCGAAGCTCAGTACCCTCGTGATCATTGCCGTCCTTGACCCAAATAATTGCTTCTTTCGCACTGGTTCTCGTTTAACGATACCCATAGTACGCCAAGTGCTACTTCTGCTCTCTACCCTCGGCTTTTTCATCGCGCAATGTATTTTTGCACCGTTTTTGGATCCAGTGAACAACGCTAGTGAGTGGATATCCAGGCTCAACTACGTGGCAACTGCCGCTACGGCGCTTGCAATTACATTGAATGTACCTGGGAAAAACGTCATCAACACGTATGTTCTTTACAGGTATGTCATCTTTTTTTTAAAAACAGTGATGTCGATGAATAAGTTTCTCATAGCATATATATCATAACTTACGGACTTAGTTTCTGTGAGCTTGTATCTCTGCCGACTTTCGAGCGCTGAGAGTACTTATGTCTTCACCAGATTTCTCCGTCATTGATTTGAACATCACCCAAAGAGCTGTGAAGAGTGAGTCGCCCCCTATTGCTCTCAACAGCGAACCTGATTGAATGAAGGATTGACACGTAGAATCGATTTCAGTGTGCATTCAACTTATCGTCCGTTGACCTTACTGATCCAAGTACAGGCATCGATATTTTTTCCCCAAGGTATGTTGCTATCACAGTTCAATGGCCCCACTCATGACGACGCTAGGTTAAACACTTCGCCCTCTTCGTTGCATAGCACGCGGCGCATTTGGCAAGAAGCCATTGCAACTTTGTTATTGACGACTCCCAGCTGCGCGATTCCCAAAGACCAAGCGATGTGTTTCGCGCAAGCGAAAGGTTCTGAATTTCCACCATATCTGTTAGACTTTCAGGGTTCCCCTAGTGAAAGATTTGTAGAAAACTTAAAGGTAATGACGACTTTCGTTATCAACTCGAATTGTCACGGAATGATTTCAAGTAGATTTTGCGGGAGGTCGGATCCCTTGCTTATAGTCGGGCGATCGCCCTTACAACGGGTCCGGACTACGCCTGGTATCGACGTCTGGAGGACGAGATTCAAAAGGAGTACACAGGTCCAGACAGCTACTGGAAAGGGGGTCCAGCGATTCCGAACTGTACAAGCTTTTTTGGAAATGCCTGGTGGATTCCTTTCCCACCGACTCTTGCTCGTGACCTTCTACCGTTGATTTTTTAACTTGTCTAATTGTTGCTACAGGTCATTCAGTATGATGATGGACCCTGTGCAGTTTTACGCGAAGCCTCGGACTTGGAAGCGTATATTGCACAGAATTCTAGTCCCGATATACAAAGGAGACGGCAGGTGCGCATGTCGCTACGTGCTTTAGAAGGGCAGACTGTTCACTGGCCATACGAACGCATTAATGCAAGTCGTTGGTCCAGTTTTAGGTCAAGTGTAGCCACTGACGTCTCTAACAGTCCATCGGATCGCAGCAGTTCTGGTGCTGTTGGAGGAAACGTTACACGGCATCAACGTCGACGAGCTATCGCTTCTGTAAACTGCGCATTAAGCGGAAAGGCCACCTCATGTGGCATGGCCTTCATCTAGGAAGTGGTTTTCGCGTCGAACTCGAGTACTCTGAGCGCTTGCAAGTTTCTGGAACTGTCATTGGTTTGAACGACGATTTTGATTTGACTTCGACCTTGGCTCGCTTCCTAGAACTCAACATGGCATTGATAGACCAACGACACCACAGAATCGAGACCGAAATGTGCAACTACAGACGTTACAATCGAAGAGCTTGTCGGTGGAAGAGTAGGGTCCTCACGTACCAGTTCCTTACGAACGTATACGATAAACCTCAAGAGGCTGACGAGCTCGCGCGCGGTGCCGTCAAATTCGAATGTGATGCCCGAGTTTGCCAGCTCATTCTCCGTAGCGAGGCGGCAATTGCAGCTACTTATCAACGATTTGGAGCAGTATCAAAGTCTGAAGCAGCGACCTGGTGGTACATATTTTGGGTGCTTTTTTCCCCTACAGAATGAATATTTTTAGCTGATATACACCAAAGGATGATTTATGGAGAAGAAATCACGACACGATCAAGGGACTACAACGGCACGCAACCGAATTCAATCCTCATTACGCGACCTCGATTGCATATAATCCTTTGCCCAGAGCTAAACTAGAGAGTTTTCTCACTCAGCGTGGCTTACTTCATAAGAAACCTCGATGGAATGATTTTTTCCATTCAGGCTTCTTGAACAAACTTTACCTGCGTCTAAATGATGCGGTTTTTAGAGACTCTAGTCGAGTGAGTGGACGCACTAGCATCTGAACATATTTCTAAACGCCTGTAGGCTATCATGTTCCATCTTGGTGATGATATGTGCGAATTCGACATGGAAGACATAGACCTCGCTACGCAAGGGCGGAATTCTACTCTTGGCACAGGTGGAGGGACTGACCACGATTTGTCGTGGATTCGAGCACGTCCTGCATATCGTTGGGAGGGTCTTTTGAACGATCCACCTCGCAGCGGCACACACAATAAACAGAATTGGCTGGGGAAACTCGGCGCTTGGTTTGGGATTACCCCATTGTGGAGGTCCGGGCAGCCATCGAACGGAATATTTATTGACGTTCGCCTTAAGAATGGCCGGTTCGTACTTATTGACAACTCGGTGTCTAGTATGGGTAGCCATTGAAATGTATGTTGAACGACGAACACTGAGGTCGCCGCAAATTTGCGCTAATTTGCTGACCAAAATCGCAAACCGGCACGCAAATTAGAGCAACTTGGCGAGGTCTTGAGAGAGAGAACGATGACAGGTTTCGGCGCAATTTCTTCTTAAAAGGGGTGGTTATGGCCTTGCGGAGTGTCGATTTTGAGTGAATATGTGTTCAACGAGTCGGACCTCGTTCGATCTCCATCTATCAACTCGGTCACATGAAACCTCATGAAACCTCCTTTGAAAATTCTTCCATGCGTCCACCGTCAAATGTGCACTTCAAACAATTAATTCTTCTAGGTCAAACAGCGTGCAAGTACACTAACTAGGCAAAAAGAATAGGGGGTTTCACAGTAGGCCAACTTAGGTCCCAACTTAATCCCCAACTTGGTGAGCAACTTTTGCCAAGTTGGAAGGACAAAGTTTGACCAACTTCATCAAGTTGGGATGCAAATCGTGGTCCCGACGCCGATTTGCAGCCAACTTTGATCCCAACTTGGTGCCCAACTTCACCTCGCAACTTCCCACGTGTCCAAAATAGGCAGAAATCTGCATTCGGAATCCCTTCCGAGCCCAAATCAGCCCAAGTTCATGTTTTCTGCAGTTCAAGGTGTTTCACGGTAAAGTTGGCCAACTTCCCTTTCAACTTTGTTGAAGTTGGCCCACAAGTTGGAATGAAAGTTGGGACCTAAGTTGGCCTACTGTGAAACACCCTAATGTCACATCATTTTTTGGACAAAGTTAGTCCTGTAACACAAGAACCAAACATTTTGAGAGCTACACTCTGGGGGATGAACTAAGGATAAGGCACAGGCTCTTACCCAGCCATCGTTTCGGGGTTTACAAAAAAAACAAGTTTCATCAGAGAGATTTGACTTAGAATAATTTCACGATTTTTGATGACAAATACAATCACTGATCCAATCATTTATTTTAAACAACGCAACTCTTATTTTTTTGAACCCCTCCACGACGGCTGGCATTTTACAAACGTAAACAATCAGCCACCGTCGCCTGACGCTCCGAAGGTACTTCCTTTTTAAGAACTGTCATCAGGAAACCCTAGTTCGGACCGCGTCGACAGTTCTCCCACCCCGCCCTCTTAGCCATCGCCCAATCGGCAAATATCACCCCCGCACAGGCTGTTTACCGTATATGGCAGATGGAGGGGATTGTGCCGCTGTCAGGCACGAAGGATGAGACACATAGGATGGGTTGAATGGGCTGGGTTGGGCGTTTGATGAGGTTAGCATTGACAAGGGGAAGACTTTTAAATAAATTTATGTATGTAACTTGTAAAATGTATTACCGTATCACTCGGGTACCAACCTATCCACAATGCTATGATCTATCCCATAATTCTCGCAGACTGCCACAACTCTTCACTTTTGTAGCCCATGCTGTAGTCAAATTCCATGAAGATAGCAAAGCGCACGTCTCGGATAGTCATTACTGGGCTCTCACGTAGGATGGTGGTGATTTGGCGTTTTCACTGAGGACGGGTGCCAGAAAAGAAGAAGAAGGAGCGGGAGCAGGATGCATGCGTCCGCGTGACGAGGGATACTTTTGTGGTTTTCCTGCCGTATGTGATCGTTATAGAGCAATGTTGCGAGCCGGGAGAGTTGTGCATTTATAGGGAGACATGGTTCTCGGACTCCATGAGTAGACGCGATTTGGAATACGGTAACTTTTTCATGCTGCTCAATCAGATCAAACGGTATTGATTGGTTATCCACCGGTGGCACCCAAAGTAGCCCCGTCGCCGACGGTGGCTGATTGTTTACGTTTGTAAAATGCCAGCCGTCGTGGAGGGGTTCAAAAAAATAAGAGTTGCGTTGTTTAAAATAAATGATTGGATCAGTGATTGTATTTGTCATCAAAAATCGTGAAATTATTCTACTTAAGTCAAATCTTTCTGATGAAACTTGTTTTTTTTGTAAACCCCGAAACGACGGCTGGGTAAGAGCAAGGGGCAACCACCCGAGCATCCGGTTGGGTCAACTGGTCCCATCGGGGTTGTGGGATTTAGCCTGATTTGACACGTGCATCCAAATGTCACAGTAGTACATAGATCAGTTGGGCATGTTCACAACTTTCTTTCTACGTTTCCCCGATGGCTCGACAAGGCTCAACGTCTGCGCCCTGTCTCTCTTCAGCTCCTCTTTCATGATCTCAATGCCATCACTGTTCAGGATCCCATGTTCCTCACGAGCCTCCGTGGTTAATTGTGCGTCCACTTTCAAGAATTCCTCCTCCTCTCGCGTCAAAAACATGTCGATTGACATCTGTCCAGGAATCTTGGGAAGCTTCTGGTCATTAGCATCAGGACCCATGTCAAGAGAACCCTGCGCATGCTCGGTAAGCAGATGAAAAATAGCGTTATATTCCCAGATTGTCCTCCGTTCTCCCGATATTGCGAGTGGAGGACATAACTGATAATAAATTGGCACGTTAGTGCAGGGATTTGGCTTTGACGGTTCAAACGTTCAAGCACAGCCTTGTATTGCATTTTTTCATAATGGTATGTGCACGTCGATGTCGTGGATTTGCTGTTGTCGTCAGAGAAATGTCCGTACTGCAAAGATCATATTGAATACTGTGCTTCCCATTAATATTATTGATTGTGGTTGTTATCCTAGGAGTGCCAGGGAGTTGAATTTCCTTTGGATCTTCAGCTGCAGGTCGAGGTTTTGGCATTTCTTTCAGTGAGAATGGGGGGAAGGAACAACAAATCGATTGAAAAGCCTGTCTATGGTAAAAACACAACATGCAAGGCAGATATTTTACGTGTTATGGTAAGGGTCTTCAATTGAATCTGTGGAGCGCGTTGAAGCAACGTTGAAGGCGCGTGCTAAATGAGCGCAGGCATGACAATCATTTTGGGATTGCACGTGTTGACTCCCACGACCCCGATGGGACCAGTTGTCCTAACCGGATGCTCGGGTGGTTGCCCCTTGGGTAAGAGCCTGGATAAGGCAGGGAATTGACTGTGACAAGTGCCAAAAATGGGATGTAACAAAGTGGGAAATTCTGTGTGACATTCTTTTTGCCCAGTTAGTGTACCTCGATAAACAATTCTCGCCATGGTGCATAAAACGGAAAAAGTTGGTCAAACGGAGCCCTTGCTTTGCCCTATTTCTGAGGGCTAATTTGCGCGAATTAACCAAGAATTAACCTGGGCTTTCCTGCCTGGACATTTGCTGAAAGCTTGAAAGTTATGGTGCAAATTACATGTGGCCTGAAATGAGTGAAGCTCATGCCAAACAACTACACATATACACCGGAAACCCATATTTTCTTCAGAATCAGACTTTATGAAGCGAAAACAAAGTGTCACGAATTTCTCTTTTCAAAATGAACAAGATCTTGGAGAAGGCTCCTACGGCCAACCAGGTCATATGAAGGACCTCAGTTTGGATGAAGACAGCGATGGCGTAGATGCTCCTCGAGCTGCACAATGGGTGGACGACAATGACACCAGTGGTAGTGGCGAATCAGCAGCCGAAGACAGCTCAACGGAAGCTTCATCATCCAGATTGGTAAGGGCGAGCGTTATACCTCTATGTTGTTGTAAATAATTTCCTCTTAGAAAACCCTGCAAAGCAGTCTGTATTTTTCATTCCTGCAACACAACATCCTCTGATAACTTGACTTCAGACCTTTCAAATCTACCCCTTGGGGCACTCCGGAAAGCACAGCGTGTGTTAAAGCAGGTTGAACCGATTAGCGATTCAGATGACTCCAGCGGAGATGAACTTGAAGATGATACTGGCGAGAGTGAGTCTGAGCACGAGCCTGGGTTGGGGAGTTCGAAAGGGAAAGAGTGGAGCGTTAAGCCAAGATTCGATATATCCAAACGTTCAAGTAAACACGCGTGAGTGTGCTGGAATGTCCTCCATGTTTAACTTAGCAACCTCGCAGACCCACGGAGGTTACTTCCAAGAGGCCTGTAACGCGAAGACGGACTGTGGTTGAAGTTCCAAAGCTTGTGGGTACTCACTCCCATTGTTTTTATGGCTCAGAAATTTATATATCCATGTCAGGTAGCTCGAGATCCACGCTTTCTTCCAACTGCAGGCGAATTTGCTGAGGAGAAGTTTCAAAAACAATATGCGTTCCTCACTGATGCTCACAAAACCGAGTTGCGGACGTTGCGGGAAAATTTGAAACGTGCACGGAAATTTTTAGCATCTTCACCACGGGAACACCGCGAGGAAAGAGAACAGGAAGTTTACAGGCTAGAGCAGGCAGTGAAACGGACGGAAAGTCTGGTCAATAAGGACCGACTAGACCAAGTTTTGCGCGAGGCTCTCGGGAAGGCGACGAAGGAGGAGAAAACGAAACGCAAGCAAGGCAAAGGCGGATGGTGGATGAAGGAATGTAAGTGTTTAGCAACGAGTATCATGGTGGAGAAATCGCTTGCTGATGTGTGAATGTAGCGGATAAGCGGGAGCTGTTGACGCAAGCTCGGTATGAAGCACTTGCAGCTGATGGTGGGAGCAGGGCTGTAAAAAAGGCTATTGAAAAAAAGCAGAAGAAGGTGAGCCAGAAAGAGAAAAAATCGAGACCATATCCGCCTTCCCGAAAGAAACGGAGAGTAGAGTAGCGTGGGAGAACATAAAAAAAGAAAATGTTTTGCACAGGTGGAAGAAATGTTTTATGAACTCACCTTGACTCCATGAGATTTTGAACGCTGAGGGCAGCCCTGTAGCCCCAACGGCTGAGGCAATCAGGCAGCCATATCTTTTGTCTGAACGCTATGGCAATCGTTCCAGGCTCATCTAATCCAGAGCTTTTGTTTACAACAACACTCGATCCTATTCTTCTGCCGCCGGTCTGCGAAAATAAAGTCCTCGAAGATGGTGATGACGGTGACGATGACATCTACCGTGGAGAACCGCCTTCGTCGTTGCGCTCGTCAAGCTCGAGTTCGATATCCTCGTCGACATCGTCCGAACATGCTGTTGGGCCTCTCGAGACGATCGCTGCCGCAGTGGAATTAGCAATTTCCCGATGGGCCAGGAGAGCCCGAGGGAACTCTTCATCTCGCTCGAGCACATCTTCCTCTTCCTCGTCGGCGAGTTCCTCTACTACCACGAGGACACGATCCCGCCGGAGGAGGCGTCCAAGTATCTCAACTCTGCGCACAATGCAATCTGAACGCAACATCGCGGCCCGTAGAAAGGCTCTTGAAGAGTCGCGGCAGATTCCCCGCAATTTTGCGCTTTATGTACCTCCCCAGGTGGCAGAGGCTGGGCGTCGGGCCCCGCCCATTCCGCCGAGGGTAGTCACTGGGGACCGAAATAAAGTCACAAATGAAAGGATAATTTGGACAACTTCTTTACCTCTTGTACTAGGCAAGGTTGAGGCGGCGATGAAGAGACCCAGTCGCCCACGTCGGCCACGAGGCCGAAGCCGTGGACCTTCGACGTGGTCAGACGGGTCTACGCCAGCGGAATATTTCGAGGGACAGGAGTTTGCTCATACTTTCGCAACATCGGGTGTTAATTCTGCTACGTTCCGGAAATTGAAAAAGGGCAAGCAGCGTGATCCTCATGCATCATTGAAGAGGGCAGAGCCTCCCACCGAATGTGACCCTCTATCTCTAGATGCAACTCATGTCTTACCCAAGGCATGGTTTCTAGACGTAGCTTCACCGACGTGGGAAGATCTACGTGCGTTAGGCAAGGTACGTCATTCATATCTCCATCGCATATTCTTTTTTTGAGGTATGTCAGCTGCTTCATCTACATCCTCTCACATTGGAGGATATTTTGCAGCAAGAGCCAAGGGAGAAGCTAGAGCTTTTTCCGAAACTCGGTTATTATTTCGTTTCGTTCAGGGCGATTGAAAGCAAGGAAACAAGGGATAAAATTAGGCAGACAGCGTGGAAGAATAGCGATAATGCTGATGATGTCGACGATGAACCCATCGGAGAAGCGAATGTTTACCTGGCTGTCTTTAAAGAAGGAATTTGCTGTGTAAGCTGACCATAGCCTAGTTCGTCGACGAAGCTAATCTCCGCATAGTTTCATTACACAGACATATCTGGTATATTTCATCAAAGCCTTGGATAGGGTGTGTCTTCATTCTTTTTCCAATAGAACATACCGATCGCGTAAGAAATCGAATTGTTCTATTAGAGGACGCGATTAACATGTCCTCAGGTTTGTTATCTAGACTTGCTGGATGCTATTGGTTTACTCCGAATGTTTTTAGACTGGATTGCGCACGGCATACTCGATTCAATAGTCGATGCTTTCTTTCCGTTCTTGGCAGACATAGAGAGGGAGGTTACGGACGTCGACGCCCTGGTCTATTCGGGTCCAGATCTAGTAGCGACTGTTAAAGTTGCTGACGCCCCTCTTCCCTTCATTGTGGAAAAGCAAATCGAGGATACATCTTTCAGTGAGAAAGCCCAGCGTAGCGATGACCATGTTAATCTTACTCAGAATGGACTCAACACCATTGGGGTTGAGTTTAGCCAACCACGCTTCGTCCTTCCTCGTCCGTCGGTTTCGTTGGTCTTCAGACAGTTGAGACGCTTCATGGTGACGACAGCAAGTTTGATTTGGCGGAAGAAAATGGGATATCGAGCAAACGCAACAACAACGACTTTGCGACGTATGACGAGGACCCGAAGACTCGTTACGTCACTCAGCCGTTTACTAGCGACCAAAGCAGACGTCGTCACTCACATCCAGAAGCGGCTGATGAGAGCGGGTCACTCAGGACTTGGAAATGGTACAAGCAAAGGGGAGGAGTTTGAAGTGGCAATCTACATGGGCGACGTACAAGGTAAGCGCACTGGTATTTCTGTGTTTTATCACCATAAAATACTTTGTCCAGATCACATTTTGACGTTGCAGCACTCACTTGTACATATCGAGCGAATACTGAGCCAGTCACATCTCTCGTATCTCGTTCAGCTTCGTTCAACGGCGGCCACCACAAAAGGCGGACAAGACACAGCTGTGATGACTTTGTCTGTCGTTACGTTAGGGGTTGTCTGTGTGCAGACTTTAATTGGTACGTGCCCCGTTTTTATCACGTTCGCGACACCAAATACCTTCGCAGGTGTTTGTTCTATGAACGTTACACTTCCAGCAAATCTACGTGAGCCAGGAGCTCCTTTCAACGTGTTCGGAGTTGTGATCGCGATGTCGTTCATCATTCTAATTGTTTACAGCTGGCTAGTTCGTTGGTGGTGGATTCAGGCAAGGGGACCACGTCAAGATTTGCGCTGAGCATGTAATTTGTTTTGAACTCGACGTGATTGATCTGAATTTGTTAGTTCACGAAACCTATGACTTTACATATACATCCACGGATCCATCACATAACCACAATAGAGAAAGGAGATCGTTAAGTATCGTTAAGCTTCGTTAATAACTGGGAGTTCAGGTTTCCGAACCCCAGAGGCGTTTAGTACGTAATCGGCTTCCATCAATGCTTCTTGAACTTTTGGAATGTTTCAGTCAAGACCTAGTGAGGATCTGAGGGCTTACCCTTTTCTTCAAATTGGGTATGTTTCTGCTCAAGCTCTTGAAATGTGGCGTCAAGGGCTTCCCTCTGACGACGAATGCTTTCATCGATACGCTGAAGATGGTCAGTTTCCGAACGTAAATGTTCCAAACCTTCCTTGACTTGGATATGAAGGTTCTCGAGACTGGTGATCTGTTCTAAATATAGTGTGCGCACTTCACCCCATTTACCTACGCAACTTCTAGTAAGTAGAATATATAAAAACAAGGAACGGCGGACAAACCGGATGCTTGAGCTGAACGAGCGGCTGATGCGTATTTCGAAACTTGTTGATCCAGTTCCTGGTTGTCTGCCCAAGAGACAGTTTTGACCAGATCACCGATGCTTGCCCGCTTTATGCAGCTTCGTCTATGACGAAGCTGGCATGTAGAGCTGGACTCGGGTGCAGGATTAGGCGGAGAGTCCTGTTCTTGAGTCCAGCTGTTGAGAGGTTCGGATGGTGGAGATTCCACCATCTGAATAAGAGGGAGTTCCAATCCGTATTCTTCTCGATGTCCAAGAAGCAAAACCGGGAGAGGTGGGGGCGAGCCAATCAAGGCCGTGGCAGGCGTCAAAGACGCAACCAGAGGTTTGTTGTCAGATGAAGAAGCGATTCTCTCGGGTTGGATTAGGCGCGACTGATGTGTCGCCATAGATTTAACAAGCGGAGAGGACCGCTGTTTTCCAAGAGCGCCGGAAGTAGTTGCGGAACGATGGATCTGATGTGGCGAGGGATGTTGGGAATGATGAGGGCAGGAAAATCCTGCCGCAGCACAGTGGCTAGAACAATAGGCAGAACCCAGGGCGGCAGTAGTGCTATAGACTGGCGCAGATGGTCGCCGGGAGAGTGTGACAGGGCGCTTCTGCTGCTCTCGAAACCACTTTTCCATCTCCTTGACACGAAAGTCCGATGGCGCAATGAAAGTTTGGAAGGCAAACGTTTCGCCTCTCGGCAGGTTCCTGGTGGTTGGAGGAATAGCCTTTGAGAGTTTCTGACACTTCCGTATCATGCGATCCTTTAAATGGCGAATTTCCAGAATGCGTTCCCAAGAGACGGCTGACTTTTTGGATAATTCGTAATTTTCAAACTTCAAGAGCTGCTCATACATGGAGGCTGTCGCCGGGGGAAGAAGAACCTAAAAGGAATTAGAGAGTTATCGAGAGGAAGCAAACGAGACTTGCTTTGAGTTCATTGAGGGTATCTGTCGTTTGGATGTATCTCCAGCCCCTTGTAGTTTTTGGATCATGGGGCTCGAGCTGACCTCTCACTGGGCTTGATCGCAAATAGTCGAGAGATTGGGGGGGATAGTGCTTTGACATGGGAATTGGAGAGAAACCAGCCAGCCAGCCAAGCTGGGCGGCGCCGACAATATAAAAGCTCCCAGGAGGTTTCAGTGCGCATTGTTGTCACAAGGCGTGAGAAGAAGGCGCGCTGTGTGACACCGGCAGTGACAATACATTAAATCACATTCTCTTCCTTATCCTTAATGTCATGGCGTCCTCCAGGGCTCTCTACGAGTCCTTTCTCCTCAACAATGTCTCCACAATCTCTACTCTCGAATCATCTTTGAGGTCTATTACTTGGTTTTTGCCCGGAAGATTCAAAGATGCCGAGCTGGCTTCCGAAGCTCGTTCGTTGATCTTGTCTTGTTGACTCTCTGAATATTCTCTCATTATCTAAACAGTCACTACATTACTCAATGTTATGAGTATGTATCATGATACTCTTCTTGCGAAGGTTGTCAAGAGCAACCCGGGCTACCGCCCCCTTATACCGTTGTCCTTGCATACTCGTTTCACAAGAGCATGGTCCGACAAAGTTTCCCAATATAAATGGGTTGCCAGAGCCCTCGAAATAATACGTTTCACTGAACTCGTGATTGAGATGGGACTTCGCAGGAAAGTCTCTGTGCAAAATAGATGGAGAGCCATCATTCTTCTGGAACTTATCAAGTATGTCGCCGTAGCCATAAAGTTTTGCGTTGCCTGCTCCAACCCCCGTCTCTTTCTAGAGCTTCCTTTCGTCTCTTCCTCTTGAAGATCACCCACCAGCCATTAGTCTCCCCACCAATACCCGAGCGAGATTTTGACCCAACGGTGTTGCCGCCCCTCAGTAATTCTTCCTCCCCGACATTGGCTCCTTCTTCGCCCTCACATTCCCCACCTATAACCCCCGATCACCTCAGGAACAATCATACTCCTCTCCCTCCACATTCTCTTCTGACCACACCTTCTGGGTCTGCTGTCGAAGATTATCTCCTCCCAAAAGCCCTCACCACGTCCAACGTCAAGCCATCGCTTTCTCTTATCAAGACACTATCTGGACCCCGAGAATGGCTTGCAGAGGTAATTTACGTACTTCGACCCCTTGCTTATGGTGAGCCTCCAAGCAACTTTCGTCAAAGCCAGCTGATAGATAACTGCCAGTTTCGTTGCTTGTCGCCGATAAAAATAGCCGTGAAAAATCGAATCGTGCCCTGATGGTAGCATTATTTATGGAATTGATGTCGCGAAATTTGCGCCGCACTCCTTCTCCGTCCGCTGTCCTTGAACGGGCTGAGTACGCAAAGAGGGATAAGGATATGCTGTGGTACCTTTTGAGAGGAACGATATGGGACAATTACACTCGGTCGGTCCTTCCTTCCTTTCCCAACCTAGCCTGACCCTTTCTGATTTCCCTCAGACCCAAGCTGGAGTCTTTCGTCAGTAAAACATCGCATGCACCGCTTGTGGGTTTGCTCGGTGCCCTTGTAAAGGACTGGATACCATTGATTGATGAATATTATTATTGTTGGTGCCCAAATCATCGTTTTGATTGTCTTTTTGTTGACCTTGCTTCTCCACAATACAGATACGGCTCCTTAGCTTCATCTATGTTCTCCTACTTCGATTGCCTGCTACATATGTACTTCCCTCCGTGTTTGGCTAATAATGCTGCCTTGACAGGTCGCCGTGAAACGTTCAAGTACGGGCGTGCAGTAGATGCACTAGTTTGTTGATCTATACTTGGTGCCCTTTCTACCTCATGTTTGACTTCGCGTATTGCATAGTACTGTCGGATATTCAAGTTATGTACTCTTGTGGGCATATCATTGTGCGTATTTGGTTGTGCCGTGTCTATAAACACAGCTCATTTTTCTCCCACAACTTTTACCTACGAATGGCCACACTTGATGACAAGATGGACGTTGATAGATCTCCAAACCGCCGCTCGTGAGTTGACGTATTCCCCCGCATTCATTCACTAATGATTTCATAGGTCTCGTAATCTTTCAACTGACACGCTTCGTACTAGGAGGTCACATCGATCAACCTCGAGGGAAAAGGAAAAGAGAGAGAGGCGTCGTGACAGAGGGGAACCAGACGAGAGGAGGAGACGTAGCCGCAGTCGCGATAAAGGAAGTGAGAGAGGCTACCGCGGCGATAGGGATCGCTCTCGTGACCGACACAGGGAGAAAGACCGGGACCGACGTCGTGAAAAGGATGGCGACAGAGGACACCGTAGCAGTAGGCCTCATGAAGGTGGAGACGGAAGACATGGTCATCGTGACCGTGACAGGGAGGACAGGGACAGAGACCGTCGACGCAAGAGGGGAGATGATGAGGATTTCTCAGAACGAGGCATGGAGGAGAGGTATAAAAGGAAGAGGTCTGACGGTGACCCAGATGATCATCCTCCCCCGCCTCCACCTCCTGTTGGACTGCCGCCGCCGCCACCACCGCCTAGAGACAGTCCCCGTTCTGAACGAAGGGGCGGCGATAGACTCCCCGTGGACAAAGATGAATTCGATGATTCCCCTGGATATCGAAGGGATAACGGTCGACGTCCTCGTGATGATGAAGATGGGGTTAGGGAACGTCGTCGCCGCACCAGGAGTCCGCCTCCACCTGTCAAGTTCGATTCTCACTGTTTCAAATGAGATGGTCATACTCATAATCTTTTTAAGACGCCCCTCTCCGGTGTACGAAGCTCCCCCGGAAGAGCCATACAACCCTGACGAACCCAAAGAGGATGATTCCGAAGCACGATCAGTTTTCGTTTCGCAACTCGCTGCTCGTTTGACTGCTCGAGACTTAGGTTACTTTTTCGAAGACAAGCTCGGAGAAGGCACTGTTATGGATTCTAGGATTGTGACGGACAGATTATCGCGTCGATCAAAGGGGTAAGCACTGTTTTATTTTGGCTGTTCGCCCCTTTGACGGTGGTGTCTTAACAGTATTGGTTATGTTGAGTTCCGCACTATTGACCATGTCGAGAAGGCCCTCGCTCTTTCGGGCACTGTCGTAATGGGATTGCCTATCATGGTACAGTTGACTGAATCAGAAAGAAACAAGTTACATCCAGGAGACGGGTATGGAAATGGCTAGGAAACATATTTGTATGTATGGCTTATTTAGTTTTACAGGTCCCTCAATCTTCCTCCCGGAGTAACGGCCTCACATGGCGCAATGCAGTGGGTCCGCGCCCTCAGAAGTGTTCAGGTACTAACAATGGACTCCAAACAGATTATATGTCGGATCTTTGCATTTTAATCTTACCGAATCCGATATCAAGCAGGTCTTTGAACCCTTTGGTGAACTAGAATTCGTCGATCTTCACAGAGATCCAATGACAGGACGAAGCAAAGGCTACGCTTTTGTTCAGTAAGCCCCCTGCTTATCAGCTTTGTGCTCCAGACAATAATTACGCCCTCCAGATATAAGAGGTCAGAAGATGCGCGCATGGCGCTCGAACAAATGGAAGGCTTTGAATTAGCTGGTCGAACTGTAAGAGTTTTGTCCCCGTATGATCAACCAAAACACCAATCATTCTCTAGCTACGTGTAAACACTGTTCATGAAAAGGGAACCGCACGCTACACTCAGCAGGATTCATTAGATGAAGCTGGCGGTACGTCAACCAAATATTGAAGAGACTCTCTCAACTGACATTGACCTTAGGTGGTAACTTGAACGCTGCATCTCGTCAAGCGCTAATGCAGAAACTTGCTAGGACCGAAGCACCCCCGACCTTCACAGAACCAGTGTACGGTTGAGTTTCATTTTCAATGCAAAGCAACTCACAGTATTCCAGGGCGAGACCTAATATTCCACAGGCTATGCAATCTCGTTCAGTTCTCCTCAAAAATATGTTCGATCCTGAAGAGTATGTTTCCGACACGATCATCCTGCGGCCGTATATTGATTCATATCCTCAGGGAAACGGAACGTGACTGGGATAAAGAACTTGCTGATGATGTAAAAGTAGAATGTGAGAACAAGTATGGCAAGGTAGAGGCAATCAAAGTGGAAAGGGAAACTCAGGTATGTCCCCGTTGCTGACCTGGAAATTTGTCTCTGACAATTCATAGGGAGAAATTTATCTCAAGTTTGATTCCATCGAATCGGCGAAGCAAGCCATCCAAGGATTGAATGGTCGATGGTTCGGCGGACGCCAGGTTTCTGCAGCATTCATTTCAGATGCCATTATGCAAGCCCATCAGTAGGACCCCTTACGATCTGGGCTGACCGTTTATGGATGAAATGAGTTGCTACTGAATTTTTTATCTCTTTTATGACAGATCCAAATATAAACAATTCGTTTGACTCCTCCCTTTCTTCCTTGGTGATTCGTAATTTCTCAAAATGAGCATCCCATGCAGATTTTGCTTTCTTCCCTCGAGGTCTTGTCGGCAGGCGCCAGAGGCCGTTTCCGCAGCTCGGATGGCCCACTATACCTTCACTCCAAAGCTCTTCTTTGTCCTTTAGATTTCCAGTATCAAGAGTGGTCTTACTTCCTCTACATAGATACTGCTGAGAGTCACTGATCACAACATTCACTTGGAGGTATCACTGCGCCACTCTTCATTCACCTCGGAGGCACTGATACAACGTTCAGGCTCATGACATTAAATAAGTAACACGGTCATTCTTTCACTCTTTGATTTACTGCTAGAATAAATGACAATTTGAGTTGAGTAGCAGAAAGTAACGTCGTGGTCATGTGACAGGCCTCGTCCAAGGCCATGAGGCAGTTCATTCAGCAGCTTAGAGCTAGTCCTCATCGACGTTTGAAGTGTCACTGAGCCTTCCTCTCATCGTTCTTTATTATTTACTTTTCATCTATCATGCCATTTGACGACTACAATGGGGATGCAACAGAACTTCTAGAGACCTATGGTTTGTCCACTCATTGCTGCGAGACCGCAACTAACATTCCTTGCAGACTTCCTGATGAAATACATTATCATCGGTAACAAGGCCGCTTAGTGGTTCTGATTGGTGCTCATGACCTTCTTAGGAGAGGCGGGGACAGGGAAATCATGCCTGTTACACCATTTTACCCACAATTCATGTCCGTTCTCCCTGGTTTTTATTCGTCAATCGTTCATCTGACAGGATGGTAGTCAAGGATCACTCGCAACACACTATCGGCGTAGAATTCTCAAGTCGCACCGTCAAATTGGGAGAGAAACGGATCAAACTTCAGGTGAGATATCGTTTGGCCTTGGGACGTTATATCAATGTTTCATTCCTGTCAGTTATGGGATACAGCAGGGCAAGAACGTTTCCGGTTGGTCTTCACTCCCAGAGTATCACGTTTCAGGACGCATACCTCATTCATTTTCAGGTCTGTCACAAGGAGTTATTACCGCGGGGCGGCAGGTGCAATTCTGGTCTATGATATCACCAAGTTCGTGAACCACTTTGGTTGTCTCAAATCAGACTCAAACAAGCATCTTTTTACACAGTCGCGACTCCTTCTCAAATCTTTCGCGCTGGTTAGCCGATGCAAGAGCCCTTGCAAGTCCCCATTTAGTTGCTGTTTTGGTTGGTAACAAATCAGACCGGGATGAAGAACGCGAGGTTGAATGGGCTGAAGCAAGCAAATGGGCAGCTGAGAACGGTATAGTATTCGTCCAAATTTGGCGTATACTGGAGAGTTAACAGTCCTATAGATGTTCATTTCCTGGAAGCTTCGTCGCTAACGGGTGAAAACGTTGAAGCACCATTCTTGTTAACTGCGCGTGCAATCTTGCTCTCCATCGAGTCAGGTGCCTTGGACCCAGAGAAGGCCGGAAGCGGGGTCAGCTATGGTGATAGAGCTCTTCGGAGAGTGAATAGTTCAAGTCATCTTAGTTTTGGTAGTCTCAGTGGTGGTCGACGGAAAGGCGCTGTAAAACTTAAAGTCAGCCGTTGGTTGCCTGGGTCAAAATGTTGCTAATCTGTAGTTTCGTGAGTGATCAAGTGTCTCCCAGTGCTTACACTTTCTCACTGCTGGCTGTCAGCTTTCTGACTTCCGTGACTTCCTCGGTCCTTCTCCGAACATACCCATATACAGGCTCATGACCTCAAACCACATTGTCCGTGAGTTTTTTTCTAAATGAGCTTGTACCATATCTCACTCGTTCCTTAGTAACTTTACAGGCTCACACAATCTCCGCGTCCAATGTTAGACCATCTATACTCCTTGTAATTTTCTGGTTTCAACCTATGGGATAATTTGTAACAATCTGTGATCATGAATCAACCGTAAAGCGTGCATCACAAACAAAACCCTATCAAGCTCAAAGCTAATTATCGTACTTCCTGAAAAATATTCGGTGAGGCTTTGACTTCGCTCTCGCACGATTCTCCCACTGATGCATCGCAATCTGTCCTAGTCAACTATCAGTCGTAGCAACGGCGTGGTCTTTTCACTTCGGTTAACCTCGCCGAGTTAATCATTTTCTCACAAACCACTGTCCAGTCAGCTATCTGGCGAATGGCATCAAGAGGCCTCAGATTCGCCGATCCAGCACGTTGACTCCCACGGGTGGGGGGGGGGTACAGCCACCACCGGTTACCCGGCTAGAAGCTTCCCCGAAGCGTGTCCATTGCCCAACCATTGCCTTCGACATAAATTGTATTCTGATGAACGAGAAGCCCGCGCTGCTGTACCAAACTTTTGTGTAATGATACTATATAGCACAGTATGATACACTTTGCCCCTTTCAATTGGAAAAGAAGAGAAAACACATCCGATCCTCTCCAACCATACCACACATCCGCAACCTAACTTTATGGCCTCGGGCATTGCAGCCACGAATAAAGATACAAATTCAATTAAATTGGTACTAATATTTTCTTTGAGAAACCTCGTGTCTCGAGCCCAGCTACACTTCACCAAGGTTGATTCTGAGTCTATTGCTAGGCACATTGTCAAAAGTACACAAACATACTTACCTCCCTCCCATTCAAAAACAAGCATATTCTGTTGAATCAAATCACATTCCATTAACGATAGTAGAACAGTGGTAGAAGATTGGACCGAGCGTCGACCTGCGTTGACTTGCATTTGCTGTTGCCGAAGCTCGGAGATAGCCGCTGTCAATGTCCCGTGACAGATCTGACGTCCAGCATGATCATCGCTGGATCTAACATGGACACCTCACCTCTTGAATGGCATCCTTTACTCCGATGTCGCCCTACCATATACATGTGCACACGATCCTATTTGCCCAATTTGTTCCAAAGCCCCTGCGACCAAGTTTCGGCTCTGTTAGGTGACCATGTGTGTTTGAACAATCCCAGGAGGCGTCTCGTTCAGTGAATGTGTCAACCCTGTCCGTTCCAGCTATTGTAGACGACGTTTGACGCATCCTCCCTCTCAACTTCTGTTTTCTGCAATCCACGAGTTAACCACGGAGTAGGTGGCTCCCCTCACCATATCAGCTTAACTGACCAAGTAACCACCTAGGCAATTCAAAATTTCATTCGCTTTTTACGCTCTTGCCTCTTAATTAGTGATTGTGTCACATTTATAGCCAGTCTCCTCGTCGGGAACTTCTCTTAGACCCAGCGAAGATTTGCACTGCAATCGAGCTCGTTTTTCCTGGTCATCCATGGTCGCACCCGCCGCTTCGACCCCACAACGATCAGTTTCTTCTTCAAATGCAGGTCAAAAATTCCCAAGTTTGCCACCTTCTGCGATGTTTGTAGAAATCCCCAATTTAATTGTATATGCTGAATTCATGTAATTAGCAGAAGATCAGCAAATACCACCGCAGTCGGGAACGCAACAAACCATATTCAAGTACCATTGAACGCCACTGTGCCAGAATCTATTACCAGCAATGCACCTACGACAGGAGCTCCCTCTGTTTCGCGTACTATCGCTTCAATTCCGATTGCCATGTCTATGTTCTAAACCTCCCAGTCGTCGGTGAAAAGAGGGAGTTTCGATTTAAGACCTGACCTGTGTTCCAGTTCATCAAGTTGGAGAGATAAAACGTTCCGAAAGTCTGTGAATGTCAACGCCGATTCACACCCGATTTTGAGCACATCTTTGCGCCCGACTTTCTCCAACTTTTCACAAGAGTGACAATCAATGTTCGGATGAGATTCTGAACCAAACGTCACGAATGCCACATTTCAGAATGTTTCGCGGTAGAGCGTGGCCAACGGGTTTGCTGACAGTGGGTGTATGAGACCTCAATTCCTATTAATTTTTTTTGTGAGCATCAGTGAAAGCTAAGGGTTGCGACTCGGACGCAGCCATCAGAAGCGTATTCGACGCAGATTGCGCTCACATCCAGATGTGGGCGCCCCTTTCCTGTGAATTGACGGGACATGGCTAAAAAAAAAAATTCAAATCGGGCGTCGCTGGATTAATCCACCAGCCAGCCACCCGAAAAAACGTAGAGGGTGCCACAACAAAATATTCCCAGGTCAACAGAAACACTCACCGCATGAAACACTCCCAGAAAGCGTGGGGGAAGAAGCAAAAAACGAGCGTGTCTATCGTTCAGAAAGCGTGATGTGATACAGTAGCGCAGGTGGATATAATCATGGACGATGGGGATTCGTTCCTAAAAAAAAAGAAAGAGAGTGTCTGTGATATGTGCGTCAAGATAGCATTGGCTCAATAATGTCTGTTGTGGTGTATAACAGTAACGAGTCCATATAAGGGAGGTCATAGAGTAGAATTTTATCAAGCCACAGATGCTTCGCTCGTTGCATCAGGGAGGTTCCGAACCTAACAAGAAACGGTTAACGGGCAGGGCTGGCGTAGAATGGGAATGACGTACGCCAAGAACAGGTCGAGAATAATCCTCATCGTCCCTCACCGAGTCCCCGTCACCTATTCGTTGGCGCAGACCAGGGTCCAACCTGTCATCGCCCGTGCTTTCAGAAGAGTACACGGACGATGATGCACTGACGGGTCGAGCGTTTTCAAGGACGGGTGGCCGTTTCATCGCTGCGTCTGACAGTCGCTTTGGATTTCTAGGCGGCGGGGTAGGGGATCGTACATTGGGAGGTGTAGGTTGTCGATAGTTGGCCAAGAGAGGTTCGTAACTGGCACCGCTATGAGAGGCGGAATGACGGATGATGTCACCTCCACTACCGCTGTTTTGCCGATCGTGATAGGCGCCCATGTGGAAGGCCGCTGGAGGCGGGCTAGCGCGATTAGCCGAGACGTAGCCATCTCTCGCTCCTGGGGGAACAATATATTCGGTGTAGGAGTTGTACCCGTCTTCTGGGCCGCCGTTGAGTGGAGGGTTGTCCAGGTAAGCAGCGGATAGACGACCTGCGCTTGGGGTGGAGCTCGCGCCAAGGCCAGAGCTAGAGCGTCGTTGATACATCAAGACGTCGGGAGATCCAAAATACGACCTTCTAGAACCCGTCCCAGGATCATCGTCATCGTCCAATGGTGCACGATGGAAGCCTGCTGCAGCTAGAGTTGCGGAAACGGCAGTGTCATGTTCTAGACGTTGGGTGCGGCGGCGGCGGCGAACGGCAAAGAAGATCCAGAGGAGGATGGAAGCAGCGGCTAGGCCGACGAGAACAAAAACACCGGCCACCGCGCCGGTGTTTTTGAAGAATCTGTAGCAGAGGCGTGAAGTGATATGGGGGGTCAATGAAAAGAATGGACTGACGTTGATGATGTTTTGGAGGAAGTAATGTTGGGGCTCAAGGTGGGACTAGGATTCGCGATTATTTGTGTGACAGTTATAAGGGTACCATTATTTGCTGTGGAAGTGGAAAGTGTGGTAAAGGCTGATGGAGCGCTGGTTGTGAGTGCGCCTCTGCTATCAGTCACAGTAACGAAGATTGGGGTGGAAAGTGTTGAGCTGAATGAAGTGATTATGATGATACTGTCGGATAATGAGGGGGGGAAAAGACGTACGTGGGAGTGAGGATTGAGGTTGAGTCGTCGGACGAGGGCGGAAGGATAATTGTAGAAGACGAAGAGAAAATTGGCGTTGAGGTGAGTGGTGGGGTGGAGGAGAATGAGGATGAGAAGGATGAGAATGAGAAGGACGAGGACAAGGATGAGCTCGAAAAGGACGATGAAGATGAAACGGACGACGGGGGCCTGACGGATGGACCGAACCCAGAGATGGAGGAAGAGGAAAAGGTGCTGGAGGAAGAGGAAGACGAGGATGAGGACATGATGGAAGAGAAGAAGGAGAAAGAGGAGGAAGAGGAGGGGCGGGTTGTCGTCGTCGCCACTGCCGTCGCCGTCGTTGTACTAATGAATGAAAGTGATTAAAAGTGGAAAGATTGAATTTGCAATGTAAAAACTGACCGAGATGCGGAAGCAGACAATGAATTTGAGAAAACAGAAGAGAAAGACGACGACGACATCAAGTCAGTACAAAATCAAGGAATAGTAAAAAAAAATGCAGTAGAAATCGTCGTAAGTAGTACACGCTCTGTGTCGATAATGATAAGGTTGGACATACATTCAACCGGCCCGTACGTCACAAGGAGGCAATGCTTCCGCCAAAAGACGACCATCTCATCCTCGACTTCTCTGGCCCACCACCAGACTTTTCTCTTTACGATGCAGAGTTCTTTCAAGTAGGCTACGAGGACATCGTATCACACGATCCCCATCTCAATACAGATGGTCAGTAACCTCCCTCTTCACTTCAACCGAGCAACAACTCAACCCGTGCACAGGAGAAGCTCTGTATCGTTTTCTTATTGCCCAATCAGCCAGAATCCCCTTTTGTCGTCTCCATTGTCGGGGAACTCACACAGAGCACAAGAGTCGTTGGGTAACCGACCGCGACAGCAACGGTCGCACCCAGTCCCGTCGCGAGACCTACTCAGAGACAGTCACCGATTTTGACTTTTGCATTGACATCAAGCCTGGTCAAGAACTTGACCCACAGCCAACCCATTGGTCCGTGGCAGACCATGAGCCAGCGTATCGTGGTCTTATGGTTCGCGAGGTAGAGATGCCCTTGGCTGCAGGGAAGCGCACAGCAACGAGGAAGGAGATCAAAGAGTACAAGGCTTTTGTCGCACAACGCAAGGCCCTTGGTCTACCGCCCTGGGTTGCCGACCTCAATACCGTCTGGACAGAGGGCGTGTCGGAGCAGGATCACGTCCTTAAATCCTCAATGTCACTCCGCCAGTGGGCCGACGAGTATTGCGCCAGCCCAAAGTATCTAAAAGAGTTCGTCTATGACCAAGTGAGTTCTCGACTCCAATTAGTCACTACAGAGTGCCTGACCCAACAAAAGGTGCTTTACGGTTGGGACATGCAGGAACTTGAAGACGCAATCTGTGCCAATATAAAGTCTACTCCCTACAATGGATCCCTTGAAGTCGACTTTACCATGCACCGCTCAAAGATTTACATTCGTCCAGACAACAAACTGTCCAGAATGTTGTCCAACAAATGGCTCAAATTCCTTTCCATCATTCTCTTGGTATTCCCCTTTATTTGGCTTTTCAAGCGTTTCCATTCACGGGGAGGCGGCCGCTGGGAAGTCTGTGGAGGCGCCTACCCGTTGAAGCGCTGGGTTCCTCTTGACGATGTCGAGGAGGACTCTGACGCTGCGCCTCCGACATACGATGCAAAGTCTGCACCATCGGCTGGCCCATCGACAATGAGGGCTTCATCCTCAAAACTTATCCAAACGTCGACTGGCCCAAAGAAATTGCTTGGTTTGAGGGAAGGTGATTGGTTCAGGTCATGGGAGCATGTCATATCCAGAGCCGTCGTAGGCCGCTATCAATCCACGGAACCTCTCCTTGAAAACCGAGTTCAATTTCCAATGTTGGATGGCTACAATGACCCACTTTGATACCAATTCTTTACGCAGGTGTAATGGAAAGAAACACGGAATTAGAATACATTTGAAATCTAATATCCAAAGAGGAGCGGATGCAGATGGTGCTTGTAAGATACAAGAGGATGTCACCGTCGTCGCCGGCTCAAATGCGCCACGTGAGCAGCATCCTGAGCAGCCCGCTGAGATTCATACTTTTCTGCCTCTGAGAACTCTTCGCCTTCCAACAGCGCAAGCGCAGTTTCGAGGTACCACATGTTTTTCTTGATAAAGTGCACCACGATGGTCCCGCCAACGCGTTTTCCTTCGTATCGAGTCTTCCTGCCCTCGCGGTGTGTCCACGCATACTCGGGCGTCATCGGGCTCCCTACAGTAAATCAGTTAAGAATATCGCAAATGGATGTATTGATTCTTGCCTTCTCGTATCATCGACATGTCGCTGCCTTCTACGAGTGCTTCGACGCTTTGTGTAGACGTTAATTCCGGAATTGGCGGAGTATACCTCACACCGAATGTGGAAACGCTCGAATGCGCCCATGCAGCAGGTGTCGGAGCTAGACTACCTCCCGTGGCAGGTATTTGGGTAGTAACTCCCGGCTGAGTCATCTTTTCTAGGTAGGCCTGCATGCTACGTCGTATCCTCGCAGCTTCCGAAGGAAAGAGGAATCCATGCGAGTATCTGGGCTAGATTTCAGAAAAACAAAAGAAGAGTTCAAGCATTGCAAACGTACACTGTCCCTGAGCGAGGATGATCGTAAATCCAACAATGCTCACTAGTCCACCTCACCTCGGAAGCGCGTGGATGAGCGCGCATCCATTTCGAAGTCTGCTTATCTTCTGCCCCTCGCACCAAAGTTTTGACCATCGGATCTTTGGCAACCCACTCCACCAAACTCCAGCTTAGCGCGTAGAGTTCACCAGCCATAAATTGGTGGAGTCTGTTAGTGACCAAATAACCCCAGTAGATCAAGGGGTCATCGTTGACATCTTGGCGCACATGCAACAAAGGATGCGGTGATGGAAGTAGGGATGTTATATTGTGCATGGTATTATGAGTGCCAGGTTTGGAAGAAATGTCTTCTTGGTGAGGGGTGGTGTTGTTGTGGCTCTTTTGCTTCATATGTAGCTCTACGCGCAACCGGGATTCCAGTTCGGCAAGCATGACGAAAGAGTCATCATCCACTTTGACAACAAAATCGGGTCGTACCCAAGGTCTGGGCTTGCTGGAATGTATGTTCTCCCATACTTGAACAGGGTCGTGAGGTGCAATTGATGGGGGCAATGCTGTATAATTTGAGTATGAAAATTGGCGTGGTGGAATTTCGAATTGCCCATAAACAGGTGGTACCCAGGCATTGATGGAAGCCCAAGAGAAGAAGGTATGCGATTTCCCGCCGTTCATGTTTTCTGGCATGGGAAGGATGACGATATCGTTGTACACTGACCATCATCAAATTAAGAAAGTCGAAGAGAAAAAGAAAAAAAGTACTCACTTTCTATCTCTAATTTTATCCTGCGTTCCCAATCCTTCCTAGGTTGTCCGACAATAAAACGCACCAGTGTACGCGACGTTCCAGTCCCATCGTCTCCGCCACCTGCTCCTCTCCTGCTTCTAGGATGACTGGCCCACGTGGTCCTCACAAGCATCCGACGCTCAAACGCAGAGTCAACCGAAAAGACCCCAATGAAAACACCGGCCGGGGTAAGGGAGTCGAAATTGGGTGGTGGGAAGGGCGTCAGCAACTGTCCTGGAATGATCTCGGGGTAAATATGAGGCGAAAACGGCGCGGATAGCTCGTGCGGGGGAGCCAGGGATGGAATGGAACAATATGCTCGCCATGGTAGCGGTTCTTTGTCAGGATTGAGGATGTATATTAGCAAAAGGGTTAAGAAGATTGCAAAGACCGATAGTAGGATCAAGGTTAGAACCTGGGGAAGAACATCTTTTTCAATGGGCATAAAGATGGTAAATTCGTGCTAGTACTTACAATCGTTATTGGCTGCGACGGAAAGAATGGATGACGAAGCACGCGTCGCATCCATCTTTTTAGCGTTCTAGCCACGTATCCACTTCTCTTCCGCCGACGCCGTGAGGTGGACCACCATCCTCGTCTGTTGTCTCTCCACCAAGGATGCAAGTTCGGGCTTCCCCTCATCAAAGGTGAGTGAGGCTCGCTATCCGTATCAGACGGACATGAAGAAGAGTGGTTTGGGGGATAAAACTGTGGAAGGGGTGAGGTTGAACGCGACGGCACAGGGGTAGACGATGCGGTGGAGGAAACTGGCGAGCGTCCGATGGGTCGGGTGGGTGGAAACAAGAAAACGGTAGAACGCGGCGAATCCGAGGAGCCGGTTGCGGAAGTTGAAGGAACGAAGGCTGCTCTCGATCTTGTGTGCCTCGCAGTGTCCTCAGAATCCGTACTCGACGAGCTATCGTAGCTTTCCAAATGGTTCGGAGGGTCCGCGCGAGGGCTTTGAGGTCGTAAAAGATTGATTGAGAATGCCATTAGATAAAGATAGTGAAGGGCCGGAAGAACGAGAGGCTGCGCAGTTGGTGGTGGTCAAGACCGTGCTATGTGTCGGGTAGGGCACCAGTCGAGCAGGATGCGAGTGCGTCGTGGAATAGCAGCTTGGCGTCGATGTGCCCGATGAGCAGGAAATAATAAATACAGGGGGTGACGCCAGCAACGTCTTTCTTATAGGTGTCGAACAAAGTTGTATGCGGTTGCTGGATTAACCACGTGCATTTCGTAGCACGCGGACTTGCATAGCCCAAAAATTTCACTCAAATTCATCCCTGTCTACATTCAGAACAGTCCGCCTTGATATACCTTTTTCCAGCTTTCCCTTTCTTTCACAGCGTCCCAAAACGCCTCCAATTTCGCTTCACGGTCATGCCCGAGGCGCTCTCGACGTGCAACGTCCTTGACATGTTCTTTCGGCAAAGCGAACCCATCACCAATATGCTCCTCCAGTTTTTTGACAATCGTTCTGCCATCGTCCTCTGGAGTGCCACCACTCAGTTTCACGACCCTCGTCAGCCAACCAGCAAGGTGCAAGTCCGCGATCGAATATTGATCAGCTATTGATAGGTTCAGAAGACGTTCTAAAAATAGCCACATTCGCGAACATACCAAGGGTATACAGCCCTACCATCTCCTTGCTGATCGTCAGAAGAACCTCTTTGAGATGCGCACCCCATGCGTCTTGAGCTATCTTGAAGAACTCTTTACGATCAGCTTTCGCCTTTTCGTCAAGATCAGCCGTCGCCTTTTCCGCATTTTCAAGAACCTCGAGGAGCAGTTCTGTAGCATCGAGCTTCTCCTTCCACAAGATTTTTACTCTCTCGGAAACAATAATTTCTTTCGCTGCGGAACGTGACAGGCTACTGCTCAAAAGTTCTTGCTTTCCTTTCAATGACGGGATAACTTCCTTTGCCAAAAGGACTAGCGATTGTTCATCACGCGCGTTAACGTAGCGCAAGTGGTTGGGATTTGCCTCCTCTGAATGCAAGATGTCGATGATGACACTGCAAATTGTTGAGGCAGCGATGGTGGCTGGCGTAAGGGACGGCGCTGGGGCAGAAGATGTTGTGTGAGTGTGTGAGAGGGCCGATCTTGACTTGTCCAAGAATTCAACGATTTCCTTGAGCATAATTTGGTATACCATCACAAGCTTCGAAATAAAGTACGGCCATACCTTCGTTTCTGTGAGGGCTTTATATCGACAATGGGCTTGATCGGCAAGGGTATCAGCTAGTGGAACGACGAGAGTGGGGACAGTCGCTGAGATAGATGTCAGATTCAAAAGTTTGAGAGTAAAGTGCACGCAGAACAGACCTTTGAAATTGAGGCGAAGGAAGCTTGTGTTATAATTCTCTCCTTTGGCTGCAGAGGGGTGAGGGTCTGAGGGACAAGATTGGATGAGTGGGAGTACCAAGATCAACTACACGTAAATCGACTTCATCTTTAGCATAACCCTTCTCTTCACTGTTGAAGAGGTGGTCGACGATCAAGAGATAGGGTGTGATCCAGAATGCTCACAAGGTCATGAGGGCTACAGCTGACCATACTGATAAGGGGGAATAATAGAGAGCAGCTTTAGGAAGTGTATCTGGCATTCTGGCTATGAATTGGCAATAAATTGGCCGTCGCTGGCAATTAATCGCTGTGTATCGTGGTTGGGGGTATCTAACTGGTGTTACCACATCATTCCTGCACATGACGTAAAGACTGTCACAATGACTCACATGACCAAGTTCACATGACTTTCCAGTTGTCCAAATTAGGTATGGAATGTACTCGAATTAGATCAAAGGTCTCTTTCTGCGATGAACCTCCTTTGTTTTTCACTTCCTTCCATCATCAATGGCCACTCTCAGGTATGTCGTCTCCTATTCTACCCAACCGCCAATCAACAGTCCTTGCCAGACACGAATTTTATGAATCCGACGAGCGAGTCGTTCTCTCTGTCTTTGATCGTGGCGCAGATCCTGCTGAGGTCACCGTCACTTTTGAGCCGAGAAAGGTCATCTTTCACGTCTCATTACATTTGCGCCCAGCATAAATTCATCATCTATTGCAGTTCACCTATGCCCATGGCGAGAAATCTCTCGTTCTCGAGCCCTTGAAGGGCCAGATCGATCCCGACGCCAGTGATTACACAGTAGGCAAGGTCAAGGTCGAGATTCGACTGGTGAAACGTACGCAAGGAAGATGGGGATCGCTTGTCGGAGACTCTCCAGACCGTGAGCATGACTTGCACTGACACACTTTTCAAATCTAACATCATCTCTCTCGATAAGCACTCGCCAATACCACGTACTCCGCAGCACCTGAGACAAGGCCCGCTCGTAAACCTGCTAAGAATTGGGAGGGCATTACCACAGAAATTCTCGGTAGCGACAAAGAGAAAAGCACCGACGAAGATCCCAACGTTGGAGGAGACAGCACTCTCAACGGCTTTTTCCAAAAGATTTTCGCCGACGCTGATGAAGACACTAAACGAGCTATGATGAAGAGCTATTCGGAAAGTGGTGGTACCACCCTGAGCACCAACTGGGATGAGGTTAAAAAGGCGCCAGTGGAAGTCAAACCTCCCGCAGGTTCTGAGTGGAAAAAGTGGAATTGAACTTGAGCATCGTACTCTTTCGAAGAATCGTCTGTTTTCTACTGGCTTTGTCGCAATGCTCATATGTACGATCTATTGAGATGGTCAACCCGCTTGTTGTGAAAGCAGTCGATTGAAAATTATCCAGGTACTATGTTACGTCTTACCATCATCGTTGCTGCCACCAAATCGAATGGGATCGGCTTCAACTCGCGTCTACCATGGCGACTGCGAAAAGAGATCAAGTACTTTGCGCAAGTTACAACTACTGCACCATCTGGCCAGCAAAATGCTGTAATTATGGGTAGGAACACATGGGAAAGTCTCCCACAAAAGTTCCGACCACTCCCCAACCGCCTCAACGTCGTTATCAGCCGTAATCTGGCCTACGATTTGTGCGAATTTGCTGCACGTGTCAATGGTCCTCATAACTAATATATTCATTAGGGGAAAGGCATCCGCAATTCTAGAGCATGACCTCAAATCTGCACTGTCACGAGTAGAGAATCCAACCTCGGCCTCGTCGTCGTCACCCATACACAGAGCTTTCATCATTGGCGGCGCGTCATTATATTCAGAAGCGCTTGGTCTATCAACAGACGTTGTTGATCACATCTTACTCACGCGTATTGTCTCTCCGGACTTTGAGCAATGTGATGTATTCATGCCCGACTTTCTGTCGGGTAAGGGGGGGTGGAAACGTGTGAATCACGCTGTGTTGGAGGAGTGGGTCGGGTTTGAAGTGGTAGAGGGTGTGCAAGAGGAGGATGGTGTGAAATACGAGTTTCAGATGTGGGTGCGGGATTAACGAATGTTATGTCGACCGAGTGAGGATGCCGTTAACCTTGTCTCTGTGAGGCGGTGAGATGCGGCGCCAGTGTAGAGGGATCTCTAGTAATACCTGTTTGTGCTTCGGGTTTTTTGAACAGACTACATAAACCCTGCCCTTGCGCCTGACAACGCTGCAGCCATCGCACATGACTTTGACGGATGAACGGACTTTCATGCCACGGGCTAAGACCGGTGTCTGGGTTATTGTCGGATGAGGGTGGTGGTGCACATGGGGCACGGCAACTGCACGAATGCGCGCGACAAGCGGCCGACTGGATGTGAGCAATGCTCGCAGCATGAGTGCAAGAGGAAAATATCCAGTGTCACGTGTTGCACTCAAACCCCCTTTTGCGTTGCTCCCTTCTTCAATCCAACTTTAATCTGGATGTTCTCGTATACCTAAATGCTCAGTAGAAGCCCTCAATCTCCCGAAATGCCGCACATTGGCGGAAAGCTGGCAGTCGTCATTTTTGTCTTGACCCTTCTTGCATTTGTGATTGAAAGCCAACTTACTCAGGTGGGCTCTACTTCTCTGCTTGTTGTAATTTACACTCATTTCCGTTCAGTATGTCCAAACAACGCTGAGATACAGGCAACCCTTCTTTTTATTGTGCGTATCCTCCAAGTTCATTTAAGCCCATGCTTCTCTGAGTCCTTGTCATCCAGCTACCTCGTACATTCCGCATTTGCGATAATTTTTCCCATCCACCTTCTGTATCTCATCACGACTACGAAATACTCTGCTACGTCTATTCTGGAAGGCCTTGGCATCGCCATTTCCAGTCACTTATCGTCGAGAGAGGCTTCCTCCTCCACCCTTAGATTCCCATATGCTAAATTTCTGAGATTAATACTTGCAATGACCCTCGGGATAACAGTCCCCGCGTTGCTTTGGTTCGCTGCCGTATCCCTGGCACCGTGAGTTATCACTTCCTCCTTTGCGGGCAAACGCGTATGCAATGAAACCTTTCTTAGGGTAAGCGATGTCACTGGTGAGCACCTCGAATATTTCAGCCAAGCCTGATGACGATCGCTGTTTTTCGTAGCCATATGGAATACCAATGCTTTTTTCGCATACCTGATCAGTGTCAAGCTTTTTAAACTGGAGTGGGAATCAAGACGGCTATTCGCCGTGTTGTTGGCGACTCTGGGCGTGATTGTCGTCGTATATGGTGGCAGTACCTCGTCAGGAGACGACACACCGAGCATAACAGGCAGCGGCTCTGTTTCGATGCGCTCATTTAAACCCTCGGCACCCCTGGTCGGCAATTTGTTGACCTTGGTTGCTTCATTTGGGTATGGTCTTTACCAAGTCCTGTACAAGATCTATGCTGCGTTGCCGTCAGACCCGGAAGTGACCTCGGACATACTGTATGAAAGAATTCTTGACGAACAAACCGATGTCGGTCACTACAACGTTCCAAACGAGGCTACGGCAGATCATTCTCTGTTCCCGCCACCATTTGGCCTTCACCCAAATCTACTAACCTCAGCTATTGGTCTCACTACTCTAATTTTGCTATGGATACCCATCCCCATCCTCAATGCAACTGGCGCTGAAACATTCAGGTTGCCTCCTAATGGCATCACTGTTTTGGCCATTGGAGGTATCGCATTGAGTGGCGTCGTATTTAATGCGGGCTTCATGGTGAGTTTAACTATCCGATGCGTTATTGTTTACTCCACGTCTTTCCAAAGATCCTTTTGGGAATCTGGGGCCCTATCATCACGTCTGTAGGCAACCTATTGACCATTGTGTTGGTGTTAACTTCGGATGTGAGTCGCGTGGTCCTCTGGTGTAAATTCTCCCTTCATCTGTGTCGTTGAAGGTCATATTCGGGTCAGGCTTAGATGCTCTGACGGTGTGGAGTCTGCTCGGGTCCGGCGTCATCGTCGTAGCATTCGGAGTTCTCGCCTACGATATGTTTAAGACGAGGGCGTAATCTTAACAAAAACGAATCTGACTGTGGTCATAAAGTGTAATTCATTGTGAGGTAAGAATGATTAAATTAAGGGTCTTATCACAGGCAAGAGACAACTTGACACAACAGCAATGAATCGTTAGATAAAAACACACCAGCAAAAAAAAAAGAACCTTAAACAGTACGACGATTGTACCCGATATCGAAAGGAGAAAATATGATTACAAGCTCTGAGCGCGTTTGTGGATGGCGAATATGAATTGCTAGGCAGACATATGAGGTAAGTGATATGAGGGCGGGAACGAAGAGAAAAAAAGGTTGGCCTCTGGTGGTAGTTCGGCCTGGTATCAGAAAGGGGCGGATGGAATCTGCAGAATATATGACGCAGCCCAGCCCTACCAGGGCAACTCATAAGGTTGATTAGAGGGTGAGAAGCAAGTCTTCCGCCTACTTGATTAAGGGAAAAGGAATAGCTTAGGAAGCAGTGGCCATGACACTACATCGAATTCAGCGATTGTATTATGCACTTCTTCATTAACTCACCTCTTCCGTTTTGCTTTAGTCATTTCTTTGCGCAAAGCAGCGCCGTCAAGTGGTTTTAACAGTTCAAATGCGCACAAGAGGTCCTCAGAGACACTGCCATGGCAGTGAGCGGGGTGGAAAAGGATGATAAAAAAAGGGAACGGACCTCATGCATGCACCGTAGTTGTCGAACTCTGCAATGAAAGTGAGACCTCTCTTCAACAAGGACTGCGGTTAAACTTACCACCACAGTAATTCGGCGCGCTGAATACGGTGACAAGGGTACGGTCATTCCAAAACTCATAACCATCCTCTACGACCATATGAGCGCGACATATCAGGTCCATATCATATCGAACGAGAAACTCGTTGATGATAGCTTTTCCGAAGCAGTAACTGACTCCTCTCTCATTGTCTTCCCAATCGAGCGCCGTGTCTGATGGGTCCGACCACAGTAGATCATTGAGGAGCCCAAAATCGGGCACATCCGTCGGCCGCTGTATGCGCTTTATGTCGTCCATTGAATGAAGTGAAGGGGATAGCCCTCCGTGGACACAGAAAATCTTCGATGCCACGATGGCAGCAATTGGAAGACAATTAAACACGTCTATAAATGTTTTCCACGTCTTGATATTACACCGTCGTTTGCATTCATCGTAAAATCCATAAACTGTCATCGAATTGGCTTATGCAGTATTAGATTGAGGGTAAAGCGTACCTCGCGTAACATTGGCACATTCATGATTCCCCCGAAGTAAAAAGAAATTCTCTGGGTATTTTATCTTGTAGCATAGCAAGAGAAGAATGGTTTCAAGACTCTGTTTGCCGCGGTCGACATAATCGCCAAGAAATAAGTAATTGGCGGCTGGAGGAAACCCACACATCTCAAACAGCCGTATGAGGTCGGAATACTGTCCATGCACGTCGCCGACGATCTTCACAGGCGGTGAAAGTTCTATCAGGGTAGGCTGACTAAGGAAAACATCGCGAGCAGCAAGACAAATTGCTGTGATTTCCGTATTCTTCAAACACAGTGATTTGCTGACTTTGCCGGTGTAGCCCACGTCCAGTAATCGTTGGATCATATCATCAATGTCAAGCTGTTTGAGTTTGTCCTTCGATCCACCATTTCCGAGAGATTCACCGGGAGCTCCACTGCTGTTTGTTGAACCTGGACTAAACGGTATTGCGTTGGAAAGGATGGTGTGCGCAACAGGAATGTCTAAAGGGGCGGTAGTTGTGTGTGGGGACGGAATGGGTGATAGTGATGAGGGCAGCGATGTGGCTAATTGGGGTGACTCGAGGTACAGAGGGTTTGCTTTGGAGGGGTAGGGTGAACCGTGTGTTCTGTTCGCTGACGCGGATAGAGTCGTTCCTGACCCGTCGTCAGATACGTTGATTAAGGGAGTTCCGTTTGGCATTGAACCAGAATCCGAACCATCTGCAGTGGACGATCCGGTGGCGCGGGAGATTGTGTTCTGAGGAGTGCTCTCGTTGGTGTCATCACCAGTAGAATCATTCGAGGGATCTAGGTTATCCTTATCCTTCTCCCGACCTCCTTTCCTGCTCTTCTTCGAAGGTTGTTGGCCCATATGTGAGCTTGGAGGCTGCGGTGACTGGGACCGGTTTTTGGACAGCCTTGAGGTGAAGACGGAGAGAAGAGTGGGCGCCAGTTTGATTATGAACGTGGCGACGGGGAAAGAGAACTGTCGTCGCCGCCGTGTAAGTTGAACGTTATAAGGGGTAGAGCCTCGACTGAACAGATGGCAGACTACTAACGTAACTTGCCCACAGCAACAACTTGGCTTGTTTGGTGGTTGTTTGCTCAATATTCTCAACAACATAAGCATGTACATATTCCATGGTGTAAACGACACAACGTCAGGCTAGTCTAAAACTTGTTAAACGCCTTCGTCGCAGCCTTGCTCTTCGACACCCGCAGTACATTGAATCGGACCGTCTTCGATAGTGGTCGACATTGCCCTGGAATATATCAGTATTGTTCTGCCAATATCGATCAACGACTGCAACCCACCGACAGTCACAACATCTCCGACATCTACACGGAATGCAGGTGAAGCATGAGCAGCCAAGTTCTTGTGTCTCTTCTCGTAACGGTCTGCTCAAGCGGAATCAGTTTCCTTGGCGGTATCAGAAGCCGTGTCTACGCACTATACTTCGGAATGTAGTGGAGATAGTCACGTCGGATGATGATCGTGCGGGTCATTTTTGTTGAGACGACTTTGCCACTAAGGATGCGTCCACGAATTGAAATGTCGCCAGTGAATGGACATTTCTTGTCTGGGCGATGCTTAGTGCCTGGTTTATGTGAGAGTATTTTCGAACGCACCAATATATGTGCCGTTGATGGCTTCAGAAGGTGTTTTGAAACCCAAACCGACGTCCTTGTACCACCGCTTCTCTTTGGTCGCGACCTTCTTGCCACCTTTATCAATCCAGTCAGCGACAGGCGAAATTTGACGACGGAGTCACGCACCGCGGGCTTTGGCGTTTTGGAAGAGATTTTGCTTTTGGAAAGCTTTCTCGATCTGGAAATGAGGTTCAGTAGTGATAGTTGGAAAAATGGATGTTGACGCACTTGAGCGTCGGCCATGGTCTTGATCTTGTGGTCGTGCGGCGTGCCGAGGGCCTACTTTTGGGGGCTTATTGATGCTTGTTTACATCGTGAAAGCCACACATTTAAAACTGTATAGCACAATCGGCAATTGCCGTTACTTGCCTTGAATGCACGAAATCGTAGACTGTTTCTTATTCCTTCGTCCGCTATATTTGGAAGGCGAGTAGGAGACCAGCAGGCGCAGAGCTCCCAAGAACTCCACAATTATGACAGGGATTCACGGTTTTGCACCACAGATTCACCATAGCATGTGGAGCGACGTGTCGCTGTCCCACTAACGCATGTTTTGTGCGGACCAGGGGAAATTTGGAAACGGTGCAAACAACTGTCACTCAGAGTCAATAATTCACAAGTATTCTGAGTAATATACTATTATGATTCGTGCGAGACTGTCTTTCAAACAGAGAAGTTTACTGTAGGATCTGAATGTGAAGCCTTGAGTGAGTCGGAAAGTTGCACAAAAGAAAATCGGAAGCGACGGCAATTGAACGTAGATTTGAAGGCGTTGCATTCGTCTCGTCTTCGCGTTACAGGACCACCCCAACCACTTCGCAGCTACAAACTGATGTCCATGCAAATGATGGAGTCCTTACAATGGATAACGCGATGAATCACGTCACAAACCGGACGCGACGCGCTGTGTACCCATGTTTGTTTCACGCGTTCTATACACTCATATGGGCCGCCAGCAAACCCTAGGTTCACCTTGTTCATCGCTGCATCCACGCCTTTTCTTATACTCTTGTTAGCAAAGTTCTTCGATATGCCCAAGTCTGTCAAAACCCCTCCTCCCCAACAAGCAAGTCTAAAGGAGATGTGGGGTAAGAGGCCGATTGTCACAAAGACTGAGGAAGAGGACGAGAAGCAGGACGCCATGGACATTGAACCAGGAAACAACAGCAAAGGTATGGAGGCTAAATTCCAAAACCACTTCATCTCAATACGTTCCAGCGGGGAGCTCTAAACGTACGGGTGCCCTCACAAGACCAGGCAGTAAGTTTCCTCAATCTAAATCTCTTGTGCATCTTAAATTCCATTGGAAAGGGTCGCCCAAATTAAAGAAACGCAAGATTGTTCAATCTAATGATGAGCAGGAGGAGCAACCGAAGCGCTGTAAGCGCCTTTCGATTCACCTCAAGGAAGTCTATAAAGCAATTATATAGCAACTACAGCTGTTGTGGTTGAATCCGGCAAACCAACATCGGATGATCCAGCGACGTTCTCATCCCAGTCTTTGAAGAGGAAACAGAAGGAGAGCGTGGACGCAGTGGAAGACATGGATGCCGCGGCAAGTGCGGGAGAGGGCGAGGAGGAGGTTGAGAATGATGACAGCGATATGGAAGTCGATGATGGCGTCGTGTCGGTCAGGTAGCGCTTTTGGCTTCCCTACATGGTAGTGGACTCACGGGGACTGTTCCAGTGCTCAGGCCGCTTTGCGGAGGAAAGGAGAAGTCGACGTCAAAGGTGGTTGGAAAGTGGGGGAACCGTGAGCTTTTTGGTCTTTCATCCGTCGATTAAGTTATACAAGTCAACTTTAAAAGGGTGCTATATGCAGCACTAACCAAAGCCTTCTCACTCATTGAGGCCACTACGAAGCGGCTAGAAAAAACCGCCATATTGACATCTTTCCTCCTCCTCGTAATACAGAGAAGCGCAAAGGCTGACCACAACTCTCTTCTACAAGCGGTCTATCTTTGTATCAACAGAGTGCGTTGCACATTTTCTGTCGCTGATCCCCATCTTACAAGGCTTCAGTTGAGTCCAGATTATGTTGGTGTTGAGCTGGGTATCGGGGAAAGCCTCCTCATCAAAGCTATCGCAGAGTCGACGGGCCGTAGCCTTTCCCTTATTAAAGCAGACCTGAAGCGAGAGGGTGATCTGGGACTAGTGGCCATGGTCAGTTTCGAGGTTATATCCAGCAAGCACCGTTAAACACCTTACAGAACTCCAAAAACAGCCAAAAGACGCTATTCAAACCCAAACCATTGACTTTGCCATTTGTGTTTTCAAATCTCCGAGATATCGCGCTAACTACTGGCAATTCGGTTTGTGCTGTTTCCTTGTAATCTGCGTCTTTCGCTAATGAAATTTGAAGTCGCAAGCAAAGAAGGTGTCCGTCATCACCAAGCTTTTGGCTGCATGTCAAGACTTTGAAGCAAAATACATTGTTCGAAGCTTGGAGGGCAAGCTGCGCATAGGCAATGCTGAGAGATCGGTGCTCGTAGCCCTAGCTCAAGCTGTGGTCCTGGCAGAGAAAGAAAAAGGTACGTTTCTTATAATTTGATGTGGAACGAACTCTCATTTGTTTTCTAGTTGGGAAGAAGTGGAGTCAAGAAAAACTCACAGCTCGACTCGAAGAAGGCGCCAACATAATCAAAGCTGTTTACAGGTGCGTCAATATCCGGTCAATTAGCTCCTGAAGTAAATTGGTTCCCTGAACAGCGAGCTTCCATCCTACGACAAAGTCATCCCAGCTTTGCTCGAAGTTGGAATCGATGGTTTACGGGATAAATGTAAGCTTACTCCTGGTGTACCCCTGAAGCCCATGCTCGCCAAACCCACAAAAGCGATTGGAGAGGTGCTCGATCGCTTTGAAAATAAACGATTCACCTGCGAATATAAATATGATGGTGAACGAGCGCAGGTCTGTGTAAAGAAAACATATGATGTCCGTCAACTGAGGGTGCAATAGGTGCATAAACTGGAAGACGGGACTGTTGATGTCTTTAGCAGAAATTCAGAAGATATGAGCAAAAAGTATCCGGACCTTGTTGATCAACTCCCAAGGGTAATATTCCAAACTCCTATCAAGGTATCCCTTCCGCTGAACACCAACACAGTGTATCAAAGAGTCAACGAAGTCCTTCGTGTTGGACGCAGAAGCCGTTGCTATCGATCGCTTAACAGGGAAATTGATGCCATTCCAAGAACTAAGCCGGCGTAAGCGTAAAGATGTCAAGGTTGAGGATATTCAAGTTCAAGTCTGTCTCTTTGCTTTCGACCTCCTTTACCTCAACGGCGAGGTCAGCATTTTCCGAGGTTCCCGAATTCTTCTTTCTCATCTTATCTTTAGCCGTTACTGCAAAGACCACTGTACGAGCGACGAGAACTGCTAAGGCAATATTTCACCCCCGTACCGGGGGAATTTGATTTTGCGAAGTCTTCGGACAGCGAAACCACTGAGGAAATTCAGACATTCTTGGAAGAAAGTGTCAAGGATGGCTGCGAAGGGTTGATGGTGAAGATGCTGGACAGCGACGCCAGCTATTACGAACCCAGTCGAAGAAGTGTCAACTGGCTGAAGGTGCGGAATGGCCGCTCCATTTTATAGCATATTGACGTGCCTTTTTAGTTGAAAAAGGATTATCTCGCAGGAGTCGGAGACTCGCTCGATCTGGTGGTGGTCGGGGGCTACTACGGGAAAGGGAAAAGGACCAACGTCTACGGCGCGTTCCTTCTTGCATGCTATGACAGTGAGTCGGAAGAATACCAAACGATTTGCAAAATCGGCACCGGCTTTAGTGAAGAAAACCTTCAAGCACATTACGATGCACTCAAACCATTGGAAACGACGAAAGTTCGGGGTGACATAAAAGTCGGCGGAGCAAAGCCGGATATTTGGTTTGAGCCCAAAATCGTTTGGGAGGTTCTGACGGCTGATCTCAGCCTGAGTCCCATTTACACTGCTGCTCAAGGACTGGTAAGCGTATGCGAATCTGGACCTATTTCTTCTGACAATTCGCATAGGTCGAGGATCGGGGTATTTCACTGCGATTCCCGCGTTTTATTCGGGTACGCGACGACAAAGGTCCCGACGACGCGACTGGACCTGAGCAGGTAAGAACTATTGATGGCACCAACCACTTCATGTTTCTGAGGGATCTGTCAGATCGCGGAAATGTATGAGCGGCAAGCACTAGCTCAAAGTAACGGTAAGAAGAAGAAAGGTGGCGACGCTGACGATGGATTCTGGTGATTTTTAAGAAGGATATATATCTGTGTATACGTGGATTATATGTCCAGGACGGACCCACATTATTTATTGCTTTTCAACCCTGTTGGCTTCCTCTCTAGCAGCCACGATGGCTTTGGTGACTTCGCCTGTGACAGGTTGCTCGGCCTCGCCTGTGATACCCAGACTCTTTTCCCGTCCACCCATGTGCCAGTAGTTCACGAAACGAAACTCCTGTACTGACTGGGCTGTAGCATTTGTGAGATGACACGCGAAGAGGAGGTAGTTGCGGGGTTGGACCCTCCATGCTGCATTAGACGTTAGTCGCTGTTGATGAGACAGTATCAGATTACGAACCAAAGCGCATGAACACCATTCTATACCGTGTGTTAAGAAGAATGTGATGGATTTTTGTATGTTCAACTCACGAATAACATGCAAGGGCAGTCGTCATCGTTCCCGAAATGACTTCTTCATCTTTCCTTAAATCAGCTAATGCTGCGAGAGGAAGTCCCCAGTTTGCGACCTGAATACATCGATGAGCTGTTTGCATTGACACCAGATTGCGCGACGAACTGGACCCCAGAAATGTGTGCCTATGAGATGTGAGACGTAAGAATCAGCAACAAGAGAAGATTTGCGTACTAAAGAAATATTCTCGGGCGGCTGGGGAGCGCAGCCAGGTGAAGAATGTCGAAGCCATGATGACGGGAAGAGATGAGAACAGGGTATACTCTCACGTGTAGGTCTATGTCGATTGAGTTTGGCTGAGTTTACATGACAGCGACGAGGAGCGCGTTGACTCAACGTTGATTGTCGCGAGAAGACTTTGAGAAGACTTTTTATCGACGTTGCGCCAGTCGTTCAAAAAGGAAAGGAGCGTGGCAGTGGAGGCAATATGGTCCTCTTTGCCTCATGGCCACACCCACGATGCGTATTGGTAGCGACGATTAATCGACTTGACTCCTCCAGCGATGAGTCAACCGTACAATTATTATCCTCAGCCTTCATACCAACCTCCTATAAATCAGCCATACCCTACTTTATACCGTCCACAAATACCCCAAGGTCCATCGCCTGTTCCCTATGACCCGGCCGCCTACAGTACACATCCCCATATCAGCACACCACGTCCACACCGTCATCGAAGAAGGGAGTCAACGCCTTCCGCTGCAGCACCTCCTCCCTTGAAATCCGCTCTAAAGAAGACCAACACTTACACTGCTACACCTGGCCCCCAACCCCCCATTGAATTTCCTATAACAAGGCCTCGCTCAAACTCGTTTTCCCAGCAACCTCATGGCTTTACAAGACCTCGGGTTTACTCGAATTCTGCATATCCGCAGAATGACATTATATACCCTTCAAGAGAAGAAGAATTTACTCCATGTTCGTTCCCTCGCTTGTACTCAAAAGAGATCTGACCCATCTCGTGTCTTTTTCAGTGCACATGTTCTTATCGTTCCATGGCTACAACGAACTACATTTGGAGGGTATCACAGAATTGGCCCTCAAGGAATTACGATCCAAGATTTGGAATCGATGGGCAGATGGAATAGAATCTGATACCGTCGATAATCACAGGTGTATTGTGCGCTTCAAAAATGCTCCTTGGGACATGGGTGGGCCTAAGCATCTTCTGTGAGTCCTGCCCCTTTCATGCCAGAATGTTGATCAGGACTGTAGTACCAGGGCCTTGAAGTTGATTCTCGAGTTATTCTCCCTTTGCGCACAACGGGTGGGTCACAATTAAACGCTTTGGCGAGCTTGTTTCCAAATTTCCCAGGGATATGCTTTCCAAACTTCCGTGAACATAGGAACACCTGTTCGTGGCAACCTTAATCCGTATTCTCGCTCATTGATTTCCACCTGACACCTGACCTCTACAGAGTCCCCGGCTAATTTTCCAGGTTCTAGCACCTGATCTTACTTCGCAGTTCTTCGTTGCATATTTTTCCCAAGGGGGACGTAGATTAACACTCATAAACCCGCCTGGGCACATTGATCTATCGATAGGCGCGATGCTCAAAGACGTTCTACGGAGCAGAATATCTGCAGATTACGTCGTGGATGAAAACATCAGGGTTATCGAAGTTAGAAAAAAGGCAGGTGGTTTTACAGGTATGCCAAATCTTTTTCGCCGTGCTTATTAATCAGAACCGCTGTTATTAAGGAGCTGAAGTAGAGCCAGCGCACTTCCTCATGCATGTGCTAAAAATCATCAGCAATTTGGGTTTCCAACTCGATGCAGCCATACCACTCCTTCGTCGAGGGCAGCTTGGAATGCGTTCGAGCAGGGAAATCCTTATCTTCAAAGGATCTAACCCTGGCTGAAAGCTCCTTTTCTTTTTATTGGGCTGTTTAATTAAGCGTTACTATCGGCCATTTATGAACCTCAGTAGCATGTGTAAGTGTACTACTCTTTGGACAGACATGGATGAAAAAAATAATTCTTTCAACTTTCACTCCGAACGGTGGACAAATCCACCATTGGAACGTCTGTGGATACCCCTTGCACATACAATGCCTTTTGGAGCCATCGACGACACTACGTCTTGCTTACGACAACCCACCATGGCTTATCAAGTTACATTCCAAATTATTCCACGGGTGTATACAATCAATCAAGCCCTACACACATTATTTCTCACATCTTGATAACCTTGGAGCCGTCAGCTAGTCCTGCGAGACTTTTTGCTATAACATGGCCATCTGAATTTTTCCGCTTGTAAAGTTCATCCCACCATCCAAACAGAAAATCGCGAGCGATGAGTTTGAACCAAGGGGTGAAAGAGTTCGCTGTCACAAGATATGAGGTCAAAATTGCCGAGCCTCGTGAAGCGAAACTTCGTACCTGGGTCTTGGAACATGTCCTGAAGCTCCTCCTTGCTAACGTACTTATAATCTCGAATTTCGTTTGCGTTAGGTGTTACGGTTACGTTTGCAGTAAGGAACAAGATATAGTCGACTGGATTTTACCCGTGAGTCACATAATGGCCCATAGATTTGCGTATACGTACCCTCGTGTTCGCCCCACATGCCATTGGAAGGCGCAAGGTAGTGAATTCGGGTAAGATACTGGAATTCATCGACGGGCGTCTCAGACTGAGGTATACCGAGTTCGTGTTCAAGCTTGCGAGAAGCGGCAACACGGACTCCGAGCTGGTCCTTTTCCACCTTCTCAAGCTCAAAATCGTCAAGAGGGTGGGAGCAACAGGTGTTTGTCCACATATCGGGAAAGGTAATCTTCTCCGTGGCCCTTTGCTGAAGCAGCAGTTTGCCATCGGAGGGTCTAAAAACGAAAGCCGAGAAGGCACGATGAAGCAAGCCCTTGTTTATGTTCTCCATGAGGTGACCTGCATTATGAAGGTGTCAGAGCCGACCATGGAACCTCAAAAGCGCGCGCACATGTCTTCTTGTCCATCGCACCGATGGCGTTATCCTCTTCATCTACCAAAATGCACCTCTCATCCATCAACCGGGATTGCTCGGGGTCATAGCTAGATAGGTCTATGCTTGCAAGTGCGGCCCGAGCAGCGGTTACAGCTGGAGATGACATGGAACGAAACTTGGCAACGTTCTTCAGAAAACGATTGCGAGACAGGAGGGATGTGCCGAAGCAGGGCACTCTTGAGAAGGGCAACAGTTTGTATGCAGACAGAGTGGGATTTTATACAAAGGTGGCATCAGAATTTCTTGGACCCATTGAAATTGCCGGAGCATCGATTGGCCCTACAACCACCCCGAGTAGGAACCCACTCGTAATACACCGCAAATTACAATACATGACTCTACATAACACTACCGCAGCAAGGACAATGACACCCAACATAACCTCGCCTCAGATAATTGCAATCCTGACTGTGTCATATGCATTCTGCTGTTCAAGGTGGATCAAATCCTTGGTCGCGAGAACTAAGATCCCGTGCGAATTAGATACAACAGAGTTTCCTAGAGCAGATCGCACCTAAGCAGTGATAAAAGGCCGCAGCGGCGACGTGGCGAGTGCTCGTCAAAGTTGGCACCACCGTGTCGAACGTCAATCTAATACCTGGACCGGAAAGAGTTTGAAATTGCATTTTCGCATATCTGGTCAAATACTAAATCAGCATCCTTTTCGCCCCAACATTATGCCCACTCGAGAAAGTTGAAAGAGTTCCTCTCGAGAGTTACAAGATTCAAATCCGATTTCTGCGTTTCTTGTGTTTCCTCCTGGGCGGCTTTATCGACTGAGCTTGTGGTTAGTTTCAGCCAAATTTTTCCGACTTCCCCCTACCTTTGAACCCATAATCCTCCCCATCAAAAACTTGCGAACCCAGGGCTGGCGAGAGTCCTGGTCCTGCTAATATACTCCCCAGCTGGCTTGGAATCAGTGAACTCTCTCGCCTGCTTTGTGAACTTCCTCGAAGCCTGACTTCCACGTGGTCGACTTGGATATCTTGACTGCCCTGGATATTATGAGGTACATTTCCACTCGATGAGCTCGCCGCGGCGTTGTCCCAGGGAAATAGGGAGCTTCGTTGAGATCCTAACTGCCCACCGAGATTGATGCCCAAGTCATTTCCTCCGACGATAGAAGCAGCGCGAGAAACGCGACGCGCTTGACCAGGATCCTACACACCATCTAATTCGTGCATGACTCCCAGATGAAAGTAAAGTACCTCGGATGATCCTCGATAGTAGTCATTTTGGTCAGGTGCCATATCCATTGCAAACAGATCATCTCAAAAGTGGATCAGGATGAGTCTCGGGCATCTATACGCGGATACCAACCTGTCGTGACGCCGACGTCTATGTCGTGCGCTATCTCTGGATGGAAAGCTTCTTCTGGTATTTTCTTATCATGAATTCCCAGAACCGTTTTTCGACGTTTTGCAGGCGGTTCATCTGCATAAAGATGAACGAAACCGTCATCAAAACTTAAAATTCGAGGTCATCACCATGATGAAGATGAAGCGCTCCCGATCTGGCCTCGACTTGAACCTTGAAATTCTCCTGCCAAAATTCGACCAAGACCCGAGCTTGGACTTCGAAGAGACAATGTTACAAGTTCCTTACATTTGTCCGCATGAGACTTACTTCCTTGTGGGACACCCCAAACCAATTCTTCGACCATTTTACCGTTGTGTTTCTCAGACTTCTTTTCTCCGATATCATGCTTGATAAGGTTCTGGATTTCTAGATACTTCGCCCTCGCAATCTTGGCTCAACAGTCAGCTGGTGCGACGAAGTGAATACGACACCTCACTCACTTTTAGTTCCTCATCCGTTAATTCGGTTCTCGCATCGAGCAATAAGCGGGTTCGCTTGTTCTTTCGGCCGTCTCCTCGATTGGCCCCGCCCTGTTCTTCTATTGTAATGTCGTCCAAGGGCCGTGGATCAAGGTCCTGGGAGAGAAGCAGCCGAGAGAATGAAGCTGTAGGGCTTAATGCTTGGAAGGGGGGTGAAGGCCGCTGCTGTGTGGAAGCATTTTCTATAACATCGTAAAATATGATGCACAAAAAGCGAGCTTCTGGCATCATTACCTTTCCCTGGGTTAGTGATATGCTGGCGGAAAAAGGTGTCAAAAATGTTGTTTGAATGAAAGAAGAAATCAATTACCTTCAGGCTCTTGTTAGTTATTTTCGGAAGAGAAGCTTGCGAATTGCAAATGCCCCCCAATTCTCCCGCTTCGCCACCAAAATTTTCTTCATCGACGCCGCCTAACTGAAAGTCCATATCGAAATTGAGGTTATCTTGTGTTAGTAATTGATTAGCAACATTATCGTTCTCCCTATAAAAGACTGCATGAGCAAGCCATCTGCAGACCTTACCATACTCACACTTGAGCTGTCTTGACTGGAGAGAAAGACCAGCCAAGTTCCTTAGCAAGTTCATCCCCTAAACCTTCCCCGATGTCGATTCCATCAGAGAGCACGAAGAAGTTATCATTCATATCAAATGCTTGTTCGACTTGTGAGGACGACGGTTCAACACCCCGTCCATTGAAGGACATATCGAACGAAGCAGACAGGAGGTGTTCGTGATATTCATCCAGAGTATGCATGTCTTGTTGGATAGTTTCCGCTGGGAGAGCTCCCCTCAAGCCTTCAAAAGATATTGGCTTTTCGCTATCCTTCAAGTTGTCGTCACCATCGCGGTGTCCTGGTTTGACTGTAGATTAGGTATTTCAATGGAAACGCTGGAATCAAAGCACTTCTGATATTAAGATATTTGTCCCAGTCCTGAGGGACAAAGGCATTCGCTTTCGGCAGACCGTGAAGAAATAATGGTGATACACACAGCAACTAGGGCATCGAAATCCATCAATAATGCGGCATTTGAATCGGGCGTGATGGTGAAAGCGGAAGGACTGTTTCAAGCTTAGATTGACGAAGTTCCCAGGTTACCTTGAGGGACATACCGAATGGACGTTTGAGCCATTTGAAGTTGACCATCTGGGGCGCCCAAGGACTTCAGTTCATTTGCCACCTTTTTTAAGGACGTTACGCAATTCGAAACGTCGGACATCAAGATCTCTTGCTTTACTGGGGAATGGTAGAAAATGTGAATTCTACGGCATTTTAAGGCAGATTCGCACCTTTGTATACGCTGAAACCCACATCGAGTTAGAAGAAAAAAATCAGGAAATAGGGACCAGATTAGTATACCGTACGACACCAAACATAAGGTTACTTGACAGCCTCAACGCCAAAGGCTCAGAAGGCTCAGTGATTAGGTCGCACAATCGAGTGATATCCGCTGTCAAGACAGACCGCCTCGGAAGTTTTTTGAAAGCAGATTGAGATCCTAGTGTTGCGGCCAACCTATAGGCTTATCAGAACCCTGTCCTAAAAGCGCCTTTGAGTCAGGCATGCTACCAGAGAAGACCAAAGCCGCTGTCTCGTTTCGACAATAGCTCAGAGGAGAAAAACATCGTAACACAATGAAGGAAAAGCTGAGCTATTTAGACAATCAAACCGGAACGAATTCTTGATTCTTGAATAGTTGGAGGACAATTCGAAAGGCGATTGTAAGGAATTTCGAAGGGTCGACGTTGGGGATGAGTATTAAAGATAGAAAGGTTCAACGCGATTTGTCTGGATGGGTCGTTACTACCGGGGCAAAAAGGACTTATGCATCTAAGAGATTCGATTGTGAGGGAAGGAACGAACAAGTTGACTAAACTTTGGCGGCAGCTTTTATAGGGGATCGCGGACTTTGAAAGCTTAATTAGGCTCAACGCCAACTTGCAACCCATTGCAATACCGATATATTAAATAACTAGTACTTATGTTTAGGTATAGATGTTCACCCATCGTGGAATGATGAGCCAAGCGAGTAGGTTGACCGACAAAAAACTTTTTTTTCCTTTTCCGAACTTCGACTCGAGAGCCAGCAGATATTCAAGTGGTAAGTAAATCTTTTGACAGCCCCAACTTTTTGACTTTTTGATCGCATCGAAAGGTATGATGGTATTGGCGTTCTGGTCGACAGTACTCAGAAAAGTTGGGCTGTGTGATTGAGACTAAGTAACCGTGGCGAGACTGACAGTGACATGAGGGCATTCATGGTCAGGGGTGATTCCTACTTTTGAAGGACTATGGGAACTGTGGAGGGGACCTCTGAAGTTGATGTGGGGAGTCCCACATCTTGAGGAGAAGGGGATCGCCCCACTTCTTCCGATTGTAGGGATTACTGGTTTGAGATCGATTATCCTTATACAGTGTATTGGCGAACGGAGTTTTCTGAAGCTAGAAATCGCTTCCCTTCCGAGGGCGAGGTGTAACTTCTACGCTTGCAGCGGCGGACGCGAAGACATTTGCATGGTATAACCAGCATCAGTCGGAACGTCGCTGGAAATTACGGGTAGCATACCAACATATGGGACTTATCTGTCAACTTGACAACGCGCCGAACCCTCTGTGGCGGAGAGGGGGCAATCGAAATACGTATTGTATGCCAAAAGAAACCACCAACAAAAAACCTTATCTTGCTAAGGTAAAGTAGCAATATAGCAAGAAAGATACGGGAGAGTACCTGTTGCAGTTAAATCAGAGAAAAGCAAAGCAAAGGACTGAAGCAGACTGAACCGTAGAGTGGAAAGGAGGCAGGCCGCTGCCAGATGAGAATGCTGAGCGTAATTGAGTCAAAAAGGTTGGACAGCTTTAGAGGTGAACTTACTAATGGGTCCCACTTGGAAAGATCGGGGATGTCGCCCAACGATTGCGGAATACCACGTTCGACATCTTTCGTTTTATTGCTATCTTCCCCATTGACGACGACCGTCACATCCTGATTTTGACTCCCACTTTCTTGGCTATCACCTGAGGGTCTGCATAGATTTGCTTCTGTGACCTCGTCCGCTTAGCTTTGCTCAAATCTTGTGCAAGTATTACCTCTTCGTGATGTTCTCGTGTCTGATTCAAGGTTGTGTACGGGAATAATTTTTACCAGACAGGGCGAGCAGGATGTGAAGGAGGAGGAGGCAAGGAAGCAAAAGGTTACACCACCCACACATCTGCAAATACCGTTTAATTTCTGTACAGGGTTAAGCAAGACGAAATGCATAGGAGAAGAGGCTTGCTTTCGGGGAGCGAGACCCGCAAGACAATCAAAGCGTGATCCATATGCCAGTTAAACGAATGCTGAGGAGGGAGCGAGGGAGCCACATGTCTGCTGGCAACCTTCAGAAAATGATCGTTTCTGACTCACACAGGCTATCTGCCCCAGAAAACGTGTGGTGCAGTAGGGCGGGACAGAATTGAAAGGATTCGATAATTTCAGCTGTATCTGAAGTTGTTGTGCGTCGTCGCTATTGTCAAGGGATGTAGAATCTGCAACCCGCTCTTCAGTGACATAACTTTCCCGAGTCGGATAATATGCAGTATTAGATTCGACTCATAACGGACATGAGGCGGACAAGAGGTTAGAGAGCATGGATTATGCCAAGATTATGCACATCTTGGATCCCTGCCAGGGGAACGATTTTACTTATCACGTGCTGGCGTGGCTCACAATCGTTGTGTTGTGGATCTCCCGTGGTTCATCTGTTTGCGTTTTTACTCTCCAACTCTCCTTGATCCCTTCACTTCCATTATGGCTTCGTCTTCTTCATCATCTCCAGAAATTACATCCGTCGTGAGTCCTGAAACTCAGCGGCGATTTTCCTATAAAGATGCAACCCATGAAGAAGTTCTTGAAGACCTTTCCAGGCATGCCTATCCTTGCCATCCACCACGTTAATCCTCATGCAGTTTCAGTCGCTTTATTTTGAATCTTCCCGATGAAGAGCTTGCATCCTTAGAGCGAATATGTTTCCAAGTAGAACAAGCGTGTGTCAATCCTGCTCTGCGATTGTTCACTTCATTGACTTCGCTACTTTGTCAGCCACTGGTTTTACGAAGACTTCATTCGTGAAGAGAACCCCAAATTCCCTACTTTGCCACTGAAGAAGTTTTCCGCCATGCTATTCCACGCATGTCCCCTCCTTCACCAATGGAGCGACGATCACGAACGTGCATTTACCACCTTCATGCAATATAAAACACGGGTTCCGGTTTGTGGTGCTATCATGCTTAATTCTACGTGGGAGAAGGTGCGTTTCCTCTGTGTTCTCGATGTTTCGAATCAAATTCTGACCAGACCGAAGTGTGTTCTTGTGAAGGGCTGGAAATCCTCTTCTGGTTGGGGTTTCCCTAAAGGGAAAATAAACGAGGTTGAACCACCACCTGACTGTGCTATTCGAGAGGTGGGTTCGTAGATCGGTACCCGCGCATTGTTCAATCACGCATTTGATCAACAGGTACTTGAAGAAACGGGGTATAATCTGGCAGGCCAATTAAATCCTGAGCATGTTGTTGAAATATCCATCAAGCAGCAAAAAATTTCATTATTCATTGTTCCTGGAGTTCCGGAAGACTTTCCATTCAAAACGAAAACACGCAAAGAGATTAGTGTATGTGATATCAAGAACGGGGGGTCTATCACTGACTGCATTTTTCTATCAGAAAATTGAATGGTTCAAACTCACGGATTTGCCCACCTGGAAACGTAACAAAGCAGCCCCCGGAAAATTCTATCTGATTTCACCCTTTATCGTGTATGTGTTTATATTCAGACGAAAGAAGACGGCTAACGCACTTTTAGTGAATTAAAAACATTTATTAATCAACACAAACCTCGGAATGCAGGTCGAAGGTCAACAAATCACAAAGCTAACTCGGCGACTGCATCTGCTAATTCCCGTGCAAAGCGTGTTGTGGTGAACCCGGCGGATGTCCTTGTAAATCACGAATCGGTATCTCATACATCCCCTCTCGATAATCGTGATCTGCAAACTCCCTCTTCTCAAAGCAAAGATTCCGACCCTCGCGTCGAAGATAATAAATCATCGTCGCTTTCTGATTCTATGGACCCTCACTTTGCACGGCTCCTTTCGTCACTTACTATGTCTGCTGCCGCTTCCCCGGCTGCAGGGTCCGAAGCGTCTGGAGGGCCCATTGCAGTTTTGGGGAATCCGCTACCTAAAGATTTCACTGGGCCGAACTCCGTTCCAGAACCCCTTATATCTTCCCAAGTTGGCGTGAAATCCGACTGGTCCTCATCGGCCTCTTCCCACGTCCCTCTTCAGTCTGATGAATTACCACCACCACTCCCCTCACCAGCATCAGACAGTGAAAAACCTGTACTCAATGTCGATTCGCGGGAGTCGGAAACCTATCAATTACTATCTCCTCACGTCGTTGTGAACGCTCGTGATGGGGAAAGTAGCGTTCATCCACCTCGACCTCAGATTGCTGCTTCACCAATACAATCTACAGTACAATCTACAGCCCGCGTCAATACTTCCCGCCGCGTATCAACGGCAGATGTATCTCCCTATCTCTCGAGGGCTGTAGAGGTGCCTACCTCGGCGAAAAGACTTCAGCAACTTGCTTTGTTGGAATCTGTTGCTGATGAATCTGCCAGGATGACGCCGCTTTTGGCTTCACGTGCCGTGGTCCCCCATATGAGGTATCCAATACCTTCACCGTCTAATCCGCCGCAACCTATGTCCATGTATAACTTGAACTCTGCCCTCCCTTCCAACCAACTTACTGCTCATCCTGAGGCGAATGGGCCCTTCAAACCCTTATATCCTTCTTCAGGGCACGTCAACAACAATCACGATCCTTTCCAAGTTCGCGCTCGTACCAGTCAAGCATTCCGTCGCAATCCAATCCAACCTTATTCAGGCAGCATGAGCATGAATCAAAGTCAGTTATTGAATATCATGAATGGCGCTGGACCATCTCCAGCGTTGCGGAGTTCAGGATACTATCCTTCTTATCCGTACCCTCCATTTGGCACTGCCAACTCAGCGACTATCGTTCAACCTCTACCGCAAGCTGCTGCACCGGCAGTTTATCAGAATCATGGACCTACAATTCCTAAAGTCTCCTCTATCTCCCTTAATCCAGCGATGCCCAACGTGCTGGGAAATGGATTAGGTGCCTCTACAAATCCGCTATTGTCAATTTTGAACGCGAGAACCACTGGTCTAGGGCCGTCCCACACATGACACGCCACGTTGTCCCCCAGATCACTGCAGTCGCGTCGAGTCCTCTTCCTCTTGTGATATCTTATCTTCCACACTCGTTAGCTCTGAAAATTTGGATCGTAAGCTGTGCCTTTTTGCATCTAGTGTAGTCTTGTATTTGACGTCAGTTATCGTATGTACTGAAAATAATTGGATACTACTACTACTTAGAAGGCAGTTCGATGTTGAATACGTCGAATTGTTACGATTTGTATTGCTCCCTAGGCGGACTTAATTGATAGCTTTTCAAAATTTCTGGACGACAAATCAGTTTGAATTGAGAACCACAGAGAAGCACCTCCCTGTCCGCATGATAGATCCGCACGATAGAACCAGATCTGCCAGATGTTGTTTAGGATAGATACCAATGCCAAACATTGAATGTCACGGTGCGTGTGACGGCCATCTAATCACAGACCACCAACAGCTTTTTTCTTCACTTCTTCGCTATTTCCTTGTACTAATCTGTTTATGGACGTTGTTCATTACCGTATATCATGTTGAACGGCAGCGGCATCAAAATATTTTCTGGTAGGAAACCAACGTTAGAACAAACCAATTTGCGCTAACGAAACCCCGCAGGGACCAGCCATCCTGAACTAGCCGAGATTATTGCACGACGGTACCTCTCTTTCCCTCCATCGAGTCATGCTATCGCAGTCTTTGGATTTGCTATTCATTGACGTCGTGCTTCAGCATTGGCCTGCCCCTTTCGAAAGCAGAGGTGACTCGCAGCGGCATTGGGGAGACAAATGTCACCATTGCAGAGTCTGTTCGGGAGGACGACGTATACATCATCAACACTGGATGTGGCGCCGTTAACACCGCTCTTATGGAACTTTGCATCATGATTCATGCCTGCAAAATCGCCAGCGCCAAGAGGATCACCGCTGTTATCCCGCTTTTCCCGTATGCGAGGCAGGACAAGAAGGATAAGAGCAGGGCTCCAATTACTGCGAAGCTTGTGGCGAACATGATACAAAAATCTGGCTGTGATCATGTTATAGTAAGATAAAGCTTGGTGATCCAGAATGCTAACTTAACAATAATCGCTTCAGACGATGGACCTTCATGCTTCGCAAATCCAAGGGTTTTTCGACGTCCCCGTTGATAAGTAAGTGGAGGAAACATAACATTTTTTTCAACCTACTCACGTCGATCTAGTGTAAGTGGGGAAACGCATTAACCGATCAGTTTTAATTGCGGATGCAGTTGTATGCTGAACCATCCGCCATCCTGTATATTCGGACGCACTTTGACTTGGCGGATGTAGTGATTGTTTCGCCCGACGCAGGGGGTGCAAAAAGGTATGGAAATCGGCACCGCGTTTTATAGCATGAGAGCTTAGCGATTCTAGGGCTACATCGATTGCCGACCGATTAGGCGTGGACTTTGCGCTATTCCACAAAGAGCGAAAAAAGGCGAACGAGGTTTCGCGAATGGTTCTGGTGGGACATGTGAAAGACAAGGTCGCGATTTTGGTGGATGACATGGCAGATACCTGTGGGACACTATGCTTGGCGGCGTCACATCTCTCAGAAGCGGGAGCCACAAAGGTATTCGCGTTCGTGACTCATGGGATACTGAGCGGGAACGCGCTAAAAGCGGTGGAGGAAAGCAGCCTGGAGAAGCTGATTGTGACAAACACACTTCCGCAACATGAGAACCAAGCTGCATGCAAGAAGATCGAAGTGATCGACATTGGCAAAGTGTTGGGAGAGGTGATTCGTCGGAGTCACTATGGTGAAAGCGTGTCGAAGCTCTTTCATGAGGTTCCATACTAGAGAGCCGCGTTATTCGGGTTGTATATTTCATTGGCCATACTTAGATAGAATCATGGCCTTGCCCTGATTAAACCTAATGCGGGTTGTAGGCAGACTGGTTGCACACACAAAACGAGGAGTTGAAAGGGGAAATGATTGGAGCAGGATTTCAACTGAATGAATGGGAAAAAGAAGCATATGGGTAGCGAATACGGGATTGAACCGAGATTGTTGCGAACTCGGTTAACGGGTCAGTTCATCCTCGGTTGTTGGCTCAGTTCAAAGAAGAATCTTCTTTTCTCTGTAACGTGTGCTCTGGCTTGGACTCATTGCCTCTTCGTCCCCTCTTCATAACTTTATTCCTTTTATTCATATGTCCCTCTGAGAAATTCACATATCCCGGGCAATGCTAGGCGTATCATGTACGCAACCTCATCTCACATACACAATGTCCACAATCACTACCACCCTCATCAACAACTTCCAATCCCTCATCCAATTCCACTTCCAACCACTCTCCCTTCCATCCCACCACCACAACCACCACAACCACACCCACCACAACGGAATACTGCTCCACAACCTCCAAAGGAGCCCATCGTCGTCCTCGGCATACCCAGTGTCTCTATCGAGGGAAATCACCTCCTGGTTGGCTCCTCTCAGACGAGTCTGTCGTTCTTCACTTGATTCATACACATACACTCATATATTTTATTACCATCAGGTTCGACGCGCTCTTATACACCTCTCAAGGTCCTCGGCGATGGTTCCTTTGGTACCGTCTGGTTGTGTGATTGGCATGGGACCCTACCCCCCAATACACCTCTTTCCCCCATGCAGTGTGGACAGGGCGCGAGGCCAGAGTGGACGGGGAAGCGGCTCGTAGCAGTGAAGAGAATGAAGAAACGGTGGGAAGGCGGTTGGGATGAATGCCAGCAACTCAAGGAGCTTGAAGTGAGCCCCTCATCCTCCATTATCACGTCCCAGAGAACCTTACGTTCGTCCCTCTAGTCTCTGCGGGCCATACCTTTTCATGAAAACATCATCCCCTTGTACGATTTTTTTCTTTTGCCTGCATCCAAGGAACTCTACTTTGTCTTCGAGTCAATGGAGGGCAACTTGTACCATCTTATCAAGGCGCGAAAGGGACGTGCGCTTGCTGGTGGATTGGTCTCCTCAATATTTCGCCAGATTGTTTCCGGCTTGGACCACATTCACAGCCATGGATACTTTCACAGAGATATGAAGCCAGAAAATGTTTTGGTCACCACAACAGGACTCTTCGATTACAACTCTGTCTCTCCAATCGCTCCTCCGAACGCGCCAAAGGAAAAAGACGTTGTTGCCATCATCAAGTTGGCAGATTTTGGCCTTGCCCGAGAAACCAAGAGCAAACCACCCTATACCGAGTACGTTGCGACGCGTTGGTACCGTGCCCCGGAAGTTATTCTGCTCAGTCGTAATTATTCAAATCCCGTTGACATGTGGGCCCTGGGGACGATCATGGCCGAGCTCGTCAACCTACGACCACTTTTTCCTGGATCGGATCAGGTGGATCAAGTCGGACGAATATGCGAAATTCTTGGAGATCCTACCGATGAATACGGTTTCGATTCTCAAGGAAGCTATTTTGGCGGGGGTCCATGGCCGAAGGGCTTGAAGCTAGCGAAAGCGGTTGGTTTTCAGTTTCCAAAGGTGAGTCTAAATTCTCTTGCGATTACCCATCCATAGTGACTCCTTTCAGACTCAGCCAAAAGACATCTACTCGCTGTTTGAGCGAACAGTCCCTATCTCGCTAATTCATTGCATTCGAGATCTGCTCAGATACGATCCTGACAAGAGATTGACGAGTCGAGAGTGTCTTGAGCATGCATATCTGCAAGAGACGACTCATCGCAACAATATCCCGATCCCATCTGGACTACGCGCTTCGACATCCACCTCGTCGATTCCAATGATGTCTACACACCTCAACGCTACTTCATCACATCCCTCCTTATCATCGCATACACCTCGCACCTTTCCACCCTCACATTCACAACCTGCCCATCATGCACCCTCAACACACGCTCTTGAGGCATCATCCACGCTTCGCCATCCCCCTCCAAATGTTTCTTCACCTCAAGCCACTCACAACCAATCACACAATTGGCCGAATCAGCCAGATTATCCTATGGATATATCAGCACCTCAAGAACCATATGTCAATGGCAACGGTGTGATTGCCAATAATTCGTCGATAGGTTACAACGGTGAGGCCCACGACGACACCGACCGTAACCCCACAAATACCCAGGCGCCCCTGGCGTCACAACCTAACAAGCTTGTCAAGTTGGTACCATTCGGTAAGAAACATAGCAAATGGAGCCTTGGCCTGTTTGGAGGTGACAAACACAATGCGCTCCCCCCTGTCGACGAGATACCCCCTGTCTCCATCTTCCCGTCAAGAAAACGTCCGCAGTCGTCGAGCACGGACAGCAAGTCGTTGCGTGAGCATTCTCCAGTTCGTGATACCCATCAGGACATTCGCGACGCTAAGAAGAACAACAAGAAGGAAGCAGAACGGCTGAACCGAGAGGCTGAGAAGGAGCGTCACAAACTCAAAGAGAAAATGCATCGGGAGCAAGCTCGTGCCGTTATGCAGAAACGTCAACAGATGATCCGAAAGGCAGATGGCGACGATATTGAATGGCTTGGTGGCAATGAGCAACGCGTGGACTTTATGGAGAACAAACCCAAGCAAGCCTCCTCAGGACCGATCCGTCAGAAAAGTAGCGGAAACATGGCCGGGACAGCCACCGTTAACGCTGCGGCGGGAAAGTTTGTTGGTCAAGCTGAGTCGTCACTCGTCCCTAATTATAATCGCGAGCGCGATTGGGGAGCAGGAACCGAGCGCATTGCTAAAGCTCGGCGGCGAGAATTTGACGATGACCATTCGATGTCGTCGTCAGACGTCCACAGTCTCAGCCGTATGTCATCGATTTCCTTTGCGACGGTGGATAGTGATCCTGGTCCATCTCGAATACGAAATCGGCCCAGCCTATTTGGCCTAAGCAGGATGACCTCGCGATCATCTTTACGAACATCGTTTGATGATTTCCCTCCATCAGCACGGTCTTCAAACTCTTTCTCTTTAGAAGGCCAATTGGCGCACGATTTCCGTACTCAAGCTTCTATGAGCTCACATATATCGGGCAGCGTCTCACCACCGCCGTTGCAAATGCTCTCTCTCTCTCCCACCCTCTCACCTTCTCTCTCACCTTCACCGCCGTGGATACAGGTTCAACAACACAAAGAGAGCTTGATGTTATCCGGGGATCAGTCACCCCCATATATTTCTATTCCCCAACACCAGCTGAGTACCATCGGTCCTCACAGTCCACTGGATTTGCATGGTTACTTGCATGGGCAACCCCCGAGTCCCTACAGCCACCCGACGAGTCCGTACGGGCATCCACCCAGCTCGGGGAACGCGCCCAGGTCAGCCAAGTCTGCCATCAATCCAATTTTCAAAGTGGTGAGTTACAAGTGGGACAGTGAGGATGGTCTGGTGCCTGATGATTCTGGTGACTTCGTTCAGCCCCCACTACCCCATACAACTGGTGCTCGCCTCTCATCACCTAATACCCTACCACCCTTTTCTCAGTTGGAGGCGGTCGCTGGAGGCAATTATTCATCACTTTCGTTTCCGGAAGATATTTGATTTCATAGACTTCACCACCACATTCCTTGGCTTATCATTCGGTTTCTTGTCTTCGGTCTTTCCACAATCGTTTACTCTCTCTCTCCCACTGCAATCACTCATTTGACATCCCACCCAGGAGGTTGTATCCCACGGCATACATCTAACGAACCATCGGCTCTAACCCCCTGATTTCGCATTTCTCAGTAATTTGTTGGTACCCCGGTTCTCATATCGTACTCACTTTTCTCTAGTTGCACTATTCTCAGCCGGAAGCTAGGTATAGTAGTAGACAATGTGTATTTTTATGCTCGTCAATTGACAAAGACAATGGGCGGACATTCAGACTCAATAGTTACGGGGAATTTGATCCATTGGCTGTCATTGGTACATAGTGAACGGATGACTATCAATGATGATGATGTGGATCCTGCTCAAACCGGATGCCGCTAGAACCAAACCGAATTTAACAAAAGTGAGTCTATTGCGGAATGTTCACACATACCAATATCTGAGAAGAATGTCAAGTTCGTGAGTCAGTCAGCGCTGTCAAAGAGGAAACGGGGTTAACGCATACCCGCATGCTCGAGGTCCCGGTTGGTCCTTTCACGGAGGAGTAAGTTTCTGACTGAAAGCAAACTCATTACAAGATTGACATACCAAGTTGATATAAATTTTGGGATGTCCCAAGGGCCCACCTCCTAAATTGAAAAGTTAGTTGAAAAAGGTAGACTCGAAGGAGGGAGTCCGGTTTCGACGGACCTCCATCGCAAACTGCTTTCCGACCGTGAACAAGTCGCACAGGCTCTTCTGCAATGAGGGCCATGGCGCTCAAGGGATTGGGCTGGAGCTCCATCGCCGTTTGCTCGAATCGTGGACCTTCACCACCGATAGGACGGGGACGTTGACTGGTGGTCCATGTTGAAGGATAGTTTGGAGCTTGTTGGGTGGTTGGAGTTGAGGATTCAACCTTTTGAGGGATTGAGGACGTCCCACTCTGAGCTGTTCCAGATGCGGAGCGTGATAGAGTTCTAATGGCGCGGTTGAGCTGAGGGAGGACGCGATGGCCAAGCATAGTGGTGGTGCTCTTTTGGTCACACCCAGGTCACAACCCCTTGTCAAATCATCCCGCCGCCATCCGTTTCCAGCTCCCGCAACTTTCATTGAATGCTAGTAATACATTGACAGTGCTCTTGTAGATACATCATGGAATTTTAATGGTGCAAACTCAATCCATCTCCTCGATTTCAATATCATCATCTTCATTGGCATCCACATCCATCCATTCATCTGAGGCAACTCCTTCGTGATTGGGTATGATGCGGAGGCGGTTGTGTGGCCCATCGAATCTAACGCGGACGACCTCACCGTCGAGCACCCGCCCCGATAAAATCATCACAGAGAGGGGGTTTAGCAACTCGCTTTGGATTGCACGATTGAGGGGTCGCGCCCCATAGACCGTCGAATACCCCACGGACAGGAGGTAATTCTTGCTCTCAGAGTCGAGGTCGAGCTTGATCTTCCTGTCTGCAAGGCGTTCTTCAACCTCTTTGAGGCGAATGTCGACGATCTTGAGAATGTCCTTCCGTGAAAGTGATCGCTAACGATATCTGTCAGAATCTCACCCAAATCGGAATCAAAACGAACTTACGAAGATTACGATGTCATCAATCCGGTTAACGAACTCTGGGGGGAAATGAGCCTGGATAGCACCCAGAACAAGGGTTCGCGTTTCGGGCCTGACAGGACCATCTCCCATGTCATTGAGGTAAGCGGCACCCAAATTCGAAGTCATGATGATGACTGTGTTTCGCATGTCCACTACTCGACCTTGCCCATCTGTCAGGCGGCCGTCATCCAATACCTGCAGGAACAAAGTCACAAATTCCCGGCAAGCCTTCTCGATTTCGTCAATGAGGATGATCGAGTATGGCTTTCGACGAATGTATTCCGTTAATTGACCTCCTGCATCGTAGCCAACGTATCCAGGAGGTGAACCGATCAACCGCGAAATGGAATGCTTCTCCGAGTACTCTGAGGCATCGATGCGTATCATGGTGTCAGGCGAATCAAAGAGGACTGTCGCAAGCTGGAAAAAATGTCAGAAAGATTGACAATGTGAATATTGATTTTTTAAAGCTTACCGTCTTCGCCAGCAGAGTCTTGCCTGTACCCGATGGCCCCGCCATCAAGAAACTAGCAACAGGGCGATTAGGGTTGGAGAGGCCGCTCCTTGAGAGCCTAATGGCATTCGCGACCGCCTTCACCGCGTCGTATTGTCCAACGACGCTCTCCGACATCACTTTTTCAAGCCGCAAAAGCTTCTCCTTCTCTGTTGTAACCAAGCGTGTAACGGGGATATTGGTCCATTTCGCTACAATTTCTGCAATTTGTTCTGCGGTAACGGTATCGTTGTCGGTACCCGCTGCGGCATCCTCGGCTTTCTTCTTTGCCTCGAGCTGTTCAAGGCGAGTTTGTAGATCTGGAAGCGCAAAGTACCGAAGATCGGATGCAGTCGTAAGGTCATATCTGAAAAGGAAATGAGCTGATATTGCCGCCAAGAAAGAAAAGAGCACACACCTTCGCTCAGCTTCTTCTGCCTTTGCTTTAAGCTCGTCGATTTTTCGCCTGACGCCGGTAATCTCATCGCCTCGTTCCTTCTCGTTATCATACGCAGCCTTGAGGGGTCGCAACTGTTCTTCGACCTCGGAAATCGCTTTATGCGCTAGTTGCAATCGTTCCTTGCTAGCTGCATCTTTCTCTCGCTCCAGAGCATGAATTTCGACCTCTAGTTCAAGTTTCCTTCGTTGAAGTTTATCGATCTCTTCCGGCTCGGTTTCTCGTGTTACACGCACACTGGACACAGAATCAACGCCAGAAACAAATCCCGAACAGAAAATGATTTACCTTGCGCAAGCCTCATCGACCAAATCGATTGCTGAATCAGGGAGCCTCCTCGACGTGAGATATCGATGCGCCAAAGTCGCGGCGGCGATCAAAGCACCATCATGAATGCGCACACCGTGGTGGACCTCGTACTTTTCGCGTATGCCTCGAAGGATACTAATGGTCTCCGGGACGGTAGGTTCGTTGACGATAACTTGAGCGAAACGTCGCTCTAGAGCAGGATCTGTTTCGATGTATTTCCGATACTCTGATAGAGTCGTTGCACCGATGCACCGAAGCTTGCCTCGGGCTAGCAATGGCTTGAACAGATTACCGGCATCCATGCCTCCGCCTTCTGCCCCTCGTCCGGCCATTATAAGATGCAGTTCATCTATGAAGAGAATGATGCCAGGACCTCCATCTTCGGCAGCCTTCTCGACCTCGTTGAGAACGGCCTTGATACGTTCCTCGTATTCACCTTTGTATTTTGCGCCTGCCATGAGTGCACCCATATCGAGAGAGAAAAGGCGGGCGATAAGGCTGGCAGGCACGTCGCGCTTGACGATTCGCTGTGCAAGGCCTTCAGCAATGGCCGTTTTTCCAACACCAGGCTCGCCAATAAGGACGGGATTGTTCTTGGTCCTGTGGAGAATTACATCACGATAAAACCAATAAATGTGCAAACGTACCTTCTGCATAAGATGCGGATTGCGCGTCGAATCTCGTTATCACGCCCGATAACAGGGTCAATTTTTCCCTCCTCCGCAAGAGCTGTAAGATCTACAGCGTACTTCTGGAGCGCATCGAAACCTTGCTCTGCCGTTTTTGATTCGATTCTACGGTTCCCGCGTGCTTGTTCTATGGCTGTCTTGAGGGTTGCTTCATTGAGGCTGTTCTCTTTGAGAACGCCAGCTATGGATGGGTCCTTGAGAAGGGCTAGAAGAAGGTGATCTTGCGCAATATAAGAGTCGTGCATAGTTTTCTGGAGGTTCTGTGCTTCGCGTAGAACCTTCAGCGCGGCGGAGCTGAGGTTGGTTTCCTCTGGAGGTGGGCTTTGCGCAGGCAATCGAACGATAAGCTTCTGAATAGATCGCTTGACGGCTGTCTGTATAATTGGAGATATGAATTGAAGTAGAACGAAGATACAGACAAAAGGGCTTACTGGGTCACCGCCTGCTCTAGATATGACGGAAGAGAAGAGCGAAGCGTTGGAGGACGGAGGTGCTCCCCCTTGAACAGAAGGCTCGGCTGATGCCTCATTGATGAGGACGAAGGCTAGATGGGCAGGGTGGACTAGATAGTAGGAGTTAGCTCACACAAAGATAGCGGAGATGAAAGGACAAGCCTTGTGCATTGGCGTAATCCTTTGCTAGTTGGATCGCTTCTGCAAGTGTTTGTTGAGTTTTGTCTGTAAAGTCGAAATTGCTGGACATTGTAAAAGGATTGAGAAGAGATAGAGAGCCGAGGGTCGAGGTTTAAATAGGCATGGACATTGGCCGATTCTAGACCTTGTGAGCACATTCGTGCAAGTTCTATCATAGTGGCGAGCGGCCCGGTGACATTGCGTGCATGAGATCATTGTTGGCATGCTGCACGACGTATTTATCACGTGCCATGTTCTCTTCGACCTCTGCCGCCATCTCCATTCCCTTTGGCATCGTCATCGGTCTCGTTGCGTCCTTCGTTCAATCCCTTGGCCTCACCATCCAGAGAAAGAGTCACGTTATAAACCAGCTTCTCCCAGAACACCGTCAAGTGGTCGAGCATCGTAGGCCGTTCGTCTCTCTTTCTCACTTTGAATCCCTCCTTCTCATATATTTCATACAGATTATGGCTGCTTGGCTTTACCATCTTCATCTCTTCTAATATATTTGGTTCTCTCGCTCAAATAGCGTCCCTTCCCGTCGTCATTTTAGCTCCCCTTGGCGCCCTTTCTTTATTATGGAACGCCTTTTTCGCTCGTCTGCTCCTTGGTGACGTTTTTTCACCTTGGATGATCCTTGGAACTATTCTTATTGCTGGCGGTGCTGTCCTCATCGCCATATTCGGCATCGTTCCTGAGCCGACAAGGTCCATCGAAGATCTGCTGGAGCTGTTCAGACGACCCGCCTTTGTTGCATATTTCTCCACCCTGGGAACCATCGTCTTCTTATGTCTTACATTTGTGCGTGCCCTCTTCTGTTGTCTGGTATCTACAGAAACACTCATTGCTATGCAGACACACATAATCGACTTCTCTCTCTCACGTCAAATCGCAAAGACTGGCCCATGCGCATTGCCACCAACATCAAATCCTGACGATATCAACCTTCTTTTACCACCAAGTAGCATTCCTTCAGTCATTTTGGATTCAACAAACTCTACGATACCATCTGAACAGACACCACTATTGGATCGGAAAGCCGGTACCACTTCCCCCTCTTCGTTCAAGAAAGTTCACAATGACCACGTCTTTCGTTCAATACATCGAACCCGCATGCTCTTAGCCATTTCGTATGCATCTTTTTCTGGTATCCTTTCTGGGATGTGTTTGCTATTCGCGAAGAGTGGAGTGGAACTTCTGTTGTTGACTCTGAGCGGTCACAACCAGTTCTGGCGATGGGAAGCATGGGTTCTCGTCCTTGGACTTGTGATCTTTGCTTTACTACAATTGTGGTATTTGCACAAAGGTTTAACATTAGCTGATCCGACGCTGGTTTGTCCTTGTATGTGTCATTCCCCCCCACTACAATATATCTAATGTTTTTCCCCAGCTGCATTCTGTTTCTATAACCTTTCCTCGATTGTCAACGGGTTGGTCTATTTTGATCAATTTTCTCTCATTCCGCCTTTGCATCTGGGTCTGGTCATGCTGGGCATTGTAGTTCTCCTCGCAGGAGTGTGGGTCGTTAGCATTCATTCTGGTGGTGGAGGGGTAGATGTTGGGGCATGGAGTGAAGAGGACCATTTAGAGGATCTTTTGAGAACGAGCGAAGAACCCGAATCCTACGAAACGGAAGGCGGACGCGAAAATTTCAGTCTGGACTTCCCCACGGCAGAAACCTCGTACAGCGGTAGATTTGGCCCCATATCAGTGGAGGGAGAAACTCGTCTTTTAAATACGGCGTCTTCTCCAGAAACCGCAGGAGTTGGTCTTGATGTTGGAAGGGAACAATTATTGCATTCCCCGTCAGCCACTACTGATCCAAGCACCGAAACACACGTTTATCCAACTCCTAATTCCCCTCCTTACCAAGTTCTACCACAACGGCGGAGGCTAACGACAAATGCTTCTTCTCAAACGAGACATTCCCGCGTTACATCCCATTCTCATTCGGTTATGTATTCGAACAGCCCTGTCTCTCCCCCACTTGGTCCAGTTTCGACTCTGGGGACTGGTTTTCAAATTGGATTGTCTCCCGTTAGTCCTGGATTTACACTCATGCCTCGCGAGCGGCGAAGGAGGATCAGCGGCTTAGGGTTGGGCGCGCCTACGAGTTTTGCGGATGTGGTAGTTGAGGCTATGGCAGTTGAAGAAAGGGAGAGAAGGAGAACGGTCAGCGAAGGCGATATAAGGGATAGGGTGGAGATGCATCAAAGTGAAGATTCTCCTGTGGAAACAGTTGCAGAAGTGGGAGGCCGTTCAGAACATCACGACAATATGGATATTAGGGGTCGCACTAGTCGGTGGAAGTGGTTAAAGAAGGTAATCACTGGAAGGGGTTGAGGACTTTTCATCCGCGATTACGTAAGATATCCGTTTCTACAGCAACGAGATTTAATAGAGCTCTGATAGAGCTCAAATGGTATATCTGATGGAACTTTCTCAAGTTCCTGAAATTGAAATTGCCCTTGTGTGGGCTGTTGGCTGCCGTTGGACTCCGTTGCAATGGACATGAGTACATAACGTCGACGATTCTTCCTAATTGGCGCCAAACTGTATCATACCGGTTGTAGCTGCTAACAGTACTGTAAGTTTTACGCTACACGTGACCGCGTCTTTCAGCGACGCGACAACTGTCTTATGTCTACCTTATGTCTACCGGCAGGCCATACGTGTCAACGTTGGCGACGTCGTGGGCGGCGAGGAGAAACCTGGAGAAACGCCATGACATTGATGTGAGTTGCAACAGGGAGGACGGGATAAGCGACGGCTGAATATAACACGACAGCAGGGCCCTGAGCTATACCCTTTATTCCACATATTCCCCCTGGCCCATTTCTTAGTTCCCCAGTCCAGCAATGGCGCTACTTCGTTCCTTGTTCTAATCCTTCACTCTCTTGATACCCCCCAACTCTCTTTCAAAATATTTTCCTGTGTAACTTCCATCACTCACCTTGAAGCCGGTGCTATGGCTTCCATGCGAAGGCCCGCCGTCCCTGCCACAGCAGTTTCGGCAGGTCTCGTACCCACTGACGTAGCGCTCAGGTCTCGTTTTTCAGACCAGTCCCTCGACAACAAGAAGACTCGCCCAGTTACCCAGAAGATCACCTCCAAGTCTGATCCCAAAAAGGATACGGCGCGGCCAACAAGCCCAGGCACTCATAATACCATTACTCCCATCATCAACATTTCTAACAATCTTACATATCATCCTTCTACTTCAACCACCACCATCACCTCTGGCCCCGCTCCTTCCCAGGACCAAGGCGCTGCATTGGCCGATGAACTAGACTATATTACTGTTACCACTCCTGCCAGCTCAAGCCCCAACGCTCCTTCTCAAGTCCGCACGGATAAAGCTTCTCGCATTCTTGGTATAAAACACCGCAGAAGCATGGAACCTATACCCGCATCCGCTCGCAATTCCATTGTGTCCACTCGTTCGGTTCGCGACGTCCCGCCAATAGCGTCTTTTGTGCCTTCGTTACCCCTAACTTCCCTCTACGTCGTCTCTGGTCTTCCCAAGTCCCCCCATACTTGGACTCTCGCTGACCCAGATTCAGTTCTTGGTCTCCACCACAGTGAAGGCGCTGTCAGTCGCTGGTGGAGGCCTGAAGTTCTAGGGAGTACCGTCAGTCCAGGTGCTGGAGGCGGGAGGAAGAAAAAACGCGGGAAAAGTGAGGAGATAATGAAGGGGGCGGGTGCATTGAGCAAGCAGGAAGTTGGAAAAATGTTGTCCAAAGCGCTGAAGGTTTGTAATTTTCTTTTTTTGTCCTACTGAGGGTCATTGTTCATCCTTTCGTTGTAGCTGTCATTCACCCGAGAAGTCGAGGTCATTGCATCAACCCTTCAACCTGCCTCAACTATCCATACCTTCACCTTTACCCTCCCTGCTCCGAGCACCCCTTTGGCTCCTACTCCTTCTGGGGATCTCCTCCGTGCCTCCGTCTTGACCAACACTGATAACAGGTCGTCTGCGGCGACCTTTGCATACCCATACACTGACGACCCATTCGCTCGTCCTTCGTCAGCCTATTTGGGCCCCCCAAGCCTTCTTGGACATGGCTCTCATAATAATAATAATAACACCGTCACTGGAAGCAACGCCAGTGCTATTAATGTTCCTGGCAATACCGTAACATACCATGGTGTCTGCCTCACTGTCTGGTCTCATGCAGACACGGAGCGTAGCAATGCTATCCGCCGCACTTTGGAGGCTGGTCGTTCCCGTAAGGAGTCGGCCCAATCCGTTGTTGCATCCCGCCTAAAGAACCTTCGTGCGGACATTTCGGGATCCACTAGCGATGGGCCGGATCCAAGCACTCAGGCAAGAAGGAGTGCAAAAAAGGGTGCCCGTGGACCATGGGTCGACGCAGAAACAGACGCCGAAACCGAAGGAGACGGTGGCATGAGCGAAAGCGATTTTGAAATAGCCAGTACCATTGGCCATGGTCCTGGCGAGAGCACTCTGTTCCTACCAGGTGACACTGTTTTCTGGTTGCCATACGCTCTAAGTAAAACCTGCTATCCAACTATTTCTTCAGTCACATACTCAACAATTTTTTTAGCCCTTGTGTCTCGTCACCCAGTATACGATCTTATGCGAGATTATCTGACCCTTTCTTGGGCACGGTTCTCTAAAGACGTTCAATCTCACACCCTTCAAATATCGAAGATTCTCGCACACCCTGCTCCTCGAGCTGGGGACCTTATCAAACTTGACGCCAGTCCCAAGAACGATGGTACTGATTCTAATCTGGAAGTGATTACGCGTTTTCCTGGAGGTCTGGACTTTGGGCGAGGTCTGGTTGATATCAACTTCACTATGTGGCCGCTCTTCAAGTGTCTAAATATTGACAATATCCTGACAATATGCGAGGTCCCTCTTCTCACCTACAAGCCACTTCGTGCTGCTGAAATCCTTTCTTAGATCGCACTAGCGCCCACCGGACGAATCCTGTTTTTCTCTAGATACCCTACGATGCTCGGTGTACGCATATGTTCCCTTGACTTTCACAGATGACTAAACGTCTCTGATAGATTGCGGTGTCCACGATCAAGTATCTTGTTGAACTGCGCGGGTGGAATGGTATTGCATTGCCTGCTGTCCATTCTCGGGACGCTAAGATTTACATCGACGACCCTGGTCCATGGATCATGGGATTATCCACCGAAGCAAGGTATAGCATTCGACCCTCGCCTGAAGTTTGTGTCTGCGATTTGTACGTGGTTTCTACCGTCGCACCCCTCGTAATACTAATTTCAAGTTTGAAAGGGATATAAACTATCTGTAAGTGAGCGAGCCTCATGACTAACGCCTGTGGTGACCTTGATTTCAGGAGCTGCCCCTCCCCACCTGTAGGAGCCGTCTCAAGCAAGCAACAACGAGACAAATATCGGCAGAGATTGCTTGCGGCATTTGAGTCTCACTATCATCCCGACCACTCTGTTCCAAGGTAAATTAGCGACAGTAGCTTTCATGCCGTTGCTGATTAGCCGCAGTGAATTCAAGGAAGCCTTTCCTGCTGGAAGGTTCAGGCCCGTGTGTAAAATACAGGCAAAGCGAGGAGCGTCTTCTGCTGCCGTCGCGGACCAGATCAAGCCACCTGACTGGTGGCAATCCACTCGCATTATCCAAGCATTCGACGTTGTCTTACAAGACAAAGTGAGTCTTTCCTCATTCGATGTTTGGCTCAGGCTCAGAAGGCACCAGTTCAAAAAACCGTCGTTCTTGCAACGGATCAGTATGCTTGGTTCTCCGAAACGCGCGCCTCAGTTGACTGCTGCAGAGCAGTTAATCCAACTTTCAATTCGCAAGCGTGCAACTGCCTTTGTTGACGCCCGAGATGACCTCGAAACAAAGATTGGACGCCTTTCCCGCCGACTCAATTTCCTGATGACGGAGTCGGACCTGTGGCGAGACAAGTTTGTTACTTTCGAGCAGTATGCGGAAAAGCTGAGTGTGGAAGCAAACCAGCTTAGGGCCAAGATCAATAAGGAGCAAAGAGAGACCAAGAGGCTCTCGGGCCTTGTGACCTTGACCGCTGCTGAGAAATCTAAACTTCAAAATCGTCAGTATTTTCGCGGTTGAAATATCGTTCTGAATGATGACACGAGTATAACAGAGCTCAAGGACACGGAGGGTGCTCATAGGGAAGCCATGCTGGAGTTAGAAAGGATGAAGGACACTATGGAAAAAATGGAGCAGGAACGCGCAGAGATGGTGGCAGAAGTGGAGGCTCAGATCGAACGGGCTCTGGCATCCATGGCTGTTGACATTGATGATTCAGATTATTCCAGCTCACGGCCCCACAGTCGCTTGTCAAACGCTTCTGCTCCGTCTCGATCAAGGCGCACCAGCGATGCTACGACGACAAGACATCTGCGCTCATTTGGCACGGAATCGACTTTAGCAGAGTCTTACGGTGAGGAGGAGGAACAATCCCTCGAACCTGAAACTATCGAGCAAGAAAAGGTCGTCACCGAAGAAGAGAAGGAACCGTCCCTTGCGAAGAAGAAACGCTTCTCGGCTTCCGAGCTTGACGTCCCGCAGGATGGTATGAACGCCGTCGATGAAGGAATTAGCCAAAAAAGCGACAAAATTGCCCAAAAGGTGCTGGAAATTCAACAAAAGGTAAGTTTCCATCCCGTGAGATGGACAAACTCCTCAGCATTTTCAGCTTGAAACTGCCCTTGCAACTGATCGCCGCCCCAAGTGGAAATCTCACCCGTCCACTCAAGAAAGTGGCGACGATGACGTCGTTCCCATTCGTTCACGGCCACCCAAGGGGAAAAGAATACACTCCAAACATTCCTCAAGGGCGAGGAACAGAAGCGGAACCACATCGTCCACCCAAACAAGTATTGCTAACCGGACCGACGATGGCGCAACGTCAACACCAGTACATTCGAAGTCAACGTTAAGTATGTCAACGGAACAGGGTAGCAAGACTCCTACTCGTGGCTCATTCGTCGATATGAGCACGGACGAGCAAGACTCTCCAGAACCTTTCGAACCTGTCGTCACCCTTATTGAGGTTCCCCCCTCCGTCACGACTCTTTCCACCCCTCCCCCTACTCCATTCGTCACTGCAACTGCAGAAGATTCCGACACTGATTTTCAGAGCGCGTACTCTGCTAGTCCCCGCGATAGTTACGGCAGTTTCGAGCAAGAGCGAGGAAATTCTTCCTCACCCGAACAAAGCAGCACAAGCGACAAACTATCCGAGGAAATCTTACATAAATCGCGTCGTGAACGTGTTTCTAGCACCGCAACCGCCACTGTCAACCGCCGAAGAGCTGGAGCAGAAAATGCTAGCGTACTGCACAGCACAGCGCCGAAACACATTTAGGGAAGAATTCGGGAAGAAAAATCTTACCAGAGACCCCTTGTCACTCCCTTTTCCATCATTTTGGGGGGGCTTAGATATTGATTTGCAATGTACACATTCGTTCTAGCTATCAGTTCCAATTATACATCCATTCTTCTACGTGCGTTAAAAGTTTTGACCACAAGTGCAACCTGATTAAAGAACCACGACTGTGAGGCCTTGTCAGGAATAAGGGCGAACTTGTCGTTCTCCTTGCCAAGCTTATGTGCAAAACGTATGCCAGTATCCTCGACAGTCACACCCTGTACTTGATTGAAAGGCAGCTCCCACTCCAGCCTCAGCTTCTTGGACCAGAAGGACAAAACCCGAGAAACCGTCAGAAGTACCACGTTGTCCCCGCCAGGCGAGTCTGTCAAGCATCGTCAGCTTTTTAGCACTTGGGTTTATTTGAATCAATACAACGTACTGATGTGAGCAACGTAGGGTTCCTGCCGATATGCACCATCGTTCAGGTCCCTCATCCAATACTGTCCCAGCGCTTCTCGAGCAGAATAGGACTAAAAAACCAATCAGTAAGCGTAGAAAGATCATGAACGAGTTGACAGACCCTCAGGATGCCATCAGCAGGAACAAGTCTTGGCTAGTCAACACAGTCAATACATTTGTTGGGCCAGCTAGGAAGATGAAGAGACATGCCAGGCGAACACGATCCCGCTCAGGGTTATCAAAAACGGTTGTGGTATTCCGAATTCCTTGACAGTGTATAAGTAGAGTGCGCAGGCGAAAGAAGAAGAAAAAAACCTTCGGATACGTTGGATGCCAAGTCAAATACCCCGACTACTGGTTTTGTAACCACCCTTACGAAGAATATGAGCAATCAAACAGCAATAACACTAGCAATGATCCTACCCAACAAGTCCTTTCCCAACACCCTTGAAAAAACCGAGAGCTCCTTCTGTTTCTGCACCTTCTAACGGTTTCATCTGGATATTAAGAAGTGGGTTATGCGTCCAACTTGACAAAGGTAGGCCTTACGAAAATACCCTCCATCGCACTGGTCACGCTGCTTGCCAGCGCTTCGCCGCCTGCGGTGACGCCATAACTATTTTTTACTGATTAACGTCGTCAATGATGATTGATCTCACAACGTACATTGCGTGTCGCGGTTTGTTCCGACGCTGTGTCATCCGTCGACGGGCTTGATATTCAGAATCGAATGTTGCCGCTGACAGACCTAGGCAGCGGTGAGAAGGGCGGTATAATACTTCTTCGTGGCGCAATTACCTTTACCCACACTGCTGGTGAATTTGGTCACACTGTCACTCACTCCGAAAACTGTCTTTTTGACGAAACTTGCAGCTCCCTGGGTTTATTGTATGGATCCTTGCGACTTAAAAGAGGCTTTGGCTCACCTTGGCTAGCCCAATCCCCAGTTCTTTGTTACCGTGCATGACCACGCCTTGGAATGGCTCGTAAAATATGTCCGCGACTCCTGAGCTGACGTTCGTGAAAAGGCCAACGGGATTACCAATAAAATCGGCGGATCCAAGAATTCGATAGAGTTGGCGAAGGACATCCTGGCGGTAGTGATAGGTTATACGGCTCTGAAGTTCAGTCGCCGTCAATCGCATGTCTTTAATCCCCAGTGCATTCATTTCCAGTGGCGCATCATTGATGTTCCCAACCGTCATCGTCAGCGCATTCACCACAATGGCAAGAGGGTTACGGATACTGAGTCTACAAGAAATCAGGAGAGTGAATGTTCTTGGATGCAAATGTACCCACTGAGCTTCGCTAGAGACTCGCTCCGTACGCATGAACGAAAGAGAGAGCATAATAGGCTGCAATTCAAGCACTTCAAAATATATATCTTCACCCGTGGCAACTTTCGCAGGTTCCGGAATCTCGTCCGCATTCTGAACGAGCAGACTAGAAAATGCGAATGTAAATATGACGAGATGATTAATCGAAAGATCACCTACTCGTCGACGCCATCTTCCCAGGACGCACCTTTAATTTGTGTAAGGTCGTAGATGGCGAACAGAAGATCTTCGTCGGCCTCGATCGTCAAGGCTTGCAGAAGCACAGAAAAATACTTCACAAAAAGAACACCGTGCTCTGAATGACATAGAGTTAGATAGAAATGGAGTGAGCATGATGATGAACATCTACCTTTGTCTTTGAGCCAAATGAGAGAGGCTTGGATGGTTGGCAGCGCCCCCACGTCCACCGATTCTTTGTTGATTGGTGTAGGCTGGAGAATGACAGGGAACAGGGCATCGTGCAACTGGTTGTCGATCTGAACAGAACCGCAGGACAAATTGACGGATTGAGCAACCGTGGTGTTGGCATATTCAAATCGAAGGGCGTCCATTGTGACATAGACAACTTCCACGAGGCGCCTATTGATCAATGATACGCCTATACCGGCCACGTCAAGGGTAAATGAGAGGGTTGACACGACCTCTTCGGCGATAGCTTCAAATGCTTCAGCACTGCTGGATATGGTGTCTTGCCTGGTAATTCCGATCGAATTGCTCCTTTGCCGGGGTTTGTAAAGACTGCGTTCGGGGTCGTAGTTCGTTATTCGCAAAATTTGTCTGGGACCATCCGCTCGCACGTCAAGTGAGACCGCTTTTGTTCGTTGGTTATTCTTGAGGAGGGAGCGTCATTCAATACATCAGGTTTAACTCGAGTCGGCCGCTTACATTGAATTTGAATGGAATTAAATCTCCAATCTCCATGATGTCAACGACACGACGAGATCCATTCACCGAAAGTATTATTCTTTTTTCTTTAGCTGCGGGAAAGTCCCACGCATAGGTCATCGTTGATTGAGGATGCAGTGAATAAGTGACCGTTTTGTCTTGTCCTTGAAGCATCTGGCTAGCGTCCTGCTTGCACACAGGACATTCAAAGATCGAAAGGTCAACAAAGGAATGCCGTCAAACCTTTTGCCAAAGTTCAACAATATAATCACTCTCGTTTTCAATCTCAAATGGCCAATCTTCACCCGCAGCAGAAAAAAAAATAAAGATAGTGGAGCCATCAATCTGGATATCCGTTCGTACGAGAATTGTCTCGCCATTGTCGGATCCGGGTCGTCGTAAACGAAAGTACACCAAACCAAGGTCTTCAATGTTGATCGGTGATGACCTGAACTCATCAGTCTGAAATGAAACCACGGAAATCGATACCCAAATACCATTGTGCGTTCAAACCAGGATATGCAATGGTGAGAAGTTTTTCCTGTCCCGAACGTAAAATCTGAAGAGGCCGTCGTTCGCCCGGGTTGATCAGAGACCATTCTCTTGGCGCCACACCATGCTCACGAAAAGCGATGGCGTCCGGCAATTGATTTTTTATCAAAAAACGAGGAGCGAGGGTAATGACTTTGCTTAATTTGTATTTGCCCAGGCCTTCACTCCACGACAACCCGACGTGGATTTCATCAGCCTTGCGTTGTTGGGAACTAATAACTAGTTCCGTTTCCGCAGCCGGAGCTTCCACAGACACAAGCTATTGTTATATTTCAATGCTAGCTTTGTCAAAGCTAAGAAGTGAGTTAATACCTTTGACCATGCCGAATCGCTTATCTTAAAGATGAATTCATGGCCCTCCTGATGATGGGAAAGCACTGTAATCGCGTCATTCAACTATTGGCCGTTCCTATAGATAACGTCACGTACGAAAGGGGTTTGAGGTTGAAAGCGTTTCTGATAAAGTCACGTCGATTAGTTACGAATACAAGGAGTTCTTGAAGATATATCACCGATACGAGTGTCCCCTGCCACGTCATATGAGCCAGCTCGTGTAGATCGCGTCGATTTGATAGAAAATGGGACGTGTGTCTTATTAATAACGATGTAGGGACTGTATATCTGAACCTTGAAGGCGCCCCCAGATTCGGGATAGCGGCTACGTCAAACATGAGTCAGAAATCTCGCCGATGAAAGGGGCTTCGTACTTACATGTAATTCAATTTGAGGTCCAATCGCCTGTCGAGTTGATCCCGCAAAGTTAGCTTGCCTTCAACATCAAAATCAGAGTGCCCATCAGTATTGATAATGGCGAAATCGCTAGGTTTGAAGACTATAGGATATAGGATGGATGTTTTAAGCGTCGGCGGACAGGAAAAAGCGAAGAAATGCAAGTACCAGTATCTTGAACGTCTACGTTGAGCAAAACAAAGTGGCTGAGCTCCACGGAATGCACAGGCATAATACCTCCCTTCCGAAGGTAACTTCGCCAATTTTGGTCAGTGTTCTTGTCATAGACCCTATATTCTATATTATAAGGAAGCAAATTCTCGAGTTCCATTGGCGCTCGTAGCTTAAGGTTGATTTTGGGATACTTTCTGAGAGAGCATCAATGCCTTACACTACGAAATTCATGGTTTAGCTCACCGAGTCGCTGAATCATTTCCATCGGTTTGAACCCACGCCTGAAACCGAAACGCAGCTTCTTGAGGGTCGGCATGCGGACATTTGATCGTGAAGCCCTTTCTAAAGACAAGGTCTTCCCAGCGAAGTGCAGAACACCATTTATATCCGAACCCCTCTTCGACCACAAATGAGCCCTTCTTTCGCTCAAGACAGTGATGGGATTGCTTACGATCTGGTTGGATCCTGACCCTGTTCTTTGTTGCGGCTTCAATAGGAAGGGAGTAGTCTTGGCCAGGAGCAATCTTCTCCAAAGAGTAGACAGGGCGGCCGGTATCATCGACAAGCATCACTTCCAGTGGGTACAGTGTCAAATTTTCGATCTTGTATGCAGACCTGATGATCACGATTTTCGTATTGTCCATGACTTTGACTTCGCAGAGTAATCGACTGGGGTATTTTTCTGTTCGGGGGCGCAGTGAAAATACGAATTCTCCTTCTCGATCGACAGGAATCCCGCGCAGCTGTTCCCATGGTTTCCCAATGAACTGTATGCCGATGTTATGTTGGCCTGAAGACACATGCTAAAAAACCAAAATCAGTAACGACTCAGCATGTTACTAAAGACTATACCTCTCGCATTGTCTTCCAATCATCGAATCTCCAGTCAATTGTTTGATCATTGAGAATTTTGACCGCATCTACATCCTTTGAACTTGAAGAGCTGTCGAGGTCCGACCAAACAAAGATTGGAGCACCGGTACGATTTCGGACGCGATAAGGTGCAGATATGCCCCTCCCTTTCTGCACGACGTACTCACCTTCCCTGCTCCACGTATTCAGGGTTGTCACAGCCAGCTCTGCAAAGTTGGTACTAATATTAACGTCGAGACGTTCTCTGGCAGACAGTATTAGATCTGTGCCGCCCGTGCCGGCATTCTTGGCCACCTTCCCATCAGGATTTAGAAAGCTTTAGACTGACAAAAATATAATTGCGCACAGTGACTGTAAATGTCCAGGGGTCAATTACTGGCAATTGTGGATGAATTTCAAAAGAGTGCAACACGTTTAAATGTTACACACGTGGTTCCCAATGCGAATTCGCTAAGTTCCAATAGGTAATTTGCATAGCCATCGTAGCTGTTGCGTGCAACTAACATTAAATTAGTGCAAAGGAAATCAGATCAACGACAAGAGCAATACTTCTCCAGACCAATCTCTCGCGTTGACTACGAATGGCTTGAACTTGAGATGAAGCATTGGCTGTTCGTGTAAGTCGCCAATGAGAATTAATTTGAACCCATCAAATGAACCTTTCAGCTTATGACTTCTGTTAGATACGGAACAACTCAAGGTACGACGAGATACCTGTTCGTTGGACATTGATACGCGAGCCTTCCCAGTAGGTCGAAGATATGGGTCCTGGGTGGCTTGACTGATCGAGGATACGGGTTGAATCTGATGAGAGTCGGGATCGTGTGGGGTGCCATATACCTCGATGGCTTTATTGACTATGGAAGTGATTAGGTTGATATCCCGGTACGAGGCCCTAAAAATGATGGATTTCGCAGTGATCTCAATGTTGGTCATCTGCTGCGAAGAGCGACTGTCCAAGGACACGGTGAGATCCACGTCATCGAGGAAGCGAACACTCTCTGATGTTCTTCCCATGTTCATCAACGACATGCCGAGGCGATTGATGGTTAAAGCTAGTATGCCCTGGATGAGGCGGAGGTGAGGCAATGTTTGAATAATATTGCACTTTCGTACCTGCTTCGATAACAAAATTTGGCTGATGTACAACCGAATTGCTTGGGAATCGGGATCTGCGTCGTCCTCTAGAATGCTGATGGATACATCATGTAAATCTACTCGAAAGTCAACCTGTGCTTGTCCAATCGAAGGGGGGTCGCCTGGTGTAGAAGGCAATTCAATTGACGATGTATCTGTTGCCGTGGAGGAACTGGCTGTAAAAAAATCCAGTAGATAAATCACTGGATCGATTGCAAAGATGACTTGGGGTGAATCAACAGTCAGAATGGCAAGAGAGGAACCCTGCATCCCGCCTGTCATCGAGTAGAGAAGCATAAATTGATTCCTGTTGTGCTGAGCTGCAGGAATGATCTCTCGAAATTTGGACTGCCCAGGCCGTGTGTTGCTCATCGTGAAGGACCGGAGGACAACTTGAGCCTCACTAGCACCGTCCGACAATATTTTCAGTCGCAACGTATTGTCGTTGAGGGCGAACCTTGCTATTCCATGCTCTTTGAGCTGGGTTTCCGAGCTGGCTAGTGCATCGTACAAGTGTAACTTGACGGCATTCACTGAAACCACCAAATCAAGAGCTGTCCAAGTAAGGTGGCCACTGGTTGAGGAAAGCGGTCGAAGCTCCGGTTCTAAGTCAACAGCCGAACTTTTACTTTCCAACAGAGGCCGTGTTTGCAACCTTGTCTCTGATTCTCGTTGCACCGTAAATATTCTTGGGATGGATCTTGACAATTGTATCAAGAGGCCGTATTGAACTTGAGTGAGGTGTAACTTCACGTCCGAAATTGTCACTGCAATCTTCTGCGCTGTTAGAGGGATTAAACCTAAAAACTGAAAAACGCAGACCTGTGTGTCAGGGTATTCGGTGTCATTGTGACGGTCAATACCACTAGTCTGAACGATATCTGCGGTAATGTCTATGTCATCAATAATCTTGAGAGTGGAAAGTTCTCCATCAATTTGAAGATTAGAGATAAGTTGAATTCCATGAAGACTGGCAACAATCTTGTTCGCCACGATGTCAGACGTGTTGCTAGCCCCGATCTGACCCAGTCGCATAACGAGAACATCACGAGAAACAGATGGATTTGAGGGGAAGACGATGATCGGCGTTTTCACCGACACCTTGAATTGTATCCGTTCCATCTCAGATGCTCGTTGTACTGCAACTTGAGTAGCTGCATCGTACAACCCTTTAAGTTTCGCCAGGTCGACAACGAACAGATACAAGTCATGTAAAGGTTGCTGTACAAGGTGAAATTTGATTGAGCCGGCGTTGAGACAAAAAAGAGATCTCGTCCCGGTATAGGTGCCCTCGTTAGGGTCGAATGTCTGATATCTGAAGTCTGCGAAGTTTTGGCCCTGTATGGACATTATCTGGTTGAATTCATCGAGGATGCCATGAATCTGATTCTCGTTTGTTAAAACTAGATTCCCCAGACGGCCGGTAACTAGCAACGTTCGGGGTCGCACAAGAACCATGACATCAGCAGTGGAGAGTGAGATGGTGGCCAGTGTGACCAATCCATTGATAAGCACAACTATCGAGGCTTCAGCCGAGGCAACACAACAACAGAGTAATGAATCTGACTGACCTTGAATGCCTTCAAGTTTTGCCGAAACTCGAATCTCGTTTGCAAGGTCAGTCGGAATTTCTGGCGTTTGAGTGAACGAGTTGGCTGGGCGCAAAGCAATTTGGCCACCGTTGCTTTCTTCTTTCGGAACAAATGTTGACATGACGAAATCATAGAGCGCAAGAACGGGCGCCGGTGCTGCTCGAAAAACAAGTGTGGACATTTTAATGTCGATATTTTGGTCAATCCCCTCATATGTGGTTAAAAATTCGGGTGATTCCTTCTGGACTCGGGTATAGATTATTCTGAGAAGATCACTTTCATCCAAATTGCTACCAGTGCTTGCGGGAGTGGAAACGAAATCGATATGGTCGCCTTCCGGGCGGACGATCGCGATTGAAACCGAGCTTGAGGACCATGTCAGCAAGGGAGGAGTAATGGTGGAATAGAAAAGTCACCGAAGGTTGACATCAACTTTCATGTCATATTTTGCCAGTGCTAATGCTAAAGCGAAGTGCTTGAAACAAACGACTCCTAGAGGTTTCTCAATGCCGCTGTTTGAACCAGATTTCGATATCGAAGCCCTTAACTCTCCCACTTGGAAATTGAGCTCGAATAGATGCTGCTTCGTCTCTGGCTGCTACACCATCAGTCAATCGGATGTCAATCATGATAGATCTAATAGCCACCTCCGTTGAGTCATGCTCGGCGTCAAAAAACAGATCCTCGCGAGTAGTGAGCGCCCCTTCATTGTCGTCCTCATCATGATCGTCAATATTATATTCAGGTTCTGCTTGACCAAATAGTCCTCCAGCGAGTTGATATCCGCCTGACACAGTCCTTTTTGTCTCTGGAGAACTGCGGGCGTCGTCGAAGTGCGGGATGCAAACGTCGACCAAACGCATCAACGATTTGTATTTCGAATCCGAGAAATTCACTTGTAACGAAGGCAAATTTCCCGAAATTTTAAATTGGGCGAGGTTGACTGCAGCTGGCACGATCGATTTATCAATCTGGAGATCAATATTTATCCTTTCTAAGAGATGGAGCGAGTCATTGGAGGCGTTTTTCAAAGCCTCACGACAGGACTGTAGGTTGTCACCGATGACGAACTATGACGTTGATTACTATAAGTATACGGGAAAAAAGCAAACACGGTAATTACCTGGGCAGCGGCTAAGCGTAGTGACATTTTGTCATACATGAGTGACTCTAGATTCTTGTAATCCTCATCAGTGTATTTTTTATTCCTTTTTTGGTGGATAATCTGGATCGCCTGTTTGTCCACAAGATCGCTTTCGATTGCGATGTGACCAGCGTCGATTATGAGATGTTTGCAATCGTTCGTTGTAACGCTGAAATATGGGTGAGGAAGGAATTGAAAATGAAGACCATGCTCACTCTTCAGGAATGATGATAATGGGTGCGTTCATATCCACGCGGATGTCCACAGTTTTGTGAGTTTGAAGCGCATATTCTAGACCTGCTCTTGTCTCTTTACGAAGGCCTTCTATAGTCTGACTTGCGACATCCTAATATGGCGTCGTCAAAGGTTGATGAATTGACAACACATGACCTTACGAGGAGAGCTTCAACAGATTCGAGTTGACTAGCGGGCGGCTTGAAGAACTTGTAAACAGCTTCGACATAGCCTCTGTGGTAGATAATTTCCATGTGTCGCATACGAATAGTAAGGGCAGTATCGGCTCGCTCGTCGAGGGGGTTGTTCTCAAATTTAACAAAAAAAAAGGGGTCACTCTCCCTCTCCGCTTCCTGACTTGCGGATGCCTTTAGCACGTCATCACTGGCTTCATTATCTGTTTTTACGTGGACGATCTGAGGGTACAAACTGTTTTTCGTCGTACTGTCGAAGACACGAAGGCCATTCAACGAAACCGACGCTTCGAAGTTATGCGGCCTTTGTATAAAGTTGGCTTGAAAAACGTCGAAGACAATTGACATGACGCTTGTAGGCTGTCCATGGGGATCAGCATTTAGGGCAAAAGAGCCCCTTTTCAAGTGTGCAGATATGCGGGTCTTCAGGGAGTCGCGGGGAACTTGAAGAGATTCCACAAGCGCAGTTTTCTCATCGTAGTCGAGAACCTCGTAGAGTTGCTTGCGTTGCTCCTCGGTCATCTGTCCTCCAAACGCAGGATCTTCCTCATCATATTTAGCAGAGGATGAGCCCCAAAGCCAATCAGTCCAGCCCTGTGTTTGAGATTGCCGTTGTTTCTTCTCCAACTCAAGTTGTTTGCGCAAGGCGTGGTCTTTGCGGAGACGGGAACGCGCAATGGAGCGGTAAAAACGAATATCCTCGTATGATAACTTTTTTTCCAGGTTTTCAAAATCTTTCGAGTCCTGTCTTATTCCTCAATACAAACCGCACAATTTGTAAGAGAAACACGCACCTGCCCCAGCAGAGGGCTGAGAGATTTCTTTTGAAAAAGATTGACATAGCGATTCCGATCATCTCTTCGTTGTGAAAAGTAACCCCAAGTCCATTTTCGGTTCTTCTCTCGTACGCCTTCAAGAATGGCATTTCCCGCAAATTGAAGCCTTGCTTTGGCCTTGTTCCTTGCGAAATCCGCGTCTGTCGGACGAAACCTTCGATACTAGTTTGACGAATCAGAAAAGTCGATGAGATAGTGTGGATGATTACCTGGTGCTGTCGTAGGTAGACGTGATACATATCCACCAACGATATCACATCTCGATATTGGTCATTGTCGAGTGACACACCTATCTCATTGAAAATTAACTGCACATCAAATCGTGGAGTGTCCCGATCAACTTTGTGGTTGACGATGATCTACGGATGCATCAACATCTGTAAGGCATCAAAGCGGAGATTGCTCACTCTCCCTTCCCCGGAAACTGGGTTCAGAATGTACTGGTGCTGATGATCATTTTCGCCTTGTGAAATCTGACTCCCATCAATGGAGGAACATAATACTGTTTAAAGCAGTGTCTGACCATCGAAGAAAACTGCTCGAGAGCTTGTACAGAGGGCAGACCAGCCATACTCTGAGAGTCGGTGTCAAAGTATAAAGCTAAAGAGTGAAGTTTTGCAAGCTAGGGAATTCACGTCACGATCTCGGATAAACATTGTACTGGATGAAGTACCTTGTGAATCGCTCCCGCAATACTTTCAATAAAAGCCGGCTGCCATTGACCGTCCACTGATGCCGCGGTAAAGCGTACTAATGTGATACCCGCGGCGAAGGGGTGCTGACGGATAAATCAGACAATGTCATCGAGGAGGGCGAAACGGACTCACTCCTGGCACGCTCATCTTGTCTTCATACCGGACGTGTATATTCTTTACTGTGATTTGTATATTGTTGATAACCTTATTAATCAATGACTGCACAAGTCCTTGGTTTTGGCTCGATTCGTCTGAGGCTGATAAGAACCATACAGGTAAGAGAGGTGACCGCTTACCGGTCTGTGACTCCGCCTGACCGCGCATGTGTAAAAGCTCAGCATTCTCCAAACGTTCTGCCTTTGCAGCTTGGGCTCGAGCTTCATCTTCTTCAGGATCAACGTTCGTTTGGGGAGATGGTATCACGAGAAGATAGACATCTTCCACAAGTATTTCGACAGGTTGATTTCCGAGGTTCATCCAGTGGAGCGAAAGCGTGAACTTGCCAAGGTGACCTGTTCTATGCTATAATTGAAGGACGTTACTCGTAAAACTAGGTCGTACCCTCTAAAACGTCTACAGGCAGTTGAAATTTGTCCAAGGCGCCTTTCTTTAGTCGCAGATTGCGGAGTGTCAACTGGCCTGAAGAAAAGGTGGATACTGAGAAAACGATATACCTCATGTAACAGATATCTTACCTTGACCGATCCCATAATTGACCTGATTGAGATCTAGGTTTTCAACATATGGAGCGAGGATGCGGTTGAACAACTGTATGAAGGTGAAGTTACGGTTGGACAATCGCAGAGATGAAGGACATACAACATTTAGAACTTCTTTTCCAGGATCCAGCCACCACATTCGACTAAACGCGGGTATAACCTTTTGTAACTTCCCTAGGAGGGTGGTATGTTACCGTATGTATGTATGTATTGAGCTTGAGGGCACCTAAGAATGGGAAACGTCATTGTACGTAAGCGACGCATCCTTGCCCTAAACATGGGGAGGGCTCCACAACGAGTAAATATCATGATCGGAATATAACCACAACTCGCATTCGATAAGAAGAGTCGACTTCGTTTGAACAACACACTTTCATAAATCCTTCTAAGCTAACAGTATACTTACTACTTTGTCCCATTACAATGTCACGTGATTGTTGTTTCATGTGATGGTCTGAAAATGGTCTGATGTTGATCAAATATCACATGTCTATGACACGTTTGTTCGTGACGGTTGTGACAAGGTTAGTTTTGTTAACCCTTCAAATTTTGTTTTTATCCAGTGACGCGATCCCTCCCATTTCTTACCTCTGCCATGGCTCCTCTCGCCGACTTCCTTCTGGCCAATATCCCCTTCCGCCTACCCACGCACCTGTCATCCTATGTCGAAGGCGTCACTCCCTTATCGACTACTCCCGCTGTGCTGGCAGCTCTCTCCTCATACTTGGCCGTCATCTTTGGCACTCAATTTTTCATGAAAAGCCAGCAGCCACGCAAACTCACCACACTCTTTCAACTACATAATGTCCTACTAAGCTCGGGGAGTTTTCTCCTTTTGGCGCTCATGCTGGAAGAAATCATTCCGAGGATTTGGACCCATGGTCTGCATTTTGCCCTTTGCGACGAGAAATCTTGGACATCAGTACGTCATCTCCCTCCTTACACCTTCATCGCGAGTAACCCTGTCCAAGAGAATGGAATTTTATTATATGGTCAATTATTATTTCAAATATCTCGAATTGTTGGACACCGTCTTCCTCGCTTTGAAAAAGAAGCCCCTTCGTTCGTATCTCTCTGATTAATCTCCGCCTTCTAACTTTGCATTAGAATTCCTGCACGTCTTCCATCACTCTGCGACCGCTTTGCTCTGTTACACTCAACTCAACGGCAAGACCAGTATTGTGCGTGATTGTTTCTACTAACGGACGGCTCTACTGAATTCGCTACAGTCATGGGCCGTGATCACCCTCAATCTGGCTGTCCATGTCATTATGTGTACGCTATTTCTTTGAGCTTGGTTTGTAGACTCAGCTTCACTTTCCAGATTATTACTATTACGCAACCGCTGGTGGAGCCCGATTTTGGGTATGAATCACGAATTTTATGAAGCATTATTGCATCTGACGGCCTCGTCCAGTGGAAAAAGTACTTAACAACAATGCAGATCGTGCAGTTTGTCATTGACATAGCTGTTGTCTACTTCGGCAGTAAGCGCTCTCGTTGAACTAAATCTGTAGCTACTGACGGCATTGGCCACTACAGCATATGAACACTTCGTGGCTGCGTACGCTCCGCACCTCCCTCACATCTCAAATTGTGCTGGGTCGGAAACGGCTGCTTTGTTTGGCTGCGGCCTTCTCACCTGCTACCTTTTCCTCTTCATCAACTTCTATTTCCAAACCTACAAGAAGCCCGCGACAACCGGAAAGAGCAGCGGTTCTGCAAACAGTCACACAAACGGGAGTACTTATCAGAATGGAACTGGATCCTCGTTCGTATATTCACTTCATCGCCCATCAGTCTAGCTAATTTGCGTGACTTTGTAGGCACAAAGCGGAGTAGACTCGGATATTACCCGTTCAACATCACGTTAATTATGAGTTACATGGGCATATATACCCCTGAAAACATTAAGCCCAATACTAATATAAAATCTTGTGGGGGTTCAGTCTGGCAAGCGCTTGTGTTGGTCAAGAATTCTAGGACATGTTGTTTAGTATGTAAATGCAAATAACGAACTTAGAACAAAGCTATGCCTTATAAGCCATTTTACCATCATTGCATGCCATTGTTTCGCTTCGAATATTTTGCCGACCCATGTCCGACACTTGGGACCGGCTCTTGACTGGTCACCCAGAGGCACCCAAAGAATTCCTCATTTCTGTGGAACTTTACATATCGAATACTGCAGGCGCCGCTTTACGCAAGGTAGGTGCTGCCAGCCTATTCACCTTGACACTCTCTCATCACTTTGTAGCCCCTCATTCGGAAGCCTAAACGCGATTCGGCTGCTACTGCCGTCAACGAGGACAATAGATTGAGAGGTCACTCGAGTGCTTATCCACAGAGTGGGCACGACTGATTCTTAATAGAGAAATCGAGTTGGTTATCCCTTAACAGAGGGTTAAATGGGATCGGTCAGTGGAGGTCCGCTACTTGTAAACTGTCTGAAGAAGGAGAACGGTGTTTTCTCAACATCTATGTTGACGTAAAACAAACTATTATGTCCTATCCTATACCTTTATTAACCCACGACATAGGAAAGCATCCTCTACCAAACAATTTACGTGCATCTGCTAAACCAAACGGACATCCGTCAGGCTGATAGTTCTCTCTTTTTTCGAAAGGATTGCATTGGCGTCTATTGCATAACGTGAGTTTTTTTTTTTTTTGCTTTAAAACACCCTCACCACAGTGGGTAGTGGCCAAAGATGGTCATCTTCACATTCAACAGAGCCCATCTACCTTCAATTTTTTAACTCCGATTCGTGTTCGCTTTGGCTGGCTCTTCTGAAATCGTATGCAATCCCTGAAATATATGGCCGATGGTTTTTTCCTATGGACGGTGGGTCATACCGCATGTGGCGTCAGATCAACATGTCTGTTGTGCAAGGGCGTAACCTTGGTGTGGCAGGGACCGATCATGGCTCGAATATGGAACTGGGCATGGAGGCGGAGGCCACGGACGTCGACATATCTTGCGAATTACATCTCAACGATATCCTTTGTGGCAGAACAACTGTAAAGAAAGGAACGGGCCTAATCGACTGGCATGAAAGTTTTACTTTCACCGATCTTCCTCCCTTCGAGTCTTTCGATATTTTTATCTGGCGAGAAAAGCGGGTTTCCAAGCCTGCCATCCTGGGATCTGTACGAATCACGTTGAACAACTTTCGTCGTGGGGATCCTATAGAAGGCTGGTTTCCCGTGATCCAAGGAGGATCGATTACCAATGATACTCAGGTTGGGGAACTTCGATTAAAGATACGCGTAGACGAGTAAGTAAGGCCTTTGCAAGACTTGCATCACTTCAACTTTTTCTTTGTTCAGGGAAGTCATTCTACCGCATTCGGTTTACTCAGGACTGTTGACGGTATGGACTGTTTGCGGCGCGAGGTTCGCTTGCTCACTCGCTCTGCTCAGACATTCAATTCAAGAAACTTTCTCGACTGGATGGCAGACTTTGAGAACAAACTCAAGCTGAAGTCGATATCTACGCAGCTCATGTGTGTTGCTGTCGCAAAAGAGGTGATTATTGAACAAGTGCAGGAATTCACCTTACATGAAGTGAATGGGGGCACGTCAGCTCGTAAAAATATTTGTTATGCTTTGAGATTGTTTATCTGACCTGACTGTATAGCTCATCAAACGCTTTTTCGAGGAAATACCATTTTAACCAAGGTGATGGAATTGTGCATGAGTTGGTATGGAAAGCCATTTCTGGAGGCTAGTATCGGCAACGTATTACGCAGACTTTGCGTCGAGAAGGTCGCAATCGAAGTGGATCCTATGCGAAGTGGGGGCAAAAGTGCCAAGGACGTTGAACGCGGTGTTGACCAACTCATCTACTGGTGCCAAGAATTTTGGAATCAAATTTACTCTGTGCGCAGGGAATGTCCAAAGTAAGCGGTTAATGGAGCATACCGAGTCCTTGCTCACAGCATTGTAGCGAGTTGAGAAGATTATTCGAGACAATTCGTATGCTGGTTGAACAGCGCTACCGTCCAGAGAGCTCCTCAGCAGAACATACGTGGGACTTACCAAAGCAAAGTGTTTCCGCATTTTGCTTCCTACGCTTCATTGTTCCGGCCATCCTTCACCCACATCTATTCGGACTTTGCCCAGGTTTGTTGTTTATTTGGCTTGATCCCTCTGGTTAACATTCCGCAGGTTTGCCCAGCGTCCCTGTACAACGCAGTCTCACCTTAATTGCCAAAGTTATCCAGAGTTTAGCCAATCTCAACATTGTGAGTGACTGCACTATATTTTGCAGCATGGCCTTCATATCTCTTCTAGAGTGCGCAAAAAGAGGTTTATATGCGCGGGGTGAAGGACTTTCTGAGAGATAGCTTGCCCGCTATGGTTGACTACTTGATTGTGGTCTCCACTCCTATAGGTGACCCATACTCTTTCAATCCGGAAGAGGCCGTCAACCGGCACAATCGTCTCAATGTGGTCAATTCTTTGAGACAACGCGCAAAGATAATGTCTATTCTGGACCGCGAAGCCATCTCAGTCACTCCACATCTTCTTGATGTTCCCAGACAACTGGCGATTATCACTTCTGCGGTTATCAGGAACTCAAAACAATTCCATGCACAGTCTACTCACAACGGTGACCCAATCTTGGAAGAATTTCGTGCAAAATGTTTAGAGGTTGAAGAGCAGGCTTTACTCAGGGTTAGCCAACTCGCAACGAGTATATCGGCAGATTCCACACAACAGACAAAAGTTCACAACTACCCTAGTTCTCCTACTTCACCTTCAGAAAAGATGCCGTCTTCTCCCATCTTGACATCATCTGGCAGGCGGGACCAACGAAAAATGACTAGACCATCAACTGCGCCACCTCCTTCAGGATCAAGTGATTCCCGCCACGGTTTCTCACCAGACAGCAGTGTGAATCTCACTCCTCTAACTTTCACGAACTCGCCATTTGAGAGCCGCCAACCAAGAGTTAGTCAGAGCCCACAGGTAGTTCACATGAAAGCTCCATTGACCGATTCTGTGCTGTCGTTGGGCGCCAACGATGATACACGACAATACCCTGCGGAAGGTCTTGGCGACCTATCGGATGATCTGGGAAAGCCAAAGAGAGGTTTGTTAAAAGGTGTTTTCCGGCGTTGACAGTTTTAGGGGGTTCGGTGAATCTCGGGTCGGATTTGAGCTTGCACTGGGTGCCACTATCGGACTGCGTACAAGTGGATGTTAAAATGTATCCATACTTATATTTATCATGAGCCCCATGAGTTACGACCGAGGACCAGTCGACAAGGCCTTCTGTATGAGTTTCAATACCTCAGCAGCGACCTCTTCTGACGTACTCCTTGAGGTCAAACGACATAACTGATTGTTTGAGTGAGATATGTTCCTTATCAGGACCATAGAACATACCTTGGCCTCACGATTAGGTTCTAGTCGGAGTAAACACCCGACTTTTCCGTCGACAGACATATGCAGGACACCAGCGGCGACTAGATTGCTTGGGTTTGGGTCTATGTCGTCCAGTATGTTCAAACGGTGGCCAGATACAATCAAACGATGTTTCGGCAGATCAAGCTGATCATTTAGAGTAAGATCGATGGGGAAAATGCTCTGGGCTTCTCGCGGCGGACCTCCAATTAATTTCCATCGCTCGAAAAAATCGGATTGACCAAGCTTGACGTGCTCGAAAAATTTCGTGATGACAACGGGAAGGCGGATAGCAATTGTCTGGTGGGATCCAGCTAGAAAGGATACAGTGAGGATTGGTGGGGTTGTAAAGGTTTTTTTGCACTCGATGTGAAGCAGTTGTTGTGTTTGGCTTCGGGGCCCGATCGTGCTTGGCGGAATCTTTGCAAAAGTGACAATGAGAGCTTCCGGATCATTGACGTGAACGGTGGTGGTGAAAGAGGTCAATGGGGCAGACACTTTGTTCCCCAAATACACTGCAAGTTGTCCGATGTGGCCCTGATAACGAGACTTGATGCCGACCTGAATTTGGATATCCTCATAGAGCACACCCTCTGCAGTGTATGTAAGTTTTTCGAACCAACGATCAACGTTTGGCCCGATGGTGAGACGAGGCGTGTTGTCGGAGGGGAGGGGAGGAGGATATTCTTGGGGGGAAGAACCAATAGCTTGGATGCTGGGTGAACTCATGTCCAAACCGGCAAGAGAGTCCATAATTCCTTGATTGTCTGACGACGCCGTTCCGTTATTTTCGACGAGAAAAGTTTTGCGCTTTGTGGCTTCGCGGTCCAAGTTAGCCTCCTTTCCACCATGTATCCATGTTCGTTTATCTTCTGTGTCTCCGTGCTTTCGATTGAGCCTACCTAACAAAGCACTGACACGGGGCGGAAAGGGTGGCATCTCTTCGCAAATATTCTGCAGCAATTCATCGTCATCTGACCTCGAGGCAAGCGCAAAAAATTCGCAAGCCCGTTGCTGAAGCTCAGAGTCAAGAACGTGCCGATATCGATCGAAGATGTTTAGTAGCTGGGGCTTGATTTCCGGAAAGACGTTAACCCATTTGATATACGTCGACAGAAGGAGAGAGCGTGTCGCAGCCACACAATATTGAGATTTCGAGTGCAAAAGTTGAAATTGCTCGAGTGGACTATACCCAGCTTCATTGGCAATAAGATGACCATATTCACCAAGAATATATCCTGCTTGAATGTCAGAACAGTCCATCAATTATTCCTCGCTTAACGCACCTCCGACCTTCACAAGACTTTCGTGGGTAGACGGGGCCTTCAGATGCTCAAACACAACCTTTGCTGCATATTCCTGCAAGTCTTCGGTATTTGTAACGATCTGGACCACCCGATACCAAACTTCGTCCCCAACGTGGTCCCCAGCTGCGCTGATGAGTTGCAGAATGGTATCAACATACCACTTATATGAATTGGCATACTTTTCGGTCAAGATCGCTATTTTGAGGACCATTTCCTCTCGCAACGCATAATCAGCGACCTTGAGGTACCGCAGCAGCTCGCCGACAATAAGCTCCGAGTTGTCAACGTCACACATACTGTAGAGAAGATCCAAAGCACGCCTCCGTACTGATATATCCTTGTCACGTAAAGAGAGGATTATTGTGCTTTGATGCTTCTTGATGGCTTCGAGGGAGTCTGCTCGAGCGGCTAGATGAGCCAAAGTGTCTAGACCCAGATATCTGACGTTGGTTTCTTTAGAGGAAATGAACCGCGCGAGCAAAACTGCTGCAGTTCCCACCAGAGGTGAGTTTGTATCAAGGTGAATCGCGAGGCTGATTGCCTCAAATAAAATCGCATGCTGAGCATTGTTGTGCTGCACGTTCCTCGATGGCTCCGCACAGTTATTCATGATTGCCTGCAATACCTGGTACAGCACTGAACCTATAGTCGGGTCCTCTGGCGGTGTAGTGAGCTAGGGCAAATCAATGAATCGAAGGCCGACTGACCAGAGGGCGGATAGTATTGCAAAAGCCGGAGAAGCTTTACTTGTAGCCAAGGTGTTGGAACTTTATAATATGCGTATGTCGCAGCATATTCGTGTTCAATGACAAGCTACACTGACAGTTAGATTGATAAAAAAAAATTGAATGTCTAACGCACTCTATTCAGTCGATCGACTGCTTTCGTGTAACATACGGAGTAGGCATCTAAATTATCTTGCGCCAAAGCCATAACCAAACTCGTGACGCAAACCACCACACCCTAGATGTCGTGTGTAAGAAAAGAAAGGTTTTGTCAATGGTCCAAATACCAAATCCTGGTCGTCCATTATGGAAACTATTCTCAGTGCCCACTCCGTGGCAGGGATGACTTCCGGATGCTTTCGGTACAATCTGAGGAGGGTCAAAGCAGCTTTCTTTTTAACGAAGCTCTGGGAAGTGCTGTCAGATGGGTAAGGACGTAGGGAGCGACTAGGGAGATAATTTTCCGTACGGAGAGATCAACAAACGATGCACATCTTCTGCTAGAGCCTCCGCCATCTCGCTTCCGCCTACATTGGCGATTGCATGAAGAGCAAGGCAATTATCAACTTCATTATTGGCATCTAGATCCTTGCGAATGGAATTGACAACAAGACGGAGGAAGTCAGAGTTTTCATGCATCAAAAGGGTAACTGCCAGATATCCCTTACAAAAGCTAAGTCAGGGAAGGCGACAACTCGAGAAGCACGTACAATTTGCTTTTCGCTATACTTCGAACTCGATATAAGGTTTACGGCTTCCATATGCCCAACATCAACCTTGTAACCCAATATATAGGTGAAGATGATTTTCGCAACATATCTTGGGACGATCAGCGACCAGCGCTTGTGGACGTAGTTAAACTCACTTCTTCTTCTGATATCCATCCAAGTTTCCGTCTGCAGAGATATTGGTCCTAAAAAATGGATAAAGATATGCAAACGCACCTTTAAACTTCTTCCGGATGTTCGCCATTTCCTTGTTGATTCTCTTCTCCTCTAGCTCGCGAACTCTCGCGCCGCGAATATCCGCAATGAACTAAAGAAAAATGAGTCTGAAAGGCGCGTTAAAGGTGAAGAGAATTGCCGACCTGCGTGAGTCCACGCATACTGGTCGCCATCTTGAAGAGAAGAACTGGTAGAGAGGTGAAGGAAGAGTGAGCTGTGGCTTGAGAATCCCTGTAAATAGGGTCTAGTTTACGCTAGAGGATGTGGTGAGATCGTGGATAGAAGCCAACATCTCATATGTTTACCGTGTTTACCTGAAGCCCGTCACGTGAGAACAATATCGAATAGAATGAACTTGCCAAGCTTCAAGTCTAAAGGGACATATTTATGTGGGATGAGTATGGATGTAGATATTAAAGTATTATACAAATAGATATTCATCAATCCAGATGATTGTCTAATTAATGCGAGTCCCAGAGCACCAATGATAACATAGTCGTCAATCTAGAATTTGCGAGATAATCGGCTTGGGGTCCCTGGCCGCGACAAGAAAGATTGTGGTGTAGAGTAGCCAGATATTGAACCCCTAGGAAGTTGGGAGGATGGCCAGGAGGGAGAACCCATAGGTGTCGCAGGCCTAGAATTTTGACGAGATTGTGTTGCGATCCTTTCATCACTGTATCGATTCAAGATGTTCACGACGTCTCGTGTCATGAGATCCAACTGCTTCACTTCGTCACGTGAAAGCGAGTAGTCCCTATCTTCATCTTCATCTCCAGATTCCGACTCTTCCTCGCGAGGAAGAACGGGTAAGACCTGGCGTCCACGAACGCGCCGACCCATGGTGATACCTTCGAATACACGTAACATGCACGACTCCATCAACGTTTTCAACCCTTGAATATCGTCCAAAGCATCGAGATTACCAACAATGGGGAGCCAGTCATCGCATTCGAGACCTCGCTCCGTTACTTGTAGATTAAAGGCACCAAAGAGCATGTACGTCATTGGATCCAGCCGCGTCGTTGTGACAAGAAATGTCTGAGGAGCGCCTCCGCCGGTAACATTTCTCCGCTTTTCTGCAAAGGCGTACAACTGCTTCTCGCCAGTCGAAACGCCCCCTTGGTCAACCATTTCTCTTTTACGGTGATTCACACTTGAGGGGTGAATAAAAGTCGTCTGTAGGACATGAATCAATTGGTCCATAGAAAATATTCATAATGACTCACCCTATCATTTGAAGTTCGGTAGGTTTTTTCACCAACCCGAATGGCAAACTTGGGCTGTGAGGCAATAGCAATAAGACCCGCTAGAAGTGGCAGAGAATCGCCATTCGCGTTGAGCTCTGGTGGGACAGTTAAAGACTTTGTAGAACCATCCATAAGCCCGCCAGCCGAGACATCAATCACTCCCGCGTTATAAAGTGACTGTAGCAAGTGGACCTTGATTTTCTGGATCATAAGTAATGTTGGTTTCGCAAGGAAGTTGTCCACACAAAATCTGTTGGCACTGATGTACTCCCCTCTTGATTGCATTGCCCACCAAGCATTATATGCCCGCAAAGTTGCAAGTGCGTCAGATCTGAATTCCTCTGGACTCCAGGAATTCTTCTTGGCCGCCGCCTCTGCCTTAAGATGCATAGGTGACACGAAGGGGTCGCGATTGGTAAGAATTGCGGCCAAAGTAAGAGCTTGATCGAGACATCGGAAGAAGCTACCATATAAAACTAGTCTGCCCATTTGTGCTTCCACTGGAAGCATCAACAATACGCGACCAAGCGAGGTCAGATTCTTATCGGAATCAAGTGCGCCCACCATCTGAAGATCCTTCATAGCCGCTGCAACCCGATCGGGATCAGGCGCCTCAATGGTGCCACCCAAGACCTCCTCAACGGTGATGCCAGGGAAAGCCAGAGCCTTGACGTGCATAACGACATTGCTGAGATCGACGCGCTTCATTTCCACTGTTTGATAGGGCTGCAAAGCTGTGACACGTGCTTTGCCCAGGAGTCCAAAGTATTCTCCAGACCTATGCCGACCGGCACGACCTGCACGTTGATTGATATTTGAGGAACCGACCCACGCAGATACAAGGGATGACATGTGCCGCTCAGGATCGTATCGCTGTTCTTTCACTTTGGCCGTATCCACGACGTAAACGACGTCTGGTATAGTAACGGACGTTTCTGCTATATTGGTGGCGAGAATGATGCGTCGTGTGCCAGCTGGCGGTGGTTCAAAAATCACTTGCTGCTCTGCGAGAGGAATCGTCGAATGTAACAAATGAATGGAATACTTTGATGTATCGTGGACGTTGATGCCGAGCGGTCCTGCAGGTTGCTGAAGGGCTCTCTGAGTAGCCATAATCTCATCCCAGCCGGGAAGGAAAACTAAAACATGGCCATCATTCGACGAGGTCAGAACATGGGAAATCGTGGCGGCAATAAGGGGATAAGGTAGCTCCAGGTCGTCAGTACGGCTCTCAGTGCCAGGTTTTCTTGCATAGACCCCTAGCTTGGCCGCCACGGCGGAACCGAGCTCTCGACACACATAATTTGAGACCAATTCCTCCCCAAATACCCATTTCGCGGGTCCATGTACGAGTTGGGGCAGGAAATCGTCCATGAAACACTTTGTGACTGGGAACGACCGACCTGGCACTTCTATGACATTGGCAGGATTACCCCTATCGTCTGGAAAGTAGGATTGGAAAAGCGCTGGATCAATCGTGGCACTCATCAAAATGATCTTGAGAGGTTTATTCCTCGCCTTCCTATCCGCCATGAGCCGTTTAAGAACTACGAGTAGCAAATCGGTGTCAACGTCTCGCTCGTGAACTTCGTCGACCACGACATGCGTGACGGTGTCTAGACTTCGACTTCCCGGATGATGAACACCTGACATTGCAGATTGGAGCCGCTTCAAAAAGACACCTGTGGTGCAGAAAGTGACCGAGCCGTGATCCTCAGGCAATTTGGCCTCGAAACGAACTTGATACCCGATGGTACGCCCTAACATCTCCCCTCTTTCCTTAGCGACTCGATCCGCGACGCTTATCGCTGCTAGTCGGCGAGGTTGCGTGCACACCACATTACAATGCGCACCCTTTCCGCGTTGAATATACTCGTCCAAAATCATTTGTGGTATTTGCGTCGTTTTTCCTGATCCAGTAGCTGCCATGCAAATGGTGACATCGTGCTCCTTGATGTGGGACAGAACATCCTTGGCTTTGGAGAAAACGGGTAGTGACATCCGAGAAGCTCGCATTCTCTCCATTTTTGGATTTGAAAGATACTCTTGTCTCTGGGCCAATAACCGATCCGACTTTTCGGCCAAAGATTCTTGTCTGAGCTTTGGCGCATTGTAAAGGGGAACAGATGAGAGGGATGAAACAGCACCTTCATCTGTTTTAGGTTTTAGAGCTGGTCGATTGCGATACAAGCTGCTTCTCTTTATATCCACGCAAAGATCTCTGATAGCATCGTCCAGGCCGTCACTCATCTGAAAGTAAACCTTGGGTGCCATGCCAAGGTCGGCGCCAGACTTGGACGCTACAACAAACGACTTCCAAAGTTCTGCATCGCAGCTCTCGAGGTATTGTGTAACGTCGAGAAAACATGTAACTTGTGCAGCTTTCTTGTTACTGCCGGAACCTAAACCTATTCTGCGACCTCCGACGGTCATGACGGCCTCCCAACCAGTATTGCTCTTGCGGATTTCGTTAAAGGCGATTTCAGGTTTTCCAAAACCATATCTTCGGCAGTAATAATCCATGAAATTTCGAGCTTGTTCGTAACCAACGATTGTACTATCGGATAATGTGACTTCTGATTGGTCTCGACTTTCAGGAAGCAATTTTTTGGGGTTGTCGAGCTGCACATGATGTCGAAGTCTCGAGCACTTAATTCGAAAAGAGGACGTACCACTCCCAACTGCTGCAGCTGATACACGGCAGACAGCGCAGCCAATTTTTCGGACTGCTTTTTTTCTGGATGATCCCCAACCCCAATGACGGGAGGCTCCATCTCCACAGTCGCCGTAGTTCTAGACATGGCTTCAGGGGGTATCGGAAAGAAATGCAAGACTAACGATGTACCTCCAGACATGCAACCTCTTCGCTCCCCCGTCTACAACGCCTTCAACAGCCGAATACTGGGGCAGCTTACCCACAGCGATCATGGAGAAATTCCCTAGGGACGATTTGGGCGTCGATTCGTGAATCTTTTTTATGGGAAGTGGAGGTTGATTATATTCTTGTTCAATATATTTCTCATCATGTAAAGGGCCTTCGAGGAAAGTCTTCTTGATCAAACCGCCCTTCCCGCCACGTTTTGAAGAACCAACGGATCGAGAAGACGAGCCTTGACCAGCAAAATGAGGCGGTCGTATGGTGGAAGAACTGCCTTTAGTGGGCCGCGGAGGCTGGTGAGATGACATGTGCGAGGCGAGGAGGGAGTGTCGTGATGAATTTTGGGTGCTCTCATCGCGAGAAAGCTTGTATGGGGATGATGTGGCGCTCTGAGAAATCGGGCTGGTCGCTTGCTGGGAGAGACGTCTTTTCACGCCGAGGTGAGAGTTAGGCTGGATGGATGAGGGTCCGGGAGAGAGACTGTCTTTGGCAGGGTCAAATTCCATGAAGAGGCGACGCCGTTGCCGTAGAAAAGCAAGTCTCATAAGGGAAAGCACTGAAAAAGCAGTGTTCCAAGCTAAGTTCCCGACAAATTCAAACAAAATTCTATAATGGAAAAAAGTTGGCCTCGGATGTTACCGAGATCACAATCTGTAGTATACATTTCACGAATTATTATCCAGCCATCTTTTTGCAGCCCTCTGAATCCCTTCCAAGTATCTCAGTCTTACCGCGCTGGCCTTGACCGCATCCCAGTCTTTTCCAAGCACGAATGCCTCGAGCTCTTTGATAGTTTCTGATATACTTTCTGCGGAAAATGTTCAAAGGTGTGACGCATAGCAAGAAGAAAACCCACGGTTGTTTTTGTCAATGATGTCCTCGATCTCGTCAAGACTCCTGGAGTCCTCAATTACTTCTCGGGCCTCCATAATGTCGGTCATGAAAGCGATATCATCTACTTTATCATTTTCTGACACCGGAAGTTGGTTCCGCTCCAGAATATATTCTGCACGAGCAAGTGGATGTAGTAGAGTTTGGTACGCGTTATTAACACGCGCAGACAAGGCCTGCGCAACCTGCAGCTTCTCCTTGCAACTTGGATATGAGAAACACGCTTCCAAAACAGTCAAGATAGGGACGGACGGGATTCTTGGAAGCCCATGCGTCGGGATGACAGACGGCTTGAGCTTGAATGAATTTGCGCTTTAGTTGGGGAAGGTCGATAACGAAGGGGTTGGGATCATATGATAGACCAAAGAGACCATGATGGGTGAGGTCCTGAGGCAGAGCAAAGAGATTCCAGCATTTTGTACAGGCGGGGAGTGGCGAGGGCAAAGGGGCGGAACAGACGGGGCAAGAATGTGTCCGCGACTGGTTCCATCTTGCCAATGAAGGATGGAACGAGCGGGACGGTTGGACTCTGAGAAAAAGCCGAGAGCGTAAGAACAACATTATTGAGCGTGAAGAGCCTTGTTTGAGCATGTGTATGTCCGCTCCTCCTTCTGTTCCATAATAATGACTTCCCTTTCTCCTCCCCCTCCAACTCTCATCCAGGATGACCCTAGCGCGGCAGACCTCGCTCGCAAGCGCTTTGCTCCAAGAGCTCGGTTTTTATCACTTCCCAGTCTACGGTCGCCCCCTTCAAAGCCCTCTTTGAAACCATCCACCGAGACCACTACTTTAGAGATTGATAGCACCAATATCGATACCCCAATTAATCTAGACAACTCTGCCCTCATCAACGACGACTATTCTAAAGATCTATATCAATGGGCTGTGATTTATGAAAATCAAAGAGGGTTAGTACCGATTATTCCTATGTCCTCGATGACCCAGCCTCAGCTTTCAGAATGACACTCTTTTCAACCCCTTATTATTCCAAGCTGTCTCTTCTTCCTACAGACCCATCTCCCTTCACTCTCCCTGACAACTCTTACAAGCGCTCCGAACAACCTCCTGTTTCCTTTGAAGAATACCCCCTTCCCGACGGAAATTGGCATTGGGTTTCCCGTTGCTGGATGATTGACATGCGTTCAGACTCAGGAGAGGTGCAACATGATGGATTTGAATATAACTGGATGTTTCGCAAGCACAATTGGCGTGCCCAAGTCGGTTTCGTCAGCGCAGGTGGCTGGGTTAGGAGACGCCGTTGGGTGCGCCTCATGCTGCGTCCTGGGAGAAAGGTCATCGGATGTACCGATGGAATAAGTGTTCCATCTTCGTCAAATGTGAAAAGCGGGTACCTGCGACAGGGACAGTCAACGCCCTCATTGTTTCCCCCCTCCGTGCTCACAAGCATCACTGACGTGGTAGACGACTGGAGCGAGATGGACCCAAGCGATGTGTGGATAGGCGATGATCCTGACGCCAACTGGCAACGCTGTCACAAACTCATGAAAAAGTTTGGGCGAGATGGTCGCAAACTTGAGCTGTGGAGGTTGTGGTTTGGTTTCTATCATCCCGAGCACAAGCACAAGTTTTTGGAGACGGATGAGAAGGGCAAAAGAAGGGATAAGCAGTGGACGGAAGACGAGGGCCCTTTGCCATCCGAAGCTCTTGCATCAGACGCCCTATCACGGGAATCGGTGACGATAGCTCCAAGAGAGGCTGTTATTCCTGTCCTTCGCAAATACGTACGTCCTCGCCCACATGTACTTATTCTATTGCTAATACTTGTTCAGGGGCAGACACTCCTACATTCATTTACCTATCCCGAGTCTCGGGTCCAGTTTTTAAAAGTGCTAGCAAATGCTGATCTCTTGCTTGAGCTGAACGCAACATTTGGGGTTGATTCGACCAATATTGAGTTCTGGAGTTATGCGAGTAGTCTGGAGGTAGTTGCAAAGTCGCCGGTGAAGGACATGGCCGTCGCCGATTGTTCTATGTAGTGAATTGGATCAGCGAATCACATGCACCATAACTAGTGACTATTTATTTAAAGATTTCGGAATTATGCTCAGCCAACGGTCATCGTCGACCATTGTCGACCATGGCTTTCCGCCCTTCCAAGACCTCCAAGGCGGCGTGGGCTGATTATCTCCCGTCCCTTCCAGATGATCCAACACACCCCGCACAGGTTATACTGCGAACATATGCCCTTTCACTCTCACTTTCACTCGGACCCTCTCTGATACCATTACTCACATCTCTTGTCTCTGCAAAGTTAACCGCAAAATCATTCTTTATAACTCTGAAACGCATTCTTAAGCGTGATTTGCGCTATGACGGCTTCGCGTTTGCCATCACCACTGCAGTGGGTGGTGGTGCGTTAATCCGACATCTCTGGCGTCTGCTTGACGATCCTACATTCACTCACAAGCCCGTCAACGTCCCAAAGTTCCTCTTGGACATCACCGATAGAATACGAATGTGGTCACAGCTTCTCAGCCTCTCTCACGAGCAGCGGACGTTTCTTTCCCATCTTGTCTCCTCGTCACTTGGAATCGTTCTCCTGCAAGCGGGTCGCGCTCGCTCTTTACGCTTACGAATTTTATCCTCAGGCGGAGTTCCAACGCCCAGTTTAAGTGGGATATCACCAACTCTGGATCTGACCATTCTTCTGGCTGTTCGGGCTGTCGACTCGATGGTTCAGTCATTTATTCTCAACAATTCGTCATCCTCCTCATCTAGCCAGGTCTCTCGGCATTCAGACAGCTCGGGGAGAACACAGCTAGAACCGCACTTAGTGAGGGACAGGCTGGAGAAGGAGAAACTCAAGCTCGAAAACTTGGTTTCAGTCAAGCTGACCTCTCAGATAGACGCGTTTGTATTTTGGGCGTGTAGTGCAAGGTAACTTGCTGGTGTCTTCAGCGTCGCCATAGATGACCCAAGCTTCACATAGAATAATGTGGTGCTTTTTCTATGAGCCTCAAAGGTGAGTCTCTGAATCATCAATATTGCTCACAACTCTCACTGGCACCACCTAGACTTCCTCGGTCCTACATAAAATGGATCCAAACACTTGCCAATGTGGATCGGCGTATAATGGACGCTCTGGTTTACCTCAGAGAAGGCACTTGGTCTTACATCAATGGCTCTGCCACGCATCGTAATTTGTTGAGGACATTCTCGCAAGACCTAGGCCACCCCTCTTCTTGGGGCGATCCGTCTGTCCTTCCAGCGTACGGGAGAAATATTGCAGATTCAGTCTGGAAAACAATTAATGTCAGCAACCGCACGGGTGTCGGTGGACTACCTTGTGAACTTGTACACGGGACTGTGGGCACTAACCTAGGCGTCTCTGATAGCTGCACAATGAATGCGGGATTGCGGGCGACGAAGGCTTTCGCAGAATCCATGGCTATCTATCTACCTGTAAGGAAGGTTCCCTCAGAGTTCGCCACGCCCTGACACTACCCAACCAGGCCCACTTTCTCCCCCTCCTTCTGACAAGACCGCAGGCGCTCCTACGTCCTCACCGTTTGCTCAGTGCTTTTCTAGGCTCAATGCGTAGTGCGGCATTTCTAACTTCATTTATCACCATATTCTGGTACTCAGTTTGCCTTACTCGCACTATCTTCTTGGCAAGGCTATTTCCTTTCATCTCACACGACTTTTGGGATGGTCCTCAAGGTTGTATAATGGTGGGATCACTCCTTTGCGGCAGCAGCATCTGGATTGAGAATGGACGTAGACGGGGAGAAATGGCATTATACGTACTGCCTCGTGCGATACGCGCATGTATACCAGATAGTTGGCTGAAGAGAAGGAATATCGGTGTGCGCCTCGCCGAACGGTCAGTTTCGCATAATCTCTTTTCGCATCCAATGCTGAAGCCTCGCCCGTAGACTTGCCTTTGTTCTGTCCATCTCTGCGCTCCTTACAGCTGGTATTCATCGCCCGGATTCGCTGCGTGGGTTATCGCGATGGACATTGGCTTTTGTGACGAATGGCCCAAATGCAGGATTCTGGAAACGAAAGCGGCTTGATCCAAGCATTCCGCCAACCCCGAGCATACCCGCAACCCCCCGGCAAATTGAAACGCATAATACAAGCCATCCCCATACCCCAAAATTTACAGATACCCTTCTATAACAACCTGATCTTAGAACATTCGTATTCGGTAGAAATTTATGTATCCTGTCTCTCACCCCTGGGAAATAAGTTAGGCGGTCCAAAGCTGCAACTTGTGGTCGTAAAAGGAACAGCTTCCAATAATGGACTCGCCGGTCGCCAAGTTGGGCCCATACGACCAATCTACACCATAGGCCATGGAATCGTGGTCATCGAACCGTCTGGACAGCGAGCCCCCTGAAAAGTCTTCGTGGTTGAAGTGTATCACCTTACATCCGTCATGCATGCAAGCAACAAGTAAGTCATGCTTGCGATTGAGAGAAGGATGCCACTTCACACGCCACGCGCCTCCACCAACATTTGCTTCACTAACGGGAATGAGAGGCTTCCGAACGTCGAAAAGTCGAACAGTGTCATTGTAGCTGAAGAGGTGGTGTATGCATTTGTTTCAAAACATAGAGGAAAAACCCCAAACCTCCCAACGGCTATCAGATGTTCAACTAACGGGTGACTTTGGATTGAAGTGACGCCGGCTTCAAACCTACATGACAGTTAGACGATGACTTTAAGCAACATCAGTGGAGATACCGTTTATTGACGAATATCGGTTGCTCGCAATTTTGTCGTATATCCCAAGCCTTCAGTTTCAAATCATCGCCACCTCAATTGAAGGTAAGGCAAGGAAAAATGCAATCGGAACGAAAGATAATAACCAGAATAGATGACATTGGTATTCCAATAATTCCATGCCACGGTCCATGGCTCAAAATCATGGGCATGCCATGTGGATACAAGTTGAAAATTTGCCGCCGCAGTGGGACGGACAAGACAAATGGAGCCGCTTGACAAGGAGACAGCTAGGTTACCCAGCTGACTGTGAAGGGCTAACCATTTGAATAGACATTTGGACCACTCGAGAGCATGCATACGTTCCGGATGTTCTGCGATCATCCCAATCCAGCGAGAGGCAGAGTGTGTCGGGGGTTGAACATTGGATAGAGCTAATTTTCTCGAGGATTCGCTGAGTCGGAGATAAATCGTAGCTAAATTTATTGAAAGGTTGATATAATTCACCTCTTGCGTATTCCATTCGCATAAGTTGACGTTCCCTTCCGAGTCAGCAATGGCGAGGGTTGGATTCCCTGTGTCTTGTTTGTGACACCTAGAAGAATTGTCTTCAGTCAAGTAGTAGGCGGTTATCCGTGACGCGAGTTACCATTTCATGTCGAGCACAGCAGGTAAATCGATCGCTTGAATTTGACGACTACATCCAGAAACGCGATTGAAAAAAATGAATGGTAAACAACAGACGAGAACCCAACCAAGATAGCGGATCTCGTTCGTTGGGTGCAACCACTTGGAAAACTAGGCATTGTCCTCGTCTGCTCTGGTAATTGATCGTCGGTTGGCCTGTCGTCGTCTTGTCAACATCCTCGAGCTTGTAAGTGCCGCAGACAAATATGTCCGAGGCATTCTCGCTCGGACAGAATTCTAAACTATCAGCAGGGTAAACTGTGTCATAGGGTGTCATGAGTGTTGGAGTTACATAGGTTATGTACTATTTACGTCACATATATAAGTAGTCCTGCAACTACATTCAACAGTTACTTACTTATCAACCTTTCATGGATTTTGTGCAGGGCCTCGACCCCTCCAAGCTTGTGTTGGCTGGAACGGTTCGAATAATGCCCTCTTCGCTCTTCTCTTGACACTAATCATTTCCTAGGCCGTGTCTTTCTTTTCAAGTCTGTTTGTATCACCAGCTTACAACTTCCCTCTCTTCCTCTTCGGCATTTATGCCCAGGAAAACAATACAGAGGCTTCCCAATCTCTTCCAACAGTGAGCTACGTCTCAGTAGTATCCTTTCTGATCGCTTATTGAGTAGTTTACCGGCTTCCTGGGTGTCTCAGCCTTGTTCGACATCATATGGATGCTCAAAAGCGAGCAAAATGGCTGGGCTAAGTTCTTGACGTTCTCTCTGCTTATCCTCAAGGTACGAATCCTTTCTTTGGTTCTTTTTTGGAAATGTCTCATTATTATCAGATCCCCACTTTCTTTGTGTTTGCAAGTGCAACACGTCAACGAGGGGGTCAATTTGGCAATCTAGGTCCTAACCTTGGTGGTGCCACAGGTGAGTACCGTAGAACAATTACATGTAGTACCTCCTTCAACGCAATCACAGTTTGGTCAATGCCCGGCGGGTTTACATCGGGCGGGCGAGACGGTTACCAGACAGTCGAGGACGATAATTTCATACGCGGCACCCGACCACCTGCCAACAACATTGTATCTTCACAAGGCGCGCCGCCTGCAGCAGCTGGCGCGTATCAAACTGTTTAGCTTCATGAGGGAGGATGAATTGGAGACTTGATGCATAATTTGATAATTTGATATTCAACGAGGGAAAAGACTCGTACAGGCCGGGGCATGGAAAATAATAAGACGAAGGAACACAGCGGACATTCGATCGTCACCATTCGCCTCCCTCCTCGCCGGCTTCATATGTTCCCATGACAGTTTCAGTCTCAGTCTCCGTTCCTGACTCTGCATCCATATCCACATCTGTATCAAGTTCAGTTGAACCCATTTCTAAATCCAGATCTTCTTCTACCGCCGCCGAGTATTCTTGGTAGATAGGTACGAGTTCCATTTTTTCTTCTGCCCTTCGTCTTGAGTAGAACCAGGGGCAATCAAGTGATTCACATTTAATAGGCTCAGTTCCTGCAGAACCAGTACAAGACCTGCAGATGCGGTGGATGTTGACAAGGCGTTTTTCTTTGGATCGTATGCGAAACGCGAGATTTGCTATCGTTCTTTCGTTGGAATACCAGCAATTGTCGCAAAGACCTATTGAGAGTTAAAAGACGCAAATGTGACTGGATGATGCATTGACCTTGGGAAGCCCATTCTCCACAGACCAGACATTGTTCGTTTTGGAAGTGCACGTCCATGTTGGGTCCCTTGGGACTTTCCCCAGCTTCATCGAACTTCCTTGGTGAGACCGGAAATTCCTGAATCGTCGTCATCCTTGGCATTTCTGTAAACCATTGCTTAACATCTGCCCCGACGAGACTGAAGATTCGTTCCAAAGGAGGGATAAGTACACGTGTAATGTAATACGTCGCATCCAGGCGTAGATAGCTTTGTGGAGAAGAGTGGTGAATTGATTGATGATGAACTGCGATCAACAAGCAAAGATACCTGTTGTTGAGTAACTCCAAAGGGTCAAATGCTCTGTCGACGAGTCTCGAGCCTGGGGGTCCTTGGACAATCACATAGGGCACTCGCTCCCCATACGGAGGTTCAGCATTTGCGTCTTCAGTCATCCTCCGAGCAGCTACAATCACCCCAGGAGGCGGGGGAACCTTGTCGCTTGCACCAAAGGGAGATAAGCCATAGCGGGTGGGGGCCAAGATGGCATTACCTATAGGTGCCCATTCTGACTTCCTTTGCAAAGATGAAGTCCTGGACAGAAGCCTTATTATCGAGTAGCTTCGTCCATGATCGATAACAGTAATCTTTGACTTCACTAAGGTCTTGAGTGCGAAATAGTATCCTGGAACGAGATACCGTGAAAATTTTATGCAGCCTTAACTACTGCGCTTACTTGAGGCAATGCTCCGTCATCTTACGTTGCGCTAGGACACCATCACGCCGAACGGTTTCAATTCCTTTCGCATCGAACGTAGGGTTCTTGTCGTCTGGCTGCTCGTACTTGAAGCCGACATAGCGCTTTTTAGCCATAAGAACACAAGGCAGATAGACCTGCCAAGGGGATTCAGCTGATGCTAGGAGGCACAGGAGTGGTGGAAAAAAAACCTTTTCAAACTTAAGTTTAATGGGTGACGGGTTCAAACTGGTCACTGCATCTGCGATTTCATGTCCGATTCTGAAGGCCTGCTCCTTTGTTTTGCCTTTCAAGTATCTGGACTGGGGCTCAAACTTTGAAAGGTGGAACGAATGCTGCAACCCACAGGAAAACACTGTCGGTATCTCCATAAACCACCTATCACAAGTGCGAGGTGAGGCATTTAGATATCCTATTCTATTCACCTTACCTGTGCACCCCATCTTTTGGTTTTGTTTATTAAATCAATGGCCTAACCTCCTGTAAGCTCAACCTCCTCGCTTTAAAAGGTGAAACAGGTACCTTTTCAAGAGTTTCACGACCGCTCTGTACAATGCTATCGGCGATTTCAACCGCAGGCATTCGACCAGAGAAGGTTGCACTCGTGTATCCATAGGTAACATTTGCGATGTATTTCAGACCAAATTGCCTTGCATCTAATATTCTGCGAAGAGACTTGATACCGAGTTTAGAGCATATCCTGTCAAACTCCTGGCGTACAATTTACCTTGTCATCTTTAACACCCTTCATGGCCTGCTTCACCATCACTCGGCTTTCCAATAACTCGGTCAACATTCGGCCCAATAATCCTCTTCGCACATCGCTTTTTACGTACATAATGCCATTCGGGGCAACTGTTACAGATTGAGCTTCTTGCTGAGCAAAGTATATCACAAAAATCGTACCAGTAATGTAATCCTTAAGATTTGCAAGCATGCCTGGAGGCAAATCGAAGTCTACAACGCCAAATTTGAATTTCCCTTGGAAGTCAGTGATTCGGCCGAGACATGTCGAGTAACAATAGTTGTACGCGATCATGACGGACGGATAAAGAGATTGAAAATCAAGAACGACGAGCGGGCTCGAATAAAACGCGGAAATGGGCTCCATAATGAGCGGCATGCACTCTGCTGCATTTTGTTTGCCAACCTAAACTCGAACATGGTTCAATATGTTTGCACTCGAAAAGATAAAAAAACTACTCACGTCGCTTTTATTTGGTGATATGAGCACAAAACACTCTGGCTTCGCGATTCGAAACATGAATGATTCTACCTTGAATTGGGAGCCGCGGCTGATAACAGAAAAAAAGTCCACCCCAAAAACGCGAGCGAATTCACTGATCGACGATGCAGCATGGAGGTGCAAAATAGATGAAGGTTGCGTACGCTGTTTTCGTCACTAACTCTGATTCTTCCAACATTTCCAACATCATCCGCGCCCGCAAGGTAAGATGTCGAATCAGGAGAGCGGCGTGCGCCGGCACTGGACTGTGATACCATTCTGTCAATGTTTTAGAGCTGTACTTTGGGACTCTGTATATAGTGGTTGTTGTCGATAAAAGACACGAAATAAGAGACCCACCTCCTTCGAAGCAGGTGGAAAGCTACGTTCTCAAAGCTGTATATGTTCAAGGTCTGTTCTGAGCGCATGACTCTCCAAAGGTTCAAGACATGGCGTCCTGTGACCTTAAAAGTGGATGCGGTTCTCGAGCTCCACCTGTCCGCTCCCCCACTACTGCGTTGTGTAGCTGCGCGAGAGATGAGGTCCGCAATCTCGAAACCTTGCATTGAAACATCAGTAGTTTTCTTGTTGACGATGGGGGATGAAAAACCATATTGTTTCCCACGCGCTTCAGCGTACCCCCAAGATGATCGCTGTACCTCCCAACCAACCAAAATATCAGGGTCAATATCAACCACAATATCAACCACTCTGTTCAAAAGTTCAAGTTCAGTAGAGACAACGTCCAAATGAAGATATCGAAGACGATTCGAATCCAGCGTTGGCGACTGACGGACCACTGTCCCAGACTGTACGATGTCTGTACCAGAGACATGATGAGCATAAAACACTGCAAAAATCTCATCGGTTTCGGGAGCCGGGGCCTTGTCCCCAGACGTTGGAACTATTTGTCATTACAGTACATTTCCCAGCAGATCGCAGGACTGCATACCGAAAATTTCCAGTGATAGAACAGACATATTTTTTCTCTCACGAGAATTATCTGACGTCGTCGCAGGAGATGTTTTGAACCCGTATATATTTGCTTGAGTGGGCCCTTCTATCTATTGCAGCCCGTGAAATGCGAACGAGAGTGTGTGTACAACGTTACATACCTGCGAATGTAACTTTCGAGATTTTGTATGCGACCTGCCTTCGTCAGACACGATCCATTTTCGAACCTCTTTGATACTCGGGGGGTGTCTGGCGTATTCCCAGCCTCCGATGCCGGCTGGATCCAGGCTCATCGTTTGAGGAAAAACGGCAAGCATCTCAGCATGATCCCACTCATCCAGGCTGACGATGCCTTCTCCGCCTTTGAGATAGTATTGGAGGCCAGCGTATTCCTTTGGATTATCAGGGATATCCGAATCTTTGGAATAATAAGGGGAACGATAAATTCTGTTATCGATACCGAGACCATCCAAACTAGCAAGGAGGTCGCGAGAGGATGGTGGTTGCAGAGAATAGACATATCTATTCAAATTTGTAGCCATACATGTATTGAAGACATGAGACGGCTTGATGGCACGCGCAGCAACTAAGGTTGTCCGTTTTTTTGCGACAATGTCTGTCAAAATGGAAAATGTGAAAACTCGATAGTCGAATGCTGAAACAGATAAATACCATCCTCTTCGGTACGTCCAGACAAAACTGGAAGATTAGCTTGTTGTAGGAGTTGATCCGGAAAGTTTGGCAGAGAACTGGATGGCTTAATTACGAGGTTAGCTATCATCTTTGAAGTTCTAACTGAAGGTTGGCTTTTACCCAAACCGGTGGGAGTGGCAAATCATGCACACTAAAAAGCGCGGTGAGTCGCATCAGAGTCGAAGCACGAGATCCAAAATACCTCGGTGAAGGGCTGGCGGGGTGAAGTAGATTGTGTAAATCGCTTTCAGATTGCATGCGCCTAGGGACCTTGATGTTGAGATAAGAACGGATGGGGGACAGAGAAAAAACTACTTTGTTGGCGTTGCTGTCGCGTCTCGAGACTTTCTTCTACCATTGTCTTCTGGGTCGGGAGGACTGGGTTTAAACATCAGCATGGCCTTTAATCAAAACAACTGGGCCTACCTGGGTAATCGGTATTCCAAATCATTTGGCAAATGGTCTCCTGCCTCAGGTGCGACTACAAATGGATCTTGAGGACTGCCTGTTAGATAGACGTGCCCCGCAGCAGCTTCAATCGGGTCGCAATTCTCTTCAAGATTTTCGCCCTCCGCATTATCCTCCTCTATTTCATCCCCATCTTGAAGCTCTTCATAATGAGGATTATTCCAGGCTGAATCGTTTGCTTCCTCCACCTCAAGATCGCTGATCTCTTGGTTAGAAAGCATAGACATGTCCACGTCGATCTGGTCGATCTCTTCTTCTGTTGTTGCTTCTTCCTCATTGTGCTGTTCGCTCGTCGGTTTCCAAGTCTTCCAGTGCTCCTCCCAAAGGGCCTCAACACTTTCAAACGTTGTTATTGTTCCCGACTCCCATAAAAGAGCAGTTGTCATTGGTTCCTGGTGCGTGTGTTGTGTATCCTCTTCTATTCTTTCACGCATTGCATCCCACCATCGAGCTTCGGCGACCCAAGCTCCTCCTGGTGCCCTCGAGGAGTCACTTGGATCAATGGGCATCTCTGGTGAAGGATGAAGACCACGGGCTTGACGGCGAGCACGCTCATCATCCCACAATTCACGAACGCTTAGTACCAGAGGGTCTGAAGGAAAACGAGGAGCAGGTATGTTGAGTTGGTGGTGAATATATCTTGCATCTATACGAAGACGATTAAGAATCTGAGGTGAAATGACATCCACCTCAAGCGGTAAACGCGACTGGCGGAAATACGGAGATGGCGCAAAGGCTATGGGCGGGGGGTCGCCCTCAATTGGAGCTGGCTCCTCTTCGCAGCGTTCTAACGCGTCTTCAAAATCTACTAAGCCGCATCCGTAGAGGCCAAAATCGCACATAAACTGCAAGACGAAGCTGAGATGACTTTCATAAAGACAGAACCGTGTACTCATAACCATACCAGACCGCATTATGATGGCAATCCGATTGACATAAGCTGGATTGGCGACTAGAATCTTAAGGAATGGCGAATAGGATGTATGAAATCCATAGAAATCGACACCTTTCACCAATATAATCGCACGAATGTATTGGGACGTGGACAAGTGGGGGTCATGATTCAGAGAGTGTGCGATGGCGTGGTTCAACGACAGTGTCAAGCGCGAAATGTAACGTTTCACTGAAACGTAGATTAGGCACACAGACAGAATGCAGAAATAGCCACGGACCATGGGAAGGACTGAGTTTACTGGGGTAAGCTACGTAGAAATACGGATAAACTTGGTGGACATGGACGCAGGTTTTCTGTCCAGCGGACGATAAACCGAAAATGCGGAGTACGGGAACGCGGTAGAGAGAAGAGTTGTCTAGTGGACCCGGGGGAATAAGCGTATGATCAATATGATTTAGGTAGACTTGTAGTCGAGGTTTCCGAGTGGCCTGGGGTGAATGATCCGCAGAGGCGACTTGAGAAGGAGACATAAACAATTTATTTAATTTTCGATCTCAATATTTACATATTTATCACAACGCAGATTCGACTGGTCCTAGCACCGAAATAACCTGCTGTCCAATCCATGTCTTCCCTGCTTCAAGTTTCACAAACCCTCGCACGAAGCCTGGCTCAACACATATGTAGTGTTTCCTGTGCATTGTTAGTACCTGATCGCGAAAGTGGGCGTATAAACACACCATCCATCTTCCTCCATATCAGCTATTTTTCGGCCTTCTTCCTGCGGATTCCAAACAACCACATCTTTCAAATTGACCGATCTGATTTTGAGACCCCCCTCCGGCCATGCCACCTTGTAATTTTGTGGAGCATCTTGATAGACCGAATCTGTATAGCGAATGACATCCACTGCAGCTCTGGCCTCCACTTTGGGCAAGGCTCGTGCTTGATCGCTGGTCTCAGTTTTATCGTAGTATTGCAAATGTTGAAGGGGAGCAACTTGAACTTGATCGGCGGGGGCACGGATGTAGTTATGGAGAAGGGCCTGGAACTCGAGGGAATCTCCTGCTGTGCTGGATGCATTCTTGACATGGAGATCGGTGCTGAGTTGATGTTCTGCCAATGTCACGACATAAGTGAGATGGAAGGGCTTAGGAAAGATAGGAGTGATTTTGTGATTTTGTTCGAGGGCTGCACATAGCGTCATTAGAGGTCAGCAAAGAATGATTTACACGCGCACTCAGTCGCACAGAAACGCCAGCGTCATTGTCCATTGCCACAGAGTCCAAGGACCACACCTCGCTTCGTGCAAAGCCGTGTTGTCCAAGCTTTGAGTGCTCTGGATGTGTAGGAGCACCGAAACAAGGGAAGACAACCGGTATTCCACCACGGACAGGTTTGCTACCATCTAAGAATGCCTTCGAGGACACGAAAAGTCGTTCCTTAACCTCAGAAGCGCCGATATCTGCCGCTCTCCATGAAATGACTGTGGCACCATAGAACAGGACCTCGACAGTCGATCCCTGGTGTTGAGTTCATCAGAGACTAATCGAATAGGTAGCGTCTGAGTTCACCTTGGGATGCTGAAGGACAACTCTATCGTGTAAATTGCTGACGGGCATGGTCGGATGCTAAGTACTTACTTACCAAGGTGAAGTGCTCACATACAATACGTACACAAGCAGCACGTGCTTGCCATCTGATCCTCCTTGTTCCACCAACGCCGACAACAGCAAGTTAACACGCTTTCCATTCCACTGGTTGTCTACCAGCTTTCTGAATCTGCTAGCTACGCCTGTCCTGCTTCTCGATTCCAAATATTTTACCCGTGGCCGTGATCTCACGAAACATTCCACTACGATCTGCCACACACCACCTTACACGACCGAGATTTCATCATGGACGCGGGATTTCCTATAGAAGATGTTCGTCTCTCTGCCACATTAATATATGCAGTCATCTCACTTCATTAATAGATTGCGCCGATTGCAATCCTCATGGATGAACTTCGCTCCGAGGATGTTCAGTTGCGCTTGAATGCCATTCATAGCATCCCCACAATCGCGTTGGCGCTTGGTGCGGATCGCGCTAGAGAGGAGCTGGTCCCTTTCCTTCAGGACTCTATCGACGACGAGGATGAAGTTCTACTTGCTTTAGCAGAGGAGCTAGGCAGGAATTTTGAGGAATATATCGGGGGCAAGGAGTATGCTCATGTGCTCCTCGGACCGCTCGAAAACCTGTCTGCTGTGGAAGAAACACTTGTTAGGGACAAGGCACGTCTCAACATACTTCTTCTTTTTCTCAGCTGCTCATCATGAGTCAAGGCGGCGGAATCGATAACAAAAGTTGCCACAGTACTTTCTCAACCTCAGATCGAAGAATATTACATCCCCTTGTTGAAACGCCTATCGCAAGGCGAATGGTTTACCTCTAGGACATCATCTGCGGCCCTATATCCAGCTGTTTATGCAAAGGTATCCACGGCTGTTCAAGACGAACTACGCAAAGGATTTGCAGCTCTCGGGTCGGACGACACGCCCATGGTCAGGCGCGCGGCTGCGAAGTGGCTCGGTGTGGGTCTGATTTTATATTTTCTGCTCCCCGTCATCTAACCACTTCCTCCTAGCCTCTCTTGACTCATTTCGCCCAGCAGCATATCATATCTGATGGATTGCCGATCTACCGCAGGCTTCAATCGGACGATCAGGACTCCGTTAGGTTGTTGACAGTGGAAGATTTGATTGTTCTCGCAAAAAGAATTTCTCCGGCCGAGGTGAAAGAGCAACTATTGAAGCAAATTAAACAGAGCATTGGTGACAAGAGCTGGCGAGTAAGATATATGGCTGCTAATCACTTCAATGAGGTGGGCATTTTGTCTTGGGCCCTTATCGTATTTGACGAGGCCGCCTGTAGCTCGCAGATGCTGTTGGCGTTGATATTGTGCGAGAGGAATTAATTGGCCAGTATGTCCAGCTACTGAAAGACAACGAAGCCGAGGTGCGCACAGCTGCTGCGAGCCAAATCCCTGGTATCTATTTGAACGCGTTCATTGTTACAATACTAATCGTGGACATTTAGGCTTCTCGAGTTCCCTTGACAAGGAGGTCATCCTGGCACGAATTGTGCCCTGTGTGCGAGATCTCTCCCAAGATGCCTCCCAGCATGTTCGGGCGGCACTTGCAATTCAGATCAGTGGCCTTGCCCCCTTACTCGGGAAGGAAGCAACAATTGAGAACCTTTTGCCTCTCTTCCTCCACCTGCTGAAAGACGATTTCCCCGAGGTTAGACTCAATATAATCAGCAAGTTAGAGACAGTGAATACTGGTGAGTCTGACACGTCTTTGCTCATTCTGGGTCTGGCCTGATTGTTACTTGAACCAGTTATAGGTATCGAGTTGCTCTCCGAAAGTCTGCTTCCCGCTATTGTTGAGCTCGCAGAGGATAAATCATGGCGCGTTCGACAGGCCATTATTGAGTACATCCCCCTTTTGGCCAACCAACTTGGGAAACCATTCTTCGATGAGCAACTCGGGAACCTTTGCATGTCGTGGTTGGGAGACACCGTTTACAGTATCCGCGAAGCTGCCACTGTCAATCTCAAAAAGTTGACAGAGGTTTTCGGTGTCGACTGGGCAAAAGTCGCCATTGTGCCTAAAGTAATGGGTATGGGTTCACACCCTAACTATCTATTCAGGATGACCACGGTTCAAGCGATCACGGTCCGTATCATGTCCTCGCCTTGACTTAATGATGTTTATACTTCAAGCTAGACAATCTCCCCATCTTTGAACCTAGAAATCGTTCGCTCGGAAGTTATTGGACCCCTTTTGGACCTTTCAAAAGACCCCATCCCCAACATCCGTTTTAATGTTGCTAAATCCTTGGAAGTTATGGCAATTGCATTCGGAAACTCGCCGGAAGGACGTGCGTTTGTGCGAGAACGGATTACCCCTGCTCTGGAGCGTCAGAAAAGCGATCAGGACGCCGACGTTCGGTACTTTGCCACACGAGCCCTCCAACGGGCACTAGCTTCTGATGTCTAGTGGTGAGGTCACAAACTTGGGTGGGATTTTACGCCAATTAATTCTTAGGTTTTTTTTCCAGCCATCCCTTTCTTAGTTTTGTTGATAGTTGAACTTGTTAACTTCAAGATGAATAGTTGGCGCATGATCAGTCTTCCTACCGCAACAGAGTCACATTCTGATTTTTTTTCTATTTTATGAGCGGTTTTCTAGAGCCTGTTTCCCGTTTCCGGACGATTCTTGTCCTAAAAATGAGCCGTCTTTGTTTTGGCACCTCCCAAGCCGACCATACCCTGGATCTCTTGTTTAAATATATTTCTTCGATATGCGAGCCACTGCGGGATTGGCGATTCAAAATCGCATACACAGAAGAACGATCAAACCCATGAATAATGCGATGTTGCTTCAACGTAAAAAGTTTGGACTCGTGTATCCGATTTCTCCACGAAAACCATCTAGGCCTTGCTCATCGTAGAGGGATTGATCATCAAGATAGATCTCACATTCTATTATATCTACTAAGAGTTGGCCCGCACTCAAACCTAAAATTCGAACTGGCACCCACAGGCTTGCATTAGACTGGATGGAAGGATACTTACTGATTTTCAAACGCGGGTTTGAGGATGCCTTTGACTTTCTGGATATACCGCTTACGGATGTCGCATTGCAACAAGCTGAAACTGAGTTGGACCCAATGTTGAATAATTACATAAGCGATGACCTTATCCTTCGGAAAATGCCGTGGTACTGTATAGTGCTTTGAAGCCACCTGTAGACCTATTAGCCAACTTGCAAGACTTTCGGCACCGGCGTCGACGACCTCAAGAACAAAGGTGCGTATCTCAAAATCATATATTTGCTGTTACTCAGTCATCTGTTACAAACAGTACCGGACAGAATTTCAGTATGGTGAGTGTCGCAATGCGAAAGTCATGTAACATCGAGTTCGACCTCTGTCGCGAAATTATCTTGCAAGCCTATCAGGACTCTGTCTATCCATACAAATGAATTATTCATTAATTGGATTTGTGTTCGTAGGCCGACAACTCAGCACCCATCACCTTGCGCACGCGTAAATTCATCACGAACCGTCTTTTGGCCCGTCGTCAATTCGTTGTGGACGTCCTCCATCCTTCGCGCCCGAATGTATCTAGAGCCGATCTTTCTGAAAAGCTCGCTGCGTTGTACAAAACGAACAAGGAACGCGTCGTCACTTTCGGTCTTCGAACACATTTTGGTGGTGGAAGGAGCACAGGTTTTGCTCTGATTTACGATGATGAGGCATCGCAGAAAAAATTTGAGCCCAAGTACCGCTTGGTCAGGGTGAGTTATATATGTCTTGTGGCTTTTCCCGTCATCTCAGTAGATCCATTATCAAGTCTGGCTTAGCCTCCAAGGTAGAGAAACCCTCCCGCAAGCTGCGGAAAGAACGGAAGAACCGCGCGAAGAAGGTCATTTTCTATCTTTTGGTTCATCATGCGGTTCTGACTCTTTCACAAAGTTCCGCGGCACGAAAAAGGTCAAGGCGGCGGAGCCCCCCAAGAAGAGCAAGTAAACGTTGGGCGTCTGTCTCCTTATTTTGTTCGGGACTTGCATGTTTTTCTCATCACTTTATATATGCCAAAATCCCATGAACATGCCAATTTGAGATGCTGATTTCGAGATGAAGTATCTAGTTTGAGAGTCATATGGGTATCTTGGTATCAGGAGTGGTTAAATTGAAATGATCGGCGAATAATACTGTCAGAAGCCAGACTTTTTATGGATGATATCTGGGTCTTCTTGATATTCCTCGGCGGACACCCACATCTAATTCGGTGGTTTCAGGCGAAGTAGTAACTGGTAAAGTGATAAAAAAGGTCACCTTCTTGAAAGTACTCAAACCAGCCAAGATTGAGCCACCAATCCACGTCGAGTACTTGCGTTCAGGGGGCGCGTAAATCTTGATTTTGACGTCTTTCAACGCCAATTTCTTGACTTCATTTAACAGCCTATCGCCGAAACCTACGGCCAACAATGAGCAAAGCCAATTTCAGCTGGTCATGGCACTTGCCTTTGCACAAAGTGCTACCGCCGCTGAGAACAATGTTCGAAAACAAGCTTTTCCGGAGGTCCAAATCTACACGGTTGATTGAATCTACAACGACTTGATGTACCCCAGCATACTCTTGACCAATGAGCTCAGGATTGAATAGAATTTCAGGAGCGCGGAAACGCTCCGGACCAAGCTGGTAGAAGAAAAAAAGTGAGAGGTCGCCATCTGTGACGGCCACTGGTCTCCTACCTGAACAACATTACCATCTGGAAGCCTAAATTCTTCCAATCGACCCAAAGCATCCTTTTCTTCCTTTCCTGGGTTAAGAGCGACATAACAGCACTTTTCTTTGATGGTTCGAACGACTTCGCGCTCCGCTGTAGTATGTAAATGGTGGCCCGATTTCCTGAGGAGGAGTTGAAGGTGATCAGTTACGTCCCTGTAGCGTGCATTTTTGAACGACAATAAGCATGAATCCAGAAAAGAAAACCGACCTTCCCGCCACATCTACGCGGCGAATAGCGTGTGGCATGGAGAAGCCTTCAAATACCGGTACAGCATGTGTGACACCATCGCCAGAATCGAGCACAATTCCGGTTGTCCGTCCTGATGAATACCTATCGATTTGTCCTTGAGTGCGACTGTCGGCTGATAGTAAACTACTCACAATGACAAGACAGCCTGTACAGAGGTGAACAAAGCTGGTACGTTGAAGGTATCGAAGAATATTTGGGCCGCAACGTCCCTGTTACTTCGAGGATTTAAAGGTGCTTCCGTTAACAAGACGGGATGCTTTACGACGTCAAAACGATTGCTTCGGCCGAAACTTCAGGTCATCTCACCTCTTCGCTGAGGGTTCCAAGCTCTTCAGCGTACACCCAACTCCATATGCGCTCCATATCATCCCAATCTGTCACGATTCCGTGTTCCATTGGGTACTTTATTTTAAGCAGCCCTCGGAATTCCTGGGCACGTCTCCCTATGAAAACGTCACCTTCAAGAGCTCCGGCCATGACGCGTATGTGTTTTGGTCTACCAACACTAACCAGTGTGGCGAATTGTAAGGAGAGGAGGCAAACGTCGGAAAAGAGGCCTAACCGTGAGGACGCACAAAGACGGGAAGAAGCATTTTGGATGATCTTGTCCAGCAAAACCAGCCTTTATTGTTCCAGAACCCTACGAGAATGACAGAGTCAGGTTGGTGATGTACAAGCAAAGTTGGAAATGGACACGAACATTGTCGATAACCACAGGTTGATTTGTGAGGACGTCGTCAAACTCTGCAGACATAATTGGTTGTTAATTTCCAGCGAAAGTACTCCCAGGATGGCCTTGGCGGGTGTACGAGAGAGAGAGAGGAGTGGACGATGCTGTCAAATTGACAAAGTCATTTGTTGATCCATATTTCTCTCTTGATGTACATATTACATATGGTTCTATAAAAACTCACTCGCATATTGCTCGATGCCTCGCCATTTCAGCACCTTGTTTTTCTTTATATCATTGTTCGTAAGTTCTCCTATCTTTTTTGTTATAACTACCCTCAGTAGTTTCAAGGTTTTGGCATCCTGCAGCCTGAATAAATGGGAGGCAACCAATTTCTGCAAATGTGCCCTCTCACCCAGCAAAACATGGGCGGATATCTGACAAAAGTCATTATCTACAGGCATATGTTTTGGGTCCACTTATGCTATAGTGCACCTTAATGTTCCAGATAATCCCTCTCAACCCTGTTTATCCTGCACAAAGCAATGGTGCTTGAACCAAAACTTACCCATCTGTGCTGGAGCCACTTTGGGCGACACCAACCCGGACACCGCGACTGGAAAAGAGGGTGATGTGGAAGCGAGGTGTTTCCGTTAGTGGCAGGTTCCTTTCAATCATGGACATGGCGGACTGAACGTATACATGACAGAACGCGACTCCCCTCGAGACCAATTGGTTGTGACACTATTCCTGCTCACCGTTTTCGGCCTTCTACTCGGCGCAGGAGTAAAGAGCCGCATGATGAAGGCAGGTTTAACTCCTGTTCTCCCATGGAATCATGCTCAGCGGCGGTGGTGGGAGGTCAGTTGATTCAACACTTGATTAAATTTGCCGCATTGCTGACGACTTGCATAAAGGTATGGGCGCCTCGTAGACAGCCCGACGAGATAGGCCTTGACCACTTTGGCTTGACTGCAGGGAGAGGGTATGCGCCTGTACTAAATGATCGATGAGCAAATGAGTGTCTTTGTTAAATGATTGGAACGAGGATACTTTACAGTTGTCACTCGTTATTATTACAATCTGTACATAGAAAGTATGGGCTCATTTTGCTCCAAGTCGGCCGCTCACTCTGGAGGACATACTGTCCTCGGCCCAGTATCCGACTACCACACCCATCCTGCTTCTTCTGCGGCTCCCAATCCTCGCGTTGCTGCCGCTGAGGCAGCTGAACGTCGACTAAAAGCGGTTCGTGGCAGCTCCGGTCTTCCCCATCATTGAGCTCTCAAGTACGTTCCCGTAGGCAGAAAGAAGAGGCGTAAATCCTTCAAACCCGAACCAGGGCCAGCTTGCGGCCAAGGTTGCGAAACAAAGCTCGAAGCAAGCGCCTCAAGGTCGGGAGGAGGAGCGCCTTGTGGTAAGCCTTTGTCTGTTGCAAGTTTTAAAAGATGAGTAACGGCAATGCACTCCCTGCCAGTGGGATTGAAGTGGGGGAGTCCCTGTCCACTCGGGAAGTTGGCCTTCTCATACCCATTCTGGTTCTTTACTATAGCAATATTTTCGATATAACTACGAATACATAAGTACCTGGCAATCTGCATATGTACCAAAAGGTGGACCAACGGTGATCAAAAGACTTCAACTTCAATTCCACCAACACTGAGTGATGCTCGGCGCTATCTCGCACTTCTCCGCGTCCTTGCTGCCTTCCACCAAGCTGCCACTGCCTGCCAGGGCTTCATTTGCGGCCCTGGTCGTCGTCCCGTGTTAATATCGATAAGTTATCATCAGGTATCATTGAATTGACAATGAACGAGGCTCGACCGGAGCCATGGAGCAGGGTTCTGTGGAAAACGCAACCTTTCTCTGATAACCACATACCGCCAAAGCTGTTCCTCGTGTCTTTGCAACGGAATCGTGAGTTCCACATACCCTATTTGTTTCTGAACCTATTGAATCACGTTCTGCCAGCCAACCTTGAACCGTATTCATATTGGCGTCTCGTTCACGCCTCATGCGCTGTTACCCAGCATCTCTCTACCATCTACTTTTTCTTAGCGGTATTTATTCGATTGAAGGAGAATCAACTGGATCCTCGAACGTTGGTATACATATCTGTTGGTTGTTTCCTCGCGGGGTATTTCACTTGGAACGTGCTCGACTCTGCAGAGCCCAGCTCCGAACGCAATGCTAATCGTGCGTCAAATTTTCCATCAAGAGATTTGATTGACACTTTTCACCAGATTTGAAAGCTCTAAAATCGTCTATAATGATGTTTCTTGCGCTGATGTCCCTTTCACCGGTTTTAAGGACTCTTAGTGCAGCTACATCTTCCGACTCGATTTGGGCACTCGCTGCCATTCTCTTTATCCTGAACGCCCTTCTAGCCAACTACACTGCCTCGAAATCGGGCGGGCAGATCCGTGATCGGTGAGGGATGCCCTCCCTTACTCATACGGTCAGCTGGAGATTAAACTCCCTAGGTTGACCTCCGTGTTATCAATGAATGCTGCTGTCTCTGCATCGGTAGTCTTGGCGTCACGTCTCTGTACCGATGTTGCAGTGTTTGCACTTGCCCTTTTCTCGGTCCAAGCGTTCGCACTGTTCCCCATGCTCAGACAAAGACTACAGGTTCTTCTTGATCTATTTTTCTTCGGCTCGTGAGCTGATTTGAAAATGTAGACGTCACTGGTAGCTGTCTGGCTTTTTTTAACAATGTTCATGGCCGCTTCAGCAGTGTATTTGCTCGCCTCTCTGTCACAAATAGTGATGTGGCTGGGTCTCTTCATGTTATTCTTTATTACCCTCATTGCTCCTATCATCCTAATCTGGGCCCAGAGGTACAAGAAGTAGGTGTTTACGTGAAAGAGGTCGCATATTTTACTGATGATTCTCAGTATAATTCGAGGCCCATGGGACGTAGCGGTGCCAAAAGTCAATTAAAATTGCTGCAGGAATGAATGGCCTGTAATGATCCTCCAAAATCGCCTTAAGTACAAGACGTTGCATCGATGCGAAGATTGGGTCTCACGCATCCCAAATTTCATGGGTCATACGGATGTTTCGAAGCTCAATGGAGTTTTCTATCGTTTAGGTGGGTGCACGATTCATCAGACCTCAAAAACGATCGAGAATTACATTACTGAACTACATGGCGGTTATATACATTGGGGTGATACTATATACACAAAATAACGACAAAACAAGACAAGAGATTATGGTACAGTCGGCGGGATACATACAAAAGGTATAAAAAACAGATGTGGTATTTTCAGCATGAAAGTCCTCTCAAATTCAAGACGAAAAGTCCAACGTGTAGCGCATGAACCTTATGACCCCAGTAAGGAATCGTCATCTTCGATTCGTTGACGTTTTCCACCAGGAGAGACTCCAATTCCAATACCCCGAGCCTCTAAGACATCCATAGCAACTTTTGCAGCGCCCTCTGACGATTTTTTAGTCCGCGCGCGAGTTCGGCGTAGTGCACCGAATGCCTGCGCTTTTATCACGGCGACTGTACAAGAAAGTGGTGCAGGGCCGGCGGGCGAAGGAGATCGAGAGGGAAGTGTGTCACGCCTAGCACGCCGTCGCCCGTTGATATACGGCGTTGAATCACCGTCACTGCTAGCCTTATCATGCTGAGATCCAGTTTCACTACCTGAGAGTGGTCGAAGACTAGGTAGAAGCTGACGGTCATCGCCACTGGCGACGAATCTGCGCGAACCGACTCTATAGCGTACAGCATCGGCGGCGGGCCCGGCGAGGGAGATGTCAGCGGTGCCTCCATGCAGGGTGACCTCGGTACCATGGGGAAGTGAGTGACGGCGGTAATCAAAATCGGGACGTTCTTGTCCGAGAGCCGTATCGGGGAAAGTAAATTGGAAAGGCGGCGCCAGGGTCGATGAAGATGAACCCGGTGTTGACGACATTGGCGACATCGATCTGCTGTTGGGCATGCTGTCACCCACGTTAAGTCCATATCGTTCACCGTTAGGAAAGGCGTACGGTGCAGTGTCTAGAGCTGAGTTCAATGCAGCTTTCTGCTCGTCTCCGGAAAATCGACTAGAAAAAGGCTCAGAAGTTGTTAGCGTTGGTGACTGGTCTCCCCCAGATCCAGTTTGGTGAAGACTAGCATGGAGATGCCAGCGTCCATCTCTGCCAGATGCTGCCATGGGATAGGGATACGTGTCATACTTCGAAGGACGGTGGTTTAGAGATGCTCCATCACCCGCATGGTCTGGCTCAGCATAGGGAAGAGGAGGCGCAGGGAAGCCGTGATTAGCAGAAGCGCCAGGAAAAGGAACTTGGCACGCGGGCGACTCGTTAGCTCTGAAGGCAATATCATCATCAGCATATTGATGAATCTGAGTAGATCCTATATGTGGATTCATGTTACTTGTTTGGAGGTGAGAAGCGATAGATGGTGGTGGCAACGGGGGCACGTCGTCGGATCCAACACCCTGGTCTGCTTTTCTGGACTGCCAGAGCGTCCTCCACACTTTTTCGCGATCCCGAAATTCCTGACGCAGACGAGCATTTTCTTGTCTCAATTCTTGAGTTTCATGGCGAGACTCCCGACAGGAATCCTGCAACTGAAGAACAACAGATTCCAAGCTTGTAACTTTTACAAGACAGTAGGTCAATAGTTGAAATACTAAGCTGGGGAGAAAATGTTACCTGTCTCCTCCAGGGTAGCAATATAGTTGGCTCGCCTGGCTCTGAAAGCAGCTTGTGCGTCAGCATTCTTTTTTTTCCTGAGGGCGACGTCGGAGAGACGTGATGACGGCTCGTCCGAGGCGTGTTTGGACTGCAAATGATGTACCGTCGAGGGAGATGCTGCTGGATTGGACTTGGGCATCGATAAAGGGAGCACTGAAAGCAACAAGCCAGAGTGCAAAGTTGATTTAAAATGCCATGAAAAAAGAACTCTAAATGTAAGGGCACGAGGAGAGGGTCCGCGGCCCTTAAAGACGACTTTGCTGGACTCCAATTTAAGTTTGGCCTGAGTTTGGCTCAGCGGCGCTCATGCTGACAGCAGGACAAATTTCTCGAAGAGTCCTTTGGGCCTGAAAGGAAAGCTGGTATAACCAGATATCGTGAATGGCTTCCGACGGAGTTTATCTCCATTAAACCCAGTTCGACCCACGGAATCCTTTTTTCATTGTGACTCGTTGCGGCAAGTTCATCGTTTCAATATCAGATCACTCGTACGATGGGCCTCATGGAGCCATGTTTTTGATCTAGGCAGCTCGGATACTCATTCCGTGCAGAAGGCCTCCTCAAATTAAGTTCAAAGGCGGTCCGGAACATTACCCAGTCACAACTTCCATATCCTCTCCGTCCCCTTCCAAATCAAACGACTCCATCCTTGTACCACTGGCATCGAGCACACAGGCCACCCTTCGATTCACTCTGCCATTAACTGCGAGCGACACACCGCCATCCTTGCAACCCGCTAACGCACGGCGCCTTTTAATGGGGGTTCGCACTGACGACAACTGCACAATCAATTAATTAGCAACACGTCGGGAAAAGAGTGTTGATTACTGAGGCCTGACCTGACCTTCCTTCCAACTCTTCAGGACATCCCGCATCAAATCTTCGCGGTCGGGAAGCCTTACGTGGCCGTCCCACGGAAATTTCTGGTAGGTCATATCACTGTAATCGAGCGTCGCTATAAAAGCCGGTCCTGTGTTTTCGATGAATATCAGGCACAAGTGATACACCAGTCTTCAACTTACTTTCCCTCGTTTGAAGGCGGTAGACAATTACAACGGATTCTTCATCGAAGAAGTCGGCTTCTAGTATTTCGATATCAGGTTGGCTTTCTTCTTGTCCTTCCTCGGGAAGATGGCATTCAAGAAGTGCAACTCCGATTTCGAGAGGTAGTCCAGATGCCTCGATGCTAAAGCGAAGCTGCACCAGAAGCACTTTTGAAATATATTTGTCAGCAGAGTTCTCTTCGTGAAATTCGGTGCTCACAAGGGCTGTGACCTCCACTGAGGGATCCCACAAGGTGCTCCAATATTTCACCACTCTGAGGCGCCGTTGTCCCAGCCATTGGCAAATCGCAATAATGCAAAGCTTACCTTGTTCATGGTGATCCGTTCATGTATGGAAAAACTCGACTTCCATTCATTTCCTGAGGCCAGCGACCGCTCTGCCCCCGGCCTATGTCCGCCTGAAACAGTGGCGGAGCCAGATGCTTGCCCAGCAGCGCAGCTGAAGATGCGCCTGCATCGTACAGCTAAGTCGTGTATCAAAGCATCGAGATTCCTGTCCAGGTGGCCAAGATCTTTATGAGTGACATTCTAGATATATTAATCAAATGCGTTCAGGGTTTCTAGCTGGAAATTAGACCTACCCCTTGCCAGACCAATGGTTTCGTTGCAACGATACGTGCCCGCTCTATCATAGGTGCAAGAGACGATACGCCACGTTCCGGAATGCCCAAATCTTCTGGAAGAAAGCGCGGCACAGGACCTAGGAACCATTTATCGATCGAGCTTACAACCAGTCCAGCTTTAAAGTAGTTATTGACTTCTAGGATGTCGTGGCGAGAAATGTTGTCGTTTAGTGAGTTTATGTTGTTAATTTCTGGCTAGAAAGTCACATACGTACGTATTTTCGCGCAAGGGAGACGTACCAAAACGAAGCCATAAAATAAACTCCCTAAAGCGTGACAATTCCCGACGGGAAACAGCGGTAAGCCAGCTTGCAACCACGATACCTCTACTCGCCGATTCCACACAAAAATCTAGATCTTCAGACGGTAATTCGAACAGGCTATACTGCGAACTACAACAAGGGGTCGACTTCAAGTCCAAAAAGTTGAACGCTGCTTACAGTTTTGCCCAACCTTGAAGTTCCTCTAAGACTAGATGAAGTCGTTGATATGCAGGGGCAACCTTTTTTTCGGAAAAATCCCGCAGCTTCACCAACGCCTCAGTCATCGTGGATTCCCACTTCTGAATACCCTGAACGGAAGACGTGTGAAGGGACACCAAAAGCAATGGCGAAACATACCCGCTCGCTCATCTGTTCGCCACTTGCAAGAAAGTCCAACAAAGAGTCAGAGGGTCTTCCAGTGGTTAAAAGGCAGGTCAAGTCTAATATTGGAGTCGGTTCTTCTACTACGGGGAAGGAAGTCAGGCACTACAACGGCACAAAGGAAAATATCTTACAGCCAAATTGATCCTTTTGTTTCGCCTCTAGCGCGCGAACCCACTTTGGTCCGAGTTCACGAGCACCGCTCGTACTTTCCGACCCGAACCAAATTGCACGCATCTCCTTAACAATTCTCATAATGTACCAAACAAGCTCACGAGCAGTCGATGATAGTATAGCGAAGTCTCGAACCTTTCTTTTGCCGAATGATGGGATGTCGACGATGAGAGAGTGTACTTGCGTATTAATGGTCTTCCCCAAGGACGTCTGGATATGTCCAAAGAGGGTAGGGCGCAGGGGGTGTTTCAAAATAGACGCAAAAGACGCATCTGAGCGTAAAGAGATGACACCAAGAGGGAAAGTACCATCCAAAAAACAATAAAGGTGCCCCAGATTGTCGGTCGCCAAGAGAATGCTATCCAAATTGGAATCATCCTTTTCGTCTAGGATTTCTCTCGTAGACTCCAGCTTGTTGTGAGAAGGGGAGCCAATGGACGCTGTGACTGACTCCGAGGAGAGTGTGGGCCAATTGTCAATAAAATCTGGGAGCAAAGGCTTCGGGTTCGGATGGGTTTGCGAGCCTTGGAAAGCAAAAAGGTCTGTAACACTGAAAGTGGGGGGTTCGGAATTAGTCAGCGACGAGAAACGAAGCCAAAAAAACGAACGTCAGCTTTTCTGATTCCTCCCGAAAGTTGTCTAATAGTGGAAGGGTCCGCAGGATGGAGTGCGCTGTTCCTGTCTTGAGGGACGTGGGAAACTTAACTAGAAACATGAAAACTGAGGCGCACTATCACATCGTTCCTCTTGAAAATGTCCGGAATTACAGGGGCATCGTTATTAATGTTCTCCTTCCTAAACCAACAGATTCCAGTAAGGCGGCACGCATGCTTCTGAGAGTTTGATGGAACATCAAGGCGCAAAGAGAGTTGATTGTGACCATCTTGTAAAGAGTGAAGCGAAACGCTAGGAGGGTCATGGATGACTGCTATGCTTTGTGCTGTCCAGAATGCAATCAATCGCAAAACTGTCAACGACCAATTGAATTTATTTACCATCAGGACTCCAGGAAAGGCCAAGTATGTGAGTACTGGAGTTATCCTCGCCAACATCAGCTTCCCAGACTTTGGAACCTTGGTTTGAATTCCAGAGACTCATTCTATCTACGCCACCTAAACGAGAAATCAAGAGGACGAGGTCCTTGTCTGGGCAACAAGAAGATGGCAGTAAGCGACTCCCAGTTGGAAGATTAAATTTCGCAAGGGAGGCGAAGGCATTGGTTTCCATCCTTCTTGAAGAACCACAGGTGAATCTTGGCTATGAGTATCTTCAAACTGGTACGAAGCAGTCCTGAAAGCGCAGCAGTGTAGAGCAGGTGTAAGTATATGTGAAAGTGACATGATGTAGTGAACTATACAGGACGTCACGTGCCATGTGCTAATTTTCTCTTCACCTTTTTGTCCTCTTTACTGTGGGTTATTCTTCAAGGTTTGCCGTTGCGCAGCCCTGGGTTATCTTCACGAACATGTCCGACTATGTCATGACAATCGATTCCGATACAGAGGACGCCAGGCCAATATCTAACAAACAAGACCTCGGCGAAGGTTGGCTTGACCCAGATTTTGTGTTCGACCTCGCCGGGGACCCTTACTCCGACCTCGCGGAGACTTACAATGGCCTGCAGGATTTCGTAAAGAGAGGGAGTCGACCTGTGAGTCGAGTTGAAACTCTTCTATCGCATTCACTTCCCTGCACTGCTTCAGCAACCGATTTCAGTGGACGAAATAATCACTCGACGTAGATTGTCCTCCAAGCGCAAGCGGAAGGAAATGGACGTAGATGAGGATGACGACGGGGGGGATGATTTTGACGCTGACACACAACTTGGTACCGACGAGGAGGACGACAAGGCCAATAGCGATACTGGCAATTTTGAAGCAGACCCGTTGGCTACTTCCGACGAAGATTCTGATGGAAAGGAGGATGGTGATGAGGAAGGCGCGGCTGAAGAAGATCAATTTTCTTCCGATGATTCCGATTCTGAAGGCGAAACCCAAGCAGAGAAAGACCGGAAGACTGCATTTTTTGACTCTGAACACCGCCCAGTTGAAACTCATGAGTCGTTCTTATTCATGAATCTTTCTCGACCGTTGTTGAAGTCGATTGCTTCACTGGGCTTCAATAAACCCACACCAATCCAAGCAGCCGCCATTCCTGTCGCATTACTCGGCAAGGACGTTGTTGGTAACGCCATGACCGGGTCGGGCAAGACAGCTGCTTTTATTATACCGATGGTCGAACGACTTCTTTATCGCGAGAAAGGGAAAAAGGCTGCAGCAACTAGGTGCCTTGTCCTTGTCCCGACACGGGAGTTGGCAGTTCAATGTTTTGATGTTGGCGTTAAGCTCTCGACACACACAGACATTCAGCTATGTCTTCTCGTAGGTAAATCAGATACCCTCCGTTAACCCCCCGAAATTCTGACAAACTATCTCTGTCAGGTGGGTTGTCCCTCAAATCGCAGGAAGTGGCTCTTCGTGCTCGGCCAGACATCGTCATCGCCACTCCCGGCCGACTTATTGACCACATCCGCAACTCCCCGGCTTTCACACTTGATGCTATTGACATTTTGGTACTCGACGAGGCCGATAGAATGTTATCTGACGGTTTCGCTGACGAGCTAGCGGAGATTATCAAGTCATGCCCAGTTTCTCGCCAGACGATGTTATTCTCTGCAACCATGACGGACTCAGTCGATGAGCTTGTCAAGATGTCCTTAAATAAGCCGGTACGATTGTTCGTCGACCCGAGAAAAGCAACGGCTCGTGGCTTGGTTCAGGAATTCGTTCGTGTTCGTGCTGGGAAGGACAGCGAGCGATCCGCTCTACTTGTCGCACTTTGTAAAAGGACATTCAAGAACAGAGTCATTATTTTTTTGCGCAGCAAAAAACTTGCCCATCAGATGAGGATTGTCTTTAGCTTGTTGGGTCTCAAATGCGAAGAATTACATGGAGATTTGTCTCAAGAGCAAGTTCGTGTTCTCTTCGACTGCGCGGCGTTTGTATTTTGCTGATAATTAGGCCACAGCGTTTAAAAGCATTGCAATTGTTTCGAGACGGACAAGTTGATTTTCTGATGGCCACGGACTTGGCCTCCCGTGGTCTTGACATCAAGGGCGTTGAGACGATTATCAACTACGATATGCCTGGCCAATTATCTCAGTACCTCCATCGTGTGGGTAGAACCGCCAGAGCTGGAAAGCAAGGACGGTAGATGATTTTACGTCATTTTGTTTTTTGCTAGAGGGTCTAACTTTCGGTTCCTTAGTTCGGTGACTCTCGTCGGAGAGGCAGACCGAAAGATGCTCAAAGCTGCCATCAAGCATAGCAGTGGGGAAGATAAAGTCCGTCATCGTGTGATAGCAGCGGATACTGTTCAAAAATGGGTCGAAAAACTGGATGATCTGAAAGGAGAGATTGCAGAAATTCTCAAAGAAGAGAAAGAGGAAAAGCAGGTAAGCACTCTCTAATGCAAAATCTCCAAAAAATTCTGATTATTTGGTAGCTTCGGAAGGCTGATATGGAGTTGACAAAGGGTCAAAACATGATTGAGCACGAAGCTGAGATATATTCTAGGCCCGCTCGCACATGGTTCCAGACCAGCAAAGAGAAAGAGAAAGCGGCAGGTATGTGACCGCTCTATCGTATCGTTGTCCAGGTGTCTGATTTGAAATCCAGCAACAAGCAAGCAAGCGCATGAAACAGGTGGCGAGCGGGATGTTAAGTCGAGGGGGGACAATGCCAAGGTAACTTGTTCAACTTTCCGTGACGACCTTTCTGTATTGTGTGTTAGCCCATTCGGGACAAACTATCAGGTCTCTCTAGAAAGGCCAAACGACGGAAGCTCGCAATGGAGGAAGATAAAGAGGTGGGCGACGAGAAGGCTGTTAACGCAGCCATCCGCATGGCCAAAAAATCGGCACGTCCATCGAAAATTGGTGTTCCGTTGCCTGCCAAACCGTCGAACAAAAAAGCCAAGCGAAAATCACGAAATGGAAGTGCGTTTGAGCGTGACTTGGGTCAGAAAGCAAAAAACCAAGAAGGTATCAGGGCAAAGAAGGGAGACACTGTCAAACTGGGGAAGAAGGGGGCTAAGCACAAAGGAAGGAAAGCCTAGCCTGCTGTATGGTAGACTCAATCCAGTCTCCAAGGGTTCAATTTACCATGTTGAGTACGAGGGGTGGACGGGGGGACTTTGACGGATGAATCCGCATTGAGTCAGCATGCGATACATAAGGAATTTGCGTCAACGAGGAGGAAAGTTGTGTTTACCCTCGCAGGGTACTTATTGCAAGGCTAGTGTTCTAGGTAGAAGACTTGCAAGTTGTATAGATATGTGAAGTCCACGCTTCGAAGAATCAAGTCGCGGAGAAGAGCTACCAGTGGGGCTGATTCTTAAAGTTTGACGATAGGTGCATGGTGATGTAAGTTCTGCTATTCTTCATTGACTTTCAATTCTCTTTTGCAATGGAAAGGTTTTCCTATTAAAAACGAAAGGTATCTTGTAGGGAATGAGGGTCAAATCGGGTCACACAGCAGATCACAATACAGAGCAAAGACATAGCTAACAAAAGCCAATAGGGTATCCAAACATGCAATCCTGCGGGAATTGAAGAGGAAGCAAAGCAACCAGTCGAGCCAAGCAAAATGGGATCACCAAAAGAATAGCTTGCGCAAGACCGCAACATTCGGTTGATTGTTTAACGAAGACCTTGGGGGACTGTCATCGAAGTTGAAATCGGCTGAAGCAATCCTAGACTTTTGCATCTGCAACACAAGAAACAGTCAGGAGTCAGGCATGTGTCAGAGGGGGAGAGAACGTCACCTCGAGACTCATCACAGGCCGCTTCACGAAGAGTTCGGCGATATTCGGACGGTCAGGAAACGAATATTCTGGTGCGTTTTCACACTGGGCTTGACATTGATTGGTGCTGGCGATGAACCTTCCCATCATGTTGAACTTTCCCCAGTGTATCTTGGTGGAGTCGGAAGGGTTCATATCCTCGTTGCCTTCATGAGCTCGGATGAGGTCTGACATATGAACCTCCCTAAAGAGGTTGAATTAGCAGTGCCAGTCAAGAGGAATGAAGCGAACCGACAATGCAGGAATACAGGCCCCTTTGGTGTTTCGCAAAGCGAGTCGATACGCACGATGTGCGCGTATCTGCTGAAGAAGGACATCCCACGATTGAAGATTCTTGGCTTGTTCTGGTGACTTGGCTTTGAACTGTTCCATCGTTTCGTCACCTGGGAACGTGGCATTGTTGATGCCAGCGACGAATGCTCGCAATGCCGAATAGTTATTTAATGTTCGGAGACGTTGGGCAATCTCAACAAATTTCTCGATTTGACGCGCTCGTGATTTGGGTCGGTCGTGACACAAAATGAGAGATACCACCCTATAAGATCGTCAAGAGGAGAAGAAGCTAAACTGAGCGAACTTACCAGTCCCCTAGATGATTAGAGATGACATTGAAAGCCGTAATAGGTTCAGAATCGGTTTTTCGACCTGAGACAAAAGTATAGTAGAGCCAATGACGTGGCTAGGCGTAAAAATAAGCCAACAACGGTCGGTAATTGTCCGACCAGGACAAACCTTAATTTCCAAGAATCGCTTTACACCCTGCCTTGTGATCTCCTGTGCAATTTCGTCCGCGTCCGAGTTCATGACATCTTGAGCCAGCTTGACTAAGTCTTTAATCTGCTGTTTCGGAGAAGGTTCCGCGGAATCGGTCTGGTTACTATTCAAACCTGGACCAGGATAGAGCAACTTTGGCAAGGGAAGGCTTGATTTGCGTTCCCGTGAGGACGTCGGGGGAGAGACAGGATCAAACTGTGGAGGATCATCCGATGCAGAATCAAAGTTGGCTGCAGGTAGGCCAGCTTCAATAAAACTATATCCATCATCACTCGCATCATCTTCTTTTAACGCCCAGGCAGCATCTTGGTCGGAATAGGTAGATGCCAGCTCAAGAAACGGAATAAATTCTGAGCCGTAATGAATGAGATGGGTCTTGGATGCAATGAAGGCTACCAAAGCTTTCAGGGCCCCCTCGACACCTTTCACTGCAAAGTCACTTGGGTATTGTTGAGTCCATATGTGCAGTAAATGACATATCCTAGATTCGCTTCAGTAAAAAGGAAGGAGTGGAAGTAAAAGGAACAAACCGCATTTGAGCGAAGCATGCGAACATTGGATCACCACAAGGATCGTCCAGCTGACGTATTCGTTTGTGCATTGCGATCAACACGCTGCGAGGTGCCGCAAATCTCCGATATGTTAGAAGGAAGTGGTTGATGAACGTTGGATCTTGATCGTTTGCGAGTAAGATCTGAAATATCCAACAAGATTCAAAGCAAACATACCATCTCCACTGACTGCCAAAAACAAAAGCTTGTCAAGCAGTTCATCCAATGTGGCCCACTGCGCTGGTCGTCTATTTGACGAATGACTGTTAAGGACGTCCGCCAATAAGTAATCAATAAACTTACGGATCCCTCTCCCTCACTTGATTCTTGTCATCAGCCGAGTTTTGGGCATCGGTAGAAGAGCCAACCACAGGTTCAGCCTTAGATGACGAGTCGGAACTCGACGTATGAAGTAGAGATTTCTCAGACTTGGCCACCAGGATTTCCGTGCGATCATCGTTAACCATGTCGGTACCTTGCAATAATTCTGCGGTGCGAGTTGGAGAGGAAGGGACCATTGCCGAACGCAGTGAAGACGCGTCAAGTACTTCCGGCAGCTCACCAGCGACAGCAGCACCAAAAGGGATCGTGCTTATAGATGACGACACTGTAGGAGTAGCTGTTCTGGAGATTTCCCAAGGTGTTTGTTGGTTGAGAACATCTGGCGAGGCTGGATTTCGATAATCAGCAACGAGATCACCCAATTTACTGGATCCTAAAGCAGTCCTATTAGTACCCGGCAGGTGAACAGTCAAGGAAGACTCACGTCTTGCACGAAATATGGCTTTCAGAAGGAAATCAAATGATTGCCTCATTTTGACTTTCCCATGTTCAGAAGTTTTGTGAACTTCAATGAGGCCAACATCGTAACGGACTTTGAGATCTTCCGCGACTTTACCCGGTTCAATTTGAGGATCCAGATCAGCTTTGCAAGCTAGTACTACTATTGGCAATTTCAGAGCACTGTATTCACCTGATGTGTATCGTAAATCAAAGTAATGAGTGAAAATGGAAGAAAAAAACACATACTCAAGAGATTTTCAACGGGCTGGAAAGACGACTGATCGGAAGAATCATAACAGATAACAACACCATTTATGGGGGGATCACCCTCTGGGATAGGTGGGAGGCCAACATTAGTCGGCGCCATGTCCACTTCTATAACGTGAAGAAGGCAATCAGACAAGTCTTCAGCTTGACGTATTCGACCAATTCGACGTGTAACTATGTTTATTCAGTTACTAGTGAAGGTCAGTTTGGAGAGCAGAAACTTACAGCGAAGTGGACTGGGAGACGGTCCAAGTGAGCTGGGTGCCGAAAGATCGTAACCTGCTAACCCTTTCTGAATTGCAGTTGACTTGCCGCACCCAGTGGTCCCAACAACAGCAACTGTAACGACCAGTTTCGACGAAGGAATATTAGACTGTCCATTCAAGAGCGGTCAGAAACATTTTAAGATATCGAATGGAGAAACGCACGCGTCCCAGATGAGTGTTGATAATCATGCGTGACGCAGGACTCGAGGTGTAGACTCCCAAACTTCCGCTACGCATTCTCCCAGAATCCAACGTGGGTGGGTCAGCAGCTTGTCGAAGGGACTGCAGTGAAGTAACAGATTGAAGAGGCGGTCTATTCTCATGATGACTCGAACTGCTTGGTGCAGTCACACCTCGGTTCAGGAAATGGCTTGGCGTTTGAGAACGAGAGGGAAGTGGCAGTTCACCGCCGCGAATCACAGATCGTTGAGATTGACCCTTTAGAGACGCATGTCGATAGCGTTCAAGCAATGGGCTGGATGGTTCATAACGTTCAGGATCGCTATCAACGAGAGACGACGGCTGATGTCCATCACGCTCATAGGCGGCACTCTCGCCGCAACGTCGACCAACCCATTGACGTTGGGAGGGATCATAGGTTGAAGTTGATACGGAATTAGGACCAAAGACTCGAGATTGAGTGGTGGATGGAGAACCCGAGGTACGGTTGAGACCATAGCTCACAAGGGAGTCGGCTGAGAGAGACTTTCGAAGAGCCTGTGGAGGTGAGACGAGGACAGGAGTTAGATTAGTTGGTGAATCCAGCTGAGAAGGAGAGGCGTTCGCCGTGGCAAAAGAGGGTGTAGGGGATTGGAGAGCATTGGAGGTTATCGAGTTCGAGGTTGGCTCTGGGATATGGAGTGGAGGGAGGGGCGGAATATTAGGAAGTTGGTGAGCGACAGACATGAGAAATGGACTGTGTTGGCCTGTAATTGACCTGGGACTTCTGGTGGAACCTCGAATACCCTTGGCCGCAAGCAGGACAAGCAGGGCAACCTCGCAACAACCTAAGTTCCCCGTAGAGGAACTAGGCTTGCATTGTTGCCACTTGTTTACACAGGTGTGTCCGCATCAATCGGTGCACTTAAGTACTACTACTCTTACCCCCGATGTCCCCAACTGTCCTGCTCACGGTGCGTTATCCTCCTAACCCATTCCAGCCAATATATTCACAATGCAAAGAACGACGATGGCCCACCAAATTTTCACGAATCTCCTTATGTTCTCGGCTTATATCTCCACTTGACCAGGGTCCTTGGTATCCTTTCAATTATCCTATGAACTCACCTGTAATCTCATATTTCTCAAAGGCTGGAATGTTCACGTCGTTCTTCCAAGCACTCAAAAGTCATGGATCGGTATTGCGCAACTACCTCCTGAACGTTCTGCCTTTAACCGTCCCCGTCCTCAGGAAAGGCCTACCATATCAAAGAAATAACTAGAGGAAATTACTTTTATCCCAAGGAAGACGGTAAGGGTGAAACCTCTCCGAAATCCAGGCCTTTGAAGGATGGGGAACTTGTTAGTCTCCCTTTTGCGTTCTATGTATTGCCTTTAAAGGATTTGGTCTTCAGGCCGAGTGGATTCTTCTCGACGGAGTACAGCTGCTACATTCCTGCAAACTGACTACAGCTTGACTTATCAATTTAGACCCCTGCGACGTGTGCCAACGTTGCGTTGCACAACATTTTTCATGAAAAGATTGACCTTGTTGTATGTTCTCCGATTTCCTTGAGATCGACGTCTCAAGTTGTACTAGATTTCTGGCCCAAATCTTGGGCGCAACACCTCTTGTGGGTCACAAAAAAAAAAAAAAAAAAAAACGTCATATCGGGCTTACCCACATCACGTAGCGGCATTTGCGTTGTCCTCCGGCACCATTGGCGCAGCGATGTCGTCCTCGTTATCCAAAATTCGCTCCATTGCGCTGTCATACGGAACAGTCGTACATCCCACACCAACTGCCTACTTTGAACCAGCACACAATTTGGCTTGCCGTATTATCCAGCATCTCTGGAACAACTGGGGTGAGGATGAATGCGGCCTCAGGACTGGCGAAGTCGATCTGTATAGCGTCAACATCCCTCTGGTGGAAGGCATCCTGAGTGAAGAAGGGTTGAAGATTTGTTGGACAAGGATGTGGCGCAACTCCTATGGGAGACTTTTCAAAAACATTTCGACTGTAAATCAAGATTCAATCTCGTCGTACACGACCTCTATGCCAAAAAACGAAGGCGAAGAAATCGGTGATCTGCTCTTCAAGTGGTCACCTGAAATGAGGGGGCTTATTACACCAATTCCATCTATGCTTCCCTTTGGGTCTGATGGTTGGGCCATCCACAACGGATGGGTGAGCGTGACGCCCCTGCGGGCCAGCTTTGGCGAACCACATATTCACGATGATATAGACCCTGACTCTGTGGTATGGAAATTTAAATTATAGGCCTGTTCATATCAGCGTTGTACTATGTGTGTGTAGCTTTCACCAGCAATGTGGCGTTTTTTTTGGGCTGGCAATTGCAACGACCAAAGTTACATACGTATGTACTGACGCTTTAACGACAGACTTTTGGCAGGCCATGGGACTGAATATATAATGAGATAATCTGATTGATATGCACCACCATACCCAAATTATTGTCTATCAGGGCGTGGTTCTCCGAGGATATGGTCCACTATCTAGTATCTATCATATGTCCGCTATCTATCATTATGATGTACGTTGAGGGTCATTACATAGAAAATCATCAAAGGAGGAGACCTCCCAACAAAATCATGAGGTACAAGGTGGTAAATTCCATTGTCAACTTAGACGTGACTGAGTTTGTGACCCGTGCAGAAAGGAGCACCTTTCGATAGACTTTTAATGAATTTATGCTCCAGGATGCATTCTGAGGTCAGTAGATTATTTAGCTTCGACTTGAAGATCAGCAGATGACACGCACTTGGAAGTTTGCTGGGTCCATAAGCCTCTGTTCGCAAGTTCCTGGACACCCCGATGTAGCGTAGGAATTTCCCGCCCAGTCACCTATCACACAACAGATCGAAAACACGACATCACCAACAGTGAATACACCTACCGCACAAGGTGATGTCTGTCGCAAAGATTCTGCATTAGAAGACAACTCATCCACAGATCGGAAGTACTTGCCGAAAACGATTGAATGATTTGCAAAAAGTTGTCCAAGGTTGCAGTCCGAAGGCTCTAGAACGGCGGACGGTGCACCCCATCCGGAGGGATTTGGGGTGCCTGCAATGACATCTTTTGGTATTGCGACACGGTAAAATGACCCTTTGCACTCGTTGAAGTCGGGCAAAACATTGACAGTGAAGCTCACGACTCACAAATTGCAATGCTGTTTTCATCCCACTTCATAGCGAAAACCCCTCCTCCTTGCGAGTCAAAATAAGGACCGTACGACGCCCTACTCCACTCAGTCATTCCACAACCGGAGTTGCTATTAATGAAAGCATTGCAGTCTGTATGGTTCACGCCGTCGCTTGACTCGAAGGTGGTGAGAAAGACGACAAGCAAGAAGATGGTTTAACACACTGATATTGTTCCAGTGAAGTTCGCAGTAGTATCCAATGTGCATCCTGTCTTCTTTTCAGAGCATGCGGGTTGACGGGCGTTTTGTTCGCTTACCTGGCGCAGTATGCCATGCCACTTGGTTATGTTCGTTGTCGTGTACGCCCTCTATGATGTCAACTTCACCGTCCTAAACGTTGAGATGTCAGATACTTCTGCAGGGTCTCTCGCTATGAACGAACATATGGCCAGTTCCCTCCAACTGTCCAGAAAGCGGGCCAGACGGCTGACGGAGGAAATAATTCAGTAGATTCATTGCAACAAGATTGGAACAAACCTACCGCATCCCCACGGTGCTCTGTTTAAATCCAGGATAAATAAACCGGTGTTGTACTGGGCCTGACTCGATATTCGGACACTACGGTTGAGACGTTGGAAACAGGAAGTACTGTTCAAGGTGCCAGCAGGGAGAAGCTCACCTGTTCCGGTATACACCTGAAGCCAACGATGTCGTGTTATCTGCCTTCATAATAACAATACCATTGTCCTGCACGTAGACGAGACCAGTCTGACGAGCAACAGTTTCGTTGACGTAGCTGAAGGACGATCAGTTTCTACTCCACACGCATCACGATGGCTGTACTATTCAAACCCACTTCACTTGGCCACTGGAAGGACGTTGATTAGGGTTTGGAGAAGTGTTCTTGAGAACTCACTTTGTTGGATCGGCGCCAGTAAAGAAATCCCATAAACTGCACGGTAGAACAAGTAAGCTGAGTCCAAGACGGTGAACAAAGATAGAACTCTACTCAAAAAACGTCTGCCCAGAGTACGAATCTTGCGGTAACCAAAGAAAACTTGATCCATTAGGGTTATAATTGATAGAATTGCCCGATGCAACGTAGAGGCTACGTGAAGGCCACAAGTGTTCGCTGAGCGATGGAAACCAGGAGCTGGCCTGGGGTATTGCAACAGCTGGGTAGTAAATTATGAAGATCAGGAAATAAGCAGGGAGCATGATGTTATCGGAAAGGGAGGCAAGCGATGAGTATTATATATAGCGGACAAGGCATCCCGTGAACAAACCTCGGACAAGATGTTGGATCGCTAAACATAGCGCACCACTTTATCGGCTACAGAACGGCGAACAATGGAAACGACATGCGTGCCGCAGCACGTCTTGCTGTTGCCTCGTGTTCAGTGCGTTTATGGAGAGGACAGTAATTATTAACGGCTGTCGACATCCTCCCCGGAATATGATACGAGCATGCATGAATTTCGAACTCAATCGTTTTGACTTCGTAGCGTAGCATACATGTGACATAGCAAGAGACGCATGGATGGATGACGTAAGTGAACTGAAATGATGACAAAAAATAATCAACGGTAGCGACGGAGGCTGAGAGTATTGTGTTTCTTCCAGGTAGAACGAGCTGGGGTATGGTTGTGACGGTGACCCTTGCCCAATCCACGATTCTATGGCGTCGTCAGAAGAAGACCAAGTCTTGAGGACAGCATCACAAACCTGCTTTCCGATGCTCGTAAGACCCCGTGCCTCGCGACGGGTGTGCACAGGGTTGACAATCCAATTGATCCGCGGGTCCCGACGGATCTGAATCCAACCGAGGTAAGTTGAAGTGTAGTTCTTGCAGAAAATAAGAGAGAACTTACCGCCTTGTGGTGAGGATCCACCAAGATCACCTCGTAATACTTGTACACACCATCCTGATTCACCCAGTACGAGTTCAGCACCCTCAAATTACCGCATCGTTTTCCTACTCGCTCTTCGGCGGTGCTCCTGAGGCCTCGTTGGAACTTGAGGTGGTTGACACCTTGACGGACGGGTTTACCATAGGTGGCACCTAAAAAAGACCCCGACAAGATTTAAAACTGCTGCTTCACAATACTTCACCTACGTACCCTTGGGAACGTGTTTCTTGCGGTTTCCACGGCGCACTCGGACACGGTAGACGACGTACCCTTGCTTGGCCTTGTAACCGAGACGGCGGGCCTTGTCAGGACGAGATGGTCGGGATGCGCGATGAATGACGTTCAGCTGGCGATATTCCCAGCATCTACATTAACGATGAGGTGGTGATCCAGTGTACCCAGAAAAAACTGACCGCACGCGAAGCAGGAAACGGAGGACATCCGACTGCTTTTTTTTATACAGTTCACCAATGTACTTGTACGCGCCCATCTTGCGGCTAAATCGACGTCGTCAATCGGACTAACATGTTGAAGATGAGTAAACACACCTGTGGCTTGAGGATGTTGGGGCTGGCTGAGGCCGGCGACGATAATACTTTACGTTGACTTGACCGTGGGATAGAACTGTATAGTACTCTTATCATGTGACCATTGCCAGTTTTGATGGCATTCATGTAGCACATACAGTGTTCCGGCACTCCTTCGGACACTATCACTCCTTCGGACACTTGGCTCTAACTCATGCAGATCAACATCACTCATCGTCAAACTTGGCATATGTCTGTAGATAGGTATAGAGGTCATGTATATATAAAATTGGATTAATTGGTGAAGTTCTCAAGGTGCTATGAGTGAATTACACTGAAAGTGATCAAATTGTGAAAGGCTGCTATGCTAATCTTAGATTTTGCTCAGATCCGACGAACCACCCATACAGCAAAAAATCTCGTAGATATAAAACCCTATCGCAACGGTATTAATAAAAGAATTGGGACGTTTAGAAGGAAAATGGGGGCAGAGGAAATGTTACACATACTGAACATTGACGATGTGACTGCACGGTATGGCCATAAGCTGATTTCTCCCACACTTTTGGCGGTGTCACATGGTGTCCGAAGGAGTGAATTCCGTGACATTTTGCCCACTTTCTTGAACAGCGTATCTATTCATGTTCCGGGCTTCGTTTATCTTGAAAATGTGGAATTACATAGAAGATGTATTGGTAAACAGGAATGTCAAGTCAGAATGGATTATTTTGGTGTGTGGCCGCTACAAAACGGGAATGTCCTTAGCCTGTCCGAAGGAGTGCCGGAACACTGTAAACTTAAAGTGAAATCTGCATATCCTGACCATATAGAATTTGTACGAGACTAACTGCCCCATGGCCACCAGCTTGAGATAAGTATTTTCCAGTCAATTGGGCTGGTTCCCCGCATCAGAAGCTATAATATACAGTACATTGGATACTTATTTACCAACAGATCTAACTTCTGAGTTTAACCAAAGCGGTGATCATAAATAGAACCCATACAGAGAGTATCAGTAACAGTCCTAGCAGCCCAAAAAATTCTCCTCGCCGCACTTCCCTCCTGGTTTTGTCCACATCTCGGTAATGTGCCATTCGGGCTCTTGAATTGCGTCGGCCGGGATCATGGCCTTCCGAGTCCTCCAAAAGCGAGCGCTCTTGGTCAACACTATGAACGGAATTTTCCCGAGGTCTCGCTGAAATGGTAACCCAGCGCTCCTTGTGCTTTTCAAGGAAAATTAACCACACAATGCTCAATAGTTGAAAAACGTTCAGGATCAGGAAGGCATCGAGAAGACTTTGTGCTGCAGCCGGCCCAGAGCCCTTCCCCTTGATGTCTAACACAAGACCAGCGAGCGTTTGAAAAAGTGTTGATCCTGTCTGTTCCATCTAGAGAAAGTTCCGAAATCAGGGTGTCGGATACACCTTGAAAATGTTCTTACACTCTTGTGCGCTCCAAGAGCGGTCGAAACATATTTCAAAGGCACAATCCTTGGAACAAGCATCACGAGCAACACTGTAAGCCATGAGAACGTCATCCCGTCACATCCCGAGTGAAAGAGCACATCACTAACAAGGTGCAAAACCTTGGCCAATTGCAAAGGTAAAAATAGCTGGCACAGGGGATCGTGTTATCTTAGCAGGGAACGCAAGCCATGTGTAGGCAGTTAACGTTAGCACGGAAGACAAAGCCAAGAGTTGTATGACAATTGGCCGATGCTTGAAGCGATCAACAAGAAATCCACACTAGTATAAGAGCATGAGATAAAGAATACGCAATATCCTCCATCCAGCTTACGATCGGATATAGCACCAAGCTCCCAGCCAAAAGATATGAGGCTTGGTTAGCAGCGCCCTCTTCCGACATTCCATAGCGTTTCTCGATGATATTCCTGAAGGTTGATAAGATCACGCGAGAAGATGGAAAGACGACGACGAACGCTGCAAGATGGGTGAATGGGGACCAAATCATTCCGCAGAAAATGTTGAGGCCTATATATCTATGCACACGTCGTGAATAAATGGATCAACTATAATCGAAGACCAGCGTACGCCCAAAAAACATCCCCAAGTCTTGCGATCTGACGAAAGTGGACCTTCCTCTTCTCGGCCACGTTTTCTAGAGCTTGGGCTTCAGTCATGTTGCTCGACAGACGCCGACGAGCTTCCTCAGTTATGTCGGAGGCTTCAAGTTCTGCTTCTGCGCCTTCAACAAGCCACTTTGAAGACACTACGTATACTAAATTGACAATAACAGACAAAGCAGCCAGGAATGTCGCCACATAGAATGGGGCTCGGGGGCCAAAGTGTTCCGCGAGTGGGTATGAAGTCCGTGCAGAAATGAATGATGCCCCTTTGCCTGCGATTAGACCAAAAGCCATAGAAACACCGAGACCATGCGACTTGAAGAATCGAATGATGATAGTTTCTTGCACGACGGAGAGGGGGCTGATGCCCACTCCAAAGATAAAGAGGCCAAGAGTCATCCACCTGACGCTTCCCCATGTGTCGCCTAGCAGAAGTATAATCTGGCCTTATGAAAACTCAACGTCGTTTTTCCAAATGTGATAAACGTAAACACACCCAGCAGTATGACACCGGTGGCCAGGATGCTGGTAAACGTCGTCCCGAGCCTACTCGCGAGCACTCCTCCTACAAGGGGTGTCCAAGTGCTATTTAAACTATAGGCAGCGATAAGAAGTCCGAACTCTGTGTGCGATGTGCCCATTTCCCGTTGCAACCGACTTTTCAGTGGGCCTAGCAAATTCGATGCACTAGATGACGCTGGTTTCAGATAGCACTCCATTCAAAACTCTGTGCGTACTAGTGACTCCCAACACTCAGACTACACGCACACAGGAGTGCTAAACCTCGAATGAAAGATGCTCGCCGCGAATACGGCTTGCGAGTCGAGATCGACTGCGCCAGCGCAGGCTGTAGGGTTTCGTCCAACTCTATAAGGCCGAGCAATCCATCTGGCTCTGCGGGCTCGCTGTAGTGTTCCGAGTCTGAATCGCTGTCTGCTTTGGCTAAAAGTTCGTTGCATGACGAACGAAGGTGATTCAACCCAGCCGCTGAATCAGTGGGCATCGATGAACAACGAGCAGGGGTGCAGAAACGAGAGTCCTGGGTTCAATCGTCAACTAATCAAGATGGGTGTTGATGAAATATCAAGTAGTGTGAAGCACAGTCCAAGTACCAGCTAAGTAGTAGTACGCTTGGTATAAAGCTTCACGTGATTCAAGTCTCGACTTCAAGATGCTCCCCCCTCCCTCAAATTTTACATTGCGATTACTCCGAGGCGACTGGTTCGAGCCTAAGTACAGGCACTGTTCCGAAGTTCTGGCATACATAAAGACTCGATAAAAAATAAGTAGCGGTCAACACTGCTGGTCAACACACTTCCAAGGATGTCATGGTACAATCAGCACACCATTTATACCAATCGTGATGCGCTATCAGCGTCACTGTTTTTTGCTTTCAAAGCGGCTTGTCTACTGGCCACCAGCCACGAGCAAGTCGCAATAATCGCCAAAATGCACAACCCAAATGCTGACCAGCCAAGAATTTCCACCGTAAGGGACTGACGGCAGCTGTGGATCATGATATTGAACGGCTGAGTTGAACATCGATATGCGATGCATACCGGGATATGATAGGGCTGCCTGGGCAGCTTCCGCCGGTCCTAGTGTTATGCATCAGCCCGGCAGCCGATCCCTACAAATTGAAGACAGTCAGTGGGAATATAGATTTTCTTTCAAAGAGCTTCACCCATAATATTGACGTAACCAATAGCCATGCCAAAGAGCTGGCTACATTGGCTAGGATATGTCCTGCGCCATCGACCTGGCAAAGTGAAAGATGGTCACAATGGGAAGAAGTATAGAGGCCTGAACTTGAATCACGCACCAACCAGAGCAAGTAGGTCGAACCAAACAATGTAGTCCACGCCCCGTTGAAGCAAAAAAGGATTATCCTTTCTATCGCTTAGTCTCGCTCTCAAGGTTAGTCATTCTGCGAGATACTCACAAATGGTGATATCGTGGAGTTGGCCACGTCTGCTTGTCGACGCTTGCATTGATGAGGAACGCGGTAAGGCCTAGCTCCGCCATAGCACACAAGGTTAACGTCGTGAATAAGAACGGGTGATAGTGAGCTTCAACGAGGGACATTTCAAAGCGAAGCCGGAAGATGATGTGCAAAGGTCTCGTAGAGTGAAATTTGGATTTGTTGCTTCCGAGAAGAAGAAGAAGGGAATGGATGTGTTGGTAGCTATCTGGCACCTTTGTGTCTAGATCGTTGGTTGAAATATCGCGAGGATGCCGTAGGCGGGTGGGACACGCAAAGGGGGTAACATCGCATCTTCAAACGACAACAGACGCTGTGTGTTCATAAATCAACAACACATTGTGAACGCATGATGGGAGCCGAATTTGAGACATGGAGTAAATTCTCACCTAAACCGGATAACGATAAAAGAATACTGAGTAGCAATCGCTAGGCTGTTAACCACACCAAGGATCTGTTGAACATTATCCGAAATCCACGAAGAGGTCAAAAACGGTGGCAGAGAGCACCGAAATGAAATGAAGTGTGGCTCATCTACACGTGTTCACTGAGGTTGTTGCGTCAGCGTCACGGTGCAGTGCGTGTTCACAATGCAGGGAACTTGAAATGAGCCGTCCAATCAGAGAACGAGGCATGTTCGAGCAAAACACAGAGTGGTACAGACACACGCAAGTGCGATTTCGCTGCATTGATTTCATCCGTTATCTCCGGCGGAGTCTCGAGACAACAACCCGCCGTACACTCATTAAAAATGAGCGGCTATCGAATGGACGATTGTCCATTCTCAGGTTTTCCCTGAGTCGGATTTACGTACGAATTTACTTTTACATCTCAAGTGCCATTTGAGCAATTTTCAACGCACCCTCCCTTGTTTTGTTGCCTGTTCACTCGATAGTGAGTATCAAGGAAGGACAGAGGGGGCCGTGCATACCACCAATGAATCCGGATGCGTGGATAAAAATTCCACCGTCGATGCCAGACACTTTGGAGAGTTCCTCGTCCCTCAAACCCCTCCAGACTTCTGGTAACGCATTGCGGCTGTCAAAGCTCTCGGGGGACACGGGAACTGCCTGGACACGCCAATTACCACCAAATTCATCGGGATAAACAACATAGATGGCTTGGTTGGGCTCGATAGCAGGATTCGAGCCATCGGTCTCTAGTTCAAATAGATGCTCCTGCAGAAATACATCAGTTTTGTGCCATCGCCAGAGGGCGTCAGCTAACTACCTTCCAAGGCAAAAACTTCTCGAAAAGAATAATTTTACCACTCGGATCGATGAGGCTTTTGCTTGATAAAACAGATGCTAGAAGAAGGTCTCGGGCAGGAAGCCATGCATTGCTATAATAGTTTAGACGGCCAAGAAACTCTTCTCCAGCTAACAGAGATGCTTTGACAAATTGAGCCTGTAGAGAGTAGATGAGAAGATATCGGCGACTAAACAGAGGGTGTGACGTGCATCAACGGTTTCAGAATCGGCAGGTTGATTCCATGCGGGATTGAGCGCCCCAACGCGGCTAGAGAGGTCGGTGCGGCTACGATAGAGCGGCTTGATATCAGTGGGGTACTGAGAAATTCCGTTGTCAATTGCGTCAATGGCTTCAATAAATTCCTGGATGATAATGGGATCTCGTCAAAGTAACAAAGGAAGTAGAAAGGTGGTACCTTGTACAATTTAAGCCAGAGAGTCGTAACCTTGGGGTCCTCCACGGGAAGCCCAGTCTTGTTAACAATCACATCGAGACCAAAATGCCTTGAGATGTTGGTGTTATAAATGGATGATATAGGGGGCAAAACTCACTTGTATACAAGTCCAGCTGACGAGAGCTTCGTTTGAAATCCGTGCCCAAAAACCTCAGTGAATCCGCGCTGGTGATGATCGAAACGCTGCGTTGGCTCGTCGTAGACTGCTCCAACGTCCACCACGATGTCGCAAGTGTTGAGAACGGCTGGATCACGGCTACGTTTCAGACCTTTGAAGACGATGCATCAGAATTCGGGGGACATGAAAAAATAAAAACTTTACCGGCATCTCGATAGGTTGAAGTCTGCCTAAGCAGGAAGACGGCAAGGGCCTCGTCGCAATGAAATGTGCCGTTATGGGTTCCGATCACCTAAAGAAAGGGGGGCATTTCTAAGTTTCGAGATCAGACTAGAAAAGGGATCGCACTCTTTCCATCTTTTGTCGCTTGGATTCTGAGGGGGTAGCCATGAGGTGGAAACGAGAGGTAAGTGATGATCGCAGATGCCTTGAGAGAGGACGTAAGAGGGCTAAAATGGACATTGCTGTGCCATGTAAAAGCCATAAATTCGTGTAACTGTCTATGTGTGCGTAACTGGTATAAAGGAAAATGTCCAGATATACGATGCAAATTAGAGACCGTAAGAGTAATTTAGTTGGAGCATAGCTCAAAATGTCTGTGTCATTGTCCTATAGCACGAGCAATGCTCCTCCCAGAACGAATCCAGCGACGCCAACAGCTAAAGCGTTTTGCTTGAGAGCTATCGCGGCAGCGATGTAGCCGTCACCTGGGCCATAAGCCCCTCCAGTAGCACCCGGGACAGGCGCACCATTCCCTCCACCTCCGTCAATGCTTGTAGGAGCAGTGGGAAGATTTTGGGACGTCGTGGTTCTCGATGAGCTGGTAGCGTTACCGCTAGCGGTGGCGGATGCACTGGAATTTGATGAAGCGGTGGAATTGGGGGAAAGGACAACTTGTTGAGTAGTGGTGAAGACGAAGGTGCTCGTCGCTGTGCTGCCCTGCGTGACAAAGGCAGAAAGGGAAGTTGAGGTGATGACTATCCGTGTAGCATTCTAGGCAAACGTTAGGAATGACTTGCAAACATATAAGATGAAATCAAAAAACCTGAGAGAGAGCGAAGATAGGGAGGAAGAGGAGGACGAGGAGGGAGTTGATGAACATAGTTTTGATCTAAACCCGAAACTACCACCATCACACAGAATAATGAACGTTGAGCCCCTTTCTTCCTCCGCTGTCGCCACCGTCCTAAACTACATATGTCCTCTCAATGCATCTCTTCCTCCCCATATCCTGTCAAAGCCCCTGCTGCAACGCCACCATTTTTTGCATCTGACTCCGGACAATCCTCTTCATTATCTCGCATGGCCTCCTCACGACGACGACCTTCTAGACCACCTCGACATCTCAGAACAAGCTTCTTCTTTTTCTGTTCGCTACTCAGCTGACAATCAATATATCATTGCCCACGCTCGTGTTACTCCTCAATCATCCCATCATCCCGGCATCCGTCTAGTATTTCTATGGGATCCGGAACAGTCATCTTGGCAGTACCACAATCTGGCACCCATGCCCTTTCCAAAGGATTCACATTCTGCTCTTTCTGATGCCATTGCCATACACCAGTCTTCTTGCGATTTTCTTCCCGATTCCCTGAATGTGGTCGTGGATGGCGACGACAACGATAATTCGTACTGGAACTCCTATTCTCAGAAGGGTGACGACTCGCCCCCGGCTTTGGATACGAAGCCTGGCCATCACCTAAACTCGGAAGATGCTTACTGGGCTCAATATGCAACAGTCCAAGGTATGTCTCCGGTTTCAATCATCAACTACTCAATCATATTTTCGACAGGTTCAGGAGACTCTACTTTCCCTTCTCCCCTCCCCAATAAGCAAACATTCTCTCAAGGGGACGGCGGCACCAATCGACGTGTCATCGTTGCCTGTAACGAGCTTCAACAGAACGCGGCTGAACTTTATAACCCCCTCAATCCTCCGTCTCCTAATTCCCTTTCCCGTCGATTGACCCTGGTCTCATCAAGACCTGATCCCCCCCAATTGCTCGACGACTCCCCACCATCCGACTCAGACACCCCCTCTCCTCACGCGCCCTCCACTGAAGTCGAAATCACGCCCAACCCACAAACCGTTACTGCTGAATTGCAAGAAGCCCTGCGCGACAGTATCAAGGGTATCTACGGTCTGTGGTTCGCAGGACAACAGGGAAAGAACACGGATGAGGCTCGAGGCCTGTTTTTGACTCTCGTTCGGCAAGCCTTGGATGAATCTGCGATTTGAATATTGGGGTCCGCAAGTGCGCAAATGCCTCATTATTGTTGCGTGTAACATCAAGTGCTTCATCCAGGTTCCATACCTGACAGAAGGAGAGAAAAGACCGAGCACCTCACTGCTTGACTGCAGAGAGGTTTAGGTGGTAAATTGGAAGGTACTCGGGTATATTTGGTAGAGGCTAGATGTACTTCCGGTTTGAAATTATAACTTTGTACAACAGATTTGAAAGCATCAGATAACATGTAAACAAGAACGGAAAAACTTGAATTGGATTCAGGACGAAGCCTCGCAGGGGTCGGGTTCGATGGCACTTTCTTCGGTCGTCTCGTTGCCGTCACGCCGAGGCAATGGGGGTTGATCAGGAAGTCGCTAAATCACGTCATACAATGAGGAGCACAGTGTAAGAAAGGTCGAGATTTCTCACCTTGAATGCGAATTTGCAAACAAGATATCCCTTGGGATTCAAGCCTTTCTCCATCCAGGCCTGTGCAGTGAATGAGTAAAATATGGCGAGGTGTGACAGCATACTTTACCTGTTCGACGCGATAAAGACCATCATATCGGTAGCTAGTAAATTCCAACCAAAGTTAAATAGAGTGATATTGTCTGTATGTGAAACGCTTGCCCTTCACTCGGTGCGTAGGGAGATTTGAGCTTGAACCCACGGATTACCCTGACAGGTTTCTTGGTTTCGGATGACCGCTGTACAGGGCAAGTAAGCTTGAGGAGAACATATGAGGTTGAGGCTGAACACCTTCAACATCTGATTAAACTGCAGAACCTCAGCATCATTTACACGAATAATATAAGGAAAAACAAACAGTATTGTCGAATGTCTGATCAGAGCTCTGGGGAGCTGTACGAAGCTGCATTTGCGAGTGAGAAAAGCACACCAAAGTTTAACGGACTCCTAACATTTTTTGGAGCAGTTTTCGTTCCTTTAAGATCTCGTCCACCTGATGGAATTCAGCCGTTTGACGGAGCAAGGCAAGGGAACGAGCATGGAACCAACCTGAACCTGTGTATGTGCTGCGACAAGATTGATGAGGCGTCAAGAAGGGAGGGCTTTTGTGCTCACAATGCGTAACCCAAGTCAACGTCATCGTCATAACCGCCACTGAGTGCTACACTGTGTGCTCCTTGACGTCCTCCGGATATACCTCCAACCCACGGACTAATAAAATCTCAGATCACGTCTGCGTTGGTGGAGTAGACGTACGCGTGGATGGCATCGATACTACAACCCTGTCGAGTTTCCCACCACGTTCCAACTCCTATCCCTGGGATGGAACCATAGGTTTTTCTATTCAAGTGGTATGTGTGTCGTTTTTTTTCAACATCAACAAGCAACACAAACGGATCATGCTTCCTGAAGCCATCGTCGCGTCCAAGAGGGCCTTCATTTTCCGACGTCTTCACACCACTCGAAAATGCCAATGGGAGGGCCTGGTCAGCTCGAATTTCGCCTCGATAGTCGACGTGCTTCCCGGTGTTTCTCGAGCTTCTTCGGACAGTAGAATCGGAGTTCGTCGCCATTTCGACGCATTGGTTCTTTGCGGCGGGCTGTGATGCCTCATCATTGGTGGCGGTGGACTTTCTCTTTTTTGAACTGGTAGAAGGTTTTCGTTTCTGCTCTTTTGGTTCAATAAGGGGTTTATCTAGCCCAAGTGCCTCAAGCATTGCTTTGTTCTGGGGAAGGAATGCTCAGTTCGCGTGTTTAGTCAACGAATTTTGAATGCATGACGAACTTTCTGAATATTGATATTTCGAGACTTTTCATATTCGGATATCATTTTCCTAGGGTTTGAAGCAAGTTTGGAGAGTCAGAGTGGTAGACCTGAGGAGCCAATGATTATGAGGAGCCACCTTGAGCACCTGAAGCGCGCTTAAATTCGAACGTGTAGGCACATCACATGACCGTGTTTTTACATAAATAAGGGTATACTATCCGTAACCTGAGTTCTACTCTTAAGACTCTGTGAAGACTTGTACTGTCTCCAGCTAAACTTTCTTGAGCTATAAAAAAAATATGTGAATGCGCGTTTCGCATTTAAGTGCAAAATAATTCACCCGTTCTGTGTTTCTGTGAATCCTCCCGTCGAGGCCGACGGTCTTACCATCTATCCTTTCAATCCTAGCATTCTGATTTTCAAGCTCTTGACCCATCGCCGTTCCCAGTGCTTTGAGTCGTTTAGTCATAGAAGATATTTCGTCCAAGTTGTCATCTAGCTCATCCTCAAGTTCATCGTCAGAGGCGTTGGACTCAAATTGATATCGTTTCCGTTGTTCCTTCTGCATGGCTAGCTGCGACGCATTCTTGGCTCCGCGACCTCCGAGTAACTCTTCATCGTCTCCACGACCATAGGTGGTCGCCATCCCAAGACGGTTATGAGACTCCCGAATGTCCATCATGGCTTTCTCTCTCTCCGTACGCTCTTCTTCAAATCGTGCTTGAACTTTAGCATCCTGTGCTGCTCGTTTCGCGTCTTTGTTGAAGGTAATGACAGGCCGGAAAATGGAACGATTCAGTTGCTTAAGTTCGTCTGTTTTGTCATCCGCACGTTGGGAGTGGCCCTTAGCAACGTCGAGATGACGCTCAGTGTTCGCAAGTTTCTCTGCAAGAACGAGTCAATTGTTGAACCGAACAATATGAGAAGAAACATACCCGACTGATCACCCAATCTCGTTAAAGTATGACGGGCAGTCTCTTCGGCCTCACGGGCCATGCGTAGTGCATTTCTAGTGGAGTTGACACTCTCTTGTTTGACAAAACGAGTTTGTTGCTTTATGCCTTCAATGTCTTCATCCTTCTCTTCGCCAGGTGTAGGATCCCTTCCGATGTCAGGGCCATCGAAGAATCGACCAGAACCGGACTTCTGCGGGTTGTAACCAGAGAAGAGCTCATTGCGATCACTTTCGAGCTCAGCTCCGCCGCGGGCATACACGTCTCCGATTCCTCTATTCCTGCTGTACTTATCAGCCAAAGAAGCGCTCTCTTCGCTTGCAGAGTACGCTGATGCTGATCTGCTTATTGGCGAATTATAAGGGTCGCCGTCTCGGCTGGGAACATATGTGTGATGATATGCAGGTCGAGGGGACGAAGTATTCGGGGTAGAAGCTGGTGGTGTTACAGCAGGAATCAGGTTTTGGTTTTTCTTCTTGAAAAGAGGCATGAAGGATGAGGAGAAGTGGTAAGTAGTTTGGATACGAAGGCAGTGATGAGCTGTACTTACTTTGTATTGCAATTGTTTACTTTTAATAAATAGGGTCACATGATTATGTATTTCTGGTGGACTTTGAAAACAAGACAGACAATGGTACATAATGGAAACCTTCCAATCTCATGTCCTTTTACGGTCGTGCTTCTTCGTCGAGTCCTTCTTCTGCTTTCCTACCACGGTAACTCCCTTTCCGCGTTTCACAACACTCTCTAATGCTGCTCGTTTTTGCCTTTTCACACCTCCAATACTCTTTGCCCTGGCAAATTTGTCAACGGAGGTGTTCAATGCGTCGCGTTGCTTCTTTTTCATTTTGCGTTCTTTTCCGCGTAAAGAGCGTTTCTCGGTGGGTGTAAGTTCACTTCGAGCGCGTGGTTCCGAAGATGAGGGTAAAAAGACTTCTTCGGGGGCGAGCATTGTGGCAGCGGACTTTGTTGTTGGGAGAGCAGACTCGAGGGTCGTCGTCGAAACATTGGCAATGGCTGAAATCACGGCTTTGGGCTGTTCAATATTCGTCAACTAGCACGCAAGAGAAGAATTATACACATAGCGCACCTGCTTGGGAGTGAAATGTGCATTGCACAATGCATCCAATTTTCCACATATCTTCTCCCAAAGTGCCTCGATGGCATCATGTTCCTTCTTCAGTTTACCATCACGATCATCTGCAGCTTCAGCTCCTGCGCTATCGATATAATCATTCTCATATATTTGCGCCAGAGATTGAATGGATTTTGTATCTTGTAGTTCAAGCAATCGAGAGGGTAGAAAAGGCTTGTCTTCGAGTGGGCGCAACCTGACAACATCGTCGAATCGGTTTTCTAAAATTCGAGCCTTTATTGTTTCTTCTAAACTTTGGACTATCTCTTCTGTGATAATCGGTACAGCCTTCATGACGCGATCAAATTCCAGATCCTCTTCCAAGAGCGAGTTTTGCGGTCGAGCTCGAGAGCCAGCTTCTCCCATCAACGTCCATGACTTCTTGGTGACATTTTCTGATTCCAGCTCCGCAATCTCTTGACGCAACGCAGCCATTCGTTGTTCGTGTGCGGTCAAATCTAACCACAAAAAAAAATTAACTTAGAATGAGAGGGAGACGATCCTGGAAGACTGACCTTCGAGGAGAGCGTCGTCCTCCTCCTCCGCAAACAAATCGTCTTTTAACCTCTCAATCGTCTCCCTGTGCCCTGAATTCCGCGTTTCATCACGAGACTCCTCGTCGGAGTCTTGAGATTCATCTTCTAGATCCAACTCCATATCGTCGTTCTCCGCCATCTCTACGTCAAGGGTATTGCTCACAGGGAATTCGTCATCCTCGTCTTCGTCGTCTTCATCATCCTCATACAATGATTTATTCTTGCCTGAGGGTTTGATCGTCCTAACCCGCACTTCTTGATGAAAACGTACTCCGCCAGGCCCATTTGATATTTTCGCCTGTGATGGTACTTTTTTCACTCGGGAGACACTTTTACGAGGGGCTTCAAAAAAGTCGCCATAAAATGCTTCTAACCAAAGACTCAGCGTTACCCTGAGGTATTAAAAGGAACCCATACCTCCGGGATCGTTTTCGAGGTCGTCTTCTTCAAAGTTCGAACCCTGAGCTATGGGAGCGAAAAGGTCTACGGACGCGTCGTCATCAGAATCATCTTCGTCCGCCAAGCGACCTTTTGATGCGGATCTCGCTTCTGCTTGTTCTGTTTCGGCGTTGAAAGCGGAGAGGTCGAAAAATCCGTCGTCCAGCACAGATTTTCCTTGTTTTGGATGAGCTGGTCTTCGTCGGCTATTCAGCGATTCATCCTCAGATTCTTCGTCCGACGATGGGCCACGCAATGTCATGACACCTTCTTCGTTAAAGTCCTCCTCACCACCTTCAACGCTATCCTCCGTTTCATCCCCGCTCTCCTCCGCAAAATTCTCTGAGAGACTAGAGTCATCACTTTCAATGTCGTCAAAAAACTGATCCATGTCAGCTTCCGGATCTTCTCCAAGAGCGGCCAGAGCATCTCGTAGCCTTTCAGCTTGCTCTCCGTCTTCACTGACGTCGTCTTCTGCAGGGTCCCCTTCTAGAACATTTTCAAGCATATCACAAACAGGCTTTGTCCGGAGATCCAGTTGAGCCCAAACTTGATCTTCGTCCAAACCATCAATGAATAGCGACGTTAGAGGTGTTGGGTTCCAGATCCCTTTCGAAACAGGCGGGGGTCTGGGAGAGGCTGCATTCGCCCGAGCTTGAGACCTTGTCTGAGGAGCATGAGAGGGCTGCAAAGAAGATAGCAGGGCCACGATATGAGGTCTTGAAGTATTTTCGGACTCAATCGCTGAAAGTTGGATTGGTACAATAAAACAACGGGCCTAGCTTTGCACTTACACAGATCAAAGAGGTACTTGACAGCAGCTAAGGTTGAAGTTTGGGCACCCTGACTCCCAGAGGCAAAAAACTGTGAGGGTTCATGAAGAAAGACAGAGACATTTCCAAGTTCCTTGGGCAAGGCCATAGCAGTTGAACAAAACTTTATTTTACTGTCCGATGTATGTTTGTTTGGCGAAGTCCGCTTCCAGTTGCTAAGTGCATACCTGGTAAGTACGATGACCATAAACAGTGCTTCAAATCGAATAAAGGCGATTTCGGTATACTTTCACCTACCGCGGAGCCGGACATTGTGGACAATGTTGAATGAAGTAACGCAACGCAGAAAACAATGGCTATCGGTTACGTAACCACCGACCCTCGTTACGCCTTTGTCTTCCTGCATCAATTCTTCGCCGACAGCCCACGGTCAAGCTATAAAATGGACCTGCAGCCCAAGAGGGAGTGTTCTATATCGCTTGATCGCGTCTTCCTACGTTTTTATTTTGTCTTCCATCCAAAGCCGCAAGCCGGGCGTTTCATACCACCTCACGACCCTCACACATTCTTTGCTTCTCTTCAACGCAGGTCATGATAGCTGGACTTTCAAAAGCCGTCACTCTATACCTCGCCCCCATTCTTGCACTTACGGCGACGATTCTTACTCTTTTTGCGTACCTAGCGCCGTCCCTCTTGCTCCACGACCAAGTCGCCCTGCTTATTGTAACACCGTCTACTTCACTGCTTCAAACTGGCTCTTCACAAAGCGTGGATGGCCCAAGTGTTTTCTTGGGGGTATTAGGTACGTCGCTGAATCTTCCCGCATCCTTCTGACTTGACAAGATTCATCCAGGTTCGTGTTCACGCTCAAAAAACAGTGCACCAGTGAATTGCACGGCGCCAACCCTATCTCCGCAGTATGGTAAGTTAAAGAATGAGATTCTTTCCAGCTTGATTAAAAACCTTGTTTAAATTTCAGACCTCTCCGTGCTTCCTGCGAACTCTCCGAACCTTCTGCTCTCGGCACCCACGGCAGCTACACCTGCGTTCATTGCTGTCGCGATCTCCTTCTCAGCGTTGTTCCTCTTCACGTTCACTTTAATCTCCTTCCGCAATAAACTGGGGTCCAAAATTTCGACTATATTGGAGAAACCCATACTGCAACGTTTATCGGCATGGATTGGATTCTTCGGGTTCATCATTGGTACCTTGGAATTTCGCCTGCTATCACCTGCGTGTTTTATTGATTTACATGCTGTCAAGGACTCACTTCTTTCCTCATCCTCCGAATGTGGTTCGGAAAAGCTGTCCAGGATTTCAACGCCAGCATTACGAGTCAAGGTCAACAAGGACCTAAACTCGTTGCCAACACTGGTAACGCCTTCACGAGTGCGTTGTACATCAATGATCTGTCTACGAAGTACTGACGAACGTAGTGGTTTGGGTGGCATACGCGTTTTTAGCGGTGCCCATTATTGCTTCGCTATCCAAGTTGAATGTAATGGCGTCGAAGAAATGAGTGATACATAATTGCACTGTATGTTAGGCTATGTTAGGAGTCGTACATAATTAATTCTGGGTGGATGTGTACGGGCCGCTGTAAGCCGCCGACCCGCCCACGGCAATCGGGCCGACGCTGCCATCACGGTCATGTGTAAGGGTTAGCACACGGTGTGACCATTTGTTGCCACCAACCGAATACGCCAAGAATACGCGACGGCTCCGCCAATGAACTTCTATTTGACTTTCATAGCCCCTAGTCAGCCGCAACGTTAATAACCGGGTAAGAAATTCGATGCCAATTTACTTATAAAAGCCGCTCGTCGTCGAGGCGTGCTTCGTTGCCATACCCCAGTTGACCCCAATACCAACCCAATACATCCCAATTCTCATTAAGCTTCATCGACGATGAAGCTTAACACCACATTCTTTGCCGCTCTTCTGTTAAACGCTTCTCTCACTTCCTTTGCAGCCTTAGTACCCGACCTTCATGGCCGCAACCCACCCTTCAAGCCAACCACCACCACTCTGACGACTTCCCAATCAGCTTCTTCTGCCACCTCGTCTGCTCCACCTGCTGCTACGTCGTCTGCACAGTCCATCAATGCCGCTACCTTGCAAGATATGCAGACCATTCATGAACGCCGTCTAACAAGTATCATTGGTGCCCTCGCTTCTCCGAATTCTATTCCCGCTTGGTGTGTAATTTAATCCTCTAATCATATTTGCTCATCTAAGTACTCGTCGGTAGGCTTTCTACCCTGGGCGCTGATGGAAAATGGCCAGATAGCGAAGTTGACTACACAACGGGATGTGCAGCGCGACGCGCTAATTGGCCAGCTCAGACCCATTGGCAGCGTATCCGTGCGTTTCACGTTCCCAGATCGTGATCTCTCTTGATTTGTTCTCTTGCAGTTGTAATGACCGGCGCGTGGCATGGAGGTATTGCAGGTGGCGATCAATACGTAAAAAACGACACTCTTCATGCCGCGATTTCTCTTGCTATGGATTATTGGTTCGGACGCGATTTGACCAATTTAGCATGCATGGACCTAGGTGGCACCTCAGCTTGCCCGTGTGACAACGCGGACAATTCATTGTGGTAAGTCGTCCAGCAGACTAGGCAGCACACAACTTTAACTGACCCGTCTGCAGGAATACTAACTGGTACTCAAATGTACGCCGGCTTGCTTACTCCTTTAGTCTTTACCTCACCGTCCGCGCTACAGATCATTCTTATTCCTGGGCTAGCGGGTCAAACCTGTCTCATGCTCAACGATACCCTCACCGCGACGCAACTGAGCAATTGTGCCCGAATGACTGGCCGCTCGTATGGCACCTTCGATCATTATATCAATGGTATCGGATACTTGACCGGAGCGAATACATTGGATGTTGCCAAGATGGGCATCGATAGCTCCCTGTTGAATTTGAACGTCTCGATGCTCACAGACGCCTATCGACGTGTTCACTCGGAGCTGTCCATCAAGACTCAGGTCAAGGCCGACGGCATTCGACCTGATGGCTCATTCGGTAATTATATTATCCATATTCATTTCCTGTGTGATATTGATCGTGCGTGAAACACAGGACAACATGAAGGTATACTATACAACGGAAACTATGGTAAGCGCAATAACTTGCCACACATTTCTTTACGCTCACAACATTACACAGGCAAGGACTAGTAAGACATCTCATGTCTGTATTGCTGTAGCGCTGATTCTGATTGCCGTAGTGTCAACGATATTCTCGACCTCGAGGTTGCAGCTGCAGGAACCCAGTTTGCTGCTGGAGCCGATTCGAAGACCGCTTTTGCCACTCTCTTTTCCGGGAATAAGTGGATGATTTATCGGAATACCTTGACTGGCGTACTACATTGGGACTTTGTGAGTGGCATCACTAGAAGAAGATTTGACTCTAATTTGATAATAGTCTGCACTGGGTCGATTTATAAGCTTCCCCGTTATCGATAAGCAGTACGTCTCCATTGTTGTAAATCATGTCCTTCCCATCTGAAACTCCGCAAAGAGCTACAGGCAGCATCAAGATAAACCTAACGGAAGTTACGCAACTTGGAACTGGATGGTCCTCGTCTCCCTTGACTTCCTTTGCCAGTAGCTTGTCGAAGGGGAGCGACAGCGCAAACGCGGGCAACCTCTTGGGTAACAACATGTTCTATGACAATGACTACATGGTATGTCTCCTTTCTCCTCACAAAAGTCACTGCGATTAATTGGACGATAAGGTGCATCGGGGTCGGAACTACGTTTCGACACTTAAAATGTACTCCTCCAGAACTCAAAACACGGAATGCACAAATTTACAAAATGTGAGCACTGATATAATTCTGGTTTCTGGATTGCAACTGACCATGTTACAGCCTTTCGGGTTCCATTTATCTGATGGCGTGCTGTACACATATCTTCGTGGAAATGAGTACGAAGACATATCCGCGGCCTGGGATTGGAACCTCATCCCAGGAATAACCGTTGATTACGGCGCCACTCCCTTGAACTGCGATGGTACAGCAGCCTCGGGAGTAGAAGCCTTCGTTGGTGGTGTCTCAACTGGACAGGTTGGGGTGGCCGCCATGCGATATACCAACCCCAACACGACAGCTCTGCACTGGCAGAAGGCGTGGTTCTTCCTCCAGGATGACGTCCAGCACGTGATGGTCTCTGGCGTCGCGTCGAGCAGTGGCGCGCCCGTCTACTCAGTCCTCGATCAAAGGCTTCATAATGGATCCATTATGGTTGATGGCTCGGCGCAACGCCAGTCGAATTCCACTACTGCCCTCTCTCTTTGGCATGGGGATGTTGGTTACAGTTTCCCCAAACCGGCTTCCCTTTCGGTGCAATTTGGAAATAAGACCGGCAATTGGTCCTCCATTGGAACGTCGACTCAACCCGCATCTGCCGTAGACCTGTTCGCGGCGTGGATCCAGCACACCTCACTCAATACATCTATCGAATATACCACCTTCCCCGGAACTACCTACTCTACATTCAACAGCAAACGCAGCCAGTTGCGCGTACAAACAATTCAAAATGACCAAAACATCTCAGCCATTTTCGACCAGAAACACAACACTGCGATGGCCATCTTTTGGAATTCAGTCGGAGGCTCAGTCACCTTCACTCCCGCTAGCAACTGCGCACCACTCACCATCGCCGCCAACTCCAATATCGCTCTGGTCTACGACCTCGACGGCCAAAAAGTCACAGTCTCTGACCCATCTCAGAACTTGACTTCAGTCCAAGTCACGTTGACGACTGGCAATCAAGGCAAGAAACCTACGGGGTGGGGTTCAAGCCGCAGCAAAACCCTCAAGTTCCAGCTTCCAACAAACACGACGGCGGGGAAGAGTGTTGCGCTGTCGGTGTAGATAATCTTTGAATGATATACCCGCTTATTCCCGAATCACATGACTTTTGTATAAATAAAGAGAACGATTTTTTAAAAACTTTTACATAACCCTTCTTGTTCTTGTTTCCTGTTCCCGGCGTCGAGGTCAGTCGTTTCATCCATTCTTCTCTTCAATGACGAGTGTTGTTTCCTCAACCTTTGGCACCTCTTAGTCGACTTGTGTCGCGGTACTCATACTGCGATTCACTGACATCAATGACTTCCTGAGATTCTTCTTTTTTCTTCTCGCTGGAGACCGACTTTTCGCTAACATCTACCCTCCCTCTAGATTTGAACCGCAATCTATTTAATCTTACGTTCTGTACCATGCTCCAATATACTCAATTAACATCTTCAATGAATAACTTCGTTTACGAAGATACCAGCTGCTCCCATTCCACTCCCGATACACATGCTTGTGCAAAGCACCTTCTCACCTCTGCGCTTCAACTCTGCGAGACCCGTCACAACCTGACGAATACCAGCTTCGAGCTCGTCAGTTCGTGAACCACAGAAGTAGCCATAGACGTACTCATTCCAAGGGGATGCGAGATGGCAATTGACCCGCCACTATGAATGAATGGCAAGGTCAATGAGAAGTCGCAGAAAAGCTGCAAAAGACCTACTTGGGATTGATTTTCTGGATCGGTATGTTCAATTCCTCTACACAATACGCGAATTGTGAGGCGAAAGCCTCATTGATCTGTGCAATATGATGAGCTTCCTTTTAATGCCTGGGGCATGGCTTCGCACCTCGTACACGTCGATGTCTTCCTTCGAGAGCCCCACTTGTTGCAGAAGTTTGGGGATCGCAAAGATGGGCGAGATACCCATGTACCTCGGCTCCACCCCTAAAACAAGTTGTTGGGAGAGGTTTTGCGGAAGAAAACACACTTACCGATAACGGTACTTGCGACCCATTTGCCCACAATATCCATTCCCTCCCGCTCCGCTCGCTCCCGCGTCGTGAGAATACAAAGTGCCGCTCCATCACCGACCCCACTAGCATTGCCTGCTGTTGTGGATGATTCGCCCCAGTTTGGAAAGACTGGTTTGAGAGAGGCGAGACTGTCCGACGTGACTCCTGGACGGATAGTGTCATCTACGGATATTACCTTTCCGTTCAGTTCGATGGGTATAATCTCATCGGCAAAGACGCCTCTTGCGACGGCCTGCAATCAAGAGAATAAGCCAGAGGCGGCGACAGCGACTGGGAGAGAGACTCGCCTCATTAGCTCTGCTGTGTGAAATGAGTGCGTACTCGTCTTGCTTCTTGCGTGACACTTTGAAGGCTTGGGCAACCATTTCAGAAGTCCAGCCCATTGGCTGAAGCGCCATGACATGAATCAAGGCACAAGCGACAAGGTCATATCTCTCACCTCGATGCAGTCATGGGCTTGAGGATTACTGGCAATAGACTCCACCACTTCCGGCGTTGGTCGTGGACTGCAGAATTGGTGAACGGCGGTATGGAGGAGAAAACGACGCACTTCAAACTCATGCTCTCGACGCCGACTGCGAGGCCGAGCGAGGTCTCTCCAAATTGAATTGCATGGGCAATATTACGGATAGCCATTAGGCCTGAGGAGCAAAGACGGTTCACTGTAGAAATGGGAACATTGCAAGGGATTCCAGCAGCTAGTGCCGCCGCTCGAGAGATGTAAAGCGGCGAAGGGGGATGGCATGTTCCTACGGACCTCAGTTATCGAGACCAGCGACTGCTAGAAAGTAGTCGTACCCACACAAATGTCGTCAATCTTGGATGGATCTAGTTTGGTCTCAGCGAGGGTAGCCTGGTAGATAGTTGCATAACGGTGGCAAAGGGGTTGGTTGGAATGCAGCACACCTTGAATAACGCGTGCAAGAGCTCATCGACTGGAGTGTCCTTCAGTTGACCTTTCTTTGCTCTTCCCACCGCTGTACGCTTTGCAAAGGTAATGACAACATCATTCGATCTTTTCTCAAGAATGCCCTGAAGACCGCGAGGCTTGGCTTGGGTGCTAGCTGCCCGTCGGAGTGTAGGTAGATAAACTTGTTGCGTGGTGATGGAGAACATGAAAGACGGAAGGAAGAGTAGAATGCACTGAGGATATTTACATCACTAATGGTTAAGATCCGTTGTCCAACTACGTGCTTTTCCCAAAGGCGTCAGATGGACGGTTATATCATCTCGTGTATGCTTCCATTGGCCTCACCCCTCTTCTCCGCCTTCCATTTTTTGGTTATTGAGCCGTAACAATTCGAGCACAAGTGGTGAGCGAGTTTCGGTGAGCCGCACCCTGGACAACTGGTAATGTCTGTGCAACGCGTCGCATTCGGGTCATTCAGAAGACATCAAGTTGGGATACATACTATGCTTATCCTTCAATCCCTTGTTGGCGCTTCGCATAGCTTTGCGGGAGTGGGATGTTTTCGATTTCGGCACGGCCAAAACAAAGGGAGGAAAGAGCTCAAGCAGCGACTGCAATGACGGCAACGACCATGTTAGAGCTGGAGGGACAAACAGGAAGGGTTGAGGAAGGAGACTTCTCAAGAGGGAGTTGCGAAAGGCGGGGACGAGGACGGCCATCATGGACTTGAAGAAGTGGGAAAAATTTAGACTCCGTTACTCACTCAACCACCATGTTCCGCCTTACACGACCACTGGCGTCATCGCTGAAACGGACAACGGGAATAACAGGGCTTCTGGTACATCCCAACCCCCTTCCCGAGCTCACGAAAACATACGAGTCCACGCTTACCGTTCTCGCATCCATGCCGCAAACCTCCGTGTACCGTCAAGGAGCCGAGGCACTCACCCGGAACAAGCTCAAGATCGTCCAGGAGAGCAAGGGGGACATTGGAGCTGTCGAGAAGCAGTTGGACGAAGGACAGATTGAGGAGTCACTCGATATCGCGGCTGATGAGCTTCAGCTCGCAGGCAACATGGTAAAATGGAAAGCGTGAGTCAAAGCTAGCTCTAATACTGCGTCTACGAAACTTATTGGAATGATAAACAGATGGGAACCATTGGCAGAAAAGGCAGAAGCTGGGCAGTGGGAGTACATTCGGATGTAAAAAGATAAAAGTATTCGCTGGAAGCAGGATTTGAACCTACGCGGTGAAACACCAAGTGATATTATTAGAACAATTCAAATCACTCGCCTTAACGACTCGGCCATTCCAGCTGATTAATTTCCGATACATAGAAGATATTATGTAGCTAGCAGTCACGTTTTTTTAATTCTACTAAACCCTTCTGTGTTCCTTCGCAGCTAACTGGCAACCATGGACTCGTTGATCCCATTCACAACATCGGGATCCCTGGTAGATTGTGTGGACAGTACGTCTGCTCAATGTAATCCACATCCCAAACACACATCCCCTCTCAGGAAAGATGTTGGTAATTCTCAGAGACGGCAGGAAACTACATGGCGTCCTCCGTTCTTATGACCAGTTTGGTGAGCATCCCGCTACTTGTTGACCCACCTCCTCATTCCCCAGCCAGCAAACCTCGTTCTTGAAGACACTGTTGAACGTATATATCACGGCAACGCATTTGCAGAAAACTGGCATGGTCTCTTTCTCATACGCGGAGAGAACGTCGTCTTGCTCGGAGAAATCGTGCGTTCTATACCACTCATAGTTGACCACCAAGGTCCTCATTACCCTCTTATTAGGACCTTGACAGGGAAGACGATATTCCCCTCACTCAAGTCGACTATCACCTCTTGGAGCCATACCACAAACAAGATGCAGACATGAAAAAGGAACGCGAGGATGCAAAGGCTCACGTCTTGTACCAGCAGAAGGGTTTCTGCAAGGAAGGTGGCGAAGGCGACGGCTACTAAGACTCCTGCCGCACACGACGTCGCCGTTGCGCGACCAGAAGGCTTATTCATTACGCCCATATACTGTGTGATCTTCTCGATCACCTATTACTGTTATCATACGCATAGAGCTGGCAACATAATGAATGCCATGGCAAGAAAGACCCCGTTAGCAGGTCATATAAAAATACAGATCATCATCAGGTCGGAGCTTTTCGTTTCTTTCCCTTTTTCGAAGTATCGCCAGTCGATTTGGTTCTAACATACCCGTTGGATACTTTCGCATTAGTGCTTTTGAGCGGCGATTGAGTAGAATTTTCGTTGGAGCGGTCGCCATGTGGGTCTGAAATGTCCTCAATACGTTTGCGAATCTCTCGTTCCCGCGTCGTAAGCTTCAAAAGCGCTTCCTCCTTTTTCTCCTTTTCCTTGCAAACATCCTTATACCGGACAGTCTGCCATCTGAAAAAAAAAAAGGTCAGCAAATGTCATCCAACATGATACAGTACTTACCCAGCATGTCGATCACACACCGTCTCCCCAGGACACCACCACTCGCCTTCTCCTGCAGCTACACCATCCACATCCATATCCTTCTCCTCCTTGACGTTTTCGTAACTCTCCAAAACGCCCACTCCAAAATCTACCCATTCATCGTCTCCAAAGCAAAGGCGCTGGTCCCATCCACACTGTCCTACCTGCTCAGCCCTCTCACTTGCCAGTTGGAGCAGCCGCTCCCTCCAAACAACCACCTCCATACCTCTCTTGATATCTTCCCTCAGCTTCACGACATTGTCCAGCGAGCCCCTCAGACGCTCCGTCTCCTGCTCGACTCTGCCCCTTTTCGGTACCACGATCTTCTTTACATCCTTTTCCTGCTTGCACCCATTCTCCTGCTTGTCATCAAGACAAACAACAATGCCTTCCCGTTTTTCTGCATTCTTCACGCTTTCCCACAATTTCTCCTTGTTCCCCCCTTTCTTTGTCCAAGATTCGACCCGTGACTGCATGTATTTGAGACCGCATTCGTCCGAACAGTATTTTGAAAAGAAACCACGGGCAGGTTTGTGACAAGCCTTGGTCGACGAAGGGTCAGGGTGATTCAAACCATAGAGGCAACGTTGTTTGTATGTCGTGCGAAGGGAAAGATGAGGATGTTCTGGAAGAGTTATCAGTTACAAGCTCTGAAATGAATAGGCTCACATACTAGCAATACACGGAGGACATATGAATTGATCAACCAGATCAACCTCAAGGTCCGGCATGTCTACACACTGTGTATGATACCACTCATCGCACCTACAGACGATGAGCAATTGGACAAAAACTCAGATGGGTTCACCTACTTGTCGCATGCAATCATGAATCGATCCTCGTCGTACCTAGTTTTGCAGACGCAATACAGCTTATCATCCTCATTTTCGGCGCCAGAGTCTTCCTCTTCCTCCTGCTTATCCGCCTTTGGGGTATCGCCACCAACCGAACCCCCGGGCAGAACAGAAGTCGATCGCGATCGGGAACTAGGAGTGTTTTTCTTTGCAGGCGGACCAGCACTTGATTTAGAGGTTGTAGAAGCTTCTGCTTTCTTTCCTTTCGGCGCGGGCTTTGCTCGTGGCTTCGTCACGGCCGGCGTAGCCTTGGGCTTTGATGTCGCACAATTAATTCAGCGTTACATTGAGAGATAACAACAACGAACCTTTGCGTTTGCCTCCTTCTTCTTTTTGGCGGTTGCAGTTGGCGCGACACTCCCAGCACGCTCCTTCTTCGTCCCGCCATCGTCTTTATCCTTACCACGACTCGAGGCGCTAACGTTGATGGAAGCCGGCGGGGGCATTGAACCTCGCTCAGGAGTGGGACGTGAGGAAGAGGCCCGTGGAACCGACAACAAAGTTGCAGAAACGGGTGTTGCCAAAGCAAAAGGCGAAGCAGGTCGTTTGTCCCCAGCGGGACGCGAGGTGGATTTGGGTGGCTGCAAAGTTCCCACCAATGACATGGCCGTTGATGCAGTGCGGCGCGACGAGCTTGATTGTACAGGGAGACGATCATCAACAAGACTGAGGAGCTCATCGTCAACTTCCATCCCCACATCCTGAACCTTATCATTCAGAGTCTCCGCGACGAGTTCCGTCACCGCAAGATCAACATCCATGTCAACGTCTTGCTCTTGTTTGGCAACATGTGTAGGCTCACTGACAAGCTCCTCCAGTTCGTCTTCAAGAGTGACGGAAATGTCCGGTCGAGGGGCTGGCGGATAGGGGGTAAGCTTAGTCGGGGGTGGGGTGGGCGTTCGAGAGGCAGGTTTTGCCGCAGGAAGGGTGTTGATGACTGGACTAAGGGAAGGAGAAGGGGAGCGAGGAGGTTCGAGCCGTACGGAAGCTGAAGGAGAGGGTTGATCTGCGTAGTGTTCAAGCAACCACTCGTGAGGATCGTCTTGCTGCTCCTTTGGTATAGCAAGGGGGGGTCGTTGGTCCTTCGTCTCTTTAGCCTTCTTTGGACGAGAGCTCTCTGAACCCACTTGCGATTCCTCCAAATGGCGATGTCGAGGCTTGGGCTCCTCCTCCTTGGTCTTTTTGGGTACCTCATGTGCGACGGGGTGAGGGACGTGGTGCAGGTGTTCTCTCCTGTCAAGATGTTCATCCGACTTTCTCGCAGCCTTGGCTCTCCCGATCTGACTTCCCGGTGGTGACCTCCTTCCGAGCGGACTCAAGACTCGGTGCGCGTCCCGATCTCTCGAAACGGATCTGGCCTCGACTTTAATACCGAGAAGAGCAGGCTTTTCCTCCAATGGTACTACCGGTTTTCTACCATTCCCAGAGCCCGGTCGCCGTGGGATGGAAGAAGGCCCGGCGACAGGGTGCTCGACACGGCCATACCCCAGCTCCCCGACAGACATCTTTTCGCGTTCAGCTGCGATTCTCTCCTTTTCATCTGGGCGGGAAGGTGAATCCGAATATCGACGTTTCTTGGCCAGGCGCGGTTGGTCTCGGGGTAAAGGTTGAGACACTGACGTCGGTACAAGCGGATCTGGGCGGATGGGAGTTGCGGGTAGGTTTATCTGGATGGGGTCCGACTTTCGTGGTTGGATATGAGGTGGAATCTCTATCATTCTCGGCTCAAGAGGGACAACAGGACGTCTTAGTTCCTCCTGCCGAAGTAGTTGATGGTGTTCCATCTCTTGAGAACGGCGATGACGCTCCTCCTGCAAACGTATTTGACGCTCCTGTTCGAGGGCTCGTTGCTGGCGATACTCTAACTCTTGTATGCGCTGGCGTTCCAACTCGTGCATCCGCTGTTGCTCTTGGGAACGCTGCTGACGCTCCAATTCTTGGAAGCGCTGCTTCTCCTGCATGCGATGGCGCTCAACTTCCTGTAACCTCTGCTGCCTTTCTACCTCTTGCTGCCTATGAACTCGTTCCATGTCTTGAACTCTTTGTACGTGTTCGGCCTCTTGCGCGCGTTGATGATGCAACTGTTGTTCTTGCTGAAGGAGCTGTTCGTGATGCTGACGTTGTCGTTGGATATGGATGCGATGATCCTCATGGTACTGCTGACGAGGGGGTGGTGGCGGAGGATAGGGAGATGCGAGAGTTCTGAAACCATCTATGGGGCTACTGCGTACGGGATCGTCCTCCTTTTCGTTTACGATAAGATGATGGTGGATAGGAGGACGAATGAAGTCTGGTGGACTTGTGGATGACTGGCCCCATGAGGAGCGGTGATGTTGGTGGCGAGTAGGGGGAGAAATGATGGGTTGAGAGTGACGTTTGTCATCGTGTGGAGGTTCAGAGTCGGAGACGCTGAGGCGACGACGTTCTTCTGTAGCTGCTTGGACAAGGGCTTCGAGGCCACCGAGGGCAGAGACGGATGTCGTCGGAGATTGATGGGCATGATAGGGTGGATTAGAACGGTGAGTGAGGTGTGGAGCGAGCACGACAGTGTCATTGGGGGTGTCGTCGTTGCATAGAAGGGAAGAAATGTCGAGGCGACGAGACATGATCGCGAGAGGACGACGTTGACGACGACGACGAGAGGGATTAGTTGGCAGATCGAGTCACATGTGATCGAGTGATTTCATAAATATATTTGTACAACGAGACATTGCGACACAGCCTAAAAGATGGCCAGGAACAGCCAAATCAACAAGCGCACCGCACCCAAGTCCCATCGTTCCTTCTCCAGCCCTCTATGACGGTCTCAAGGTCCTCGACTCACTCCAGTCCTGTAAGAACAGGCGGGCGAGTCATCGTTGAGATGCTTTTAAGCGGCTGTTTTCTTTGCGTTAGTACTTGTGAAAATATAAACGCTCCCTCTCACCTGTGCATTTTTTGCGTTGAAGAAGAGAATAAAATAAAAAAGGGATATTTATATGATTTGTAAAACTGTACAGTACCTCGCCAGGACCCCGAATGCACCCAACCGAGCCTGCGAAAATAGACTTGTCGCTGTCATTATCGTCGTCGTTTCCTCTGCCACAATTTCAGCTTGACCCTTTTATATCATCCCACTGACCGTCCATTAAAAAGGCCCCGTCAACAATGTCGGTGGCCTCAAAAAACCCTTTCGCCCTCCTCGATGGTTTGTTTCTATTTTATTTGGTTATCATTCAAAATCTAATCATCTCATTCACAGCTGAAGACGCTTCAAGGCCTTCCAGCCCAGTAGCTGTCCCACTAGCCGATGCCCCTACTCCTCCCACCGCTCCTGCTCGTGGTTCACAAAAACCTAGAGGTGGCCCTGCCGCTCGCGGTGGAAAGTACTACTCTCGAGGCGGCAAACCTCCCGCAAGGGACGCCAACCCAAACCAGACTCTCGAAGAGCCTTCAACCGTTGAAGGTGAAAGGAAGCGTCCGTCATCTATTTATTTTTGCTCCATCATCTATTGATCTCATCGTTAGTAGTCGAAGGTGGGCGTGGCAGAGGGCGTGGAGGGCGCGGAGGTCCAGGACGAGGCAGGAGTCGCCAGTACGACAGACACAGTCAAACCGGAAGGATGTGAGTTTTCTTTCTTATATATTCATTCAGTCCCCTTTAACGTCTCTCGCAGTGACACTGACAAGAGGATCCACCAGTCTTGGGGCGGCGACGATGGCAATACTGAGCTCAAGGCTGAGCAAGCTGCTACCGTCGATGCGGCCGTAGAAGCTACCACCAATGCGGCCGTAGAAGCTACCACCAATGATTGGGCAGGTGACGCTGGTGCTCCCGCCGCGGGTGAGTGGGGAGCTCCCGAGGCGGGTGCAGATGCTTGGGCCGCCCCTGCCGGAGATGCCACTGCCGCTGCTACTACCCCTGCTGCTGCAGAGGGCGAGAAGCCAGAAGGTCGTCCACGCAGGGAAAGGGAGCCAGAAGAGGAGGACAACACCCTGACCTTGGATCAGTATCTCGCTCAGCAGAAAGAGAAGGATACCGTCATCCCAAAGTTGGAGAACACCCGCAAGGCCAACGAAGGTGCCGATGCGAACATCTGGAAAGATGTCGTTCCCTTGTCCAAAAACGAGGAAGAAGACGCTTACTTTGTTGGAAAGGTGATATTTCTTGCATGCATTGAATCTTCCGCATCTAAACCTGCCTATTAGTCCAAAAACGCGCCCAAACCCCGTGCGAAGAAGGAAGAAAAAGTCTTCCTTGAAATTGATGCGCGTTTCGAGCGTCCGGATCGCGGTGGGCGTGGAAGGGGTCGTGGTGGCGATCGTGGAGGTGACCGCGGAGACAGAGGTCGTGGTGGTCGTGGTCGTGGTGGTGCAAGGGGCGGCCGCCAGAATGGTACCCCCGCCGTCAATGTCGACGATCAAACCGCTTTCCCGTCTTTGTCTTAAAGCACTAATCGGTTGGGTCTCTGTGGGAACGTAAATAAAAAAACGTCACGCATCCTGTGGGCTTGAGCCCCAGTACTTTTACCTGTGGTCCCCATTGCATATCTTTCGAATCTCCTCTCGTTCTTTTGATACGTTCGTACTTTGTCTTGCTTTTACCCTGCCATAATTCACGAATGAAATGTAAGATTTGTACACTCGTCTGAATATTTGCAATACTTATGTCGGGAACCAGTTTCATTGGGACCGCACGGGAATAAATCTATCTATCTATCTAACATTAGTTTACCTGAAGTTACTATCAACGCTCAAGCGTTTCTGGTCCTAACCGCTTGTTCATATGGTAGAAAAGATTTACATCGCCCGACATGGTGCAGTGCTCAATACTTTCTTTGTTGGCGAAACTAATTAAACCAATAGGCGTTAGACCTAGCTTTATCAACTCCACCTGGTTAGGGCGCCATTTACACTTCCTAATTATTGCATCTGACTGTATGAATCCAGGAAGAGCGTCACCGGTCTAGAAAGAGACCCACCTCTCACAGCTTACGGGGAGGTGAGCAGCCTCTCTGCCAGATCCCCGGACTACCGTTTGATTCGTTTTTGTGCAGACCCAGGCCGAGGAACTTGCCCAATATTTTTTATCCTTACCAGAGGAAGAGCGACCGACGGCGCTATTTTCGTCTCCCTACTGTCAGTCACTCTGGAACTGATTGCCACTGACGGCTGATAACAAATGTCGTGTGTTTCCAGACAGGTGCTTACAGACTTCCAAGCCGGTGGCCAATGCTCTCAACATACCCATATATGTAGAACATGGCGTCGCGGAATGGTACTCGCCAGCGACGCCGGGTACAGGTCTTCATCCACGCCCAGGCTCTTCGGCGTCCCTCAAAGAATATATCTCTGAAATCGATCGATCCTGGGAAACCATCTGGTACCCGTCTCGTAAGGGCGAGACGGTAGACGAGATCCACAACCGCATCGACGGATTTCTCGAATTATTTGTTCCAACAGTCGAACAAAAGTTCCACGAGAAGGCTGCCCGGATACTTATCGTAAGCCATGCAGCCACGACTATCTCTCTTGTGATGTCCTTGGTAGGAGACAGGAACCTCCGATTCAATGTTGGATGTTGTTCTTTGTCCGAGTTGAAACGTAGGCCCGGTGCGTCGAATGTTGTCGGAGGCTGGGAAGCATTGAAGGTGGCGGATGGCACGCATCTCGACGCTGGGTCTTCCAGAGATTGGGGGTTTGCGGACATCGAGGTTGAGGAAGGCAAGGTAGGTATCCACCCTTGTACGTTGGTAGCCCCTAGCTCACCTGGCATTACCTTAGGTCGTCGATGATCCTGGGGTGCCTGGAACTGAAGATGAAGTGGATCATCCCGTCGGCCCACAGATACCCCTCCACATGAACAGCAATCTTTAATGATTTCATAGAAATATAACGACAAGATGATGTTTTCTAAATATGTATAAACTAGAAACGGACCCAAGCACTTGCGTAACTAACACTAGAGTCTTTAATGGTATGACAAGCGCTGCTCTGCTCATACCTCACCCACTTGACCGTAGGTTGTATACTGTTCTCCTTCTCTAAAAACGTTAGAGCTCCAAAAAGAACTCCAATCGGATGTCGTCCGCATATCGTATTCTTAGTTCTGGCGAGGTAATCCTCGAAATGTGCGTGTGCGTCGGTCGCGGTAGAGGGCGGCAGGGTCAATAGCTCCATCGCCTCGTGGTCTAGGCGGCTGATCGACTCGAAGATTCGATACGTTGGTGAGGGCAAAGTCGCACGCGAAAGACGGACGCCTGGTTCTTCGCTTGGAAGTGGCGCAGGATAATAGTATGTGTATGAAAATCTCGATCCCCTATTATAGACAAAAGTCAGAAACATAAACATCAAGCGATGTTTGTGAAAATTCACCAGTGGCAAAAATCACTTGAAACAACGCAAAATGTGTCTTCTCGCGCAAGAAACGGAGCCAAAAGTTCGCCAAAAAAAGCCTCGTCGTCCTTGGAAATGCCACCTACCACGATCGGGACGACCTTGATGTCCTGCCTATCAAGTCCCATCAGGATCTAATCCAAAAAACGCGAGGGTATACTACCCTTCGAATATCTTTCGAACGTAAGGCAGATGCATCTCAATGCTATGCTCGGCCTCATCAGCTTTCAAGCTAAGGGATTCGAATTTTCCTGTTGCTTTTAAAACCTTGATAGCTTAGTTGTCCCACAGGTCAGTTTCCCCGGAGCGATTCGCATACGGGCCGAACGCACTCTCTATGTCTAAGGGAAGCGCTCCCACTGGGGTATCGTATTCCTCGCATGAAGAGATGGCGCATCCATCTAGGTAGAAGTGGTGGGACGGTCCAAGAATAAAAACACGCTTACTGTATAGAATGTCATTCTTAAAATTCAAGCTGAGAAAGAAGTACGAACATGTTAGACGTATCGATGGCCTTGTAAGCCCAGGCGGCTGCGGCCCCTGAGTACGAGTATCCTGCGTGTCTGCCAAAGTCGATTGGCGATTAGCCGACGTTTGGGTTATAAACAACGCTGACGGACGGCGCAATAATAGCTTTGGTGCCCTTGATCGGAAAGGATTCGTCAAGAGGATTGACAGCCTCTAACCAGCCTGTAAGTTCAGCATTTAACTGATCTCCTGTAAGATGGGCTAGGATAGAAAGTTGCGTAGCAGTCATGCTCAACTCGTACCTTCTTCTGTGTACCAACTGCCAGCATGCGTTGCAGATCTCGACCTAATAGAAGATCTCAGAAAGGAGGGGATAAACCAGGAGAACATAGCTTACATTCTAGCTACAGGTGCTGCAGATAGTTATGGTCCATCGATCAGTCATGCCAGGGGCTTACGTAACGCACACCAAAATTCAGCCCAAAAGATGGTCGCATAGACATCAGCATATGTGGAATTACATGTCATGTGTGGAATGGAATGGAATGCATTGATAAAAGTGATAATCTACTCCTCCGACCTCAGACGAGCGGCAGGGTTTGTGACCTTGATGCCGAGCACCTTCGCACTAAAGGCAATGGATGGGTCACGGAATACGTTCGATGCCTTGGATAGAACTCACCGTTCGAGGATAGTAGTGCGGTTTCGGCTGCTCACGCCGTGAGCGATTTCAGCAGCAAAAGTTTTGTTGTGCATAAGTAAAAGATCAACCTCCCGGACGTTGTTCACAAGGAATTTCTTGAGACCGTTGGGAAGTAGATGGCGTGTCTGGTGGCTTGTGTAAGTTGTGCGTCACATTAAAAACCCAGTGCATGGCTCGCCTTTTTGTTGCTGCCATAACCAATCTGACAAGGAATGAGATATGAAGAATGGTGTAGCGACATAAGTACGCACCTTGGGCATGGGCGTTTGGCCCTTGAAGCGACGCCTGACCCTGTTATCAATACCCTTGGGCTTCCTCCATGCCTCCTTCACACCGTGGTAACGGTCAGACTGGTGACGCCTAAAGGACGGTCAGTATCAATGACATGGTCTTTCGAGGGGGGCGAACGGACTTGAATTTGGTGGTGCGCTTTTTGACGATCTTGATGGCCATCGCGGACTGTAGCAAAAAAAAGCGGGTTAGTATGGCGATTGAATGAACAGTATACTCCAGGGCGAGAACGTCATCCGTCTCCACAACCCGCCATCCAACCCAAATCTTACGGTTTGACGCCTTATCCCTATCTCTGGAGTCGCGGAATGCACGAGACCAACATAACAATGGAGATGGATGTGGATTGAGCGTACTTACGAGTTGTTGGGCTTGAGGAGGACGACGGTGACGATCCCGAGAGCTTGGAATGAATTTGGTATGCTGATGTAATCAACTTACATTGCCATTTACGGCCATCTTCAATTTATTGTTGAGCGCTGAACGTTGAACGTTGAATCCCCTTAAGCTTATTCAAACACCCTACCGCCGTGGTCTCCGTCAACGCCTTGTTCATTACAACTGCCTTCGAGTTATTTCTCAGCCAACAATCTAGACTTCAATCCCTCTCAAGGTGACAACACCGAGAAAGCTGCGAGGTACTGTTGCTTTTTTCCCCCTGAAATATATGAGGTAGAAGTAGAGTTGTATTCGAGCGGTCCCAATGAGGAACTGTCACACCACATTTCGCACCGGCCTAACGCAAAACCTCTTCTTTGAGAAGCCCAGTGATAGAGTCACAATATTCTGGATACCATCCGTCCGTTACTGACTCACTGCGTTATCAATCCAGATAATCAACAGTTATGCATTGAAAGCTTCTCCGGCCGAAGATCACCGTACGGGAAGCAAAAGAGCCACCTGGAGGATCGTGTTCAAGCGTTCCTTACGCCAAAGACTCGGCTGAGAGTGGACTAAGAGTGGACTGATGGAGCGCATAAATATCTTTGCACGGAATTTTATCTCGATTGAGTTGAAGAAACGCTTCGCCCCAAATGGTAGAGCGCAAGTCACCGCAAGTGGAAAAGCCCGATGAGGCTGTTTGCGTGGAAGAAGGGACATCTAGGCGACTAGACCAGTCGTGCGACAAACACAGTTATCGCTCGAAACTAGATTTGGCGTAGAAATTAGATAGATATCGATTGATCCTCGTGCAAGAAGATGGTAGGTCCAGGGGGTATTGAGCTGTGCGGATCATTATGTAATTAAACAAAGACCAGCCATCCGAAAGGGTAGAGACACAGTGTCAATGCGATTACAATCGACTTTTGCGCAGAGGCAGGACCGGAGAATTGGCGGAGAAGTTGAGGAGCAGTGAAGAGCAATGAAATACACGAGACCGCACGTGGCATTGTTGTAGATTGATATTGAGCCTATTGAGCTCCGAGTCTACTGTGAGCCACTTGAACACAACGTTTGACGGTGTCTGACCCCCTATCCACTGCGTATCCACCTTGTTGTTGGACGACCCTCGCAATAGCGTCGTGCAATTGCTCAGATATATGCTGTTGGCACCTGCTGTCGAACTCTACGACGACGAATGGATACCACCGCCACATTCTCCAAAACTTTACAAAAACAGCAGTGTTCGTAGTTGGGGCGTAACATCCATTGGACGAGGCTTTGACTGGGACAACGGCGGCGAAACTATGGAAGCTGCATTAGCATCGCCTTTTCTCAAGTCGCTCGACCGGCTTGAAGTAGGGAATACAGCGGGGGAACTTGATCACAAACTTGATCATGCACTCTTAGACAGTCCCATCGCTGCCAGTCCCATCACCAAGCTCCACTTCCCTCCCTTTATGGCCGATTTTAACCAGACCTACTCGATGTCCCCAGAACACTCATCCTTCCCTTCCCGATCAGCTTCTCCCAACGGGGCTATTGGTCCTTACCGTTCCAATCCAACGAGTTCTCCTTCCTCGCCACGTCCCCGCCGCCGCTCATCCCAACAGCGTGTATCCTTGGTTGCCGGTCGCGTTTTGATCGCCCCGATAGAACCACCATCTCCACCCCCCATGCTCCCTCAAAGCCTTCGCAGAACTCCCAGCTCAGGTAGTGTCCTGAGCAACGCCGCAAGTACCCGTGCACCATCTCCCACCTCTTCAGAAAATCAGTCTTTTTTAGGCGGAAGGAGCATTTCTGAATTTCTCATCGAGGGAGAGATCGGCAGAGGCGCTTACGGTCTGGTGAAGCGAGCTAGGGAAATTAATTCCGATGGCTCTGTTGGGGTACGTCTCCTTCGTCGTCGTCCCTAACCCCCTACTCATCGCTCCCGATGACAGCCTCCTCTCATTATCAAACAAGTTATAAAATCGCGAATTCTAGCAGATTGCTGGAAGAAACATCACCTTCATGGAACGATCCCGATAGAAATCTATGTCATGTCTGCCATCTCCAATACTTCTTACATCCTTCCTGCGCGTCGCCCTTGGGATCCCTCTCGAAACATTAAGCAAAATGACTCCTTGCACATGGATGCCGACGATCTTGAAGATGAATGGGTTGAGGGAAAGGTGGTCAAGGGTCACCCGAACATATGTCCATTGCTAGACTTTTTCGAGGACAACCATTATTACTACCTCGTGCTGCCTTCAAGTACCCCAGAAAGTGACCCCAACAAACCTCCCCCTCCCTCCGACCTCTTTGATTTAGTGGAGACGTATCCTCATGGACTGCCGCCGAGTCTGATACGAACATACCTTGGGCAAATCGCAGATGCCCTATGCTTCTTGCATTCTCAGGGAATTGGTGAGTATATTTATACTTCCCCAGGTTTCATCTAAGTAAACCAAATAATCAGTTCATCGCGACATCAAAGACGAGAACGTCGTTCTGGGGCCGTCTGGCAAATGCATCCTCATTGATTTCGGTAGTTCTGGGTTGGTAAAAAAGAGTGGATGGGACACATTCAGCGGAACGTAAGTATTGACCTTACTTTCGTACATGGAGGAAGACTTGACAGTTTGGCCCAGGCTTGATTACGCGGGACCTGAAATTTTACGGGGTGAGCGATATTACGGAAAAGAGCAGGATGTATGGGCGTTCGGCGTCGTCGCTTATGTCCTTCTCATTGGAGAATGTCCATTCATGACAGCGGCTGAAGCTCAGGAAGGGTTTGATTCTCCGTTCGCCAACGCTTCGATCTCCTTGGACGAACGATGTGCCGAGGGAAAGGAAATGGAAGGGGAAGAAAAAGATGGGGGTAGTGCATTAGGCGCTGCTGCTGCTCTAGTGCGAGCATGCCTTCAAGTGGACCCTGCGGCGCGACCGACGTTTGAGAAGATACTGCAGTCCCGTTTTCTGGCAGGGAATGGGGGATGGGGGATCTGAGAGATGGAGGTGATTCACCGAAGAATGAGGCGATAACGTCGCCTGTAGATATGTATCATCGATGGCAGAAGGCCTCGCAGTATCCAAAGCACAAAGCGGTTATTTAATCCTGTATCCCTTAGGTGTTCTGACAGTGCACATCCGATCTGGTGTAGACTTATAAGTGTAATGTACATTTTTTATTTATTATATTATTTAAACCGGAGCCGGAGCCGGAGATCGGAGATGGAGTCATCGTCACGCTTGTGTCACGCCGTTTTTTTTTTTTTAATCAGCCATCAGATCTATCTTGATCTATCGATAAAAAAAATTTAGTGATATAACTAGACCAAACATTTAACGGATCGTCTTGCTTATCCTCCTTTTCTTCAACCACCACCTTCCTCCCACTTTTGACCTTTTTTTCGCAAATAAGTGAGTCGTCGCTCCCAGTTTCGTTCCCTCCTTGCCCGTTGGCGCTCTTGGTCGTGAACTTTCTCGATGGATTCGTTCCCCACCTTTGCGATGATAATCTCTTCGCCTTGATTCTTCATTTTTATCCCTCTGTCTCGTGCGATCTTTGCGATCTCGTTAACTAACTGTTGCCACCTATTTCAGAACTCATTCAAAATGGGAAAGGAGAAGACTCACGTTAACGTCGTCGGTGCGCGCCTTATCTTATCGATCTGACTCATTAAGTGTTCACCCGACATCATCTAGTCATCGGACATGTCGATTCCGGTAAATCGACCACCACCGGTCATTTGATCTACAAGTGCGGTGGTATCGACAAGCGTACCATTGAGAAGTTCGAGAAGGAAGCTGCTGAACTTGGTAAAGGTTCCTTCAAGTATGGTACGTTCCGAACATCTTTTTCTTATTTTTTTTGCACTCTGAAAATTTTTCTTCTCTCAAGCCTGGGTGCTCGACAAGCTGAAGGCAGAGCGTGAGCGTGGTATCACTATCGATATCGCCCTATGGAAGTTCGAGACCCCCAAGTTCATGGTCACTGTGTGTTTTCTCTCGTATCTCAACGATCAATCACTTATCTGAGTTTAAGGTCATTGATGCCCCTGGTCATCGTGATTTCATCAAAAACATGATCACTGGTACTTCCCAGGCTGACTGCGCCATTCTCATCATTGCTGGTGGTACTGGTGAGTTTGAGGCTGGTATCTCCAAGGATGGCCAGACCCGCGAGCACGCTCTCCTCGCTTTCACCCTCGGTGTGCGGCAACTCATCGTTGCCGTCAACAAGATGGACACCACCAAGGTAAGAAAAGTTAACTTATAGTTAGGCTTCTTCCACATGCTCATCACCTCATGCAGTGGAGCGAGGACCGTTTCAACGAAATTATCAAGGAGACGTCAAGCTTCATCAAGAAGGTTGGTTACAACCCCAAGGCCGTTGCCTTTGTTCCTATTTCCGGCTGGCACGGTGACAACATGTTGGAGGAGTCCCCTAAGTAAGTATTCTCGTATCGTCATTATCGCCCCGTCGCTCATGTCACACTCAGCATGCCTTGGTTCAAGGGCTGGACCAAGGAGACCAAGGCTGGTGTCGTCAAGGGCAAGACCCTCCTCGATGCTATTGATGCCATTGAGCCCCCCGTCCGACCTTCCGACAAGCCCCTCCGTCTTCCCCTCCAGGACGTCTACAAAATTGGCGGTATCGGAACTGTGCCCGTCGGTCGTGTTGAGACTGGTATCATCAAGGCCGGAATGGTCGTCAATTTCGCTCCCTCCAACGTCACCACTGAAGTCAAGTCCGTCGAAATGCATCACGAACAGCTCGAGCAGGGTAACCCCGGTGACAATGTCGGTTTCAACGTCAAGAACGTGTCAGTGAAGGATATTCGTCGTGGCAACGTGGCCTCCGACTCCAAGAACGATCCCGCCAAGGAAGCGGCCTCTTTCAACGCACAGGTCATCGTCCTCAACCACCCTGGTCAAATTGGTGCTGGTTATGCCCCGGTTCTCGACTGTCACACCGCCCACATTGCCTGCAAGTTCGCCGAGCTCATCGAGAAGATCGATCGTCGTACGGGTAAATCCATTGAAAACTCACCCAAATTCGTCAAGTCGGGTGACGCCTGCATCGTCAAGCTCGTTCCCAGCAAGCCTATGGTTCGTTGAATACCATTTTTGTTTCTTGTATCCAAGATAACGACGTCATTGGCCTCCAGTGTGTTGAGTCTTACAACGAGTACCCTCCTCTTGGTCGCTTTGCCGTCCGTGACATGAGGCAGACCGTCGCTGTCGGAATCATCAAGTCCGTTGATAAGACCGACAAGTCTGGTGGAAAGGGTATGTTTCCCCCCATGTTAGCATCTTCTTGACGACTAACAAATATCCCCTATTCAGTGACGAAGTCTGCCGAGAAGGCCGCCAAGAAGAAATAAATTAGATGTAGAATCATTGTATCATTTTCTCATCACGTCTCGTTTATTTCTTTTCTTTTCTCTTCATACCGGTCATCATCTGCAACGCTCTATCAACTCATCTGTACTCATGATAATGAAGCTGGCGTCGGAATTCTCGACGCATGTGTTTATGAAGTGTCCTTCGAAAGAGATTTATCGTCCAGCATATCAACGCTGAACAGCGGATGACTTGTGTATTAGTGCAAGCGCAACAATGAGCCAGTCAAAAGCATTTGACTGGGGTCTATGCAGCGACACGTGATCCTTTCTTATCACTTGCGCTTTGTCGCCTCGCTCCTGTCCCTCCCTCGTGTTCTCTTTGTCTCGTCTTCATATATACTATGACTCGCTCACCTACACATCCTTGTGCCCTCATCTTTTCATACCACTCACATAGAGCTCGTTAGCGAGCATCTTCTTTTTTCACCCACCGTTACCACTTACCCTTTTCTTTTTCTTTTCTTTTCTTTTTTTTTTCTTTTTTTCTTTCTTCCTTTTCTTGCTTTTCACGTCTCATGTATTACATACTATTCGCCTGTGCCGGCTTGAGCTCGGCCCTCCCCTTGCGGGATCCGTGCGAGAGAGCTTGGGCGACCAAACACGATTGTTTGTCTCCAACTTTGGGCCCTCACGTGAGAACACTCTCAGCCATTTCTCATCTCACTCGGAGTACGCATAGATGCAAGCGACATCAACAGATATGCTCAGGTGCCTCGCTGTTTCCACCTCTGGGACCAAGGTCTCTCCCGATTGTCCTTTCAAACACCTCTAACATAAAAGTGAAGAGGGATCTTGTCAAGGCAGCATCCCATCTACCCTTAGAATGTTCGTCGCGAATGAAAGCGTGCTGAGCTTGGACTTCCAGAAACTAGAGGGTATCAGGCAAGCTTACAAAAATAGACAGAGTGTTTTCACCGATGCGGTAACATTCGCATCCTCCAAGGTAGTGCGGATGAGATCTCTTCCACTACGTGGCACATGAGTATCCTAGCGTGACAAGCTTTCAGATTCGACATCTTAATACACTACAACAAAAACTTACCTGCTTTCCAAATATTATCTGCAAGCACACCGCATATTAACGCCAATTAACAAAAATTGCCTGGAATTACTTACCACAAGTTCGCCTTTTCCCGCAAGGTCGCCCTTACGCACGCGGACGAGGGTGTCGTCGTTTTTTCCCCTTCCAAGAGTCGCGCTATGAATATCGGTTGCAAAGAAACAGACGGACGCAAGGACGCGAGGGTCAAACGCAGCCTGTCAGGTGTTAACGTTAAGAGGGTCATATAGCCATCGTGGACAGACTCTGAATGCCTGGGCTTCACCGTCAGCGTGCATAATACAAGAAACGGACAAGTCACGCACAAGATGGCCTCCAAGGCACATTCCCGTGGCTATCACGGTAGCAAGTTAATCTAAGAAAGGATATCGTGAATACATATTTGCGGACCTCCAATTCGTCCAGTGCAATTTTCCAAGGACATTAAGAGATCAGTCGCAAGTGTTGCATCCTTGAGAAATAAATATCCTTGTGAGGTCAGGCAATATTAATCCGCGATCATTTCATGCCTCGTCATACGCTTCGACGCGTTTCTCAATCTGAGACGGTGAGGGATACGTATTTATATGTACGAGGTAATTCGTCGCTGCGCACCTTGTACTTATTTCCTCTGTCGGTGCCTTGGTGCAGCTTAAACTTAGTGAGAACGAATGAATGCGCAAATATTACCTTCAACATCGTAAGGGATCGCCTCGGGCCCTTGAAATTCATGATATACGGACGGACACGCTAGTTAGTCACGAAGTTGAATTGGGCGCGCAGAGCGGTCCTTGGCTTACGCACCGACGACGTATCCGTGGCTCGCGATCTGACCTGCAAAGCGTTCTACTGGTCCGGTGACCTGGTAAATTTCACTACATGCCTTGTGGTGAGTGTTTTTTCCCCCTGAAAAATGAATGAATACATACCTGAAGACAATTACGCCTGGGCAGGGTCAATCCTTCTGGTCAGGGGACATGATGTAAAAGGTAAGATCGACCTGGAAATTTTGCCTGTGGATAGTTTTGCACGCTAGGGGAAATGACGAATATTCTAACGGGGCGACCGTTGAGGTCAAGCTTAGTGGGAACATCGTAGTATCTTGTTGTTACGAGCATGACTGAGGACTTGGAGACTGCGACGGAGAGGAACGTATAGTACTAGTACCTGGATTGTTACATAAGCAATGACGAACGTGTGTTGGATGGATGGAAATTGCTTAAAATTTATGTTCCTCAACATGTACCTCAACGCAGGCCCCTCTCCGCTCCCACTACACTATGGATCCGTTAACGGCAGAAATTCGTCCCTACGCTGCTGAAGATAGCAAGTTGGCCCTCTTCATCGTCGGCAAGGCGAATATGGAGCAATTAGCCATGGCGAATAATCGCGGTGTGTGGTTTATTAGATTCGTTGTTTGATCTTTGCTGATCCTCATGCCAGTGTACACTAACCCTGTGACGATTTCTTTATGGGTTCTGCTCTCTGCGATCTTCGTCCAGTACATGAAATGGTGGCCAGCATCGACCGAGTATGGATGGGTGTCTTATTTAAGGCCACTTCCTGCATTAGCGTCAATGGCCGTTCCCATCATGTTCTTTGTTGACTGGTATGTTTTGCCCTTTCGTGGAATGACTCCTTATTGATTAAGCTTTTTTCAGGATAAACCGGCCTTATTTTGAAAAGCTCACGCAGGAGACGCTGCGCCAACCTGACATGACCCAAATCGCGGAACATTATACTCTTTCGCCGGGTTCAGGTTTCTGGATTCTTGAATATGGAAACCGCTTCGTTGGACTCATAGCCCTCGACGCTTCTCCAGCGCAAATCGAGGGTGATGAAGGTGCCAAAAAGTCGAAGAAAGCCAAGACGAACCAAGGGGAGACACCCCACACTGCGATAATCCGCCACTTTTATGTTGATGAGGCCTTTCGTGGCGCGCGGATTCAAGACGACCTACTGGTCCACGCAGTAGACTTCGCGTTTTCCAATGACCCCACTCTTGTGGCCGTTCAGGCAACCGATTCACCCCTTGCGTCTTACACTCGCGAAGCTTTGCGAAAGGCTGGATTTCAGTTGGATCAGTATACAGACAAGGTCGGCATTCTTGGTTGGAAGTTGGGTGTTCGTGTGATGGAGCGGAGCGAGTGGAAAAAGACAAAGACAGGTTGAATTTGTTAGTGTAATTGATACAACATGTAATAATGGCGTTGTTTCCCGCCATAATCGATGATCCCAAACATTCCCTTGTCGTCTTTCAATCGTCCATTGCCCAGACAAGCTTGCCTATCATTCGGAATATTCTAACCACACAGAATAGTTCACGCAAAAGCCTTCTGTTTTCCCTTCAATATCCAGCCTCATTTTTCCTCGGCGGGTTGGAATATGAAAATCTCGAAATTCATGATCTCCTTGACCACGTACCAGGATACGACGCATCGCCTGACATACAAGGCGATATACTTGCGAGAATTTCAGCAGGTGCATTTCTCCGATTCTTTTAAGATCGCATCGGTTAAATGTCCTACAACAGCTTTTCAGACTCCATTGCCTCTCAATGTTGTGATAGATTCGGTGGACATCCTTCTGCTGGACATTGGATCGTTGTCTAAGACATACCTATTCCTTCGAGAGGTTCTCGCGCTCGTCGAGGAACACTTGGGTATGTTTGAACGCTCACAAATTCCCCTCATAACCAGAAAGGTCTTCATATTCAGGATCTCGTCTCATCCTTCACGTTACACATCCCTCGGAACTCACGCCATTACTGGTGCAGACCACATTCTCCTCGTCGTTGGCACATATCATTGCGCACCCTGCCGCGCTTCTCAAGCATATAGCTACAGAGTACCTCACCCCCCCTCCCCCAGCTTCACCAGAGGTCAAGTTCTGGGGTGTATTCCTCCCGCTCAGCGTGCGTACTCATGAGGCGGAGCGTCTCGTCTTCGGAAATACTGGGGAGGGAAGTGGTGACAGTGAAGAAATTGTCATCGAGGTTCTTGTGAGATGCTCTGGCAAGAAGCGCGCGGTACAGCGAGCATTGGAGGGTTGGTCTATTAACAGCGGTGTTTCGTGTGAATTAACTGCTTTGGAGGGCGTGAGGTCCCTATGGGTCAGGCAAACAGTGTTTGAGGTACAGTCTATCTCATTGCTAACCGAGAATTGCGCCGATCCTTTGTATTACACAGACACCAGCCGTAGACCCCACGCAGAATCTGTCGTTCAACCTCAATTTGACTTCATCTCAACAAGAGTCTCGAGCTCAGGTGCCTTTGCCGTACGCACACGAAGGTAAATGATCTTTTTTTGCCAGGCGCTCGCGCTAACCTCAGAGAAAAAGGCCGACCTCAGGGAGTAGCCCAAAACAAAAATGGTGCTATTTTCTACGATCCTGATTCAGCGGACGACATCGACGACGATGACCCAGACGAGGATTTAGACATATAGAATTTGCCATCCGAATGAAACACTACGATACTTTTTCTTTTTTCCAAAAAAAAAAAGAGGGTTGCAAATGCTGTCAATAGCATGCTATCCTTTAACTGTCTAATTTTTAACTCTTACGAAGTGCGGAAATCCTTGGAAGAGACTGCCAGATTTTCTTCTTCACTGGCTGCGATAGCCGACGGCTAGAAACGGCAATAACAGGTTCTATTACGCTGCGTGGCCTCTGAACTTCACTGGCAGATGGTCCTCCAGGGGCGCTTCCATTGCCCATGCAAGTCATCGTAGACTGTGGTTTGGTGAGAGGCGTAGAAGCGGCGACAACAGAAGTGCCGAGCGGGGGCGAGGTGGAAGAAGGGAAACTGGAATTGAAAGTAGGAAGAGAGAAACGACGTTTTGATTTGATCTCAGCCAATGTTTTCGGCCTTGAAAAAATGCCATACGAATGGAGTGAATGTTGATTCATCGATCCAACGGTACCGTCAAGTGGTGAGGACTGAGACGCAGCGATGGTATTTTGATATGCAGCCGATGATTGGTGTCCACTGGGCGGAGAAAGTATTTCGGGAACTCTTGAGGTATATATTGGAATTCGGGGAGGAAGTGTTGACGTGAAAATAGGGGAAGAGACACTGGTCTGCTCAAAGATATCATCACAATGTAAGTAAAACTGGAATTGCTGATCAACGTACTGCCAATCTCAAGGGAGGAGAACCCCCCTGCTGATCTTCGTAGGGTGTGCCTTCCATGTCCACAATTTCGTCCTGACTAAAGACTAGTGAACTTGCGATACTGGGCCCTGGGCGCTGCCCTTCGCGTTGATCCCCACTCCCCTTGGTTTGCTTCTTCGAGAAGAATCTCTTGACTTTCCCGCCGAGCCTCTTGACGCGCCGAACAACTACGTTTGAGTGTGATGAGGCGTTCTTATCTCGACTGCGTGATTCTTCCTGTTGGCCATTCGCATCAGGGATCCGAACACCGATCGCGAGTGCATCATCCTCCGAGGAGCTGGGTCCCGTTATAGTGTTTACAGTAGCTAGGGCAGTTTCTAAAAGCGCAGCAGCGTATTGCGTAGCTTCCGTTTCCCCGTCCTCATCGGATTCGGGCAGAGCTTCTACCCCACGAGCATCGGGGGAAGATGATGATGAGGAAAACCCGACGTGTTGTTCGACTTCTTCACTAGGTCTTAGGGACGAGGCCGGAGGCAGAGAGACCGAGTTCGGAGAAGCAGTGGAAGAAAAAGAAAGACACTCAGAAGCTGAGCCGAGCAGCAGCGTCCAGGCTTCGTCGCCGTCTGGTTGAGAAAGAAGGGAAAGAAAATCGAGGTCCAGGCCCCCATTGACTTCACGGGTGGATTCTGTGCCGGTGTTGCTTGAAAGCAGGCTGGGATAACCGAGGAGATCTACATCAGTGGACGTAACATTAGACACGGGGAGCAGATGGTCATGAGGTGTGGCCATTGAAGAGGGGCTGACGGACCCAGAATCGTGATGCTGGTTGTCCTGGTTCTCAATTTGCGAGTTCTCGCAGGGATTTTGCGAGCCGGGAAATTCCAACAGGAACGCTTGAGAACGTCGAGCAAGCATCTGGATTGAAGGCGTCAATTGAATCGCGGTTTCCAATGAAGGGGGAAATGGGACAGGGTTTGGTTGCTCCGTGCAAATCAAAGGCGGTGAGGCTTCGGTCAATGACGTAATTTGAACAGGAAGCTCTGAAGTAACACCCAGTAGCCCGCATGAATCAGAGTTTATCACCGAATTTGCGTGTGAAGCCTCCCGTTGATAGAATTTTGACGCAAGGCCGAGCTCTGAATCAAGGGCTGGCTGTGGGTAGGTGAGATGCACAAGGGCATCGATGTCCGCTCCGGTCAATTTCTCTGAAAAATCCGTTGATCCCGAAGCCGAAAGTGCCATATATGCTGTCTCACGTGGTGTCGCCTAGTTATTGAAATAAGTAAAGCGGTTAGAGTAAACAACTGGCCTCATCGTGAAACGTACAACGTGAGGTAAATGGGGAAATGGCGCAATCAAAACAGGATCTGTTCGAGTTGTGCTTGTCCCTGTGTCACAGACGGGGAGCTCGTCAAGAGCGTGGTGGAGGCCAGAGCCAGCCGCAAGGGGTTCAGATGGCTGGCTTTGGGACAAGCGTTCAAAGATAACGTTGCGGGTGTGGTCATTGTCAGGTGTTGTGTGTAAGGGCCATGCACCAGGCAGAGCTGGGGAGGCGCTGCGTGGCGCCATTTTCTGAAGACGAGCAATCTGGGGAGGCAAGAACATGCGTCGTAGAAGAGAATGAAGGGATAAGGAAGGAGAAAAAGCCAGTCAAGGGGAAAAAAGCGAATGGAAAGCTTATATCGCGGTCTCGTGACTGAGAAGTTTACTAAACTGTTGGATACAATTTAATAATTCCACAGCGGTGTAAAATATCCGGGTAACCTGGTAACATTTGCCGTCCAATGATCCTTTACAATTTGCCTTTGACAGCGGCGTCAACGCTCTCTGCAAAGTATTCGATGTTGCCTCCGTTCAACCCAGCCATAGAAATACGTCCGTCGGCAGTCATGTACACGTGCGCCTTTTCGGCCAGGGCTTTGGTTTGCGGAGGTGTAAGGCCGGTGAAGCTAGAGGTTCTGTCAGCACTAGCAGCCGCCAGGGGAGAAAGGTGTTCACCTAAACATTCCGATTTGACTTTTAATGTGTCCCCACTCTCCAGGAGTCTTCAAATCGTGAGTCAACGCGGAATACAGCTTTTCCCTCATGCTGATGATCCTGTCGGCCATGCCTTTAACTTCCGACTCCCACTGGGTGTATAAGGCTTTGTCTCCGAGGATCTTGTTCGCAATTCTAGCACCATGCAACGGGGGATTAGAGTATGTGGGTCGGATGACAATCTTCAGTTGACTGTTGACTCGAGCCTTCTCATCGGGGTCGGTGGTCGTCAAAGAGAACGCGCCAACACGCTCGCCATAAAGTCCCATGTTCTTGGCAAAGGACTGGGCAAGGGCGATATGATGGCCTTCAGAAACAAAATGGCGCACAGCGAATGCGTCATGAGACGTGGAACCAGAGGCGAATCCTTGGTAAGCCATGTCGAAGAAGGGGAAAAGCTTCCTCTCTTTAACGATATCGGAGATCTGTGCCCATTGCTCCTGAGTAGGGTCAACGCCAGTTGGATTGTGGGCACATGCATGGAGCAGTACGATTGACTGCTCCGGGGCAGCCAGCAAGTCTGCCTTGAGGCCTTCAAAATCCAACCCGACAGTCTTCTTGTCGAAGTACCTGTAGCCACGAACTTCGAGGCCAGAATCACGGAAAATGGGTGTGTGGTTTCCCCAAGAGGGAACGGGCAAGTAGATAATTTTGGAATTGGGGTAGTGGCGAGCAAGGAAAGCTCCTCCAATTCTGAGAGCCCCAGTCCCAGAGATGGACTGGGTGACGGAAATCTGAGAGGTGAAGTGTAATCAATAGAAGAATTGATGACCCGAGAAGCGCACGAACAGAGCCTTGTTTAAGGGGCTCGCTGTCTGCACCGTACGCCAAGAGAGCGGCATTTTGGGTGAACTCTGCGAGACCTGTGATAGGCAGGTATTCTTTGTCTGGTTTGAGAGCAGACAAACGCGCCTCGGCCTGGTCATTACATCAGTAAAAGAACCTTGAATGAATACAATGCACCTCACCTCCTTCACGCTCGGCAGGACATAGGGTTTACCGTGTTCATCCCTGTATGCTCCAACACCAAGGTTGATCTTCCGTGGGTCCTTGTCGGCCTTATACGCCTCAGTCACGCCTTTGGAGGACTTTATCAGGTATGAGGGACCCGCGTAAAAATAAGGGCGTACCAAGAATGGGATCGGGAGGACCTGCAGGGACAGCGGACCAAGTTGAAGCATAACGAGCGGTTACGCCAAATGTACGGCGGGCAAGAGAAGTGGCAAGCATAAAAAATAAAGTCTATGAAGGGTATCTGGTATCTGTTCAAGGGTAGTTCAAGGGCATGACAAAAATCACAACAAATTTTATGGCGGTCACTTTGTCCGATCAAACGGTTTTGTCCGATCAACCAATCCGGATCTAATCTAATCTACTATCTAGTCATCTTGCTTCACACTTCCATCATGTCCGACTCACAATCACCCGACCAGTAAGTGTTCCTTATCCACAAATACCCTAGCCTGATCGTCATACAAGACCGCAGAACACCGGTCCATCTAAGAGCGAATTGAAAAAATTAGCCAAAGCTGCAGAGAAGGAGAAACGCGCCGCTGAAAAAGCTGCAAAGCAACAGGAACTTGCTGCCCAGCAAAAAGCAGAGGCCGACCTGGACTGCGCTACAAGTTTCTATGGCGCCTTGCCTTTAAATCAATCGCAAAGCCGACCACGTAGGCCAAGAGATAAAATCGCTGATTTATCTTCGCGCGTTGGCGAAATCGTCGTTTTGCGTGCACGAGTACAGACTTCTCGAGCCCAAGGAAACAAGATGGTCTTCCTCAATCTTCGTCAGACCACCGACACCGTGCAGGCTCTTCTGACCGTCACTCCTGAAAAGGTGTCCAAGCAGATGGTTAAATGGACGGCCGGCTTGGCCGATGAAAGCATCATTCTAGTCGAAGGCACCGTGACAAAGGTGCAAGAGCCGATCAAGAGCGCAAGTGTAAGCGACGTTGAAATTCATGTACATCAGGTAAGTTTTTTTTTTGTGGGCTGAAATCGAATCAACATTGCCACAGATCCATTTGATCTCTGGGATCGATGGTAGACTCCCATTCTCCGTAGAGGACGCTGCGCGCCCAGATACCGACTTAGAAACATCGGATGTTCAATATAACCGTGTGCTTTTGGAAACTCGCCTCAACAACAGAATTGTCGATCTGCGTGTAAGCTCTTTACTGGATAAACGGATTCGCGTCCATCTTACGTTATTTTAAGACACAAACCAGCCAAGCCATTTTTAAGATACAGTCGGCCATTGGAGATCTCTTCCGTGAATACTTAAGTTCTCACGGATTCATCGAGATCCACAGCCCAAAACTGCAAGGAGCTGCCACAGAATCGGGGGCTTCTGTTTTCAAAGTTGGCTACTTCAAAGGTGTGATTGTAATTACTTGTGATTTGACAAGTTCCATCGCCCTAATTTCGAACAATCGCCTAGGGAATGCTTACCTAGGGCAATCTCCTCAACTAGCAAAGCAAATGGCGATCGCGGCCGACTTTGAAAGAGTATACGAAATTGGTCCTGTTTTCCGCGCCGAGGACTCGAATACCCACCGTCACCTTACCGAGTTTATTGGACTCGATCTCGAGATGACGATTGAAGAACACTACCACGAAGTATTGGAAGTATTGGATGGCTTGTTTTTAAGCATATTTAGGGGCCTCCGCGAGAAATACACCAAAGAGATCGGGGTTGTACAAAAGCAGTTCCCAGCAGATGATTTCAAGTGGAGGGAAGGGCTTGAGGGAACGTTGCGGTTGACCTTCCGCGAGGCCGTTGATATCTTGGTGGAGGATGGTGTCCGTAGAGAGGATCTAGACGACTTTAGGTGTGTAATTTTATTACGTGCAAAAACACGTCCTGACCATCTAAACTCTAAACAGTACTGAAAATGAAAAGAGATTGGGGAGACTTATCAAGGCCAAGTATGATACCGACTATTACATCATTGACAAATTCCCCATGGCACTTCGCCCCTTCTACACCATGCGAGACTCCGAAGATCCCGTAAGCGCTTTACCAGTGCTGCAGACCTTGTGGGCTAAATGTTGTTATTTTCAGACACTCTCCAACTCTTATGACTTTTTCATGCGTGGTGAGGAGATTCTTTCGGGTGCTCAACGAATCCACGACCCTGCGGTTCTCTGCGAAGCGATGCGTTCGAAAGGTGTTGATCCCGAATCGATGAAACCATACGTTGACGGTTTCCGCATGGGATGCAACCCTCACGGTGGAGGAGGAATCGGATTAGAGCGAGTGGTGATGTTGTTTTTGAAGTTGAACAACATCAGACGTGCGTCGTTATTCCCAAGAGATCCCAAGCGGTTGGAGCCGTGACAACATACTTCGGAATCATACTCGGTACTATATAGCTCCAAATGTCAAGAATTAGAAGTTCGAAGCTTGAAGCACACCACATGTGTATCCGAATAGAAGCCCGGTACTGAGTCTCAGTTATGATACCAATCGTCAGCCGCCAAGCTAAAAGTAGTTTAGCTTGAGCTTTATGCAACTACATATACCCTTCATCCCGGAGGAAGCTCTTCTTTTTACCCTCTTGAATTGCTCCCCAACTATCACTAAGCTATGTACCTCCCGAGAGCCTCTGAGGAAACCGATGTCTGCCCTCCTGGATACGCATCCTGCATCCCTTCAGCGGCCGGTGCCATACCCGGCAGCAACTCTCCAATAGACCAACAACCGGACCGCGAAAACTTTGATCAAACAGCCTTTCTAAAACCAGGACCCCATCGATACATTGGAATTGGCATGGTGGCTGGCATGGCACTGCTCGTCCTCGTGTTGTGGATATGGCTGGGAAAGTGGCCGAGGCGGATGATGGAGGCGCATAGCTGTTGTGGACGAGGAAAATCAGGGAGGGAAGAGAATCGGACCGAGGGCTCAATGATGGCACGCGAGAAATGGCATGAGGCTTCACCCCCAAGAGGCAGACAAAAATCGCGCGATGTCTTCGTTCCCTGTGGATCGGTTATTACAGAGCCTGGCCGAGCGAAAGAGGGCAGAGGGTGTCGTTTCGAATTGAATTGGGAGCTTGAGCGCATACGCGCAGTTTCCCTCCAGGTAGCCGTCCCACTGACCTGTGAAAAGGAAAGAAGTTTTATGATTCTTGATTGCAGGGAAGGACCTCGTCATAGTCAGGCCGCAATTGTCATTATTTAAGATGCCATCAGGAGGAGGGCTGCAAGATATAGGTGAAAACAAAGAAGCGGGGTTACTTCAGCAACAATTGGGCGCACCTGATACCTACCCCGCTCACACTTACGCATAGCAACAACTACTTATCTTGGGAACCAAGGATACCTCCCAGCACTTGGCGGCAACCTTTCGAAGAGGCCTGGTAATTCCAGATGGCAAGATCAAAGATGGGGGGGGCTCTAAAATGTCCGTTGATTAGACATTACTGGTGTATTGCCATGGATATCTATTAAGTATGCAGAGAAGGGATTTTACTACAACAGGTCAGATCAAATATATCCCATAATACTGTCAAAGCAGAGAGAGTAAATCCGTCAAAATGACATCATAACGGTGTACATCCAAACTCACCACGAAATGATGCAAGGTGGAAAAACACAAAATCAGAGGTCAGCGCCTTCTCGTCCTCCGTCGCTCGTTCGGACGGGAATTACTGCTTTGACCCATAGCACTAGCAGGAACAGAGCTACCCTCTAAAGCCGCTGCTATAACTTCCGCCGGAAGATCAATGTGAACCCCATCGGCATATGTGTATGCGTCGAGAGGCGAATAAGCTGGAGGGTCTCGTCTTGAGAGTGCTGTACTTGGAAGAAGGCGATCATCAGATGCGGAGCGATCGTGTCCCTGACTCCCCGAACGACGGTGTCCTGAGGTGAGTGCTTGCAGATGAATGTCGCGCTGATTGGGTGTCGGCGGATTTCCGGGGCTCATGGGTGAATCAGGAGGGGGGTGTAGTTGCACACTTAGCTGAGGTCCTGGCACTGATAACGAGGTGGCGAAGTGAGTAAGGGAATGACGCTGAGGTCGATGGGTGGTAAATGGGTTTCGCGCACCTGTGTCGGGGGAAAGAGATCTAGACGACGCTGGCGATAATGAAACAGATGCACTTCGGTCCTCTGAGTCATGGCTCCCAGACGCTCTTGTGAGCAACGGTTGTGTGGGGTTGTCGGATGTTGATGGTTCCACCTCATAATAATCTTCCGGGGCTTCATCGATTGGAGTGATGGGTGGGGGCGGTGTTAAGGGAAGAGGTTCCGGAAAGGCAGAGGTCCGCAAGGGAGACGACGCTGTTACCGAGCTAGCCGAATGTCTCGGACGTCGTGAACGATGCGAACGGCGAGAGGGAGAAGATGGGGAAGACGAGCTGGGAGTGCCATCGGCGTTTGCTCGAACGCGTCCTCCAACGTCAAGAAGAATGCTCCCACGTTCGCTACCATATGCAGGAGGTGGGGCGAGCGTACCGACACTGGGCGCCAAACCCCATTTCTTAACATTTGCTTCGATAAAAACAAATCCAGCCTGTCCCAGATTTACGTGGACACTGCAAGGACCATCAGCACCGATGGTGGGGAAAAGATTCCATCGGCTCAAGCCAACAAACGCATCCTCTGTCTTACGTCCGTTCCTAGTGAAGAAAACTGTCCCTGTGCGAGGTCGATAACCCAAGCCCAGGACATCACCTTCTTTGAGTATGGGACCGAATGGCGCAGCGGTGAAAGGAAAATTGTGGGACTTGTCACCGTTCGAGTGGTAGGCAACGGAGTATCGATTGAGCCCAGGTAACCGGAATGGAGGATATGGCTTGGTTGCAAGCCCCACGGCCACGGTCGTTGTTTCCGGAAGATCAAACATCTTTACTTCCCAATAATAAACTTCATTGAGCTTGGGTAATGGGAGGTTGGACTGTACACATGACGAGGAAGCAGGATCTGGAAGGAAAGTAATTTCCGTTCTGGCATGAACAAGCAGGGAGTTCACAGTCTCATAGTCTGGTTCGAAACACCACGCTGCGACGCCTTTTTCCTGTATTGAGAGGAATTGCGATAGGGTGATATCTGTCGGCAAAGAATTAGGTGGATATTGGAGCTGATATTCTACATGAAAGGATGAGGTGAGAAGTCAAGTAAAGATGAATACTGTGGTACAAACCCTTAGCTCGTAAATAAGCCCTTCGAACGGTGTCTGTGACCCCTTCCAGCCATCGTGATTCGACGCCTTCAAAGCCACCTTCACCTTCGATGAGTTCTTCACGACTCATGTCGACGGGGCCATCGTTGTCGCCCAGAATAATACCCCGCCGTCTTCTTATGAGAAGGACGCAGATAAGAAAGGTAAGGAGCAGAAACAAAAAAGTGGATAAGACGATGAGTAAAGGGAGTAAGACGAGGAGTGCATCGGGCTGCTGTGGAGAGGAGGGCCCGTCTGAAGGAGGATCATAAGCTGGCGTTGACTGAGTAAAGAGAGCTTCAAATCGTGCAGAGACGATCATGACAGTGGAAGGGGAGTCGTCGGTGTGGGGCGCGCGGCTACTGGCAACGACGAAGACAACCCCTTGGCAGTGCGACACTTGTGTGACCGGGATTAGCCGTTAGCATAATTTAAATAGTAATGATAATGATAATAATAATAAGGCTACATGTCTTCTACGTTATCGCCTAGCAATTCTCCAAAGATCCTTAGACGAAAAGGCTCTACTCGTCGTCGACAAAATTCCCATCTTCCTCCCTACAACTCACAAGAATCACACGATGCCGCAGTCAATGCCATCCGATCCTTTCTTAAGTGTCACACTTCTTACGATGCCTTCCCTGTGAGCTTCAGGCTCATAGTCCTCGACACAAAGCTCAACGTTAAGAAAGCTCTTCAATGTCTTCTCCTCAATGGCTTGTCCTTGTTATCTGTTCCTTCTCTCATCACTAATATCTCACCCCAGGCGTCGTCTCCGCTCCCCTTTGGAACAGCGAAAAATCCCGTTTCGCAGGCATGCTCACCGTTCTGGACATCATTCATCTCATTCAGTATTACTATCGCACTGCATCATACGATTACGCCGCAACCGATGTCGAGACATTTCGTTTGGAATCCCTGAGAGGTGCATACTTGTCTTTCTTCTCTATATTTGTTGGATGCACGTCTTTTCAACTTGACAGACATCGAACGTGAACTGGGAGTTGCTCAACCACCACTTTTGCGTGAGCATCCATCAAGCACGTTGTATGATGCTGCCAAGCTTCTTATCCAAACCCACGCGCGACGGCTACCCTTGCTTGACAATGACACTGAGACGGGCCATGAGGTCATCGTATCTGTCCTCACCCAATACCGATTGCTCAAGTTCATTTCAATCAACGTGTGTCACTTGCAACTAGGTTTCATTGCCATGCCCAACTCACACAACTCTCCAATCAGTGTCACAAGGAGATCCAACAGCTCCATCAATCATTGCGCAAACTGAGAATCGGAACCTATGTTGCCTCACCTCCTTCGGAACTACGTGAAGGCCAAAATCCTTACCATCCAATTGCCACTGCCAGTCTCAATACCCCTGTTTTTGATGTTGTTCATATGTTTTCCGAACGCTCGATCTCCGCCGTTCCCATCATTGATGAGCAGGGCGTTGTGGTTAACCTTTATGAGACAGTAGATGTCATCGTAAGTTGGCGCACCCTTTGTTTCTTAGTGTCCCGCCTTTATTCGATTTTTCTAGACACTCGTCCGGCTAGGCGCATACCAATCCTTAGATCTCAAAATCTCGGAGGCTCTCAATCAGAGGTCTCCTGATTTCCCTGGCGTTGTCGTCTGCACTGCTTCAGATTCTCTTGGAACGTTGCTGCAACTCATCAAGAAAAGACGAGTGCATCGCCTTGTTGTCGTTGAGGGAGAGGTACTTTATGATATTTGCGATGTTGTTCATGTTGATCTAACAGCGTCGTTGTAGGAGGAAGAGAAGCGCGGAGGAAAGAAAGGTAGGCTATTGGGTATCATTACATTGAGCGATGTCCTGCGATACGTCATTGGCCAAGTAGACATTGGGGAGGGAGTAGAGCTGATTTGACCTATTTTGCCGTTATAGGCTGTATTTCTTTTCTTGCCTTCATGTACATATGTTCTACTTTCCTAGAGCCAGATACCTCCAATTTGTATATACACCACTTGTAAATTCCATAGTTTAGTACTGACATACGCAGCTCACCATCCAGCAATTCGTGGTTGGTCGAGAACGAGGCAACCTTTCGCATTGTCCAGCATCCGGCGGGAAGTATCGCGGACGACAGCTTGAGGACATACCAAACCTCGATGCGGATCCACTATTCCCTTCTGTGGGGGCCAAAGTACGACTTTACCCATCCTTCTCCAGATCCGTCACCTCTAAAGCTTTTTTCTCTCGTTTCTTCGCCCGTGCTTTTGCAGATTTTGACAATTTCCTGATCAGGGGAGGTTGATACGTTGCACCCCTTTCCTTTAATTCAGGCAGAGATTGCGTTGAAAGGGTGATGCGCATAAAGGGAGTTTGTTTCTGCCTCACACTGCGTCAATGGAGAGGAAGAACAGCGAAATGAGTTGACTGATCGAAGATAGACCAGCGTCACATACTGATTTTTCCCCCCCAGCGCTTGTACGATGTTCTGCACTCGTGCCTCCTCGTTTGCAGCCTGTGGCGTATCCTGTTCCATTCGGTTATCCTCAGCCTCCAAGTCTTCCAAGCAGCCGAGCTCATTGTATTGATGCAACCCAGTCAACCTGGTTGACTGCTTCAGCTCCAGGGACTTCAAATACTCGCGCTTGATTATCTCCACCACAGACACCAAACGTGGAATGACAGTGGTCGCGTTTGATAATGCACCTTGAGTCTTCTCGGTTTCGTTTGTAGTTTGGACCAATGGTAGCGTGTGGAGAACAACAGGTTTATCATTGCGCTGCGAAAGGTGAACACAAATCCTTTTACGAATGCCGTGAACCGACCTCCAGATGATCCAAGGCGAATGAAACCCATGATTTCATCTTCCCGTGGTTCGTGATCCTTATTGAATGGCATTCTGGGAGCTGAGCTGCCATGCTGTGGCGTAAGAGGGCATAAGAGTTGTTTGGGACGAGATTGTTGTTGGTTCAAACACTATGTGGCCGTTCATCATTAGTCGCTCAGTTCATTTACAGAGGAGCATACGGGCCTCGGCAAGCGATGTCCTCAACATCCTACAGAACCCCGACACTCTCTTTAGGCTCAGCCCTCTTGTTGTGGCAGTCACTCCCGATCCAGTTCGCCCATCGTCGTTCACAGTAACGGAAAAACTCCCGATTCTTGGCTACTTTGAATCGTCCACAACGTTCAAATGCGACATGAATGTCATGGCTGACGGCTTCATTGCTGAAGTTGACGCTAACGCTGGAACAAGTTTACGAAATCAACTCACAGTTGTGGAACAATCGGATGGGACAGTTCTAGTAAGCGAGAATATCGTTGTCAAGGTATGTTCACCCTTCTCGGCGATCCAGTACGCATTGAAACAAAACAGGGTGTTTGTATCTTTATGCCGTTTATTATTGGCACGATGACAAAAGCCCACTTATCGCTATTTGATATGCTTGCAAGTAAAGTGGAGGAGCCAAAGATCTCTAGTCGGTTCTCCATACATTCTTTTTCTGTGTGAAAGATGAACAACTGACAGTATTCTTTTCAGCCAAATGAACAAACACTCTAGTTCACCCATTGTCGGTTGCGTAATTTTTGTGGTCGCAATGTTCAAGTACCTTGCAGACTCAAATGCGAAGCAATTATATTTCTCACTTGCCCTTTCCGTATTTGCGGTCTGCCTTCCCTTTTGGTCTCTGGGGGCAACGGATCCTTATGGCCTCTTTCACCTTTCCTTGAACAAACTACCGCACGAAGATGCAAACACACCTCCGCGTACAGAATGGCTCAATATGGGATATTGGAAGGTTCATTTCCATTTCTCTTTTGCTCGACGCATTTTTTTGACAAACCAGTCAGTAGAAAGCCAACGTTTTCCCAGACGCCTGTGAAGGTTTGAAATATCACGCCAGTTCTACCCACATCCTCACCCCAGGCATATCCTTATAGCTCTTGCGCTCAAATTAATTTCAGAAGCGCGGCTGAAGGTGGGCGGCAAAGTGCTAGGTGTGTAATATTTGGGTTGTAGTAGTTTTGTTCAGCGTTTAATATTCAAGCTATAGATGTTGGATATGGGACTGGCCAATCTCTTGTCCTCCTCCTTTCAAATGACTCTGTCCCTCGTCCCTCGCGGCTCGTTGGCGTCACGTCGCTGGAGACTCATTGTGAACGCTCCAAGGGCAGAATCATGAAACTCCAGAAGCAAAATATTCAAGTCGATCTCTACTCAGCGGATGCAGTGTGTGATGAGAGTAACAAAAGCCATCCTCTGCACCCTGAATCGGAGGTTTACTTCAACTCGATACTCACATTAGATTGTGCCTATCATTTTGACACTCGTCGCAGGTTTCTCGGCCAATCTTTCGAGAAGCTTGCCCCCGGGGGCAGGATTGCGCTGGCTGACATCTGTTTTGCACCGTCAGCCCTCAAAAGCTTGAAAACACGGTTGATAACGTCGCTGTTGAGAGTGATGCCTTCTGCCAATATGATATCAACGGAAGAGTATGTTCAAGACATGCTGCAGATCGGCTTTGTGGATGTAGTGCTGGAAGATATCACGGAGGATGTGTTTCCTGGGTTTGTGAAATTTCTGAAGGGGCGAGGATGGGGATGGTGGATTTTTGGCTATATCTTTCAGTGGTACGCAATAGCTGGAGCCAGGTTCGTGATTGTTGGCGGTTCGAAATATGGGTCATAGTTTTCTGGTTGTAACTTGAAGGGTACTACTTTTGTATTACAGCTACTAATAATTATGTACTATTCCTGACATGACCGCCATCCAAGCTGTCTTCATTCGTGGCTACGAAGAACGCTCATCTCCCAAACCACACACCGTGTATCGCATTGACATTCAAGCAAATGTTCGATCATGGCAGATGTGGAGAAGGTATTCGGAGTTTGACGATCTACACACAGACCTTTCAAGATCAACTGGATCACCACCACCCTGTGTCCTACCTCCTAAACACAAGTTCGCAATTCTCCGCTCCCACTCAGATATCAAGATACTCGATGAACGGAGAGTAGGGCTAGAAACGTACCTCAGAGCCATCCTCAGCGCCAAGGAGGACAAGTGGCGGGAGAGTTTCGCTTTCAAGCAGTTCTTGGGCATACCAGTCGGCAAACAGCAGGCTGGCGAAGCGAGTCAATTGACTTCAGCTTCTTGGCTAGATGAACATCTAGAGCTTCAATCCCGGCTTCGGGATGTCTGGGCTGAGATCAATAAACGAGATGCCCTCTCTGATCGAGGAGACATTGGCGCATCCCACAAAAGCAACGTGGCCGCAAAGTCGAAGCTTGCTGGTGTTCTGGCACGAATTGGGGTGCTGGGGAAAGGTTTGCAGGAACTTGGGGTGGCTGGGATGAGCGAGGGCGAGCTGCAGCGGCGGACGGACATGGTCGCACGACTGCAGGACGATTGTGAAAAGCTCAGTAGAGTCGTCACGATTGCACGTCAAACATCCGCCAGGGCTGCGGCACCGTTGTCGTCAGGGGGGTCTCTTGCGTTGAACCCTGCCTCGCAATCGGACAGGGAGGCGTTGTTGGGATCCTCACACGCTGCTAAACCTGCGCGACGTGTCTTTGGTGCATCTTCTCCTCCCAAAGAGACCGAGATGACACGTCCTTTGGATAATGTTGGCTTAGTTGGGCTTCAGCAAGTTCAGATCCAACAGCAGGATAACCAACTATCCCAACTCACAACAATACTGCAACGGCAGAGACAGCTAGGGGAGGCAATCGGTAGTGAAATTGCCTATCAAATCGAAATGTTGGACGACCTCTCTAATGAGGTTGACCGCGTTGGAGGGAAACTGACGACCACTAACAGGCAACTCAACCGACTTTCTTGATGTGCATCTCCAAGTCTTTTCTACTGGATCTAATTGGTCAATTATAGAGCTACGTAGGGGGATTGGTTATATCGGAGGAAAGGACATTATGTAGATAATCTCATTTTGTAACATCTATGATTGTGGCCCCGTTAAGAATTTGCCAACGCCCTTTAAGATGCTTTTAGAATTGACACAAAAGGTATGCGCAGTTCACTCACCTCAAAGGACGCGATCATAATCCCACATGCAGGAGCAATTTTAGCCATCCGAGGCAAGATGCCAGCGTATAACGCCGACGAACCTTCAGTGCGTATTACGCGGATAAGGAGGGGCAGAGTCCTCGAGATATGGGTATTCGATGCTGACATGAGAAGGGCCTGCCGTCGAGTCTTCAGCACGTCGAACGGGGATGTTAATAGGGCCGCTGAAATCCCACTGATTGCCCCGCTCACAAAGGCCACCCCTGTACCTTCATGGCCTCGTCTCGCAAAAGATTTTTTCCAAGTCTCATAGCTTGCCCAGTAGAATCCAGAAAACGGCACGTCCCGCCATAGACTGGGGCTAAGGCCGCGCCACAAATATCCAATGCCTTTCTGCCTGACAACGGACCGAACAGAGGTAAGAACGGACCGAAGGGTATGCGGGTTATCAGGTGAAAGTGGGGTTGATTGCAGGTTGGTGCGGATGAGTTCCAGTGGTGAGATGATGGAGGTGATAGTTGTACGGGCCAAAATTCCAGCAGAGAGGGGAACGAGGGTATCATTTGGTATGAGGGGAGGGAGAACAACCTTCTGCAGGTGATCGTATGTTAGGATGTAGGCTGTCGCTGACGGGACACTGATAACCCTAGTAGTATATTATTGAAATGTTGCTCAAATACCAGACCATATCACGTACAATGTTGTCCCAACACCTTTCCAAAGACCAGGTATCCCCTCTGCGCGCAAAACATGCCGAACAGCGTCCAAAAATCCGGTGACACGCTCAGTTTTCAAAACTCCCCGTTCCCACACGCAAACCACTTCTTCCCCTACTGGTCTTGCAAGCGAAGACATATTCCTCACACAGGAAGCCACATTGCTGGGCTGGCAACAAGTATTAGGCGGAGGTCGAGGAAAAAGGGGTTTTAGTTGTGGAGGTTGTGTCTGTAACCGGGTCTTCACGACGTCAAAGGGTGTCACTGAAGACGGGCTCGCAAGTGAGCGAGAACAAAAAATGAAAAGAGTTACTCACTGGTCAATGCCGTCAAGGTGGACCCAGTCGCGGCAGCGACGATTTTAGCATGAAATTTGTCCATGAGCACTATGGGAGTCAAGGAGACACTTGCTATCTGATAAGCGGAGTTGCAACAATTTACATTTGGCGTCACGTGAACATTTGTTGGATTTATTGACTCTCACTAAATAGTAAAAACGACGACGAACAAATCTTCAGACTACACCCAGCCCGTTTCTCGCTCTCAATACCTGCGACGGCCCCTTTCATACATTATTTCCTTTTTCCTTCTTTTAGATTCACCCTATCTCTTTTCTGACTGTTATCCATCCTGATTCACTCTTCTTTCTGCATCTTCTGATTTTCTGTCTCTACTTTGAATGGCGACCTCTTCTTTGTCGGGGGCTGCTCTCCAGGCTTCGAGAGCTGCGCTTTCTGCTGCTTTGGCCGATCAGCCACCATCAACCCTCACTTCAGCAGAGGAGGGTCTGGAGCCTGGTGAAATACAAGAAGTGAATATGGAAGCTCAAGCCGAAGGTATCCGTACTGTGTTCAGTGATCCTACCAACTTTAATGTCAAGGTAAGTCACCAAAGTGACACGGGACGTTTATATTGTTTATCATCTCGCAGCATCCCCTTTACTCGCCTTGGACACTTTGGTTCGACTCCCCTGCGACCAAGGGCCGAAATATGCCCCAGACGCCTGTCTCCGCATTTCCACAGACGCCGGTTCCCCAAACTCCTGGTGCAGCTGCGGCCCAGGGCTGGATGGAGGACATCAAGCGTGTCATCAGCTTCGATAGTGTCGAGGAATTCTGGGGGTATGCCCAAGTTTCGACGATAAGATTTTTCAATATCACTGACCCTGACTTTAGCTTGTACAATAACATTATACCACCGTCTCAATTGCCGCAAAAGGCTAACTACTATCTGTTCAAGGTGAGATCTCAGTTGTAAGAGACATCTTGTTTGCTGACTGTGCATCGCAGGAGGGGATTATTCCCGCATGGGAAGACGAGGCGAACAAGAATGGAGGGAAATGGAGCATTCAATTGCCTAAAGACAAAAATCGTCCCAACGTTGACAAGATGTGGCTGTATACCGTGAGTGAAGCAAGTCGTGCATCATTCCTTAACTTGACATCACGCTCAGATGCTTGCTGCAATAGGCGAAACGTTTGATCCGTCACCCACAGATTCGGAGAATGGGTCGCAGTCATTGATTACGGGGGTGATCGTGTCTACGCGTCCGCAGTTTTATCGACTGTCGATATGGACGCGCCTTGCACCTGGTGCCGACGAAGATGGGTTACGGGAGAGAATTGAGGGGGTTGGAAAATACTTCAAAATCAGTGTATTGGGATACCCCGAGGGCGCGAAGCTTGCTGGGCCACTGGCGACGGAGGTCGAGTTCCTGTCGCACAAGGACTCGGAGAAAAAGGGCAAGCCAAAGAAGATTGTTGTTTGATGTTGTATCTTGTGTACGGTTGTCTGCTAGGAGCTATGTTATGACATCATCTACTTTTAGGGTCGCTTATAAGAGCTGTTATCTTTCCCAGATATCAATCATTTATACCTTTCTTCCTCTCCACAATGCCCGTTCCCAGTTTTTTGGCCTCCTTCGCTGACAAGGCTCAGTCTGCAATCAACGCCTCGCCACTCGCTGCTCATCTTCCAGCTAATCTTTCATCACGCCCAACCAGCCCAGATGCCGCCAATCAACCATCTGCCAACGATTCTGCTGCGCAAGGCGGTCATAAATCACACACATTCGACGCAATTCAGCATCAATTTCGCTCCCTGCAACAGCAGTATTCGTAAGTTGGCGTCCATATCTCTTTGTGATATTTCTCAATTTATCTTATTTAGGACTACCTCTCCAGTCCAGAAGGTCATTACTGCAGAAAAAGGTGTTGCGATCGACTTCGATAGCGTTTCGCGCGACTCAAAGGCTCAAAGCAAAGAGCTGTATACCTGGGGTCAATCTGAAGCAGAGGATCTGAAAGATGGCAAGTTATCCCTTGTTCCTCTCGAATATCAACCTCAGCCTATATCAAGTGACCGACAGACTTGCGTATCTAAACTTTGTTCAGGGATCCCTCGCTAGTTCACTCGCCATCAAGCTTGATTCCGCCAGGGCTTCCATGAAGGCCCTTCGGGATGCTGAAGCAGCCCTTCTACCACGTCGGAATATCCGTGCCGGGATACAGAATCAGATCGGTCGTCTCGAGCATGCCCAGCAGAAGGGCACGGAGAAAACCATTTCCGATCTCAGGGGTCAACTGAAGAAAGCTGAACAGGACGATTTACCGCTGGAACGAGAAATCGAGCTTTTGAAACGCAAAGCGGTCAGGGAAAGCGAGCGACTCAAATGGGAAGCCCTTCGTGAAGTAGGTTTTATTTATTTATCCAAGAATAACATTTGTGATTGGATGCCCTCCAGTACGGCGAGAAGTTGGTTCTCCTCTCCCAAACAGCAACACCAATCATCGCAGCACTGCCTACGTTGCCACCAAACCAGGCCAGTCCGTACACAGGTGCTCAAGTAACAGGAGCAGCTCGCGCATCCCTCCAGCGTGCTTTAGACAACTACAAAACAGGGCACATCAATCTCCCCCCTCAAGTAGCTGGTTCTGATCTCAGCCGCTCAGACACCCGCAGCTTCGGGGAAAGTCATGCCAGCGAGCTGTCGAATATCAGCACGGACAGCATAAGTCTCCAATCGAGCATCCCAACGACACCCCCAGTCGTCAGCCAACCTCTTGCCCAGGTTCCCCCGACAGAACAGACCTCCCCTCCTGAACAGGCAGTGTCGCCACCTATTAACCCGCTTACACTTAACCAGTCACCGTCACCAATTCCCGCCGTTGTGAATGCAGCCACCACCCCGATCGCGTTGGACTCTGGCGATACCTCCATCACTGTCCCAACAATCATCCCGACCGTTGCAGAGACTGGCGTTCCCGTGTCTGCTGGGCCATCTGGGCCTGGACCAGCTAGCGGTTCGCTGCACGATATTAGGGGAGCGTCTTCTCTCGCTGGCCCGCGAAGTGGAGGTCTACCTGGCAATGAGTCGCAAATACCTGCATATGGTGAACCCCCAGCCTCCAACGTCGCAAGTTCTCAGAAACTTGAGTCTGCAGAGGAGGAGAAAAAGAGGCTGGCGGCTGCGTATACCCTGCATGATTCCGCTGTTGCCTCAGCTCCGTCGACGGCCACTCCTCAAGCAGCTGCGGCAGTTTCACCACCTCACGAGAGCGCGGAGGAAGAAAAGAAACGGCTGGAGCGAGAGGAACGGGAGAGGTTTTTGCAGGCAGGTTCGAGTCAAGGAGGGCCCCCAAAGAAGGATGGAGCTGATGAGGATCTGCCTCCTTATCAAGAACCTGGTTCGCAGTAAATTTCTCGTTTTTAAATTTGGAATGTTACCATCTGTATAATGTACTGTATCGGACGATCAACCCGGAGGAACAAATATTGGTATTGGAATTCAACGAGTGTGGCAGTTTACACCTTGGCTATAAGCCTCCGGGTCTCTTGTGGGGTAAAATGCAAGATGATGGACAATACTTTTACAAGGTTTGGCTGGTTGCACCAAAATGATCATTGTGATGCTCGTGAGAGGCAATTCAGATGCTTACCCTCATTTCCTTGTGCTCTAGGAACTGGAGAATGACATTCCGTAAATATTCAAGATTGACTTCTTCCTCGTTCTTAGTCGAGCTCGGTGCAGGTGACGCGGTACGTGAAGGAGACTCTGTCGGAATGGGGGAGAAAGAATTTCGTGACTCGGCAGGACTGTTTTCTGGGTTACCACGTGTAGTCCAGTATCCCACTCCGGGGTTTCGTTGTCGTTCGAGTAGCGCTGCAGATGACTGAACCTTGCGCAGCTCCTCACGTAGGGTCTGAAAACGAATTCATATTTTATCAAGCATGCGAAAAAAGTTGGAACTACCTTGTTATTCTGCCGAAGTTGAGCATCGCGGTTCTGCCCCTCCTCGACCTGGCGCTCCAAATGGCTGATCTTGAGGGCAAACTCCGTCTCACGCTCCTTCGCCGATTTCTATTCCTCGAAATTTACGATATCGACCTAAATCAACAGATCAAACCACTCACCTTGAGCTCGCTCAATTGATCTTGAAGAAGGGGCAGCTCCGACACTTGTTGCCGCAAGACTTTGGCTACCTCCTTCGCGTGCGACACCTCTGCACGGAGTTCGGAGGCCACGCCTTCGTCGGTCTCTCGCGTTTTGGCTGCAGAGCCCAGGACGCGTTTAAGTTCATCCAGTTCCTTGCCTTTTTCTCTGAGCTTTCGACTCCAATCTCCCTCGGCTTCATTCCGTTCCTTTTCAAGTGTAATAAGATTTCGCTTTAGCTCCGAGATCTTTACTTCGCACTTGGCCTCAACTGCAGATATCAGGTGCGCAACATCGCCAGCGGGTGTGACGGGATCACGCTGTCTCGCCGTTGCCTCTTGCTCGCGCTGTAATTCTGCATATTCCTCTCTTAGCAGTGCGAGGCGATCATTTGACTCCCGTAGCTGAAACTGGAACTCGGTGTTTTGGTGTTGGAGGGACTCGAGATGCGTGTGCGCTGACTCTAGTTCAGCTTGTCGTAGTTGAAGTTGATCAAAGAAGGCATTCTTGTCCCTCGTTGTATTGTTAAGCGAATTCTCCAGGGTTGATATTTGCGAGTTCTTCGACGACAATTCTTTGAGGTGCATACTCTGCAGGCCATGATCAACTAAGGAATCACAGAAATTCGTTTTCACCCTTTACCTTGGATGTAGCTATTTCTAGCTCTAATTGACCCCGCACGGCAGAGAGTTCTTTCTCGAAACGATCTTTCAGGCTGGAAGTGTCCCTTTCATACTGACCTTTCAAATTTGATATGACTTTCTCCCTTTCCTTGTTCAGAGCCTCGATCTCTTGATGCAACCGAGCGCTCTCAATATGTTCCTTGTCCTTTTCGCCCTTCTCTTTCTCTTTGGAAAAGGCTGCTTCTTTCAAAGCGTCTTCCTTCTCCTTCTCCGCCTTGACAAGTTTCTGTCTCAGAGTTTTCAGAAGGCTTATTGCCTTCACTCGCTTCTCTTCCTCCTCCTTGGCCAGAGTCTTGAACCGCTCACACTCTTGCACAAGGCGGTCAACCTCGGACCTATGAGTGGCTGCCGTTTCCTCCGCCTGAGTGTTCGAACTCTGAGAAGCCTGAAAAAGTGCTTCAGTCTCACTCAGCTGCGTTTTGAGTTTGTTTATTTGCTCCGACTGGGAGGTTGACTGCAATTGATGGGTGTCTTGAAGTTGCTGCAGACGCCCATCATGGCCTGAGATACCAAATGAGCGTGAAAAAGAGAAAATCACGTCGAACTCACTTTCCAATCTCTTATTCAGGCCTTGAACTTCACTCCTATAATGCTGCATCACCCATATCAGGATATATACGAAAGCCAACCATCATAGACTTCTAACCTCCACCTTTGTATTAGTGTCTTGCAGGTAATCCCGTAATGCAGCAGTATCTTGTATGCTATGCAATGATGTCAAGTCACGAAGTACAAGATCCGCAGCTAATTTTTCCGCTTGTAGCCGTTTAAACGATGTCGAAACATCTTCGACGAGGTTAAAGACAGAGACAGCTGGAGCATGAAGTTGAGGACACACCCGAAAACCGTTGCTCTACTTGTCGAAGTCGTTCTTGAAGATCTTCCACATTCGTACCTGGAGAGTTTTGTGAGGTCGGTTGCTCTTCCTCTTCAAGTGGTGGACCCCTAACTTGGTCACTCTCCTTGTCACCTGCGCGATTCTCCTTCGATGGGAGGGTGGAATCGGGTATATTGGAATGGTCAAAGTTAATACATTCGCCGTCGAGCAAGGAGATTGCTTCTGGCGACATAAGATTTTCGCCATTGAGTTCCTTCAACTTTGTATGCTGTGAAGGGGGGGCCTCTGAATTCAAAAGGGTTAAAGAAGGTGGAGACATTGGCGCAGGCTCGAGTTGAAAGGTGTCTTCGGTAGAAGGGGTAAGCAGGGGAGAATCAGGAAGCGGTGTAGAGGAAGGTGATAGCGGGTGACGTTCAACTATTGTGCGTGGCGTAGATGATGGTGAAGCTCTTGCGGAAGGTTGTGCAGTGGAGGGGCCGGAAGCTTCTCCGATGGCAAATGTGGCTCTACGTAACCTTTCTTCTAGATTGCCTTTTGGTGTCCTACTCTCGGGCAAAGACGATGGGCTCCCTGTGCGTCCGGCTGGACTTCCGGATCGTTGCGAGGCCAGAGACTTGCGTAGAGAATATAGTGCAGACTCTGCCAATTGTCCCGAAGATAATGGTGTTGCAGAACGCGTTGGCTGTGAATCCAGAGAGCGAGGATGCGATGCGCTGTCACGCTGGTCCTCCGGCGATGAAATGTCTAGTCCATGGGGAACTTGTTGCGCTAGCTGTTCGACAGCTTGACGAAATTGGCTGAACATGACATTCGCTAAGGTGCGCTTTGTGGAGGTGAGGCGGGTCCTTTCAAGTTACTGACGTTGTATTCAAAATACCCGTGGGAAGCTGCTTTCGTTGTAGGCCAATTATAATCACATCCAAGTAACTTGTAAGTAACATAAAGTGAATCAAGTATACAGTCTACGATTCCACAGAGCTTTCTGGGCCCTCGCTTTCCTTTCCCTTCCCATTGATGGAAGGCACAGATGAAGATATCGTACCCAGTGAAGTCGAAGAACTTTCAACATCACTGGCTTTGGGAGGGCTCGCCAACTGCCACGCTGGTATCGCTGGTCGGCCCAGCGTCGGTAACGGCGATGTGGGAGTGCCCGAGAGACCAGGCCCGCGGCTTAAAAGCAACGCTTTCAGAGACTTGAGTTCTTGTTGCAGCTCAGCCAAAGACTGTGTCTGGCTCTCTTTATTTTTCTCAATCATCTGGCCCGGAAAATTATGAAAGATACACAAAGAAAGGGCGGCGGCCCACCTTTGGGAGCATCTCCCGCACATTGGTGATTTCTTCCCGTATTTCACGCATTTCGTCTCGAGTCTTAAGTTCTCCTTCACGCATTTCAGACACGACAGCTTTTACGTCCTCCGTTGTCTGGTCGATCTTGTCTTTTTGTTCTTCCACAGCAGCTCGAACGGCAGCGGTTTCATTCTGTATCTCCTTCAAGAGGGCTTCCGCAGCGTCAAATTGCGCAGTGAGAGCATCTCGATCTTCCTCATACGCTGAAGAGTTCGGGGGTTGCAAGTGTGGGGAGAGATATTTCTGTGTTTAAAATTCAGTCGAGGGAAGAACACGGAGAGCCCACATACCTTAAAGAGTGCAACTGCGCTATAAGTTATTGCGCCTGACACGACCGCCGTAATCTAATTCCAAACTTTAGCACATGTTTCGCTGGTTGTTGAGATCAGCTGACAAAATAATCTCGCCAGTCCCAACGGGATTGAGAAGGGAATTGCTGACGACTATAGGGATAGGGAACTTGTTGAGATGGGCCTGCGGTAGTGACAGATGCCTGCTTCATTGCAAGCTCAATTTCTGGCGGAGTTAATCCTTTTGCCTCAAGAAATTGAATCCTCTGGGTCAAAGGGGAGGCTTGTGCCTGTGAGCAGGGTTAGTGAAAGAATGGTATGAAGGGTTTTGAGCCCACAATACCTTTGGATCGACAAGGAAGGCGACGGCATTGCGAATAAGCTCCTGACGGTCCATAGTGAAGAGAGGAAGGCAATAACCGAGAGCCGGGACCCTAACCTAAGGCCAACCCTAATCTAGGACCAAGCCAACCCTAACCTCAGGTATCAGGTGCGTTCGGACGTTGCCGTGTGCCACTTGTCACGAATTTTGCTGGATTGAATCAAGGTTTGTCTTCCACTGAATATGTTGCCTCTCGCAACTTGCAAAGCTGTATCTCGTGGTTTAACCGCGGCACGTTGTGAGTAGTATCCCCCTTGCTGTGAAGAATTCTCCGTTAAACTATTCTTTTCTACCCAGCATCCTTGCTGTTGGCTTGTCAACGTAGCCCCAGGTCGGGTATTCCCAGCTTTGGTGCGCTCGTATGCTGCGTGGCCTCCATTCATTTCTAACAATATAGCAGCTCTTTGCAGAGGCTATGCAGAACAATTTTCGCGGTCCAAGCCTCATATGAACATTGGGACCATTGGCTCGTTTCCATGCCTTACTTCCTCGTTCTGCTGGCTAACCTCCCCTCCAAAACAGGCCATGTCGATCACGGGAAAACAACATTGACCGCCGCCATTACCAAGGTTCTTTCTACACAGGGTGGAGCAAAGTTTACCGACTACAGCCAGATCGACAAGGCCCCAGAGGAGAAAGCTCGAGGTATCACTATCAACTCTGCTCACGTTGAATACGAGACAGCGACACGCCACTACGGTCACATTGATTGCCCGGGTCACGCTGATTGTAGGTTTATTTTGCCTCTACTTCTCGTCCAGATTGCCTGATCTCAGTCAAGACATCAAAAACATGATTACCGGCGCCGCACAAATGGACGGCGCTATCATCGTTGTTTCTGCCACTGATGGCCAAATGCCTCAGACTCGTGAACATTTGCTATTGGCGCGTCAGGTTGGCATAAAACGGCTGGTTGTTTTCATCAACAAAGTTGACCAAATCTCGGACCCTGAAATGCTTGAACTTGTGGATATGGAAATGCGCGACCTCTTGACCACGTATAACTTCGACGGCGAATCAACCCCAATTATTATGGGATCGGCTTTGGCTGCACTGGAAGGACGCAACGACGACATCGGCGCTACGAAGATTCAGGAATTGGTCAATGCTTGTGATGAATGGCTCGAACTCCCTCTTCGTATATACTGTCCTTCACTTTGTTATTCCATTCACGTTTATAATCATTCCAGGTGATCTCGAGAAGCCTTTCCTGATGCCCATAGAAGGTTCGGATAGCCCTCCTTTATCGCTTGTAGAACCTAACCATGAGCAGACGTATTCTCGATTTCCGGACGTGGTACTGTTGCAACCGGTCGTGTAAGTACAACGCCCTTGGAATTTGGCTCTTCTAACGCGAACATGCCACAGGTTGAACGCGGAATCGCTCTGAAAGGCAGTGACGTAGAAGTTGTCGGTTTTGGTGCCAACTTTAAAACTACGCTGACCGGGATTGGTGAGGGCCTTTGCTTTCTATAGTTCTGTCTCACCAATTGAAATTTTGCATAGAAATGTTCCACAAAGAACTGGACCGAGTATGTTGAGATGCCACCATTGCATCGAACCCTCTTACGAATTAACTTAGGCTGAAGCTGGCGACAACATGGGTGCTCTCCTCCGTGGTATAAAGCGCGAACAAATTCGCCGTGGTCACGTTTTGGCTGCTCCCGGTTCAGTTAAAGCTGCAAAGAAGTTCCTGGCCCAGATCTACGTACGTCACAATTGTGATTAGCTGAACCCCGCTGATTTTGCGATTTCAGGTATTGACCAAAGACGAAGGTGAATTCTGATTTACTTCGCTGACGAGCCCAGATTGAAGTCTCGGTAGGTGGTCGTTATACGCCCTTCATGAGCAACTATAGGCCTCAATGCTTCATCCGAACGGCCGATATAACTGTTGCTCTTACGTTTCCTGAGGGCACGCCTGATGCTGCTGAGAAAATGGTATTTGGGGTTCTTGCCAAACCATATATTCAATTAACACTTTGAAGGTCATGCCCGGTGACAACGTTGAGCTTGTGTGCGACCTTTACTTCGACGTTGCGTTGGAAGAAGGAACTCGGTTAGTTCTAGTTTCTTGATCATATTTGCCATTTCTGATAATAGCGCACCATAGATTTACTCTTCGCGAGGCACACAAAACAAGTGCGGATCTACCTGTTTTTCTTGGAACTTCTCCTGATAGTTTTCGTTTTTAGTTGGGACCGGAATTGTTACCAAGATTCTTGAGTAAAGCAGGGAGACCTTTTTGCTTTTTTTATTTGCCAAGCGCTGTCCATCCCAACTCTTAGAAGTTAGAACTAATAAAAGTACGCCCCCGCTGGAATAATAATAGTGCCATAGGTAGATTTGTAAGCAGACTTTTTCCATCTAACCCAAAGAGGAAATGCTTAGAGTGGACCCTGAGTGACATTCACGTTCAGATTTTCATTTGCGCGCGTAACCGTTCCTCGTTCTTCCGTCTCTTCGCTCACAATGCAGTCCATCTTGAGAGCAACAACCCGTTCGCGGCACTCAAGCATTCTCTTACGCCAGTCGTCTATGTCCGGGGCTTGGGCTAGGCCACAGAATTTGCGAACTCTCGTTAGTAAGTATCGGTTGACTTGGTCCTTACTCGTGCGGCATCGTCACCTTTCGTTCTTTAGCTAAAAGATACACAATCGAACACGAAGCCGTTACTTTCGATGATTCTACTGGCATTGGCACTGTCTCAATCACGGACCACGCCCAGTCTTCCCTCGGGGACGTTGTTTTTGTGGAGCTCCCCGCATTGGGCACCGAGGTTAAACAAGGAGGTGTGTGGCTCCAAACGACTCGAGGAGTGCGATAGTGAATGTTAAACTTCCAGACCAAATTGGTGCCGTGGAAAGCGTAAAAGCTGCTTCCGATATCGTACGTCGCGTTTTACCTCAGGCGGGGAGCTCGATTTGCCCTGATTTTTTTCCCCCCTAGTACGCACCTGTGTCGGGAACAATCGAAGAAATCAACGAGACGCTGTCGTCGGAACCTGGGTTGTTGAACAAATCTCCAGAGGACAAAGGTACGCGCAAGCCAACCATGACTTGCAGGTTTTGAACGAGTGATGGATTAGGCTGGCTCTGCAAAATCAAACTCCATGATCCTTCAGAGGTATGAAGAATCTCTTATCCCAGCAAACGCAGCTTATACCTCCCATAGGTGGACAAACTCCTAACTGAAGAAAAATATCACGCCAGTTACGAGTCATGAGAAATAGATCGGCATTACATAGTCCACAAGAATGTGAATGTGAACAGTGGAACATCTTCCGGAATCTTCAAAGATTTTCGATAAATTTGGTATTTAAGATAGCATTGGAGTAATCATGGCACAGAATGTATCTTTATGACGACGGTTCATATCGGTATTTTTCGCCACGGACTTCCATCCTCTCCTTGGCTTCTTTGAGAGCCCACGTTTGTATGCTGAGAAAGCGATAACACTTGTTAGATTATCAGAGTAGAGAGATACCCAACAGGCCGACCTCGAGTCCGGTTTATAGTATATCAAGACCGTGGCGAACAACATTGAACCAAACATTCCAAAGTACCAGACATTTTCCCAGTCCTCTTTAACTCGCTTTTGGCCTGGCGGAGGGGCCTTGATGTTGGGCGGAGGTCAGACGTTAATCCATTGCTGCATGATTGCGGAATTACCTTTTCCCCGAACAGCCAACCCGAAGGTTCGTTAAATTGAGGAGTCTCGTGTGACGCAAGACGTGCCCCTCGAAGGCGCTGTATAGAGCGCAGAGCGCGGAAGGTTGTCGAGGTGGTGAGCATGAAAGTGAGAACTATAAGTGCAGTGAAAAGGAATTATGTAACACGGGATTAACGCTGCAGCCAAGCATGTTCAAATTTATAAATTCATCATAATTACGTAAGCCGCATAGAAAGTATTTCGTAGTCAACGTCAGATCCATCTTCAGCGCAGCTGGGTGAACAGGAATCGACCACAAATCTAGACGAATTTAGTCACGCTTATCCGGTTTTTATTTTAAAATAATCCTACCCCGTTGAATTGTAGAACTGGAAAGCTCTTGTGTTGGCTGTCACCACGTCAGCTGAAAAATTGCTACGAAGCAGCTTGTTACTACCTTTAAAAACAGTCAACATGACTTTCTCCATCTTCCACGCAGAGCCAATCTTCGCTAGTTGTCGCATGAGAGTTTTTCCGAGTCCTGTCCCCTGAAAAATTCTTGTAACTTGAAGATCATAGCTTTAAGTGCCATTAGCACCCATGTTTGCTTCGAGAGGTGGGGGGGTACCAATATAGGACGCTTTCCTGGTCCTCATATTCAAACCGGAACATAGCGAACCCGATGAGTTCACTGGCTGCAGCTTGATACGCCAAGTAAAACCGAGACAATGAATTAAACAGCTCCTTCCACTTCGCGCGTGGATCCCAGCCAAACGACGACGAGGTATAGCTACCAGCTCTTGAGTGTTGAGATTGAATGGACCAAGGGTGACGGCGCCTACAATGCTCGCATATTGCTTTCAAATATCATCCAGATCGCATTCCGTTCGCTTTCCAAAAGATCTTCAGCATGCACAATTCTAAACCGGTGGTGGCTGATCTGACAAATAGCGTGAGTGATCGCTTACATTTTAAATCGAGGATATTCACGGTGAAGCCAGCTGCTCGCCAATCGATTCGGCAAGTTCAGAAGACGCAGCCTGCTCCTCGGTCAGTATAGCAATAATTTGATAAGAAACCCTCAAACATGGAGGATACCTTGATGGCTGAGCGAACGAGGCGAGCTCCCGACATCTGTCAGTTCTTCAGCTGTATTTCCTGAGCGGAACAAGTGAAGGAAACACAGCTGTGACAGTATTATGTAAGCACGACATTGGGACTTGTGAAATTTCGCCTTTTCTCTCTATCCATAAACCCAATGAAGCTAGACGCGACTGATCTCAGATATGTCACTTCTGAGGAGTTCCGTGTTTTAACAGCTGTAAGTCTTCTGATATTCTTTTTTCAGTTCACTATTCATTGGTCACACAGGTGGAGATGGGCTCTAAAAATCACGAAGTTGTTCCAATCGTGCTTATTGCTCAGATATCCGGCTTAAGGAATGGCGGTGTCAACAAGCTCATTGGCTCCTTGGCAAAACGTAACTTAGTTTCCAAAGTTCAAAATGCCAAATGTCAACGACTTCACTTCTATCCCATCACCATATTGATAGAAATCGACAGATGATGGCTATAGACTAACCTACGGAGGATACGATTTTTTGGCTATGCGTGCAATGTCAAAAAGGGACACCATGCAATCTGTTGGAAACCAGATTGGAGTCGGAAAGGAATCGGGTATGGTTTATTCTCATTCGCATATCACTCGTCCTGACAATCGTTAGACATTTACATCGTGGCGGACTCGGATGGAAACGAGATGGTTCTGAAGTTACACAGGTAGGACCTGAAATTTAACACTGTCGCCTTTTGTTTACAGACCCAGGCTGGGTCGTGTGTCCTTCCGCGCTATCAAGGAGAAGCGGGATTATCTGGGTAAAAGAAAGTCAGCTTCGTGGATGTATATGTCGAGATTAGCAGCTCAAAAGGAGTGGGCTTTCATGAAGGTTTGAGATGCAAGTTTGATCAAAGCGACGAATATCTAATGGCCTCTAGATCTTGCACGAGCATAATTTTCCGGTACCCAGGCCGATCGACCAAGCAAGGCATTGTATTTTGATGGAATTTATAGATGCATATCCCTTGTACGAATTTGACAATTCTTTCAACATCATGTTTAACAGACAATTAGACGACAGGTTTCGGATGTAACCTCACCGGGGAAGCTGTATTCGTCCCTGATGGACATAATCATCCGATTCGCCCATGCAGGCTTGATTCACGGCGACTTCAACGAATTTAACATACTCATTCGACGCGAGACAGGTGAACCGATTATTATTGACTTTCCTCAAATGGTCAGCACGTCGCACGCAAACGCTGAATGGCGAGATATCTTTCTTTGATGGAGATAGCTTGCATATTAACTTGGGTCTTTTCAGGTACTTTAACCGAGACGTCGAATGTATTCGGACCTTTTTCGCAAGGCGTTTTCGCTACGAAAGCGCCCTCTATCCAAGATTCCGCAAGGTACTATCTGACGGAGCAGAAGGCGACGATTTCAGGTTAGATGTAATGGTGGAAGCCAGCGGGTTTGGAAAGAGAGAAATGAAAGTTTTAGAGGAAGTCAGTCATTTCCCTTCTCTGTGTTCCTGCGATAGATCCTCTTTTCAGTACATGGAAGCTGTGAACGACAAGGAGGAGGAGGAGGAGGAAGAAGAAAGCAGCGAGGGAGGCAACGACGAAGAAAGCAGCGACGACGGAGACAGCATAAACGCCGATATCGAAGGCGAGATTGAGGTCAAGAAGACGAAAAAGAATGCCCAGGAAAAGACAGCCAGCCAGGTGTTGGTCACTGGGTCACCGGCGGATCCTCCTCTCGCTGATGAAGTGGATTTAACGGTGGAAAGTTTAAATCTCTTAGAAGCACCAAACCGGTCCTTTTCAAGGTCGCCCCCTCAGTCGCGGGCCTCATCGCCCGTCCGACAAGCTGCGGCTGGGCGCGACCACATCAAATCGATTGTTGCTTCGGACCTGACCAAAGTACGAACTCAACAGCGGCGCAAATACCATTCCAAACGGGCATCACGGACAGCTGGTCGAGCTCAGGGAAGCAAAGCGAAACAAGACAAAAAGGTGAAGTTGGACTCAAATAGTGTTTGGGAATGAGAGATGTTTTAGTATGTACTATTGCTGTATTGTAGCCATTGAAGTAACTTCCCACGTTCCTCTCTCCTTCGACCATTATCAGTCATTACCTTTTTCCACCGTTTCTTCAATGGATAAGACCGATCTCGAGACCTATCAAGTCCAACTCTCTCAAGTTGAACTGGCGTTATCCACGGACCCATCCAATGCTGAACTCGCTTCATTGCGTTCACAACTTAAAGAACTCATTGAATTGTCACAGGAGGCACTTGCGCTGGTCGAAGCGGCCTCATCTTCGAAATCAGACAACCGCAAGGCTGCTATAAGTACTCCCTCCCATACTTGGTCTGCTGGAGACGAATGTTTGGCGAAGTATTCTGGAGATGGTGCTTGGTACCCAGCTCGAATCACGTCTATCGGAGGGGCAGCAGAGAATCGTGTTTATAGCATCATGTTTAAAGGCTATAACACCACCGAGCTAGTGAAAGCTTCCGAGATAAAACCTCTACCACCAAATTATGCCAACGTCACTCCGTCGTCGTCGAATAAACGTAAGCTGAGCAAGGCTGAGGAGGAGGAGAGGGAAAAGAAGAAGAAGAAAAACGAGAAAAAGCTTGAATCTAAGGCTGCGAAGGCGAAGGAGCAGACGCAAAAGCAAGCGACATGGCAAAAGTTTGCAAAGAAATCAGAAAAGAAAGGTGTTCACATCGCGGGGGTCTCTGGGACGAGCATATTCAAGACCCCAGACAACCCACTAGGGAAAGGTGTGTGTTTATTACCATGTCGTCACGACAACCCTCTGAAACGTCTCTTTTAGTTGGCGTAACAGGGAGCGGCAAAGGGATGACTGAGGTAGCCTCTAAGAGCAAGCACAAGTTCGACGTTCAGGATGATGAGGCGCAATAGAAGTGTATGGTGCATCAATCATGTTCATACTCTTTTGCTCACTTATTTTGGACAGGATACAAAATTTATGAGTTCTTTGTCTTCTCTCTTGTAACACTGTGATGCTGTCTTGACGCGATACCCCTGGTCGCTAGGCGCACGGCAAAGAAACTCCACATCTTTGGGCTACATAGAGCATAAGTGTTTTCCTTCCCTTCTTCTCGATCATCGCCTCATGTCCCGCTCCATCTTTTCATCGTTCACATCGTTAGAGCTCAACGGCGAGGCTCAACACCAGCTTTGTAGTTGCGATACAAAGTCGCTAAGTAACACCTACACTTACCACCGTCTACTGATTGCGTTTTGACATTCAAGCAATTTTTCCTTGGCCGTTGTAATGCATTTGTTGTTAGTGCCACGGGCGTCTGAGTACCTACAAAGTAGCTTACTGCTTCCCCGCCTTTACATGTATTTTTAATTCTGCAGGGGCTGGTCTCGTGACCTCGGAGGTTCTATAACACACAGTGTACTTGGTTTTCCCCTCCAGTTCATCAGCGCCTTGCACGTAGCTGGTACGCCATCGTTATGTCCCTTGCAGAAGTCACGAGAAATTGTTTCCAATGCGGCGTCGCTCCTTCAAAGGTTCCGAAATAATATTCAGTAGTACCTTTCCTTGACCCGTTGCATTCCCCAGTGGATTAGCCTCTGCAAGCTTTTCATTTCGAAACTTCCGCCAATTGACAGTCCAGAGATGGTCGCGAGTCATCTTAGCAGTGAGTGTCAAGTAGCTTCTTCATTACCCGCCCTATAGTAAAGCGTTTTGCTTAGACTCGGTCCTCGTGTTGTATCGCTCGTACCCAGGAAATCCAGGCTTAAAAGAATATCTGGAGTGTGCAATAGAGGATGGAATTTTGCCTCTATCCACTTTTGTATCCACTTTGCTGCAGGCGGCTAGATCCCCCGAGCTTGACACCCCAACTACCTTGGATCACCTTTGTCAAATCGCTCTGGAAGTACAGAAGAGGAGTGATTCACAGGGGGCAAATTCTTTGATTCCCTATTCAGAATCTCAGATTGTGATTCTTCAAACAATTCAAGACGGTTTGGCCTTGTTAAGGACTGTGCACACCCTTCCGATCTCACAGCATCACAACGAACTCGCAAGCCGGACGGAGGAACTTGTGCGCCACCTACTATGCTTCGCGTCAGATCTTTCTCAGGTTTCTGTTGCCCAAGCCTGTGTCAGCTTTACAGATGTCAACGATTTGTTGAATAACTTCCGTTTCAACCTTGAGACGAGGCAAATGTTGGAGTCATTCTCCATACTGCTTGGACTGTTGATTGGGGACGATGCCAAAGTTGCGAGGGAGGCCCAGATGATGCAATCTCTTCAGCTCGCCCTTGGCAAGGGTGACACAGGTGGCCCAGCTTCGGATACCGATGTAATAACCCTAGGTCTTGTTCATCACTATCTGGTAGTTATTCTATGCATTGATATTTTGCTGAGGTCTCAAATGTCAAAGGTATCCCACAGGGCACACGAATTCGGTGCAGGTAACACCCCCGGTGTTGTGACGCTGCTCGTTTACATATTCCGGTGGTCATCCTGGACGCCGACAGTGTTTTACACTCAACTCATATTATCTGCCTTCATCGGTTTAACCCAACATCCTACTGATTGCACGATCTGGAAAGCGTTCATCGTTGGTCGAGTGAGTACTTATTGGATCCTAAATGAAACCCTCTAAAATTGAATGAAGCTCCCAAATCTCATCAGTGCTTTTGAAGCAGTCGTCAGTGCCGATCACGCGATGGTTTCTGACTGGGTAGGGCTCTATCTATTACCCTTTGGTTCAACCCCTAATTTGATGATGGCCAGCGAGGTGGACTCCGCTCTGGATTAGTATCCGTCTTCCAGCAGCATGATGTCATTATTCAATGTGATCACACACTCTCTGAGGGAGGAGGATCAAATATAATCACCGAAGAGAATATGTCAGTTCATTTGCACTGTTTTTTTGGGGAAGTCTGACGTTCCCAGGCCTTCCTCATTCACTCGGGAATTTTTGCAGCAATTCGTCAAACTTGAATTAATTGACAAGAATATGGGCGCTCAATTAGACCCTTCAATATCCAAAGAAAACATGTCTAAGTTGTCGGATACCCATGATACAAGCATGGATTTCTCGGTGAGTGGACTCGTATGCCTCTCATCCTTAACTGAGTACCGTCAGTTGTATCTAGAATCAAGGTTGACACCAGACATGGTTATGAACGATGCGCAGTCCTGGCTCGATCGTATCTGGCGTGATGCTGGGAGCCACACCACCTTTGGAAATTTCGTTTTGAAGGTTCTTGATAGCTGTTTTACACCTGTCTTTTTCTGATTTGATTTACTTGCCGCAGAAATTTTCATCCCTTGTCGCTGCCGTCGAGGTGGAATCCTTGGGTCAGTTGTGCAAGTTGCTCTATACACACGCAATTGCCTTGGATATTGTTGCACTACATGTCAAAATATCCGACTTGCTATTTCACGCGCTTCTGTTCCTCGATAGCTACGATTGCGAAACAATTGGTGGGTTGATAATCGAAATTGCTCTTGTTCTATCTTGACCAATATCTCAAGGCGATCCTCAAACCGCTGTCAGTCATCTCGGAGATGTTGTACTTTTTGTGCAGTACACCCTCGCGCATTTTCAGGTAAAGAGGAATACTTTGACAGCCATTCAAGTGCATTAAGCGTCGCTATTAGTTTGACACGACGACGTTCACCAAGGATGGACGATCCATTTCTGCAGCGTTTCTCAAGTCTGCGTTTACAGTATATCCCGTTGAAATTTTACCCCCGGACGAGCTTTTATCGTTCAACGGCTGGTTCAAGGCCATCTTCGACAGCAGTAGCGAGGGTATAGAGGATACCATCCTACGGTACGCATCTGCAGCTCACCGATTTCTCGTCAAGCTTCATCATCCCATGTTTGAACTTTGAAAGGTCCACGCAACCCAAGACTCTTCTGCGCATATCAGCCACACTTTTTTCGCAGGCTATAAAGGCTGCCTCGGCTCAGAAAATAGACAAGGACGTTCTGTTCAACGGGGTGTCATATTTCACTGGACCTCTGCTGAATTGGACTCTTGTAGGAGTGATCAAAGCACTTTCTCAGGAGATACTATTGAAAGGGTACGGACGTCAACTCCTGAACATTGCAGGACTGATAATCTCTATCTTCAGGTTATCTGCTCACATCCACATAGAGATCCTTCAAACCCTCGTACTGTCGTCGTCCTGCCCTCAGCCTGTGCTTGCCCTGTGCAGTCCTCAGATATTGAGACTTCTATCAGAGTTGGGGAATGGAGCGACAACATCGATGATTGATATTGATGTTTGGGCGATGCAACGGGCCGTCCGAAACGCCAGCGGTTCTAAAGCCGACAGCAAGTGACCTTATCAGATATACAAAACTATCTCAACTGAGCTATTTCTAGATGACCCAAATTCTCGGGTACAAATCTGGCAACAAGACCCTCAAAGGGCACTGCAGAATGTCTTTCTACAAGCACGTTCACACAAAACACCAGTCCTGGATGTCGAGCGTTGTCTTCGGATGATTCCGGTAACCAAATTCCTGCAGATTATGTGGATGGAACTTTTCGAGTCCGCCAAGCTTGGGGAAATGGAGTCCTGCAAACGAATTGCGACGTTTGTGCTAACGATGCCGCGATGTTCCAACGTCCCTCCCCTGCTTCCCATTTTCATGCATCTTGTATTACCCTCTCTGATCGCAGCCGCCGATCGTCAGCAAGCACAAGAACAGAACATCAGTGTCGAGCTCTTCGTGGCCGTGATCTCTTCCGTCCTGTCAGCGGCCTTGCACCTGGAATGCGCGATGGCCACGGTATATGGAAATGATCGTGTCCTGCTTGGACAGGCAAGTTCCGCGGTGGCTCGGAGATTGGCTGCTGATCTAGGTAGTAAAAGGCGTAGTCCTACCTCTCAAGACATTGTACAGCGACTTGTGGCATCCCAGTCATTTACTGCTAATTTTCCAATGTTTATTGCTGAACTATGAAACTAATAATAACATGGTTTTATCAAAGCACTCAGTGTCCTTCAAACGTCAACTGCGGCTGGTGCTGAAAATCGGGTTAACAACCAAGGGTGCAAGATGTGAGTGAAGGAAGAAACGCACGACAACAAGCATTTTCTAATGGATCACATTCCTGATCCGCCGGGCAAAGAATCAAACATGATGTGTGTTCCGTATTCTGAGAGGGGCAGGTGATGAAGTGAAGATGCAAAGTATCAAGCAGGGCGAAGCTACATACCTTGAACCGATCCTGCGGTAACTCTGTCTCAGAGCCGTGGTATTCTGGTTGGATCGTACTTGAATGAATCCCTAAATGATGGAGGGCCTTGCGTATTTTTGCTGCCACGGGCATGAAGTCGTGGTTTCGAGAAGCCAAGACATGTACTGATGCAACAAGCTTAGTTTCAGAAAGTTGCCATACGTGCAACTCGTGTAAAGAGAGGACGCCTTCAACGGCCAGGATAGCATCCTTCACTTGATCGAGTGAAACTGTGGAGGGGACGCCCTGCAGGAGAATGAACGATGCACTGCGAACTATGAACGGTCAGGGAGGACAGGTCGAGGGGGAGCCAACTCTACTTACCAAGGGGAAGAGCGCTAGAAAAGATGATAATCGTGATCACAAGACTGATTATCGGGTCGAAATAATACTTGAATGGCCACGAGGTTTTCCAAATAACAAGTCCAGTCGCAATGACACCTACATTTCCAAGCGCGTCACCGAGAACGTGCAAAACTAGAGCTCGCATATTCATTGATCCCGCATGAGAGTGTCCATCCCCGTTTGAATGAACATGGGACGTCTCAGCATGCTCATGCTGAAGAAGGGGAGTTCCTTCGTTAGAGCTGGAAAGAGATGTGACAGCTTCATCGATCGTTTCCGACGCAATCCCTCGATCCAAATCGTACGAGTGGCATGGATGGGGTACACTCGCACGGCGAGCGGTGGGAGATGGTGAGCGAGCGGACGCCATCTCATTGGCCGTCTGCACGAGCGAGGCGCGTGTCGCTGCGGGGTGGCCATACAAAGATGATTCCGTAGGCGAGTGCATGAGTACAGATGAATGAGAAAGGGAGCGTTTGCGTTTGGATATGGTTAGTTTTTGCGTGGGCGTCACGTTGCCAGTTCCTACTTCAGATAGAATGCTTGTTGTTTCTGCAGGGGTCGAAGCTTGGCTATGGGGATGTTCGTGAGAGTGGCCGTGTTCTATGCCAGAAATTTAGATTCGACATAAAGGAGGACAGAGGAAGGTACCGTGGAAGAGGAACAATCCGACGATATTGGAGGCAAGGCCAAGAGTGCCAACAACCACGATCAGTTTGGGATTAGAAATATCTGAAGAAAGTGAGTTCCAAATTTGGTAGAAAGGTCGGACGTCGCACCAGGAGTAGCAAAGAAGCGTCCAATAGCTTCTAATGAGATGGAGAAACAGAGAGCTAGGAGGAAGACGCCATTGACAAGCGCTGCAAGGATTTCTGCTCTGTGCCACCCATAAGAGTAACGCGAATCGATGGCGTTGGAATTGGTTAACTTGAGTCAAAGAGTTAGTGAAAATGTAGAGCAATATGGAATTGAGAAACCTTGATCGCATATAGAGCTACAATCAAGCTCATAACATCACTGACGCGAGTGATAAGAGGCGGGAGAAATTCAGGACGAATAAAGGTACTTGAGCATATGGAAGCTGTCGGCTACGAGCGCCAGAGAGCCAACAGCATAACCTGAATGTGTGTGGGTCAGTCATGATAAGATGCGAAGAGTGTCATGATGTGCTTACCGACGATGAGTTCGACAAAGAAAAAGAAGATGTCGATGGTCAAGAGGAGAGTTATTCTAGCTGAACGAGACATTGCCATTGTGGTGTACACTTGAAGTCATGAGCCGCATTAGAGCCCGAGGAGCCAACTCTAATATGTATTTGCTTCTGCTTGGCAAAAGCTTCAAGGTTTTTGTTCATCCAGAGTCGTTCATCGTTTTGAGAACGCAAAATGGCCGCAACATCCATGGCCGCTGCCCTTGCAGCATCTCTTCCAGCACCCTCTGCGGCCCCAGCAGCTCCGACTCCGACGTATGAGGCCATTCCAGCATCCATGTCAAAAGTCATCGACATCGAGGCTGATATTCCTCTCACATGTGTACAGCTAGATGGCATGGTGAGCCTTTGGTTTCCGAAACAACTTTTTTCATCTGATACATTTTGTCCAGGTTGTGACGAAAATAATTAAACACGCACGAGAAGCTCCCTCCACGACTGCACATGGCCTTTTGCTGGGACTTGATCTGGACGGCACACTGGAGATCTCTAATTCATTTCCACTACCCCACCATGGTGGAGACGAGGCTGACAAAAATACGAAATCGATTGGTGTGTTTTTGTAGATTGATTCTATGGAAGGATACGCCGATTGACGATTCTGGGTTTGAAGCACGGCATCAAGCCTCCATGCTGCGTTCGTTGAAAGAGGTTCAGGCGGACGACAGTGTCGTAGGATTTTATCAAGCGACAACTCTGGGGGCCTTTTTCAATCAATCTCTAGTGGATACGCAAGCTATTCATCAAGAGAAGCTCAGACACGGTGGTATTGTGATTGTGCATGGTAAGTGATTAGCGCTTTCCGACTTTCTTTTCTTTCTTCCTCACACCTACCCATCTGGTAGACCTATCGCAAACAGCACGAGGTAATGCATCTTTCCGTGCATACCGGTTAACGGCAGCCTTCTTGGATGCATACAAGAAGTCAAACTTTAGCACCACAAGGCGAGTGGTGACTTTACAATGGGAAATCGTGCTGCATTAATAGATTCCTTCTAGTCTCATTAGCCATCGCTTAACGTTTTCGTCTATTCTTGAGGAAGTGCCTCTCAAAATCCGCACGAACCCACTACTGAGCTCGTTCCTTGGGACGTTGACGGAGTCAAGAAGGCCGACCTTGTCCCCTGACAGTACAGCCACGACGGCCACCGTATCGGCGCTCGGCGCTTCGTTCTCCGTGCTTGATCTGGGAATAGCAGGTGTAACAAGGAACCTGGAGCAAATTGTGGAGGCTGTGGACAGCTACCGGACCGAAGAGGGGAATCTTTCATACCTTTGCCGACAGATCGCACGTGAGCGGGGGAAAGCTGAGAACTATATTGCGAAACGAAAAGAAGAAAATCAAGGGCGGGTTGCGCAGGGATTGGCGCCGCTACCAGAGGAAGATGTAACAAGGTTGTTCAAGATACCCCCGGAGCCAAGCCGGCTGGAGAGTTTGTTGCTGCTTGGACAGATTGATGCATATGGAAAGAGTTTGGCGAGGACGGCTAGCACTGGACTGGTGAAGATGTACGCAACCAAAGCGAGCTCTGCTGTATAGGCTAAACAATGCAAGAAAGAAAGAAATTTTGTCTTGCAATTTTTTTTCTTTTTTTCCGATTGAAGAAAATAAACGGGGTTGAACCTGCGGAATACAAACAGATGCACACAGCCAAGTGCAAAGTCGATCAAAGATAAAAAGGGCTTGCAAAGTTTAGAATCTTCATTATACTCTTTGGACACTCTTTTTAAACCAGTCTTCCCTTCTACTCACTCTCTTTATCGCTGCAATGGCTTTCGTAAAGTGCCTCGTCCTCCTTCTTTCTGTCGCTGCCTCTACCTCTGCCCTCGCCACTCCCCATGCAGCAAGGCACTCCGTTCATCACAGAGCCATCGCAGCCCGCGTTGCTGATCCCGCTCCTCTTGACGTTCTCCCCGTGCCCATCAGGAAACGTGCAGATACAAAGCGTTGCAAGCAGCGTGCTTCCTCCTCCGTCCTTCAGGTTTCGTCCTCCGTCCCCGCCGTCGTTCATGCCGTCAACACCCCTGTTCCCGTCGTCCAACCAACGACCACCCCTCCTCAGCAATCAACCACGACGTACAAACAAGCAACCCCTACAACAACCACAAAGGTTGCCGCTCCCGTCTCTGGTAACCAGCCCAGCTTCATGTCCGGTACCCAGACTGGCCAGGGCACCTTCTATGCCAGTACGTTCCACCCTGCACTTTTTCCTCTTGGATCACTCATTTAACTCCCTTCAGCCGGTCTTGGCTCATGCGGTATCACCAACAAGGACACTGACTACATTGCTGCTGTCTCCCATCTCCTCTACGACCAGTACCCGTACGTTTTTGTTTTTCGACCCTTAGCTTTCCGCAGCGCTCACAAGGTTATTCAGAGGTTACGCCGGTGTAAACCCCAACAACAACCCCATCTGTGGGAGGACAGTTACTGCGACCTGTACGTTTATTCCCCGCCATCTTTTCCCCCTGGTGGCTGACTACCAAATTTAGACCAAGGAAAGTCTGTCACTGTTGCCGTCACTGACCGCTGCGAGGGATGCGCTATCACCGATCTCGACTTTTCCCCCTCTGCGTTCAATCAACTCGCCGACTTTTCCGTTGGACGCATCTCCGGCATGACCTGGACCTGGAACTAATGCTCCCTTACGTCGTTATCTCTTTTTTTATTCCCTTCTTTATTTCTATGGTACATTGGCGTCTGCGGCGTTCTTTTCCTCGCATTGCTAGTCACATGGTGTGGAAAAGCAAGGAGTACCATCTCGAGCATGCTCGTATTCCGATGGCTTACTTGACCTAGTCTCTCGTACGCGCTATCATATGTTTAAAATTTACCCCGCAGGGCGGGTGCTTTGTACACGAAAAACGTAGATCGTAGTTTGTTCATTGTAGTTTACAATCCAATGAAACGAATCTGGCATTCTCCCCAAAGTAGTCCACTTGAATGAAGCTTTCGACACATGATTCCAGAGTTCTCTTCTTCAGTGCATTCAGCTGTCAAGTTAACCACTGCTAGAGGCCCGCCAACAGCTTGATAACGGTGACAGCTACATCCAAAGCTAGTCTGCGAATAGGGGACCGAGCAGGAAGGTTGGAATAAGGTGTCCTCGGACTGACTGGTTGACACTAAAGAATGGAGCCAGTCTTGATACAATAGTCTAAAAATACCGTCTCAGGGGTTAACTACTAGGTCAAAAGACAAGCGCGCACCTCATCGTTGACTAGCGATCGCCGCTGCAAGATACGCAGACTTTTCAATTCAGTCCTCTACTAAACGGACTTGATCCACCAACCTCCGTGGATAGTAAATTGCTGGAACCTCAAAGAACTTGAGGAAGGTGAATCCACGATTCAAAAAGTTCATGATCCTGTACAACATCTCTTCAAACTCTCACATTGCCATCATCATATTGTGGAGTACTGCTAAGCTGTTCAAATCGCATAAGCCCTGGCCGGGCAGAAGATCGCGAAAAGGAGCATCGAACAGTGGGGTACTTAAAATACGTTCCTGTCGTTTGCGCGTGAGCAAGGGGTCCAAGAAACGATGGTGACACTGTACCACATCAACTCTGGCCCTCTGGAAAATAGCCATGAGAAGAAGGATAGTAAACCCTTGCGTACGCCGGCATCCTATTTCACTTGAACATATAGACAAGCAAGACGTGAAGAGGAATCTCTAATTAGACGGACAAGTGCGTTTAGCAGCGATGTCAACTGACCCTCCAAGGGTTCTCGGAGTCCTAGAATCGCATCTGAAACCAACGTCAGACGTATATGGCCACCTGAGTATGGATGCTGCGAATCCGAGTCCCTGGACTGTAGTGCTTGAAGTGTGCAAGGAGGTCGTCGAAGGTCAGACGTCGCTAATTGGTCGATCGACGGGACGTCTGCATTTTGTGATGCTTTGAGTGGGCGAATTTATCGCTAAGAGATACTCAAGCAATTAAAGAACAACGAGGAAAGGGCTGTCAAGTTCACATCGAGCTTCAAATGAGGTGTCAATGGCATTGCTCGCAGCTTGTTTGCCCTTTCCAAGTTTCGCCAGCTCGCTTTCTATCACTGTGCGGTCCAGGTGCGGTCGGTGAGGATCTTTTTCTCAGAGATTCATACTGAGAAATCTGCGGCTTTGTCTTTTCTTGTAGCTTTTGGGAATAACGAGAACTTGACTTTTGCGGAATCAGTTACATATGTAAAATTTGCAATGATAGCCATGCACCACGTATACGTATGCCTCTACATATAGCTGCCGCCAATGTGCCATCATAATCTTGCGATAAAAATTTTGCTTAGAAAAAAAAAGATCACAATGAAGACATCTGGGCTTTCGCTGAAATTTCTCATCGACGAGTACCTTGGTGTAAGCGATAGGGCTGCCTGGCTCCCTATAGCTTTAAACACACAAGACACTAGGACCAATTTGTATCAAGCTGGCTTGTGAGGAGTGAGTTTTACTCATGATTCAGCGAAAGTAGCCTGAGGTTATTCATGTAAGGAACCCTTTGCCTGTATGTATTATGGGCAACACTGAGCCAAGACAAGCAAGTAACCTGTAGGACTTCCGCCGCTAGTAAATCATTGTGAATAAAGGCAAGTTGGGCAACGTAGCAACATTCAAGCAGCATAGTTTTATAATGCGCAATGCCTAGCGTAATCTATCCATAATATTTAATTCCTTCCAAAATTCAAAACAGGTGTGGATTTTACCAGAGCTAAAGAAATGTTCCCTCCATGAAGTTGAATAGGAAATCAAGGCAGAACAGGTCTTCATCGTCGACCGTGTCACCCACAATTTTAGCTGTAAATTTTGCTATTTTCTTTTATGAACGAGTCTTGACAAATGATAAATATCACAACAACATTTACTAACCTCTCGGAATTTCTCTGGGCAAAGCAACAGTGTGCTGTACTGTATAAGACCCACTTTCTACAGGGCATTGCACAGTAGCATTGGCGATGCGACTGTCAAAAAATGAATTAGGAGAGTCAGAGAGAGCAGGATGGTCTCTTACGCTTCTTCACAGAGATCGAAATGCTTCTCAAGCAGTTTGATAAGTCCCAACTTCACGGTGACATCGGCGTAAGCGCCATCCTGTCAATAGGATAAGCAACGCAACTACAGGTGAGCGAAAGATGGACCTCAATTGTCTCTGATACTTGGGCATTGACCTTTACAGTCAGGTCTTGGCCGGGGCGAGGAGGATCCGGAGATATTGTAATGGATTCGATTTGTATAGGATCGGTCGGGATACCTAGGGAAAGTAGGGGACAAGAGAGATGATTGAACGAGGTTAGGACACTCTCCAGCTCCAGCTATCCGTGGTTTGGACTGTGCCTTCTGGGTCCTGGTTTTCCAATGGAGTTGCAAGAGAGACCGAGCAAGCCGAGAAGAGAGCGACGAGGGAGAGAAGACGCATGGTTGTTAGAAACCAAGAGTTAGAACCAAGTTGGGACTCTTAAGCCAGTCGTAGGAGTTTCCCAAAGTGGTGCGCTTTAAATTAGACTATCGTCACATGATTCCAGTAATTCTCTTCTTCTGTGCCTTCAACTGCCAAGTTCACTGCTGCTAGAAGCCCGCCAACGTCCCTTCCCAGTTTGATAATGGTAACGGCTATATCACAACGCTTGTCTGCGAATAGCGGATTGAGCAGGAAGGTTGCGATAAGGTCCAGCCAGATGTCCTCGAACTGAATGGCTGATACTGAAGAATGGAGCGAGTCTTGATCCAAGTGATGCAATAGTCTAGAAATACCGTCTCAGGGGTTTGAGTTAACTAGGTCACAAGACAAGCGCACCTTATCGTGGACTAGCTTCGATCGCCGCTGCAAAATACGCAGAAGCACGCGGAGCACCGTCTACGCATACCTTTCAGTTCAGTCTTTATCAAAAAGAGTTGATCCACCGACCTCGGTCGATAGCAAATTGCTGGCACCGATTTCCCAAAGAACTTGAGGAAGGTGGGTTAGCCACGTTTCAAATTTCTGATCCTCTACAACATCTCTTCCAACTCTCATGTTACCATGATATTGTGGAGCGCTGCTAAGCTGTTCGAATCCCATAAGCCATCGGGCAGAAAATCGCGAGGAGTCGAAGTTACGTACCAAGATTAAACGGGCAACAAACTCGACAGTCAATCTCTTGCATGGAGACTTGGATGATAAGTTGAGAGCATGGTCAATGACAGTACACAAGACTTCGTTTGTCGTTGTGTCTCTTGGCAAAGGTTTGTTGATCAATGCCCAAATGGTCGGCAATAAAGAGACGTATGCTGAAGCTCCAAGCACATGGCCAATTTGTGAGGGAGAGTCGGACTGCCCGCGCAGGCGACGAATAACGTAGTCGCTCACTCTGGAAGTTTGACTTGACAACACTTGGTCTCGTTGCGGACGTTTGTGGGATGGATTCGGATTTTGTGATCTCCGTTTCTGGTGTTTAGAGAAGGAATTATCGGGGGCATTGAGAAGTAGGGACGTGAGTTCGCAGAATATGAGATTGAATTCTTCGCATGCTCGATCAAACTGTTAGAGTGTGAACGACTGGCAGTGAATGACTTTGCAATCAAAATCACCTTGCCATCTGCACCGCCCGTTGATGGAAAGTAAGGCGTCATATAACCAACAAGGCTCGACAAATTGTCGACATCGTTTTGTTTGGCCTGACCGAATTCGATCAGAAGATGCGAGGCGAAAATGAGGGAGACCACCTGCTAAAGACGATTGCAATATTGGTTCATATAAGGTGTGAGTAATCCGGGCTATCGTCACCACCAGCTGTGTTTCTACCTCGGATGGAGTACTGCCTGGCGAAAAGACGGTCGGTGCACAATCAAGAAACGTGGCAACGAGGGTAGAATGCAATGTTTGGGCAATACGCTGAAAAAGATGTTGAAACCCAACAGACACTGAAACACGCGGGGACGTACCGAGACGAAAGACAACACGGAGACTTCGGGAGAGTCATGGCCCTCTGCCTCCACAGCCGAACATTCAATGCTATTCATTAGTTCATCGAGTGTCCAGCAAGGCCTAGCCCAAAGACCCGCCGGAATTATAAAGTCGTCACCTTCATCCACCTCAGCTTCCCAAGCTCGCGCTGGATGCCTTTTACTCCCAGCTTGGAGAGACGGTTGTAGGAGTCTCTCGAACGTATGATATGCGTCTTCAGAAGAAAACGCATTTTTCAGATACCATGCTTGAGTTGGATTTGAAGGATCAAAAAGTGCGCGGCACGACTTTGGGAAATCCCCTGTGGGCGTCAGAGCGTGGATCAGAAATGTGGACAGAGATCGAAGAACGACAAGTTTTGACTAAAAAATCGAATGAGGATAAAAAAACCGGTTTGACAAATTCCCTTACGGCTGGAGTTAGAACCACGCTTGCCGTTGAGGTCGCCTTCAAAGGTCCTGATGAAAACATTTTCAACCTCTGCAGCCAGGGAACAAACGACGACTCACCATCAGTTTCACCAAATCTGGTTCCCGCATTTAGTATCCCCAGATAACCTTCCAAGACGCGGCTTCCATTTCCTTTGCCACCTTCACGCCAACCCGAAATTACCAACTGTGGAACATATTCCAGAAAGATGTCGAGGAATCGCACTGCGTCGATTCGAATTTCCGGAAAGATGTGCGTTTGCGCGGAAGTAGTGAATAAAAGGAGCATCGAAGAATGGGGTAAAATATGTTCCTGTCATTTGCGCGTGAGCAAGGGAACCAAGAAACAATGGCGACACCGTACCACATCAACTCTTGGAAATAGCCATGAGAAGAAGGATAGTAAATTTTTGCGTACGCCGGCATCCTGTTTAACTTGAACATATAGACAAGTAAGACGTGAAGAGGAATACTTCATCTCCAATCAGGCGGACAAGTGCGTTTAGCAGCGGTGTCAACGACGACTCGACAAGCTCGTTGTGACCCTCCAAGAGTTCTCGGAGTCCTATAATCGCATCTGAAAACAACGTCAGACGTATATGCGTAGCTTGAATATGAAGGGTGCGTACCTTTCCGAGTTCCCGGGCTGTAGTGTTTGAGGTGTGCAAGAAGGTCGTCGAAGGTTAGACGTCTCTTGGTTGAAGGGATGTCTGCGTTTTTATTATTTGTGATGCTTTGAGTGGGCAAATTTATCGCTAAAGAAATACTCAATCAATTGAAGAACGACAAGGAAAGGGCTGTCAAGATCACATCGAGCTTTAAATGAGGTGTCAATGGCATTGCTCGCAGCTTGTTTGCCCTTTCCAAGCTTCAACTTCGCTTTCTATCACTGTGCGGTCGGTAAAAATCCCTTTCTCATAAATGTGTGATTCATACCGAGAAATCTGCGGCCTTGTCCTTTTTCTTCTTGGAGCTTTTTGGCATTGAGAGGGAACAACGAGAACTTGGATTCAGTTACATAATCTGCATATTTTTGCCATGATAGCCAAACACGACGTAGCTGCCAATGTGCAGCTTGCGATGAGTATTTGCTTAGAAGAAAAAAACGACAATGAAGACATCTGGGCTTGCGCTAAATTCCCTCATCCACGAGTACCTTGGTGTAAGCGATAGGGCTTTGCCCAGCTCCCTTTAGTTATAGATTCAAACACACAAAAAGCTGGCTTGACTCAAGTTGTGAGGAGTGAATTTTTCAGCGAAAGCGGGGGTATTCAACAGAGCGCGCAATCCCTAGCATAATCTAAACAGAATATTTACAAGTGAAGTCCAAAAAATCTAACCATTTCCAAAATTCAAAACAGGTGTGAGTTTTACCAGAGCTTGAGAAATGGTCTCTTCATGAAATCGACTTTGAGTTCAAGGCAGAGCATGTCTTCCTCGTTGACCGTGAAACCCAGGACTTTGACCAAGAATTTTGCTATTTTTTTTTACGAACGAATATTAAAAAATGATAAATATTGCAACAATTACTGACCTCTCGGAATTTCTCTGGGCAAAGTCACAGTTTGCTCCACGGTATAAGGTCCAGGTACTACGGGGCATTTCACAGTAGCATTGACGTTGCGACTGTCGAAAAACGAATTAGCAGAGTCAGAGAGAGCAGGATCGTCTCTTACGCCTCTTCACAGGCATCGAAACGCTTTTGAAGCAATTTGATGAGTCCCAACTTCACGGTGACATCGGCAAAAGCGCCTTCCTGTCAATCGGATGAGCAACGCAACCACGGGTGAGCGAATGATAGACCTCAATTGTCTGTAATACTTGGGCCTTGACCTTTACAGTCAGGTTTTTGCCGGGCTGAGGAGGATCCGGAGATACTTCCAAAGACTCGATTTGTATGATATCAGTCGAGAGACCTAGGGAAAGGAGGTGACAAGAGAGGCGATTAGACGACGTTAGGACACACCACAGTCGACGTAGCTCCAGCTGTCCGTGGTGTGGACTGTGCCTTCTGGATTCAGAGCAACCTGGTTTTCCAAAGGAGTTGCAAGAGAGATTGAGCAGACCGAGAGCAGAGTGACGAGGGAGAGAAAACGCATCGTTGTTGGAAACTAAGAGTTAGAACCAAGTTGGAACTGACAGTAATTGTGACGTCGCAAGCAATTTACGTAATCCGGTCAGAACACAGCCAAACACCAAAGCTGCGGACATCCTTGCACCAACCTCTTGTGCTTACCACGTCATGAAGCCTAGAGAATACTGTTGTTGCGCAATTCCATTGGTTAATGCCGGAATATATTCTACCCTCGTCGTCCAATCCGCTACGGGAATTCTTGTTGGGGTCCTCGCTGTAGGGACACCCTCCAGTCAGTCCATCACTTCTTTTGACTGTTCTAGCTTTCGTGTTAATATTATTTCGCCAGTCGTAGGAGCTTCTACGCCTTCCTTCGCTTCCTGGCTTCTGGGCATCATTTGTTTTGTCGCAGCAGCCGTTCAGTTCCTCGGCTTTATTGGCGTTTCGAGAGTAAGACCTCACCTTTTCTGGTTGTGCTTTTTTTGGAATGCCTTGGATAGGAAAAGCCCGTGTTATATCGACGCTACGTTACCCTGCATGGTCTCGTTGTCAGTGCTGCGTTCTCCATTGCAGTTGCTTGGATTATCATGTCAGCAACCCGACATTCGACGGCACAGGACAAATGTATTCAGGACTTTCTCTCGGACACCACAGGATCAGGCAGTGCGACCACATTGTGCAATATATTTCCCTGGGTTGATGTCGGAATAATGGGTGCACTCTGGGTTATACTCGCAATCCTACATGTTTGTGAATAGTTCCTCGCCGTTTGCTGCAGCTCATCCGCACTTGGCCAGCTATATCTGTATGTTGTCCTATCGTCATACGGTACTTCTCAGCGACGAGATCACGAAAAGTTCAATCAAAACTACGACTCGATCCAGCCACTCACGACCGAAAATATCCCTCTTGCCAATCGTGCTGATCCATGGGACACGCGACTGTCGGGTGAATCCATAAATGGTACAGACGAAGGTAACGGTCGCAAGTATAAGCATGTCCGACAACAGAGCTCCGTCAGTGCCTCGGATGTTCTCAGCGAACCATACCAGCAGCCAAAAGATACAATGTCAAACCCAGACTACGGTTATCAAACGCCCTACCCCCATTACACAGACGACCAAAATCAATTACCCTACCCGTCTTACGTCTATACCCAGGATCCCACTCCAACGCCCATAAATGCTTATAACAACTATGATGCGCCCACATCTTCAAGCTTGAACAAACCAAGTCAGGCACAGGCTCATCCTGGTGAGTCTTGAGGTGGGACATGAGAACGCAGATGGGTTGCATACTTATGTTGTGTCTGTCCACTCTTTCAATCGTTGAATTGGTTACTGATGTGTATCTCTTAAGCGGAAGGATCGTTCAGACGAAAAACACCGCGGTTAGTAAGATTCGATTAGAAATGGACTTGATGTATTTCTACATAGTGTGTACATGTTTTGCGCGCGACTCTTCTCTCTTGAAACCGTTCCTCTCAGGCTCGCCGATATCGATGCCTCATTGTTCCTGCATGTTTTCTCACTGCCAGAAGCTAGCAATCTCCGTTCCTGCACCCGCTGCTATCACCCCGGCGGCTGTGACAACACTGATCTTCTCAGGTCAGGACAATAAGCTGAACGTGGCAACTTTTTGGTTCTATTCTTCTGCCTGTAACCTCGACGTGCTGTCCGCGTCTTAAGCTCCTCAGCTGACGACACATTGTGCTGCCTCGTTTCTTCGTGTACCTCGGCCATTTGTCTCTATATTTTATCCACTACGCTTCGGCCGGTTCGATAAGCACCCGTCATGCCTTCACACCTTCAAAGTTATGATATTCTCCTCGATCTCACAAACGATATGCACGACTCCGTTTCAATCCAGCTTTTACAGGACTACGGACGCGGTATGGGTGCAGTCGTTTTATTAAGTCCAACAGAAACGGTCACTCTCGTGCTCGAGTCTGGGTCTGCTTATCGATATGCAGTAAAGTCGCGCACCAAGGTCGCCAATGTTACGTGGGTCACTTGACGCTTCTCAATATATATGAGAATCTTACTATCAGAATTAAGCGCACGATCGTGGCGAGACACGCATTGCTATATCTCCCACTTGTTCAGCAGCAGACCATCGGAATCAACGGCAGACCTAGATCATCCCGTCAACGGAATTAGTGTTGATCGTCTCTGGCGTGATCATCGATTTTGTGTATGGGCAGAGTCATGACATTGAAAAAAAAAGGTTAGACCAAGTCAGCCCTGTTGAAATTAGTGACTTACCGTCATCATGAAGGCACCCAAGAGTATCCCTACCCTCGGCAACACGTCTTGCATTCTACGCCACGGTCATCATGGACAATTTTTTGTAATGTATTTTGTAACTATTGATCTATAGAGCCTCATGGTAGCAGCATGTGCTGATACTTAATCGAATTATTACCTACCAGGCTGGTTGAGCTTCGTTACCAAGTCGGCCCTCTTCAACTGCTCAAAACTGTAAAAGTTTGCAGTTCTGGCACGGTGCCAGTGGCGCCGTTGCATATCATCAGCCCGCTATGACGGAGCCCCTACTCTCTCAGGCGTGATCGACCTAAATTCTTCCGCAATCCATCAGGTGCGCCTAGGGCCATAGTCAGGGATTGTAACGGTCTCTTCTGACTTTACCTAGCATTCCTATCGATCAGTGATCATCTGTTCGCCATCCCCTTTGGCACATAACGTTTCAATCGAATAAATTACGGATGCCCGGCTCTAACTATGGAATAAAACTGGCATCAGAAAGTCATCGGAAAGGACATCACTGTGATGCCGCAGCATCTTTGGGCTTGGGTCGGAACGCAGTTTTCATCGACAAGATGTGGCCCTTCGGAGGGGACCGTGAATGTCCAAGCTTGCCTCGCGCCAGGTCAAGAACCCGGCGAGTTTCACCAGGTTGTTTCTGACCAGCTCTTGGGCGAGGGAGGAGGGTTTGGGGATTCTTTTTCACCATTTCGTCGTGAATGGCCTTGAAAGCTACCGGTGTTGCTAATAGATGGTCCTGAAAGAACAAACGAATACTTTCAGCCACAACCGTAGGGCGAAGCAAGTAACATACAACGTATTCGGAGGCTTTCTGGCTGAACTGCCCTGATGCGGCTGAGTCACGATACTTCAGAATTTTCTGAAGATTCCAGCGAGTTTTAGGTCGAAGAATACCACCCTCCTCCCCAAACTCCAGCCTCCTCTCCCTTTCAATGATATCCTGTGTCCCTTTCCCGCCAATTTTGATGATAGCCTCAGGTCTTTGGTTTCTCAATTTATCTCTGAGGACCTCCCAACCAACTGCCCGTGATGTCATCTCCCACCGCATGTCTCTTGGATTGTCGACAAGCTCCAACACCGCGTGTGATGCATTATCGCCCTTCCGGTTCCCAAACTTATGGATTCGCGTGTATCCACCCGGCCTGTCTGCATAACGCTGAGCGAATGTACCAAATAATTTTGTAAGAGTATCGGGTTTGAGAAGAAAAGCGGAAGCGCGTGATTGAGCAACTCTGTCACCTCGCTTTCCCAACGTAATGATCTAATGTTTAATGAGCATCAAAAATACAGGAGAACATAGTAAAATCGTACCTTTTCGGCCAACCTTGCGGTGTCTCGTGCTTTAGGCAGAGTGGTCTTGATTTGTTCGTGTTCGAAGAGTGAGGTGACTAAATTTCTGTTGATTGTTCAGAGAGAAATAAGCAAAGTATACTGCGTGTTTACCGAAGCATGAGCATTCTATGCGAGGATGTCCTCGAGAACTTGCGGAATGCGACGCCATGCTTCATTGTCAACGTCTAGCGGAACAATTAGTGTTACAAAATTGGGCACCAACAGTGTCACTAAGCGTGACATTGGTCACGTGCTCGCTCATATATTGGTCGCGTGCATGTATTCATGCCCACTGGAACTACGATTACGATACAGAAGGAAGACAACGACAGATTTTCAAAGCAAGTGCGAAAGCATAAACGATTCCAAAAAATATCCTCTCCAACCCCTCTCAACTCGTTGTCTTTTCAAGTCACCCGGCAAATTTATGGCGGGGTAATCCTCCGTATTGTCCAGCGAGATCGACGAGAAAAACATGGCCAGAATCTGGATATTCTTCTTGTCTGGTCCGGTCACCCCCGTTTGCGCCGCAGTGCGCAGTGGTCACAAAGAGAACATCATTATTTGGTCCTAATTTTCTTTAACGCAGCAAAAAAAGAAGGAACGCCCAATGCGTACCTCCGAAACAACACGCCGTAATGTTCAGCGCGGTGGGAAAGTGTATCTGGGCATCAATGGTGCCATCCTTGTCGAATCTAATAATCTTGGAACCTCCCCACCTGAATCACGCATTAGCAACGCTTTGAACAGGAACATCAATTATGGTTCACAGCACCGTGCACTCCATAAGCATCCGTCTTCGTCGATGCATAAACCATCACAGAAAGAATTTTCGGCAAGGCCTTGTGCGACTGCGTCAACAAAGACACGTCGGTTGGAAAGGTCGCCGTCCTTGTAATCGTAGGCATATATTTTGTTCACCAGGGAATCAGTAAAATAACTGCAAAAATCGTCTCACGCAGGGGCATTCAAGGAGTTCATGTTGCGCACTCACAATGTATTTTCGTCTGGGCTCCATCCGAGGCCATTCGAGTCCTAGAAATCGACTTAGGCTGTGTTTTAAAGATAAATTATGGTCGTTACCGTGAATGGCCCTTCATCGACGACTTCGCAGTGGTTTTCAAGGGGGTCATATCGGTAGAGTCTCCCAGGAATGCCATGTTCTTTTGCATAAATAGTTCCAGCAAAGAAACGACCTCTGCTGTCACATCCTCCGTCATTAAATCGCGTGAATGGGGCATCTTCGTCAGACAGAGGCTTGTTGAGGTACGTTAAAGTGGAGTTGTCCAGCAGTGCAAAACCTTGCGCAGCGGCACACGCTAACTAGACGCCCGGGTCAAAAATATGATGCGGAATGCTTCAAAACTAACCCCAGCGCTGTTCTGACGCAATGCTAAACAGGATATAGGCTCTTCGAATTGCTCAACGGCAAGTTCAAGAGTGTCAATATTTGCATGGAAAACCTGTGGCATAGGAAAATGGGAATGTGGTAGGACGGAGGAAATATTGGATACCTTGTTTTCCGATATATCGACAAAATGGAGCAAAGACGTGCTGGGGTCATACAGGGGACCTGCAGAGAATCAATCTTTGTGCAAAGAGATTTAGCTTTTCGATAATAATAAAAACCTTCGCCTAAAGTGCAGCCAACGGCAAGCCACGGACGTTGGACAATGATTTCTCGCATGGTTGAGAAGAGTGAGAGTCTGATTGAGATGCAAAAGTTTCAAGATGGATTATTAACAATGGACATTGGACGCAGGGGAGATGTCGGAAAATAAGAGGGAGAATGAATGGTAAGAATTGACAAGTCGGAAGTGGCCGAAAGACGTAGGTCAAGTGGAGAAGAGGATATCTGTTTACCAATCTTGCTGCTATCTTTGGGACGGAGGATTCCAGAACAGCGATGGGAAACGATACGATTGGGGAAGCAATCTACCATACGGCGAATTCCGAAACGTCTACGAATTTAATGGGCTGCGAAAGTTGACATGAGGGTAGTTATCACATATCCCATCAGAACACACCTTCGGGCGTCTTTGCAATGTAATCAATGGCTAGACAAATCGTCAGATCCATTCCAAAACAAGCTTTCACAACGCACCCTGCTTCACGGTCTGTATTTCGTCTGCCTCTGCGTCGGGAATCTCGATGGAGAACTCCTGGGACCGGTTATTCCTATGGGCATGTCGCTGAACTAGGTTGTCCGTACCTCTTCCACGGCCATTACCACCTCAACAACGTCCAGGCTGTCCAAACCCAAGTCCTTGGTGAACGAGGCTGTTGGAGTCAGCTGGACCATGTGAGCACGGAGAAAGAAATTAGAAAGCCGGGACTTACTTGAGACAGGTCAACTTTCTCGTAGCCCTTCAACACGTCCAGGACACGCGACTCGATCCTTTCTCTTGACAGGCCAGCGGCGGCGGAGTAGTTGACACGAGAAAGAAATTGAATAGGCGTGTGTTGCACGCGAGCGCGGGGTGCAGCCACGGTCCTTGCGACAAGTCGGAGGAAAGACATTTTCAAGTTTGAACTTGAGTGATGACGGAACGAATTCAAAAATCTTGACATTCCGGCAAGGTCCGATGGGTAATTTAAAATTAATAATAATATACAAAATAAATATTATAATATGTCATGACCTCCGGGGATTGCCGACAGCAACTATGCAGTTTGAAATAAGGTTTACGGCCGAACAAGCCACAGTCATCCGTCAAGACGGCCTTGGGCCAACTATAGGTTATACGCTCAATTCCTCAAGGTGAGACCGTTCCCCACATCCAACGGCCCCCACACTAAAACATTATTCTTCCTACAGGTACGTGGAAGCGTTCTCAGTTTGAACTAGAGCTGAACACTCTGCAGACTCCGACAATGGCCACCTTCTCCTCGACACCCATCGTAATTGATGGCAAGGGTCACCTCCTTGGTCGATTGGCCTCAATCATCTCCAAGCAGATTCTCTCGGGACAGAAAATCGTTGTCGTCAGATGTGAGGAAATCAACATCTCTGGCAGCTTCTTCAGGAACAAGGTCCGTTTACACTCGTTCAAACTTTTGGTCGGGCTCTCATTGTCCTACCAGCTTCGTTACCACAACTTCCTGCACAAGCGCCACATCGTGAACCCTAAAAAGTCAGGACCCTTCCATCATCGCGCACCGTCAAAAATTCTTTACCGAGCCATCCGTGGCATGGTTCCCCACAAGAGCGCGCGGGGTGCTGCTGCTCTTGAGCGTCTCAAGCTTTTTGAAGGTGTCCCTCCACCTTATGACAAGAAGAAGCGAATGGTTGTACCGGAGGCATTGCGGGTGCTAAGGCTGAAGCCTGGTCGCAAATTCTGCACCGTCAAGGTGAGTTGTAGGCAGGGTTTAATAATATGATGATCACTTATACGAGGGCTTTAGCGTCTTTCTCACGAGGTTGGTTGGGGCTACAAGGATGTTGTGGATCGTCTTGAGGAGAAGAGAAAGATCAAAGCACAGGCTTTCCATGAACGCAAGGTACGTACGTATTGTTCTATCAAGACGGTGACTGATGAAAGTACCGTAGCTTGCTGCTGTCAAATTGCGCCAAAAGGCTGTCGCAGATAATGGGTCGTCATTCGAGCAGCTTGTTCAGTTGGGGTATTAGTGATACATCCACTATTCTATGCACTTGTACTCGATTAGCGACTATGCACTCTGTTATGACATGCCCATAGATTTATATCATGAAATCAATATCTAAATGAATATTTAATTGAATAATTTCTTTCAACTACCGCTGCTTGCTATTACCCACGTCGTTTTCCTCGTCCTCATCGCTTCCCCCGTCCTCGTCGTTCCCCTCGTTCCCCTCCTCTCCGTTCGTCTCCCTTTTCTCCTCTCCCCGTTGTCCCCATCATGCCATCCGACTCCCCCCGCCAATCAGAATCCGGTTCGTTTTTTTTTTGTCATTATTTTACTCCAAGATCTCACTTCCTCTTCAGCATCGCCCGCCCCGTCCCATTCTCCATCTCCATCTCCCCAAGACACCTTGACTCTCCGCGCTCTCGTTAGCACAAAAGACGCCGGCGTCATCATCGGAAAAGCTGGCAAAAATGTCGCCGATTTGCGAGAACAAACAGGCGTCAAAGCTGGTGTCAGCAAAGTTATTCCTGGTGTTCATGAGCGGGTCCTCACCGTCACTGGTCCTGTAGAAGCTGTGGCCAAGGTCTTTCTGCTCGATTCTTTCTCTTTTTCTTACTGACCTTTTTTTTTTTTTCTCTCTCCTTTTCCAGGCATACACCCTCATCATTTCCCAGCTCGTTATCTCAAACCCCTCATCTCCCGTAACTCCTTCTTCTTCTCCATCATCCCTTCACACCTCGATCCGACTCCTGATTTCGCACAACCTTATGGGTACGATCATCGGCCGTAGTGGTCTCAAAATCAAGGCCATCCAGGATGGCTCGGGCGCCAGGATGGTCGCTTCAAAGGAGATGCTACCCCAGTCAACTGAGCGTGTTGTCGAAGTTCAAGGTTCTCCTGAAGCCATTGGCCGAGCAGTCGAGGAGATCGGGAAATGTTTGTTGGAGGACTGGGAAAGAGGATTGGGTACTGTTTTGTTCAATCCAGGAACGGGTGACGATCGATCTGGAGGTAATCGACGGGGGGGGCATGGATATTCGGGATCGTATTCTGGCTCTCGTCGTTCCAATGGGGACGCAGCACCTCGTGCACGCACCCCACCTCCGGGATCACCGACCCAGCCTCAGTCTCCTGCCTCGAGCCAAACGGCAGCTAATCTCCGCACTCAAAATATTTCCATTCCATCTGATATGGTTGGCTGTATTATCGGCCGAAGCGGTACAAAAATCACCGAGATTAGGCGTCTGTCTGGCTCCAAGATCTCCATTGCCAAAACTCCTCACGATGACACTGGTGAAAGAATGTTCACGATTGTGGGTACGCCCGAGGCTAACGAGAAGGCCCTTTTTCTCCTGTACAACCAACTTGAAAGTGAGAAGGAGAGGAGAGTTGGGAGGGAAGCCCAGCAACAATCGGAGCTGCAAGAGTGAGCTGAAACGATTGGACATCTGCACGGCATTCCTTGTCGTATCCAGAGTCGTCGCCCACACGGCCTGCAAAGTGATGGCGACGGCATTATTCCGCATTCCTTCTTGAAATCAAAACTTTACCGCATCCCTTGCCTGTCCTGATTCTTCGCTCATTGTAACTGATTGAAATACGTAGTACTTGTTGCAATACCATGCTGCTTTGACATGTTTCCGCGTTGTTTGGTCACGCCAAATTCTTTCCTCGAACTTGAATGAATCGCAACCCTCTACATCCGTCCCTCCCTCGTCCCCCTCACGTCCATCCCTCGACGACCCCGTACATCCCGCAATCCCTTCTTGAGTCTTACTCGTCACACTATGCCCAAGCATATCTGCAATCCTATCCAGCTCCTCTTGCTGCCGGTTTGAATGAAATTCGCACTCCATTCAGGACCGAAGTTGGTTCTTGGTATCAACCAGGAAATAATCGATGCACTTACAAGGGGTGCAGTTTTACCGGATCTCATAAATCCGTGGAGACACACATGATGGACAGGCATCTTATTTTTCCTCCAGGGTGGGACAAACGAAAAAAGAGACAAGAATGGGACGCTGACCCAACTCTAAAAGGGTGCGCTCATTGGTACGCGTTGATCTTATTATTTTAATTCCGTTTGTAGGAAACCCGTCCCAATACAAGGAACTACCATTATTCTGGACTCTCCTGAGGTCTTGGACGCCTGGATAGCTGAACGCAAAAAACGCTTTCCAACCGCGACGCGTGTCGATGATAAGAAGAGAAAACTTGAGGAAGCTATTGCTCGTGGTCAACTCCCCTTTGTAGAAACAGGTTTCCGTAAACGGCAGAAAATCGATGACCATTGTAGCGTCGGACGCGGCGATAGTATCAGACGCGATAGACATGCGAAAAAGGACCATCATGAAGGCGCTATGGGACGGGGTCACGCTCAAGGTCGGAGGAGTGATGCTGGCTGGCGTGGAAGGGGTCGCGGATCATCTGTAATGCATTCGCAACCCGTTTTGCAAACACCTTCTGCTGCACAATCGGAATCAAGTTCTGAGGATGACAACGATGAACCAGAAGTCGTATCTTCCAAGGCGTCGGCCCTTGTTCTAAGCACCGCAAGCCAGGCCGAACATGCACTGAAACAAGGTTTTGATTCCAATACGATACAGACAACGACTGAAAGGCCAGATTTACGACCAGCTCCGACGACGGAAAGGCCAAATTTACGTCCCGTCATGCCTAAAATGCCCCCTCGTAATCCCTTTGCATCTCGTTCGACTCTCCTTCGTAACGTGGGTGTATATTCTTTACACACTATGAATGCCTTCTTACTCTGACCTCCTAGCTGTTGCTCCCTGAAATACGCATTACAATTTCGAATCTTTCCCAAGCCATTAGGTTTCTGGTCGACAATGACTTCCTTTGCGACGTGGAGCTAAAAGCTGGCGAGGCAGAGGAGCAAATGATTAAAGTTGTTGAATAAACTATGGCGACTATGGCCCATTAGGTGTAGTAAAGACAATGATCATTTCAGTGCTAGTTGGCACTCGATCCACTGTCGCTAGTGCCGCTACTGCTATCCTCTTCGCCATCTTCAAGCTCTTCAGGGTCTACTTCCATAACTCGTTGGGTTACTTCAAAGCCTGCTTCCTTCAGTCCCTCCCCGATCTCCTCAGACTTAGAGGGGGCAGTGACAACCACTACTACTGATGACGAAGAGTCAAACAATGGTAAGAAGTGCTCCTTCAGGGAAGTGAGGACATCCTCCTTAGTGACTGCCTGATATTTCTCCAGAAGGTCGACCTGGTGGGTCTGAGGAACGCCCTTCAGCGCTTGATTTGTAAATGAGACCATCGCCTGCCGTTTAGAGATGAGGAATGACACTTTTGAAATATGAGTTTGCATACCGCTCTTCCAGCCGTGGACACATTTTTTGTGACCCCGTAAACAATGCTACTCTTGGCAGCGTCAAGGGTTGTTACGTCGAGCTCAATCTAAACCACGATTCACCAATAAACCTAGGATGTATAAATCAACACTTACTGATCCGTCTACGAGCCCCTTGATAACGTTTCGCGCTTCCTGGAATGCGCTCATGCTGTTGGAGCTCTTTGATCTGGATTGAGGGTGGTAAGTTCTGAAAAAAAGAGGAGGGGACGTACGCGATACAAAGAAAAGCTAAGTAAACCTGCTTCCACGTCAAGCGATACATATGCACCGTAAGCCAATCCAGATCCCCGTATGTAGCGCTGAGACCGGATGAGGCATAGAAAGAAGATTCAGAAGGAGTATGCTCACCCATAGGTAACTCTCGGTTGCGTTCAAAACTTCAAGCGCTACGCGCAAGACAGGGTAATCAGGATGATTGAAACCCTCAATTCCTTTGGTTGTATGGGTGACGTAAGAGCTTTCAATCGTAGGTAAACTCATAATGATCGCCTGTGGGCCCTGGTTCAAATTGTTTACGCTGAGATCGACACAAACTTACCTTCCGGGATAGATTCTCGCCGATTTCACTAAGAGTTTGCGAAGCAAGGGGAATTGGAGACAGATCCGTTGCCTATCAAAAACAAACTTCAAAAAATGAGTCAACACAGCATCGAAAACAAGTACCGTCAAAACACTGTCGAAATATTTGCCCCAAGGACTCCGAGGTCTTTCTACCTTCAAAACATTTCCAGTAACAGAAAATCGCACACCGGAAGGTTCCGTGACTGTAACATTCAGTTGAGAGAAGTTAGTCAACGGTGAGTTGTTCAACACATACTTGATTTTCGAATTGCTTCGAAATCTGCAATGACTTCAGACGGACTTTCTTGTAGTTGTTTGGCGAGCTTGGGAATAAATTCTGCCTGAGGAAGCACGCCCCCAGAGCGGGATGTTGACTTTTCGCTGTATAAAAGGTTTGACCATAAGGACCCCAAAACGTTATTTCCATCACGCTTCATTTCTGGTAGAGATTGTTGGATTTTGGCCACAACAACCTGTAATCTGTCGCACTACATGAGAAGCAAGACCAATGATCTCAGGAATCGCAATCACCGATCTTTATCGAATTCGCCTCCGTAAACCAGATCTCTTAGCCAAGCAATAGCTGTCTCGTAGAGAGCAACTTCTACCTTGATGCTGACACGCAGCACATCCGTGAATGCATTGGAAATGCCCGTAGAGATTTCGTAAGAAACGGTTTCGTTGTCAAGTTTATTGATGACCTCTTCGTGGGACAACCGCTCCCCAGAGAGTCTGGTCACTGGCAGAGAGAAAAAGGCCGATAAATAAGTTGATATATATCTGAAGCGAAATTAGTAATGTAGGTGGGACAAAGATGCATGTACATACGGTCTAAGTCGATCAGGAAGCTTCTCCATCGAGAAGAATGCATGGATCGAAACAAAGTCTGACTGGTGACGATTGGATACACATTACCAGATTGTGCAAAGGAATAGAGAAGGAATTGTACCTCGACATGATCATATTCCACAAAAAAGGCAAGAGGGTTTCCGTCCGCGTCGATGTGTGCAGATAAAGGTTCACTTGAAAAGGATGGCGGGTGCACCTTCCTCCCCTTTCCGGGCTCTTGCACACTTTGGACTGTAATCCATGATATACTTTTAACGTCTGGCACGGGGAAGCCTATCAGAATATCGGATGGTGTTGGTTTCCCGTGTTCGGCCTTTGCCGCCTCGAGTTCCGCTTCTGCTTTTTTTAAACCATCAAGACCGAGCTTCTTGACTTGTTCCGCCACACGTGTTTTCTCGTCTTTCTCCAGTTTATCTGCAAGGGCCGCTGAAGGTTTTCCACATACGACAACGGAAGGCGGGTCAATATAATATCTGACGCAGCGGTCAACATGAGTTATCAGAGTGCCTACTAACACATACCTTTGTAACAAATTGGCCCATTCTGAGTTTGTCCAGCGCCGCAGAACATTATATTGATTGATTTCGTCCATTGAGGAATGCAGTTCGGAGCCATCCTCAGCACCGTACAAAACATCGGTAATAACAGTGCCAGAGAAAGTATCCCCCTTAGCAGATTCGAGCTTGCTGCGCAACTATCGCATAAAATATCAGCAATAAAATCGTAGCCGACTCAAGCGTTCCATTGACCTGCCGTTCATCTCTATTAAGGATCATCGACATCCTGTCCATATCTATACCTTCGCGTACGATTCGTTCCAGGCTTGCTTTCAACTTTTCGTCAAAACCATGTAGGTGCTCGGTAGGCACGGATCCAACGTATATAGGAAGATCATTGCGAGTTGCCCTGGTATCCTCTCCGAAGTATATATAAGAGCTATTCGACGTTAGCAACCAACTAAGCAAATGGCAGATGCAATAATACCAAAGAGGTGATTCAATCTCAACATATTCCTTGTTCAACGGGGCTACGGCGGATGATGTCAAATAGGTACCGATGATATCCAAAGCCTTTATTTCAAATTAGTTCGAAATAGTCTGACCACTTGACGAAACTTGCCTTGCGTTCAAGAAATGCGTTCACGGGAGGCCCCACAAAGTTGATTATAAGTTCACCCATAGCTAGGATTTAACACTGAGTGAACGTAAAGGAAGCGGATAACAATGAGAAGACTTACATTCATCTTTTTCTGGAAACTCCACGACATCTTTTATCACTCTATCAATGGGAGTTCGTATTGCGCTGGTAGTCTCTACAAAAGGCCGTTTCCAGCCTGGGGGACGGGATCCTCTGTCCTGCTTATGAGCGACAAGGCTGGGTTCGATTTGGTCTTGGATAACCCGAAGCAACGACGACGTTCCACTGGAAAGTTTCCCGCCAACAATGAGGGAAAGATTGTGGGGAACATAGTAAGTCGAATGATATTTTCGAACTATATAGAGATTTCAACCGGTGTGGGGAAGATAAAGTGAGTTGAAATACTTTGTTCCGGTGTCAACACACGAAGTGCCTCCATCAATCCTCCGGTTTCGCTCCGATATGCGCTACCTGGGGGGTCAAGCAAACGCTGAAGTCTGCAGATTTGGTTAATGCAAGATCGGATTCCGAGATGCCGACCCACCGAAGTGCCATTAAATCGCCTGATGTATTCTCTCGCCCTTGCATTTCACTATATACCACACCGGAGTCATGACCTTTTGAGTCTATGTGATGCACCTGTCAACGTTTTGTCAAGGTAATCAACGTTTTGTCATGGATTCAACGAACTTCTGTAACAAAACTGGGGCAATTCGATTAAAAGTGGAAGAGAGGAGAGGGAAGAACCCACCCAGCTTTCGTTATTGTAGGATAAAGAATGTGGTCTACATATATGGGAAGTAGCTGCAAAAATCCTTGCTCTCCTGCAGTGGAGACCGTGTAGGCAGTGTGGTCAGTGTCAGTCCAAGCATTCGTCCCGTTCGAAAACCCCCGATTTGCAAAGAGATCCAAAATGCCCTTGTGAGGATACTTTTCAGACCCCATGAAGACCAAACTATCTGGGATAAGCAACAATCGCACGAATACAAGATATTGCCTACTGTTCCAAAGTATGCGGGCATCCAGAATCATCGAAGACTGGTGACATCTCGTAAGCAACCTCTTTCAAAGTACCGGGGTAACGCACTTTCGGTAGGTACAACAAAGTACCCATTGACGATCGGGGCTAGGACCACTAGTGAGTGGTTGGTTCTTTGCGAAATCGACGGAACACACCCTCATAATCCAAATGAATGACATTAAGTCCAGTAACACGGCTCTTCCATTTCGAAACAACGACGTCGGTAAAGTCAAGCTCAACTTTCTTGATAAGGTCGAAATTGCCAAAACGTTCCACTGCGTCCGTCATTGGAGGTATGGTGCAAGCTGCCTGTGTTAAAGTATGCGCTGCACGAAAAGGGGAGTAAGCTGTACGTGATCGGATAGATGGTCGAAAGGCCGATGAAAAAAGGAGTCGACTGAGTGTAAGCGATTGACTGCGAAAAAGCCGGGGAGGTTGCATGCAGCGCGTCCGACGTGTCAGTGACGAAGTAAATCAAAAATAATAACGCGTCCACGACGAGTCACACATGCCGTTTCAACACACTCCAGAGACGTTGGCCCTTTCAGAGGCGCGCAAGGCCAAGAAACTTAGCAAGAAACTCATTCAATCCAATGAACCACGACCGCTCCCAGAAATTACCGTCCCCCGACCTTGGCTTACTTTGCACACCTCGGAGACGAATCACTGTCTACCCATTAGAGTATTGACCTGGAATGTCCGTCTACATCTTTCTCGTCCATCCTGATTCCCTACTAAATATATCTCAAGCTCCTTGCACAATGTTTAGTTCGTAAGTTGAAATCGTAACACATCTGCAATACACTTGAAAAGGATCCTAGGGCGTCAATTATTTCCAGCTAGCGACTGTTTGAAAGCTGGCCAACGAGAGCCAGTGCTCCACCGTGAAATTCTTAGCCATAACGCCGATATTCTTTGCCTACAGGTAGGTTCATATCTATGATTCTATGTGTTGCGGTACTCTAATGTAAGCGTACGAAGGAAGTCGATCGATTAGAGCAACTCCTACCTGTTCTCCAAAAAGCTGGATACAGCCATCACTTTGGATCTGGTCCAGGAAAGCTCCATGGCTCCATAATAGCTTATAAGGCGCAACGTTTCTCTCTGGTTGCAGAAAAGGTTGTTTATTACGATGAAGAACGAGTTCGCACAGATGGAAGTGAACTCGGCCAGCGCGGTGTAAGTTTCAAAACCAGGAACATTGGCATGATAGTAGCGCTCGAAGCGAACAACAATCAAAGTGATAGTCTCGTCGTCGCCACGACACATCTTTTTTGGCATCCAAAGTACGTTATCCCTCTCCATAGACTACCTGCGATTGAAATAGGTTTAGATATACCTATGAAAGGGCCAGGCAGGGATTTCGGGTCTCCTTATAAATATTGTTGCCGATTCAATCTTACTAGGCAGGCAGCGCTCCTGATACGCGAGGTTTCCCGTTTCAAGGTTGACCATGCAGTCGAAGAATGGCCATGCATTGTTGCTGGAGGCATGTTCAAGGCACGCTTCCGAATTTCTATAATTATCTGACTTAAATGAATTCAAGACTTCAACTTCCCACCAGACGATCCGGCGTACTCGCTATTAAGCGGAGACGAGTTACTCGCCGAACAACAAGCCAAACTCTCCGCTTCCTACGTTGTCCACTCAACAGTGGGTCCCAATGTCTTGCTCAATACTGAGAAACAAGTTGTAGACGATCAAGAGGGCGGGGATGCCGATGATCCTGACGTCGACATTGTCAATGCACGGAATGCTATCCCGGCTGATGGATTGCTTTCAATTCCAGAACTGGTTACTCTTTGCTCTAGTCAACCCCGTGTACGAAGCTCGTACGATATTGGACTTGCCGATTATCTTTCAAGGAACTTTTTCATTACCACATATGGGGACAGAGTCCAGATTCCGCCAGGAAGACACGGCTCACACGAGCCAGAATATACCAGCTACGCACATTACTGGAAAACTGTTCTTGGTAGGACTTGCCCCTCGATTTACGCACTCGTCTTATGCTGGTCATAGATTATGTATTCGTTTTGGATCCACCCGGGCGGTACTGTCGAGTCACTGGCCTCCTTTCCCCATTCCAAGCAGCCGACCTTGAGCCTGGCCTCCCACAGCGACGTGTGTCCGGCAGCGATCATGTATCCCTTGTTGCCGAACTGGTCTGGCCACAGATACACCATATCAATGACCCTTGAAATAAGTGTAATCCTCCAAACATTCAGGAATACTCGTCCAAGTCTTTTTCCATCCCCTCAAGTCTACGTGCCTGTCGTATCCGCTCCCGCTCCTAAACGTTTAGAATCAGGCATTCTTTCGCCATTACGGAATATTATATTTGTGTAAGATTCAAGTATTCGTTCAAGGAAGTTGTCAAACAATCCTTGCCGTCATCGCACCAAAAAAAAAAAAAAAGGAAAATTTCCAGGCAGGCCAACCATTGACAAGACCACCTTCGTTTCAAAGCAAAATTAAATTTATGTGAAAATCAAATTTATGTGAGGGGTATATAAACGGGCAGCCTCATGAGGCACAAACGACAGTCCCATGAATTTAATTTAGACAGCCAACATAATATAAACTTCGACCTCCACCTAAGTCATGTATCATCAGGTCGTCATCGGCCTGCCCGATCAGACCCTGCAAGAAGGCTGTCGAATAGGCCGTTGGCAGAACTATCATTTCGTAGCTGTATCATGTAAACGATGCCAGTTCGGGCACCTTTGTCGCTCAACTCAATGGCGATACCTGTCTTGCCGACACGTTCCACACCATCCGTCAAAACTATAGTGGAGATCAAAACAGATTTATCCTTGTTGTCCGCCTCGACAACCAGTTGCTTGATGTTGGTAGGACTCTGGTGATACAGCTTGAGTTTCGCGGATCCCAGCGACTTCCACTGCGCATGATGTTGTTGGAGGAAAACTTTGCACTTCATTTGCGCTGATATCGTCGACGTGACTGGCCCAAGCTGCTGTGGAGTTTCTTGAACTGGTGAGTTCGGCGGACTGGGCTCGTCGAATGACGGCTCCACCATTGAAACTGACCGAGATGAAGGTTGGGCAGATGGCAATAATGGGCGTGGTTGGGGAGCATGTAGCGCACCGAGAGAGTTGTTTCGGGGAATAGGTGACATGTTGTTTGGGGGGTATCCACCAGGGAATGGCGGCATGGGAGGGGCAGAGCCCAATTGGTCATGTTGAGAATATTGAGATGCAAGAGAACGTGTAGATGGAGACTTCCGTACACCATTCTGGTTCAATGAAGGGTCAGAAGGAGGTCGTGGGGGCAGGCCACCAGGTCCATAAGGACTTTGACTTCGATGGGTAGGATTGATAGGAAAGGGGTGCTGTTGACCATTAAAACGGGGATGGCCAGGGCCTGGTGGACCAGGATTGAATAGCTGAGGGCCGTGTGATCCAACAGGATTCGGGTTGTAGCTGGGACCCGGCAGCGGACCATTTGGGGTAAAGCTTGCACTTCGGACAGGAGGTATGGCGTTCGGTGGACCGAATGGAGAAGGAGAATTTGTGAAAGCATGGGCAGAGGCAGAGGGTCGCAGGTGTGGGGGAGGAGGGGGTTGGTCGCTATGTATTGGAGGCTGTCGAGGGAGATCCGGTTGGATTTTATTCTCCGGACTCATTTGAAGTCGAGACATGTCCTCGGTAATCCGGGAAGCATCAGGACCTTGATATGCAGGAGGTGGTTGTGGTCGTGATGGCAAACCGCCAGCATGAGGCGAACTGGATCGTCGCGTAGGTGCGATTCCGCCTTCAGTTACTGATCGAGGAATACCATTGAGCGAAGGAACCGGCGGCGGAGGTTGTTTTGATGGTGGCGGTACTATATTGGTTCATCAGACATGCATATTGAAAAGCATGAAATCAGACATACATGAACCGGAAAACTCGATACATTCCTTGAAACGGGCCATCATTGAGTCGCGTTGTTCTCTTGATCGTGTTTCAAGAATGAGATGTTCTTTCCGCATGATCGCCACCTCGAGTGCATTATCTGGGATACGTCGTGTCAAGATGCATAAACCCGAATTCGGGGGACGAACCTCGGCCGCCAACTTCGGAAACGCGTAAGACCTTCCCTGCCAGTGGTGGGTAACAGAGCCACATATCTGCTCCCTCAAGTCCAGGTTGTGATTGATCTTGAGGAGACATCCTCTCGCATACCAGAAATAAGTCAGATAGCAGAAATATATGTCCTTGTTGGTGTACAACTTCCACACCAGTTGCACGAGGCTTGAAACGAATTAAGACGTCCGACGATAGTCGCATTTCGCGGGTGAACGTCAGTGATGGAGGCGTCATCTGGAGCTTCACGACCTAGATTCTATCCGTCAACTACCCGAATGAAATAGTCTGGAGGTAGGAACCTTTGGCTTCATGGTGAATATATCAAGCGTGCGGTGTGTAACTAGCCGCCGTTCAAGGTCAGAGATCGGCATGGAGAGGGTGGCGCTGGAGCCACGACTGATAGATGTAGAGGCTGTTTCCCTTGAGAGGCGCTCGCTACTATCCATGATAAATGCAAAGACTAGACATGTAAACAACAACATACCCGCCCGAGAATGTACTGCCGTGGTTCGAACCGCTCTCACTACCTTGCGCTGCATCCCCCTCATTTGGACGCGGATTGCTCGCAGCAGACTGGCTCCTCATATCAATGACGACTTCATCTTCCATTTCAAGAACGGCTGGAACGGACGGCGAAGACTCCCCGACTTGGAGGGACGAACGGCTCTCCAAAATGTCCAAAAGCCTGTCCAATGTATCCAACGCACCAACCAGAAGGCGATGGTCACTCCGTCCTGGTGCCGTACTCTTCAAAAGTCTGCTGTACAGCTTTCTATAATACTTCAATCTGGCCTTCGGAAGTAAAAAAAGCGCGTCAAGCGTCCAAGTCGGAGAGTCCGAGGAAGCTGTAAGGGCAGCGTTTAAAGGGGGATTTGAAACAGAAAAAGTTGCTAGGGTGGATGACAAGCGCGGGTTGGATTGAACTGGCTCCCAGGTATCAAATCCAAAGCAATACTTGGTACAATACGCGGTGTATGGAGCCTCCAAGTCATCAATCTTTAAACCGTCAATTCTGATCCAGAAGGGGAAAGAGCTAAAGCATACCCATCGCATCAGCAAATCTCCCAGAGCTTTTGGCGATGACGGATTCGCACCGATGTCTTTTAGTTTCTAAAATGTAGTGAGCGAAATCCAGCACTTGACCTAAGTGTGACACTTCATACCGAGTGAAGGGTACGATTCGCCTTATAAACTGCCTCGATGCTCCTAAACATCTTATCCAATTCTGGAGGCGGCAGATTTGAACGTGACCAGGCAGCAGCTACTTTCTGTTGACGAGGTTACTTATCGAACGTGACAAAGAAAGAAATTAAAGTACACGGATGATGCCAGTCAAGTGATCAACATAAGCCTTCTCAGTGTCAATGAGATCGTTGAGGGGATTTGACTTCTTAGTTTGAGATGACGGCGTGGACGGTGAGATCGGGGTTGTCGGAGTTAAAGGAGCCACAAGCGCTTTCGTAGAGGTGAGCTGAGAAGAATTCTAGCGAGAGAACAACTGACCAGGATCAAATGAGGTCGATGGTGGCAAAGTCAGGATTTGTTGGGCCTGTAAACCTCCCGATGGATCAGAAACTTCCAGCTTGGGAGGTGGGGCGTTGAATGAATCCGACATCTGTATATTTGGTAGTTGTGGGAGCGCCTGGCCGTTGGGTTGGTTGACGGGAGGCGCGTTCATGAGAGGAGGAGGACAGTGCTGGTCTTAAATTTATGAGGTGAGTAGGCAAAGCACGTGCGATGTGTCATTAGAGGTGTGTCACATGTCACATCCTCCTCTTAAGGTTATTGGCATGGAATACAATCCTGTATGGATAGATCGCACCTTCAAATCACGGCAACTCACAGAATCTCTCCTTGCCCCAGAGCGTGAAGCTGGCCTTCTCACAACTCACGATTACGACGCAGCCCTCTCCTTCTTTCCCGACTTCCATCGCCGCTACAACGTTCGTTCTCGTACTCTCTATCAATAGTACCCTCCAGCTCATGCTAAACTAGTCACTTGGAATGGTGTTGGGTGGATGTCTAATGTACTCCATTCGCAAGCCTTCCTGGTCAACACCGAAGACTACTGCTCTCGTCTTGACCAGTGCCGTGCTCGGTCGTGCTGTCGGAGCCGTGAGCTCAGTTCGAGAGCACTATCAGTTTGCTCGTTCCATCGAAAATCCCGCGGGTTTCGCCCAGGCAATGCAAAATATTCAAAGGAAACTTGGTCAACCTGTTATGCGCCCTATCGGCAGACCACAGGACCACACCTCAGCTGACGACCACTCTCAAGAACGAGGCATGTGCAAAAAAGCATCACATTACTCCAGTCATCAACCACCTTTCTTTAGATTTTCAGCTCCCCCCACCCCGTGCATCGCTGGAACAGCCGCCGATGACTAAACCTACCACCTCGACTGGTACCTGGGATAGAATTCGAGCGGCCAACGTCCGCACAGCTGGAAACTCGTCTTGGGATACTCTTCGCCAGAAACACGAGAGTGCGCGTATACAAAACCGCGTTCCTGACACAACAGTCGACGACGTGAACGGAGAACCGGTGGGACAAGCAAAGATTGAGATAATGAGCCGCACGGAAGAGCAGGCAAAGTTTGATGCACTCCTGGACAGGGAAAGAAATATGAAATAAATCCAACTACATTTGTCACCTGATCCGCGTATAATTTACACAAAGCAAACCAATGCCATGACAGATATAATACAGGGTTTCTCAAAAAAAAAAAATCTTCAAATAGTACACACGCCTTACATTATGAGCCCATGAAAGTTGAGCTGCTTGACAGTATGGCGGTGTCAAGGTGGCTGGGGGACCCAGATGCTTCCCGCATCGGCCAGTGGGACCGGCCATTGGGTGAGATTGTATGCTGTCTTGAGCCATTTGCCAATACAGCTGGCTCTTCGAAAGGAGAACCATCGGGCAACGGCGCCGACTGCACGTTATCATCACCCATTGGATGACGGCTCTCGTCCTTCCTGAACAACGTGGAATGAGAAAAGGGGAAAAGGGGAACGCCAACCTCCAAAGGTTGCTTCTGCGCCGTCATACGGACAATTTCTCGCATTAGGCCCTGGAGGAGGCGTTCTTGTCGCGCTGCGAACATCAAGCGTTAAAATTTGTTCCTTGATAAGGACTGAAATAACCCACTCCCAATTGGCGAACGTTGGCCATATTCCATCATCGCGAAACTGCAATGCCAATCAGCCAGGGTTCAAGACAAATCGTGGTGTATTGCTCTCACCGTAGAACATTGATTTCACCCCATACCGTCGATTCGCGCTCAGAATCATTGGTTTCGATAAAGTATTTGCAAAGTTGAACCTGAACGACAGCTGCCAGATACCAACAGATCTGGGAATCGATGAGGCCTATTCGACCAAAATAAGGAGAAACACACACCGTGACAAAGGGATGCAGCCTCGTAATATCTAGAGAAGTAGCTGATAGGACGTAATACGCGCCTAAAATGCACCTGGCTGAGTTTACGCAGCGGGCGGTGGATAAGTTCCGAGGATCGGTAAAATCAACATATGGGTTATGCAATGTTATCGTTGCGCTGTACCAAGCCAATCAGGAAAGACAACAGAAAACTAGAACCCAGTACTGACGCGTGGGGAATGACGTGAACCATGTACAAATCCGTGTCTAAGCAGCTGCCTTCGGGCAAGTCGGTGACGCCGGTGTTGTTCTTAAAAATTTGAGGGAGCTTTTCCAGGAAGTCGGAACAAACAAGTTTGTCCAATTCCGTGAAGCCGTCCAAGTAGAAGGGATTTTGGTTTTTACTTGGTGCTGTCGGTGCCCGCAGGTTCCCCCTGACATTAAAATCGGTTACCTTCCCAAATAACATGACCGCTTTGATCAAAAGCAAAAAAGAATCTGTATATTGAGGCGGGTGTCGAGTAAACACATCTGCAGAAGCGAGATCTTGTGGATTGCTGGGGATTGGGGCCTAGAAATAGTTATATAAGCCATTAGCGTCAGAGATGTTCAAAAATGAGAGCACCTCCGATTCGAAATCTTCTGTCCTCAAAGGCAACTCAGTTCCGAGATCGCGTTCGTCCACCGCATGTATCCATCCACCAACGGAGGCAATGCGGTCAAAAACGATTGTCATCCACCATGTTCGTCTCCTTGACTCCAAATCACGTAAGTCTTTCGGTGGGGCCAAATACGCTCCGGGGGAGTTGTTGCCATGTGTGGAAAATGTTCCAGGGTAATTTAACCGAAGGGGGATGGCGACTCGTGTTTGAAAGCTAGCAAAGATCCAGACCTCAACCCATCGACCTTCCTGGTAGAAGTACCAGGATAAAAGGATACAAGCTTGCATGACGGAGAATATATCCTCTCCGCTAGCCATCGTTTTGTCGATGTATTGTCTGGTTTTACTGGCGTGAAACTCTGCGAACTGGTCTCTCCGCGTTCCGTCTGGAAGGGTAATTACGTTATGAGGCGACCAGCGAGATGCAGCAGCGCACTAAAAAAACTATGATTCAGCAAAGTGAGGTGAGGTAGTATCGCTTACTCAACTATAGCGTGAAGAATCGCACAGTGCGGAAATCCGGGGTCTTTCGGAGATAGATGCATCGTTGCGAGAAATGATGGTCGATGTAGCACTCTTGATCCACAAGGATCACACCTAAAGAACACGTCGATACTGGGGAAAGTATGAGCTGTCAGAGAAAACAGAGTAATTTGAAGCACCCACTAATGATTGAGGGTAGCAGGGTCGGGAAGGTCGGGGTTCCAGCCAGAGAAGAGAAGGTCCATGAATGGATCAGAGCTCGCGTCGTTGTTGGCATTAGGCAGCTGAGGACTACCGCTCGGACTGCGAAATCTTGTTGCATCAGAGTTCTCGGGCGCGATGAGGTTCATCATAGAGAGCGGTGCTTGAGGCAAACTTATCCCCCCCCGGTCTAGTCGGCTGATAGAGGTAGATCCAACAGGTGCGTGAGTTGACGAGGAATTGTGATGGGGTGACATTGAGCGGGACGCGCCCTGTTCGTAAAGCTTGCTTTTAAGTTGCGCTTATAACACAAGTGGTTAAAGACGGTCCATCGCGTTTCTGTAAGGCTTTGCTCACAAATCTGATCCTCCAGTTGTTTAATCTTCTCGAGCGGATCCGTATCGGGAGCCAAAGGCAAACCCTCAACTGGGTCGTACGAACATTGCGGCTCCGTAGGATGGCTAAAATCCATTCAATTCGAGCAACTCTCTTCTTTTGAAAATAAACACGAACGCATAGCCAATGGGCGCTGGGACGCTGATTAAAGCTTGCCATTGTCTGTGATGTCTCCATCAATGTGGGCAATTTTTGGCCCAGGCACGAAACTCACTTTACACATGTCCCACAATGAGGACGAGCTGCGTCGCATTTCTAGCAGAATGAGAGGTGTTTGTGTAAGTTCTGGCGTGGTTTCGACGTCTACCTACGAGTTTCCTCTTGCGACACGAGCGACACGCCTAAGATAATTGAGCGATGAAGTGGATTAGTGGTAGATGGAATACAGACCTGGTTTCTGCGGAGGGCAGGGCGGTTTGTACTGGTGCTAGTTGTTTTGGGCATTGCAAGGGCTATTCGCTCGAGCGGGATGCAAGAAAGGAACGGATTTGCTACGCTTTGCTGACGCTGTCAACTGACATGCGGTGACACAGGCATTGGCCCGATCTTGAGCGCCAAACTATCGTGCATATGTAATTTGCATGTCCACGACTTTGATGGATGTATGTACTCAATCAACAACTCTACCTGCTACTTAGCAGTCTATCACGACCTTGGTAGATGCCCGCGTTCAGCTACATATCGTCACCTAGGCAATTACAAACCTACAAGATGGTGGCAACTACCCGCCTTGTGTGCGCAACATGTCTGAATTCTGTAAGATAGATTCCTTCGCTATTCGTCAGCACCGTAACATGAACTGTTTGTACGTTCTATTCACCTTGCCACGTCCCTAAATTCAATTGACCGTTGGTGATCGGGATGGAAATCGACGTCCCAATGAGAGAAGCCTTCGTGTGCGAGACCCTAATTCAGAAAATGTTCTGCCTGACATGTTTCAACCCTGGCCGTACTTGCACTCACGAATCGCTGCCACAAGAGATGAATAAGATAGATAGCTCATTCAAGGGGGAAAAATAGGCACTCTGGTCCTTCGTCAGTGTGACGCCAATCGAGGGACTCGGGTACGATGGTGTCGAGTGCCATATCCATATCTAGGCGGCAGGTCACTAACATTTGTTTGAACGACATTGATAAAGCTAGACCTTTCCGCACGTCTGTCGTTGTGTGAATTAGTGTTACATGAAGGGTGATTTATGGTTTCTATACCTTTGTCAAAGTTCTCATTCACAGTGAGCGCGGCTGAGGTGTGCTGGCTTGAATTCCAAAAATTGAGATTGATGGACTCCAGTCCCGCAAAAGTTGAAAAAATTCATACATGAAAAGAAATAACATGCCGACCTACAGGTCGTGCAATTACTTGTTCTCTTGTTTACACCAAAAACATCAGAAGATACTTACCTGAACTCCTAGCAATCCTGCTTGAATTTGATTGACAACTTCCTCCGTAACCAGATGGCATCCCTTAGCGCGCTTGGACAAGGTGAAAGTTTTCTGCCAGCCCATCGATATATTCTAACGGCTCTGGAATTAAGATCGTCGACTTCCGCAATCGCAAGGAGGAATCGGATTGACTGGAGACTACTCGAAAACAGAATATAATTACGTAACTATCAGACTTCACTCTTCTCCAAATCGCTTCAAACGTTCATTACCACCCCGATTTCCAGGCACATTTCGATTCCGACAATGGTTCGCATAATGACCCTTTTCTCCACACTGCCAAGATCATTGATTAAAAAGGGATTCAAACATCTACACCCAAATCTCACCTTGAAGCATAAGACCTCGTCAAGGTTCCTTCTGGGGGGACCTTGCATCGCGCTCGTGGATCCTGGATGTGCGACGGGTCCGCTGTTCATTCCGCGGTCAAAGTCTGCATATCTCCCGTACCCAGGCGGAGGAGGGCCTAGGTCGCGAGTAGATGGGGGTTCTAACGGTTCATAGGCTTTTGCTGGAGGTAGATCTGGTTTAGGGCTGGGACAATTGAATGTAGACGGAGAGATTTGGCAAAGAGGTCACTCACTGGCCTCGGAGGCATTCAGGTCCTAAAGGACAGAATCCTGTTAGATAAAGTTGACAAGCGACTTTTCGAACGTGTTTTCGCGGGCAACTCGGTCCTGCGATAATTGAGTATGAGCAAAAATAACGGAAAACGGTAAAAGCAAGCTACCAAGCTTACAAAACCCCCGATTATAATCCGGACACTCTACACGCCGCTCTTTCGGATGAGCATACAAACACTCGTCTCCAGCTGAGCAATAACCATACTTAGCAAACCACCAACACTCCGGCATACGTCGCAAATTGTATTCGTGCAAGAATTCACAGGCATCTCCCTTTTTACAAAGACCCCGTAGCCAATGCTTACAAACGGTTGCCAGACGTTCCCTTTCACGGGGATGTGTCGGAAGTTGTCTTGGGGGTTGAAAGTTCTGAAGGGTGGGAGTTGTATGCCGCAGAGGACAATGAAGCGGTCCCAAAGGACAGCCAGCGGCAGTCAAGGCCAGTCTGCATATTTGATCATCTTGTAAAGAAATTTAGTTAGAAAGTTCGGTGTCCCACTGTCGCGCAACCAACCTTTGTCCAGCTTGACACCAAGTTCTGCTTTGATATAGTTTTCAGCTGGAAAGTTATTCTGGTGAAATTGAGGGTGAATCACATCTCGGAGGGCTGAGGGACCGGCCAAGGGATTGGCAACAGCCATGTTCACAAAATTAGATATACAGAAGGTTCTTGAAGCCTCAACTCCATGATGACAAAACCTTGTGTACTGTAGTTGTACCCAGACCTTCTCACCAAACACCAAGCACATCAATCTCGCCTCCCGTCCGTCGCACGCGCTCCGCAGCCTCATCTACCTCGGATGTCCAGGAACCCCATAAATCTTCACTACTTCGACCTGGTTCATCGACAAAATTGCAAACTCCGACAAAGTATACATCGTGGAAAGGCTTCAAAGACACGGATGGACGGCGATCTATGAATGTAACATCTAAGCGGAGAGAGTCCAAGAGCTGTACGATACTTCTTGGTGTCGAGCTTGGTTTAGATGGCCATTTAGGAGCAGATATTCGCACAAGTGCCTTCCTGTCAAGGGGATGCCTGAACGGCATCACTGTTTCCCGAGAGTGCGCAACAACGTAAAACCGAGTAAAGTTCACTGAGGCACGTTAAAAAACCTTCTTGTGAATGCTGAACAAGGGACCCACTCGTCTCGCCTTGTATTCCTTGATGAAGAACCTCGAGTCCTTGAAATAAAGTAGCACATATCTGAGAGCATATTGCAGCACACTCCGGTGGATTGTCGAGTAGAGCTCTAGCGGCAGCGGCGGTCGAAGTTGACTTCTCTAGCGTTGCCAGAGGTAGGTGCGTTGCAAGAAACTCCTGACATTGGCCAAGCGCCTAATTTTCGTGTCATCGGTTCGTTCGTCGTTGAGCAGATAGAGAATACGGCGTACTTGCTCGTGGCTCATGACTTTCCGTATCTCATCTAGCTTTACTCCCTTTCGTACGAGAAGGCAGTGATCAATCTTCAATAGCACCTCGCCACGAACGAACCCTGGATGAGATCCCCGAAGCGCGTTGCACGTTTCAATGACGCTCCCAAAAGTAGAGTTTTCTTGAGGAACCACACCAAGGGGAACCGATGGGGAGAGAGAAGAAAAGACATCTTGGATGAGAAGCAATTCAAATTTGAAATATGCGTTATGAGTGTTGACGTCGAAGGCGTCTCACCAGCGATTGTTTTTCGTTCAAGATATTGGGCATGGTCAGCAAACCTTTTGTATGCGGCCTGCAACCCCGTTAACCTCCAACGAGAGCGACATTGAAACCTTGCTTACTTCGTGAGTGTAGGTTCCGAGTGGCCCCAGAAAGGCGACTGTGAACCTCCCATCTGACTCAGAACCACTGAGTTCCATCTTAGATAAATTTTAGATTGAATGAAAAAGTAGTGCGCTTATGTATCATTCACGATCACCAAATGAGAAAGTACAAAGGGTCATCAATTATATATAGTGCGATGGTACAGATAGGAGAAATTAAGTTAGAGGCAAGTTAAATGGTACAGTCTCGCGTAGGGTGACATCGTTGACTGGGTTGTTGCTCTCTTCGAACAGAGTGTGCAAGTCATCTAGGTGCAAGGAATGCGGAAAGGTGATCTGTGCTGGATATCCAGATGCAGGGCCACACTGTTTAACAATCATATCTTCAAGCATCTTCGCATACCGATGAGCAAGGGGTACACGTTGGCCTACTTTAGCAATGGCCGAGCTGAGGACTGCGTCAATCATTGAACAAGTGATAAGCAAATGAAACGAACTGGATAAAGTCAATCTCTGCTCGTATAGTAGAAATTTGATCAAGACTTCTCGCATCTAAGGCGGCCCGTAGGAATCGCACCAGAACACGACCGGAAAAAAACCAGCAGAGCTGTAGCATAGATGAGAACAAACGAGAGCAACAAAACGGAATACTTACGGAACAGAAGGAATCAAGGAGGGTTATATCAAAGCTCGTCGACCAGACAGCATAGATGTGATCTAGGATGGCCCTCGCTGCCGTGAGGATCTTAAGAGCAGATATACAACCAGACTGGCAAACTTCAGCATGGGGGTCGTGCAATATGATCGTGGCGCTGCGAACATATGTCAGTAGATCTCTCAGCATACCAGGTCCACTTACACATGGGACATCATGCACGTCGTATATAGATGGTTATCTACCACATTGTCGACAATCGGGTTTCTGAGGTGGCTAGGAAATGATTCCCTAAACGACGAGACAACATGGTCAAGTTCAATGAATGCTTGTGAGCCTCTGGGATCCACAGGATCTGACGACTGAACGACATCATTGTAAGGACTGGTGACAGCCGAGTCACCAGCGAAATGTCTTGACCTAAATCGCATGTTGAAAGTCTTGACATGGGCTTGTTCGGAGAGGTTACAATCAGACATTGCCGAAGACTATCAACGTCACTCACAGAGCATGATTGTACCTTTGATATAAAGGAGGAAAGAATCTGTCTGATTGTCTGCGTGAACAAGAAGAAGATTTCGAGTATGGGCCCATTGACGCGCCATCGGAGTCACAAGAGTCTACCGCATAGTTTAGGCCGATTAAAAGGATAGAGAGAAAACATACCCCTTGGTCGAATTGGTCGCCGCGAACTGGTAGTAGCTGTGAAATGTCTTGATCATCGACACTGAGGGCCCAGCCATTACCGCATCCATGCTGACGTTCAGTGGCATATGCCAACCAGAAGGCATTCCGTCGTGTTTCGTCTTCGACGACTGTCTTTGCCGAGGGTATAATGGATTGAGGTCTTTCCGATTTTGTTATAGAATGGAACGGAGGACACATATTTAAGCCCAATGGAATAGTTAGTCGGAGGCAGTGGGCAGAGTTGAGAAAAATCTTCGAAAAATGGTAAAATTTGGATTGGCGATCACCAAGTCACACCTTACATCGACCCATCTTAGTACATTCGTGAGTGTTGGGGAACTGTCATTATTGAACAACTTTAACCTTACCTCCCATGAGACCAATAGAACCAAGTAAGGATGATGTTTGCTTCAGCACCATCAACATCGGGATAATTCATATTTATGAGTATCTCGTACCTTGCAGGACCTGAAAAAGATCTTCTCCAAGCGTGTTCAGCTTTTCACCTGTCTCGCGAGCAAGTTTAGCCTGATGCTCAGCAAATGAATCAGGCCGCTGTTCCTTAGACCGAAGTCTTTCCAAAAAAATTTCGTCTGTCAGTTTGGATAAGCTGTAAGCTAGAAAGTATGTTTAGAAACCAACCTGGAGGTACTTTGTCAAAATTAGGCAGAGGCGGCGACGTAACAGCAGCTGTGTAAAGACTGCCAATGGCACAGATTGCGTGGAGAACGGGCGTACTGGGGAACTTGGGATGGCTTGGGGGTAGGTTCAATGTGTGCATAAAGGTGGGCAGGTGAAACAATCGATTAGCATGCGGATGGAATACAAAGAAAACGTCAACACTGCCGGACGTGATTAACGATAATAACATGCGATATAAAAGTGAGTGCATACAGGTGTCGTAATAGATCCGGAGGAGGGAGATCTTGCGGCCAGTTAGGCCAAACTAAATCCAAATTCGCTGAGGGCAGTGGAAAGCTCGTGGGTGTTGAATTCGTATTGACGATAGAGTCAAAGTAGGTTGCTTGAGAAGGATATTGTTGCTGAACCTGAGAGCCGTCTGATGAGTTTGTGAGCCGATATCGGCTTGGGAAACTGGATTCATTGAATGACGGATAAACATCTGCCATAGATTGTCCAGAAGAAGTAGTCCCAGGTTCAGGGGACGCCGAAGACCCTTTTTCCTTTTGTCCCAGTAGCGCTTCGAGTTCATCTATTGAAATTAAACAACATGAACTGCAGAAACAACATATCGATCACGAGGACGAACTAATTCTGTTTTCCAATCTTTCATATCTGTTCTTTGGTCCATCAGTTGCCGGCGCCACTGCGTCTACGACTATAGCAGGGGGACTCGGAGTGAGTGATTCACTTCAAGCCAGAGAAAGTCGTACCATCGTCGAATGTACACTCTGGCGCGGACGGAAGATTTGTACCCGATGGCGCATGAGACAATGCATGGGCATGAGAACGCACGCATGTGGAGCACGGGCGTTTCGCGTCGCTTGAACAAAAAGATCTTCACTTTCAGTGTCGCAAGCAAGCTGTACAAACACCCACCATTTCTACGAAAGTTTGTCATGACACATAAATCTAAGAGGGTTCACACCACTTACCAGCTTTCTTCGTCGGCACTACCGATAGAGGTTCATTCGTCGAGCGCAGAGACAGTTGGGCGCATAATGAAGACTTACTTGATGACAGGCCTATAACACAGGAGAAAGGTGAAGTTAGACCTAAGAAAACCCGAGGAGTGGTCTTGAAATACCCGGTTTCTTTTCAGGACATTTGGATGGGGAGAATCGAAGGCGGCTGTGGGTCTCGTAGAGGACGAGCTTGACGCCCGGGGCATTTTTATGGCTGCTGAAATGAGAGTCGGTCGTGGTGCGTTTGGCACTAGCGGTCAGTTGTTGACGGTGCTTGGGTAAGTGTGAGGTACGCAGGTGTGGTCACTCTTAAATAAGCGTGCTCACTCAGTACTCACTGTAACTCAGTGGCATAAAAGGAGGAGCATCTTTGCTCATAATCGTATGTGCAAAGTCATTTGCTCCCATCACTATCTCAGAGCAAGGAGCAAAAGAGGAACTCCAAATAGAAATGCATACAAGATAATCCCTCAAAAATAAACATGGATAATGATAAAACCAGTACTGCTGCTCTGCATGTAAAATCCATATAGGTAGCTCAGCGCGTCCATCACGAAGTGAATTTATTGGTAATCTGAAACGTCTGTGTGATGTTCGCGAGCCCAATGCTATCGATGTGGTTCTGGATGGCTGTCGAAATGGCCGTCCATGTTTGGTTAATCGTCACATCCGACAACGAGTTGTCACGCACGACTAGCGGCGATGTCGGGGTTTCTGTCCATGCAACGGAGCCACCGATGGTGGTAATGGCCCAGTTTCTAAAGGCGCTGCCCTGCACGGACCCAAAAAATAGTGAACCAGATGGCAATGCAAAAGAAGCAACGGCAGAGCCGATATCAGCAGGCTCAACGCTTCCAAATACAGCCACCTCAAGCACGGGAATGGTGCTTAAGAACTGAAAGAGGGGTGAAGATGGATCTGGTGGAACCGAGTTATTTGAAGTTGAATTGAGAACGAATTTGACGAGAGCGCTGGCAACACTGACGTCCGGTATGGAAGAGAGATACTGTAGTACAATATGGCTTGAGAGGCCAAGAGTCCCATAGCTACGTGGATCGGGTTTAAAGTTGGCTGAACTGGTATTGGGCCAGGTGCTGAGCTGCGCTCCGGTATATACTACAGCTCGAGGACCTACGTCGGTTTTGAGGACTGCTGCTTGGTGCGCGACGCCGGTCTCTGAATCAAGAAATGGAAGACGCAGCCGAAGGACGTCCAGCACCCCGTAAACGGGATGATTCGGGTAACAAGCAGCATCGAACTGCGTCGCATTGGAAGCAGGAGACAGTCCAAAAACACCACTTTCTAAAGCAGTTATCTGTTGTAGTTGTACGTTGCCAAGTCCTGGGTAGCATGCAAGGGGCGGCGGAAATAACGAGGAATTGTATAGGCTCAGGATAGCAGGAGAAGTCCCATTGAAAGGCAAAAGAATCGGCGAAGTACTGAGGGCCGTCTTGAAGGTGGCGAGATCCTCGATGCGTTGTTGTAACGTTGTGGTCCAATAATTCTTTAAAGCGTTGTCCCGTTGCGTCGACGAAGCTAAAAAAAATTGTGTTAGGTTCTGAGTGCTGGTTTGGGTCGACTTACCCAAAGCGAACGAGTACATCCGGTCGAGTGTGGATCCAGCAACAGAGCCGACTTGCGCAACTTGAGCATTAGTTGGTTGTCCCTGAGTTATAAAAGAAACAGGAGGCTGGCTGATTGTTTGCGTGGCAAAATTAAAGGTGAAGCCGGAGACAGTCGTTGTGAATTTTGATGAATTTATTGAAAGCGGTCCATCAGACGCCTGCAGCAACTGCCACGGTGCATTTTGAACAAATGTCCGCAACTCGGTCGATGCTTGCAAATCTTGACTCTGCACTACATTCCAGAGCAATGAAGTTTGCGCCCAATGAGTACGGTTTGGAAATGTTTGCTGATCAAGGTTCTTCCCCACATCAACCAAAAGAGACTGAGAAGCACAGTTACTCCCGGTTGTGCTACCTTGCGCTAGCCATATGTTGTTATACACAGAGTTTGCAGTCATATTGATGGAGAAGGCGCCATTAAGTTGGGGGATGAGATCCACGATATTCTTCGCGAGACCATCACATCGAGTAGACAATGTACAAACGCATGTTGAATCTGAAACGGCAATGATCAGCGGGCTGATATTAAACGACCATGCGGGATCAACATACTGAGATTGCAAGCAGCTCCCGCTAGGTCGCTAGCGCACGCAGATGAATGATGGTTTCGCTGGGTCATCACCACTGCTGTGATAATTCCTACCAATAACACCCCAATCAGCAGAGTCAGGCTTAAGCATATGCGCTTATTATTCCAAAATGGTGACCACGGCCGAGATCTTGAGCGCGCTTGAGTCGGTAGTGCTGATGCTGAGGCCTGCCAAACATTTGAAGGACTGGAATCCTTATTCACCTCGAAGGCCGTAGTAACCCCACCCGATAATGGTAGACCGTGGTAGGAAGGAAAGCTATGGTGAGGATGGTGACCTTTCTCCAGCAAGTTGTGAAGAATACCTGCACGATTGATGAGGTTAGGCAGAGGAGTAGATTCTTCAGCCTTCCTGTGCTCATTTTCTGTTGCAATGGGGATGTGCGGCACGGTTGGAACCGGTGGTAATGGTTTCACTCTTCTCCAGGTAAAAGCTCGACGAAGAGAGTTGGCAAGCGAGATTCGAGAGATAAACGATGGTGCTACACTCCTACTTGAGTGCACAGACTCTCGAAACTGCGGAGGAGGAGGCTGCCTTGTGCTATTACCGAAAACCAGCCTTTGCGTTCCGGCCAAGGAAGGTAAAGCAGTACGATTGGCAGAAACTTTATAATCAACGATTGAGTCATCATCGATTTCACGAAGGCCTCCCTTGCGTATTGAATCATGACGGTCTGGATCTTGATCGGAGTAGCGGGAACTGATGTTATGCAAGGTTGCTGGCGCAACGCCAACGACTGAGGCGCCGTGCACCCGAAGACCCCGAGAAACACTTGCAGTTCTCAAAATAACAGAGTGTTCCTGAGTTGAGTGGAGCGTTTCTGAATCCCCAGATATTCGATTGTTTTCTGGTATTGGTGCGAACGCACTGGGTGGGTTTCTGGCACCATAGGGACGATGATGTCGACCTGGAAGATATCGAGAAGAGGAAGAGTCCGCGTCCGGATAATTGAACGGAGGCGGATAGGTTATTTCTGAGATCCCACTGACAGCATCGCTAGCATAAGAGGTGCGGCGGGCCTTTCGAAGGTCACTGTCCTGTTGCAATAGGGAAGTGATGAATGAGGTGGGAAGGAGACGATCCTCGGTTGCATCAACATCGATACTGGAGGCTCCTTCATGCCAATCGTACGGGGAGGGAGGAGAAGAGGGGGTAAGAGTGTTTCCGGAAAAACCTTGGGAACGGGAGGGGGAAGCGCTAGGATGTGCAGAAGGTTGAGAAAAAGAGAACAGAGACCTGCTTGGGGAAGGTGTGCCGAATTCAGATGGGGTTGGAATGGAAGATGGCGGAGGAGGAAATTGTGAAAGACGCCAAGAACCATTGCTAATGGTGCTATCAGCAATACCAGAAGCGTTTGTGTCCAGGGAGGGTGCAGGGATGTGTCGGGTGCGACGTATCGTCATGTGTAAAGGATGGAATTCAAGTTATAACGAGGGAAGTCTGTAATCGCATCGTCTCGTCGAATGCACGATATAACGCGCCTAGCGGACAAGCAGTGAAAAAGAATGAAGGATAGGGCTGAACGTTGAGCTCTAGTAAGTATCAACGAAAGAGCCAACGGGCTCACCTGGGCTCACTTGACGGATCGCAACCATTGTGATCTGATGATGATGGCACTTGACAGCATCAATCTTTTATTACTTACTTGTACACACACTTGTTTTCATTTTACAACAAGCGCCAAGTCGGGGAAAAAAACATACAAATCATAATCTCTGAGCAAAAAGAACATAAATGGCGTGATATAAGTAATACGGGAATACAAATCCATTTCCACACGAATCTAACAGGTTGACCATCCTCATGCAATGATGCAAGATCTGCCCTTGCCACCTCTCTTGACTGGAGGGGGTGGGTTCACTTTGCGAGTATATTAGCCGACAATTCCCGCACGACCTAGTGAGTGTACTTACGAACGGCGCGAATTGCCTCGTCAAAAACGGTCTTCAGACCTTTCTGCGTCAGAGCGGAGCATTCGAGGTATTTCACAGCTCCGATGTCTTTCGACATTGCAACGCCCTGCGAATACTGAATGGGTGCCATGCGGCTGGAGAGACTCGTCAGTATACGATACGAGTCTCTCAAGAAAGGAAGATTTACCGATCCCGCAATTTCTCGATCGTTGCTGGATCCTCGCGCAGATCAAGTTTCGTGCCGACAAGAACAATGGAGGTTGATGGTGCGTGATGAGATATTTCGGGGTACCACTGTAGACCAGAGCTACATCAGAAGCGGTGAAATTTACAGGGGGATGTGAACTCGCCTTGGTCCTCACGTTCTCATAACTGGGGGGGCTAACAAGCGAGAAGCAAATCAAGAACACGTCTGTTTGGGGGTATGAAAGCGGGCGAAGGCGGTCGTAATCCTCTTGTCCTGCTGTATCCCATAGCCCAAGAGAAATCGTCTTTCCATCAACCATCACGTTGGCGGAATAGTTATCGAATACTAAGGGAATTCGTAGAAATTAAAGTCTTGCCACATGACAGCGAACCTAAAAGCGACGGTACCAGTTGGTATATACTCTCCCTATGAAGCAAATATTGAATGTTGGTTTGAAAGTCGGGGAAGGGAGGGGAGGGAGAGGGGTCACGTACGGGAAAGGCATTTGTTGTATAGGATATCAAGAGGCACGTCTAGGAATAATATAGGTTGCGATGGGGTCGGCGTGAACAGCTCGCTGCAGCGTACCTTTCCTACAGCGCCATCGCCTACAACAACACCTGAGAATTGTGATGAGCCATGTCCTGACGATGCAATAAAGAGCAGCCAACATTTGATTGCTTGCATATTACGTGGGGTCGTTATGAAAGAAGGAAGAGCGGGATAGACAGACGAAAGGATGTTCCTGGGGGAAAGCCTTCACGTTGAGTGTTTGGCTAAAGCGTTTGCAATTATCACACGTAAGAGGCATGCGAACCTTGAAAAGACCCTTGAAACAAAGTGCGAGTGAGTTGCGTTTGAATGTTGTGGCGGAGAACTGAATCCTCAAAAATCTCAAGGAGATGAGAGGAAGTTAGCAGCCAACACAACTTCCCACGAAGTCCTTTCAACTTGCCGGAAGGAGGTCAACTGAAGTGATTTACAAATACGATAGAATACGATAACGTAGAACTACAACCACAGTCATACACAAAAAGGCGTAGATAACTCCTATAGTCGCCAAATAAGAGAGAGTACATACAGGGGAAGCAAAAACATAGCGAGTTAGCAAACATAGCAGATCAGTTCAAAACAAGCTTCAGCCACAGCGGTCCAATGACGTCCGTCTCTTTTTCAGAGGCGGTCTATAGACTTCTTCCGAAACGTTGTTCTTACAAGACGGGGGGAGTACCTCGGCTTCGTCGAGTTCCTTTCTGAAATCGGAGTCAGCCTCGTCAGCAAGCAAGTCATCAATACTGTTCGCATCTTTCGGTAGCGTGAAGGGCTCCAGCAGCCCTATGCCAAGCCCTATGCCTGCGCGTTGAGCGTGGCTTCGTAGCACGGGGCTTTCTGCCTCGATACTTGGTTTGGAGGGGCGCACTGGTGACGCTGTAGAACCACCGCCAATGCTGGACCAAGGGCTGTAGATCGCAACGAAGGGATCGTTGATAGGATTGTCGAGAGAGAGAGAATTCGTGGATAAGAGTGAGCTTTCAGAGAACCAATCGTCTGACAGCATAGAGATAGATTTTCGGTGACCCGCACCCGTTCGAGGATTTCGAGCGAGGGGTGATCCTTCTATCCGAGAAAAGTGTTTTCCTCCAACCTTACGAAATTCAAAGGGGGAAGGGAATTGGCTTCTTGAGAAGAGGGTCCTGGCAGCGGACTTTGGAACTCTAAGCACACTAGACGGCGTCTGTAAATGGCTAGACCTGCTCATTTCTGATCGTAATGGGCTCGAAATGGGCGAAGACTGAATCACCAGAGGACTTGCTCCAATACCCAACGACTCTTTGACAAGAGGGCTCGTCGCGTCACGAATGAGCATACTCAAAGACACATCACGAGTTTGAGAGTGCAATGGGTGACTTGGACTGGGAAAACGCCAAGGCTGGTCCGATGGCAACCGAGGAGGGGAGTGGCGGAATGAGGGGGTAAGAAGTGGGTTGTATGGAGAAGGCGGGATAACAGGTCGCATAGTGCCGGATGGTGTGGTACGAGGTCCCTCACAGGTCAGGGATGGGTCGGACGACAGAGAAGAAGGAGGGGTGAGGGGTGGGCTAATAGATGGGCCAGTAGGCTGAAATGACGATGAGTCAGTGTCTTCACCTTCATACGCGGTAAGAAACTCTTGTTGAGGAATTCGAGGGGTTGCTGGTACGGTAAAATTCTCTCTTCCCTTCTTCCTATCACGATCTCTCCGCTTCGGTTCTTCCGCGGGAAGAACAGAACGGAATCTCGTTTTGTGCGATAGCGTCTGATGCTCGGTTTGAAGTGCGATCTCCATATCGACAAGTCTATCATGGGGCTCAGCACGAGGTTTGTTCGATGCAAGTTGCTTGTTTTCCTCTGTGGCAGTTAGAATAAATACGTCATTATGTGGGAACAACTAAGAGAAAAGGCTTACTGCCTGAACCTCGTCCCCGAGGGTGCTCATTGCCATCGCGTCTGTTAGACATGGCGATTTTATGCTTTTCAAAGACATGGCGTCTCCACATGCTCTTGGCGTTAACGCCGGCGTACGTTCTTCGACAAAATGTGCACCGTAATCGTGGTTCTTCTCCTTCAGGCCATCCCTCTGCACCGCGTTCTTTGAGATCTTTTTTCTTCGCCGGACACCAACCCCTGGGTGGCTCAAGGTTAGCAGGATATGGTATAGCTCGAGGGTTAGTGTTCTGTTGGGATATGAAATCGTTGGCATCAAGAAACCATTCAGGATTCTCAGCCATCAATACATAAGATAAACCATCTGGATGTAAATGCGAATTTGGGAAGGTGACGAAAGGTGGGTGAATGAAAAAAACATTTGGATCTGCTGGTTGAGGATCCATTCCGGCGGGTGGCATGGCCAGAAGGTCTCGCTGGTTCCGAGAGGAATGCAGAGCTCGTGAGCGAGCCTCTGAGACTTGGACATTAGGCGCGTATGGACGAGGCTGGAAAGAGGATGCAGCTGGAGCGAAGAATTCGAGCGCTGAGGACAATGACATTCGGCGTTTGGGTAACCTAGGAGGAGCTGAAGAGACGGCGGAGAAGGAGAGAGATGGACCAAGAAGTGGACGAGCCTCAGTCATTAAGGAAGAGAGGATGAGAAAATCAAAATAATACAAAGTCCAAACTTGGTCCGTTTATTGCCTCGAGGTGCTGAGTTTCGGAGTTGACACGACACAACGCGATCATCACGTGATCGAGTTTAATTATTATGCATTGCTATGTTAAAATGCTAAAGAAATGTACCCAGCAATCATGGCCACACCACCTAAAGGCGTAATAGGTCCAAGGAATTTCAATCTAATATCATTCAGTCGCAGTGCTAGGTGGAAGCAAGGGTGCCTTTACCCATCACCTGCCAGTACCAATCCCATGATACTGCCAGAGAAGACCAGTCCTCCTAAAGCAATAGCCGGTCCAGCAAACCTGTGAGTGGCGAAGCGCGGGTGCATTGAAACAAGGAGGAGGGCCAAGCCATTATAAACCTGCAGCTAGTACTTCAGCCCAGCAGACGTTCACGGCACACTTTGCTCACTCCATAGCTTGAAGCAGTCTCCCAAGCATGAATTTTTGCTTCAGTAATTCCGGGCCTTTGCTTCAACCCATGGGCTTCAGAGCTGAGTCGGTCAGAAACTCGGCGGCTGTGATACTAAACTTGCCTCCAAATGCCCCCGCCAAGCTTCCAGATGCCGCTTGAAGGAATTACGGTCAGAGAAGCACGGAAGAAAAGACGTTGACCACACCAAATATGGCTCCCGTTCTCCATAGAATCTTCGAGTTCTAAACGCAGCGTCATTACCTGAGTCCGTCTCTTACGTAGAGAAATCACCGCACCATAGTTTTGAGTTCAGTGAATCTCTTGATAAACAGGGATAAACACCCATTCATCCCTCGCAAAACTTTCTTGTTGCAACCCTCTAATCTTTCTACTTCGCGGGGATGGGAAAGGCTCAAAAGAAAACAGGAAAGGGTCGCCTCGACAAGTATTACAAGCTTGCAAAGTTTGTCACCGTCTCCCTTGCCGCACTTGCCTCTTATTTCTGCGAACAGGGAACAAGGATACCGAGCCCGTTCGGCGTTCAAGTTAATCCAGTTGAACAAAAAATATTCCTTTCTCGAGTCAGCAAGATGCACGATAGATCTCTGTGCAGCACCTGGTGGTTGGCTCCAAGTCGCCAGCAAGTACATGCCTCCGAACAGCGTTATTGTTGGCGAGTCTGGCCTTTTTCAACGAGCCCTACCCGTCTTACTGATCATGCGTAGGCGTGGATCTCGTTTCGATAAAACCAATACCCCGTGTTGTTACGTTTGCAGCGGATATTACAACCACCCATTGTCGAAATCTCATTCGAGGAGAACTTAAAGATTGGAAAGCGGATGTTGTGCTCCACGACGGGGCTCCGAACGTTGGTACCGCATGGATTCAGGATGCTTACAGTCAATCTGAACTTGTCCTTATGAGTTTGAAACTTGCTGTCGAATTTTTGATCAAGGGAGGAACTTTTGTTACCAAAGTTTTCCGTAGCGTGGATTACAACAATCTGATTTGGGTTTTCAATCAATTGTTCGGAAAAGTTGAAGCTACGAAACCACCATCCTCTAGGTGTGTTTCAAACTGAATTCATATTGTATTCCATCTAACTGGATATCAAGAAATGTATCTGCAGAAATTTTCGTCGTCTGTCGAGACTTCCTAGCCCCCAAGCACATCGATCCCAAATTTCTTGACCCTAGACATGTATTCAAGGATGTCTCATCATTGGCTCCTGAAGATAAAGGCACCTCGGGAAATCATGTTCAAGCTAACGTATTTCATCCAGAGAAAAAGAGACGACATCGCGATGGTTATGCTGATGGGGATTATACACTGTTCAAGACAACCCCTGCCGCCAATTTTGTTTTGAGCTCGGACCCTATAGGAGTTCTTGGCTCAGTCAACAAGATCACATTCACCACCGACGAAGAAAAAGAGTACGCTCTATTTTCCTCCCAGCGGCTTCAAAAATGACAGTTTGATAGATGGCTTGGGCTTGACATAACCACCGGAGATATCAGGCTCAATTGCGACGACTTGAAAGTCCTCGGTAAGGGCGACTTTAAAGCGCTGCTCAAGTGGCGGTTGGCTCTCCGTGACGAAGTCAGTTTTTTCTCCAACCCAGAAAAACCGAAGCTCAACATGTAACCGTTTTCAGCTGGGACTGGACCTCAAAACCCAGAACACAGAGGATCTCATAGAGTCAGTCGAGGTCGCAGAAGTAATTGATGAGGAACAGCAAATTTCAGACGAAGTACTTTCTGTTCTCCGCATCATCAAAGTGACAAATACTGACTACCTATCGCATCAGCTTGAAAGACTCAACGCCGAATCAGCTGCTCGCGCAAAACGTGAGCGGAGACGGGCAAACGAAATCAAGACCAGAACCATTCAACGCATGCAATTACAGATGACGGCACCGTTGGACATCGGTATGAATCAAGAAGACTCATCGCTTGGTGTAGGGCAAGACGACGTTTTCGACTTGGGAAGAACAGAAGAGGGCCTTCGGCCAACTCAACAAGTGGCATTCATGAGAGACGAGGATGGGGATATCATTATAGATTCTGATGATCCAGATAATGAGGAGGATGGGGAGGATGGAAACGTGCTCGAGTTAGAGGAGGAGCGAGAGAAGAAGATGGCGACATTGGAGGCTGAGATGGATGGACTTTACGATGCATATCAAGACAGGCTCCGCGAACGAGATGCGAAATACAAAGTCAAGGAGTCTAGGAGAAAGAATGCTGAGCGCGAGGAGTGGCATGGAATAGATTTGCGAGACACTGACCAAGAGTTGGAGGAAAGCGACGAGGAGGGTGGTTGGGAGAGGATGCAGCAAGTCAAGAACAATGATGAGGCGTCGTCCGTTTACTCCTCTGATGACAGTGAAGAAGAAGAGGTGCAATCAAAGCGAAAACGACGAAAGCTACAAGATCCTCTCAGTTCGTCGCAAATTGCGAAGCGACAACGCCTTATCTCCAAACTAGATCCGCCCAAAACAAGCGCGGCTGCCAAAGTTTGGTTTGCTCAAGATGTCTTTACTGGCATAAACGGCCTCGGTGATATGGAGAACCTGGAAGATGAAATGGAGAATCTAGAAGATGAAGATGAAGAGGATTTCGAAGATGTTGAGGTAAGCGATGGCATTGTGCACATCTATGACCTTCTCAAGGCTGCTATCAAAAGATATCCTCCACCGAAAACGACTTTGAGCTCATTCCACAAGACGATGACGGCGACACAGCCATGTGGAATGTCGAGGATGAAAATGAAGATGAAATCAAATTGGCCAGGATGAACAGTAGGACTCTTCTCGACTCTTTCACCGTCTACTTCTAACGATCCATCTAGAATTGGGGTTAATAACACCTGAAGCTGTAACCATCGCACAGCAACTAGTCAATCACCAGAAGACGAAAACGCAGCTCATCAACGATGGGTTTAACCGATATTCTCTCAATTCCAAAGAAGGCCTTCCTGCCTGGTTCCTTGATGAAGAGGCCAAATTCTACAAACCAAACCTTCCCATCACAAAGGAGGCTGTGATGGCATTGCGGGCTAAACAGCGGGCGTTGGACGCTCGTCCTATCAAGAAGGTGGCCGAGGCTAAAGCACGGAAGAAGTTCAAGGCTGCCCAGCAGTTAGACAAAGCTATGAAAAAGGCGGAGGGTGTCAATTCGACGGCTGACATGTCAGAACGTGAGAAGGCTCAGCAGATAGAGAAGTTGATGCGAAGAGGGCTCTCAGCCGGGAAAAAGGCGAAGAAAGACATCAAGGTTGTCGTGGCAAAAGGTGCACATAAGGGTTTGAAAGGTCGACCTAAAGGCGTGAAAGGAAGGTATACAATGGTTGACTCTCGTATGAAGAAAGAGGTTTGTCTTTACACGCAGGTTTTCACGCCAACCGAACTGACTTATTCTTAAGGTTAGGGCAAAGAAACGCAAGGAGAAGGCCACGCGAAAGCGTTCTCATTAACACTTCTGTTTACGGTGCACTCAAAATATTCGACGGTGTTCTCGGCCCCTTTCTTGTGATGCTACCCTCGTATTGAAGGAGTCACATCTTTGAATGAAGGAAGCCCAGTTGGCATCGTCTGCGAGGTTATTGCAGACCACCTGTGGGGAATCAGTACGATAAACATAAGTCAGAGATTTTAATTGCCTGGTGGATGGCGGACTCTGGGTGATTGTCTTCATCAAGGGAACCCGACCAAACGACTTCTTCGCTGAACCCTAATGGATCATCCTGGCTGGGTATTGTCTGACGTTGTATACGAGAGTTGAGGGCGTAAACAACACCACTGTGAGCAACCGACATAGGGGGCTCTGGTTCAGCTCCGGCTCTATCAGAAGAGAGGCTTAAAGGCAAAAATGAGCACTTCCGTTCGTCTAGAGAAAACATGCACCAACAATGTATCCACTTGCTGATGATAGTTTTTCAACTGCTGAGGCCAATCGTTGGGATCTATGGATGTAAGATTTGTCGCGGAGAAGCGAATATCTGTATTTCTTCAAAAATATCTATGTCTTTTTCCCTAAATCAGCGAGTTATTGTAGCACTTACCGATCCGGCCGAAGAAGATCAAGCGTGCCCTCATAACCCACTTGGCAAGATGACCTATTGGTCAAAGTTTTGCCCTTAGTAGTATTGTCCAGGGCAACAGCACCATGGGTTCCTTCACGTGAGGAATCCGCGTTTTCGCCTTGTGACGTAAGGTCACCTCGCGGACTCACAACGAATTCGAATTGAAGGACTTTTCTTGTGGGTGGCCTTAGCGTTTCATGCGAAATTTTCCCCCTTTTTCCGACCGCAACATAGAGAAGTGAACAAGTTGTACAGCCTTCTTGAGGACGGGAACGGCGAGGGGCGTCGGATAGACTGTGAACGTATGTATGGGTACGAATGAGTCAAAGAAGTTATAAGACGATACCAGGGAACCAAGTCCATCCTATTGGGAGAATTGTTTATCCAATGGACAATTTTTGTAATTTCCATGGATCCTTGAAGGGGAGGCGTAAGGGTGGTTCTTTGAGGGGACGAAATGCCCAACACTAAGTGGCCTGGACTTGACGACATGAGCTTGACTTATTAAGCGTGTAAATCGTGTATATAGTACCTGGCTCTAATCACCGGTGATGTCAACGAAGTGCATTTCCCTAGCATAGCCAATAAACAACTTTTAATCTGGGTAAGTTCACTTTCCAGATTAAGCTGCTCGTTAGACAGGACGATGATCGGATCAGAACTAGATTACCCACTTGCCCGTCGCTAGAGTCACACTCTCAATTCCAACAGGCTCGTGCATGTCTTCGTAAGGGTGGGCATCAAGCCAACGGCCGACCCTACGAACTCTGAAATAACTCTTCCCTTTGGCTGCCCACAATAAAGCCTGCGCAGGAAAGAAGGGGTATAGGGAGTATGCGGACCCCAATTTAGTGGCAGGGGATCTAGGAGTAGAATAAGCCAAAGTCGGTGAGAACGTTTCCTGTGAAATTTTAGTTGCGCTGGATATATAAATATATAAATTAGTAACCTGACAGAGCCCTTGCATAATCAGCTCCTTAGCTAAAACAAGCGTGTGCGGGTGAGTTTTACTATAGAAAATCCGCAACTACAACACAAGGTTAGGAGTAGAAGCACAATCCAAAACAACGGAGCAATACCTTCTGGCTGTCAACAGTTTCCAAGAATGCCCCTGATGTTCGGGAAACATGTTGTATTAAAGCCAATGATACGGCACGTTTGACGGGTAAGGCAAACGTTTCTTGTGTTATACCCTATACCTGGTCAATGAAAGTGATTTGGGACAAATAGAGAGTGACCCACAGCTATAAAGCCTTTCACGTCCTGCTCTAGTGAACGCAAGGAACCGCTGAGCCCTTCAGCCTTGAGAGAGAGTGGCCTATCCGAGAATGATACGTGCACATTGTGCTTAAGAGATAACTGCAGCAACTGAGATCCATCTTTGAGCTCATGAGCATAAGATGGTAACTTTGAAAAATGTATTCAAACCTTTTCCGAGCAATAGGAATGATACATGGCGAGACAGAGGGAACGCTAGACCACAAAGGATAGAAACGATGAATATGTAGGAAAAAAAGGAGCTTACTTTTACTTGAAAACTCGGTATCAGTCTTCTTTCGTCGAACATCTGCGAGTGACGGCCAATTCCATTCCTGTTCCACGATTGAACGGGCACATTTCCGCTTTGTGGGCTTTGGCGGTGGTTGTAGGTGGTACAACTCCAAGACTTGGGTCAGTTGTTCTAAACTAAACGACCGAACAAGCCTTTGAACGAGTAGGTTGTACTGAGACTCGTACTCAAGCAAGGTGATTGAAGGTTGAGTTTGAGGTCTGTACCCCTCCACATCTTGAAGCGTAATCTGGGATCCAGCAGCCGCAACAGATCTGAGATGACCCTCTAGTTTGTTTTCATCTAATGGGTTCCTCGTATTGATGAGTTGACCCTTGGCCGCTCTTGTCGCTGAGAATGTCTTCAGTTCTCCAGACTTCGTCCCCCGTCGTGAACGAGTTATGTTGGCCACGGCATTGGCGTTGTGCTGATCAGCGTTGACAGTAGTCGCTGAATAACTCGATGCGTGAAACCGCGTATGCACCTTTGAGTAGCATGAACGGAATAAGGTCTGGTTGTACGCCAATGGGGGTACGGCGATTGACATATACAGGAGGAGAGAAGGACAACAAGAAATATTTAATACAACTTTTCAAGCGCGATTACGTAATTCATCTCCCTCAACCTGGTTTTCCCCCACCTCTCCTGTCCATCCATTCTCGGCTAAATATTGCATAAACTTCATATCTTCATCTGCAAGATCAACGCCGGTCATATCAGATATGAAGAAGTATGTCACGAGGATGCCTGTTGTGCCGCAAATCGCTGGATTTTACGTCAGGGGGGAACTTGAGGGGCATCTAGAAAAGCAATCATACCAGCAACAATAAATGTCCATCTGCCGTAATTTATCAGCACATAAAACACTCAAACGCAAACGGCGGATGTACTTTTTGCCAAGGTGCAGTTGAATAGGGGTGAAAGCTTGCGTCCCTATGGCAGCTCCTGCCTTGCCTATGGCAGCAGACAGCCCATAGCAGGTTCCCCTTCAACACCTCAGTTTACGATGACGAAGGTGGACAAAACACTCACCGAATCGGAGTGGCATATGATCTGTGAGGATGCAAACACGTGAGCTTTGATACTTTGAACTGAGCCCTACTCACTCAGCACTCACTAGGCCCAACATGTCTCCTGGCCCCTGTGAATTTTCTCAAATCTTCACAAGTACTATCAATGAAGTTCGAAAATCGTACCATGTTTCCGAAGGATTGCATCAATCCGTAACTAGACTCCGAAATTGAGCAGACGGTTGGACACCAACATGTCACTTACAAGATGACGAAAAGAGGTACGACTTTGGTGATTCTATCGTAGGTTAAACCGATGACGAGGCCTGCGATCGAGATTGACGATAGATAATATTTTATAATGTCCAACTTACCAAAGACCAGATAACCGCTGAATCCTAACATCATCTACATTCAATTAATGGCTTTAGGAATGAACCCATCATACATCATGCCCCATGCTCACGGTGTTGCGACGTCCAAGTGGGTTGCACAGGAGAGCCCCAATGAAAACACCAGGCAACGCGATTGCCCCCAGAAGAAGCTGCCACTCCGCTGTTCTTTTGATATCGCCGTCATGGATAACACTTGATATTATAGTGCCTGAAAACACGCCATTCGGGAAGGTGATCTATGCATGAACATGTATCAGGGAGATAATCCACTAAAGGGGAAAAAAAGAGGTACGAAATCGTAAAGAAACCTACAAGGAAAAATCAGTCATAACGGTGCCGTACGTGGACATAAAATCTGATAAACCAACCAAGCGCCACAAGTGCCTATCAATGATTTCCAGTAACGCTGAATTACCAACCGATACGGAACATGTCCTATTTTTTCAGTGAATCGACTGATACCCACTGTCAAGGTATTTTACTTACGTTTAATGGCTCCATTGCGAAACAGCCGCGTAGAGAGCATCCGCATACGAAAGTAAAATACTGTCATGGGCAGCAACATTCCTATTCCAAAACAAACTCTCCAAACAATTTGAAGGTGCTCTTCTCCCACCGCGGACAAGACAATCAAGAAAACTGACACAGCTAAAGGCCCTCCAAACTGAAATACGATCGATGGTGAGACGGCTTAGAGGACCGAAAAACGTACGCTCAAAACAAAGTTCGTAACCATGATAAAGACTATATCGAATCATCAGCAAGGAAGGGAATGAGAGCCAAAGAAGAATCTGCACCTGGGCCTCGACTATCTGTCATTGTCTCGTTGGCGGCTTCCGATGCACTTGTCGACGATGCCGGGTACTCCCCACCAACTCCCTGAACTTTCATCAGAAACTACGGTAAAACGAGTGTTGTGTTTTTTACTATTCCCGTGATTCCTCTAGAAGAACGTATCAGATTTTGTGTTCGCTCTCGATTCGAACCCGTATTCACCTTGCAAACGTCAAGAACCAGAACAATCCTGTAGGACTTCCACCCGCGCCATGAGCAGCTGTCGCTAGGGCGGCACCCAGTACAATAAGAGCGGTAGTAGATACAAGGGCGACCTTTCGTCCGACGCGATCACAGATGAGGCCCACGAGGATCTGTCCGATGATAGCGCCTATGTGATTGCATATCACTCGTTAGTATGGCTACTAACGTGAGGCAGATGCACACTTGCCAACGAGTAGCGAATTTGAGACTCGGGTTGAAACTACCGCAGTGTAAGCTTTGGGGTATAACCTTTTGAAAATAACCTTGATTGGCTATCAGCCAATTTCGCGACGTCACGGTAGTTAGCTCTACGTTAGCCATAGTCATGAGATTGTTCTGATCTAAAAGCTCGGATAAACATCTATGTGCATGAGATTTGTGTACAAAAACTTACATCCATCGCTAATCAGTCCAAATGCCGCTGCCCAGATCGTAAAGTGTGCACTCAAAATCTCCTTTCGGGAAGCCATTGGTTCCTGAACAAGCGGGTTGTCGATGCCTTCTTTCTTTTCATTGGCATTCAAATGATCAGCTCTTTCGCCAGGGAGTTTCTCGGAAGACGCCATGATGAATCGTTGGAGGAAGTCTGAGCAAGAAGCCTCGAGTCGTACTTATATTGATAGGTATCCCAGTGCACACGTGCGCCAGAGTAGCTTCGTGATACGAGAATATGCTGGCATCAACGTAGAAGGGGACACTTGATCAAACAGGTAGAGAAGACAGGCAGCGGATCCAAGTTCCCATGATTGTCCGTAACAGAGCATGCAGCGCAATTTGATCAGGAGGAACCTAACAAATCTTAAAAGCCCTCTTCTGTCGGAAAATAAGTACAGCTTTCCATGGTCAGTTTTGTGTGAGGGTCGTGCGCCGTGGACGAATGGTCTATTTTTAGAACGGTCTGCCTCACAGGGCTCGGAGAGAGTGAATTGCTTAGATTCGTAACCACTCCCATTTGATGCAGGAAGAGTTACTCGGAGACTTGGTTCTCATAGAGGGATCGTCTCCTGTAGCCCGATTGTCTTTTTTTGAGGGAATGAGGACAACAAAAGCTTGCTTGAACAACAACAGTAAATAAAGCATAATCAAACTCCGCTAGTTAGTAGTCAAAAAAAAAGTTGCTAGTTGAAAGTCAACATACTTATCGAAAATGACAGGAGCTACTAGCCAGAGCGTTGATGATATCGATTTTTCAGATATTGAGGCAAAGTGTGTACGCTTGCTCTGCGGGAATTCTGCTAATACAATTGTTTTAGATATCAAGTGCAATACGATGATGGATTCGACCATGTCGTCGTCGTTGACGGCGTTCCTATCATCGATCGGTCAAAGTTGGAGAGGTTGTTGACGAAAGTGACAAAGGAGTTTTCGAGGCAAGGTGTTTCGATCAAACATGAAGATATATTCATGCCATGGGACGACGCAACGGGAAAGAGCAAGGGGTACCGTTCTTCAACCTGCTCTTTGATTGCTGTCTAAACCTTTCAGGTTTATGTTTGTGGAATTCCGCCACGTAGATGACGCAAACCTTGCAATTGCGGCTCTGAATGGGCACCCGTTCGATGCGAGACACACCTTCAGAGTCAACTACTTCACTGACATTGAGCGGTATGCGGGTATGGATGAGGCATATGTTGAGCCAGAACTCGAGGACTACGTTCCACGGGTAAGTCGATTTTTTCTTTGTCCTCATCAAGTTGTTATTTTGTGAATTAGGAACATCTCCGCGCTTGGCTTGCAGACCCTCAAAGCCGTGATCAGTATGTAACATATCGAGGAGAGGAGGTTCTGATTAATTGGCATGGTAAACCCTCGCAGTGCGAAGTTGCATATAAAGCCGTGCGTATTTTACTTGCTGAAGAGGCTTAGTGTTGAATGCTTTTCAGGATTGGAAGGACTTTCTCTACGTAGCGTGGTCTCCCTTGGGGACCTACATTGCGACTTTGCATCGACAAGGAGTACGTTTATGGGGAGGTTCCTCTTGGAAGCCTCAGCAGCGGTTCGCCCATCCGATGGTGAAGCTCATCGACTTCTCTCCCTGCGAGCAATATCTTGTCACCTGGTCTAACGAGCCTATCGTTGTCCCAGAGGGAGCTTTGCAAGGTCCCCAATACTTCTCGCCTGACGATGAAGGCAACAACATTGCTGTATGGGATATAAAATCAGGCGATCTTCTCAGAACATTTTCCACATTTAACGACAATGACGCTCCATCATCGAAGAAACAAATGCAATGGCCCGCCCTGAAATGGAGCCCCGACGATAAATTTGTTGCACGCATCACTCCAGGGCAGATGATCAGTGTTCATGAACTTCCGGGCATGTATCTCCATGGCAAAAAAAGCTTAAAAATTGAAGGCGTAGTCGACTTTGAGTGGTGCCCACAAGGTGACAAGGATAAGGAGGACCTGGAAAAGGACGCTAAAGTGATGGCGAGTGGCTCTGCTGCCAAGACTTCAAAAAAAGCTCGCGAAAACATGCTGGTTTACTGGACCCCTGAAGTTGCAAATCAGCCCGCGCGCGTTACCCTCCTTGGCTTTCCCAGTCGCACCATTTTGCGACAGAAGAATTTGTTCAACGTCACCGAAGTAAACCGCAAGCTGCTTTCAAATGGTCCGTACTAACGACGATTTGCCATCAGTGTAAACTCTACTGGCAAAATCAGGGCGATTTCCTTTGTGTCAAGGTGGATCGACATACTAAAACTAAGAAATCGATCTTCTGTAACTTGGAAATTTTTCGGATGCGTGAAAAAGATTATCCTGTTGAAGTTGTCGAACTAAAAGGTTCCCTCCTTTCATCGTCATTAACAGTCTCCCTGATTATGTGTGCAGACACCGTTCTGGATTTTTCTTGGGAGCCGAAGGGCGAGCGATTTGCCATTGTTTCCAGCTCTGATCCTAACCTTGGCAATCCTGGGCCGGGAGTGACCACAAAAACGGATGTTAGCTTCCATCAGTTGGAACACGGCAAGAATTTCAAACTCCTACGTTAGTGGTGTTCGCATGAGCTAATAGCTGGTGACTTATTAACCTTGTTTGGTAGGTACTTTGCCTGGAAGGACTAGCAATGCAATCCGATGGTCCCCGCGAGGGCGACATGTGGTTCTTGCAACTGTTGGATCCTCTAGTAAATCTGAGTTGGAATTTTGGGATTTAGACTTCAATTCGGACGATGCTAATCGAAGAGAGGGTCAAAACACAGACTGGGGCAGTGGTATCCAACTCCTCGGAACTGCCGACCACTACGGTGTAACCGACGTTGAATGGGATCCCAGTGGCCGTTATTTAGCCACGAGTGCTAGTGCATGGACACATACGGTATGTTGGTCGCACCAAACGCGCGCTTTAGCTCAAGCCTTTTCTCCCTTAGCTCGAAAATGGCTTTGCAATTTGGGACTTCCGTGGACAAGAACTAATAAAACAAATTCAAGACAGATTCAAACAATTTATCTGGCGACCACGCCCGATCAGCCTATTAACAAAAGAAAAACAGAGACAAGTTCGCAAGAACCTCCGAGAGTACAGTCGTGCATTCGATGAAGACGATGCTGCAGAAGAGAGCAGTGTCAGTGCGGAACTCATTGCCCTTCGTAAACGACTCGTGGATGAGTGGAACGCATGGCGCACACTTCAGAAGAAGGAACTAGGTGAGCAAAAGAGCTTGAAAAGTCAGACTGCGAGCGAGGAAAAGGAGGAAATCGAAGTTTGGGTTGACGAAGTCATTGAACAGATAGAAGAGGAGGTTGTGGAATAGCGGAATGACATACTTTGTACATCAGACTCGGAAATTGCTCGAAAACGCTCAGAGCAAGCTCCAAGATAAGTGGCACCGAAAACTCCCACGGGTTTGGCCGAGTAATAGAGACCCTAAGATCTTATCAGATAAACCTGTTACAACTACAGGCGTCTTCGCTAGGGTTTATGGCGCCTTTGAGTACACCATCTTCGGTTTTATGGGCCACAGGTGAATGAACGTCCTGTTGACGTCGAACAGGTGCTGACGTGTCCCGCAGCGTCGAAGGAGTGGGTAATACAGCCTAAGCCTAAACCTGGCCGCAAACCGAAGACCGACCTAACAGTTAAAGCTGACAGCGAGGTACGTGCATTTGGCATGTCTTCGGATGAACGTCCAATTCAATTGGAATGCATATTATGTAGTCGCAAGATGAAAAAGGTCGGCGTGTACAGAACAGGTGGGTGAATCTTCTAGTGGTCAGACTGCACGGTTTCTAACTGCAGCGTAGAGCCGCGCAACGTGCATTTCGTGAAAGAAAGCAGGCTCAACTTGCTGAATTACAGGCTCGGATTTTGACCTACGAGCAAGGCGAAATTGATCGCAATGTTGCCTTACAAAATATTGCAAAACGGCTAAAGGAGGAGAATGAAAGGCTTCAACACGAAAATCAGGCACTAAGGGAGAAACTTGCAAGGGTAGAACAAGCAGAATTTTTCAGAAGTGGAAACGATAACGACAGGAAGAGGGGTCGAGATGGTTCGTCCTTGACGGTTGGGTCTTCTTCCGTTCTTCACTCAAGAAAGAAGTCTCGCAAAATATCTGACACTTCTTTGGAGAACCTCGGAGTGTCATCTGAGGCGCGCAATTCTGTATCCTCGTCGCTAGTATCGTCCCCGGATGCCAGTGAAGTACCCGACGATCGAATTTCACCCCTGGCGTATGTATTGCAATCCGAATCCAGTCCCACTCCCGTCAACAATATCCTATCCTACTCATCCGGCGCAAAACTTATGGATATGGAACATCTCGATGACTTCTCGAGGTTCAATTGTGGTTTCTGTAATGAAACCACACCCTGCGTTTGCCGGGAAATCGCCCACCACATTGGTGATGGAGAATTGATCAAGGCCGAAGGTTTTCCTGAAGAACAGCTTAGCGCTCAATCAAGTCGTTCTGCCTCCCATCCAAGCCCGCAGGTCTCGTCGATTTTAGAGAATCTACCTGCTTATCAACCCGCTGTCCCTCTTCGGCGTCGATCGAGCGGTAATTCAGCCAAAAGTCCCATCTTCCCAATACACTCGCAATTGCAGCGCGCAGCTGAACCCACGTGCTCGGGAGACCCTTCCAACTGCATGGCCTGCACAGACGATGATTTCGGCAAGGCGTTTTGCTCAGCAGTGGAGGTCACGATGTCTGGGACTGCCTGCGACAATTGTAGTAGCCGACCTCTTCAAGGCGCTCCTAGTGACTTTAGTTTTTCAGCGTCAAGCATGAGCTGTTGTGGGAATCCTCTTGGCTGCGAAGGATGTATCGTGCCCACACCCCGTTCTTCTGTGGGTTCAGACTCGTCTCCTCTCGAAAAGACGTTGGAGTATATCCCAACGAACGATGCGTGGCGTCAATTGAAAGCCCATCCGAACGTCGAGTTTGCGGATCTGGCCCTCCTTGCAGAGGTGGTAGCCAGCAGATCCAAATGTACTGGGCCAAGAGTGGTCATTTCACCTTCGCCCCCCGATCGCTTTGTACCGGAACGAACGCCTTTCTCTCAAGTGGGGGGAGCACAGACGTCCACTGATCAAGCTCTCTCTCAACGTGGCACTCAAACAGTCTTTTTAGAGTGTGGGCGGAAGCGGGTCCGCGAGGTTCGCAAAGAGGCTGTCCAGGATGCTTTGCGTTTGCTGGACGCGAAGTTCACTATTTAAGTAGATGTTTAATAGAGGCATCGTTTACTTAGCCGCTAGGATTTCATAAAACTGGAGTATGGGGGGGGACCTTGGTTGCAATAGATGTCCGCAGATAGATTTTATTCTGGCACCGAACTGAGTACCGAGAGATATGCCGTGTAAACATACTACATACTACGCCTGGCTACGAGCTCTCGCCGGACGTTGTAGGTTACGACAACGCTTACGGTTAAGTGGTCTTCGTCTGTCAATGAACCATAATTTAGTCACGTCGACCAGCTCGCGATATATCTGTAACCGTTGCTCCTTAGACACTGTCGACCTGGTGTTCGAAGGGTTGGAGTGAAGAGAACGGAAATGGGAGGCTAATTCCTTCAAAGGTAAGTCGCGGATCGATGCTGGAAAGGATTGGATGTAAGGCCACAGAGTGATCAGCACTTTTCTAGCCATGGAACCTGACCCCACAGCGTAAAATGCGCTTGCCACCGCATCAATGGACGGAACGTCGGGCACGATTTCTGACGCGACCATATCCTTGAAAACCTGGAGGGAAAGACGGGGATTCCCCTGGCGGGCGTGACCGACAATGAGAATGGTGAACATGACGACATTGGGTTTGATTCCGGATTGTTTTGCCGAATCCAGCATATCAACAGCAGCTTCGAGATCACCTGAGCGTGCGTATCCTTCCATCAGGGCACTGAAATGATATTCGTTTGGATGTATTCCACGAGCCAAAAGGTCGCTGAAGATCTCTCGAGCCGAGTCCATGTCTGATTGTATCACCGCATCATGTCTGATGCGCAAGGCAAGAGCTGGTCCATCACTTCTAACATCATGGTGAGCCAAGGACGCTAATATGGGTCGTGCTAGATTCTGACGCCCCAAATGTGGGACCAAATCAACCCCAGCAAGTGGGTCCATTGAAGACGTGGCCGTAGAGAGCCACAATCGCTTCCCCGCTGGCTGACGTTGAGTCTGGGAGTATTTGCGAGCAAACGCATTCCAGCCGGAACCGTAAAGCAGATATTTCTCATGGCGTAGAATGCAACTTACGAGGATGTGCAAGTGCCGGAGAGTCGGGACGATAGAGGGTGATAAAAGTTTCCGCAAAACTCTTAGAAGATCCCTCGGTCTAGCCTTTTCAACCTGATTTAGATGCGCAAGAAGAATCTCAACGGTTTTTTCGTTTGGGGCGACGTTCGTAACCTTCATGATCCGTAAAATGTGTTGTACACACCCCAATCCATGGGCCGATAATAAGCCTTTGAGAAGGGAATTGAAGACATGCACGTTGGGTAAAACCCCAGCAAAGTGACTCTGCAGTGTGGTAGGTGAAGTTTGCGACATAAGCGGCTTGAAAAGCCGCGTGTATTGCTTATCGCATACATCTGCGACCAGCTGGACCGCGGCGGGTCCTTGCTTTGCCGCGAAGTAAACGTTTATCAGAGACGCCATAGTTCTTGGGGTTGGGGCAATGTCCTGCGAAACCATTGCGTCCAAAAGTCGAAGTGCGCCTGAAAGATCGGAATGGCTGACTCTGTGATTGAGAAAATTTTCAAACGTTGCAGCATTGGGTTTGAGAGGTCCAAACGACGGAGGCGGGGGTAAACGTTTTTCGACGCCAAATGTGCCATCGCTGCCAAAGACGACCCCGAAGATAGCCTCGATGTCTGCCCTGTGGAATAGAGATAAGATTCGGTGGGTATTGTAAAGATCTTGTGAGTCTAGGTGAGTACGTATCAAGTTGTTGGCAACGCTTACGGCCACAACGGGATGCAGAAGAGATAAGTTCGCTAGGGCCCCCTCTTCTATCTGAGGGTTCGTACCAAATGATCGATAGTAATTGGCGATCGTGGCATGGGTAGACGCGTCTGGAGGGAATCCAGCATTGTCCATTGCATGCAAACAGTCCTTGGCTCGAGCGAGGTCGTGATTTCGAATATGCCCAGACAGGATAAGGTGGAACGTTCGTCTGGTTGGGGTAATATGATGCCTTTTGAAGTCTTCGAGAACCGTATGCAAGAGGTTGAAAAGTTGGACCTCTGTCAATGCACGAGCACGCCAATTCAGCAAGCGAGAAGTGGTTCTTCCGGTGTGTTGTTTTCCCTGTGCGACGAGAGCGAGGACTAGTCTCCACTGTTTTGATAACGCAAGCTGGAATGTTGCACATTCGTAAGCATTCTGCTTCATGGAGCACCCGAGGTGGTGGGCGAGTCTCAAAAGGTCGAGCGACCGTTGAGGGGTCCGAGAACAAGCAAAATTTTCTGCCAACTTTCGAACGCTGTCCTTTTCTAACAGAAATTCCGACACAGAAGGATTGGCGAGGATGGCGTGGATGGACTTTGGGATCTCCCTGTGGGCGGCGTATTTGGTTAGCACATCCTTGATTAGGGCAACAATCTTGGGAGGCATGTCTATATTGGGGACTTTGCGTTGAAAAAAAGCGTTGTGATTGAGGGGCCTCCTCGACGTTGGAGATGCGCGATCCGGATGAGCTTGGTCCGGGCGACGGGATGCATTGAGGGCTACTGTCCGACGAAAAGGCATGAGTGGTGGCCGCTGAACGGAAGGGTCGCATCTTTTGAAAAGCACAAAATGATCGAGATGTTGCCTGCGAGCAAGAACGACGCTCTTGAGCATGGACAACGCTCAGATTATCCTGTTTTGAATTAGTTTGATATTAGAGGATGTAAGTAACAGACAAACCTTGCTTTAGCAGATATCAGGGTACCTGCGCTATTCGCAGCATAAAAGCTTGCGTTGCGGCTCCCCCCAAAACGACCAACGATAGAAAAGCTTTCCCAATGCTCGTTGTTGTCAAATACGACTGTCCATTCCCTTTTTTCTCCGCCACGACATCACGTGGTTGTTTTGACAACGGCACCAAGGTACACTACTTAGTAAGTACTATCACTACGCTCATCCCATTAAGTCCTAAATGTAGGCTATGGTAGCTGCTTTAGTACAAGCTCCCGTCCCCGTCTATTTCGACACAAGAATCTCGTTCTCCGTGATGTGAAATGTAAATTTGCCAACCTGATTTGCACTGGAGGTGCGAACCGCGCCATGGAATATCTGCGTCTCTTCTGAGGGTTTTCCAGGGTGCTCCGCCGAAAGTGTAATATGGTGGGTCAATGGAAATAATTCAAAATCCTTCGTTGACCCAACAAACGGGGAGGGATATGGGTTTAAATGTTGGTTGAAGAATCCAGTTAACGGTTTATTTTGTGCGACGAGGCCCCAATTTGTCATGACCGTAATCGCACCATGAGAGAGCCTAATTTCTTGCAGCTTCGATAGAATGTGGTGCAAAGGATTTGGATTTAATCTGGGATCATGAAGTGGTGGACCAGATCGCAATTGTTCGACAGTCAAGCGGTCTCTCCAACAGAAAGTGCTCACGGAATCTAGTGCAATCAATCCCAAATCGAGTTCTCGGAAATGAGTTGCATGGTACTTTGGCAGATGGGCGATGGTTGCCGCAAGCTGATTGGAAGATGTCGGACGGAAAATGTGCAAACGGTCAAGACACTTCGCAGCGACCAGTGGGACTGCATGGGCTGGAATTAGACGCGTCAAACGATTTGAGAGCAGTTGCTTGAACCGACGAATATCGAAGGCTTGGTCCATGTCTAAAACGTACGCGACACGTTCCCAGCCGCCAAGTGGGGCAAACAGATGCGAAGACGGCAACAGGCAGGTCGCCAAAAGAAAGTAGAGGAGATGTGTTTTGCCAGACCCTGGAAGACCTTGAATTTCGATTACATCTCCTCGATTTAATGAAGAGTAGGGGGATGCATGGTGGAAAGGGGCTGAGAAGAAGTGGGCATCGAGAGCTGGTATCAGAGTTGAACCCGGAGGTGCTGCTGGAGAGGTATGTTAAATAAGTGCGGAAATCGTAGACGTGAGGCTCACTTTCATATTTCACGGCTGAAAGTAACTGTTAATGGTCGTTTCGATGCTGCGCCGAGTGGTTACTGTCGCTTACCTGGATCAAGGACTCTGACCGAATTTCAGCAAGGACTCTGGTGTCCATTGATAAATTGATTACAACCAAGACAGCCGCCACGACCTCTCAAATCACAGCGACGTCTCTTACTACTGGGTCGTGCTCTCAACTATCTCATTTCCTCAAAGTCTCTTCCCTCGCCGTGGAAGGCCTTGACGCTAAATTACACATAGAAACCACCACGAAACGACCTTACATAACGACTTACTACACGCCGTAACATGGCGACGACCTCTCCAAAGACCACGACAAGGCGCTCTCCACCATCTGCTTCCCCAACACCATCTCCCATCACTCGTGGTGCTACTGCACGTTCAGCTGCCTCGCCGCGCACCCCTTCTACCCTCACTCCTGCTGCGTCGCGTCGCCCTCTTTCTAAAGGCCCAGCAATCAATGGAGAGACCCGCGAATTCCTCTCAGCATCCCTCAAGCAGGAAACTGATCAGAAGGAACAGGTGTGTCCTTTGTCTTGTCAACTCGCCTTGCCACTCATAACAAGACATAGCTCCTGGTTAAATTGCAGAACAGGGATCAAACCATCTCAGGGCTCACAACAGACAATGACAATTTAACTTCGGCTCTCAATGCTGCAGAGGCGAGAGTCAATGAGCTATACGCTGAGCAGTCTCGGTCCGAGATGGAGCTTGCCCAACGAATAGATATATCAGAGAAGCTGAGGGCACAAGTCCGTGAACTGGAGAAGGAGAAGAGAGATTTACAACGAAGGTACAATGAGCAGGTTAGATCTCCCCCTCAAAGGCATATTCTACGTGCGTTAATTTTTGCTTAGACTGCAACATTTGAAGCAGAACGTCAAGCCTTCTATGACAACGAACAACACCTCAAGTCTCGCATACAATCACTTACTCAAGCTCTCAAACGCTCTGGTCCTCCACTTACCCCTGTTGACACAGAAAATGCAGAACCCGATTCAGAGGTTGAGCTGGACTCTGAGGAAGATGCTCTACGATCTCATACCGACGTTGAGGTTCCACCCCAAGATATTAACGATCCAGAAAGTGAACCCGCTGAAATGACCGCTTTGAAACTAGAACTTTCTACCCTGTCTACTTCATATTCGTCCCTTCAAAGCACTCTTGTCTTGTTGCAAACACAGCTCGTTGATCTCAAACGTGTCAACCAGGAGCTACAGGAGGAAAACGAAAGTTACATGATCCTCTTGCGGGAAAAGACCCTAAGTGGCCAATTTGATCTCATGAAACAGGTCGGTGGAAGCAGGATCAGTGATGATGAAGATGATGACGACGACGACGAAGACCAAGACGACGGCAGTGCTGCTGATGTAGGCAGTCTACGAAGTATTGGGCGAAGCACCCTTGACCGAGTTGACGAGGAATCAGGGGAATCTCTCCAGTATCTTCACGAAAGTGTTGACTTGGACCAAGGATTACTATCTTCATCTCGTAGTTCTCGCCACCCGAGCCGACAAGGCCGGAAACGTACTTTGTCGAACAACGCACCGCGGGGGGAATCTCTCGCTGACTTGCCCATTACTGGCCCAGGACTCGATCTCGCGGCAGAGCTTGGCCGCGCAGAGAACAAAGACATCCTTACCAGCGACAGTATCGATGATCGAGACCGCTCTTTACCTAAAGGAAAACGAAGCAAGAAAGGAACTGACGGGCGGAAGGTTTCTGGTTCTGATCCACTATTGCCGGAGGCTGGCAACGACATTGACGCCTTGCGAACCGAAGTCAAATCCCTCAAAGATGCCAATAAGGCATTGTCTTTATACGCATCCAAAATCATCGACCGGATCATTGCGCAAGAGGGATTTGAACATGTTCTAGCAATTGATTACGACAAGGAGCCACGGACACCGGCGACAGCAGGACCACATTCAATTCCCCCGAAACTCCCGCCAACTCAGCCTAAACCTCGACCGCAATCAGTTATTGTTGGTCGCTCTACATCTAACCCCAATCCTGCGATCAACACTCAATTGACATCACCAAACCTCACCAAACCGCCGAACCCCAAAACTCAACGACGTTCCATGTCCTTCGACTGGAAATCGTTTTCTTTTGGCGAGAAGAAGGTAGAGCCGAATCTTCGCCCTCTCACGTTAAAGCCTGGCGCTAGTCCCGTGACAGGTGCACGGAAACTTGAGACTTTTGAGGACGAAGAAGACAGGAAAGAAAGAGAGCGTTTGAATGCCACAATGAAACTAATGGGCATACAACCTGCTGCCCAATCTCCATTGCATGCCCCTCCCACTTTAAATAGGGAGGCAAATAACAACCGTCGCATTTCGCTGTTTGGGACGCGAAGCAATTCGGAGGCTTCATCCCATCAATCTACCTCCTCTTCGGAGCTGGCCGGAAACGCTCATGTTGGACTAGGATTTTCACCTGGTCTTACTCATGAAGCTCTAGAACGCGCTGAGGCAGAGAATTCCCTGGCTGCGCTCGATGCGCACGAAAGGGGCCTCAGTGCAGATATCGCGCGAGGTGCGAGTGGAGGTTTCACAGAAATTACCCCAAGAAGCCTCGGAAGAAGAAGCCGGAGAAGTGCTGGAGGCAGTGGCAGTACAGTCTGGAGTGCTGGGATGAGTGGGGAAGCGGGCGAAGACTAGCTCGCGACTTCTTGGTTAAGCGGATTTATACCCGCCTTTAAATTTGTGGCACAACTGTATTCTTTTGTTGGTTGTTATAATATTATATCGGAACCAAGTACTAAGTCTAGAATGTTTACCTCCCTGCTAAAACAATTCGGACTTAGGCGTCCACGTTAAGTTCTGGCACTTGATGTTGGAGTAGTGTATTTTGTGCATGAATACGGATAGTCTCAAATGGCGAAGATGAAAATTCTGGGTTTTGAAGGATAAGTGGATGGCGGAGCCGCTCCAACTCACTGTGAACAGAAGCGATTCCTTCGTGAGATGCAGCATCCTAGTAGACTGGAAATAAATTACAGTGCGCGCTTTCGCTGTGATTTTGAGAGGGTTGATCCCTTGCCCTCACCAATCATGCTTCGTTTCGTATTGCGTTTTGCTTTCGGGCCACCTGCAGACTGGTCAACTTCAGTAGGTTGCTTCGTAGGGTCGTCATCTTTTTCAAGGGCGGCGATAGCGGTCTGCATTTGTGAAAGGCCACCCGCGATTTGCTCCTTGGCTTTGCGCTTTAGGCGTCGATTGTGGGATTTAGAATATGGCGAGTTTGCTTGCCCAAACTCTAGATGAAAAAAGTCATACGGGTTCAAAGCCCAGCATGTGTGATCTCGTACTTTGGAGAAATGCTTCACGCCTCAAGTTTTGTTTATCTTTCTTGCTGAGGACCTGGCTTGTCGCCGGGTCGGGGCTAACCATCAACTGGAGAATCTCGTCGCCCTATATCAAAGGTCAAGGTATTCTGCGCCGCTCGTACTGTGAAGCCTTTCAGCGTACGCACCGGGACATCAGCGGCCGTACCAACTGTCACTGGCTTAACTGCATTTTCTTGGACTGCATATTTGCGCTTGCTAAGCTGCACCGACGGTTGATGGCGAGTAGCACGAGAAGGGCGTTCCTTGGGCTTACACAATTTGTTAGAGGTGACAATGACAGATGCACAAGGGGTCAGGCTCACCATAGACTCGTACTTATATCGTCTGCACACTCAAGTATAATATTCATACACAAGATCGATCTCATAATGCAGTGCTTGGCTTGCTCCCGCAGGAATAACAGATATACAACATCTAAGTTACGGCGCCATGCTCTAGTCTACGATTGTCCTCCGTTTCACTACCATTTCCCAATCCCAGCGCAATAAAACTGATTAAGACTAAAGCCGCTCCAAAGATCACTTGGGCGTGAGTATCTTTTCCACGAATAAAATCCCCAAGTACCGCAAGAGGTATCGTAAGGCTGAGGCCGACCGTAACGACGAGAGGTGTGGTCTTCAACATTGCCAAAACGTAGAGATAATCGCTGGAAAGCGTGATCGCCATCTAACGTCTGAATTAGCCCTTTTCTTTGAACATCTAATATCGACCACGGCTTACGTTGATCAAAACTCCAGTCAAAACCTTGCCACCTCTCGGTAGCTCAAAAGTCTCTCCGCCGGTCAGGTGGAGGACAAGACCGACGGGCCAACACATCACCACGCTAAACAGTCCAACAAATCCAAAGAAGAGCTGCATATCAACTCTGGATTCGGATTTGATGCGGACCTTGAGTAAAATGACATATAACGCGTAGAAGAGCGCAGATATCAGTGCAAGCGTGTCTCCCAGGATAGGATGTGGTAAGCGATGGGTCACTTGATGTAAGCTGGAGCGTGAAGCTGGACCAGAAGGTTGTTGCGAAGATTTGGAATCGGACAATGACACTAACACGACCCCGGTAAAGCTATAATTGCGCGCCATAAATTCGGCGGCAAGTAGAGCACGGAACTGCAGTTGAAACCTACCTGGTAAACACGGCAGCCACCTTGATGATTGTCAATTTTTCCACTCGAAACAAACGACCAATTCCAAGTGTAAAGAAGCCTAATGGGCGCTTCATCGAGTGTAATCGTCATATTAAAAAAGGAGCGTACCACTCGTACTGGAAAGCACCGTCGCGCTCGCGACACTGGTATAGTCTAGAGAAGCGTTGACAGTCCAGTTTGCAACGAACCATAATAAACAAAAAACAAGGGCGAGATGACTCGTTTCCTTGGCCGTTAAGGCGGGTAGGTTACCCTCCGATATTGGTATTTGGTCAGCAGAATCTAGCTGCTCAAAATGAGCCCAATGAGAAATGAGGGATGCATGAAGTTGTCCCCTACAACTTCACTGTGGCTAGGTTCAGTTGCTAATGGCTGATAATCTTCAGCCAGCCTGATATCATCACGGAACCGGTTTATTTTACGACAATGACGGACGCTGAGGCATACTCACCCTTGTGGTTTGAGATCGCCTGACCCTCCCTTGAGACGGCTCCACCACCACTTCCCAAGCCACGGTATAAGATAAAAGGAGAAGGCACTGGTGTTCATGTATGTGACGCTGCACGGTAAATGAGAGTCCATGCTAGCTGAGCGTGATGATTGGAACGAACAAGAACGGCTTCTCGTATCCACCCTCAAAAAGGTCCTATGGGCAATGGATGCTAAGGTGATTGGAGGGAACAAAAAATCACAGCTTACCTGGGTTACAAAGTTTGAGGAGGTCCAAAGAAAAACAACCACCAGAAGCAATACGAGTCCAAGGGCGTAGTTCTTCTTGTCGAGTCGGGCCCGGGCAACAGAGTTGTCCTGCGAGACCCCAACACGAATGGGGCCGCGGTCGTGAGTTGGTGTTAAGGTATCCATCTCGAGGTCAGCGTGGTTGCCAGTAGGCATTCATTGGGATTTGAGAGGGATTTTGATTTGGAAGTTGTTTGGAAGCGACTCGAGAGAGGAAGGTTGAGGTCTCGTGATTAATCAAGTTAAAAATAGTACATATACGCAGGATTTATGCTAAGTGGTCGGAGTATACGTTGAAGGATGATATTTAACCTTTTCAACGACACGAAAAAGACTGATCACAAGGTTCATGCAGTATGCGATGAGTCCAACGCCAACGAGACAGATTAATGATAGTTGGGCGTCGCATATTCGATCACCAATAAAACCCTCGCTGTTTGGTATGTCACTCGGAGGTCGGGGAAGTTTGTTGTACCAAGCTGTGCTCGAAACCGAGGCACAGGGAATCAGAGACGTGAAGAAGTTATCGAAACACAGGGAGAGTGCTGCAGACCATGCGCAGATGAATAAGACTTCAGACAGGGTGTGAGCCAGTTTGGCAGATGTGCGCCAGAGCCCCAATGGACGGCCAAAATATTCGAGCTTGTCAAAGTGGTAAGCTCAGTGACCCATAGGAAAGTGTCATCAACCTACGTAGATCGCTATCATCACATGCACAAGAGTCAAGGGGGCGAAAATGATGACTACGGTTCTGGAAGCGTCGCTTCAGTCCGCTATTCAGGTGACCGGGTTTGATGCTTACGGTGAGCTGCCTACGGCTCCCATTGCATTATGCTTGAACTCGATCTCTCTTATTCGGATGGCCATGCCAAGGGCAGCGGTCGTAAACGCAATGTTTATAAAGCGGAACAACTGAAAGGACAAGTCGTTGATACGGGCGTTGAAAGGGACGGCATGAGCTTACCAGTGGTACATATGTGTTGGTTAGAATGAAATTACGAAGCCGCCGTTTCCTTTTGCCCCAAAGAGAAACATCCTTGTTACTTTCCTCATCTTCATCATTTTCATTCTCAAACGGGTAGGAGTTCTCATGATTGCGTAGCGGCCCCTGAGCTGCTAGACGGGAGGACCATGGTATATCCCAACCAGGAGTCACGGCGTGAGCTAAAGTATATGGCGCGGAAGGCTCGGATGGGAGGCGAATAACCGGTGGGATATGCTCTCCAGGATCGGTCTCTTTTTCCTTCCCTTTACGAGTGAAAGACGCTCCTTCACGTGCGCTCGCAGAAGTGGGAAGCCATGACATTGAGCGATCCCTGAAATTCCTCCTGACGGGCCTAGGAGGGCCGGTGTCGATATCAAGGGAGGGGTCGCGTACTCGTGGGTGGGTAAAAGTCCACCATCTAGACGGTGGATTGGAGGCATTGGATTGGAGTGACGCAATATCTGATTGACGGAATTCTGGATGAGCGCCATGTATAGTGTGATCTGCTTTCTCTGTAGGTGATGGAGGCTCGTCGCGAGCCCATGCTATAGAGTGTAGGGGGTTTCAGACTTTTGATATGATTCTAGAGGGTAGAAACGAACGAGGAGAAGTAACGACTGTGGTGACCGGAGGTGGTGGGCGACGTGCGCTGCGTAGACTAGTGGACTGGTTTAGACTTGTGGTTGAGGGAATAGAAGGAGGTTGGTGGCGAGAAGAGCTGGACATGGGTGTAGCTTGTATAGAATTGAATTATTTGCTATTACACAGCTCTCGCTTCATCCACCATGGAAGAATCCATGATCCCGTCACTCTCAACAGGCATCGTTGGCTCTCGCTTCGTCTCTCAGGACGAAGTAGACACAGCAAGAGCGAGACGAGACGAGCAGTGGAAGGCGGCCTATGCTCGGTAGGTTGCTTTTTTTTTCGGAACATTTGCCGCTCACCTCTCTTCTAATTAGATTGGGTCAAGAACCGCCACCTCAGCAACAAGAAGATTCATACGATGGAAGGAGTCTGGCAGAAGTGAGTAATTCGCTGCGGTTCATTATTCTCTTTGTTGTATTCACTTCCTTCTGTTGGTCTCGATATAACTAACGCATAGAAACTCGCTGCAAATCGGGTGCGTCTGCACCTCTTCTCATACTCTCTAGTCCCTCAACCACCAGCAGATCGCAAAACAAGAAGAATGGGAAGAAAAGACCAAGCTCGGTGCGAAATATTCGTCGCACGTTGTTACGTTTGCCTGCTAACGCAACGACCTCGTAGCCAACCAATTCAGAGCTTTGGAAGAGGATGAAATTATGTTTCTCGATTCTATCAGAGAACGACAGGAAGAAGAGGAGCGTCAACGTAAAGAAAAAGACGGCGAGGAAGTAAGGGGCTTCAAAGAGTATGCTTCTCGTTCTCCCAGCCCATGTTCTTGATTTTGATTCATGCGATAGGGCAGTAGCTGCTCGAGCAAGCGCTGCTAATAATCCTCCTCCGATACTGGGTCGGGTTGCGGAGTCAGCGCCACCTCTAAAGCCTCTACCTGTTACGAAAAAGGACCCGAAGAAAGTATTAAAGGGTGTCGTTGTCAAAAAGAAGACAAAGACACCAATAGCCTCAGCTTCGTCGGCGGCTTCAGTGAACATCCGGAAGGGGAAGGACAAAGAGGGAAAAGCCAAGGGTGTTCAAGAAGATAGTACGGAGCCAGATTCGAAGCGTAGAAGGATAACTTGATTTGCATCCACGACACTTATCACATTTTGTGCTTCTAATTAAGTTACTGCATACGTTACAATTTGCATCAATCATATATCTAACCCCAGAGTTATCGCCGAGAAACGGGACTGGGAGTAGGTGTCCATCGAACACGGTTCAGTTCCCTCTCCTTTCCTGCACGTCCGTGCCAGTCAGCCACTCTCTCCATGGCCTCGGCTCGTTTCGCAGCTGCAGCACCCATTGTGCTCCGTTCTAAAAGCCTCCTCGCAGCTGGAGTCAGATTCCCTGCCGCTTCCGATCGTCGAGGCGTCCATGAAGGGGGCGGCATATTGCCCTTCCTAGTAGCAACTGAGATTCCTGGAGGGCGTCCATGTTGTCCCAAGCCTAACAAACCAGCCTTTGCGCGTAAGCTTTTGGACGCATTATTCGACAACCTATGGGAAATAGCTTCCCGAGAGGATATCTCAGGAAGGTGGAAAGGTGTACTGGGAGCTGGGAGTGGATCTTCGCCCTGGGATATGATGCGAGGAGTTGCATCTAGCGTACCCCATGTCATTAGTTGCTTCATGGCGGCTGGCCCAAGTTCAGATGGGGTGGGTGAAGGAAGGGTGGGCACAAGAGGGAACCCCTTTGCGGTAGGCAAACTGGGGTGATCTGGATTAAGATGAGAAGAAAATGCTGGAAAAGTAGTAATGAACATACACGGAGTGCCGGTGATCGCTGCTTTGATTCGACTGTGTGTCGGGCTTGGAGGGGCCGACGAACGAGGAGTCGAGATTTCGTGTTCGTGTTCTTGGAGTCGTGTATTGCCATATTTGATGACTTTGGGGTGACTCGGGGCAGATGACAGCGGTTGATGATATGGAGAGACATCTGCGTCTGGAGGAAACATCAAGGAGTTTCGAGCCTGAAGGAAGTGTTGAATGCCCACCGTCAGTGAGAGAAAAGTAAGACACGAACCTTGAATGTCCAACCATCTACGCCTGCTGAGCGAGTATCTTTCTTTGGAGCCATCACATCGACCTGCTCTCCCTGTGGCTCTTCCTCATTATCCGCTAAGATTAATTCCTTGCCCGTATCCTTCTCGATATCTTCTTCTGCCCCTTTATCCGTTTCAGTGCCGTCTGTCAATAGGCCTGCTGGTGTTGGTGTCTCAATCATAAACTTCTCTCTCACTCCGGGTACGGGAGGTGCCTCAATAAGCATTTTCTCCCTGTGTTCCACTAAACGTTCCTGTTGCGCTTCCACGCGCCTTTGTGCCTCCCATGCCCAGCCCCACTTTTCCTTTCGCGTTCTGTTCTCCTCGTCCAGTATTTGAGTAAAACTTGAATTGTCCTCGGAAGTGTATCGAGCTTGGAATGCATCCAGACTCAATTCAGTGTCATATTTCGGCCGCTTGTTTGGCGGTTCGCCCCTTGGTGTTCGTACCGGAGTTTGGGATGGGCCACCACCAAAAGGCGTCTGCGAGGGAGTCTGATATGGGGCTCTGCGTTTTGTGGAATTCAGCGGGGTGGCACTTATTTCCTCGAGACGAAGAACTGAGGCATTAATCAAGTGGGGATCTTGAGAGTGCAGAGCGTCCAGGTAGTCGTTCGTTGCGTCCAGATGGACCAAAGAAGGGAAAAAATCCCGGGCGATAATCTTGGAAAGAGCAGCTGTGTATTCATCTTCGTCGAGAACAAGTTGATGATTGAGCGACCGTTCTTCCAACGACGGCTTTGGTGTTGACATTACTGAAAGTTGGTGGAGGGGAAGCAAGTCACGCAGTGTCACACAAGTCTAGTTTAAATACAACAATCATTGTGCGTGAATACTTATAGGAAACGAAAGGAACGTAGATATTGCTTTACATAGGTACTATCATAATGTGTCGTCTGAAAAGGTATTATTTACCGCCTGTAGTACTTCCCGACCTTGGTCGTAAATCCTGGATATCGAGCGCGTTATTCGGTTCTCCACTGCTCTTCCTGCCAGATAGTCCGGTGCTGCTGGGTCGGCCTATCCGACTTTTCGACAAAGCCGCGTTTCCTGACGAAGTGGGAAGCTTTGGAGGTCGCATGGTAATATTTGTATGGAGTCCGAGAAAATCGGGGAGGGCTTTAACATCCTCCTTGGCGGGTTTGGTTGGGTTCGACCCCAAACGTGGCAACGGAGGCATCGTGGTCGGGCGTTCACGTTCCGTCGATGAAGGTGCATTGGTGCTTTGTCCCAATGAAGATCGCTTTAGTTGATTATATGGGTTAGGTGCTCCTGGACCCGTTGAACGCTTGAGCCCGAGACCAGAAGAAGGTGCATACAAACTACTACCCGACGGTACTGGTAAAAAGGTCGGGGTCGCAGGGCGTGAGGCTGTGGTTGGTGAGGAGGCCGCAGCGCTCAAGCTATTTGCAGAAAGGCGGGACTGAGGACGTCGCAATCCTGTGCTTGCAACGGTCTGCGCAAGGGAACCGGGTCTTCCCGTACTGAGCGACGGAGAGGGAGGCCGACCATTCGTAGAGGCGGTGGGGCGGAACGCTGTTGGTGCTGTTGGGCTGGACAATCTTCTTCTATCTTTCTGACGGTCCTTTTCCTTGTTATGTTGCGGCGAAGGTGAATCCTCCATGATCAAGACCCAGCCAGAAGAATCTCCTTTAACGTCCTTTCTTGACTGTAGTTCTGCTTCACTATCCTGGCTACGCCTCGAATCGACGCTTTTCCTTTGAGATTCCCAACTTGTCTTAGCTGTGGAAGCATTCGATACTGATGACGATGAACTGGCAGAGACTGGAATAGGGGACGGGGCCATAGTGTTGGCACGACCGGTGATGCTCGCCATCCTCAATCGCGGAACTCGAGTGTGAATTTTTTGTTCCAGATTTTTCACTCGTGCGCGCATTTCAGACACCATCTGAACTCCTTTATTCTTGGAAGACGTTCCCGTTATGGCGGAATTTGTGCTAATAGTCCGCAGTGGGGTTCCACGAGTGGTTGGAACCCTTGAGGTTGAGTTCGAAGTCGAGGTAGATGGGCTATACATGGACGGAAGTGTGATTGAACGGGAAATGTCAGACGTTTTCAGCGGTTGGAGAGGACTGTTCTTGTTCTGCTGGAAACTGGCGCGCTGGAACAGTGTAGATTGGAATGTTGAACGAGAAGAGGGTGTTGCTTTGGGAGTAGAGTACATGGAGTTCACGCTGTCAGAACTCGGCGACAAATCCGCAAGCTCGAGATCGGCAGGGGGTGCCGTTTTAAGGAGATTGTCATCCGAGGCTGTGGACGTAGCGGGGTACTGGACAGAAAGACTCTTCAACGAGCCGTTTTCCGTGGACAACGAGGCCAGCTGGTCCTTCAAAATTGAGATTTCTACATTGGCATCTGCAATTTTCAAGTTGAGAGGACTTAGATGATAAGAATGAGTGTCGGCAGATACCTCTTAATTCGTCCTTGAGTCGTTGGGTTTCTTCCTCCAGGTTGGCCTTCTCCAAGAGCTCGTGTTCTAATAGAATTTTCTCTTCTAGCGCACGAGAATACTTCGCCTCCATGTCAGCTAAACTTGAAGAGACAGCGCGTTCATTTCTTTCTAAATCGTCATTGCCCATCTCGAGCTCCCGCAAGTGAACTTTAGTCTGTTGGTGTTTTTGTCTTAATTGATCTAATTCACGTTGTAGGGATGTCGTCGTAGTGTTGTGGGTAGTTTGAAGGGACATAAACTTGGTCTAAGGAATGTTAAAGGGGCTTTCGCTTGATGAAAACTGTAGCCCACCTTCCATTCATCCCGTTCATTTTGAGATTTAGCCACTTTCACCTTCAGATCCTGCTGTGCCTTTTCCGTCCTCTGCAACTCGTTTTCGAGTTCAGCCTCCAGTTCCTTGCTCGCGTGGTGAAAGTCGTCGAGTTCAGCGCGGGTTTCAGCAAGCATGTCAAGTACCTTGAATAGATAGTGAGATAAAATGTAGTGTAAAACACCGAGTATACCTCATTGTACTTTTCCCGCCAATCCGTACTCGTTGCCGCGTAGCTAGGTGTGACAGCCATGTAAGGCAAGGCATTGAGAAGATGACGCGACTGACGTGCCTGATGCCATTATCCTCGAGAGAGGTATACCTATCCTTGCGGAGGGGATCCGTCGGGGACAAGACGGCGGTCATGAAAAGGAGGTACGGAAAGGAGGAAAAGTCTTGACTTGCTGCCCTACGTGGTTGCTAATAAACCAAATGTTGCCTAATTTAGCAAAGTCTGAAGAATTGGCCGATTTGCAAAACAACCCTTGCCCAGCCAGACCCTTACATAGGTCACTCGAGAAAAGAGGAAACGTGATACAATTGCTGAGAACAGTTGGCAAATTACGTTTATTTAGCTAGAGACCTTCTGGTTTAGCACACTTTCGTTTCTCAACTTTGCCAGTCTGCGGACACCGCATTTCCTGCCAGGAGATTGGTTCCAATGTGGCACCTGTCAGGGCAGTGTAAATCAAGGACAAGTGGAACGACAATGTTCTAACCAGCTTCGCTTGTCGCAAAAATTACACCAAGGTCATTCCTCGCGGTCGTCACAAAGTAGCTTCGGGTGTCACCTAGTGAAATCTTGACAGTCCTTGTCAGTCAGAAAAGTCATTCATCGCGATGAGTGACCCACCACTACGCCTCGCACAACGTCGCCGCCTCTAAAACAATCTCCGATCTTAACCTTGTCTTTTTCGGTGGCACGCACGTCTTGCGTCCTGATGACGCCCGTAAACTCCTCTCCAGCCGGAAGGGGGACATCATCAACAACGGATATGGAGATGAGGGCTTGCAACGGGGACAGACGGGTAACAGAACCGAGGACGATGGAATTGGGGGCAGGAGGACGAGGGCGAAGGCGAGGGATCGTCAGGGTCTAAGAGAGGCGGCATTGAGGCAAAAAAAAAAACACCAAGATTACTGGTGACGAACAGCGGCGTCCAAAGTGGGCACCCCAAGTAAACTTGCTCTTATGCATGCATCGCGGACATATACTCCTGTTCCAAGCTGAGGAGCGGGCCCACGAGAGGGCAGAACAACTGGTTGACCAGGAAGCAAAGTGGACATATCAATTATTTAATTATTTAATTACTTAGTACGCCGGTCCGCTCATACATTGTTTGTTTGTGTTTGGCCCACCCCTCCCCAACAAATCGTGACAGGGACCTGAATTGTAACTTTACCAAGTTTCCTTTCGCCGACTCTCTCCATGGCCTCCTCCTTGGCTCGCATTTTGTCGCGCGGTGTGTACGCGTTATTCACTTATGTTTTTTTACCTCTGACAACCACTAGGCTTCCATGTCTCGGCTCGAAGGCGTGCCCTTGCTCCTTTCAATATGCCAGCAATGAGCCCTACCATGACTGAGGGTGGCATTGCATCATGGAAGAAGAAGGAAGGAGAGGCTTTTTCTCCTGGGGATGTCCTTTTGGAAATAGTCAGTCTTTTTCAAGTTGTTTGGGTCTCATTCGCTCAGTCCAGTCTGCAGGAGACCGACAAGGCTACCATTGACGTCGAAGCCCAGGATGACGGAATTCTTGCTAAAATCATTGTAAGCGTAATATTCGTCTCATGCTCATAGTTTAACCCTCAATCTTCAGGCACAAGATGGCGCGAAGGGTGTGCCCATTGGGTCAATAATTGCTGTTGTCGCCGAAGAGGGCGATGATCTTTCGGGTGCGGCCGCATTCGCTGAACAAGCGGCTACTCGGGGCCCACCGAGCAATCAGACGACCACGGAACCAAAAGCAGAGAGCCCACCTCCTCCCAAGGACTCGCAGCCTCCCACAACGACTCCTAGTACGCCATCTAAAGAGTCTCTTCCTTCTGGGGACCGTATCTTCGCATCCCCCATTGCCAAGAAGATTGCTCTCGAGCGCGGAATTCCTCTGGCTAAAGTTTCTGGATCTGGCCCTGGGGGCCGGATCATTCGTGAGGACGTCGAAAAATATAAGGAGATACCAGCTTTGGCCTCTGCTACCCAGACGAACTTGGCGCAACCCCCGGCAGCAGCTTTACCTGATTATGTCGACACGCCTATTTCTAACATGCGTCGTACAATCGGTGCCCGCCTTACACAGTCCAAGCAAGAGTTGCCACATTATTATCTCACCGTCGAAATTAACATGGACAAGACTTTGAAATTAAGAGAGGTGTTCAACAAGACTCTTACAGAGAAGGATAAATCCGCGAAGCTCAGCGTGAACGACTTCATCGTCAAAGCTGTAACCTGTGCACTTTCCGATGTCCCAGAGGCTAATTCGGCGTGGCTTGGAGAGGTCATCCGAACGTCAGTCTCTCACCCGTAAACATCGTTTCGGTCAACTCATTTCGTTTTCAGATACAACAAGGCTGACATTTCAGTTGCCGTTGCTACGCCGACAGGCCTTATTACTCCCATTATCAAGGATGCTGGCTCAAAGGGATTGGCTACTATTTCTGCAGAAACAAAAGCGCTCGCAAAGAAGGCCCGGGACGGGAAGCTGGCACCTGCTGAGTACCAGGTTCGTTATTTGACAAATGTCCACACGCAGGTATTAACATGTCATGTAGGGTGGGACATTCACCATCTCCAACCTTGGGATGTTTGGCATTGACCACTTTACTGCCATTATCAACCCTCCACAGTCATGCATTCTTGCCGTTGGCTCAACGGAGGCCAAACTAGTTCCCGCCCCGGAGGAGGAACGTGGTTTCAAAATCGTGCAAGTGATGAAGGTTACTCTCAGCTCCGACCACCGAACTGTTGACGGCGCTGTTGGTGCCAGATGGTTAACTGCCTTCAAAGGATACCTTGAAAATCCTTTAACTTTTATGCTATGATAGATAGAGCGTTTGTAGTCCGATAGAGCCCATGAATTTGAAGTAATTCAATTTCAAATGAGAAATTACCTTGAAACGCCCTCACGTGATATGTGTACAAGGTAACTGCAAATGGCCAAAACGTAGCCATTATACTTACCTTTCTCTCTCCCAACGTCTCTTATGGACGAACCCGATGTTTTCTGGGCTGACGTGCTCAAACGGTGGTCTGATGCTTCACAGAATGTGGTAAGGCTACGCAAGGAGCTCACGCAAACGCAAGAAGAAGTAAGTCGCCTCTTCAGGCCTTTAGGTCTCTATCTCCACAAACTTATTGTACGTACGTGATCAGCGGGATAAATACCGCCACGAATTGCACTCTTTCAAGCAAGTAACAGAGCCTTTCCCACTTCCTTTTGGGCAACCTACAACCGCGACGCTGGAAGCATATCCCCCATCGAGCACTGTCACATCGAACAAGCTTCAGGAGGCCGAAGCTGGTCTTGGGAGAGCGAAGCACGAATACCAAAAGCTTCGGGATCAGGTTGGTTGATAATAATTGGATGCAGCTGCATTAATTATTCACTGCATACTCAAAGCTCAAGGACTCTGAGCAGAGGATAGAATCACTTGTTCTACAAATCACTGCTCTTCAGCGCGAACGGGACACGATCCAAGCATACAGCAAGAATATTCAAGAAGAGCTTGAAACACTTCAAAGAGCACACTCAACTCTTCAGTCTGAACGAGATGAACTAAATAGGCTCAACAACGATATTCAAGAGCAATTGAAAACTGCTCAAGCAGAACTTTCCGCGTCTCAGTTGGGAAATGATGATTTAACGCAGAAAGTACATATAATCTATTGTTCAAAAGCTGCTCTGACCAAGATAACAGCTGCAGCTTTTATCCAACATCTCCCACGAGAACGAAACTTTGAGACAGCAGCTGCTCCAACTCAACGAGGTTTGCCGTGCCACCCCGTCAAATTTGGCTCAACCAACATGATTATCAACAGGTTTCTACAAACAAACAACCGCAGGACTGGAATAAGGCTCGGGTATACTCACTTGAGGAGCAGGTATGGTCGTGCATTAACGCTGAGGTTAAGCAGCCTGAAAAAAATTATGTGACACAGGTTGAACGTCTGGAGTTCTCGAACCAAGCACTCGAAAAAGACAACAAGAGTCTGCGCGACGAACTTAAGACTGCCCATGGTAATCTTCATAAGATCAAGGAGAGTAACAACGTTCTTCATGAGACGATTACAAAGTTAAAACAGTTGGTACGTGTTCCTAAAGGATGCCAACACGTCTCAAAATACAACTTGGTTTATAGGCACGACATGTTGTGGTCCCCGCCAGTCATAAACCTCATGTAGCTTCTGCTAGGACGACGCAGTCTGTCCCTGCAGAAGTAATACCGTCAGTCAACATCGCCAGTCTCCCGAATGCGCTCAAGAAGCCCGTGAAGCCGACTGCAAACCACCTTACTGTTGACTCTGGCAAAGAAGATCCGACAATCGTCGAGCCTTCTGTGTCGAAACCGCAATCATCATCTGTTACTCCACGTATTCCTCCCCACCGCCAAATGGAGATTGACAGCTTTCCTGTTTTTATCCCCGATGTTGATGCCGCGTCCGACCATACCTTTGACCGTGAGTTTATGAAGAATGCATTGGGTGGAAGCATTCAACCGCTGATTGTTCGGTTTGTATCACAATGTCGACATCAACTCCTTTACTGACGTGCCCCTTCAACCATCAGGATTACTGCTAGCCAAACACCTTTGGCAGAAACACGAAACATTTCTAGTTACCTTTGTCCCGGTTTGGACCATAATCCTTGGTGCCCTTCAACGCCTGGTGAAAATGGATACATATTCGTGGGTCTTGGCAAAGAGAAAGATACTTTCGAGCTTCCTGAAATACACAGTGTGTTTGTTGGACTGAAAAAAACGAAGACAAAAGATAATCGGAGATTTCGGTACCTTGGGAAGTACATCGCAAAGCGAGTTGAACCTCTTAGTCCTCAGGAATGGAAGACACTTGCCATTCATGTGAGCTCGGATTCTCTTGCCTTTTGGCGGTTTTTCATCTATATTTTCTCAGGTCAGGTGCACATACGTTCAAACAACAAAGGCCAAAACAAAAGATGTTCGTACCCTTGACGCCATCATGGCTGCGTACGATAGCGGAGAGCTATTGGTCCCCTGTGTGCGCTTACAGTGCATAGGATTCGACGAACAACTCTTCGGAGCGTTGATAAGCAAGATGGCTACCCCTTCTTCAAAGTCCACTTCGGCAGCGCGAACCAAGCGAACAAGGGAAGGCAACGAAGGCGACGAATCTTGCGAGAGAAAGAAGCGGACTGTTCGACAAGTTCAATAAGCTCTCTCCCAGCTACACTAGGTCCGTTCATGTACATGTTATCGTGATGTTGTTATAGTGTAGTTGTTATAGTGTAGTTGTTATAGTGTAGTTGTTATAGTGTATTTATATCTCAAGTACCGTATTGTATCTTCATGCTTAATCATTCACTCGCCTTCTTTTTATTCTATACCAAGACGTCCACTCTTACACGGTCGAATCATTGAGTTGCATTTCCAAAACCGTGTCAACCAGAATCAAGAAAATATGCCGAGCCATACTCGTAGATCGAATCCTTTGATAAACCCAGGTTGGTGTGACAGATGAACCTCAGACTCGCGAAAACTCATACTTCAGAAAGAACGGCCTCGTCTGGCCCTTGGCCTTGAAGGATCTGCAAACAAACTCGGAGCTGGTGTGATCAAACACACTGAGGATGGATCTTCGATAGTATTGTCAAATGTCAGGCACACCTACATCACCCCACCTGGGGAGGGCTTTCAACCCCGGGACACCGCTCTACATCATCGTAAATGGGCACTCGAGGTCATCAATGACTGTCTTTTGAAGGCAAACGTATCGATGCATGATTTGGACTGTATCTGCTATACTAAGGGTGTGTTAACTTTTGAAGCGATATTCTTTATAAACAAATCGTCAAGGACCTGGCATGGGTGCTCCTCTTCAATCCGTAGCTCTTGTGGCCAGGACGTTGTCTCTTTTGTTTGAAAAACCATTAGTGGGGGTTAACCACTGTATCGGTCGTACGTTGCGTTTGGCCCTCCTTTCTGGGTCGCTGATGAGATTTAGATATTGAAATGGGGCGGGAAATCACTGGAGCAAAAAATCCAGTTGTTCTCTACGTGTCGGGTGGCAATACCCAAGTGATTGCATATTCACGGCAATGCTACAGGATATTCGGAGAGACGCTCGATATCGCTGTTGGGAACTGCTTGGACCGCTTTGCTCGAGTTATCAATTTGAGCAACGACCCCAGTCCAGGTTACAACATCGAGCAGGAGGCAAGAAGGTAGGCCTCTGGAGATTTCCTTATCGGCACGTCTACCATCCCCTTATCAGGGGGAAGCGACTTCTGCCGTTGCCATACGCCACCAAAGGAATGGACATCAGTCTTTCTGGTATTCTGACGTCTGCGGAGGCCTTTACGTACGATAAGAGGTATCGACCGGACGGGAAACAAAAGAGTCCAGAAGACGAAGATGTTATAACACCTGCTGATCTTTGCTTTTCCCTTCAAGAAACAGTATTTGCAATGCTTGTTGAAATCACTGAACGAGCTATGGCACACATAGGTAGCAAAGAAGTGCTAATCGTCGGTGGTGTCGGTTGCAAGTACATTTTAACGAAGGGAGTGGGTTGTTTACGCTAATCCGTCCGTAGGCAACGAAAGGCTGCAAGAAATGATGGGCATCATGGCTCGAGAAAGAAATGGAGAGGTGTTCGCCACAGATGAGCGGTCAGAGTGTCCCATTCATCCGTTTTTCATCCGTCTCATCACTATATCACAGCTTTTGCATTGACAACGGCATCATGATTGCGCAAGCTGGCCTCCTCGGCTTTCGTATGGGCCAAACTACACCCCTTGCAAAGAGTACATGCACTCAAAGGTAAGCCATCGAGGAGACATCGATGTCAACGCGCTTGCCCTTACTGCCTGGGTCAGGTTTCGGACAGACCAAGTTGATGTCATCTGGCGAGCATGACCGTCGGCGTTTTTTTTCTCGTAGGATTCGTGTAGAACCCTCTTTTGGGCCCTTTCAATTACCAGACGATAAAAACGAAATATCTATAGCTTCTAGAGCGATGAAGTTTAAAGCTGGGGTCCCAAATCAGTGTACATTATCCACATTGGCTAACATTAACTTCCATCCTTCTGAATCAGTACATTCCAGATTGACGATCATCGCATCGAACTGCTCCCACCACCAACCATTTACAGTCGCGAATGGTGAATCTGGAGGGGTGACCCTTGACTGCCAAGGTTTATCCGGAAGGATGTAATGGAGACATCGGACCTCCTCGTCACTCCATTCTTGAGGGTGAACAAAGCGCAATGTCCGAAGAGCATTATAGTACCAAGAGATGGGCCGCCATTTTCCTTCGAAGAAAGCCGTTAAGAGATCTTGATCTGGGAAAGAGAATGTCGCGATCTTGTCAGAAGTTTGAAGGAAGTGAACGATTGCATCTAAAAGCTCTTTTGATGGGTTGAGGACAACCGTTCCAGAATTTAATTGATGATAGGGGCGAGGCGTCTCCGGGGTTGCGGGTGGTGGTAGGGCCCCTGGATGCGTCACAGCTGTGTGGGCGCAATTTTCTGGTATCCTATTGATATGATTAGCATCTGGATACGTGATCAAATCCATTGAATATTACCAGTCTGAGGGATAATGAGCCAATTTACGCGGATTGCAAGCACATACATGTACTGCGGCAATCTCGTCTTTGGGTAGATCGAGCTCCATCAGATCATCCATGTTCCGCCGAATGATCATGTCACTGTCCAAGAGAACGATTCTCTGGGAACGAATTAGCTTGGTTGATATATTTGCTATGGGCGGCAATGAATCACCTCAAATTCTACAAGCTCAAACCCACTTCCATTCGAGAATATTAAATGGGTTGCATGCTCATCAGCGAGATAAAGCATACCGCAGCTTGGTCCACGTATCGCCAAACCTAGCGTCATGCTCAGCCAGGACATGAACCCCTTCTCTCGGCTGGAGCGTCTCAACTTCCCGCAATGTAATTCCCTGTTTGCGAAGGACATCTCTCGCAGATCGTGGCAAGGACGGAGTGACCATCACGACCAGTGGATGTTTGGATTCCACAGCTCGTAAGCCATGATGCAAGACGAGGACTCCAGGCAGGTAAGATGTTTTGGTCAGAAGCGTAACATAGGCAAACGCAGTTCCGGGAACCATTTTGTGGCGAGGAACAGGAGCAAAATTATCATGATCAATCGCGTTCCTCTAAAAGTCACGCTGGCCGTCCGGTGAACCGATGTTCATCAATTTGCACGGCATTGGGACCTTTCAAGGCTCAAATAAAGCGGCTTTTAAGTACTGTATCGGGCCGTCTCATGGAAAGAGACGTATCTCAAAATCAGTCGAGTGGATCATGGGGGTGGATGAATTTTATACACTCATAGTGCAGATGATAAAAAAAGACAACAGCGATAAAGGAGAAAGATAGAAATCAACGCAGACGCCTTTGAACGAAAGCAAAAACTGTCAGGATGGTGCCAAATGAAAGACTGCAGAAGACGCACCTCGCTTCACGTTCGCTCTCCAAAAGAGCAAGAATATCCTCCTCCCGCACGGGTCCCTTCACATTTCGAATGATTGTCCGGGATGTATCATCCATGAACTCTACCCGGACTTGAGTAACGCCTCCGCGGGATCCAGTCCGCCCAAGAACCTGTTGGGTGGACAAGGTCAGATCTCATGGATAGTTACGATAAGTCGATTTGACCTTGATGACTTTAGCGAGTTTGACCGGGGCTTTCGAAGAATCCTGGAGATATTCTTCAACGTTTTATTCACGGAGATGTGGATTTACTTACCATTTTGTGAAAGAGTGACGACGACGATGTGGACTTTTGTTGATTGCGTGTAGAGAATAGAGTTCAATGATTCGACATGTTCAATCTCCGCTTCAATACTGTGATGGATTACTTCTAATTACCTTGCTTGTCAAGGTCTATTTCCACGGTCATAATTATGTAAGCCGTCGTACTGTCCCCCAAGGTCATATATCACTTTTATTTCAGCCGAAGCGTTAGAGACCGCTCTAGACTGGCTGCCAAACCCAACCAAGCAAATCCGACGTACAGTCGCGGACAGCCAAAGTCAACCAAGTTGATATCTTGGGAAGGACTAAATATTTTGACATTCTGACTTCAGATTCGAACTCAGGATGTGAAAATACGTCCAAAAACACCTCTTTGAAGTTTTTCCCACGAGAAATTGGGTTGGCCAAAATTTTGGACTACTTTTGTCATCCGGTAAGGCTCTTCAGCGGCTCTTAAGACCCCCTTGGCAGGTTCCCAATGCCGGAGGTGACCGAAAAATTTAGTGGCACTTGCCAAACATTGTAATTCTGATTGGAAATCAGTAATATACAATCTGCTAAAGGTGGGAAGAGGAGGGGGGTCAAAAGGACAGGGTTCATTGAGGGTCCATGGGGGTGGGAAGACCCTGAATTGCCATTTTAGGTAGTTTAAAATCATTTTTTTCTTCAACAACGGCTCATCAGAATTTTCCCAAAGTCCAGGATCAGATGCAGAACTAAAAAAGGAGTCGATTGCACTATTTTTCATAATTTTAGGGGTCCATTTGAGGGCCGGCCAATATTTTGGGGGTAAAATTTCTCATTTCATCGATTTTGAAAAATCGGCTCGTGGAAATCGAAGCATTGAGTCCTAATCTTCACGTTTCTGCAATAAAAAGTACTATTGAAGGTTGTGCAGGGTCCTCACATCACGATCACAAAATTAGTTGACTTTGGCTGTCCGCGACTGTACAGTCGTGGACAAGCAAAGCCCACTAATTTGGTATCTTGGTAAATAATGTATCTAGAGCTGAGATTTTTCCAGATTCTGGCTCAGATTTGCGAAATGCGTCGAAAAACGCACCTCCGATGTTTTTCCCACGAGGAATTGGTGTGGCCAAAATTTTGGACCAGAAAACTGCAACATTTGGGGAGAAAAACAGGTCAAAACCGGCCAGAAATTATCGAAAGTTGGTACCTGTGCTGGGCTTCGGCTGAAAGCTACTCACAAAGGGCAAAGAATCTATCAGAAAGGGATTTCCCTGCATTTCGAAAGCCTAGTGTGATGGAATTTCTTAGTCCTGTGATAGATGTCACATCAAAAAGTGACTAAGTGCCCAATTTGGGTCAATGTTTGGCAATTTTTTCCAGAAGAACCGCTTGATAAATTGTTTCGAAACTTGATGGGCAGATTGTTCTCCGTGAAAGGAAGCGATTCCGCTATTTTTCATATTTTTCTTGGCACTTTTTGGTGTCCGGCCAAAAATTTAGGGTCTATTTTTGTATATGGCCATTTTCTCCAAAACGGCTCATGAGACTTGGCTGAAATTTGGCCAGAAGCTTCCCTCAACGTATCTGCACGTTTTCCGGGCACTTTGATAGCCATCAATAATTTCCATTTTTATTAGTGGGCTTTGCTTGTCCACGACTGTACTGGCCCCCAAGGTCATATATCACTTTTTATTTCAGCCGAAGCGTTAGAGACCGCTCTAGAGCGCCGCCAAACCCAACAGCGAAAATTCGTCATCCCCAGTTCAGAGATTTCCAGGAGATTTCTTACTCAATCTACTGTCTTCAACTTATACAATTCTACTTACTAGTAACAATACTGACCAAAAGATGTTAGATTCCCACTACATAAGTAGTGGGTCACACTTTTTGTAATTTCATGGCTGCAAGGAGTGAACCGCGCAAGCGGTTCGGCGACGAGCAGCCAATAAAAGGTCACAAACTTACTCTCATTTTTAATCACCATAGCTGGCTTCAAAGCGCCCACAGGGGTGCTACAGTGATTATCATTTTTTATTCTGCATGAAATACAAGCAAGGTTTTTGTTGACATTGGAACAATGTCAAACTCTAGTTATAAATTCTAAGGATTGTAATTGTGTTGAACGGAGGTCTATCTGTCTATTCCCGTCATGGAACCTTTCTCTGAACCTTCAAGTTGAGAGATGCCCAAGCCCCCAATTGCCTTATTTTTCCCTCGAAGAACATTTTCGATGTAAAATTCACCAGCCTGCAGGCAGCGTAACCAATTTAAAACGTAAAGATATACAAACGTACGACTCACTTTATAGCTGCTGCGAACCAGAGGTCCACTAGCGACATATAGGAAACCAAGATTTTCCGCTACTTCCTTCCAGTTGTCAAATTCTGCGGGTTCCACATACCGATCAACTTTCATATGTCGTTTCGTTGGCCGCATGTATTGGCCAAAGGTGACGACATCCACATCGATCTTTCGGAGCTCTACGCAATATTTTCGTAGGTTGTGACGAGAGGATTAGTTGAGCTTACCTTTCAGCGCAGCTAAAACCTGTTCTTTTGTTTCACCGACACCGAGCATTATACTTGTCTTGGTTATTCGTACACCACTCTTCTTTGCGTGTTCTAGCACCTTGAGGCTCTGACGAAATGTCGCCCGTCGATCGCGAACAAATGGAGTGAGCTCTTCGACGGTTTCGATGTTATGTGCGTAAACATCGAGCCCTGATTGAGCAACGATGGAAACATGATCAAGGGAACCTGCGAAATCCCCTGTCAGCGCCTCAACGAGTATTTGTGGAGCCCTGGAATGTGTAAGTAGAATAACATGAACTTGCAGGCGAATCACTTACTTGTATTTGATTTTCCTGATGGTCTCCGCAAAGTGGTGAGCACCTCCATCCAGAAGGTCTAAAAACGACGTCAAAAGAGGACACAGTAGAAGAAAAGTTACCTGCCATCGCGGTCCACACTCGTCAAAACGATATAACCCAAACCCCATCTGCTTATAGCCTCGGCCGTGTTTTCTGGCTCATGTGGATCTAAGGGAGGCGGTGTTCGGGAAGTCTTGACCGAGCAGAATCTGCAGCCGCGGGTGCAAGTATCACCCATCAACTTCTGGGGTTGAGACACGGGAACTTGATAGAAAGGGGGGGGGGGGGGGGACGGACCATTATGGTGGCAGTGGCAGCACTTCGGCCTTCAGCTTCTGTAGCACCAGGCTTACCACCCCAACAATCACCAATGTTAGGGCAGCGGGCCTCTTCACACACTGTGTGTAGTCCCAGACCTCGTAAATCCTTTTTAATCTTGTTGAATGAAGCTCCAGAGGGTATTGACGTTTTGAGATATGAGGGTAGTCGTGGGCTACGTCGAGGAGTTCGGAGCAAGGCAAACAAAGATGTAGTTACCATGAACTTACCCTTTAGTATTCCCTAAAACGACGCGATCCGGGACCTCCTCAGATATAAAATCGTCAAGGCCTGGACCAGTTTCTAGAGATTCAGTAAACTTTGACCGGGATGAAGAGCCCGAAGATGAAGGTGTGGCGAAAGTTGCCAAACATCGAGTAAACGGAGAGCGTGGAGGTCGCAATATTCTAAGCAGAGTAGGCATCGTTTGAATTGGAAGAATATGACGGAGCGGAGTGAAGTGACTGTTCACGGTTGTGTTTGTTCTTGTCTTATTCGCATGACTTTGATTGGCATTCGTGGTACATTCCTTCAGCTCTTTTTACTCAATGAATGCCTTGTCGCGCCGTGAAGAAGAAACATTACTCAAGGCCACAAAAGCCCGTGCTCTCAGGGAATGCGATCCAGTAGTTAAAGGTATTTTTGAGACCCCCCTATCTTTCATCGTAACTAAGAACATACAGATTTTGCAGCATGTGCCTCGGGTCGCACCGTGTCTGTTGCGTGGGCTTGTAGAGACAAGCTCAAGTCTGTTCAGGAATGCATGGTCCAATTGTAAGGACGTCGTTTTTTTTACATCAGGTTTCTGAGAGCGTGTCCCAAGTACCGCACCAGAGCCAATGGAGAAGGTTCGAATGGAATACCTGCGTCTGCGCCAACAGCGGCAAGAAGGGGTGTAAGCGGATGTGAACAACGCTCAATTGCTTTCGTTCACGAAGAGCATTCGGATCACGTTTCACGGCGTATGTAGTATGTTTATTCAAACGACCAACAACTCAAATCTGCCGACTCCTGATTCTCAAAGTGAAGGTCAACTACATAAAACACTACTTCTTCCCGTTGACCGCTCTCCATTGAGCCTTGATGCCGAGGAGGGAAGAAATCAGGCTAAATATCAAAGTAAGTACAGGCCAAAGGCAAGAGTATGCATACGCACCCAAGGATTCCCAGAGTACCTTCGTTGACGTCCAGTAGTCCAGCGCCCGTGGCTGGTATCCAGACGTCAAGCAAGTCAATGACAAGTTGGTCACGGGTGCTTCGACGAGCCCTGGTGAATACAACATCAGAAGATGTTAATTTAGTTTGTGAGTAAACGAACGCTTGGACGGCATTCAACCTCGTTTCACGTGCAGCTTCTTCACCCAGGTCCTTGTCACCCCAGGCTCTTGTGTCCTGGAGTTTCTTTATTTCTTGAGCGAGTCGGGAAGCCTATGACCCTTGTATGAAATTTCCCTCAAACAGGAATAAAAGGAGCCCACCTTCAATACTCCATTGATGAGACTGAACACAATTCCTGCGAACCAGAGACGAAATGATGTTTTAGCTATACGCTTTGCTGTCTCCGGGTTCAGATTGATGAATTTTATAGAGTTTGCCTGTGCTGGAATGAACATTACTCAAATAGTGGATCAAGTGTGCACGTACCCAGACAAGAACGTCGTAACTCAGATACCCAAAGTAAGCGACCTGCCTTGCGACTGTAGTTATTGTCTCCGAGGCAGGTCCGGGTGCAAAAGTAGCACGAAGAGCGGCTTGTAAATGCTCGACGGGTTTACCCAAACGAAGCACTGGCAAGGCGGCGGATCGGATAGTTAAGGAACAGGTCGCATGATCGGCTTAAAACGCACGTTTTCGAGCCGTTCCAAGATGTGCTTTGAGATAAGTCCATCGAGCAGCTTCCAGTTTATTGCCGTTATTCTGGAGATGCCAGGCAAAAAAGCGAGCGAAAAATTGAATAGCGCGATAAACCTGGATGCGGCATTAGACAAAGCAGGTTGGGTAAGGGTGGTATGCTCACCTTGTCCCTGCCTACAGTTGTTGCACCAAACTTGAGACTCTGGGAGACTGCCGGGTGGAATACAAGTTGTGAAGCTACAGAAGCCATAGCGAAGCTTGAGATAGGATATTTGGAAGAGATTATATCCGGGCGTGAAGACGATATATCCGGGAGTCAAGACGATTATATACCGACACCCGCTCACACGTGATTTTGCGGAGGATGATAGAATTCATGGATGCAACAACATCGCTGTTACATACAAGTATTCGACAGGATGTCGGCAGGATTGACAGAATTTTGGAACAAGTTCTTACCGAGGGAGATAATCGGACGGGAGAAGCCGTTTCACCGGAGACGTGAAGGGACGACGGTGCCCAGCGGGACCCTGATCTAAACGCCATTGAAAACTTTAGCTTGACCTAAGCATCCTCATGTATAGATTGCGAATTACAGCTGCCTCTCCCAAAGTAAGTACGCCAGTGCTGCTCCTCAAATTGCAAATTCACTTTTACACGTGACTATACTTTCACTAGGCTCTCTGGACAAGACGGTATACAGCGCTAATGGTAAGCCTCATCACTGAACACATTCTTTCTGTTCTCATCACCCTTTTTCTTGCAGTCCCAACAAAAGTTCCGTGTAGAGAGAGATACTTTCGGGGAGCTGCAGGTTCCTGCAGACCGTTACTGGGGAGCTCAAACACAGAGGTTTTTGACCCATCCCTTCACACGGCTTGTTTTAACTTTGTCAACCTACTAGGTCTCTTCAAAACTTTGACATTGGCGGTCCGACAGAACGCCTCCCCCCTCCTCTAATCAAGGCCTTTGGGGTGTTGAAAAAGGCTGCATCGATCGTCAACGTCGGTTATGGCTTGGATCCTCAGATTGGGGAAGCTATCCAGAAAGCTGCTGACGATGTTAGTACCCCTTGCGTTATATGGGGTCGATCCGGTTCTGACAGAGTTCACAGGTCATATCTGGAAAGTTGATTGACCACTTCCCTCTTGTCGTCTTCCAGACTGGAAGTGGCACACAATCAAACATGAATGCCAACGAGGTCCATTTCCCTCCTCATTGTATGTCGCCCGCTCACATTCATAAAAAATCGGAAGGTTATCTCCAATCGTGCTATTGAAATTCTCGGTGGTAACCTTGGTTCGAAGAAGCCAGTCCATCCAAACGATCATGTCAACATGAGCCAGAGTAGTAATGATACGTGAGTGCCTCTTTATTCCCAAATTATGCTCGGCCTCAGCCTACTTGTCAGTTTTCCCACTGCGATGCATATTGCTGCTGTCACAGAAATCAATCGTTCCCTTCTACCCGCTTTGACGGAGCTCCGCGACGCACTTGATGCCAAGTCGAAAAAGTTTGAACACATTATCAAAATTGGACGCACCCATTTGCAGGCGAGTCACCCAATACCGTTGTTCAGGCATCATTTCTGACTTGGGCTTAGGACGCAACACCTTTGACCCTTGGCCAAGAATTCAGTGGTTATGTTCAGCAGATTACGAATGACATTGAACGAATAAAATCTACCCTCCCGCGTTTAAGCTGCCTTGCTCAAGGAGGCACAGCTGTCGGTACTGTACGGAGCTCCCTCCGAGCGTGGGCGTCAGACTTATTTGTAACAGGGCCTGAACACAAAGAAAGGATTTGATGTCAAGGTTGCCGCAGAGGTTTCTAAATTGACTGGCCTCCAGTTCGCAACAGCACCGAACAAGGTAGATGTGTTTCGTGGATTCATTCCTTTCGTTTCTTTTCACACCCTTCAGTTCGAGGCCTTGGCTACACATGACGCTCTGGTAGAAGCCCACGGCGCACTCAATGTACTCGCCTGCTCTCTGATGAAAATTGCAAACGACATTCGATATCTTGGTTCTGGACCCCGCTGCGGATTCGGCGAACTGAGCCTCCCCGAAAATGAGCCAGGGAGCAGTATCATGCCAGGAAAAGTCAACCCGACGCAATGCGAGGCTCTTACAATGGTCGCAGCGCAAGTTATGGGAAACAACACTACTATAACCATTGCAGGAGCAAGTGGTCAATTTGAGGTCCACCCATTTCGCCGTCTTCTCAACTCTTGAATTCTTCTGACAAGACCGATTATAGCTCAACGTCTACAAGCCAGTGATAATCAAGAACGTCCTGCAAAGTATCCGCCTCCTTGCTGACGGTAAGTTGATCTGCTATTGCGCTTGTTTTTCACCAATAACATTTTGTGTCCAATCAAAGGTTCCCGGTCATTCACAAAGAATTGCGTCATTGGGATTGAAGCCAATGAAAAACGCATAAATTATCTCTTGAACCAGTCCCTTATGCTCGCTACCATCCTCAATAGCCATCTGGGTTACGACAGTAAGTTGCATAGTTTGACCATATGCAAATTTTGAACTTGCTTCAGATGTTGCCAAGTGTGCGAAGAAGGCTCACAAGGAGGGAACTACGTTGAAGGAGGCAACCGTATCCCTTGGTTTCCTTACACCGGAAGAGTTTGATGAGAAAGTTCGACCTGAGTTGATGCTACATCCGGACAATTGAAGAGAGTTGGCATGGATATTTTGGATCTGTTCAGTAACGTGGTGCTCGTGTGGGTTTAGATGGGCTCTAATAGCAAGAAGAATTGTTGTACATTGGTGACCAATCATCTAGCCTTAGACCAAATTTCTTGATTCGGTGTCAATGTGAGCCAAGTGTGCGCTGTCTTACAAGCGCCAGTTGCCATTTCAACTGTGCTGTCCAAACTCGTTCAAACTCTAGGCTACTCGATTCTACCTTTTAACACCATCTCCCACATCCCTATAGCCACCAGTTCTTCTCCTTGGGCTGCAGATACTTCCGTCTGGCCCTGCAATGTCGCTTAGTCGTATTCTCAATGATGACCCACTGCCAAGGGGCCACACACCATACGTAGGGCCATCGCATTCGACCACGGGAGACGCCCCAAGGTCTCCTTCTGTTCCTCTCGCCTCTGCGGGGTACTCGTACTCCTCACAGCATCGTACCCGGGACCCCCAATTTTCGCGGACCTATAATCATCCTGTTGGGACATTGCGTCATGCCCCAACCCACCAAGATTCAGGAGACTGGACTCGAGAAGGGTTCTATCGTCGCTCCGGTGAAAGCCATTCCCTATCTGGGAAGGAGTACGAGTACGGCCGTGGTCGGTCAGACGTGGCTCGCCACTCTCGTGTACAGGGAGAGGACCCTGAGGACACCATGCGGAAAAGATACAAGGGGGCCAACGAGGATTCTGATTATCGGCTATCTGGGCAGCGCAAGGTGAACAACCTTCTTTCGCACATATCTTTCCGCTTTATTTGAACAAATTTAGATGAGCCAACAAGCGCGGCGAGATGAACGAGCGCGTCCCGGTTCTCCACTGAGCGATATGCTGGATGGGGAATTGGTTCGACAACCAGACGAGGAAGAGCGCAGGCTAGCTTCATCGGATCTGGATGACTGTGAAGAAGTTTGGATTGGCGAGCTTAGCGATTATATTCTAGAGACAAAGAAACGTCAGAACCAGGTCGCGCAGTACTTTTGGGCAAGCGTTCTGGTAAGTATACACGCATTTTTTTTTCATAGACTGACCCCAGCTACTAGGAGCGAAACTCTACTACTGCACAAGAAATGTCGCGTCATTATGCCGCAAAAATTGCTAACATACCCCTTCCGCATCCATTGTCCCCACACAATCTTGTTCGCCCCCTCAACGAGGAGGCTACAAATGCACCTTTCGTTCCATATGGTTCCGCGAACAGACCCTCGGCACGTCGTGAACGACGCAACTCAAACGCAAGCGCTGAAGACGCCGTCAATGAGTTTGAAATATACATTTTTGGAGACTCAAAGTGGAAGGGAAAGGGCACGGAGACAAGAAAGCGGGCCGTTCCAGACATCCCGTCATATTCTGGAAGCGACGTAGAATCACCGCGACAAGCGGGTTCGGCTCCGCCTCCCGTCAAGAAGAGGAAACTTGACGATGGAGCGGCTCATTTTCCAGAAGGTATTGAGCGTTCTGTGGGGGTGGATACCTTTTCAGCTCCACCTGTGAAACCCTCGATCTCTTCAAAAGGCAAAGGCAAAGGAAGGCAAACCCAACGGGAATTAAGCCATGACAGTGTATCAATGACTCCGAAACTGCCCCGCAAAAAGCCAGGCCCTAAGAAAAAGCTGGGGCTGGCCTCGGAGCTCGAGAACGACCTGGTATCTCATCCGCCATCCATCTTAGGTGATATCACTCCAGCTTTATCGAGACCTACTTCTCCCGGTCCTGCAGGTATAGCTGTGATCTACGAACTAGAGGAATACGTTCAGCCTCTCAAGAAAGCAAAGAAGATCGACGACAACGCCATGATGAAGCGCATTAAATCTTTGGACGACGCCCAGCGAAAAGTTTGGACCAACATCGCTCGTCGCGATGTTGCCAAGGTACGAAAGATCCCTCATTCCGTCTCACTCACAGCTCACATATTTGTCGCAGGTTTATAAATATCATGCTCTCGGTTACCAAACACGACAATCTCAGCTAGAGCGGATGGCAAAGCTCGCCTCTATCCAGGCTCGTAAACCATTCACGAAGACGGCAAAGGCTAACAAGGATACGCAAGCTAAAGCTAAACGCTTGATGCGCGAAATGCAGGTGTTCTGGAAGAAAAATGAGAAAGAGGAGCGAGACGTGCGCAAGCGTGAGCAAAAAGAAGCGATGGACCGTCTCAAGCTTGAAGAAGAAAAGCGCGAAGCGGCCCGACAAGCGCGGAAGCTTGAGTTTCTCATCAGCCAAACTGAGTTATACAGTCACTTCGTTGGAAGCAAACTCAAAAGTACGATTTTGGCATTACAACATACCTATCTAACTTGGTTTCGCAGCGAGTGACATTGAAGGAGAGGAGAGCCTTCCTGTTCCAGTTGGTGCTCAACTTGAAGACGATAACTCTGCTATTCTTCCGGAGATTAATTTTGACGATGGTTGGCTTCAGTTTTTCAATGATGATACATACACTTACATCTCAAATTTGCAGATGATCCTACAAATCTACATCGCCATGCAAGACTCAACGCACAGGAGGCGGTTGCTCTGGCAAAACAAAGAGCGGAACAGTTCGACACGCAAGCCGCGTTAGAGAGGAAAACAAATGAAGCTTTAAAGTTAGCCAAGGCTCAATCCCACATTCACGAAGAAACGGAAGGATCAAGTTCCAAGACGCCTCTAGTAGATCGTGCGTTCTCCCTACCGCTTTCAATTCGTCGGACACCCTGAAAACCCTTATTTAGTCGACTCTGACGAGTTAAATTTCCAGAATCCGACATCGCTAAGCGGGCCGTTGACAATTGAGCAACCCAAAATATTGATGGCTCAGCTCAAGGAGTATCAGCTTAAAGGTTTGAACTGGTTAGCCACCCTGTACGAGCAAGGGATCAACGGGATCCTCGCAGATGAGATGGGTCTTGGCAAGGTCAATTTCCTTCACTGCAAAACCACAGCTCTGCTTGAATGATAACTTTCCTCTTGTAGACAGTCCAATCGATCTCCTTATTGGCCTATCTTGCAGAAGCACACGATATATGGGGTCCCTTTCTTGTTGTTGCTCCAGCGTCCACACTCCACAATTGGCAACAAGAGTTGACCCGCTTTGTTCCAAACTTGAAAGCACTCCCTTATTGGGGCAATGTCAAAGATCGAACGACACTACGGAAATTCTGGAGCAAGAAAGAAATCAGTTATAATCAAGATGCGCCCTTCCACGTTCTTATAACAAGTTATCAACTGGTATGTAAGCAGTGAATCATACGGGCTTCTGATCCCTGACCATTTTAAGGTCACGCAAGACCAGCAATACTTTCAACGTGTCAAGTGGCAGTACATGATTCTCGACGAGGCTCAAAACATAAAAAATTCGGCGAGTGTAAGGTGGAAAACACTTCTGGGTTTTCAATGCCGCAACCGACTGTTGCTCACGGGGACTCCGATACAAAACTCCATGCAGGGTGCGGGATTAACTGTCATTTTTTTCTGCACAATTCACAAAGTTTTTCAGAACTTTGGGCTCTCCTTCACTTTATCATGCCGAGTCTCTTCGACTCTCATGACGAGTTCAACGAATGGTTTTCGAAAGACATAGAGAACGCTGCAGAAAACAAAGGGAGCAAACTCAATGAACACCAACTGCGACGTCTTCACATGATTTTGAAACCCTTTATGCTGAGGCGAGTTAAGAAGCACGTTCAAAATGAACTCAGTGAGAAGGTGAGAGAATTCCTTGATTGCAAATTTACAGTAAAATGACTCGGTCTATTAGATTGAAATTGACATTTATGTCGATTTGAGTCCCAGACAGCGTGCTCTCTATACAGCATTAGTTTCAAAAGTTTCTGTTACGGATCTCTTGGAAAAAGCGGCCAACATCGGCGATGTTGATTCTGCCCGCTCCTTGATGAACCTTGTAATGCAATTCCGAAAGGTTTTCATTTCCCCTGTAACTATGTGGATGCCTTGCTCATCCTCTTTAGGTATGCAACCATCCAGAACTATTTGAACGAGCAGATGTCGTTGCACCGTACTCCTTCTCTCGATTTGGTCAATCACGATCGCTTTTGAGGGAGGGAGATTCTATCTTCCTACCATATTCCTCTCGTAATCCCATCGAAATTTCTATCCCTCAACTTCTCTATCAAGACGGAGGTCTCATAGATGTACCAAGTGATGCATTAGCACCAGTCACCAGCTTGAGTTGTTTGACTAAGCTATTCAACATTTGGTCGACCAACTGGATCCATCAGTCTCTTTATGACGAAGGTGCGTAACTGTGTCCGATTGGTTGATCTTCATCTGAGTGGTGCCTCTCTAGTGTCGTCTTCGTTTTCCTTCCTTCGTTTGACTGATGTGACACCACAAGATGCTCACTTCCTCCACGTTGCCCCCCTTCTTCAAAGACGGCTGCATGGCGTTGGAGAAGAGATAAGATCGTCTGAAGCATCTCGCTATTCATTGTAAGCCTTAGCTGCACTTATACACTTACCCCTCTCACATTGTGCGCAGCGACGCTAAGCCTGCCGCCTATTTCTTGCGAATGTCGTCACCACTGTCGCTTCGCGGCCTCTCTACAGCAGTGGACTTGCCTGCTCTTTCATCCATTGCAACGACAAATTGGACGAATTGTTGTTTGTCCAGACCCGCAATGAAATGGTTTATTCCGCCGGTCGTTGCCCCTCCCATTTCAATACATTGTGTTGATCGTACCCTCGTTGAATCCCAGACGCGGTTCTTTGAAGCGCCTCTAGAGTCGTTAGCTCTATATGGGCTACCACGTCATTTGCAGGACTCAGACGATTCCTGCAGGATGTATCACAACCTTATCCCTGCTGTTCCACCTGCTGGGCTTATAAATTCGTCTCCTTCAGATCAGCTTCCTCGGTCAAACATGGTAGTCCCCGAGGCAAAGAGACTTATATACGACTCCGCCAAGCTTGCTCGCTTGGACTCACTGCTACAAGAACTCAAAGCTGGTGACCACCGTGTTCTGATCTACTTTCAAATGACCAGGATGATGGACTTGATGGAGGAATACCTGATTTATCGTCAATACAAATACCTACGTTTGGATGGCTCCTCAAAACTGGAAGATCGAAGAGATATGGTAATCGATTGGCAGACACGGTAAGCCCCTACAATGCTTATGCCAAGTGGCAACGTCTTGATTTGTTTTTCATAGACCCGACATTTTCGTATTCCTTCTTAGCACTCGTGCTGGTGGTCTTGGAATAAATCTCACCGCGGCTGATACGGTCGTTTTTTATGATCATGATTGGAACCCTTCAAACGATGCTCAGGCTATGGACAGGGCCCATCGTCTTGGCCAAACTCGGCAAGTGACAGTGTATCGCCTAATTACCAAGGGTACCATAGACGAGCGCATAATCCAGTTGGCGCGCGTAAAGAAAGACGTCCGTCTCCTTCTTCGAGAACATTTATGGTGTCTTACTTATTTTTTTGACAGGTTCAAGACATCGTTGTCGGGAACAAGAACTTTACAGATGTGACAAAGCCAAGCGAGATTGTCCAGCTCCTTCTTAATGACGAGCAATTGGCTTCCTTTGACTCTGCCGCGGGACTCGCGTCAAACACCAAGGGAAAACAAGCGGGGGAGACAAGGGATCCCGACTCTGTCCGAGATCTTTGGAATGACGAAGGGGACGATTTCTTTGGACACGCAGCGTCTCTTGCGACCAAAGCGGATGAAGAGAATGGACCTTCGGCTGCCCCAGCCGCGCGAGGCAAGAAACGGAAGTCGACGACAACTCGCGCCCCTCGTGGTCGTCCGAAGAAAAAGGGTCCTGGACCGTAACTTTGAAGATGGCATATTTTGTGCCTTCTATGAACTTATAATTTCTATAGAAGCGATGTATCAGATGTAATTGTGGATGTATTTAATACGGATGCTCACGCTGTTTGCACGTTCCTTGAACTCAATTTTTTTGGATCTTCCTATGCACAAGACATCGGATGCTGTGACTAATATTGTTCTGACTCGAAATCAATTGCCCAACTCTCATGTACATTGACCGCGCACACCATAAACCCCATGCTCTTGGACTTAAATTGGCCTCAACATCTGTCTCAAACAACACGCGACCCTAGAGAGCCATTGCTCAAAACTCGTTACCGTCAAGCGATTACTCAAACCTGGGCTGTATCGCCCTCTCAAGTATAACTCAACTGCCGCCAGCCGCTACCTAATCGACGTAGAAAGGATCCCTCATCGGATTGGTTATCTAATATGGCCAAGAAGAAAAAGACACAACTGAGGCCAGTCGCTCGAGGCTTCGCGACGACTTCTGTCCCAAAAAAAGTCATCCCGCCACAACTTACCCTTGATGAGCAACTTCCTCAGACTGAGGACGATGCAGACAATGAAGATACATTGCTCGCCGCAGACGGTATCCGAGACGGTGATACTATTGTTCACGAGCTCTCAAACGATGGGTTTGATCCGGAAAAGGTCGAGGAGCAGTCATTGCAAAATTTGATTGATAGGTTCCAAGAGAAAACCGAAAAGGAAATAACGAGGTGGGTGTATACTCCCCTTCAAGTAACATACATACCTCTGGGTTTTAACGATGTGATGCAGGACAGTCAAGGTATCTATTTGTAGTACGAAGCAAAGGTGCAAGTAAAACGAGCTGACGTCTTTTTCAGGCTGTGGAAGTTGACCGGCGTTATTCCAAGACTCTTCCTTGTCTGGACATCGATCCACATTTGCGAGACCAAATAATTTCGCTTGTGGAAGACCTAAAAAAGTGGGATGGTAAGGGAAGACCTGCTTCCGGCCTGCGAACACTCCTCACGGTTTCTGTGAAACAGGTCAAAAGCCGCTTGAAGAGCCTGAAGAGAAAGCTATAGCACGACTTGGTATAACCTACGGCGTTCTTAGGCGACTCGGGTTCAGCGAGGAGAGAGTGGAAGAGTGTCTTCGATGTATTGATGGGATAGACTTGGAAGAAGCATATGAATGGGTCAGCATTTACGCTCCTCTTGGCTTCTGTCCTTACATTTTGAATTCGGTGTAGCTTTATATTCACTGTTCTGAGAATGAACTCCAAGAGAAGAGTGGGTATGTGCATTGGGATTGTGTTCTTCTAAATTAACGGCCATTCAGGCACGCCTGAAGCTCAAGATTCGACGACTCCTCGAACATCCGTCAGCCGAAACCTCAAGACGTCACAAACACCACGGTTACCTTCTCAATTTCTACTGCCGAAGCCGACCTTGCAGAAAGGGAAAGGTTTAGATGTCAACGCTCCGGCCTTCATACCGAAGACACCGTCAACACCAAAGATCTTCGCTGACGACGAAGAAGAGACCATAAAATCGCGGATCTTGGAGACTTACAATGGAGCCTCTGATTCAGACGTTGAACGTTCAGAGCTTGACGACCTTACATTGGAATATGTTCGGCTGCGACTCAGAATCGAGAACCTCACATCGAGCCAACGTTCTACATCCATCAACGATGAACTGAGTATGTTGCATGCACGTCTCGGCGCGATCACAGAAAATTATCTCTTCGACGAGAAGGAGGCGAAAGCTCACTATCGTTCTGAACGCGAGAAAGCAGATTCCTCCGCCCTTCAAAAGAAACTTGAATCGTCTCTTCCTCTAATCCACGAGTCACCGAAAAAACCTTCTCAAATATTACAACCAGTGCCCTCCGCTCCGCAAGTCGCTGCGACCGACGTTTTTGCGGATGACGATAGCGGCGACTCCGTCGGAGGCGTGCTGGATTTTTTGGACGACGTTTCATCGACTGAAATCAACGTACTGGGGACCACCTTCTCCTTGCGTAACATGGCCCCCCCGAAGCACTGGTCTGGGCGGACTCCCAAGACATTATTGCATGACACTGTCGCTAAAGCAGACCGATATGCAGCAATCTCCTACAATATCATATCAGGCCACAGTCGTGCTAAACGTGCTTCTGTGGCAATTTTATGGGAAGGGAAGAAGCGGGACGAGTGGTCAATGGAAGACGTCGCCTGCCCAGATGATGGTCAGGCTGAACAATATATCTCTATAGTGGCCCTCCATGCATTATCTTTCCCCCTCACTGATGGTTTTGCTGCCGGAACGCCAATAACGTCACACAGCCATACCTTTTTTCGTCTGTTGCCAGCCGTTTACCGAGGTCTTTGGGAAGACCTCGAGGCAGCGAGAAAGATTCGAGATGATTCAATTAATAGAAGTACTTGGGCTAAATTGCGTACAATCATAGAAGGCAAGTTGGAAGGCAGCGTTAAGGTCAGGTCGCTTCGATGTATTCAAAAGCACAACGCTGACTAACAACAGGTCAACAACAAACTGTCGAAGCTGACGTTCGAAAAGCAAGATGTCGACCTTTCCCCACCGCTACCGAACAATCAAGAGATTTTTTCTGAGAAAATAGCGTCGGGCTTCAGGACCAGGCAAGCCAGCGGTGCGTACCAAGAAATGCTCGTCAGTTTCCATCGTTGCAAATCTAAAATACATGATATTGACATTCCATTACGTCAGACGCAACGCAATATGCTGCCCATCGCCCAACATAGAGCAGAAATTTTGAAGATACTGGCGAACTCTCAGGTCCTTGTCTTGAGCGGCGAAACTGGATGGTAAATCGCCTATTACCCTTTTAAATTGTTATATGAACACCCGAAATGAAAGTGGCAAGTCAACACAGGTGCCGAGTTTCATCCTAGAAGATCACCTTTCTCGAGGAAAACCTTGCAAGATATATTGCACGGAACCTCGTCGCATATCCGCTATCTCACTTGCACAACGTTCGTCTTGCGTCTCGCCGCATCTCCATTTGATCTCATGGCAATTCAGGCGTCTCCAGAGAATTAGGCGACCCCCCTAACGTTGTTGGGACTGCCAATTCCCTGGTCGGGTATTCAATCCGGCTAGAAAGTAACATTTCCCGCAATACTCGTCTCGCCTTTGTGACCAACGGTATTGCACTGAGGATGCTAGAAGGTGGTAGCGGGTCAGGTGGGAAGGGCACGGCGTTTGATGAAATAACGGTGTGTCATTCAGACTACTACTATTCCCTTACTGAAAGCGTGTAGCATATCATTGTCGATGAGGTATGTCTGTTTCACGTTTTTAGAAGCTGTATTCTAAGTAAGTTGTAGGTTCATGAACGCACTATCGAATCAGATTTTCTGCTGATTGTTTTGAAATCGTTACTGGAACGAAAACCTGACCTCAAGTAAGATGAGGATTCTTCTTTTGAGTTTGGTCCTATCTAATACTTCAATATTAGAGTAATTTTGATGTCGGCAACTGTCGATGCCGAAAAAATCTCCACATTCTTTGGAGGTTGTCCGACCATGCATGTTCCTGGACGGACATTCCCAGTTGACATTCGTTACCTTGAAGACGCCGTAGAATATACTAAGTGGTCTGTCGCAGAAGGTTCTTCATATGCAAGGCGCCGTAAGTTTCATGTTTCATAACCATAATATCACCCTAACTTTACATCCAGTCTATGATAAATTTTATCAGGGGAGGGCTCGACCGGATTGGGCGGAGGAGACAATTAACGGAGGTGACGATGACGATGATGAAGGTGATTGCCAGAGCAAAAATATGAAACTGGAAAAACGGTATTCCCCCGAAACCGCCTCTACTCTCAATCTCTTTGATGAGCGGCTCATACCCTACGACCTCATTCTATGTCTGCTGGAAAAGATTTGCTTTGAGGACGCTAGTTATAGCTCTTATTCATCCGCTATCTTGATCTTTATGCCTGGTTTGGGAGAAATACGCCGTCTCCATAACATGTTGGCCGAGCACCCTGCTTTCGGATCCAACACTTTCCGACTCTACCCTCTGCATTCGACATTGTCCAATGAGAATCAGGGTGCAGTGTTTGATGTCCCTCCCGCAGGTGTTCGGAAGATAGTCATAGGCGAGTTACGCAGTTTTTGGACTGTATCACCATACTCATTTTCCTCCACAGCTACGAATATTGCAGAGACAGGGATCACAATTCCTGATATCACATGTGTCATTGATTCGGGGAAACATCGTGAGATGAGGTGAGCTACGTTTTGGATTATAGTGGTTCACTTCTTATATATATAATCAATAGGTTTGACGAAAAGCGGCAGATCAGCCGTCTTGTTGAAACCTTCATCGCGAGGAGTAACGCTGCTCAGAGACGAGGTCGTGCGGGTCGTGTCCAGCGTGGTCTATGCTTTCATCTGTTCACGAAAATTCGGCACGATACCCAGGTACATCGCCTAGTGATCTCTTCATTCTCCACACTTACGCTTTGCAGATGGCGGACAGCCCCCTTCCTGAAATGATGCGGCTGAGCCTCTCGGATCTGGCTTTGCGAATCAAAATTATCAAGGTCAATCTAGGTACTTCCATAGAGGACGTGTTATCGCGCGCCATGGATCCACCTGTATCCATCAATGTCCAGAGGGCGGTTTCTATGCTTGTAGAGGTATACATATTTTGTAAGTAACTCCCCCACCGTGACAACTGATCCGGAACTTGCAGGTTCGAGCTTTGACGCCGACTGAAGAAATTACTCCTATGGGGAGACTTCTAAGCAAGCTACCTACAGATGTTCACCTTGGTAAATTCTTGTTGATTTCGACCCTGTTTCGTTGCTTGGATCCGGCCTTGACAATCGCCGCTGCCCTCAATTCGAAGTCTCCGTTTGTTTCACCCCTTGGATTAGAACAAGAAGCTGACCGCGCGAAGTGCTCGTTCCGAGTTGGTGTGTGCTGCCATCCCATGTTTTCCATGTTCTTCTTACATTTTTTTGGTAGAAAATTCGGACTTTTTGGCCATTCACAATGCCTTCTCGTCCTGGCGGAGGGCGAGTACAAACCTCGCTTCTGTCCGGAAGTTCTGCCGCGTCAATTATCTGAGTCATCAGGTACTTAGGGCTTTTTTGGTATTCTAGGCCGTGCTGATTTTTGTGATTGTAGAACTTGCAACAAATAGAGGAACTCCGCCAACAATTTCTTGGGTAAATCTTTGTCTTCTTACTTGAAGCCATTTATTGACTCGAGAGTTCTAGATATCTGATAGATTCAAATTTCATACAAGTTGATAAATCTTTCATTGGTGAATTAAACCGGTGAACATATTTCGTCTTTTACTTTGCCCTCGCTGACATGGAATACAGAATACGTTACGGACGCAATCGAACTCGGTTCGTCACCGTACCTCCAGAACTTGACTCAAATTCCAACAATGCCTTTCTGGTCCATTCTGCGTTGACCGCTGGTTTATATCCTAAAATCTTAACCATCGACCCTAAAAATGGGGAAATGCGGACTGTCACGAATAACCAGCATGCGTTGTTTCACCCCTCGTCGGTCAACTTCGGTCGCAAACCGAACGATTTTGGTGTGAACCATCTCTTTTATTTCACTCTCATGTGAGGCATTACCCGTATATGAAATGGTTTTGACACTAAAATCCATCACGTCTTCCAGGCATTCAAAGAAACTTTACGCTTGGGAAACCGGACCAGCGGAGGATATTTCGCTTCTTTTACTTTGCGGTGAATGCGACTTCAAGGCAGGGAACGACCTCTTCGACGCTCTACTGATCTGACGGTCTTGTTTCAGTTAATCGCCAGTATGGCGTCCGTCGACCGAAAGATCAAATTCCGCATCCCTCCTAAAACAAGCGTTGCTTTGAAGTTTTTGCGAGAACAACTAGGAAATGCACTGGCTCATCAATTCCGCAATAAAACACTCATGCAATCTCATCTCCAATGGAACGAGACCGGGTTGATGGTGCTTGGGAAAGTGAAGCCAGAAGGCAAGTCCTAGCCTGCTCTAGTGAATTTGTAGATGCCCGCTTCCCATCATACATACATAAGATAATCATTATATATATGCTCCAGTCAACTCTCATTATAACATGCGTCGAACGAGATACAAGGTTGTCTATTCCTCATCAGATTCTTCACCGCCAGCCCTGTACCAGTTCATAAGAAGCTGAAACGATGCATCAAAGGATGAGTACTCACGCGATGTTGTAGAAGCGCAGCTGATAGTTGTCTTTGGATGATGCAACAACACTTGTGAACCCAATTGATCAGAAACGAGTAGTGGTGGGTTCATGGATTACGCTCACCGAATCCAGTCGCGGAGGGTGTTCTTTTTCAAGAACTTTTTCGTGAGGTACTTGAGGTATCGTTTTGAAAAGGGAATACTGGACGTCACGGTGATTTTTGTGTTACCTTTGTAAAATTGAGTGCGTGTCAGACCAAAAATAGAAGAACAGGCTCACCATCACGGACGATCTTGACACTCTCGCCCAGTTGGCCAGCCTTTCCTTCAACCTTGATACGATCGTGAAGGAACTTCTCAAAGTCCGCACCGTCAAAAACTCCATCAGCAGCGGGCTTGGAGTAATCGACGGTAAACTTGTGTTTGGTGACGGTATTCTTGCTGGTGGTGGCTTTGGGCTGGGAGAGACAGAGCGTCAGCCTACTGAGAAGGGGACTCAGCAAAGCGATTGCTCGTTGTACTAACCATGATGGAGGTATTGAATGAAGGCGAGTGTGGAATCAATAATTTGTTGACTATACAGTTACAGCGGCATCTCCCGGCTGAATGAAGCTCCGAGTCCGAGAAGTTTCTCACTGAAAACTAGGCGTAATGCCAACATCATTGACAAGAGAGCAGGTCGCCGGTGCCCAGCTCGACGGTGACTTTGCAATAAAGTCGGAATCATCGGCACCAAAACTAGACACTTCAGAATGGCCTTTGCTCCTGAAAAACTATGATAAGCTGCTCGTTCGATCCAGCCATTTTACACCAATCCCTTCAGGTTGCAGCCCCTTGAAGCGCGATATTTCTTCCTATGTCAAGTGTGTCACAACCTACCTATCCTCTTTTTCTGCTCTGACACTGACACAAGGTCCGGTGTCATAAATTTGGACAAACCGTCGAACCCTTCATCCCATGAAGTTGTTGCATGGTTGAGGAGAATATTGCGTGTCGAAAAAACGGGTCACAGCGGGACACTTGACCCCAAGGTGACAGGGTGCTTGATTGTGTGCATAGATCGCGCAACAAGGCTCGTTAAATCACAGCAGGGAGCAGGTGTGATTAAATTATTCCTTTTTTTCGGTCTATAACTCACTTGTCTAAAGGAAAGGAATACGTTTGTGTTCTTCGTTTACACTCTGGCCTTTCAACCCCTGCGGCCCTTCCTCGAGCTCTTCAAACCTTGACGGGTGCCCTTTTTCAAAGACCACCCCTCATTTCTGCTGTCAAGCGACAGTTGCGCATCCGCACTATCCACGAGTCAAAACTTCTTGAATTCGATGAAAAACGGAATCTTGGTGTCTTTTGGGTTTCTTGCGAGGCTGGGACTTACATCAGAACTCTCTGCGTGCATCTGGGCTTGATATTGGGAGTTGGCGGTCATATGCAAGAGTTGCGGAGAGTGCGAAGTGGTGCTATGTCGGAAAATGACGATATGGTCACGATGCACGACGTAATGGATGCTCAATGGTTATACGATAATACTCGTGACGGTTAGTTGTCCTTTGCTTTCGTCGCGCAAAATCTGATTGCTTCCCGGATCCTCAAGAGTCGTACTTGCGGCGTGTCATTCGACCTTTGGAATGTTTGATGATTGGGTATAAGCGCATCGTGGTCAAGGATAGCGCCGTCAATGCGGTCTGCTACGGCGCGAAACTCATGATTCCTGGGCTTCTGCGTTATGAAGCGGATATTTCGGTGCACGAGGAAGTTGTCTTGATGACAACCAAAGGTGCATCCATTCCATTTTTAAGGAGGAATTTTCTGATTTGTATCATCACACTGTAGGTGAAGCCATAGCACTTGCCGTTGCACAAATGTCAACAGTTGAACTTGCCACTTGCGATCATGGTGTCGTTGCGAAAGTCAAGCGTTGTATCATGGAGCGAGATACTTATCCTCGGCGTTGGGGCCTTGGTCCCGTTGCGCTTCAAAAGAAGAAAATGGTCAAGGACGGGAAGCTGGGTAAACACGGCCAGAAACTTGACGGTGTCACTCCAGTGGAATGGAGTCGTGATTATACCGATTACAGTCGGCAGGAGCAAGTGGCCGAACCCTCAGCAAAGCCAGTGGCCGAACCCTCAGCGACTGTGGTGCCCCCTGATGTTCAAGAAGCCGCATCCTCTGACAAAAAAGAAGATAAAGAGAAGAAACGGAAACGGAAATCCGAGGTACCAGAACCCGTACTAGAAACCGTAAATCCTGGTGACGACAACAACGAGGATGTGGACAAAGCGGAGCGTAAACGGCGCAAAAAAGAAAAAAAGGCGAAGGAGTTGGAAGCGCCTGCTGATCCAGATGAAGATGACGAAGCTCGACGTGCACGAAAAAAACTGAAGAAAGAGAAAAAAGCGAGAGAATCTATGGGAGGTGAATAGTGGTAGCCTTGGCAAATAGTTATTTATTTAATTTGACGTGGTTTTGTTTTTTATGTCTTGTTATTTGTATCACATTCCAGGTATATTGCAGAAAATTAAAGAAGACATTGGTGGACATCAAGGTGGTATATGAAAAAGAATACAAGTTGTCTACTTAGTCCAATATCTCAAGCTCCATGTAGAGAAAGAAAGAGCACACACGAACCACATGAATGTACTCATAGGAAAGCCGCAACGAATGAAGCAACCAGAATCATTGCGCTGGCTCCACCTGTATGCAGTGAGAGAGCGCCGCTCGCTTGACTGGTAGCGGAAGGGACAGTAGCAGCGACGGCGGTGCCATTCAGCGCCTTGGCGACATTCTGGAAAGCGGCAAAGTTGCGACCAGAAGACTCGTCCGAGTTGACGGCGCTGTCACAGGTGGGTGAGTGACCCATAGCGTGACGGTGTTGCAAGAACTTACAAGACCATCCCAGCTCCACAGTGGCTGCTAGGGTTGCTTTGGCGACACTGTTGATAGAAAGTGTCAGCATAAACCAGCTTGTAAAGTCTTGAGTGAACACATTACATATGCCCAGACAGGAGCCGTGTCGGTGACGGTGAAATTCCAAGTGGGGAAATTAGTCGTATTGTCAGCAACCGGGAAACTGGAGCGTGTTAATAAACCATTGCTTGAACAAAACAAAACACTCACAAGCCAGAGTCAAATCCGTTGCCAGTGCTAAGCTTACGGCAAGGATCGTCGAAGGACGACTGAGTAACGGTATGGTTCTTCTGATGGCTTGTTTATAACGAAGCATGTCAGTCTCACTCGCTATATCAACGACGGCAAACTTACAACTCAAAAACGATGACATCTCGAGGAGCCGCTGAGACCATAGGAGGGTTGAAAGCCAGCGTTCCAGTTCCACCGACAATGACCTTGTGCACCTGACCTTCCAGAGAAGCTGGAGTTGCGGCGGGTGAGTTGGGGTAAGAACTATATGTAGTGGTCCAAGTTGATGATCCAAGGGTAATGGCTTGAGTAACTAAAGTGGGGACGGGAGCGGGAGGGATGGTGTAGCCGCCGTATGCAGCAGTCGTAGAAGGAGCAGCGGCAGCAGCAGACAGACTGGCACCAACTGCTAGAGCAGCGTTCTTGAAATTGGTGAAGGAGTTGGGAGCTCCGTCAAGCCCACAATTGATGGCGAAAACCATGCCTTGGCCGCAGTGGCTATTTGGGGTACGAGCTGCTTGGGCACAGTAGACCCATATGGGTTGAGTCTAAAAAGACGATTCAATTAAAAATCAGTCCCTCTAGACAGTGTCCACTCACATCGTTAACGGTGACAGTGAAAGTTGGTAAATTGCTAGTCTGGTTTGCAACGACTGGTTGGCTAAAAATAACGTGTTAGTCATTGGGTTTCCATGCCAGAGTACAGAGCTACTTACAAACCAGATGAGATTCCTCCAGACTTCGGTCCACATGGATCAGCGAAGGATGACTGCGTCACGGTGTGGTTTTTCGGATTAAAGTGAAAGACGACTTGATCGCCAGGTTGAGCGGACTGTAAGCCTATAAATAACACTGCGGAAGGAATTTTGTGAAGAGGACGTACGATAGCCTCGGGAGAGTAAACCAGTTTTCCACCAGCTCCAACTTGAATGTCATGGACAGCAGCAGAGACAAAGGGCAATACAGCCAGGCCCAGGGAAAGAACAGTAGCAAACATCGCTGGCGATAGTTTTGTCTTGTCGTTAAAAGGTAGTAATCAAAGAATGTGGTGTCTCTTCCTGGAGAGCCGAAAACGAATTGCAAGAGGACGAGAAGTACAAAGGCAAAGAGAGGCAAAGATGGGGGAAAGAAGAAAAAGAGTTTATTTGACGCCTGGCTGGTTGCTTGCTATTTGTACCTGGCAACGGACGCATGTGGTTCAACTTGGCTTTAACATATCCAATCCAATTCCAATCAAGACATGATCACGCCGTATCAAAGCTAGAGATTGGCCAGAGTACAATAACACATAATGGGTTGATAAGGAAGAATTACAAACTCGCGACTAAAACCTGCCACCGGCCCAGAAACCTGCCCCAAGGTTCCCAATACTCGCAACTCCGTCCATGCCAAAGTCTCCAAAGCGAGTATCCCCTTCTAATTCGGTACCATACATAGTTCGCTTCGTTGATGGTACATTTGCGCCGGGGGCTGCATCGGACTTCCTCTCAGCATTGGTCGATTCAGCTTCCCCGTCGTTGGTTGATACTTCTCTCTGTTTCCCAGAAGACCGTTGTGTAAGGGCAGCAGGATCGACAAAAGTCTCCCGGAGAGCTGGCTGTGATCCGGAGGCGAAAGATGGTAGGCGTTTGGGGGGGGAAGGTAGACCGTATGGTTTGAAAACGTCCGTTCTCTCGTCATGGTCATTATCGAGGAATCCCAGGTTCGAACCGGCAGGCGACGGCGACTGAGGAGCTTCTGGAAATGGGAAGCTGGATGCATACATAGCATTCGCAGGAGTGGAAGAAATAGGTAAAAAGGTAAAGTTGAAAGGCTGCTGGTTTTCTGACGCAGTTGCAGAGCTGGTGCTAGCCGCTCCATGGCCTAACCTCCCAGCGCGATTCCCACTGTCTGTAGAGTCAAAATACTCTGGCAAGTGATTAGTAGGCGGTGGTGAGCCCACATAACTCTCCGCTGGTCCCTCAGGCCCTCGGAAGACAGTGAAGCTGGGAACATGGGGCGCAGAGGAACGCTGTGACTCTTGTTCATGGTCTGATGGAGTTCCACGGCTTATCATAGCTTCGTTTGTTTGATCGCCTGTCTTGGAGATTCTGGGTCGTTTTTTTGTGGGACGCACAACTCGTTTCGCGAGTTCTTCCTCAGAGTACTCGTCCTCATGACCCTCTTCGACAATACCCGTAATGCTACTTCCAACAGAATCTCGATGGCGTTTACCAAGCATACTGGCTGCGACTCCAGGGTGGGCTTCAGTAGGATTGTATTCTGAGTCATGTACGCCAGCAGAGCTCGCCTTAGGGACGATCGCTGTACTTGATGGCGTTCTGAAAGCTGAAGGCATGCCAAAGCCGCTGTAAGCAAACATACGTGTAAGTTGTTATACAAAGGCTGAGCATCAACCAAGGACCTCACCCTGGCCCATACGTTTTAGGGGTTTTCGGCTGGGGGGTTGACTGCTGTGGTGGAGTGACCGGTTCGTGAACGCTGTCCGCCATCATCTCGTCAACATCAACCGTTCCTTGTTGTGTGCGTAGTTCTCTAATTTCGCTGGTCAACGCATCAACCTTCGCTCGCAAATTCTTGAGGTCCGCAATTTGTGGTTTGAGATCAGCAAGCTCCGTTTTGAGATGCTGGATTTCCTCTACTTGAGACTTTAAGGCTCGGAGTTGTTCATGGAGTGGGCGGAGCTGTCCTCAAAATAAGCCTGTCATTCGCCTAGATGGACCAAAACTTACTGCTTCCGCGACACGTTTATCCACTTCTGACACAGATAGTATGTCGTCACTTGTTCCCAAATCCGCCTGCGCCGTTGACGGCTGCGCACCGTTGACAGTATCGGGAACGTTCTTCGAATTCGATCGTGATGCATCATTACTTGTTTCTGTTATGGTTAGTAGCCAAATTAGTCAAATAAATGAAGAGAATCGTTACTCACCAACAATCTCATCCGCAGTCTCCGGCTCTGTATCGTTCTGTGAGTTTGAAGAAAGAGCAGCCTACAATACTCACCTTCTTCAATTATAGCTTCAACTTGTTTCATGGTTTTGATAGATTTTCCTCTCCCGCTACGTGAAACACTCGAAGATTTTGTAACAGCGCGAGGCCCCGAGCCCCCTGCAGCCACGGGCCTGCCAACCCCTAGCCGCGTCTGGAGCTCCTTCCCTTTTCTAGTTCGAGGAGGTGGAGGTGGTGGCTGTTCGATTGGCGGTAAAGTGTCATTTTCTTCCAGTTCCGGATCATCGTCTTGTTCATCATCTGTGTTGTGTATGATGACTGAGGAAACACGGCTGGGGCCTGCTCTACTTGAGTGACGGGTAGAGACAGATCTTCGAGTAGGTTGTCGAGTCGACCTAAAGGATGCTTAAGGGGATGACGGGAAGTAGAGACGGTAGAGACGGACTGTGTGTCAAGGAGAAGGTCGATTAGGGCTTCGGACTTGAGGTTTGCTTTGACGCCGTAGTCCTTACACAGGCGCTGCAGGTCTACACGCTTCATGGCTTCAAGAACATCTCTTGAGGGTAAGGGAGGCATGGGCTCGTCGGTAGGGACGATGAGCAGCGGGTGTTGATCGAATATAGTCGAATCAGAGTCGAATGTTGATCGCGGTTGAAATGTAATGCCCAGACAACGCGCCATCACGTGGTTTTGATTTCATTTAGGCTCCGGAGCGCGGTCCGGGACTCTATCTTTATTCTTTACCCAAACTTTTCCTTCCCTCTTTTCACGCCCCTCTTACCTGCTTCTTGCACTCATGCCTACCTGGACTCTCGAGCAGGTTGCCAAACACAACACTCAGGAGTACGTAACCCTCCCAGTTCTTTCTGGTTCACTCTCACCCTACCTGACAGCTCTTGTTGGGTGATCATCGAAAACAATGTCTACGATGTCACCGAATTTCTATCAGTTCGTCCCTCCCTATGCATATTGGTCCGCTTATTTATTAATCCCACCTTGTAGGAGCATCCGGGTGGCGCCAAAATTATCCTCAAGTATGCAGGAAAGGACGCCACGGCAGCATATGAGCCGATTCACCCCCCTGATGCCCTCGAGAAGCACCTGCTACCATCACAGCATCTCGGTCCACTCGACTCCACGGCAGCTTCCAAAGTTATAGAACAACAACAGACGAGAAAGAAGACAAAAGATGAACTGAGAGTTGAGGAAGCTGTAAAACGAAAACCCCCTTTAAGCAGAATCTTGAGTCTGATGGACATGGAGGTAACGACATTTTCCCGTTCCTATCAATTCGATTTTTGACATGGCTATCAGGACGTTGCAAGGCAGGTACTGTCTTACAAGGCCTTGGTGTATTACTCTTCAGGCTCGGATGATGAAGTCTGTGAGCAATCAAAGGGTCTCTCTTCAGCCAAACACAATTATCTAAAACACCATCCCAGCATATACAGAAAATTCACGGGCATTTTCTCGCTTTTTCTTCAGGGCTCGAGTCATGCGGCCTGTTTCCGAGTGTGATCCTTCGACAACCCTCCTCGGCTATCACTCTTCAATTCCAGTTTTCGTTAGTGGTTCAGCCCTAGCAAAATTAGGACATCCGCAAGGCAAGTGGAAATCCTCTCCCTGTAGACGTCACTTTATCTCTTAACGCAGGAGAGGCGAATATCACCAGGGCAGCAGGGAAGACGTCTCTCATCCAAATGGTGTCCTCTAATGCCTCGCTCTCCGCCCAAAATATTATGGACGCCGCTATTCCTTCGCAAACACTATTTTTTCAATTATACAAACATCGGAATGATGAAATCGCTGAAAAGCGCGTGCGGGAAATGGATCAGCTTGGCTATAAAGCCATTTTCTTGACGGTAGATGCGATTGTGGCAGGTAACCGCGAAAGGGATATCCGAAGCCCTTGGATACTAGACGACCAGGAAAAGGGATCTGTTCCGGTTTGGGATGAGAATAATCCAACTGGTGAGGAGGCAGATATGGGGGGGATTGCTGGAGGCTTGGTGGCCAACGACGACCGGGACATGACCTGGGAAAAGGTCAATCTTTTTGACCCATTTTGTCTTTGGATTTACCAACTTGCTCCAGACCATCCCATGGCTACGAAAGATCACCAAATTGCCGATCGTTATCAAGGGTTTGTTTTCCTCACCTCTCAAAAATGTTTATAGTTTTTGGCTGAACTTGACCTACTCCACAGGAATTCAGTGTGTCGAAGATGCGGTCCTAGCTTCTGAGGCTGGTGTCGATGGAATTTTGCTTTCCAACCATGGGGGTAGGTTTTTTACAATGCCCACTTTTTGGGATATCGCTAACAATTGTCAGGACGCCAGCTGGAATAGCAAGTTGACCACAGCCATTCGCTTAATAAAATGCTAACGGTTTGTATAGCTCGCTCCCACCTATGGAGGTTTTGCTTAGGCTACGACAACAGAGGCCTGATGTTTTCGATAAACTTGAAGGTATGTCGGTATCTTGTTCGGTTAATCATTGGCTGACCCTTAATTTCGAAGTGTACATTGACGGTACGGGAAAGAAAATCTACTGCTGATACGCACTACCTAACATTTGAACCTCAAGGCGGAGTACGACGAGGGACCGGTTAGGAAATTTAATTGTGGTGTCCATCTTACTGATAGTTCTCCGTTGTAGACGTTGTCAAGGCGTTGTGCTTGGGCGCGAGAGCCGTGGGTCTTGGTCGTGCATTCCTTTACGCGCAAAGTGTAAGCAAGTAAAGAGACCTCACAGTGCACCGCTGAGTTTTCTTTAGGCATATGGCGAGGCAGGTGTTTTGAAGATAATCGAAATTCTTCGTCGCGAAATTATCAGCGCCATGAGGCTTGTTGGGGCCACAAATGTAAAGGATTTGAAGCCAGAAATGGTACGTCGACCGCATATTGACGTTGTTGCTCGGCTCATGTTCTCTGTAGGTGGAGCGCGTCGACTGGCAATCATTCATACCCGCTAAGCTTTAAGTTGAATGCTATGCCTTCAATACTTATATCCATCTATACATCATTTGAAGTAGCAAGCTACCACACGGAATACAAAGAGTACTAGTTTAGGGACGTCAGGTCTGATATGAGCGACACAAGATACTCTGTCGTTGCGGTTCCACCAAGTCCCGATGTCGCTGACCACTGTCGATGTTCTGCCACAGCCCACTTCCATTTCTGTCAAGAAACGACGTCAAATAGTAGTTTGTGTCACCCAGAAACATAGCCTTGCCAGAAACCGAATAAGTTCCTTGTCAGTCGGTGTAACGTTCTGCCATTCATTTGATGAAGGATCGTGGTGCAACGTGCAAAAGATTCGATAAGAGTCAAGTGCGTATGGGCCAGTTCCTGGAAGGTGAGAGATGGGAGTAGGTGGGTATCTTGTCTTCTGTCTAATCGACGACTCTGTGGACTTTGTTAGTTGCAATGTGACCACGCCCGGCTTTGATGGTCGAAGATCATAAAAAGACGGAGGATCTTGTAGATAAGCTCTGGAAAGAAGTACGAGTCTCTTTGCCCGAATATTTTGCGTTCCAAGATGTTGGATGGCATCAATCAGTTCGTTCTCATCCACTAAACAGAGCTATTTTTAGTATAAGGAGATCGCGAGATTTGTTCGAAAGTAAAGACCTCTAGACAACATGAGAGGCGTTGGCCACCTTGCAATGACATTCCAAAATACGGGGATGGCAATTTTACCCGAAGTTTTATTCAGAAACGTTACAGCAACAAGCAGCTTCCAGGGATCACCAGCGACGATTTCTGTGCATGTTTGAGTGACTTACGCGAAAACGAGAGAGATTTAGCACAAGCCTTGTATTAACAACGGTTTCCGATGACATACTTCACGATATAGCTCGAAATAGGTGGGATTTGATGGAACTGTCGATACCTTCAATATCTTAGACGAACATTTTGCCTCGGTTGAGGGGAAGTAAGGTGATGAGAGCATAGCGATCACGTGGTCTCGGTTCAAGGCTACCAGGATACTAAAAGCAGTTGCAACTTGAGTTGTAAGCTGGCTGCCAGTGTCTCCTTCTTTCTTGTCGTCATCTAATGGGTTTCTGCCGAAGATGTGGCGACATTGTCGCGGGTACGCGATGCAAGTGTGGTGGCGCCGCTGTTGGTAAGTGGTCTCTTGAAAATCAGGTCCACCTTTGAACATCAAGAATACCTGCAGCTCCTGTCGTACCATGGAAACAAGCTGATCCCGCAGAGACGAGTTCAGATAGGTGGTCAAAGACGTATGTTTCAAGAACTCGCTCTCTCTCTCCTGTAAGGCAACAATGGACCGCGACTTCGGTCGATCCACCAAGTTCGAACGCGGTGCCATCTGCGACCAAACGATTTCCTTGCCCGACGTCCGGCTCAACACCACAGACTACCACAACCCTTAGCAGTCGCGTTTCTGAATATATTGCGACTACAGCTTCTCAAACATCACGACCTCATTCTCCTCTCAAACGCTCAACTCTAGCTGACCCTACTTCAGATATCCTCCCCTCATTAACCCCGCACGATACCACCCTCTCCAAAGTCTATGGCTCCATATTACAACCAAAGGAGACGTTGACCACTCATTCCTGCGCCATCTGTTCTTCGCCCTTTCCACCTGATTCTACCATATACCCCCACCCATCTTCCACTGAACAATCCTTCTTGTGCAAGCCATGTTTCATTGTAAACGGGGGCTCAAGAGGCAACTGTCACTCATGCTCTCGACCCGTTTTGATGCTGAAATCTGAAGGTGGATTTGTCCATGCCGTCGACAAGTACTGGCACAAACGATGTTTTAACTGCGCGGGGTGTTTTAAAAACATCGGCGATTCTCCTGTGGTTGATCTTCTTGGAAGGCCATCATGCGCGGATTGCTTCGGAAGCTGCCTCAAACGCGACCCCACAACACCCAAGAAGGGAAGGTCGAGCAGCAATAACAGTCCTCGCGTCGACAGATCCGGAAATTTGGGTGGTTTTGGAAGTAACACTAGAAATAAAAGGACTCAGGAAGCTAGTCCTGCTATTGAAGAACTTGAGCAAAGGTTGGGAATCAACAGAAGCCGCGAAGGGAGTCCCCTGCTTGAGGAATTAAGTCACAGGCTCAGCACAATTGGGAAGGATATCAGTTCGAAATATCAATCTACAGGTAGCCCCGTAAGTCCGTCCACTCGACTACGGAATGGTAACTCTGGTTCGGATATTCGGCGATACGAGCCTTTCGAAGTTCCATCCAAAGCATCTCCTTCCGGTGTCCGCGCTTTTAACGCAAGCCCAGTACGGGGACAAACCACGGGATCTACTGCCCCCACACAAGAAGCCATCGAAGAAATGAAACAACGATTATTCAAAGGGTCTTCATCCTCTCCTGCCACGTCGAGGACCCCATTCGGCTCCCCTGCAAACCGACCTTCAACCCCACCCCGTTTTTCCATAAATTCCAGAGCAAGTATATCCAATTTCGACGCGAGAGAGTCGGCATTATCGCGCAGCCCATCTATTCCCCCAACTCCAGACCTAATCTCTGACTTTTCGGATACAATGACTCAGTCCTCTCATTCCGAGTTTGATTCTCCTCCTCGGAACGATGAAAAATACACGTCTTCAGACGTATTCGATGTTTCAAATGTGTTGGATCAGAGTTTTTTTACTCGGAGCAATTTGCCCGAAGTCGAGGACGTCATTATCGAAGAAACTAGAAGCCAAATGGGCACACCAACTCATACGCCGAAGAAGGAAGGTCGTCAGTTTACCCGTTCTTCACAAACAAAGGTTTCCTCCCCTTCACCATCCTCTTCGAAGCCAAAAACCTATGCGAATTTCCCCTCGACAAAACAACTTGGAGTCGACAACCCAGAGACCCAGCCAGATATGTCAGCATCGACCTTATGCAGCAAATGCGGTGATGCTTTGTGTTCTATTTCAGGAGGAGGCAAATTCATTACAATCACAGGGGGCGGGGATGTAGCACCGAGCACATATCATGCTGATTGTTTCAGGTGTTCAGTGTGTAATGGTATTTTTAAGGAGCGTCGTCAAGGTCAAGCAACGTACGTCAAAGCACAAGGGGGACCCTGTCATGTGGAGGTGGGTGCTCTTTGAGCGGTTTATGAATAACGCTAACTCTGTTTTTTAGTGTGCGCCCGTAGAAAGGGTTGTCATCCACCAAACAATCCCATCGTCGTCGCCTAAAATTGATAATCCATCTTCCGTTACAGCACCGCCCAAAGCAACTGTAGCACGCTCATCGAGCAAACCTGAACGACCACCGCTTATAGCGCCTTCGTCGTCAGGAAATAATTCGTTTCCACGCTTCGGTAGCCGGACCTCATGCCCAGGATGTCAGAAAACTGTCTCACCAATGGAACGTGGCGTCGTTCCGGGACCACATGGAACTCGCTGGCACAGTTCCTGTCTAGTTTGTGGCGGCAAAAAAGAGCCCCCACCTACTTGGGTTCTGAACATAAGTCGAGAAGAGAGGAAGAAAGACGAACCCGGATGTGGCAAGAGACTTGACAGTGCCGCCAAGAGTGATGGGGAGGGAGGCATATGGTGTCGGGAGTGCACAGTTGGTGCATTTTAATTGCGGTAAATTAACACACTAATATCTATCTTGACAGCTGTTACTTGGCTTACCTACCTCGCCGCAATCGTCGCCAACGAGGACTCCATTGGTCCCGTCCTACACTGGCTCTGGAAAACTTGTATCACAATACACCGGTACAACAACGATAGCAAGACAGTTCACCGGCTTGGGTGGAGACCCAGGTCTCCTGAGACAGTTAACTGGGGGTGGGTTAAGTCCTACTCGAAGTGTAAGTCCAACGAAGCAACTCGGGACAATCGGAGGTGGTATGAGACCCCGTCCCAAGAGCGTGATTGGGATGAGGAGTGCGAAGAGTGTAGATGAGGGGCGTGGAATGTTCCTGGTGAGGCAATTGACAGGAAGTGCATCAAATGCGAGGGGACCGTAGATTGCAAGTAGATTGACTATGCACACATAGACAATTGGAGATAAGATTTTTGATGGTTGCAATCTTCAAGTTGATGATGATGGTTCTTCGTAAATCGTTCTCAATTGCCATCTGATGCCAACTCCTCATTTGCTGACTCTCAAGCAAGAGTTAGCTAACCACTCTGCTGGGTTGCTGGACATCCATCTCTCATCTTTCTCTTTTGTCTCGGTTAGTTTGGGTTTCGACTTCGACGCTTTCATTTCGTTCGATAACAGTTAGCTGGAGTTCTCCTTCTGAAAAGTCGTCGTTCCCACCAAGAGGTGGGCTGGCCTACATACCTTAAGGTTCCCTTGGACGGTATGGCCAACTCTACCCTTGTCCCTAGTACATTTGCTCTGAGCAACGACGTCGCGGTACGCGTTTGTAATCCATCTATTTTTTTGGATTTCCTGACACTGCCCAGATAGAAGCAGTTCTGAGTGACATTCCGCTATTATGCATAGGAATACTTGGCATGGGCGCATTTACCGTTTTTCTACTGCTGAGACGTGTAAACCTGTGAGTCTAAATCTTCGCAACATACAATATACTTATAGATTGTGTCGTAGCTTCGCCAGCTATCTTTTCGCATCTTCCTTTCTTGCGTTTGGCGCCGCTGTTCTTGACCTTAGCCAGATCTTAGCTCGTGGCGACGTAAATACCGACAAGGATGGTCTGGCTACAGTCTCTGGCTTTTTCAACGCAAGAGAAATATTTCTTGCTCTATCAGTTGGATTTATTTATATTTTATTTTGGACACTTGTCGCCCAGTGTCCGCCAGAGGAATCCTCTCGACTGCTAGTCGATATCAAAGGGCGACACGACGCTAGAGACCCCTTGCACAGCGCTAGTTGGCGTCGCTGGGGGTTTATTGGAATAACTCTCAAGTGGATATCTCTTTTGGCATCGATCAGCATTCCTCTTTTGCAAATCTTATGGAGGATTGTTATCAGCCAGCGCAAGTACGGAAACCTCTATGTGGCAGAATCAACGATTGAAACTGTTGTGTCAGCTATATTTATTCTTAAATTGCTGCTTAATATTTACTCAAGCCCGTTATCATCTCGCTGGCGGTCATCTGGAAGATATGTGACATCCATATTCTCCCTCATCATCAGCGCTGGTCTTGGTGTTGGCAACCTTATCATTTGTGAGCAACCCGTCCTCTCAACCCATTCACTACCTAACTGCCACGAATCAGTTTCTTTTTCTGAAACATCGCTGGGTCGATTTCTTCGAGCGGTGGAAATCTATATTCTGATCTTGTATTCCCTCGTCATAACATTTTCCACACTGCCTGCCCGGCATAGACACTGCACTACCAAAGAAAGTAATACCAAAATAACGCCTTCCAGAGATATGGATTATTCTACAGGTTTCCCAATGTTTTTAGATCGGCGAATCTCAAGCATTTCATTCATGAGGGGCTCTCAATCCGACCCAGCCAAAAAAATGGGTTGGGATCAGAATCGGGAGCTTGGTTTGGCCCCTAGGATTCCCTCTATTGCACTATACCCCGCCGTCAGCGTGGATCAATGGGAAGCCGAGAGCCCGCACTCCTCGGTTTCAAAGAATATAACCTCCTCGTCTGGCGGCAACAGTCCTTATGAAAGAGGCGCCTACGGAGCAGTTAACATAAACCGCCCCTTAACCGATCTGTCTTTGACCTACTACACAATGAATTTGCGCACGCCTGAACCCGGAGAAATGCAGGAGACGATGATTAATGGGACTGAGACCCCGGATTTAGCCCTGCAACAAGGAGAACGCGATGAACGGCTTGACGCCAACGCAACTCTGCCTCCTAGCAGACCAGGCAGCAGCGTTAGCTCGTTTGAAGAGCTACTCCGTCGGCAATCTGAGCTTGATAGGAGCATCGCCGCTCTTCGATTGCTTTCTCCTCGCCTGGCTTTTTCAAAAGCGACGCCTCTTGCCCATCAGACAAACGGGTCTTCCGATCAATTTGTTCCTCTCCCCACGACTCTATCGAGGAATACACTTACAGCTTCTTTAGTTACGAGCAAGCCGGAGTCAGCATCCGCTCTTAGCGACTTTTCTCTCTCCATTTTTCCAGACCCGCCTGCGCCAAGCAATGTCCCTCTGCTGTCTTCAGGCGTTCCCGGGGAGACAACCTCACCAGATGCCGCCCTCAATGACGCGCCAAATAATATTCATACTGGTGTTCTTTCAGTTCAGGTTCCGATACGGAGGGCATCATCCTCGTTGGCCCAGCAGGTCTCCATCAGTGCGATATTCGACTCAGAAGGAACGCAATATGATGTCACTTCTTTCGTTGGTGGTGATTGCATTTCGCCGAAATTGATTTGTGGTTACTGAATGATAATTTTAGGACTGGCTGGGCCAACAAGGGGAGTCTTTCCTGAAGGTAATTTCAGGGACCCCTCATTCCTCGACGAAATCGATCTGGAGGATGAAACTACTCCGACAATCACGACATCATTTTCCGTCCCTTCTCGACGTCTGCGACCAATGATACTAGCTTCGACAGTTACACCCCGAGTGTCGTCTGACTCACCATCGGAAGCCTCAGCATCCCGTGCCCCTGACTCCAACCCATTGACTGTTGACAGTAGCGTAGCGCCTATGCCGCTGCGACCATTCTTGCTGGGAACATCATCTCCATTGATGCCATCGTCCACAATGGTGCCTGTTGGGTTCCGCAGAATTAGAGCAGTTTCTGGGAGAAGACCGACAATCAGCGGCCCACGCCCCCCAACCCCTGACGGGCGAGGAGATCAAGCGCCCGGCGCGTTTGAACGCCCGAGGCCTCCGCCGTTGATTTTGAGTAACCCTAACTGGTAGAGGTCGTCGTCGAAGTTTTGAAATGTAAAGTAACGGTCACTTGTATTTTATGTACTAGTATTGCTTACACTGCCACTACCGTTATCTATGCTTATGACGTTGGCTCGTTGGGGGCCATCCTTACCACGATGTCCCAATTCCCTGACTACTATAAGCTACTGAACATTCCGAGGACAGCAACACAAGACGAAGTCCGTCAAGCATACAAGAGAGAGTCCTTGAGGTTATCATCTCATGATGCCTGATGGTCTACGTATTAATACTATTCAGAACTCATCCAGATAGACTGGCCAACGCATCCGCCACCGAAAGGAATCGGGCGACTGAACGTTTCCAGGTAGGCTGGCTCTAGCTCGTCGTGTGAATACCAACCTGACGCAAATTGCAGGCCGTTGCAGACGCCTATTATGTCCTGTCGGATCCCAGACGGCGTCAAGACTATGACGTACTTTATGCCTCTCGCGGGGACCGCACTGATGACCCAACTGCATCACCTGGGTTCTTCTCTCAGTTTTTCTCCAACCCTGGAGCTCGAGGTACGGATGCGCCAGCAGGAGGACAAACTAACGCTGATGGCGTCTTCGCGGATGTATTCGAAGAGGTCCGTCTATGAATTAACTGTGATGTGGGTCAAGCAAGTAACGCTATGCCAGCTATTGCGTCCCGAGATTGAGCGACGTACTCCATGGTGGAGTTGGCTAGGTGCTGCCTGTGGAGCGGGAATAGGTTTTATAATCGCGAATGTTCCCGGGCTCATGGTTGGTGCGTTCGCTGGCAATCGGCTGGGTGCTGTAAGAGACGCAAAGGGCAAGTCTGTTGCCTCGGTTTTCAACGAACTCGGGGGTCAACAGAAGGCAGAGGTAACCGAAACTATTTCACTCGAGATGTTATTACTCATGCTGATGTTTGATGTGATATACAGATTCTCCGTGCTTTGGCTATGAAGGTCTTGGGTTCTGTGTTGTGAATACAATATACCAGTCAATCCTTATCCCTAACCGGATGGCTCTCGAATTTTTTTGTTGGAACCTTCTGAAATACGTGTTTTCTAATTTTGTAGCATACCTACTTAAAGTTATTATGCGAAAGCATAGTGTAACTGTTGTTTCGGAGAATGTCCATCTTTCTCCCTATTTCTCACCTAGTGAATTGGAAACAATGATCACGAATGAGTGAGAGAGCGAATGGTAATATAACAGTCGAGTGTCGGTCAGAACGGTATCTAAGACCTGTCAAGCCCACCACCGATAGATGAGAGACAATTGAAAAAGCATTTAAGTGCAGGAGACCAACCTCAGCTTCATGTGACTGTGCAGAAGCCGTAATCTTCGCCACTGTTTAGGCAACTCTGTGAAATGAAGGAGAAAGGGGCGTACTCGGGTTAGAAGAGGTGGTCCGACGCCTTCCAGTGCCTTTTTCAACATGGTGGTGTATGCGGTATATGCGTTGGACAATGAAGACTCGCTAGTCAACAGATGTCTCAATGCCGTGCACAAATTGGTGGTCCACGGAGATGAGAGAATGCACTGCGCTAGAGAAGTGGACTCTTGAACTGATGAATCGGGGGTGTTGGGAGAACTCACAAATTGACGGGTTGGTGAGTATTTGCGCTAGAGCCACGCAAATGGAAGACAAGCTTAGAAGTGCCATTGGCTCGTCCCCAGGTACACACTGTTGGCGGGTGATTAACATCAGAGCATCGCGAAGATAGTCCCAAGCGTCAAGCCACAGAAGAGGGCAGTCAACTTCCGCTCTGGTCAGGATGAACCGAGAAAATGCCACTTCAGTATAGCAGAAAGTGAGAATGGTGGCATATTGGTTTCGCAAACAAATTTACGTGCTGTGGCAAAGTCGCATCGCTTTGAGGAGGACACGTGTCGCCATAACGATCCTGACTGCTCGCTCCAGTTGGCTTCAGCTGAACTGTATTCACAAACCGCCAAAGCACTCAAGAGTGAGTTCCGAAGGATAGAGGAGGCAGTAGAGTCTGAAGAACTCTCCACAACTGTCTGAAGCACAGCGCGCAGAAATAAACATGCACTTCCCGATATCACCAGCCCTACGAGCTTGTTTTTCCATATGATTACAAGCAGGTCCAGAGTGACACTAACAGCACGAAGGGCCGTTTTCGGTTGATGGTTAGACCGGCCATTCGTGACAAGGCTGCGAAGCATGGTTAGGCCATTCGGATCAAGTTGAAAGTCATGGTTCCCACCACCTAGATCGAAGTATGACTACACGAATTAGCTGCAAGTCTTCCGTCTGAGTTTGTCATCCATACCTCCATCAAGACGTTCTAAGAAGGTTTTATCAACCATAAGATGCCTTACTCCGGACGCTAGCGAATGCGATTCGGTCAATGTCAGGGCCTCAGAAATTAACTGCTTGGCTACAAAGAGATGAGCGTCAGTCGGGGAACAGAAGTGTGCACACTACTCACCAAGAATTTCTTCTTCGCTATCCTGCAGAGAACAAAATACGAGCAGCATTGAAGCACAATATTGAGGTAACCGCCCTTCGACGTTTGGATCCAAGGTTTCCCAGTTTGACTGCAGAAGTTGAACGACGGCCCAACAGGTTCGGCGAATAACCGTAAGAAAAATTGGGCAAAGAGGATTCTGTAACTCTCGAGAGTTACGGAGATGGAGTGATATCTGTTGAAGCAGTTGCTGAGAATAAAAGAGAACGATGAGTTACTGTCCTTATATACGCTACATGATTCGCACCAAGATTGCACCCGCAGACGCGGCTGTGTTTTCCAATAACTTGAACCTAAGATACGCGCCAACCGGTTTATTTCTTTCCGGCTTGTTGAGTATGGTTACTATGTGAGAAGTATCCATATGAAAAAACCACATCGAGGTCTACGGTGAATTCAGTAATGGATCGATGAATGGAAGTGCGAGCCACTACCAAGAAACGTATCTGCTCAGAGTTCCATAAGCGCCCGTCACGCCACATAACCCATGCCCATGGCACAACTTCGCCCCATCGCAGGAGGATTACTTGAGACTCGTTTAATTTTCCGCAAGGGATTAGAGAAGGGGAAGAATCCTGGGTCATTGAAAACTCAATAAGATCGAGCAAGCGGCCAAGGGTTTTTGGCCAGAGCGGCGATGGGCAAGAATGTGGCTGACTGCCATGCACCTTGCGGTAGATTACCTATGTCTTGCTCAGCCTCGGCAGGACGTCCGCTCAATGGATATCTCACCGAGAAGAGGGATATAAACATAGCACCCTCCGTTTTTTCCTCGGTGCAGCGATATTCTGCGGATGGAGGAATGGCGCGGGAAGACACTCTGTTCAGACCTCGATATAGGTCGGTGAGAAGTTCCGTCGGTGAAGTACTCCAGAAATTCTAAACTAAAAACGATCGGGGTGGTGCAAATCTGATACTCACCTATCTCCAACCCAAGGGCAGAAAGGGTTCAGTTGAGGCTTCATCACATATGCTGCAAAAAGCAAACGCAAAGCGAGGCGTTGGGCTGCCGGAGAATACTCATGAGATGCAACAACGCCAGGAAGTCCTTCCCAGTGGTCTGTTAAGTGAAGGCGAAAACAGATTATTCGGCATGCTGCGAAAGGAAAGATAGCATACAGCTCACCAGGTAGCTGGGTAGCCGCTCGGAAATAACTTTGATCTTTTTGCAACTTTAAACCCTCAGACAGAGTCTCTTTGTAGGTGTTCGTAAAAGATCCGGCCGCGATGGTAATTACTAGTTTGCACAGTTTCGAAATGAAGACATCAACCCAAGAAAGAACGGGCCCCGATAGTTGACCTGTATGCGAAAAACGGGCAGACTGAATGGCAGTAGCCTTCAAAATCTTTCTATGCCGGAAAAGGATCTGCAGAAAAGGAATATCGACTTTGGTGAACCATTAAGACGCATATATTGCCAACAAAGAGTAGTATGGTTGTTCACCAAGTGCAACAAATATGGATAGATTTGTGGAAGGGAATCCATCGGAGATGATGTTGTAGTGATCGACAAAGTGGATAACAGTGTTGGCGGCAGAATGAACATCATCCTGAAGATCCCCCTCCTTTGATAACAATGTTACCCAGCGACATGAATACAGACGTTGGCGCTTACCCACTCCACACTATCCAAATTGCATTGTTTGATGCGCTGTATTGCCTCCAAGACGCCTCCCAGACCGTCAAACGTGATGTGGGGAGCAGTACCGGAAGCGCTTCCGTTTTGGACGAAGCTGTCTGCATGGACTCGTTCACCTTCAGATTCTGTTTCTGTTTCGCTGTCGCCCTGCATCAAACAAAGGGAATCGTAGAAAGCGGGGAGAAAGATAAAGACTGCAAGTTTGATTTCAGGAAGCAGCGAGCTAATGCCGTCACAGTCGCACAACATAGATCGTCACAAAACCCTGAGCAGGCTTAAATGTTTCGACAAGCAGGCACGAGGTAAGAAGATCGGTCAAAAGTCCCACTCCTCTAAGTATGACCCAGATAAAAACCCTGCCTATGACTCGAAGAGCGTTTACAGCCCCCGTATCTCTTTCAGAAACGCAGTAATATTTGTTTGACACCGCAAAATTTCGTTACTTTGTGAGAAAATTCCTTCGAATGCATCGCCCGATGACTGCGTCTGAAAATGATTCGGGACAGGCTCTAAAGGGTGCGGTTGGAACTTACATTCAGATCACAAAACTCCAAAGTGTCCCAGGCTTCATCTTCCTCCGCTCGAATTATTTGAAGCATCTCTCTTCTTACAGCGGAAAGACCTCCTTGAGCAGAGACTCCAGCCTTGTCATCCGTTTTGCGTGCAGATACATGCACCTCCTTCGCCTCGCCGACCGCTTTCTTTTCTTTTTTAATTGTGTTCAGAGGCGCAGGTTCGTCGGGGTCCGGAGGAGGACCATCATCAGAGTCAGAGCCTGATCCTGTGCCGCGGGAACGTCGAGTCTTTTTAGAGAGTATGTCCAAATATGTTAGCGTTGGCCGAAGCTGGTGGGTCTCACTGATTGGATGGAGATGTAGCTTTCCTACAGCAATCCTGGCGTAAGAAAAAAAATGGACGAAGGAGGGCAGAATATGTTACCATTGCGGACAACGCCTAACATGTGTGTCCCTTTCTGCGGTATATTTTCACTTCTGAGTCGCACCTCACTCAACCTCGGCTCCTCGTCTTCCCCTCCCTTGCTTTGTATCGCTTGATTTTTCTCGTGATCGTCCTCAGCGCGAGCAGATCCAAAGTCCCTCGATTTTTCGACGCTCCAGACTTCGGGCCGAGTATCTGCAGGAACGAGGATTTCCAGTCTTCCGACATTTGGCTTGATCCTTGCAGATATACGTTTGCCACTCAAAATTGCAGAGGGAGGTGTTTCCAGGGGTCGCAATAGAAGCGGAAACTGATGCATTTGAACATTTGGAGCGAGGGCGGCAGAGTAATGAATAGGCAGGACAGCGACCAGTTCGTCGTTCTCGTCAAAATCCATTTTGGGATGACATTACCTAATTTGAAAACGCCAGTTCCGACCTAATTTCTTCTTTTTTCAATGGCAAAAGGACCAGTCATCGTCATCACAGGGACACCAGGAACTGGGAAGTCTACCCATGCTCAGCTTTTAGTCGAAGAAGCAGCCTTGCCATTGAGGCATATCAATGTGGGCGAATGGGTAAAAGAAAAAGAGCTTTACGAAGAATTCGATCAAGAATGGGAAAGCTATACTGTTGATGAGGACAGGGTAGGTTCACGAGATTTACAAAGTGCAAGAAAAGTGCTCATTGGATATAGTTACTTGATGAATTGGAGCCCATCATCGCAGAGGGCGGCGTTATCCTGGACTGGCACACATGCGAGATGTTTCCGGAACGCTGGCCAGATCTGGTGGTCGTCTTGCGGTGCGACCATTCAACAATTTGGGATCGGCTTGAGAAGAGGTTGGTGATCCAATTGTTCACTCGACTTGGTATCAATATACGAAACTTGCAGGGGCTACTCCTTGAAGAAAATTCAGGAGAACAATGAAGCAGAGATCATGGAGGTTGTACTAGAAGAAGCGAGGTCTTCGTATCCTGCCGAAATCGTTGTGGAGTTGAAGAGCGAAAACACAGAAGATTTGGAGGCTAATGTTGCACGGATTGCGGAATGGATAACGAATTGGAAACGTAACCAAGAAGAAAAGTAACCAGAATATGCGGAATTCATCAAGGATGGACAATTGGGATCACAAGAGTTACAACAAGCCTTGACCCCGACAAAACTTTACCTGCCAACAAATACCCATTGTTTGCGCCTGTTCTCAAGGGGGAAGCCATCCGGTTGCGAGATCTCGTTATCCTGACGGGTAGCAGTTTTCTTTTTTCCTTCCAAAATCCTCACTTTCTCAAAATAAATATACCTGGCGAAGCATTACGTGGGCGGAGACTTAAAGCAGTAAGAACACATACGCAGCGAGGTAAGTTCCGTTAGATGCGCCATCTGTGCGACCTTTTTCTTTCACTGAACATTCATGAGGGGTTGGGCGTGCATAGAGTCAACGAATTATGTCTTACTGAAGCGTCCGAAGGAATTGCTGTTGATGCCACCAATTTCCTTGAGCCAATGAGTTACCTACATAGTCAACGATGAACAAATGCGTGGTGTGGTGTGAGAACATCATCACCTTCCATCCGGGGTTTTTTTGCAGCAATCGAATCTTCCGCCTAACTTCGGCGCAGTCGTCGCTTCAACTGGATCAGTCGACCTCAGGACAACTTCAAAGGGCTTGTCTTACTATACGGGAACGGTACCCTAAGGACGGAAATGTTAGACAACAAAGCAGGTCACGGGGTGTATGCGCACTTCATCTTCTCCGGGAAGCACCATGTCCTTCCATGTCGTGGGCTTAGAGATTTGGTCCAAGCCCTTGGAAGATCCCGACGCGTCGGATACACGCGCCTTTTTCGTCACTTGAACTGTGAGATGGGCGTTTTGGTCGGTTTTGGAAGTGGATTCGTGAAGGTCTTCGAGGGGTAGGCCCGCTTCTAAAGCGTCTGACTTGCGTTTTGGTGCCATTCGCTGATGAATTGTGGGAGAGGGGAAGAACTCGAATGATTTGGGGTAAACACCTTAAATAGGTACGTTGAAGGGCATGTGATTTGTGACATCGTTCGTTACATAGCGTGTTGTTATTGCCTGTTGACTAAACTGATGGAACATGTCATCGTCACCAACAACAACCTCAGAGAAGAAACCTCTGTATGAAGCAAGCACCCAGTTTAAAAACTGGAGATTTTCAGCAGAGCAACTCACTCACATCCGCAATTCTTTGAACCAAGCGGCAGTCGCCGTCATCCGAAATACCTTCGAGGCCGATGAGGTAGCCTCCCCTAATCACTACCATGATATATCGCTTAGACACCGATAGCCAGGATCCTCCACAAATGTATCTTTTTTGACCCCTGACGAAGAACACTTGTTGGTCAAACTCTATATCACCAAGGTCACACAACTCTGCGGCTTTTTCAGATTTCCAGAGGAAGTTGAGGCAACTGCTGTGAGTTATCTGAAGCGCTTTTACCTCAAAAATACGGTAATGGATTGGCACCCGAAAAATGTAATGCAAGTCCGCTTTTCATCGTTTTCTCTTCTGAATACTCAATTGACCACCCAGGCTTACCACTCTTTTTCTTGCGACCAAAACCACCAACAACCCAATATCTCTTGAGACGTACACAACACACATTCCCAAAACAGAGCCTTCGGACGTCCTGGACTTGGAATTTCTGGTGGCGCAAAGTTTGGGTTTTGAGTTTGCTGTATGGCACGCGCATCGCGCCTTATGGGGTATCTGGCTGGACATACAGGTATGTTTAAGATCATTAAAAGCTAAATCTGTCGTAACATTGCTCTTACGCAGAACTTACCCGATTCTCCAGCCAATCCTCCCTCTGAAGTGTATGACGCGGCACTAAATTACGTCCGAGCGTCCCGTTTAACCGATGCAGAACTCATATACACACCCTCTCAAATCGCTCTCGCGGCATTCTCTCTTGCTGCCCCTGTTATTTCTATTGCTTGGTTGAAAAACAAGGCGCCCTCAGAATCATCTGCTCTAGATAGCCTTCTAGAGGACATCAAATCGCTCATCACCTCCCACGGACGGAACCCCAATGTAGATGCTGTGCGAGACGTCGATCGACGCCTAAAATTATGCAAAAACCCCGAAAAAGTGGTGGGCAGCAAAGCATACTGCATGAAGAAAGCTGAAGACGAGAAGAAGGCGGAAGAGAGACGTAGCAAAAAAGCAATTGAAATACAGAACGCACTGGCAAACGGCGATCCCTTTGGGAACGAACTCACAAAACCTCGGGTGGGTTTGGTGGACTACGACGATGACGATGATTGAGGTGTTATACGGCTTTTGATTAGCATCGTAGTAAGTTACCCATCATAAGCATAGAACTCTTCTCATCTTGGACGACATTTCGCAAGAGTAAATATCGGAGGAAAGTTTTATTGCAGCTACTATGCTATATCAGTACTTCGGCAGACCCTCTCAGTCGGCGGTCACAAATGTCACATTTTTTGGCAGATGAATGTGACAGACCGTGACTGCAAAAAATGTCAGAATTGGAATGTTTGGCGGTGTATGTGGCGAAATGTTTGGCGGAATGTTTGGCGGCTACATCGGTCCTGCATCACCGGTTAGGAAGACAAGACGTCCACCCACTACTTACCCTCGACGACCTCCCACAAGCACCCCGGCACACACGGACGACGACAGCAACAACCCGGGATTGCCATGTCACAAAACTAGCGCGTGGCCGTGTGGGTAGTGGAGACGACGTGGCAGATGTGCCACGTCGTCCAGACAGTGACGACGCATGCCGTCTTTGCTGTCCAGGTCGTTCAGGTAAGTGCCTACCAATGTTTCCCATGCCCCTCTCACTCCAGATGCAGAGGCCATGTTGCTGTCAGCAACCTGGCAACATACGAACGATGCGGCATGACGAAAACACGATGCCACAGCACGACAACAACACGGAACGAGCCCACGTGCCCACGAACAACACAAGCGACAGTGCCGCGCATGAACAGCAGCCCGCCCACCCACGAATGACGTCCACCGCCGGCGAACGAGCCCTACACCCACAAACAAATGACGAGCACCCAGGACACGACGACCCCCGCCCACGAATGCAAACGACCGCCCACAAACGAAGACGACTGCCCACAAACGTGAGCGGACACGGGCCCAGGTGAGCTCCCCCTGGCATTTCTCTTTATTTTCTAATTATTAACTACTCCATCTCTAGCAACCTGTCGAAACGAGCACAAAGAGCAGGCGTGAAAGGGCATGTTGAGGATAGCCACAATGAGAGGGTGGGTATGCAAGGTGCGCCCGCAAACTCTCCCCTTCTTTCTGCCGACCGACCATCACAACAGCACCACGACCCAAGAACCCACCATGTATCATTCCCCACAACGTCGACTTCCACCAACGGACCTCGCCTCGCAGACCAACCCTGCCTATGCTGTCAAAATCCTGGGGTGAAGTTGCCATTCCCCTGATCTTCCGATCCTCGCAAGGATGCACGGCAGTGTCAATTGACACTCGCACTGCCCTTGCGAGGTTCATTGGTCATTTATGGAGGCGTACCCTCCCGCAGGTTGGGGTACCCCTGGGATTTTATAAATCCGCTACCCATACCTGCAAAAACCCACACCCGTGGACGCGGGTACAAGTTCTGACAGGTATGGGTACAACCCTGGGAATACCCCGGAGTTAGCCATGACAATCCCTACGAAAATGTCATAACAACGCTAAGGGAGATCTCTTGAAGCACGGCATGACCTCTGAGCTGCTCAACTAGGTCAATAAGGAGCATGGTGAAGCGTGCAATGCGACGCGACACGATGCAGAACTAATATTTGAACATCACGTGTCGAATGTCACGTTTCCGGCCATACAGATCGTCACACATGATCGCCATACTTTCCAATGCTGACATGCCCTCCGTGACTGGCCAAAAAACAGAACTTCGCCAATTCTTCGTTTTCTTTTGACGAAAAAAATTGGAGTTAGGTTGGATTATACCCAGGAGGCCCTGTCTCAAATTTTGTGGCAAGATGTTTTGTGGAAAGTTTGAGATCAGGAAAGTGCCGACTGAGAGGGTCTGCCGAAGTACTGATAGGGCATCGTATTACTCTTTCACTGCCGTTTGCACACATGAATCGTAAATTTCGTGTTTGCTTCTGTTGTCCTCAGGGTTTTTTTGTCACACATTGGCCCAGAACGGATGAGTTTTTCTTAGGGATCTTGAGTGAACCAGCGTCCGACCTCACTCTAGCCCTTGCCCATGACAACTCAAGTCTCTGGATACATAATCATCTGGCATGAAGAAGAATCCCATTCTCCTCGTGAATTTGCTGACCTGCAGATGTTCAATTTGCAGTGACAAAAAACCCTGAGGGTAACAGGTACAACAGAAGCAAACACGAAATTATGATTCACGCAGTAGTGAAAGACACTCACTTCAGGCAGCGATGAATATGAAGGATGTACAATTCCATCACCAAACTTAGAAGTTGAGAGCAAATATGTTGGGGGAACACTGGTTTTGGTCTATTCTGCAGTTTTTATTGCCTATGTTTACACATATGTGGCCCATCATATGCATAAAACAAACTTACAATAAAAAAAGGGATCAGATCCACAAAATGAATGAATAAATATGATCTAAACTCATATTTAGAATATGCTGAACTTCCTGGGCCAAGATTTAAGCGTATTCCAAATATGAATTCAGATCATATTTAATTGTTCATTTTTTGGATCTGATCCCTTTTTTTATTGTAAGTTTGTTTTATGCATATGATGGATGCACAATTCCATCACCAAACTTAGAAATTGAGATCAAATATATCAGAACAAAAGAGATTACAGCGTATCCCGCAGTTTTGAGAGCATATGTTTATACATATTTAGCCCTACATATTCATCGCTGTCTCAAGTGACTGTAATATGCATTTATGTAATCTCGGCTCCAGATGTCTAATCGTGCAAGGGTGGAAGAAGGTCCGTAATCTTGAATAGAAATGAAAGATAATAGGCAAAAACAGGGTTGCCTCGATGTGAGGGCAACCCGCGAGAAATGTATTTCACAGCCTCGATGTCCTGATCCTCTACGTTACAAACGGACGAGATGAAGAAGAAAAGAGGGAGCAGGAGGGTGGGTGAATGCAAGATACCGCTACCTCAGAAGGATGGGGTAGGAGGAAGAGAGAGGAAAGTTCGACTCTGCTCAACCTGAAACGCTGGTCTCAGAGACCAGGAATATCTCGGGGAGAGGAGATGTGTTACGTCCCCTAGGCACCCGTGCACCTGATTAGACTACAGTAAAAATAATTCTAAACTCGACTAATCGTGCAAGGGTGGAAGAAGGTCCATAATCTTGAATAGAAATGAAAGATAATAGGCAAAAACAGGGTTGCCTCGATGTGAGGGCAACCCACGAGAAATGTATTTCACGGCCTCGATGTCCTATTACCTATAAATGTGAGTGAGGGAAAGGGAAGGGGGGGAGATTATATAAGTGTCTTTTGAAAAAGGAAGAAAGAAGTTGAGTGGAGTGGAGTGGAGTGATGTTTGTAAGAGGCCGGGATAAAAATCTGAGGCAGTACAAGTCAGAAAATAGTCCAATGTTAAATGAAAAAAGTCAAAAGATCAAATGTTCGTAGCTGGTTGGTGGGCAGGGTGCCCAAATAACATAGCTTGGAGAAGAACAGGATTCTTTCTGATGTAGATCTGAAAGGTATCCGATGCCCATCGTCCAATGGCTTGATGATGTTGGGAGGTACACCAGCTTCAGCAAGAGAAGTGGCACCTCCAGCACGCATAGATTGGCCTGCAATATCGGCAGGGAAGAAACGACGGAGTCGTTTCATGAACCAGGAGCGGGTCGGCACACTGCCAGACTCACGCAACCAAAGTTCAGGTTTTAACGGATGAAGGGTGTCTCGTGATTGTAAATATGAGGTGAAAAATGAGTATGGGTCGGTTGGGAGGTTTGTCTTTTCGATGATAATCAAGTTTCCTTCATAGAAGCGGTCGGCCTTGTGGCCAGGCAGCCAAAATGAGTAGGATTTCTCGGTGATATCAACAGTGTGCCGGAGGATAACTTTCCGATAATTGCGCTGTGCAACTTTGTCTGGGAAGGTAATCTCTCCAAGACGCATGAGGCCATGGAAACCTGTCTCTAGCATTGAGAGGAATAGCTTGTCATCATGACAAGTGGAAGACCCTATGGCAGAGATGACAGTTTGCAGATCAGTGGTTGACAGTGGGCATTTTCGTTTTACAGGAGTTCCAAAGCGGCGTTGACATCCTGTCATAGTATGTGACACAAGCATAGAGTTGCGGGTTTTCCTCACATCCGGGAAGAAAGGTTCAAGCTGATTGCAGATCCCGGATAGATAAGAATTGACGGAAGAGGGTTTGATATGTGATGACATGTAGACAGCGTAAAAGCTGAGAGTTTGTTCAGTGGGTGTGATATCGAACTTGTGGATTTTGCAGAACGTGAGATATGAGTTCAGGGCTGATGTGTATGTGATGTGAGAAGAGTTGTCAATGGACATCCCCAATGCAATTGACCGTTCATGAACTAGACGATCAAGAGTCCATGGTTCACGCTGGGGTTGGCGAGAACCACGTGAAATAGAAATCATTTATTAATTACCCCCAGCATAGGTGATCGAGGGGGCTGCAGATAAAGGTAACAATGCGTAACATCGGAAGAGGTGGGTCGAGACATATCAGGGATGAAATTACTGGGAGGACGGGCACTCAGGTCCTTTGTGGCCACCCTTGGAGCACTTGTTGCAAACATGGAGTCGACGACACTGGCTGCCATCAAGCAAGCACAGCCCCTCATTCCATCGGTTGCATGCCTCCTGTTTCTTGCGTGAAGTCAAGGGTACCTTTGAGATAGGTAAGCGTTGCACAACAGCTGCACCAATGGAATCCATGTGTGCGGTTCTAAGATCGGCAAATTTGTCGAAATGAGTGAGCTCGAGATCACGTCGGCTGCCGACACGACGGCGAACAGCCTTGTCGAAAAGAATAACTCGGTCATGGAACAGGATATCAGTTGCTGCAAAAAGTGCGATGATGTACTCAGCATAGTTGGCCAGTTCTCCCGCACGATGAGGGAAAGCCATTGACGTTGCGCGAGATGCTCTATTCCAAGCGATTGTCCACTCCCCCGCACTTGAAACAATTTTGGTTGGGGCAACGGTTCCAAATTTGATATTGAGATCACCGATTGACTCAATGCGCTCGTCATTATTGGATGTCGAGTAATAACCTGTAAGTACCGTGTCGAGGTTGACAGCGCGACCTGCAAGAATGTTCGTCCATTCGGAGTCTGGGAATTCAGGGCATGTGGGTGAGTTGATGAGGGATCGCTTCGTGCCCTTAGGGTCGACTGAATACAGTTTGAGGAGGTCGAGTGAAGCTGTGGGGGAAGGGGATAAAGTGACCGAATGTATGAAATCTGAGACAACCCATGGGTATTGAGACTCATCAGGTTTTGCACGTTTCGTTGGGCGAGACAGTTCCTCCTCATCAAATTGCTCTTCAACAGGTGATTTTGAACGTTGCCTATTGCTGCGGCGTTTGGCTTCGGAAAGGTGGTGTTCGTGGTTTTCAAGGATGACGATATAGCGCGCAAAGGCCTCTTCGACTCCTGTCGGGTCTGCTGGTAATGCGTCGGTGAGTGTGGTGTAGATTCGGCTAAGTGCTGTGGCTTTTGAGATGTTTGAGGCACGAAAGTCTTCGATTGGCTTGTTGCAAGCAGCAAGGGCAGCGATAGAAACTGGGGCATTCCCAAGCGTTCGAACTCGACTTTGCCCAGATTCCGGTGACAAGGATCGGCGATTACCAGAACCTTGTTCACCGGAAGTTGTTCCTGGATGCTGTTGATCACTCGCACCGTTGTTACCACCTTGAGTAGTGTCGTTGTTACCACCAGAAATAGGAGTTTCAAGAGGAGTAGGAGTTGCATCAACGACATTGCCAGTAGACATGAGATGAAATGATGAGGATTTGATCTGATGCAACTAAGAGTTGTAATATGAATGCAAGATACCGCTACCTCAGAAGGATGGGGTAGGAGGAAGAGAGAGGAAAGTTCGACTCTGCTCAACCTGAAACGCTGGTCTCAGAGACCAGGAATATCTCGGGGAGAGGAGATGTGTTACGTCCCCTAGGCACCCGTGTGCCCGATTAGACTACAGTAAAAATAATTCTAAACTCGAGTAGAGAGGTCCGGTCCGGCGGTCCGCGGAGTTTAAAGTCAGAGGCAAAAAAAGCGAACAAAACACGAACACAGGACCTCGTACCCTCCTTCAACTATGATTATTTGCGCGCAATGAAGCTAAGTTGTAGAGCTCAGTTATTTTATACTTTATTGGTGATAAAGCATGCTATAAATCTCAGAAATAATTTTGGAGCTGACAAGGATGAGGTGTGTTACGAGCCTGTCACACGAGCCTACCCCTTCCTACAGTCGCAGACAAACAAAGTCAACCAAAAATATCAAAGTTCACCAAATTCTTCGAAAATAGTCTTAATCAACGCGGATTGATGAGACGATTCCAACAATACCAATTTTATCAAATTTTATCGAGCCGTTCCCTCATAAACTTCCAAATAAGGTTTTTAGGCCCTCAAAATTTGGCAGGACTGTGAGAATTGGTCTAAAAATCACGAAAAATAGTGCAATCGACTGCTTTTGATGAGAGGCAAATGATCCTGTAATATTGGAAGGTTCTGTCAAGCCGTTTTGGCTAAATAAATTCGAAAAGAATGACCTAAAATAGAAATTGATCGGTAATCAGGGCCCGCTCGGTGCCTTCCAGAGACCCTTAAGTCTCAGTTGAAGAGTGCTTACCAGAATTACAGTGGCCAAGGGCACCCTGCTGACACACAAATCATTTTCAGAAATTCAACTCCATCATGAGCCACTTTGAGGTAAATTTGGTCACCTAGGACCCTGAATTGGGGCTACATATTTCGAAAATTTTGACCAAAAATTTGGCGAAACACATCCACTTGTGGGAAAAACTTCAAACGTGTGTTTTTCGACATATTTCGATGAGCTGATCAAGATTCTGAAAAAATATTGCCAAAATATTGGCTGGAGGCCGAGATATCAAATTTGTTGTCTTTGTTTGTCCACGACTGTAGACTCGCTAGCCCAGTGTTGTCATTGACCGGGTCAGTCAAAGGGTCAGTCAAAAAAGGGGGGTCAAGTCAAGATTCTTGACTGACCTGGGTCAAGAGTTTTCGTGGGATAACGGAAAGCGCGGCCGAGAGGGTGCCTCATATTTACACTTGCAGAGATTCGTTAGACTCAAGGTAGACTCAGTTTTGAAGTACGAGAAATGTCTTCAGTATAAAGTAGCTACCTCAAATTCAATAGAATACTTACCAACCCTTTTTCCGATTTTGCAGTTGAAGCTTGGGATATACTAAAAAAGGTCGGCATGAGCTATCTTGTGAGTGCGCCGTTGTGGATTGACTCAGGCCGGCACTCTTCCCTTCTGCAAGCTTCACGATCCGCTGCTTGCTTAGCTCAGATGTACACGCCGACATGATATTTTTTAGCATGTGTGTGTTTGTTCTGGAAATTTATGTCAGAGTGGTTCCACAGATGCGACTTTGAGGGCATGACAGCTTACAGATTTCAGCGCTTCAGCACTCATGCCCTCCCACTTTGAGCTAGCGTATTCGGTACCCCTTCCGTGTCCAATGTCATTATTGCTACGCTTGTCTTGACACTTGTACTAGGTACTACGTTGTCCTGAATTACATTATGTCATCATGGTCAACGTGACTTCTGCGTGACATTGACCCCTTGACCTTTTTTGACTGACCTGGTCAATTCTTGACTGACCCTTTGACTTGACCTTTTTCTTGACGGGGTCAAACAGGTCAAGACAACACTGTCGCTAGCCAGTCGTTCTGAGGTGTTTGCCACTTGTTGTGGCTTTGTTGTGGGGTCAAACATCAGGCAGACTGCGAAAAATAAGACTTGAATGAGTTGATCACTTTCCGCCGAAAACCTTATTTCTTAAAAAGGAGCGTCACCATGTGATGTTGGCCCAAAGCCCGCACCCAAACACGTATCGCGCGAACTCATAAGTACCCAAGTACATCTTCTGTGAAATAAGTGGTTGCTTTTGCAGTTTTGGCACCAATATATTTCTAATATAAAGAATATTTACAAGGGAGTGAGTACAGTAACTACCTACGGCAATCCAAAATAGCAAATCTGTAATACCTATGCTACTAGAGCAACATCTTGTAACGGCGGGGAAGTAGTTGGCCACATACCAGTCGCGACTTGGATCCCCTAGCTTCCCAGCCCCACCATTTCCCACCTGGAGGGGCGCCATCCCACGCCCTGCCATGTGTATCGCGTCGTGGTCGCTTGTGCTGGAATTCACCCGACCCGTCGTTGGTGTCGGACTTGCGTGAATGGATGGGGCAGTGTCCAAGTCCTATCATGCGCGTTGGGCAGTCAATTTCTTGTCTTTACTGCTGGCAGCTTTTGTCGTTGACGGCGTGGTTGGGCACTCGGCGTTGGAGTCATCGTTTTCGCACCCTCGCTGGATGTGGTTGGCGTAGTCGGGGTTTCTGTTTGTGATACCGATGTTGGGCAGATTTTTGGTTGCAGGATTTGTCGCGTTGGACTTGAGACGGGTTGACGGGCGCGAGATTCTGAAAGGGATGGTATAGGTTTGATATAGGTGTGGTTTAGTTGCTGGTTTGTGAGCGTGGGCTTGGGCATCGTTCCCACAGGTCATGTGAGGTTTGACCATTTCGGGAATTAAGGTTTTCGGCGGAATCTCAAAAGTGACTTGAATGGAGCTTGCAGAGTTTGAAGAAATGGATGGTCACGAGCCTAACCCCTTCCTACTTATCAAAATGCACCAGATGTTGGCCCTGGTATCATAGTTGTGGGAATATAAAAGGAAAAAGAGTAAAATTCCCAAAAAGGAAAGAGGAAAAAGGAAAAAAGGAGGGATTTGTTACATAGTACTGCATCACTTTCCTATGATAAAAAAATCCAGAAAATCCCAAAAAATAGGCTGTATACTGAATTACATTAGGGCTGCACTATATTTATAAGTGACAGGTATTTGCCTGCTTACAGACTTTTGGGATGCCAAGAAGTGTTGCAGCCATCATACAAATCCTGTATATAAAATAATATTTTCTAAGTATCAATCAGTAATCAACTGCCAAAAAAAACCTAGCAAAAGGTGATCAAAGTCCCAATTGAGCCTGAAACATCCCATCAATGAAGATTTTCAAAAGAATATTTAATGTCCTCTACTCTTTTGGGCACTAGTTGATACTCATTTGTTTTCATTATCCAAAATTCACAGGCTTTCTGAATGGGTCCATTAGGGCTGCAAGGCTAACAGTTCAGACTGGTCTTCTAGTCAACCTGGTGAGAGTGATAACCAGAAGAAAAAAATTCTAGACTGATTTTGGCAAAAACAAGCCAATTTGTATATTAAAATCTCCTTCATGATCAAGCTGCTACATATCTATTATTCTCTACATTCATGCTGAATTTTGAAGAAGATGGAAAAAGCTCTAGTGAATCTCTGTCAAAATTTGCAGATTTAGCGAAAAACTACCCCACTGAATGATACAGCTGTTCTTCATGTATTATGCAATGGAAACACATTCAAATCTTCTGAAACTTGGAGGATACATAAGATTTGAACTATTACAGTTTCATGTGCAATTTCTATAGTTTCATTGAATTTAAATTTAGTTTTGAAGAATTTGCTGGTGAATGATTGCACTTTTGAGGTATTTTCTGAAATGTTTGGCTGCTTTGGGGTATTACGATGCAGTGGTAAATTTTTTGAGACTACTGATGTATCTACATAAAGGCTGTAACAAGTGGAGCTAGTGTTCGAAAGTCTGGTTAGGTCCGGTTATTGGGTGCCCAGGGGCTCTAACCGAGACTGAGACCGGTTAGCCTTTGTCCCGAAACCTAAAATAACCTAACCGGACCGCAACTAACTGGTTACGGTCGGTTATTTGCAGTTACTAACCGGTTAGGACCGAAAAATAAAGAATCGGTTATAACAAGGCAAATATGCTCATATGTATCTTGATAGATATTATTTCTGCATATTCTAGCTTTAAAACGAGCCCAAGAACGCTAAAATCGGTGAAGAATTGACATATTTATGCAATTATCCTTGAAAGTCTACACATTTGAGTGATATTTTAGAGATTTGACTGTAACTTAGTCAAATTTTAAGCGTTTTCGATGTTCTCAAGTGCGTTTTGAAGGTGTATAATAGGGCTGGTTATAACCGGTTATTTAATGGTTAGTTAACCACAAAATAACCGGTTATTCCATTTTCGAAATCAACTAACCCTAACCGCAGTTAGGTTAGTGTTGCGGTTAGGTCCGGTTATTTTCCGGTTATTTTCCGGTTAACTAACCTAACTTTCAAACACTAAGTGGAGCACTAAAAAATGGTGAAAATGCGAAATATGAGACAAGGCAGACAGGTGTGGGAACTATTTACCGGATTTGATAGCAGCTGCTGTCAATTTCCGTTTACAGATTTTTTTGATAGCAGCTGCTATAAAATCCGCTTTCGGATTTTTTGATAGCAGCTGCTATCACTTTCCAAATAGGGAATTTTGATAGCAGCTGCTATGGGCCACAGGTATGAGAACTCCGCCCCCTATAACTCTTATAGGGCAGGATCTTGCGCGTGAATTTTCTCATTTTTTTGCCTCCGACTTTAAAGTCCGCTGATGGGATCTTATCTCCCTCCTGGACAGTGCTTGATCCTACCCTATAACGTCGGGAACGAGACTAGCATTTATGTAACTAGAACGACGAGCCTTGGGATCCCGAAGCCTTATACCTTGAAATAAGCAAGCATACATTCTCATGGAAAGTTTCATTTTTGACACAATGGAGAGCCATGCAATGTATGTACATCCCTGGATTTTATTTGGTGCACTAGCTGTGTGTTGGTAATGACAAAAGCAGGGCATTCAGAGAAGGAATCGATGTTGGCTACAAATTGACCTCTACCAATCGTGGATTCGATGGTCGGTGAGGCTTCGAAAGAGCCGAAGGTTCGTAATATAACAAAATTTCGCATATTCGCACAAAATCTGAGGGAAGAGATCAACAATTTCATGATGTATATGGATATGGTATGGGGAGGCGTCAGAAACCTGGCCTGTACATCAGTCAACCACCTTTTGACTGGATGAAAAACTTACAACAATCGCAATCAAAGGGGCAGAGCAGTGTGTCTGATTCCAACCGATGTGTGAAATAAGTGCATGGGGAACAAGTGTTTGCTTACCACCCCCATCGTCACGTATGCCCAGTTCATCTTCTTTGTATATTGACCAGCCCTCGTCCGTCGTTCGGCCTTGAGAAAGCATCAGATAAGCTCTGAAAATATGAGACCACAACGTACGGGCACCAGATCCCCTGGAATCTTTGAAGAGACCACCATCCGACTCACTTGACTTGGGTTTTGTACTTTGTCGTACTCTACCTTTCCCTGGTCCCGTTTCCTTTTTCTGGCGTTTCAGACTTGGCACATTTGCAGAGGTATCTACGACAGTCTCTGGAGGGGGCCGTTTTTTTGAAGCTGGAGTTATGGTGCTAGATGATGCATCTGGGGGATCATCGTGAGCAGAAGCCAATCTGGCTTTTTTCGCCTTCTTCTTTGCCTTGAGAAGGGACACTGAAGTGGACGGAGAAGGAACAGTTTTTGATTTGCCTTTGGATGCGAAAATGTCGTCGATTTCGGACATGTTTGTTCTTTGAAGTTTTGCAAGAAAAACAGTATTTATTTGTTACAAAGAATTCCCACAGGTGCTTGTTGTTTGCGCTGTCCTCCGCCCCGATTTTATTTAACAACTCGTCTGCAAGGCGGTCATTGTCGCGCTCGCTTATTACTCAGTGAATTGAATTTATTCATCAAGTATATTTTGCAAGCATCTGTTGTTTGTGGCATACTTGCTGTCAACAACATCAACGTAGCCAAGCTTTCTCGGAGGAGATGCTGCGAGTTACATTTTCTCTCTTCTGGCCCCTTCGTTTTAATTCCCATTCTTTGTAGTCCACAGAATGGACAACAGCAACAGCGGCAGCAACAACAATCTGGCTTACCACCCTTCATGCCTACTCCAGCTTCTGGCTCAGATTCTCCTTCCTACTTTAACCTAGATGCATCCCAGGCTGCTAAACAAATGGCTGCGTTGAACGTGAGCCATGCAAGAATGGCGGCAAATGCTCGTGGCCCCTCTGGATCTCTTCCTGGAAGTGGTGGAACAAGTTCGGGGCCATACCCTTCAGGAATCAACAATCCCGTCAACTACCCTGCTGGCAACCATGACATTTTGGCCGCCTCTGTGAATGCCAATTTCCAATTTCCGAATAACCATAGTACATCCTCTACACCTAGCTCTACCGTCAACCCGCCGTTCCTCGATCCAGCTATGTCACACTCCACTCCCGCCCGAACTCACAATCAGGGGACCTCTCTAAAGCAAAGACAGCAAAGTTTTCTTCACGGCTTGCACAGCATCATGGCCAAGAGGAATACACCACTGCCTCCCTCTCTTACAGGCATAGCTTCGGCCAACTATGACCCTTCAACGTCCCCTTGGTCTATGATCGAATCTTCTGGAGAAGTTGGGTCTTTCAGGCTAGCAGGCAAGGACGTCGATCTTTTCAAGCTCTGGGGTCTTGTTTTTCAGAACGGAGGTGGTCATTCTGTGCGTCCCCTTATCGCCACCTCAATAGCTCTGCCGTTAATGCTTACATCCACAGCTCGATAGTTCAGATGGCTGGAGTGCGATTCTTCCACAATTTGATCTTCCAGAACATTTCCCTCAAGAGCAGCTAAACGGTTCGACATCAGTAGCAGTGATGTTGTCGCAGTATTACATGGCAATCTGCTATCCTTTTGAGGAGATGTACAGGAAAAACATGCACGAGCAACAAAAGAAAGCTCAAATGGCAAGGCAACATTCTCAACAAATCCCGCCCGTCTCTTCTGCTGGTCCGAGCCGGCCACCCGTACCTGGTACGCAGTTTTTGTTGACTATTCCCGATTCGGGCACTGATCGGTTAGGCCAGGTACGCATGCATTACATGCTGGCGGTAGCAGCGTCGCACATTATACACCTGGACACACACCACAAACTCCTCACCAGAGACCACCTTCCGTCGCGTTCAGTAGTCAGCAGGCTACTTCCGGGCCCTCGCATGGCTTAGAATCTATGCAACCTAGCGCTCACAGTCCCGATTTGAACTTATTGGATCAGGATCTTCATGGCATTAAACGAAAGTTGGACGTGGGTGGGGGAGAGAGTAAGCGAGCCAGGCAAAAAACTGGTAAGTTCGCTATTTTTTCAGAGAGTTTCGCCCTATTGATTCATGTGCCTGGGCAGAGCCCCCAGACAATCAAATTGTAAGCACGCTTTTTAACTAATATTTTGGCTCTCTAACACGAAATCTCTCAAGTTGGCTGCTGGCGTTGACCATCAATCCACAGAGACTGCTCTTAATCCTCAAACCTCCTCCATGTTGTCGGTGCCGCCACGGTCTCGTCAGCAACAATCCCGGCGAAAAATTGAGTATGTTCCGGTGGCTCGCGAAGTCGACACATATGGTGGTCGCGACTTTAAAGCCATCGAGTCTGAGTGGGCCAACTTGCCACAGCGACGGCCGCTGCGAGATATCAATGACTGGGGCACGGTCGACATCGAGGCTCTCACAATGTCCATTCGCTCCAAATTATCGACCGAGTTGTCATATGCTTTGACCACGTTGACGTTGCTATCGACCATGCGGGGCCAGACCCCTGGTTCGGGTTTTCCTATCTTTCAATGCGTCGATTTGATGGACGAAATTCTTGATCTTCTCGAAGAGCAAGCTTTTGGCGACCCCGAAGCGGATTCACCCTCGGAGATTCATGATGGCAATGTCTGCTTCACCACAAATTACGAACTGGTGAACATCGTTTATGACGATAAAACCCATCCATTTGCCCCGCTGGCCCGACACCAGGGTTCAAAAGACCTCAAAGTTGGACCGCGACAGCGGCCAGGCAACATTGTCCTGACAATTTTAAACATCATCCGCAATCTATCCGTCATCGAGGACAACAGGGAATTTATCTCTCATCACGAGAGACTTGTGGACATCATGCTCAGAATCTGCAGTGTGGTACGCGTTGACGGCAACCCACCTTCCCCTGCGTCTCCGAACCTTTCGCTCTCAGATCTCGTATTTGTCAGGAAAGATGCTCTTTACACCCTTGCAAACATTGCCGGCTCGATCAATCTGTCTCCCGCTTCATCTCCGTACAAGTCCACTTACAGAATAGCGAGGCGTGCATTCGAACTCGTTGCCTCATACCTCACTGACCCCAATGAAGCTATATCGCCTCTAGCCTGTGTACAGCTCGCTGGGGTGCCTGCTCATGCAAGTTTAAAACCGCCTCTGCTTGCAGACATTGCGCTGGAGGTGTTTACGAAGCTCAATCAAAGTGACGTTAATCGTCAAGTCTTGACCAAAGCAGTTTCCCAAACATCTATTTGGTGTCTCTTCGAGTCAATCGTTCACCGACTTCCTGTAGTCGACGCAGACTTCCATTTGATGACACGCGACGTGTGGCTCAGCTACCTAGAGAAGACCATCATGGCGATTTATTCTCTAGTTTTTTTGGCCCCTCCAGAGCTGAAGCAGAAGATCAAAGAAGACCGAGCGTTGGGATTCAAAGCTGTTATGTTTCGCATGGTTCAAAAGTTCCTCATGAACCCTAACCCAGATGGTCGTGTGTATTTCTTTGTATGTGCCAGACGGGCCATTGAAGCTATGAAAGTTTTGGACGATGGGCGAGATGCGTTTGACAACTCATCTGAATCCGTCTTGCCTATCCTATCATTTGGAATGGGATTTTCGGAATCTACTGATAGCGGATTCGAAAAGGGAACAGGACTTCTTGGAGGGCACCGAGATGTGGCATGGGACATACTGATGCTAAGGGAGGTGCATGGGGACGAAGTGATGTTTAATGAGCTGGAAAGTCTTGCACGAGTGGAATGTTTTTGAATCTTAGTTGTGTAGTTATACCTTGTACACGTGACGTATGATAGCCGTTTGCCGAAACTGATCAAGTTATTCAAGCACTGCAATGTCCAGGATTCTCCTCAATGGCAGAGTCTTTCCCTCCTCCAATTTACTCCCAGCAAGATCCAGTTGAGGTTGACTCCTCAGCAGAACCGCAGATCCTTTTCGTACCCACAGCGGATGCAGTCAACTTTCAAAATGGTTTCCTTGGCGCCGATGGTGAGCGAGCAACAATTGAGGGAGAACTCCAAGTCAAAGGCGTAGACTCTACTCGTTGGAATCGTGTGTGAGTTTCTAGGTCAACGCTTTGCGCAAATAAACCTGCTTATTGGCATCTAGGACCATCACCTTGCGTACATTCGAATCTGCTTATCACCATGAAATTGAGCTTGCATTATTCGACCTCGAGCTATACTCCGCACAGGACAACGTCGGCCCCTTTCCGTCGATCTTCCCTTTCTCTCTCCCTCTGATGCCGGATACCCCCCAGTCTATTCAGACACCCCATTCGACGCTAGCGAGCACCCTGACCGCAATTATTCACCCCGTAGATCCACTCTTACCCTCTCTCTCCAAGACCTTAACCATTCACACACGACGTTACTCTTCACATTTGCACTCCTTGCCCGCCTTACCTCAGGTTCATGCATTGGACGTACCAACACGTATTGAGGTGCAAACCCCTCGAACTACTTTCACATCCGGAGAAGCTCTTCCATTGTACATCACTATCCCGCCTCCTACGAGGGAGACGGTGGTGGAACAAGGCTTAAGGCTGCGTAATGTACGGGCGGAACTCGTGCGAGTTGTCAAGGTTAAGCGCGAGTGCCTTGAGGAGGAGGAGCAGGAGGATTCTGATTCCGAGTCTCTGTCAGATGCTACTTTTACCTTTGAACATGAAATGGCGCAGGGCCTTTCAGAGTTGAATGTTCTCGACACGCCCACCCCGGCGTCCTCCTCGAAGGCCCCTTTCTCGCCACTGTTTTTGGGTTCCTCTTACAGAGCAACCATCGCCAGATCTGGAGCATCTTGTCGATTTCATTCTTCCCGCCCTATTCAACTGCGATTCGTTTTACACCAACCCTGGTCTCCCAGCCCATCTTCTGAATCTGACCAATATGGACGCACGAACAGCGATGCGGATAGCGCCATGATCTCTCAAGAAACGCTCCTTCACTCTGTATCATTTCATCTCAGGATCCACGTATCATTCGTCGATACGACTAGCCACTCTGAACGGATTTCTACCCTGATCATCCCCGTCACCATCCTTCCACCGCCTGCTCCACTTCCCGAGGTTTCACATGCAGTTGACGAGGCTTATCAGAAAAAACACGATCGGCCACCCGCCAAAACAATTCGGCGTGAAGAATCCGACGGTATTGTTCCTCACTATTCCGAGGGTGAAGCGGGTCCGAGTATGCTTTCTGCGGGCGCACCCCCTCCTTTTGAAGAGCGTGACGCTCCCCCTCCTTTCTTCTTTGCGGAGGCCGGGGCCTCAACCTCGTCCAGATTGCCCACTTTTTTGGAGTCTGAGAATGAAATCATTCTTCCCGATGACCATGACAATTCTACGACTCAGGTCCCTCTTGCACAGTTCGTTCCCGGTGAAGGAACTCTCTTCGGGTTTCATGCTTCTCAGCAGTTTGACGGTCATTCTGAAGATATGCGACGGTCATTGACGCCCCCTCCCAGTCTAGAAATGGCCAACAGGGACACTGATCTGACGCCATTAACAGATCTCTCCGAGTCAACTCATGCAGCAATCGAGGCTCTTAATTTAGTTTTGGAGCAAACAGAACAGGGAAGAGGCGAGGAAAGGGAGCAACTTCCCCCGCCTCCGCCCGCGATGGATGATCCATTAGACCCTCCTCCGTCAATTGATTCTGATTTTAGGTCACCAGTTGTCGCTCGACACACGCCGCCATCCCGTTCCTCGCCACCACCCTCACGTCCACCTTACCACCCCGCGGAACCTCCAAGATTGCACACTCCTACGTCTGTAGCTCCATCTGAAAGTGCTCAGTCATCCGACGGACATGCCCCGCCTCCGTATCTAACACCACACCATGATCAGGAACACGTAGCGCGGCCACCCCCATACGTCGACTGAAGATAATGGGAGTTTCAAAACATGGCGTCATACAATTGGCTGGACAGTTTACAGCGTACTCTAAAATGATATATTTACTGAACGGATATTACAATGGACTAAATAAAACGAGGTGAGGGTGATAGCCGACTGTTTGTAGAGGCGGGGAATTCGTAAAATAAAGAAAATCGTCACGCATGCGTAGATAGATAAGCCACCGCCGCCAAAAGACATGCACCTCTCAACAATTGCAGGCATCTTTGGGCTTTGGTGCATTGTCATCGAGGTTCACACCCTGTTGCCGTGTACCCTCTGTGCGGTTACCACTCGCTCCTGGGCGCCCCGAACTGCCTCTGGTTGCAGCTAGAATGTGCTCGATGGGAATCTTCTTGGCTTAAGACGGCCTCTTTCAGTACAGCAAAAGAATATAGTTCCGGAGGAAACTTACCAATCTCAGTGAAGATGTCAACAATGCCTTCTCCTGTCTTAGCGCTAGTCTCGAAGAACAACAAGCCAGCCTCAGATGCATACGCCTGAGCCTCCTCTCTAGGCACTTGACGCAGACTTTCGGGGTCTCCGGACGATCCGGGGGTCTCTCCTGGCGTTGCGGTAGCATCGTCTGCTTCGTCCTCTGAATCCAGCGAAGGAGATGTTCCAGAGGACGAAGCCGAGGATTGGACAAGGTCTACTTTATTGCCAGCCAGCGCAATTACAATGTTGGGGTTGGCCTGCCGTTGCAACTCCTTTACCCATGACTTTGCCTTTTCCAGACTGCTCGCCTTGGTAACATCGTATACGACAACTGCAGCTTGAGCATTGCGGTAATACATGGGCTGTAAGGGAGAGGTGATATTATGGAAAGGGAAAAAAAAACCCCGACTGTGTAACTCACAGCCAATGAATGAAAACGCTCTTGCCCAGCAGTGTCCCAAATTTCATATCGCAGGATGCGATCTTCCAAGCGGCACTTTTGCGTCAGGAACGCGGCTCCGATGGTGGGTTCTTTGTTTGGCTGAAACTCGTTGGAAACCTGGCAGACGAGAGGTTAATGCAAAAAGTAAAAGAAGAAGGCTTTAGGCGTACAAATCGAAGAACAACGGATGATTTTCCGACAGCAGCCTCGCCTTTGTCAAAAGCAAATGAGTGTGATGACCGAATGAGATGAGAGATAGTTACCCAGAAGAACAAGCTTGACTTGGACGGACTTGTCGACAGAACCTGAAGCAGAGTCGGACATTGTTGAGGAGAAAGTTGCTGCAAAGCCGTTGACGACTGCGCTCTTTGTTTGTTCCATGGCTCTATTCCAAACACAATACAGGTTTGCAACAAAATAATTCACTCTAGTATTACAACTCTAGTACTCGTAAAATGCCCGTAGCTCGTTACATGTCGTATACACTCCCATGTCAAGTTCCACTTTGTCCGACTTATCAAACACCATTGGACATGAAAACTCAATCACAGGCCCAAACACCACATTGTCTTGTCTTCTTTTAGTCTTCCTTGCAGCTGGAGAATTCGGCAGCGCCTGAGTTTGATCATAGAACCAGAAAGGCTTGGATTCGTAGTCTTCCATCGTCTTCGACATAAAAGCCGCGTATTTTCCATCTGGATCGCCATACGCCGCGGCAACAGACGCAACATGAGGTACAAGTTCATGAACGTCCTCATCGTCTGGCTTTGTCTTGATAGCATAGTCTACTGCTGTTTGGATCGTTGCCCCATATTTCGACCGTGTAGACCAGAGATCAAGACCCAGAAAATCCCCGATTTTCGCATTTGTCTTGTATGCCAACTGAGGGCAATTAAAAGAGTCAAATCGAATACACTCACGATCAGTGCTTCGATGTTAAAACATCTATAATGAAATGGGCGGGTGCGCACTGCTTCGAATGGTTGCTCTCCCGATCCTGCTAACTGATCCCTGAACTGACTTTTGAAAAAATGCTGCAAAACGTCAATTGCCCCTTGTTGATCACCAGCGAGTATTTTGGTAACTGCCAGTTGTGAGACATAAAACGAACCATGGTTGCTGATTTCACTCCGTTAGTGCACCTGCTTGAGAAGTTGAGTGGTCAATGTAACTTAGCGCGAGATGCCGTCATTTTGGCAATTGAACTGTTCTCCAGCCAGGCAATGTATCGAAGAGTCCATGCACGCATCTCTTGGTCCCTTGATGCGGTCCAATCTGGGCTTCCAGAAGATTTTAGGATAAGGATTCCGTTAATTATCTTGACCAGGCCTCTAAGATCAAGAATACCCGTATAAGTTCCTAGTTGACCGCTAGGTCCCGGACCTCGAACGATTTGGCCGAACTTCATGTGCGGATTCATCCTTGTCGAAGAGGACAAGAAAAAGGCATCGATCCATTGAGCAGCTCGACGAGAGTAATCAGGTAATCTTGTCAGGCCGTAACTTACAGCGGTATAGAGTACAGCTTGAGAAACAGAAGTGATTGCAACAGGACCGTTGAGAGTTCGAACGTCAGGATTGACTTGGCCATCGAGAGTGATATATGGGCAAGTAGTCCACGCTACCAATAGATCAAGAAACCTTCAAACAGACAACATCATCACTTACTCGCACTTGCGGGCATGCTTGACGCAGGTGACGGAGTGCATGTACCCTTGGATGTTTTCGTCGCAGCTCGAGATAATCTTGCCGTTCGACCAGAGGAAGCAGAGCGATCCTGCAAAGCAGTAGTCGAAGGAACTGGCATAGGAAACGGTTCTAAGTGTGCTTGAGGGTTATTCAAAGGTTCACTTTCGTCCTGAGATGGCAATTCGGAGCTTCGATTAAGTAGAAGAGTCGTAGCATGTTTGTATCTTGTTATGCGGTCTTTCATTGCTTGGCCGTGGCGTAAAAAGACAGCCGAACTACTGTCGCGCGGCTTGTGGTCTCCTTTGGGTATATGCTCGCCCGCGACGGCCGTAAAGGATTTTTTTTCCGCGCGATTTTCTTTGCCATCTACCGGCGTTGAGAACGCTTTTGCCTTTGCACACCAATTACAATCTGGCCAGTGACTGTCGTCTTCAAACATCTACCCGAATGGCATATAAAAGGCTTTCAATTGGACTCACTAAGGCGCCCAGCTCAAGTAATCATGAGAATCATTGCTGGGTGGCAAAATGTTGTTCATGTTCGCCACACCTGCATTGGCACAAGTCAGCTAGACAGGGCGGGTAGAAACCAAATGTAGTACGAACTCCAAGGGACTAGGCGGGAATAATTATTAGCACCGTGAATGATGGCTTCCTGGGCGTCGCGAGTAAATGTCCGACCGATCGAGTAGTGCTGAGCTTGTTGGATGACATAGCCTTGATGAACCCAATCCAGAGAGTCTACCGCGAAGGCGCGCAGGGGGGTTGATAATAGGAGAAAGAAAGAAGACGAAAATGAGGAAACGCTTTTCATGATGGCGACAAGAACCTGCTTGACTAGCACCTGTGAACCCCACCTATTTGGTCCTATTAGACAGGAACAAGATATGCTTGTTCCTGTCTAGTTCGATCAAAGATGGCTTTTGTAACGCTCTGGGCAATAACTACCAGTAGTGCGTAGGGACTTTATAATAAATTCTTACCTGTGCTCACCGGCAACCATGAATACCAGTCACCGGTGTTTGGCACTTGGCGGCATTGCGCTCCTGCCCATAAAGGGTTCGATGTCATCACGAAGAACCCTTACTCACCGTTGTTGATGGCAACGCGTCGAGCTCGTCGTGCGCAACGCCGACAACGTGTATCCCCCTCAATAACAATCCATTCCCTTCGCTTTTTTTGTGTAACACAGTGGTATGTAGATCAATGGCATTTTTTTACAGCAAGGTTATGAAAGACATATGTATGGAGGTGATGATCATGTTGTTGTAGGGTATGGGGGAGGGTACACGGCATACGGCATTCAATGAGTAAGCTAGGCACTATCAACATCAGCATCGCTCTCAACAAACTCGTTGCTGGTGGGACGGGTGGGGGGCAGCTGGGATTTCTTGGATTTCTTGGGCGCTTTCTTGGTTGTCGTAGCGCGCGTCTCGGGCACGGCTTTCCCCCTCTTCTGCTTCTTCGCTGGTGGGGCCCCATCGTCCTCGCCTTCCCCTGTCCCTGGTGCTTTCTTCCGCGGCCTCTTGACACCTTTGTCCGACCTCGGCTGCCTTGCCTTCCCCACCTTTTCACCCGCTGCGATTCTCTTGCTAACGTCATCTTTGTGGTGATTTATGTCGCTTCTGGTCATCCTTACCCAACAGCACCTACCGCATTGAAGTGCCTCCAGTAATGTGCGAACATCGTCGATGGTGTGGATGTCGAACGGGCTCTTGAATTCACGGTAGGTCCAGCCCATGAGCTTGGTCTGGTATCGTTCAACGACCTTCGTATCGTAGTTGGCGTAGTTCATGAGGGCCTGTCGTGATTGCGAAACCGTTTCTGTTCAGTAGCTTTAGTTCAAAGAAACGACGAGACACGGTATAAAAGACTTACTGAGAGTGCCGTTGATGATCGCGCTGCATTCCTTCTGCATCGTCGAGAGTGTGTCGACGGTGCGGCTACCTTTCGCCTTTGCACATGCCCACTGCTCCAACAGCCGGGCAATGTCCCACATCCCGTAGCTCATTGCCTCTTGAGAGAAGTTTGCGGCATTGGGAGAGCAAATCCAGTTCGGCTCAAACGTGTCTTCAAGGTTGGAGCGGCTAAAGAAAGCGACGACTGCAGCTCCTGTTCTGTCAGACAGTGCACTTATCTGAAGAGCGTCAGCAATAAGGAAGTGAGATGAGAGGACGACGCGCCTCATTGTTCATCTGCGTCATCTGCGCACGGTAGTCTTGGGCTGCTGACTTGTTTGTTGGACGAGCGCCGGTTTTCCTCTGCTCACGAAGCTCCAAGACATCCTGCTTCATCCGTTCTTCCTCCTCTGTGGTAAGGTTCTGGTAGGTAGGGTCATCATGTACTAGTTGACGAAGTTCCTTCACCTTGATCCTATCCCCGAGTTCAAGATCTTTGAACAGAGCTGTTAACATGTAGCTTGATGTAGTGGTGGGTTATGTACATACCTCCGTTGACCTCCAGGGATTTTGCATGTAACTTTGCGTTCTGAATCGTGACGGCTCGTTTTTGCTTGTAGTGGCTTGACTGAGAGGTGAGTTTCTGGATGTACTCCAGTTTCGTGTTGTGCGCTTTTGCGAAATCTTCCAGCTCGGTGCGGTGGCGGGAAAGGAGAACATCAAGAGCTTTTGCCAGCTCCTCAGCC